GATCTTCCTTCGCGTTGCTTTTCAGTTTGTCATGATACATTCTCGCACGGCGCTGGCGTTTTTGCTCCCTCATACTCGGTCCGGCTGAGAGCGACGTCCAAATATCCGGTCGCGCGCGCGCGGGGCTGACTCTCGAATTGATTGCATTCAGCCCTCTGTAAAATTATAGCAAGAACTAGAAGACGCTGAAAGACGCTGCAAGACCTTGGAAGCTGTTGAGAGTAACGCTGGGCGCTGTTGATCCCTTTCCTCTTCCACGATCGAAGAGGGCCATACAACCCCCGAAATGTCACCTAGTCAATCTCACCTTAGTGTTCAGTCCTTCCCATCCGCGGATATCGATGGCTCGCAACCTGTTGTTAAATCGGAACCTCAGCTCAATCCGATTGAGTCGGCGGACCTAAATGGTTTTTCTTTAGACAATCATCACGATGCGCTCTCAAATGATGCCGCCTCGCACGGTTTGATCGACACCTCTCAATTTCCTGACTTCCATTTTCCCTTCCAGGAAATGACCGAAGCCGGCCAAATGATCGACTTAGAAGACCATACGAATGAGTTGTTTGCCACACCCGGTCACGGATCAATCTCGTCAATTGGTGACCGGAAGGGCTCCACCGCCTCAGGACCTCACAGCACCATTTATACCATGATTGACCCTTCACAACAAAATAGGCAACGAAGCATCGATGAGTCTGAGGATGGAAGCCAAGAGAGCCCGCACGTTGGTACTAACTCCCTAGAAGACAATATGTCGGATGAGTTTGGCCTATCGACAGGTGGCCCTAGCGATGGTACCGACCTTGGGGGAAAGCTCAAGGAGAATAAATCCGATCCAGCACCAGCGTGGAGTGAGCTAAAGACGAAAGCAGGGAAGGAAAGAAAAAGACTGCCTCTGGCTTGCATTGCGTGTCGGAGGAAGAAAATACGTTGTTCAGGCGAGAAACCAGCATGTAAACATTGTCTTCGGTCCCGGATCCCGTGTGTATATAAAGTCACCACGAGAAAAGCAGCTCCAAGGACCGATTATATGGCCATGCTGGATAAACGATTAAAGAGGATGGAAGACCGAATCATCAAGCTCGTACCTAAATCAGAGCAAGATGCATCGGCTACTAACGTTGTCCGGGGCGTGGTGAAACCCGCTATCCCCGGAACTCTACCTACCGGAAAACAAACGACGAAGAAGCGAGGAGCAGAAGAGGCATTTGGCGCAGAACTTGATCATTGGGCTAGGAGTGGACCTAAGGCTAGGATAGAAGGCTCTGGCAAGCCCACGTCGTTGCAAGTGCAAGAAGCTGAAGAGAGCAAGCTTCTGTACGAGGGTGCTGAGGCATTACCGCCTAAAGACGTTCAAGAACACCTGGCGGATGTATTCTTTGAAAATATCTATGGCCAGGCTTATCATCTCCTTCATAAACCAAGCTACATGAGGAAGCTGAAGTATGCCCCCTCTTCTCCCCTCTCACTTATTTTATTTTACTGTACTTGATGTATTTTGCTATCCATGACTAATCATCCTCTATAGAGCTGGCACCTTACCTCCGGTCTTAGTACTTTCTGTCTGTGCGATTTCTGCCCGTTTTTCTACCCATCCAAAGTTCTCGATGACGAATAACTTCCTCCGAGGAGAAGAGTGGGCAGCGCCGGCTCGAGATATTGTGACGAGGCGCTATGAGTGGCCAAACATCACTATACTAACCTGCCTACTGCTTCTCGGTTTGCATGAATTTGGCACATGCCATGGAGGAAGAAGCTGGGCTTTGGGTGGCCAAGCCACTCGCATGGCGTTTGCACTACAGTTGCACAAAGACTTAGAGTATGATCCCATGCGGCTGAATCCGACGAAGCAGCTTAGTTTTATCGATCGCGAAATCCGAAGGCGTACAATGTGGGCCTGTTTTCTAATGGATAGGTTTAATTCATCAGGGACAGACCGACCTATGTTTATAAAGGAAGAAACAGTCAAGATCCAGCTACCAATCAAGGAGAAACTCTTCCAGCTCGATATGCCGGGACCAACTGAAGATTTGCAAGGCCAAATCCCTCACCCAGTGCCGACCGACGAAGGTCAACTCTCTGATGCCAAAGACAACATGGGCGTAGCAGCATACATGGTCCGCTCCATCGCCTTATGGGGAAGAATAATAAATTTCTTGAACCAAGGAGGAAAGGATACAGATGAGCAACCGATGTGGGAAACTGATTCCGAATATACCGCTCTGGTCAAACAAGCTGAAGACTTCGCCGATAACCTACCAGACGGGCTGAAATACAGCGCCGAAAATCTCCATCTACACCAAACCGAAGGAATGGCCAACCAATTTGTGTTTTTGCACATATCCATACAACAGAACGTCTTATTCATGAATCGATTTGCTGTCTCCTCTCCGGGCGGCTTGTCGAATACGGACGTCCCCAAGACTTTTATCACACAGGCGGGAGCAAAAGCATTTGCTGCTGCTAACAGGATTTCCGAACTGCTGAAGGATGCAGAACATTACATGATCACGGCGCCTTTCGTGGGATATTGCGCGTTCCTATCGAGTACCGTTCACATATTCGGCATTTTCTCCGGAAATTCAGCCGTGGAAGTCTCGGCAAAGAAGAATCTGGCAATAAACGTCAAGTTCCTCTCAAAAATGAAACGTTACTGGGGGATGTTCCACTTTATGGCAGAAAATCTACGCGAGCAGTATAAGACGTGTGCTGATGCTGCGCGACAAGGTACACCAGCTAATGACAACCCCGCAGCATCGCCAATTTTCCAGTATGGAGATTGGTTTGATAGATATCCGCACGGCGTATCTCAACCAGAATTTGTCGAACCTGCCTCCTTCAAAAAGAAGGAAACAGGCGAAGATGCAGTTCTTGAACAGAAAGCCGAACTGCACACGGTGGAAGAGTTCTTTACGCAACTCTCGCCGCCGCAAAGTACAGGTGAAGTACGTGAGAATAACGGAACAAGTAGACCGCCCTTGATGAAGCGAAAGTCGATAGCGAAGAAAGGTAGCATATCGTCGCGTGGCGAACAGCAGCAACTCGAACCCCTTCTCACCGACCTCAGCGCCGGTAGCATTCCCGAACAGATCCAGCGCATCCAGCAGGCGCAACAGCAAAGAGTACAGGCTCAGCGAAATTACCGCCTGAACGGACAAAACAGTGGGCCTATCTCCTTCAACCCCAATCTCGCACATGGACGCTCACAAATGCCAGCAGCGAACTATCACGCCCTGTCACCGATCAGCCCTGTTACCGTCGGCGGGTTCCAGCACGGTCATGGTCATCAGCACCACGGGTTCTACAACCCAGACCTTCTTTCGCTGTCCCTCTCGAATAATTCGGCCGGGATGCTGCCACAGCTTGATCGACAGCTTGTATTCAACGCATATGGTGGGATGGATCCTTCTACAATCAGCGGTCCTGAGGCGATTATGGATTGGGACGCGTTGGCTGGGAATGGCAATAATTCGAGCAGGGGCCACCACGCGAATGGGTCAAATGGAGGTTCGGGTGAAGGGCCAAACCATCACCACGAGGGCCTGCCCGGCGGGTTTGTTGCTGAACCCTCTTCTGCATGGTTTATGCCATTCAACATGGAGCCACCGGAACTTGGCCAAGAGCTGGGTGGCTTAGGTGGCGTTGATGGATTCGGGATGTTTAGTCCCGGTGTCCATACTCCGGGGGCTGGGCTAGGCCTGCGTAGGGGAGGCCGATAAGATAGTCGGATGGAGGCGTTCACGTCATGCATCTGACCTTGTACATGACGAAAATGGGGGCAGACCTGCATGGGAACTATCCTCGTGTAACTGAATCACCATGCTATGGTGATGGATCGACCCATACTATATATCTGTGCTGGCTATTTGGTTGATATATACATACATTTACTTACATCATTGTAGTATATATCCTTAAGACGGGGGAAGGAGGGTAACGAAAGCGACGGTTTTCTTATTCCGCCAACGATGGATGACGTATACGTACCTTCACTTTTTTATTTGTACATTTTTGGAATGCATCTTAAGGACCAAGGGGGGCATGTCCTTCTCGATCTTGCGGAATTTTTTTCTCTCATCTCAATGGGTCGGCCAGACAGACAGGAAACGGAGTTGAATATTTAAGACTCTTTTTTTGCTTGTCGGAGGGGAACTGGGGGGGCGGAATGGGGTTAAAAGGGAAGAAAGCTGCTGCGCCTACATCTGTTATTTCTTGGCTAAGCTGTCTTTGCGCTCGTTGTTTTGTCTATATATCTTTGTATCTCTCTCCGTGTTGCTGTTTTGTCATAGGAAGGAAGCTTGGGAATGGGGGTTTCCCGAGGAGTCGAGAGGGTTGGAAATTCCCAATATGGAGCAGTTTGTTTCCCACCCATAACCATGGATGGCCCTTTTTCTGTAGCGTTGCATTTGTCGGTATGTTGGTATGAATGATGCTACCTGATAACGAACGGCGCGACGAAACGAAGATAAAAGCGAGAGGGGGGGACTTTTCCGATAAATATAAACAAAATCGAATAAAACTTTTACTTGTTACTGCTTCTGCTTCTTACCTTATGACGGCACGGCTCCTGATACTTAGTTATAACAATGAAATGAACGATCTGGCGTGTTCGGGGATCTGCGATGCTGTTCCTTTTAGTGGTACGATACCGCGCCATTTTGGGGCCAGCGCTCGCCCAGCGGAGCAAAGACAGGGGCTGATCGCGCCCAGCTTTCGGGTGCCGGCAGCGGGAGTTGGGGGGCGTTGGTACGATTTTACGAAGGGTTGGCAGCTGAGATCTAACGTGATTCTTATACTAATTACATCCATACTAGGTACTAGATAGATCTGGGGTATCGAACTTTTTATTGTCCTTTTATCTACCGAGATGCTCTGCCGAAAACAAGGACCGCACGATTGGGAACTGGGGAATTCGAGATTTGGTAGGTGCTAGGCATGTATTGGGAAATGTGATAGGTTGAGAAATTGGATTGAATTGAATTAAGATTGGCTGTTGGGCTCTACGCGACTACCTCCTCTTTCCCGGCTTTCTTGCTTCTGCCCGATCGCTTGCGCTTCTTCTTCGAGCCGCCTTCGATTATATTGCTGGTGCCGGCTTCCTGGGCTCTCGGCTCCTCTGCGGCACCCGCTCCGCCGGGGTTGTACGCGGGCGGTTCTCTCTCGAATTCGGGACCGAAGGTCTCTTTGCGCCATTGCCGTAGACGGGCTTTCTTGCCGAGACGCTTGCGGTCCTTGGATTGCTTATCTTGCGGGCGGAAGTGGGCTAGCTTTTTCAACCCGGCGTATTGGTTGAGGTCCGCGTCGGAGGCCATGAGGATGTCGCGTGTGGTTAGGCCGAAGGACTCGGGTCGCGTTTCGCGGTAGGCGAAGGTTGACGATGAGCCCTTATTTCTTGAAGAGGAGCTGCCGCCGAGGATTTCTGGATCGTCGATTTCCATCTTCGCGTCGACGAAGGCTTCAAGCTTGGCTCGTTCTTGTCGCACTTCTTTCTGACTTGCGAGCTTTTCTCGCTTGCGCTCCTTGCTAGATTTTTGCCGCTTAGCAGTGGGCGCATCTTCGTCCTCGTTATCTTCCTCGTCCTGCTCGTCGTCGGTAAGAGTAATCTTAGGACGTTCCTCGTCATCGAAGTCGGGGATTAAGTCTTTGATGTCGATATCGTCATCCCACTTGGGTTTCTTGACCTTCTTCGATTTCTTGGTATTGGCGCCGTCTTCGTCTTCATCATCGGATACTTCCTCCTCAGCCGCAGCATAGTACTGCTCATCGAAGGTCTTCCGTAGGTGATCTTCCCACTTGTCATTTTCCCAGGCGTCTTCAAGTAGTTTTTGCCATTCCTCGTCCTGCAGAGTCTTGCCTGATAGACCGGCGGCTTTCTTTATCTTCTTCAACTTGCCCTCGGCCTCGTCAAGCTTCAAGCGACGTAGACGTGCTTTCTCTTCTTTCCTCTTTTGCTTCTCGTCTTCTAGTTTTTCGCGCTCCATCTCACGTTGCTTCTTGCGCGCGGTCTTGTCCTCTCGTCTGACCGAGCGTGCGGCGACAACGTCACGGGAATATGATTTTAGTACCTCGTTGCTCTTGTTCGGGTCTTCGAAGCGTAGATTGTATGCGGCTTCCCATTCATCTGCTTTTTCGTCTTCGCCCTCGTCAGACTCGAACGCTTTCCAACCGGTGGCATCCTCTTCTACCCAAGCGCGGGAGGCCATGAAATTTGAAAGGAACAGCTCCGGATCCTTGTCGGCGTCTGTGACGTCGGGTTTCGGGGCCTTGATTTTCCCAGCTCTGGATGGATGAATGCCGTTTTCGGGGGCGGTTCTTGTCTCCTCTTTAGCCTTCAAGAAGTCCTCGTCGCTGTCGCTACTTTCGGCGTCATCGCCCGCTTCAAGTTGCGCTTTGATCTCATCCTTAATAGACTTTTTCAAGTCGTCTTGTTCTTGTGTGTATGTTTGCGGAGGTTCTTTCACATTATCAAAATCAGCTCCAGTATCTCCTCGGAGGATCTTTTCTCTGTGGTAATCTTTCAGGAAGACAGGTTTCTCCTTCTTTTCATTCGCCGACGTATCTTCTGCCGTTGCGCTCTCGTCTATTGACTTGTAGAATGTGGTCTTGGTATCGTAGACGCGGGGGTCTTTATTCTTGATTGCTTGGAGGGTGGCAGATATCTCGGCGTCAAGGTCTTCGGTAGCTAAGAATCCATTTTCATCTTCCGTCTCGTCCGATGAGGAGTCATCATCTTCATCATTGCCTGCTTTTGATTTGTCTCCACTCGACTGCTTTGACTTGTATTTTTCCTCCACTATGGTAGTTTAGTTAGTCTATTAGAAGTAATAAAGTTAGTAAAGTCGATGAACAACTTACGTCTGTGCATTTCTTCGCGCTTCTTGTTATGCTCAAATCTTTTGGCATATTCGGAATTGATTTGTAGCTTAACACCTCCATCCGATTCATCGTCACTGTCGTCAAACAAGCGTTTCTTGTGACTGTCGGAGGCCGCCATCTTGAATTCGCAAGCTACGGCAAATTTCTGTTTGGTTTGTAAAAATGTATTCCAAACAAAAATAGATCAAACCCGGCAGCAAATCCACATTTATTGGATGTTGCGACGCTCTGGTGATGAAATAGTACAACGACAGAGTGATCGCAAAACGGATGCAGCTAACCTTGGAACTACAGCAACTTTTTTTTTCTGCCGCACTAATTTAGTGATAGAGGGGCGTTGAACTTTTTGGCGGTGTCGGCCCGCCAATATTCCGTGGCGACTTGTGCAGGCACTAACCATTTCAGGATTAGCTAAGTTTATTAATTGTATTAATGCTTGCGCCTGCTGGGTCTTCTCCGAACCTTGCGTCGTCATTCCTGATTCGATACATTCATTGAATCCATCTGCCTACCACCTTAATCATCTAACTCTAACAACCCACTTCAGGAACCGAACCATTGCATGCGATCGTTTTCCTCCAAGTTCAAAACCGTCTACGATCGGTCTGCTTTCTATAAGTTCTAGAACTCTTTGCATTCAACATCTAGATCTTTATCGCGTTATTCTGTTCCAATAGACACTCATAGCGAAATGGCCGACTCGAATGCTCCTAAACCGAGCAGCAGTGTCAAGCTGGTACTGCTTGGCGAGGCAGCTGTAGGAAAGGTATGGTTCTTCCAAAATACCAATTTCATCTCGGGAATTACGTTACTAACTGATTTCTAGTCTTCTCTTGTCTTGCGATTCGTAAACAACGACTTTCAGGAGAACAAGGAACCCACCATTGGTGGTAAGTTATTAATCAAACTCAACTACCATTCCAAGCAACTCCGAGCTAATCTCATATAGCCGCCTTCTTGACACAGAAATGTAACTTGCCTACGAGGACGATCAAATTCGAGATCTGGGATACTGCAGGCCAGGAGCGCTTTGCTTCATTAGCGCCCATGTATTACCGAAATGCCCAAGCCGCACTCGTCGTTTACGATCTCACCAAGCCGACATCCCTCATCAAGGCTAAGCACTGGGTAGCGGAATTGCAAAGACAAGCATCACCCGGCATCGTTATTGCTCTTGTCGGAAACAAGCTCGATCTTACTAGTGATGGCGAATCCGGTCAAGCCGACAGCGAAGCAGCGGATGGAGAAGAGTCCGGAGACGCCCGGAAGATTTCTATAGAGGAAGCAAAGACGTATGCTGAAGAGGAGAACCTGTTATTCTTCGAGACCAGTGCGAAAACCGGTTACAATGTTACGGAGGTCTTCACCGCAATTGCGAACGCTATCCCCGAGACATCATTGAAGAGCACGAGAGGCCCTGGTGCCTCTAGTGCGGCGAACCGAGGCGGTGAGGAGCAGAGAGTGAATTTGAACGGACCTCGAGAAGCAGCAAAGGAAGGATGCGCGTGCTGATTATGCTAATTGTACGAAGAGGAGGGCGCAGAAAGACCAGGACGGAGGAGTGTAGATGAATGAGGATGAGGTTTTCCATCACTTATGGTCATGACTACATTTTACCTTGTAATATGGAGCGTTTGGGATTTGGTATCTGGGCTGCTGTTTCCGAAGAGTGAATTACCTATCTATTTTAAACCTTTACATGCAATCCGGTACGACTCTTGAAGCAAACTAGTTGCTTTGTGACAAATGAAATGAGTGTAGAGTGACACGCGAGTCGGCTGTAACCCTTCCTGACGCTTAACTGCAGCATTTAAGAGTTTGATTATCCGATGATTGGTAGAAATCGATGTCATATAGATTACAGAAAATACAGAAACTCCCGGAATAATACAGTAAGGTATTGAAATGCTTGGAATGCTTCATGTCGATGGCTGATTCTTGGTAACCATTACCACGTTAAGTGCTTAAACCTCTGTAAAAGCATGGTTTATAGCACATTAATACATACTACATCAACTTGGAATAAAAACCGGTTAAATACATGTGTAGCTGGACCCACCAACATAAACTCTAACTCTAAGCAAAGTTAGAACTCCATATCAGGCGTTTGCGCGTAGTACTACAATTTTTGCTAAGAACAAAACTGCCATCTCCACCATCTTTTTGTTCCTAGTTTCTACTCAACTTATTTTTTCTATCCAAATGTTGTCATTTTCACGACTGTGACGCGCGCCTATTTTTTAGGTTTTTTTCATCTACCGCGTCGTCCGTCTTGCATAGAACTAATTTCGTACCCATTAGGTTTCTCGCGCCACCAATCCCAAATCTCCTCATATCCCTCTACATCATCATCTACCATATGTCCACCAAAACATCCGTCTGCAACGCCTTCCTTTCCTAAAATGGCGGCGCTGACAGAAGCTCAGCTTGAGCTAGCCAAGTATGTATTCGAAGAAGCTTTAGCGATGCCTAGATAGCTAATGTTCTTAGTTCACTCACACCAGCCGAACTACCTACTAAGTTGCGATGCGCGGTGTGTAGCAAATTAGCTGTCAACGCTTTTCGGTTGCCCTGTTGTGAGACCGCTATATGCGACAAGTGTATGTTTTAATATTATCTTTTATATGTTCTCTTTAGATGCTCAATGTACTAATGAATTACAGGTCAATCCACTCTACCCTCATCCTGCCCAGTCTGCGAACACTCACCAGTTTCGGCGTCGGATTGCACCATCTACAAATCACTTAGAACTACCATTAGAGTCTTCTTGAAGACTGAGGAGAAGAAGCGAGAGAGTGCTCGACCCAAGACCAACGGGTCTACTCCGACTACTCCTGCGCAAGATACTCCTGCTCCCGCTGCCGCTCCGACCCAGACACGCACACCTGCCGAACAGCCTTCTACGAGCATCGCTCCTGCTGTACAACCTAGCGCGGAGCCCCAACCTGCTGAATCTGCGGCACAGCCTGCTGCGGCTGAGTCAGAAGAGGGACCAGTGGCCGATCCGAAACCGGACAACAATGCTCAGCCTGAAGAGGTAGGCCTATTAATATTCCACATTTCTAAGATTTTATCTAACTCCAACTCTAGGGCACCCAGCCGAATGGGCAGGCACAAGAGCAAGCCGCCGAAGGCGAAGAGTCCAAGGCAATCGTCCCCCATGAACAAGAAGGCCAGGATGGTGCAACGGTAGAAGAAACCCAAGGGGGCGACCAGGGCGAGGGCGACGACGAGAACGAGAACGGCCAGCAAGTGCAGTCTGGCATGGGTACCGGTTTCGACTCGATGAACGGCAATTTCATGAACTTCGGCAACGGAGACCTAAGTCAGATGCAAATGATGATGGCCATGCAAAATGGGATGAACCCAGCTGCTTTTGGCACGTTTCCCATGATGGGTGAGAAACTTCCTTCCCAATATATGAATTAATGACTAACTTCAATCACCTAGGAATGATGGACCCTATGGCGATGCAGAATATGATGATGAATGGAGGCTTTGGTGCGCAGGGCATGGGCATGAACGGCATGAACATGAACATGGGCATGAATGGATTCAATGGCGGAAACAATGACTGGAACGGACAGCAATCATGGAACGTCGGCCAAGATAATTTCAATCCAAATGCTCCTGGAATGGGAAATGGTGACTTTGGCAACTTTAATGCTGGCTTCCGTACAGGCTTCAATTCAGGTAATTATGGCCATCACAACCAGTTCAATGAATATCGCCGTGGCCACTACGGAGGTTATCGAGGAAGAGGCCGAGGCCGAGGCTTCTACGGCGGCTACGGCCGTGGTGGTTATAATCATGGATATAACTCAAACGCAGGTTGGGCCGGACATGGCCATCAATTCTCTGGTAATAATGACGGCCAACAAACAGTGGACGACTCCCAAGTAGCAGACCAGACATCCGGTAACGTTGATGAGTTTGGCCGAGCAATCCGACCCGACGCTGATGCGGATGCACCAAACGCCGGGGTAACTGAACACGCCGAAACGGAAGGTACCCATGATAATACAGATCATGCCGCTGGTAATGGATCCGGACCGGAGACTTCGGAACAAGTGACCAAGGAGAACGGCTCTCAATCCGTGCAGGGCGATCCTGCAAATGACAAGGGTGATGTATCTTCTAGAGATCAACATTCAGCTCCTCAAGGTCCCTCTCGCGGAAATGCTGGCCCATTGCATATCCAAACTACGGTTCCGGATAGACCGTTGAATGCTCCTACTGGGCCTAAAGCTATGAGGCAGGGCCTCCCTAACACTAGTCTTCATCATCTAAGAGCACGTGGTTTTATCGGTGACGAGAGGAGCCCAACTTCACGTACTAATCCTACGATTGTGGCAAGTCCGGTAGCAGATAAAGCAAAGTCGCGGAGTAGTTCTCTGCTTTCTTCTAGAGACAAGGATCGACACCATCGTGAACGTGATCGAGAACATGCTGAAGATGAGAAGAGCAAGGGGCATCCTCATGATGGAGATCGTGACAATTCTAGGGTGCACACTGTATCCAAGAGCCGGTCCAGGAGTCGCAGCCGCAGCAAGGATCGTAAGGAGGCTCGTAAGCATAGACATCATCGCTCGCCATCAGTTACGGACGATGATCGTGATGGCGGTCGCCGCCGCCGCAAACATAAGAGCAGAAGGCAATCAACTAGAGATGACGATGACTACAGAGGTCGATCGAGAGATGGGAAGCATGATGACCGCTCACGGTCCGCTTCTCCTGGTGACCGTGAACATAGGCGTTCAGACCACCGAAGTCGTCGCGACCGTGATGAGAAACGTCGAGACCGCGATACCGAAAAAGGTAGTGACTACGATCGGCATAGGAAGTCCGGGCATAGGTCTCACCGCGATCGCGACCAGGATTACGAACGAGAGAAAGGCCGGGAAAGGGACCGAGAGAAGGACCGTACGAAAGACCTCACCCGCGATCATGACGAAGATCGTCAGCGTCGCGGCAGTAAAAACTCCAGTGCCCTACCAACACCAATAGAATCTTCAGATAAAACCTTCAACCCCCCTACTGGACCTCGAAGCAACTTCTCTATCAAAGGATCTAGTAGCAAGCAGGGCACCGGACTCGAGATTAAGGGCGCAAGTAGCAAATCCTCTAATGCAAACAGACGCGAAAGCGAATCATCCCGACGCCCTTCCCAATCCTCTGTCGCCGGCCAGAAATCTGCGTCCGGAGCCCCTACGAAAGACCCACATACCCTAGAGCGTGAAGCCCGCGACCGCGAACGTCTCCTGAAGGAAGCGCAACGAATGGCAACTATAGCCGGTCGCACTTCAGGCGTGAAGCGTAGTCGAGACGCAGGTGACGACCGCGGCAGCCGTCGAAAAAGTCGCCGGAGCGAGGCCGTCAATATAGAGGATGGGGAGGACCGTATGAGACGGTTAGAGGCTGAGCGCGAGGATCGGAGATGGAATTAGGAACCTAGAACAGATTCTAGTCGGCATCGAAAGGCGCACCGTCGATCACGCAGGGGTCATTAATAACGAAGGAGACACCTCTCAAAAAGTTGGTCCTTTAGCTAAACCTTTTTAATCTTCCAATATAAAGCCTCCTTGGCTTTTCTGGAACTCTTTCTCTACTACGGATTACCTAAGGGGTGGAAGAGGTCTAAAATCAGATTCACGCTTTACGTTCCAGGACTGTACACTACTGCATTCGAAGACGTTTCCAACTCGGAGAGCATTCATTGGTACCGGAAGAGGGTGGGCAGGGGAGGACTGATAAAAAAAATCAAATACATTACACGTTACTGCACCGATTAGTTTGGCAGCACCGACATTTTTGTTCCGCTAGAACCGGATCAACGTACCTATCAGGTAGCTGAGAGGACTGAGGCGCAAAAAAGCAAAAGGGGTCGCAAGATTGACGGGTGGCGCCAATAGGAGTGGACAGAAATCACTAGGGGGGAAGGAAGGCCGTAGCATTTAATTGATACGTGTATCTTTCTACTTTTCGTCGTAGTTTTTTATGCGGGTGATCTAGATGGGTGATATGGACGAAGTAGAGATGTTGCTAGATTCTCTAAATGCTAAGGGTAGGTATTTAAAGCCTTCTCGTGGTCTTCTATCGTGATAAATGTAATGGTATTAATAGAGAACAGTACAAAGTACTAAGTCGTGTATCACAACCTACAGCTAACCCGCCTGAAGACTAGAGCTTACTTGTGGCTTGGGAATATAGATTACAGGCAGGCTTGAGACATTTCGACCGGTGAAAGAGGACACAATTAATTAATTTTCAATTTATATAGATACATATTAGATAGTAGTAGATCTCAACCAAAACCAGAGTACTCCAAGTCGCACAAGAATATACAGAACATCAACACCCATTCGTTGTATCTTGCCCAAAGATAGCACTCTCCCCGACCCAAAGACAGCTAAGTTGCTTTTAGATAATCCAATGTCCCGTCGGAGCCGGTGTATCATAACTCAAAAGATCGATGGCGGGCTACGGATCCTTAGGTTTATAAACAACCCGATCCCTCAACAACCGCGGCGTATCCGCATCATGGCTCGGCAACACCACCACATCGCCCTGGCGCGCAAACTCCTTAATCAGCAGCAGACTTTTCAGCGCCGTCACGGGATCATCATTAATACCATCCGGCTCCTCCAAGTCCAGCAGATCCAGCCCATACGTCGCGTCACCAGGCAAAAAATACGTCGTCTGCGTCCCATCCTCATTATCTCCCCGCACGATCAGGGATACATGTCCCGGCACATGTCCGGGCGTATCAACAACCAGCACCCGTCCGTCCGCAGTTAACTTCGTCGATTTCTCCCACGGCCCGACGGCCCCGTCCGCGTTGCCAAGCAGTCGTGGCGCGAAGTCCGGCGGCCACCGCTGCGGGTTGCAGCCTGCTATCGTGGCGGACACGGGGCTGTTGCCGAAGACCTTCCAGTGGGCCGCGCTGACGTACACGGGGACCTCCGGGGCCGCCTTCGCGAGGTCCTCGAGCCCGCCGGCGTGGTCGCCGTGCAGGTGGCTGAGCACGATGGCCTGTAAGTCTTTCGGCTCGACGCCCTGCGCGCGGAGTTGTGATACGATGCCGTCTTCTTTGGCCACGCGCGTGCGGCTGAAGAGCTTGATGGGGCTGTAGAAGGGGTGGAAGCCTGGGTCGTTGCAGCAGGGTGATTCGCCCGTGTCGAAGAGGATGGGCCCGTTGGGGTGCGTGATTAGGAAGACCCCGATGGGCAGGTCGGACGACCAGTGCGGGTCGGTCATGGCGCGGAGTCGACGCATTGTTACGTTGCGGTTGGTCATGGGTTGGTTTTTCATTAGTTGCCGGATTTGGACGGTTCCTGTTGACATGAATGTCAGGGCGACGCCGGTGTTGGCTGGTGGTTTGGCCATTTTGGGGGTTGGTGGGGGAGTGTGTGAGGATGGGAATGTTTCGATGTGGTGTTTGGTCGTGTCTATGGAATATATTATTTAAAGGGGGCGACTGGAAAACTCATTTTACCTAGCAATTGATTGACGCTAGAATGATGATCGGATGGACTGTATGGGCCGTCGGCGGCTTAATGTCGCCGGTTGGGACCCGGCACGGGCCTAGGACGCGAGCTAGACTTTTCACGTCATGATCGCGACTCCATTACGATTCAAGGTTCAGACTAAAATGATCGGAGATCAAGATTCGTTACTAAACCCCGGCCCGCGACACGGACCCAAAGTACCGAAGAGCCGGTGACCAACTCCGTCGGAACTGCCGAGATAACAGGACAAATTCTCTTATCTTAGGTAAGTTAATAGCATCGATTTTAAAAAGTCGCCTAACTTTTTCTTCGGAAATAAAAGAGATCAAATGTTCGTCATATATTACCGGTCCAGCGACTTAGATCTGTATATAAACGTCGACGGGATCCTATAGTAATCACGGAGTTTCTTTCATGGCCCGCCTCCGGTGTTTGGATGAGTCGAAGATCCTATTCGACACAAGGACTAATCATCAACATGAATAAATCCCCGGGTTCTTGGAATGCTTTGGTAACTGGATACATACGGTCGCAACCGAATTTCACTTGTAGTCATCCCATCCAGTATGACTAGCATGGCTTGAATTTCTCGTGTATTTCTCACGCATCCCTTCGGCGCTCATGGTTCCCTTTTCCCAGACGCCCCCACAAGAGTTCTTAGAAGCCTCGGCAGTGTGCAAAGTGAGCAAGAACTATTAATTCTTACACCACCGTCACAGCACATGTCGAAATCCCACATTATCCTAACCGTTTTGGTTCAGGGCTGACTATATTGGTACTAGCTAATACGTATGTGGCTGGCTAGCCAATTGCTACTACGCATCGGGTTCCCATTTGGGTCATCTGCGTTGGATAGGGCTTCCACGGGAAGCTTCCGATCCTATGCCCTGCATGCACCTCCATGGATGGATTTTCAACGTGCAGATGCAACTTCTAGGTACTAACAACGCCTATTCGGGGACGGTTCGTGTATATTATCCAACCAGAATGCTAGCGTCATAAGTGTTGAATGCATAGGTACATGTATGGAAATTGTATGATAAATGACTTGTCAACTGCACTGCTCTGGATACAAGTATGTACATATGGATATCAATCATCTTACGCCTTCTTCGCGCCACCGGACTAACACAACAAGTCCACTTCAAGAAATGACGCCTTCATTTCTTAACAATCTGTTCAACAAGATCTAATCCAGCTATCTTCTTAACAAGCCCATCCAAAAGTCCAAATGGCAGCACCGTCGAAACACGCGTCAGCAACGCCGATTCACCCCTCCAGATAACCGGTGGCGAGTTCGTCTTCTGCAGATCGCGAACCACGGCTTCCGCCCACTGCTCCGCCGGCATACCCTGGCCTTCGAACCCTTCCTGACGCAGCGCCTTCTCTACTATTTCCCTCGCGGGCTCGTAAATCGAGCCCTTGGGCAGCGTGGGGTTGGCCTGTTGTTGTAGGTTCTTGATTAAGTTGGTCCTGACAACACCGGTTCTCAAATCGACGACCTTGATGCCGAAAGGCTGCAGTTCGAGGCGGAGCGAATCGGAAAGTAAGGCTAGAGCAGCTTTGGAGGAGTTGTAAATGGCCTGGAATGGGATCGCGACGCTGGCACCGATAGAAGTTTGGTTGACGATCATGGCGTTGGGGGATCGAAGAAGAAGTGGTAAGAATGCTTGGATCATGCTGAGATGAGCCCATACGTTCAGATCGTATAGCTTTTTGGCATCGACTATGTTGGCGTCGACTACGGGCATTAGGAATTGGGTGCCAGCGTTGTTGACTAGAATGTCAAGTGAGGGAATCTTGCTGACGACGTCGGCTATCGATTGGTCAGATTGTATGTCTAGTTCAAGAGTCTTGATTCCAGAAGACGCGAGTTGCGCCATCTTAGCTGGGTTTCGTGCTGTCGCATATACGTAGAACCCGGCTTTGTGGAAAGCCACGGCCAGGGCTGCTCCCATGCCGCCATCTGAGCAGCCGGTGATCAGGACGGATCGCTTTGAACTGGGCATCTTCGCGGATTTCTCGAGGCGTATTAAAACTGAACTAGTTTACAAGTATGTATAATCAGACCAGGAGAGCATAAGTCTACTGCATCGAACTGGTTTATATTTAATTGCAGCATCATGACAGAAGCTCAAAAACCATCACCAATTACTCCATCTCTGGAGTCGGGATGAGTTTCCATACCGTGACTGGAGATGTAGGGGATACTTCGCTCCCAATAAGCGTGAAGGATACGTACCGAAATTACCGAATTCGGAAGGCGGGCTAACCTTAAGTTGGGTTAGACCCTCCGCTAACTGTGCTCCGGTCCAATCTTTTGCCGTAGACGCGGTCCACTGTCATCCCGTCGTCGGATTTTGGATTTTGGGTAGGGGCGAAGGCAAGCGTCTTAGTCAGTCTCTATGTTATCCTGTACATTTTGTGTAAACCCCTTAATGCTTCTAAGGCTAGGTTTCCAAGCCGCATCCATTGATGAATATTCCAACCAACACCGTCAATGGCCTAGATCTAGAGTGATGTTGCCCAGTTCTGAATGAAAGCTAGCGCCGGCTTTCAGTTCTTCAAGGCCCACGAACTTGCTACTAATTCTCGATACCGCATCAACGGAAGCTTTTCCCCTACCATTAGTACGATCGATCATCGTCAAGCTGGTAGCCTCCCCAATGACGAAACAGTCAGCGTGTCATTTGCTTTTGCCAATACAAACGCCACTTAAAACTTGGCGCGGGTAGCTGCATGATGCATCCATCCCCAAATTCCCAACCTCCTGGGGCTCGATAACTCGGCTGCTCGGTGTTGAATGAAATTTTTTACTTAAAGCTTTTCCTATACAAGCTGGACATCATCGACGCCACTTCCAACAGATCGCTCAGGGCGCCGGCCTCCTGCAGAACCGCACCAGGGAGATATGAATCAGCGTGACACACGAGCGCATCAAAAACTGAACTGGCTCAGACGCAGTTCTCATTGCGTGGCTTGACATAAGATAATCCGTCCTAAAAGGATGATTATCACGGCGTGGCCTACGATGATCTAATCTCGATCGGGAAGAAGTACGACCCGGGCTTCGCGCTGTTCATAGAGAGGAAATATTGCCCTCTGTGTAACAAAGGCTTGATCTGCTCGGGACCGAGTGTTAAGTGCGGCTTCTATACGGTTGTCCATCTCCAAGTTGTCTCGTCGAACCCTCTTAAGACCAGGAATCTTTCCCATAGATATTTTATTCGAGGTAGGCATGGAAACAGACCCCTCTCTTGGAAGATTCTAGGTCAATTATCGTGTTGCCCGCAAAATAGAATCCTGTGATGCTTTAGCAACGAGATGACGCTCTCTCGGATCCTATGTAGATGTCGTATGATATCCGAATCGTTGGTATCGAGGGCCTTCCGCGTGAATTATCTCCAATGCAAACCTCTGGTGGTTAGAATATTCCCCTCCTATCCTGCGCACTCGTAAAGACCGGGGCGAAAATCGATTAACCCTGAAAACTCAGCCTTCGGGAATTCCACCAACTCCTCATGGTCTCGCTATCATCAAGCCGTCTAAAAAGGCCAGCGCCACATGTGTGGGGGATTTGGTGAAAGGCGTTATAACGCATGCAATATCTGAGTCTTCCCGTGCCTTGAGAACCTCAGCAAGCCATCCGCTCTGGGAGCCCCTGGCGCGCCGTCTCGTTCTTCAGACTCTCTGGTTGCTAGTTCGAGTAGCTCTGCTACCTAGGATGAGGGCACAGCTAAGCAATCTGACATTGCCGAAGCTAATGTTATCGGTTCTGTCCTTGAAATTGTGGTTACTGTTGCTAGGTAGGAATCACACGACCTCTTCTCATGGGACTCGGTCCGCTCGTAGGATCTCGAAAGCTACAAATAGTCGCGACGTCAATGTTGTTATTGGCTCCCTCATTGGCAAACTCCGCGGCGCATGGAAAATCGTGACGGATGGTGGTAATATAGCCGAAAATGCTGAAAGAGACATCGTGGATTGTAACGCAGTCACCATGGAACCGTTTAACCGCAGCTACTCGTTTCGAAAGGCTCATTTCTCACACTAAGGACACTCAAGATTCGTTCGTCACTAGGGATATTTCGGCCTCAGTATCCTAAGTCCGCATCGCTAGGGATTCATCGTAGATAGCCTCTTAAACCCTTCGTTCTTTTGGGTGTGGGTCATCTCAAACTTCTTCACCCTATCACTGCATTTAGATTCGATGAAGTCGGCGAGGTCTAAGCTTACGTCCAAAGCGGAAAAGCATCTTGGTAAAGTCCATCTCGAACGGGGAAATGCGGGTGTACAGGTCTCCATTCGTTGCACGATCCGCGGTCTTCAGTCCAGTATCTTGTAACTCATCTTCGAAGTTCGTCACATTATCTTTAATAGCAGTAGTAGCACCAACGACGGGGCTTCGGCTAGAATCAATCACTCCTATGGCGCTAAAGTGGAGATAGTATTGGGAATATGGAGTCTGTAAGGCGCTTAATCAAATCGGCGGTTCCCCGGATTGCGGGTGCTGTCCAAGGTGCTGTGGTTCTGAGGGTAAGTTGTTCTACGGTACGGGCCCTCTAACATTTCTTCAACTCACGCGGAATAACGGGACAAATTCTTCGAGACGATAGCATTGAATGATTTCTATAATGTGATATTCTTTTCTTAAAGTGACATCGGTTCGAATTTTCATTTTTTCTGTTAACTTGTCTTGGCGTGTGGTCCGAATAGTCTTAGTGTTGTGAAGTTGAAAATCAGATGTCGAATTGCCCACGCTCGATGTAAGCAACAACACCCAACCCCGTTTTCCAAGAGTCGACGACTAATACTTGTTGCAGATAACCAACGCTGGTTCACTGATGGCACTAAGCGAGAAGGTCGTTTCGAAATTGCCGCAACGAGAAGCTGCTGCTGCGTAAAGTAGCTAAAAAGGAGAGGGCTGGCCAGGCTGGTAACGTATGGCTGGTATGGCTGGGAAGTATATGTATTCTTCCTCAGGTGGTTGGCAGGTTAAAAATGGAATAGTCGGTGTGTTTCGTGATGCACTTAGACATTAGATTAGATTGCTAGGTTCGGTTTCCTCTTTTTTAATGCAAGTTCTTTACAATCCAGGTGAAATCTTGCAGTAGCGCCAGGGCTTATCCATGGTCGATACTTATGCGCTGGCTGGGAGGTGGCTGGTCAGGGCAACTGCAGGGCACTGAGGGCAGCAGGGCTGGTCAGGAGCGATGGCTGCGAAGGGTGCAAAGCAAAAGTGCAAAGGGTGCGGTGCCGCTGGGACCGCGGCTGGGTTGCGTGCCTCCTTCCTTTAGGCTAGAGCTAGCGGATACGTGTAAAGTGATTTGCTGTAATGCAAAACAGCTGTATTGCATCTATTGGAAAATCTTGTAACAAGGCTCCATTTTTTGGGCAGAAAACTAGGATCGCAGCCCGATCGGCGGCGTTACGTGGTTCGTCTGATGCGAACATGCCGAATAGAAAAGCGCGGTGTGTCTCTCTTTCGAACGATTGAAAGGTTTTCGCTTCTTTTAGTTATTTTCCCCTTTGGCCAAGTCAATTGAGTCAAGTCACGAGTTGAAATTCAGCATTGAAGATTTCTAAATTGAAACTCAAAAGTCTCAAAAAGTCTTAGAAGTCTTAGAATTTTTAGTCACTTGCCCTTTCTTATCTTATCAGCCCTATCATCTTATCTGGAAAGTAAGAGCATGGGCCACCTTTGATTCTACTACGAACCTTGGGAACGTTTGAAGAATGGAGACTTGTGATTATCCATGTCCCTCTTCTCCAAGAACACTCGACATCTCAGATCATTACAAGATAAAGAAGCATATACCATACAAGATGCGTCAAAGGATTACCTACTTCCATAAAAACGAGAACGGGGTTGAGCCTCGGTCCTTGAAGCTTTCAAGTCGCTCTATCTCTGGTCCAGATATCGTCGCCGAGCGAGAAGACCGAATCACATTATCTCTTGAGGAGCTTCCCATAGAGCTTCAGCATGTGCTGAGAGAGTCCCAAGAGCTGTACATAAGATGGCAAAAACCTACCGCCTTCACAACGATAGGTCCTTGGAACTCAAAGATACCTCCGGGTCTACATGTGTTTTACACTCCTGGAAACAGCGAGAAGCCTGATGGCGGGCGCCTATGTCGCTTCTTCCGGACTGCCTTCGGGCCTCTAGATTGCTCATCCACCTCTGTAAGTAGTTGCCATAGAAATAGAACATCTATAATCATCCCTCTATCTCTTTTCAAAGAGCTAACAATTCGTAGGGGTCATTCACAAAGTTACCCAACGATCGATTTTCCCATACGACCGCCTATCAGTTCTACCACATCCTAAACGACCTATCACATTTATCTTCCTACATAGAACAGTATGTCTGTGTCTCCGGCAACTCGGAATGCAAGGCGCGGGCCCAGCGACTCTTGGACGCAAACTCGGTAGACTTCTCTTATGATGCAATCTCTCATGTAGTGAAAGTCAGCGCCCTATGGCCTCACGAACGACAACCGCTATTTATCGACTCCCAACCAGAACACAGAGCAGAAGTCGGCATCATGACACCGGATTACCCACCACACTTAGAACCGCATGAGCTCGGCGTTACCGGATTACTCACAGTATTGGGTGATGAGTCCAGACCTGCGCCGACCCTATTCACTTTTCCATCCCGGCATAAGCCTGCGATCCGGTCGAGTTTCTCGTCCAGCTTCCTCCGCCCATGGGGCCTACACCCCACATTACAGCTGAAGATGAGTTCAAGCAAACCGCCACTAGAAGAATCGTCTTGTTCGCTACACACATATCTCACCCTCCCCCGAACCATATTTGCAGACAAGTATCAGCTCGGAGATGAGCTATTCTTGTCATCCAAGAACTTGACGTCATTGCGTTACATCAGCCAACCTGTAGATCTTGAGGCACCGAGTTATGCCATGAACATCTGGGGCTCCAGTGCTCTTCTAGAATTGAAGACACCCGATGCAAGGGAGAACAGGGAATGGACAGCTGAGATACCACTTCACCTTCGGTATCTAGCACCTTCGGAACAAGGATACAGGAATATCAGTGTTCCCTGGCCGGTAGTTTTCTGGGCTTGTACCGCGGAAGACGGTACGAAATTCCCCAACAGCCCATTCGATAGGGTCAACTTGGGATACGACGGCCTATTTGGGCCTCGTACATTATTCTTCCACGTTGATGCGAAACCGATTGAAGGCGAGAATCTCTATCATGACATCCAGGTGCCAGTCCTCGACCTAGGACTGTCGAACCGGATCAGCTCCGGAACAGCAACGATAGTGATGATGGGATTCGTTTTTGTAATTTGGAAGCTCGTATCAGTCTGCCTCGGAATCCCAAAAACCAGTGTGGTTGCAAGCCCTAAACGAGGGAGGAAGAGGAAGTCGTTATGATTGTATATTATGGGATGAGAGACGTTGACGACATTGTTCATTACCTGGGTTTTGGGTAGGTACTTACAGGAGACGGTTGTGGAATCCAGCCATGGTTGGTTATGGGCGTTAGAGGGTCATGTGATCGCATGGTTTCGCGTCACTTGTACATACACAGAGGTACTATGTGGATGGGTCTAAGGGCATTTATAAACTAACAACATAAATGATACAACATAAACAAGCGTCTGTTTAAGTCCTATATTCATTTCTTCAAGTAGAAGTCCTCGATGATCAACTTAATAATGCCACGATGTTTTCGTATGTTTTAATTGGTCTTGCTATTCTGTTAGCATATAATCCAATCATCCAATATCTCTCACCGCAACCTTCTCGTCTCCCTCGGACTCCTCGGCCTCGCATCAATGAATCACTACTTGCCATCGATGCGACAAACCAAACTGCGCCAGATTGTCCTCCGCATTCCTATTCAGTTCATATACTTTCAAAGGCACCAATCGTGATCTACATTGAGAACTTCCTCTCGGAAGATGAGCGGTCTCATTTACTAGACATCAGGTCTGACATAACACCTCACTCATCTCATATCAAAAACTCTCCAAATACCTACTCATTTACGCATATTCGGTATTTACTAACCTCTATCCAGCGAGCCGTTGTTCGAGCCCTCGACAATAACCCACGACGGCGACTCAACGCAGCGGGACGCCACGATCCGCGACTCCGAGGTCGCGCTGATCCCTCGCACCGATCCTGTGCGGTGTATCGAGGCCCGTGCCCGGGCCATCCAGGGCTGGCGTACCGACCTGTGGATCGAACGGCTGCGCACCCAGCGGTACGGCTCTACCCAGCACTACGCGCACCACTTCGACTGGGGCTCGGGCGCCCTCGGTTGGGGCCGCGCTACGAGCTTCATGGCTTGGGTCCAGGCTGATGCTGTTGAGGGCGGTGGCACGGAGTTCCCCCTGCTTTGGCGCGATGCCCCGGGGGAGAGTTGGTGTCGGTGGGTTGAGTGTGCTGGGGATGGGGGGAGGGATGGAGAGCCGGTTTTGGGGGTTACGTTTAAGCCCGTTGCTGGCAATGCGGTGTATTGGGAGAACTTCCGCCCTGATGGCACCGGGAGGGGGTGGGATGAGACGTGGCATGCGGGTTTACCAGGTATGTTGTTGCTATCTCTGGTTTGAATATGGTGGTGTTTAACTGATATTGTTATAGTGATTAAGGGAACGAAGGTTGGTCTGAATATATGGAGTTGGGGCAGGCTCAGTTAGAAGAGATTTTAACTAGGGTTTATTCCGTTCTGTCGCCTTGAAGGGTGGTTATACAAAAACTCCAAGATTGGAGACTCGTGTGACCATACTTCCCGCTTACCCGAGACCGTGGGTTTTCTATAGATGGTTTGCATCTCTTATTGGCGTCCCGGGCGTTCTGTGCAACCAACCTAGACTATAAAGCTGTCACTGATGACTTCAAAGTCTCTGGTTACATATGAACGTCCATGGATGCTATCAGCGGGTAAGGACCTCACTAAATATAACTATATCGCCAAGCTAAAGGCAAAATTGCAATTGAACTTTAAGTGGGATCTAAACTACCGGTAGCTCTTGACTTTGGTATAACTTCTGGTACCTCAACGGTGAGGCGTTCCTTACAGAAAAGTTTGATGGACGGGAACCAATCGGCCAATTAGAAGCTTAATGAACCCCACACGCTCAGGGATAGGGTCCCGATGTCGCCATTTTTAGACATGATTAGAACACCGCCTTTAACATCAAAAATCAAAATCTAGGCATAGTTCGCCGGCCTATTAATAATGAGTCCTGCGCAGTTGGGCCGGATTGAAAGAGTTTTCTCAATTATCGATTTTTCTCAGCTCAAAAAACCCCCGATATAAACCTACTAGCAGATCTAGATACACTTGAAAATACCCGTAGTGCGGTCTAGCTATCGTGACTATTTACACCACAGAACGGTCTCGATTGCACCTTTTTTTCAATCCATACCAATATATTATCCATCATACCTACCTCCCTAGGCATGCGTGGTTCTTCTTACGTCTATTTATTGCCCACGCCCCCATCCCGTGCCGCCACTTCCAAGGCCTCAACTCGACCTGGTGAAGATAATTGCACGCTACTTTGCAGTTTTGGTATTTACCTACATCCCTATCCATGTTCATGGTACCCGCACATACATATATCACCAACCGGAATACGCTATATGGACGTACCGATCGCGTACATGAGCTATTCGGTCAAGGGAACTGTACATCTTCCCACGCATGACGTAACTAAAGCTCAGGGGTTGATCTACCTAGACGGTGCTGGGAGCATACCCGCGCCGGACTGGTAACTCTTTCGGTACCTAGCCTATGGGAAGCCCGTATAGGGCCACCACCACCCTATTAGCTTCGAAAGTTCGACAAGTGTAAGCCTTAAAGTTTCTGTACTTGCTCACTTCTGCTGTATGTACTTCGTCACGGCTGGTATGACCGGCAGGTACGACAGGTACAGTATTAAGTACCACTTAGACGTGGACGGGCCAATTTCTATAGTAAGAAGTACATAATCTCAAGTTACTTTATTAAGTCTGCAAAGTTCGTCGTCCAGTTTGACCATTTGATTTTTTTTCTCCTCTTCTCTCGTTCATTCTATTACGAGAAAACCTCATTCTTCAAGTCGTTCGCAAGATCAAAAATTAAATGCAATCGGTCTCGTTTTCGTCGGTTTCGCCCATTAACTATTTTATGCGTGGTGCACTTTACAAGTGAAGGAATTGGGCAATCATACCTGTTATACCGATCATCTCATTTGGCTCAACGATTGCAACATCAGGCCTTGAACTCTCATCATGTCTGACAAGCCTGTCTTTTTAGCCACGCACCCACGTGCTTGCTCCACTGCTTTTGAAAGGGTTGGTCCTAGATATTCCCCATAAAGACCTCCCTGGGTATACCCAACATACTAAAATCCTATAGATCTTCATGACTCGTCGGGATGTTCTTCAATGTGCCCACGAACCATTCGGTGACAGCTTCTACTACGGTCCAGAAAGACTTAGTGAGCGATATGCCAATGATGAAGCCGGCAGAGAGAGCAGTGGCTTTTCCAAGACCACCTATCGTGATGTCCTGAACCGCCTGGAAAGAGATGGCAGCGAGGTTAGAAATCTCCTGGCACCTCTCCGCACTTGATCCCTTGCTTCCCTCGCGGTTCCTTCCTATATTTGTCTACATAAATAATCTCCTCGTCGCAAGTGCGAATCTTAATGGCTCGAGGACATTAACGTATATCAAGACGAAATTTCATCTGGTCGCTCTCAAATCTCAGGAGAAGAGAAAAGCCATCTATGCATCTACTCAATGGCCTATAAATGGATAACCACATGGTTTCATATCTAATCTTATATGCCTTTCATTTATTGGAATTTACGCACTTGTCAATATTATAACTATGCCAATTCAGAACCTGGCTGTCGTCCGATTACTTACATTCCATCATCCAGGGCAAGCGTGTTTTCATAAAGGATATGGCTTACTACCTGATGCCACCAAATGGAGCACCCCCTACAATCGTCCCGTCTCTCAAAAAGAGCGACGATTACGCCGAGAAGGGGAACCCAACGGTTGTTCCTTTAGATATTCTGAAGAAGTTCCACTGGACCTTTCTCATCCGTCACCCGAGACGAGGGATACCTTCGTACTACCGGTGTTGCGTGCCTCCGTTAGATGAAGTCACTGGTTTCAAGGAGTTCATGCCGAATGAGGCTGGTTACGTAGAACTACGCCGGCTATTCGACTACCTGCGAGAGCAGAAGATGGTCGGACCATGCATGGCCGGGGAATCGAACGGGAACAGCGATGGAGAAATCACCATCACCGTCATCGACGCCGATGATTTGCTCGACCACCCGGGACCCGTCGCCAAGGCATTCTGCAAAGAGACCGGGATCGAATACAAGCCGGAAATGCTTACCTGGGACGATTCCGATAACCAGCAATACGTTTCTCAGGCGTTTGAGAAATGGAACGGCTTCCACAACGACGCAATTCACAGCAAGAGTCTCACTGCTAGGACCCAAGCTCACGTAAGTTCATAATGACGGGAAAAAAATCCTATTTTCGTATGCTGACTTGACCCGAAATTAGAAAACTGTCACCGAGGAATCTGAAAATGAGGAATGGAGACAGAAGTTTGGAGATGAGGCCCAGAAGGTGATCAGAGCTTGCGTGGATGAAAATGTTCCACACTACGAGTATCTGAAGTCTTTCGCTCTGAAGTTTTAGATCGGGATTTATTTTAATCTGTAATGCCTGCCAGGTTATGATACATAAATGATACATCAAACGACATCATTCCCATTTCCATGCAGTGCAGTACGTTGATAGAGAGTTGATCGACGTGCCCAATTGTAAAAGTTGTGACTAGCATTGAAAAATCTCATTTCATGCCACATCTCAAGACAGGATTTTGTCTTTATTCTTATTTTCTTTATTTGGCTCTTTTCAGGAAGCCATTTCGGCTCCTTACTCTTAAGCTGATGCCTCTTTGGCCTTCTCTTCACCCTCTTCTTGCCCTTCCTCTTCCTTTTCCTCTTCTACTTTCTCAGCCTTTTCTTGGATTGGCCGTTCAGCGGGCGCTGGTTGGTAATTAAACCAGCCTTTCACGTCGCTGCGGTCAAAACGGTGATGGGTGACATTGGAAGGCCAGCTCTGCGCATAATTCCGGTCCAGGTCGTCCAGCCACCAGATATTGGTCTTGAGCAGGGCCTTCTGCCCCTCCTCGTCCGTCTTGATGTTCGTTGGATCTTCCGCCGCTAGCTTAAGGATCTGCACGGGGTCCTCCGTCACGGGCTGCCATATCTTATTTCCCTTGCCCAGACCTCCGAGCACGGCGGCCATGTCGGCGATGGTGCTCGTCTTCATATCATTCAATTTCCTACCCCTTGTTCTTTTCGACCGCGGGTACTTTTTATCGTTCTCCAGGTCGACGTTGTAGAACATGTCATCGTCCCAGTGTAGCTGGTGCAGCTGCTTGCACTCCCGCATCAGATGGAATACGCTCTGTCCTACGTGCCCGTAGCCTTCGGGGAACCCTATCATGGCCAGCGTCTGCCAGTAGTCTTTTCGGAACTTGGACGGCTGGAGCTTCCTGCCGTTATAGGAGATCTGCCTTAGCGCTTTGGTCGCCTGGCAATTGTCATATTAGCATGGCCCGGACTGAAGATGCGGCTAAGGTGGATATCAGCTAATTCATACATTGAGGACTGGCTTATGCGAGTAGACGGTGAACCCGTCTATTATGTGGAAGAAGATCCATATCTTCTCGCCGTGCTCCGGAGTGGGTTTGGAAAGTTCGATTTCATGTTGTCTCGCTATTTGCTTGGCAGAGACCTGGTTGAATCGTACACTCGTTCGCGAAATCCCAAAGGACAGCTTGGCGAATTGCGCTGTTATTGGATTGACCCTTAAAGCCATGGCGAGCTCATGGGTCAACTGAGGCTGATATTCGATATTCGATATGTTCAGTATCCAAGATTTGAAAATTCCGCTGCGATCTGAACGATATCGATAAGATTCATTGGGCAATCGACGATCCACATTGATCTTGTCTTATGTAATCAAATAAATGCGCGGTGCAGAGGCTAGGTAGTGCCCACCAGCTGGCAAGCTGGCAGTGTGCGTCCAGCCTAGAAGTACCTGCACAAGTACCTTATCTTATCGGTCATGCCCCTCGTTGGCAGGGTCGGGTCCTAGCGCGGGTCCTTACTGAGCAAACGCAGCACCTGATTGGACGGAGCTTAGAGTTTCCGTCAGGCAAGTTTTATATCAGGTTAACACAGAGCTTGCCCCACCATTGCCCTAATAGAAGCTTCGCGGAGGTTCCGTAACCAACCAGCCAACACGAAGCTTCCTGAACGTCCGATGATGTAGGTAGGCGCTGGTAGGACTTGCCTGAACTTGCCTGCATATTCCTGAAGCCCAAGGAGTCACCTGGAAAAGGCTAGAGCTGACTGAGCGCCCCAAATTCTCATCCTCTCGTCATCGTCGCATGTTCCTCTCCACTTGTAACAGGCAAAGATAAATACCAGTTTCACATCTTGCTCCTCTTACGATATTGTCTTGACTCAAATTCGACAAGAACAATATATTCTTTTTAGTGATACCCCAAATATCCAGGTTGAGGTTTTGAGCCAACATACCTACGCATCAATTTACACATTCACGTCGCGATTCACGATTGACGCTTCACACTTACACACAACTACCTAGTTTACAAACTACTTATACATAACCCTCACGATTCGTACATTTCTACCAAATACACATACAACAAATACACCTGAAGACATACGATCAATATGACTTCAAGGATGGAATTTACAGACCGGGGCAAAAAGGCCCTGGAAGATGCGATGACACTAGCTGAGCAATATGCTCATTCCCAACTATTACCCATCCATCTTGCAGTCTCTCTCCTAGACCCTCCGCCTGACCCTTCCAAGGACCAGCAAAATGCACCACCTGGAACCACAAACAGTCTCTTCCGACAAGTAGTAGAGAGAGCACACGGTGATCCCCAACTTTTCGACAGAGCTCTCAAGAAGACATTGGTCCGTCTGCCAAGTCAAGATCCTCCCCCAGAGACGGTATCAATGGCACCTACTTTCCACACCGTCCTTAGAAAGGCGCAAGACCTTCAAAAGACCCAGAAGGACACCTACATTGCAGTCGACCACCTTATTACTGCACTTGCCGAAGACGTTTCCATCATATCTTGCCTGAAGGAAGCCAATATTCCCAAACCCAAGCTGGTCCAGGAAGCTGTCCAAACTATTCGCGGGACGAAGAGAGTGGACTCCAAAACTGCCGACACTGAGGAGGAGCATGAGAATCTTACTAAATTCACAATCGACATGACAGCTATGGCAAGAGAGGGCAAGATTGACCCTGTCATTGGACGAGAGGAAGAGATCAGACGTGTTATCCGAATCTTGTCTCGGCGAACGAAGAATAACCCAGTACTGATCGGTGAGCCTGGTGTCGGTAAAACTACCGTCGTCGAAGGCTTAGCCCAACGAATTGTCAACGCCGATATACCCGACAATCTTGCCGCCTGCAAACTGCTCTCCCTCGATGTCGGCGCTTTAGTTGCTGGAAGCAAGTACCGTGGTGAATTTGAGGAGAGAATGAAGGGTGTTCTCAAGGAGATAACGGAGTCGAAAGAAATGATTGTTCTCTTCGTCGACGAAATACACCTTCTGATGGGTGCTGGTGCTTCGGGTGAGGGTGGCATGGACGCCGCCAATCTACTCAAGCCCATGCTCGCTCGTGGACAACTGCACTGTATTGGTGCTACAACCCTTGCCGAGTACCGAAAGTACATTGAGAAAGATGCTGCTTTCGAGCGACGATTCCAACAGGTCCTGGTCGGGGAGCCTAGCATTCCTGAGACCATTTCCATTCTTCGAGGTCTCAAGGAGAAGTACGAGGTTCACCACGGTGTCACCATCGCCGATGCTGCTATAGTCGCAGCCGCAAATCTTGCCGGACGATACCTCACCACTCGTCGCCTGCCAGATTCCGCCGTCGATTTAATTGACGAAGCCGCCGCGGCAGTCAGAGTTGCCCGAGAATCTCAGCCTGAGCTTATCGACTCTCTGGAGCGTAAATTGCGACAACTCAGGATCGAAATTCATGCTCTATCCCGAGAGAAGGACGATGCCTCCAAGGCTCGACTTCAAATTGCTAAACAAGACGCTGAAAACGTGGAGGAAGAATTGAGACCACTCAGGGAGAAATACGAGCGCGAACGAAAGCGCGGTAAGGACATTCAGGAGGCCAAGGTGAAACTTGACCGACTGAAGGTCAAGATGGAGGATGCAGCTCGAATGGGCGACCATGGCACCGCTGCAGATCTCCAGTATTATGCCATTCCGGAACAAGAGAGTGCGATCAAGGAACTTGAGCGCCAGAAGGCCGCTGCTGATGCGGCTCTAAGCCAGAACGATGCCGGTGGTGCTATGATCACTGACGTCGTCGGACCCGACCAGATTAACGAAATTATCTCACGTTGGACCGGAATTCCTATCACCAAGTTGAAGACTTCCGAGAAAGACAAGCTTATTCACATGGAGAAGGTACTTGGGAAGATCGTGGTAGGACAGAAGGAAGCAGTCCAATCAGTTGCCAACGCCATCCGACTACAACGATCAGGGCTGAGCAACCCCAATCAGCCACCGAGCTTCCTCTTCTGCGGTCCATCCGGAACTGGAAAAACCTTGCTGACCAAGGCCCTTGCGGAATTCCTCTTTGACGATCCGAAGGCTATGATCCGGTTCGACATGTCCGAATACCAGGAGCGTCATTCGCTCAGCAGAATGATTGGTGCGCCACCCGGATATGTTGGCCACGACTCCGGTGGTCAATTGACCGAAGCCCTCCGCAGGAAACCGTTCTCCATCTTGCTGTTCGATGAAGTTGAGAAGGCAGCCAAGGAGATCTTAACTGTTCTTCTACAACTCATGGATGACGGTCGTATTACCGATGGCCAAGGACGTATCGTCGACGCCAGGAACTGCATAGTCGTGATGACCTCCAACTTGGGTGCGGAGTACCTAGCTCGCCCTAGTGGCCGCGACGGCAAGATCGACGCCACAACTCGAGAACTGGTCATGAATGCCCTGCGCAACTACTTCCTGCCTGAGTTCCTTAACCGTATCAGCTCCACGGTCATCTTCAACAGACTTACGAGACGTGAGATTCGCAAGATTGTAGACCTCAGACTCTCTGAGATACAGAAGAGATTGAACGACAATGATCGCAACGTCCGTATCGAGGTTACGGAAGAGGCCAAGGACTACTTGGGCAACGCAGGATATTCACCTGCCTACGGTGCCAGACCTCTGGCCAGACTTATCGAGAAGGAGGTATTGAACCGCATGGCAGTTCTAATTCTTCGTGGTGGCATCAAGGATGGCGAGGCTGCGAGAGTTATCATGGTCGGTAATAAGATATCGGTCTTGGCGAACCACACCGATAGCGAGTTGGGAGATGGTGACGATGACGATATGTTGATCGACGAGGAGGACGCGGTGGAGGATATTGCGCCCAATGATAGCATGGACGAAGATATCTACGATTAAGGGGACGTCGAGATTGACAACGATTAACGAGTGATGAGATACCATGCATACAGAGAAGAAAACATGTACATTGAGGCGCAGAATTAGTAGGGGAGTGGATTACATGTATACTAATCCTACGATGTTAAGGTAAAAAATAAGTCGTAAGGTTGGCGTGGCGTTTGTGCCGGGTCATAGGAGGGTTTTACATAGCATCGTGGCTAATAAACCAAATTGGCATTAGTTCGAGTTAATGTGAATAATTGTATATTGGTATCTCTTGATTTTCATAAATAAATATGTGCATGATTCTGTAAAAGATCTTGGCTTCATTCGATACCTATCGACTGTATTAATAATAGACATCCCCCTTCATAAGAACGCGAGCGGTACGCAAAAGATCCGCTGACACGATTCGACCATCCTTAAACGTCGCCCCGATCTCGACCGTCCCGCTCGGGTGTCCAATAACCACCGGCCTGCCCTCATCCCCACCCTTTGCACCCCGAACCTGCGCCGGCAACGTCCCCGGTATGTTCGCCGCGGCGCCTAGACACAGGGCTAGTGTTAACGGCACTGCCTTATGCGCCTGTCCCATCGATAACGCGAGACATCGCAGATCCACATCTGTGTCCGCGGACTCGGGAGAAGGGAATAGCAGCACGATCTTCGGCACGCTTTCCGTCGTCGGGTCCAGCCCCATCGCCACCGCGCCCGCTCGCCGGATCGCTTCTAACCGCCCCTTCAGCGCCGCGTCCGCTTCTACGACTTGTGGTGTTAATGTCGTTGGGTCCGCGTCTCGAAACTCGGACCCGAGATCGCGCACCCGTATGAAGACTCCCGGGTTCGAGATATCGACGAGCGAAGCCTCGACCTGGCTTCCGTCAGACAGGGTTAGCGTGTCGATTGCGTTTCCGGTTGGCAGCGCGGCCCCGGTCTTGGCGCCGGCTGGGTCGAGGAAACTTAGTTTGATAAGGGATTGGGTTCCTGGGACCCCGGCTATGGCGTATGTGCCGTGGGGTTGGTATTTGGGCGGGGAGGAGGGGGAGGAGGGGGAGGAGGGGGTGAGCGGGAAGGTGGAGTGGATTAGTTTGCTGGTGTTGGTGTTGAAGATGCGGACGAGTGCTTCCCTTTCCCTCTCCCCCTTCCCCTTCCCCTCCCGTTCCTGCTCAGCGACTGTGTCGGTAAGGGGAGGCTTGACGAGCCCTAAATCCCAGGCCACCGGTCCAACTGCCGCAGACATATTCCCGCAGTTCCCGGCTAAATCCAGCGCTCCGGACTGGATCACTACTTGTACAAAGGTAAAGTCGATGTCGGCGTCTGCGCGTGAAGACGGCGATATCACGCAGATCTTAGACGTGGAACTTACGCCGCCGCCGATCCCGTTGAGTTGCCGCCCGTAGGGGTCCGGGGAACCCATTGCCGGGGCTAGGATGGACGGCCATTGCGTCTGTGGGGGGAGGTGCTGGCGTTGGATTATTAGGCCGTTGGAGGTTCCGCCGCGGACGAAGAGGGCGGGGAAGCTGCGGTTTGCGGGTGTGGGTGTAGATGTGGGCGTGGTGTAGGTGTTTGTGTCTGCGGACGCCGGTGGGGGTGGCGTCTTTGGGGCACGGCTTCCTGCAGCGGGGGATGTGTGGAGTGTGCGCCGGAGGGCGCGGGTGATGAGGGGTCTCATCCGGAGGGAAGGTGTGGGTTTCTTTACTAGCAGGGCTATTGCCTCTATCGGATGAGTGGCGTCGTTGAGATGTTGAATTAGATAGTATCATTTGTGTAGAAGGAATACAGTGATATTCGGTACATTTGCACAGTAAGGAGCTCTCCAATTCACCCTTGTAACCGATCAGCCCTCGGCAGAATCATCCCGCCAAATGGCATCACTTATACCCGATTAGGAAATATAGAAAAGGGGGGTTGGGTTGTGGCGTACTTTTCCTTTTTTCTGTCTCGGGATGGGTTTCACTTCCTTTCAGCTTTGCACAACTTTCGTAACTCTAAAGAATTTTTAATTCAGAGGTCCAAATGAGAAATAACTCATTCAGAAGATGCGAGAGCGTCCAGTTTTCCAGAATCCTTCCACATGAAGTTACGGTACGATCCTCGAGTTTGGAGTACTTGTGGGATACGAAGAACATCCCATTCCTCGAAGAGATCGACCACGGGTTCGGATGAGGTCGTGCATGTGAAAAGGAACTTCAAAGTCGCTGCATGTTTCCCGCTGTGGGTTTCTAGTAGTGAGTGTAAGATGTATCTCAGCGCACTCCTCGTTTTCTCTTCCATGAGAACGTCGATGCCCTCGAGCACGAGCACAACGATGGAAGTGGCCGGTAGCTTTTTCACCAACCTCCTAAATGCCTTGCAGACGCCTTCGATGTCGTCGTTGGCTAGGTCGTTTTGACTGGCTTGAAGTTGTTTGGCACCGAACCCGTGGAATTGGTCTATCAGTTGCGACAATAGCGCCGTGATAAGCCCTTTCGGCCTGCCAAACATATCCCGCCGTCTGTTTCGGTGCTGGCTGCAGAAGAAAGCTAGAGGTAGGACGAACACGTTGGAAGTGTTGTTGCCATGATCAGCTTGCCTAGAAAGCTGCAGTATAGATTCCAAGATCTGAGCGGAGACGTATGATATCTCACAATCACCCGAGACGGCGCAACCGCCATCTACAAGCAACACCGACGATCTGTTTAGTGACATCCACGCCTGCAGTTGAGGGTGGTTCTGCATTGTTAAGATCCGCTCCGCGTCCAACCCGCCACCCGAACCCTTACGGATACTAAGAAGGTTTTTGTAGTCGTTTATAAGAAGATGCTCGTCGAAGGCCAATTTTTCAAGCAAGTCATTGCGAGCTTCCTTAGTGCTAGGTACGTCTTCACGAGACGCCATCTCTAATTTATGTTGTCTTCGTGCACCTTTTCCCATAACTGATAAATCCGTAAGTTAGAACGTTCCTCCTAGGTGGTTGGTTGACTGGATAGATACTCACTTCCGGGATGTAGTTCTTGTAGGAGTTGGCACAAGTTCTCGAGGACTTCGCTGCGATCCCGTATCAGGGCCATGTCCTCGCTAGTTTTACCGAGTTTGTGTGCCATCCAGTGTTGCAATTTCATCGACTCGTCATGACGAATGTTTCTGAGAAACAGCGCGTGCTTCTCAAACCGCGCAGCAGTCCTCTTGATATCAGTCATTCGGTCTTTAAGACCTTCCGCGAAGCCTTGAGGGGTAAGGAGAAACTTTATCCCAGTGACTAGAATGGATTAGCAACAGGTTCGTCGTGGGTGAGTCGATATTCGGAGCTTAGTTACCAACGGGGTTCTTAATAAACCATAGGAGGATGTGTTGCATCAGGTTGAAAAGAGATACGTATAAAGCCGCACTCCGCCTGTGTAACTCCTCGTCTTCCGCGTGTATGTCAATATACACCGCGTGGTCGTTGATGATATATGGGATATCCTCTATAGCCTTGTAAACGTCCTCGCGATAGTTATGCGATCGCTCTAAGGCCGTGAATACAGCTTTTAGTCCTCCGCAAAGCACCGAGCTGCATGGTACTTCGTTTGGCACCATCGATACGAAGGTCGATCCAATCTCTGCCTTCTGACATAAGGTACGGAAAGCCCACTTGATTTTGCCCGTAAATCCGCTCGTATCGTGATCTTTACTTGACAGAGTATCCAGCGTATTGCACGCTGATACCATTGAGTTTTCGACATCTATCCAATTGTTCAATTCGCCTAGCTTCAATAATGGCTGATCCCGCTTCTTTAAGTATTTGTTTGCAGTCAAGATCAACTCGTTTGCCGGCGCAAAACATGGGCTATATAATTCTTTATAGCTATTGATGTATATAAGTTAGTAGCTACCTATTTTTTGGGCGAATTCGGATAGATAAGAGAGTGGACTTGCTTGTGACGAGAGGAGTTCACTGCATTCAGCTGACGGTCGGCACCGCTGCGATAGATAACCCCAGAGCCTGCCGTAGCATTCAGCGATGGATGCCGGCTCCCATCCAGAACCATCACGGCAAACTCGGGGACTTCTGGATGAGGATCACTAGAAGATGAGGAATCCATTTCACTATATATTATAATTAAGATGAAGGTAAACTAGCAGGTAAAGACTCAAGCGAGCCTAATAAGAGGATGTGAACCATATGAATGCACGACGCGTCGCTTTTGCACTTTCGAAGACCTTTCAGGTAAAGCCTTGCCTATAAGAATGCTAAATATAGACCTACATTTGGCCCCCAACAGCTCTAGAGGATTATATAATGGGGGGTAACCACCATCAGGTAGAATTTAGAAATGTAAGAATTTTCAAACTGTCAAAAGTAAAATTGGCCTCTTTATTGCACAGTCTCACGATGGCAGAGGTATCGGCCCCATCCATCGAAAATGCTGTCGCGACGACAGAATCTGAGGTTGCTGGTGGAAGCCCTCTTAACACAGATTCTGTCGACGTAGAAGCGAAGACTCAAGACAAAAAGCCCCCTTCTAAGGAAGTGGTTAAAAAAGAAGAAGTTAGAAAGGGCTGGGGCAACGAATCTGACGATGGATCCTCTTCAACTACATCTGATGGCAGCCCTAAATCTCGCACTGGTATAGTAAATGTGATCAAGGTCCTCGAAAAGCATCTTCTCGCAGCGAAGAGGGAATTGATTAATTCCGACTCAAATGAGTTGGATGAGAAGTACGTTAACCCGACCACGGCTGAACATGGGTTGCCTCATATAGGCAATGCTAAGAATTTGATAGGGAAGAGGAAACTTACCAAGGAAAAGTCGAGCGTCTTCCAATGTCAGATTGGATGGCTAAGACATCTATCGACCCGAGCCCTCGTACGGTTGCTTTCAGGGCATATTATCGCGAAGTGCCAACAGCAGAAAGGCGGATATCCAAAGCCTCATCGTCTGATCCCGACTCCCTCCGGGCTTCTGAGCAACCACAGAGGGTCGTTATCTCGTCGCCATATTTGGAAACGGAATTGGTCAGGATTACCAACATGCCAATGAGCGCTCTGCCTATCCTGTAGGTTTTCACCTCGAAAACTATAACCAGATTCAGGGGTTGTTCGCTAATGTTCACTCTCTAATTTAGCATGAAGCCACCTTATAAGGTACTTATACTCCTTTCCCCTTTCCGAAGTAATGATATTGACAAATTAAATAAGGCGTTTGTACAATATTGGCCAGAAATCAAAACTCGATTGGCTAAGTTGAAGGCCGCGCTGCTGAAATTGGAAGCTCAAGAGACTGCTGAGCCAGAATCGAACCCAGCTAGCGAAATGGAAATAGACAACGCCACTGATAGCGACCATAGTGACATTCTAGACAAAGATGCATCGTGGCTTCGTTGGAGAATATCGCATCTTGAGGCCTTACACAATTTCATTGAAACGGAATTAGGTCACCAGCTTAGGATTCGAGCCCAGATCAAAGACGGTACGGTCAAATCGATAGCTTATAGTGACCTATGGCAGCTATTCGAGCCCGGCGACATCTTATACTCCGTGGAAAACGGGTTTGAGCAGCTTTACAAGGCTTATTCAGTATCGGGTGGTCAGATACGGTTGAGAAACCGAACACCATACGAAGCGGAGACGATGAAAAGAATGGCCGAGTCCCGACGTGACCGTAGAATGCGGTATCGCGGATGGGACACAAGTGGCGGAAGCGACGTCGATCAAAATGTGAGTAATAGTGAGGATGATTGGAATACGTATCCGCGAGGTGCTGCTATTGGAATTGGCACCTGGACATCCCTCACTATCGACTGCTTCAGTATCGGTATGGACAGCACACGCCTCGGGGCAATCGACGGGTATAAGCGAATAGAATGGTATATGGGCGAAAGGAAACTAAGCGATCTCCCCGTGATCCCATTACGCTTCGTTCCGGACAAGGATGCTATAGTTAAAAGGCTCGAGGCACGTGGCCTAAGATGTGCACAATGTTACGGGCACAAGAAATACGACGGATTCGTTTACGACGCGAGAGGCCGTACCAGGAGAGAGCGACTCCAAGGTGATGTGTTCGTGGATTTCGCAGAATACTACCGCAGGAAGAGGACTATTGAGCCAAGGCTAGGTGTTCTTCAACGAACATCGCCAGATCTGACCGAGGTCGAAGAAGGATCGGGCAGAAAAGTTGATCGATTCTCCATGGATCATGAAATCGACCAGCAGAAAAGTGACGTCTGCCTCGCTTCCTTTTTACTCGAGACGCTGCCGAAAAGCCGCGAAGAAGTGGTCCAGGATCCGGAACAGCTAAGCTTGATGCGTCATAATGTTATCGCATTTGCATTCAGGACTCGCAAATGGGGTTCGTTTTCCATACCAACGCATCAACTCTGTTAGATACTAATTAAGTGATAGTTCGACTCGAGATTGATTTCCTAGAAGACATCGACAAAAGCGTTGAAGCTCGCAACAGCGGTTTCGAAGACCTAGTCATCTTGCCGAAATATCGACGACTTCTCGTATCTCTTGTCGATAGCCACTCATCTAGCGCCAACAGCGAGCGTAAGAACCTCAAGAAGGACAACAGGCCTCTGAATCAGCTAGACCTGGTGCGTGGAAAGGGGCTAGGTTTGATAGTATTACTCCACGGCCCCCCTGGGACGGGAAAAACCAGCACGGCCGAGACTATTGCTGCCTACACCGGCAGGCCGCTCTACTCGATGACCTGTGGTGATATCGAGGACAATGTCGAAGAAGTATTAGAAAAGCATACTAGCCGAGCTGATAAATGGGGATGTGTGCTTCTCTTAGACGAAGCAGACGTTTTCCTCATGAGACGTGATTTCAAAAACACAGAGCGGAACTCACTTGTGTCAAGTGAGCCGATCCCACAAACCACCCCTACACCAAGAAATTACTAACAAACCAACCAGTTTTCCTCCGAACCCTCGAGTACTACTCCGGGATCCTCTTCCTAACCACCAACCGCGTCGGCGTGATCGACGAAGCCTTCAAATCCCGCATCCACATCGCGCTGCGATACCCCAAAGTAAAGCTGCCGACCACCCTCGCGATCTGGAAAGGGTGTCTGGACCGGATCGAGAAAGACAACGAGTACCGGGACATCCACATAAGATTCGACCGGGACGAGCTGCTCGAGTTCGCCGAAGGGCACTACCACAAGTACCACAAAAAGAACGCGACCTGGAACGGGCGACAGATCCGGAACGCGTTCCAAACGGCCATCGCGATGGGGCAATACGAGCGGATGCGGAAGCTGAAGAAAAAGGGGATAACGGAAGAAGAAGCGGTCGCCACGGGGAAGAGCAAATGGCGGGTAATCCAGCTGACGAAAGACAACCTGGAGACGATCGCGGAGACGGCGCAGGATTTCGACAAGTACATGAAGTCGGTGCACAAGTACCCGGACGTGGAGATCGCGAAGGCGGACCAGTTGCGGGACGACGACTTCAGCGAGTCGTCTGAGGAAGAGGAGGAGGAGTACGTGATCCCGATCCGGCAGAACACGTCGCGGAAGGAGGGGAGCAGGAAGAATGCGGCGTCTGCGAAGAAGGCGGGGAAATCCGTTGCTACGACGTCGAGTCGAGCTTCTCAGTCTAGTAAGCAAGCGATGAAGAAGAAGGAGCGGAGCTCGTCTGGGAGTGACGTACCTGTCGAGGGAGCTAGTTCGGAGCAGGGGACGGATGATGATAGTTCGGAGTAGATAAGATTAGACCTGCCGTCCGCTCGTTGATAGAATGAATATATATACCTTTGATATCAAGTCAAGATACTTACCTACCTTATGAGGGGGTGAAAAGACCAGACAATAAAAAAGCATGAAGAATTCATTCTCATCTTATTAAGCAACGCAAATTTTACATACATGCGTTGCCAACATAGCTCAAGCTCTCAGTGACACCGAATGCGCCGTTTTTTTAATGTACAGGAAAGTGACTGCCCTACTCCTCTTCGTCGTCGTCCGCAGCGTCTGCCATGCTAGTATCCGCAGCACCTGCGCCCGATCCATCGTCCCCTTCAACCTCCGCAGAGCCACCGGCTTCGTTCTCGTCCTCGTCGCTATCGTCGAGAACTCTACCGCGGCGAGCGTTTCTAGTCGCGCGGGTAGCAGTCACCTCCTCATCGTCATCGTCGTCCTGGCCGGCTGTATTATCCACATCCATTCGGTTCTCATTATCGTCAGCTCTCGACGCGTCGTCAGCATCTGAAGCAGGCGAGCGATGATTCTCGATGGCTTGGTCGGCGCGATCCAAGACGTCATCGTCATCAGAGCTATCGACCACGATCTCCGCAGACTTGTACTTGGTGTTTGATTCTTTCTTCGAGGCAAGCTTCCGCTTCTTCTTCGGTTGACGCTCCTCTTCAGATTCGTCGTCGTCATCGTCAGCTTCTTGCTTCTTTCGCGAACGACTCTTTGGCTTGGCCTTGCCGCGCGCCTTGTTCTTTGCTTTTCGGCTGACCCTTGCACCCGTCTCGCTGTCTGTCGTCATGTCGGCTTGCATTCTCTCCTGCTCTTCCTTCTCTCTCTGCTCAGCTAATTCTCTATCGTGAGCTGCGATTTCCTCGCGTTCCTTGCGGATCTTGTCTTGTCTCTCACGCTCTTGATCAAGAGCCTTTTGACGTTCCTCTTCCCGACGTTTCATTTCGGCCTGTCGCTGCTCTAGGGCAGCCGCCAGCTTCTCCTTGTTCTTCTCCTCGTACTCTTTCTGTTTCTCGATTTGACGTGCAAGCTGCTTGCGTTGCGTGTTGCGAGCCATATTTGCTCGCTGCTCGAGATCTGTTTTAGGATAGGGGGGGTTCGGATGGGTCGCAATCTCGTCTAAGGCAATAATAGCTGCTTCAAGACCTTCCGAAGCTTCCTCGAGCTGGGCTAGGGTGCGCTGGGTCTCGGGTACATTCGTTATGTATTGGACTTGTTGAACTTGAACGAATGCGACATTGAACTTGAAATGGATCTGGTCCGGTGAGACTCGAAGGGCCTATAAAACTAGTTAATTTCTCATGTCACGAGTTTCGTTGCGATATTCTCACCTCTCTTGCGAAATGTAGAGCGTTCTTGTACGCGTCTAAATTTCGCTCATGTCTGCCTCTGTTCAGCCACGTCCGACCGAGACATGCTAGGATACCGGCATCGTCCTGCTTGCCCTCCTTTGACAACGCAATTTCGTAATTCTCAATTGCTTTAGAGAATTGTCGCAACTCCGCGTAGATATGCCCAATGTTGATATAAACATTTGGATCCTTGATAGTCTCACGCACCTTCAGGAAGATAGGAAGCGCTGCTTTATAATCCTTTCTATCTTCAACGAGTGCAATAGCAATTCCCTGAGCGGCATGGGCGTTCTTTGGATCTAGCTGTAACGCTTTATCGAAGAATTCAACGGCACGTGTGTACCCAGAAGATCGTTTTATCTTCTCTTGTTCGGTATCTCGGCGCATCTCACGAGCAGCCATCATATATAGATTACCCATGCCGATAAGAGCGTAGCGGTCATGCTTGTCGTGGTGTTGAAGAGTGTGTTTGTAATGTCGCAGCTCTGGATCCTCGTTGACGTTACCTGACCGCTTTCGAGAGCTCACTCGGCCGAGATACCAGCCGTACAAAGCACGAACCTCAAGGTCCGATGAATTCTCTTGCTGCAAATGTGCGACAGCATCCGGGCCTTCCTTATTAGGATTCTTCCGTAATTTGATATATGCCAGTCGTGCCTTAGCATCTATGTAGTTGTCGTGGCGGACTAGTAGCTTCTCATATACATCAACGGCTTCATCTGTAAGGCCCTGTGACTCGTAGCTTCTGCCGAGGTTAAAGCTGATAGTAGTAACCAAAGAGTCCGTATCTTCGTCCTCGCCCTTTTCGCTAATTCGCATACACGAACTCAACGCAGCTTCGAACATCTGGCTTGCTAGGTCGTGCTTCTCGGCCTGGGAGTAGAAACAACCAATGTTGTTTAGTAATTGAGGGGGGAGATTCTTGCGCAGCGCATTACGCAGAGCTGACTCGTCCTCAACATCAGTTGGGTGTTCTGAGGCAGGGATTTGGTCTAATTCGAGTTGTTCAACTTGCAACAGACATTCAAGGGCCTTCTCCGGGTGATCACCCTCGTATAGACGAGCTAAGTTTAGCAAGATTGCTGAATCAGGTGACAGGTTCTTCTTGGGGTCTTTCCAAGCTGTGCGAGCATGTTCCAGATAATCTATGGCTTTCCGCATCTCTGCAGACTTGTCCTCCTTAGGAGAGGCATACTGGTTAGCAAATACTTCTTCGGCGTACAGAGTACCTAAGAGGATCATAGCCTCGTAGTTTCGTTCATTTTTGCTAGCAGATTGAATGATCTTCTCGAGGCGGAGCTTTGCCTCGCCTAGATCATTATTCAGAACGGAAAGTTGGGCGACGCCGAATTTGGCGGGCAGGTAACCTCTATCCAGGCCACCTCTGGCTTCATCAGCGCGGCGGTAATAATCGGCGGCAATGTCATAATTGCCACTGTAATGCTCTTTTCGAGCAAGGAGATACCAACCATCACTTGCAATCGCGTTGACGTCGGTGAACTGAATAGCCTTGTTGGCGAGCGAGTCTACATAGGGGAGGTTCTTCGTCGACAGGAAGTAATTGGCAAATGTTGCGCACGTCAACGGCTGGTTCTTGTCGACTTTGAAAGACTTCTGCGTGTACTCGTTCATAGCTTTCTTGTAGAGTCTAATAAACTCAGGACCATTCGTAGGAACCCGACTGCTGGCGTCTAAGTAATATAAACCTAGTAGGATGTTGGCAGTCTTCGATTCTGGGTTGATTTCCAGACTTCGCTCCCATGCTTGCTTCGCATCGTCCTTGTACCTAAGCTGCCAGAGGCAGCATCCGATACCAATTCGGGGGTCCGGATCTACTAAATCAGGCATCTTTTTCAAAACGCTCTGATAGACCTCCAAGGAATCCTTGTAGTTGCCTAGACCAAATAGGGCTCTTGCTCTTCCAAGCGAGGCCAACATGTTTTTGCCCTGAGAAACCTTACTCGCTTGGTCGAAAGCCTTTAAGGCACTCTTCAGGAGATCGGTCTTATCTTTTTCATGACCAGCCCTATCCCCTTCGCGGCCAACTCCGGGGTTTTTGGAGGGCGTCTGCAACGACGCTTTAAGAAGTTGCAGTACACCACGGGCCAAAAATAGTGGCGGGAATGCCGGGTTTATGCGTGATGCATCGTTGAGGGAAGAGGTGGCTAATTGGAGGTAGTAGTCCTTCGTCTTAGCTTCGGATTGGGTATCGTTTTCGGGTAGAACACGAGGTGCTTCGCGACTTTTCCAGAGATACATCCAACACAAGCATGAGATTATGCTGAGTTTCTCTTTAGGGTTGTTATCCTGCATGGCGTTGCCACCACGGTTGAGCATCTCAATGGCATGATCAATCTTCTTCTGCTTCGCATATGCAAGAGAAACTGTCATCCAGTAAGTGCGCGCAGCTTGCTCGTTCTCGAATAGTGTGCAGAGTTCGGTCGGATCATCCACCAGGTCCTCCAAGTCAATCTCGACGGCCTCATCTTCTTGGTCTCCTTGAACAGGAATATCGATAGCGCTAGGGATGTCGGCGAATCGTTTGCTAATTGGCGCGGGAACCGAGTCGCCATTGTCGGCGGCGTCCGCATGACCGTTTCGCGTCGCCGACATTCTGAAATTGTGAATTAAAGATATAATAATCAATGAAGTTAATGCAAGTTAATGCGGGTTGATGCGACCGTGCAGATTCGGCGGCGTTGTGAATGGAGGGTGAGGTGTAGGTTAGATGACAAGCGCGATGCGCGTCGAGGTCAAAAATAGGCCTTGTGGTTAGAGATGTTAAAGATCATCTCCAGCCGAAGGCATGATAAAAGAAACTTTGGAAAATAATTGAAGAAAGCGTTTCCAAAGTGATATGCACAAAATGATTGGTATAGGAAGTCGCGATATGCCTGTCAATGACACCGTTAAGAAGGTGCAAGGCTCGTGTGTTTCGCGGATGAGGCTGAGAAGATATTAAAATAATGGAAGATGCCCAGGTTGTAGCTTCCAAATACCACCCTGAAACCGACTAGCGTTGATATTCAACAGGGGTATCCTATTGGTTACTCCTTCGACAGGGACAGTACGGCGGCAGGGCGGGCAGGACGGGACGTCTCCAATCTGTGGCGCCGATAACCGATAAGATTACGATAAACAATAGGTCCTCCCACATTTCTCTACTTCAACAATGCCTCTACGAAAGGTGATACCAATTTAAATCTAATTCGGACAATCAGTGTTACAGGTGGTTAATAATGCATATTAATGGGATATCCCCTTTAATGAATTGAGCGGGTTGAGTAACAGAATATCCAGGCCGTCAGGTACCTAGGTGCAAACGGCAAGTAGTACCTCCTAGAAATATTAACCAATCAGATCGCGTGTTTAGACTATTTTACGTTAGCAATGTACTTCGTAGAAGATCTCGATTATTCAGAATGAGATGGGCTCTCTCCCTTTTTCTTAACAATCATCAAATGCTGCCTACGAGAAAAACCTTGTTTTATTGACATTGAGCTAATTACCCATTTAAAATAAAACTCAGTCGACTCATGTTTGAATCTCAACCAGACATCATCCCATATCTGCCCACTACTACTTGAGTCTTAAGTATAGGTGTGCTCTTCTAAAACTATAATTCAAGAATAATATTTCAAAAAAGACCTCCAAGGATATAGGATCGTGATAGTATGAAAACTTACAGCAGGCATTTGTCAAATGCCGCCGTAGACGATGCCGGTCATACATCGGATCCGGACCCGGGTCCGCGCGCCGACATTGCTACCTACCTAGGCACATCGGACTTCCGAGTTAAGTACCAGTCATCGGCTGCGTTTCAAGATCTCTCCACCAGATCCGCTTCAGCATTTGTTTAGGTTTGAAAGGATTCAGGAACAGAAAGCTCGGCCTGTAATTTTCGTTCCACCTTTACTTCCACGATTGTCTTGTAGTCATGGCCCACAAACTGCCTCGAGTGCTCTTGTCCCCTTTCCACTGTCAAAATAATTATCCCAGTCTTTTCTTTTTTTCTTGACTTACGTACTCTCATCTGCATCGGCCTATATCCAATTCTATTAGGATATGTATACTTCTCTTCGTCCCAGTTGACGTTATCTATCATTTGAGTCTCTCCTTAACCATTACCTTCTCTTCTACTTCATCATACAAGGAAACGAGCAGTCAAGATGTCGAAGGACGCCGTAACCCCTACACTGATCACTGTCATATTCATCCTTTTCACTGGCCTCTATGGCTTCGTGAAATTCTCCTATGAGAAAGCTCATGTTGATATCGTATGCTTCGTATCCTCCGACATATGTCATCTATGAAAGCAGGCTAATATCAACAGGCTCACGTCGTTATACCTACCACGGCGGAAATCAACCCTCCAGCCCTCTTTGTACCTCCACTAGTTGATGGCGATGGCATCGGCCTCAAGAAATCCGCTAGACCTCTCTTCACTTATGTGTACACTGAATCTCTGAGTGCTCGAGTAAACTTGATCTTCTTTCTTAGTAACGGTTTACGTAAGTCGTCCCTAAAATATAGCAACTCCATGAATGCCCAGATCGACAGTACTTAAATTTGATGATTAGTAATTGCTAACTATGTCTTCAACAGACGACGCCGCTGACTTCATTTTCATCCTCAACGGACCCACAAATGTAGCCACTTTGATCCCCAACAGGTCCAACATTCAAGTTGTTTCACGATCAACGGAATGTTCAGATCTGACAGTGCATGATGAGATACTCCGAAAGGATGGGCTATGGAAGAAATATAACCGATTCATCATGCTCAGCGCCGCAGTTCGGGGACCTTTCGTACCATTCTGGAGTCGAAGCTGTTGGAGTGATGTGTTCCTAGATCGAATTACTGAAGATGTTAAGGTAACTAAGCCTTTCATGTGCTTCCAAAAACGATACCTTGCTAACCTTAGCTTTCTAGCTTGTTGGTATGAAGGCAACTTGCCTACCTAAATTCCATATTGAATCAATGATCTTGGCTACAGACACGATTGGTATGGAACTCTTGCTAGACCAGCCCAAGGGGTCATCGGTACCGTATACATTAGACGATCATCGAAACCAAGTGGTTGTTTCCGGAGAGCACCTCAGTAACACGAAACAGAATATCCGCGGTGGAGTTGAAGCTACAGGAATAATCAAGTCTGCAGGTTATAAAGTTGATATCGTGATACCGTCATTCGCCAAAATCGAAGATTACGAGGAGAATTGCGCCGTGGACTCGGTTGAAGATATGACCTTTGGCCAGCAAGATAACATTCATCCGTATGAAGCTGTATTCATCAAGACAAATCTCGATACCGACTCGGACACCGTTGCTCGACTCACAGAATGGCACCAATCCCGTATCATGAATGGAAGTTGGGATGCATGCCATCGCGATTCCTAAGACCATTGAACCTCAGTGACCAATGGAAAGGATCATGGCAATGATTATATATTATGCAGGTGGAGATTCCAATGGCCTACTAAGTAGACGGTGTTCGTTTCAATACGAGGTTTGTTTTTGTGCGAATGCTAGGTAAAATAGCATAAACATGTATTTTCTCCTCTCTCCCCTCAAAGTTTTATTGAAACATGGAATATCGTAGTAGTTCCTCGACCTTCAAGATGAACGAATATGAAATCTAGAAGTAAAGATGGATCTTGTATGTTGGTGAGTCACTGCGTGTTCACAGTGTATATAAAATTGTCTGATAAGATAGGCTAGCTAAAATGTACGAGGGCCAACAGTAAGGTTATATATCTAAAGAAGGATACACATCATAACAATTCCTCAAGGACCTGTTGAAGACAATGACTTGGCTCAATTGGAAAGCCGTGTGTATGAACCGCTTGCGGCGCAAGAGGTTGTAACCACGGTAGCTAGGGAGTTCGAGACGGGTCCTTGGGACTTGTTTTTTTTTTTTTTTTGCTTTCTTTTTATGTTATTTTTTCCCCTTCAAGCTTCTATCACACATTCTCAACTGATGCTTTCATATCAATACTTTATCTAGCTAGCCCTTACTACTCGTCACTTGAGCTTGCACAAAGTAGCCGCGTTAAATGAGAACTATTCTACTATGGTGATTGTTACTTTTTTTTAAAGAAAATAATGGTATTTTCCGCTACGCTCATCGCCATATGCTAAGATGCATCAAAATAAAGTATCTGGTATCTAGGTAGGAAGTCCTCCGCACAAACGCCATCGCCGACCCCTTTTCCCTAGCCCTATTCCATCGCTAAATAAAGCACCTCAAAGGAACATGTTAAACCCATCCCCTTTCGACTCTCCGGGCGCCGTATAATCCACACCTCCCACACTCGTCAAGTCCTTCTCGAACGCGTTCTGTATCCTAGCTACCTGTTCCATCTGGCTCAAGTCCACCTTAACGCCGTCGAATGCAGCAAGGCTCTCCGCCGCCTTGATGATATTCTTGATCTGCCGTCCATTCATATCATGTCTCGCCAGACTCTCCAACCCGTCCTCATCCACGTCGACTCCGCCGGGCACGCGTCCGCATAGCGTCCTCCAGATCTGCAGGCGTGACGGGAAGCTTAGGTCTGTGTAGCGGATGGGGACATGTATCCTGGACTTGAACCCGTCGTCGAACGTGCTCACCCGGTTCGTCGTTAGGAAAAGGATGCCGCTGTAGTACTCGAGCGCCCGCAGGAAGACGCTGACCATCGCATTGCGGTGCACGTCGTGCAACGACCGGCGCTCAAGAAACACATCTGCCTCGTCGATTAGGAGAACCGCTTTCCACGTCGACGCCAGATCCATAATCCGCGTTAAATTTAGGTCTAGATGTCCGCTCGACACGCCTAGATCGCCGGAGGATATCATGTATAGGGGTCGTTTGACGTATTCGGCGACGCATTCGGCTGTGAGGGTTTTGCCAACGCCTGGGGGGCCACTGCTCGTAAATCGGTATTAGTAACTTCTCAAAAAAGGGGGTTTACCTAGTTATCATTTCGGGGAGTAGGGGGTTCAGAAAAAATATCGAGTGGGAGAACATGGAAATCACAAATTTCGGAAAGACGTACTGCAGCACACACACAAGCCCCTGCCCCTTTCCCTTCACGATATCATCAAACCCATCCCGACTACTCGAATGCGTCGACACGACTGCCTGCACCGTCTTCTTTGTATCCTGATCGAGCACCAAGTCATCGAAACATCTCTCGTTCCACTCGATCGGAGCCACCTTATCCACGAAGAACTCGAGAAACTGCTTCACAGCGAACGCGTACCCCCTAACCGTCGCATTAGCCACCAACGCATCCTCATCCGACAACTTCTCGAACGCGCGCTTCTCCGCCACAAACCCCACCGCATTCACCGTCTTCCTCTTCCCTCCTCGAACCTGTCTAACAGCATTACTCCTCCCGCCCTCCGCACCGCCCTTCCCGCCAAACTCCACAACATCAAAAGTATCATTCGCCTCCAGCCGATGGTACGTCTCACAATCAATCATAACCCTGCCCTTAACATTAATCCGCGCATACCCCTGCTCCGTCTTCCTCAGCGCAACACCATCATACTGTTTAAAATGCTGCCCAACAAAGCCCTCGAACTTCCTCCCCCTCCTCACCAACACCTCCCTAATCTCCTCCCCATCCTCAACCAAGTCCAGGGGCATAGTAGCCAGCTCCCTCAACTGCCGGGTTCCCGCATACTTAGCCACAAACAGCTCCGCCTTCCTCGTGCCCAACTTCTCGCCATCAAAATCCACAAAATCCGCCCAAATATTCAAAATCGGGGAATCCCCGCCCTCATACCAACAACTATGAACGCGGAACGCGCGGTGCTGGTTCAGCACCTTCGCATGAATAATCTTGCCGGGCGGAAACAGCGTCCAGAGATGCTCGTACGAAATCGCTCTTAAATCACCGACACAGCGCTCGAACGCCGCGATCTCCGCCTCGAAATGCGTGCGGATCCACTGGACCAGCAACCGCAACTGCGCAGCGGCCTCCTCGTCCTCCTTGAACCGCGCGCGCCCCTCGCGCTCGAGCTCCGCGCGGTAGTAGAAGAGCGAGTAATACGGGCTCTCGATCTGGACGTCGTCGACGTCGACGGGGTCGTCGGGGTAATCGCCGATGACGTCTCTGAGCAATCTACGCAGGGGCTCCGCGTTGACATACAGCCGCGTCGTATCGAGCTCGTCGTCCTCGTAATACACCCTCACGAGACAGAACGCAAAGAGGCGCCACCAGTCCTTCTGCTTGGGTTTCTTGACCTCGTCCTTGCGCTCCTTGTAGTACTGCTCGTCGCGGTCGTCCCAGAGTAGATCGAGGTGTTTGACCTCGCACTTCATGGACTCGTCGCGGGTCGTGGAGAGGCTTGTCGTGGTGTTGGTTTTCAGGCTGTCCTTCGCAGCCTTGCCGGTGTGTCGGAGCTTGAGACGCTGGGCTAGATGCGAGATCGTGCGGTTTACTTTCGCTATCGTCATTTTGGAACGGGATATTAGGCGTGGTGCGTCGAAACGGAGCTCGCACGAAAATTCTATGTAGTTACGCATTAAGAATACCGGACTAGGTAGGTACGTGGGTAGATATATGGGTGGGCACAGCTTTTCGGGTCACTTAAGGGGAGGGATAGATTGAGCGATTGAGGGCAAAGAGGCGACAGGGCTAGCAACGCCTTAAATGATAGATCATAAATAATTATAATTCTTAGATGAGAAGAGAAAGTCTAAGAGCATCAATGCTTGGAAAATAAAAAAATTAACCGTATTAGAAGATATAGCTAGTAAGTTCGAGAGAATCGAGGCTGGCTGAGTCAACACGGCCGTGAGCGTTCAGGCAAGTAACACGGTAGATAGATACTACGCAGGCTGCAGCCATCGTAACATGATGCGAATCCTCCACCTCGAGCTCATTCGAGGGGAAGCCGGAGTATGGACTTAAGGCAGCCAGTAAGACGACCTTAAGAGGCAACCCGACGAGCTGCATGGACTATAGAAGAAGAAAAAAAGGAAATAAAAGCACCGAATGGGGGCGCTTTGATGGGATACGGCATTGTGGCATGCCGCTAGTGAATGCGCCTTGCGCCGAACGGGTAAGCAGAGATTGTGCCGGTATGACCGATCATGAGGAATATTCGCTGGCGAGGCTGGAAGATAATGAATGTTTGTTCAATGTAGTATGTAGGTCAAGCTGGATTGTAAGACAATGACTCGAGAATACTACCTTGTTCGTTGAGGATCCAGTGGAAATATAGGACAGATCCAAGCCTTCTCATTCGATCGGTGACTCGTAACACTCTGCCATGCCAATAAACAGTTACGAGGCTATGATTTTCATATCCACACGCGCTTGCAGTATCGTAAATTTATATTAGAATCAGTTGTAAGAATAAAGGGGGCCACGTACATTCCTACATACAAGATCCAAATACTCATTGACGGCCACGTAGGAAGGGAATCGAAGAGAACGTTGATTCTGGTTACCGAGTAACCAATCGTACCAATCTCTTTCGCGTGTATACGAGATTTTAATACACACACATAATCCTACGTCTACTTTCACCCGATTATTATCAACTACTGAGCCAAGTGATGGCGAATCGCAAGTGGCCATGGGTATCGTCAAGTATTCAAATATGCGTATGTATACATTGCTTGCAGCTTCGTCTCCCTATGGTAGGTGGGTATCCGGTAAAGCTTCAGCTGAGATAAAGATATTTGGGAATTGATATGTTTGGTTCGATTCGCATATCTATATTTGTCGAATTACGTATCATCTTCGCCGCGCGCCAAGGCTTGCAAAATCGACCCTCAAACCCTCATTCGTCTCTAGAAGTTAAAGCTTCCCAACTCTCCTTGGCTACCATCATGCCACCGCACTCTTTTCTATGCAACCAGCCATTGCTATGAACCCAGGTGAGTTATTCGTATCTTTATTGGTGTGACCTCGTAACACATCCGCGTTACGACGTCCGATAATACGCGCAGCCTTTATTGAATGAATGCGCCGCATATCCATAGCATATTAAGTGAAAGCCCCATCTATGTGTTTCAAATAGCGACCAACTCTTTCATGCAAATTTTATGACCCCAGATGATTTGGGACCTCCCAAAGACCGCTGCCTCCGGGGGGTATATGGGATTCGACGAGCAGCCGCTCAACTCATCATTTTTCGTCTCTCGGATCATCCTCAGGGCGAAGGGATGCAATTAAGGAATAGGGTATCGTTATTAAATAAGCGTTTATTTGGCGTTCCTCCGGAAAGCAAGTAGTTCGGAGAGGCTTCCGAGTGGGCAACCGTGCTTCAAGAAGTCGTGCTGCAACAGCTCATCCGCCGAAGCACGACTCTTGACGTCGACACACAAGCAGACCGATAAGAAGGCTTTGAGCTCCTTGCTCAGCTTCTCTGGTTTCTTCAGGCGCGGCGTGCCGTTGGTTGCGATAAGGTAAAGGGCCTTCAGAGGCTCTTCGTTAAGATATGGTGGTTCGGACTCGATCATCTCGATGGCCATAATTCCGAGCGACCAGATATCAACCTTCGGGCCGTACTCCTTCTGTTTGACGACTTCAGGAGCCATCCAATAAGGAGTTCCGACCATGGTTGCTCGTTTGGATTTGGTCTCGGTAAGTTTCGCGCAGAAACCGAAATCGGCTAATACTTTGTTAGTGGCCAATAAAAATACTGTCATGTCCGAGTACTTACTAATCTTCACATTTCCGCGAGCGTCTAGAAGAACGTTGTCGCTCTTGATATCACGATGGATAATGTTCTGGGAATGTAAGTGTTGCAATCCACGGCAAGTCTAAATAGCAAGTTAGCAACGTGGGAATGATAGAAAATTTTCAGAGTACCTACCTCAAGGCAGATCGTCGAGATCTGTTCTTCGGTAATGACCGGGTTGTTGTCAATGACATCTGTCAAAGCACCGCCCTCCATATATTCCATGACAACCCATAATTCAGCGTTGTTGTTACGTAAGAAAGCGTCGAGGAAGTTGACAATGTTTCTGTGCTTGCTGTCCTTCATGACCATGATTTCGTTGACGATAAGCTCCTTGCGCGGTTGGTGCGCTAGATCCATCTGCTTAATAGCAACTTGAGCCCTGGATCCTTGAGACCGGAGAACCTCCCGAGCAACTGAAGAGACAGCACCCTCTTTAACCTTGGCCACGTAAACTGAACCGGAAGCACCCTGTCCAATCTTCTTTTGCTTCGAGTATGATAGATTGGGATCATCCTTCGAGACGACTTCAATCAGTTTTTGCATGACCTCCTTCTCGGACATCGTAGACATGCGAACATCTTGCTTCCTTTCGGATGCCGATGGCTTGGCCGTAAGAGCAGCCTCTGCGGCCTTCACACCGTCATTCTGCTGGGGTGGAGTGGGCTTTGCCGGCACATTTAGAGGCTTAACAGGAGCGGGCATACGTGCCATCGCCGGGTTCTGAGATTGGCCATTCGTTCGAGGTTGCTGCGGGCTATTGGCATTGTTCGGGTACCGAGGCGCTTGTTGGTCGTTCCGCGGTGGCATTCGTTGCGCTTGGTTAGACTGAGGATCGCGCGAAGTTGAAACGGAGCCTGCGCTGGTCTGAGAAGAAAGTGGAGGCCTGTTAGCAGACGCAGATCCAGAGTTAGGCGCCGGCGGAGCAGGTCGTTGAGCGCGGAGGCCGTTGACTTGTTGGTTGCTTGATTTAGGAGCGGGTGGTGCTGCTCGAGTAGGATTGTAGCGATCTTGCGAGCCAGGACTTCCATATCCACCACCACCACCGATCTCTTGCTGGGCCATAGGCACTTTCTTTTGGGGAATCGAAGCATTATAGGCTTCCAGATCACGCCGATTCTGCTCCTCAATTTCACGCTGTCTCTGCTGCATCTCTCGTTGCTTTTTCAGTTGTTCTTCGCGCTCCGCATTAGGGGATGGACCATAGCTGCCGCCAACACTCTGCACCGGCGGTCTTTGTGACATCTCCGGGGGGTTCGGTCGAGGCGGAGGAGTACCTTGCTGTTGTGACATGTTACTGTAGCTGCGTTGCGAAGGTGGCATGGGACGAGGAGGCGCAACAGAAGCGCCACCGCCACCGCCATATCCAAGCTGCTTATTCTGTTGGCCAGCGGGAGGGGGAGTTGGGGTGAGACTTGGATATTGCTGAGGGTTCTCAGCCCTCTTAGTGAGATCTGAGTAGAAATCCAAAACCTCGAACACGGCCTGGGGGTTACGCTCGTAATCTTCCTTGGTGATGGCGGAAGAGTTCAACAACTTCGACCATTCAGGCGGCAAGCCTACGAATTGACCGGTTTGTGGATCAAAGCCAACGTGTACTGCATGAGAAAAGTTGGTCGGATTGCTTACCCCACCCATAGTAGGGCAGCGACCATAGAGAAGGTCAATCCAGTCATAGAGATCATCATCACTCTTGACCTTGATATGTAAAGTCCTAATCGAACCATCATCATCTCCGGGACTGTTGGATGACCCCTGCGCATGCCTCTTGATCTCGAAGATAGTGCCCGCAGCCTCGACTCGTCCGACATTTAGGACGTCTTTTAGGAATAGAGTATAAGAAACTTTTCCACCTTCAGTTTTGTGGAAATCAAGCGCTTCCTTGCGCAGAATAAGATATTTTTGTTTCCATGGTTGGATGAAATTCCTGCTCTCCTTCACGTTGGCCCAACCCTCTTTTATAACCGCAACGCCTCCCATGCCATCCGTCTGGTTGGATCGCTCGCGGGCGAGAGGTAAAGATATGGTAGACCCTGTGTATGTAGAGGTGGCAGTGCGCGTAATAGGCGACGAGACCACGTTCGTCATACTAGAATTCATGCTGCCGGGATAATTAGTGCTGGGTGTAAGATTGAGACGAGGCCGGTCCATTGGCGGTCGCGGGGCAGGGCCTGGGTTCATAAACTGGCCGGTAGTGTAGACGGTTCTATTATATTCTTACAATCAGCTTAAGTGTTCTCAACGGGGTGATTATGTATGGTCAAAGGCAAACTCCTACGTCGGGGTACAACTGGGATTGGACTGATAGACTCCGAAGTCTGTGTTCCCCGCTTGCGATATCGAGAGAAGGTTGAAAATCGTGGGAGGCAGGTGATCGAAGACGGGACGAGTGGGTTCGTTGTATTCTAATTAATTCGATAAACTTACCCGTTCGGTGCCGCCATAGTAGGCAAGGTTGAAAAAAATAAAATACCGTAGCACTTCTGCCGGGCGGAGAATCGAAGCCTTCGTGGTTTACGTCTTTAAGGGTGATGTGAAGAGCGCCTAACTTGAGAGGCTTTGTTCAAAATCAAGGCTAAAGTAAAGCGCCACGTCGTTAGTCCTAGGATCACTCATAAAGATCGGGACCCCTTATTTCGATCCAATCTAATATGCGGCTGAGGGGTTCGGCTAACTCACCCCGATGGGGACCAAGAGAGATTAGAAGTGCGGTGAGAGAGTATGGAACCAATTCAAACATTAAGCGCTGTTTTCTCGAATTCCAAAGTCGAGATGGATTGTAAGATCCGCAAAGAAATGGAAGATTAATCGACTTCGAGTGCGTGGAGATGCTGTCTTGAAGTCGATTTCAAAGGAGTCGGCTGGTCGGGTAAGAAAGAGACAAACGAGCGGCTCGACTTCACATCCGAAACCAAAGCATCAATGCGGTATCGAAATGTCGGGGCTTCGTTATTTTTTTTTTCCTTCTTTAGTTCCCACCCGTATATAAGTAAACCGACCTATAAGTTAAGCAATCAGACGAAGAAGCATAGCAATCGCAATTATTAGGCTATCGTTCTCTTCGATAATGACACAAATCCCCCTATTACGCTGAATTGATCGGGGAGATACGTGATGGATGTGTCTATTGTAATGTATGTGTGCGTGAACAAGCAACGGTCAAGGCTCTGAAGGAGGAGTGATAAGAGAGAAAAGTAAGACATTGGATGTGCAGTCAGCAGCAAAGCACCTGGCATTGGCAAGCATGGGGCTAGTATGGGTAGCGTTATCCCTTCTCCTGTTCATGCAGGGCACGGGCTATTTGGTGGACTTTGCTCAAAGTACCGGTACATAAGCCCACTTATTTCTAAGACTTTCATTGGTGACTTTACCGCAGCTCCGTGGCAATCGAGCCAATCAAAGCTAAGTGGCTTACTTAATGAAGCGCTTGCCACGCCAGTCATAGGCTAGGCATAGGAAGTACATCTTATTACATACAAATCTTCATACAAATCTACGTACCACTTATGCTACATGTATGTAATTGAACTTGAAGAAATTCAACACGATATTCAACACGATATTTAACATGATATTCAACGCGATTTTCAACCAACGCGAACACATCGGATCAATACAACATATATATCAATTAAAAGCGCTTTCACGGCCGATTCGAATGAATTACATTTGATTAAAAAATATTGGGTATCAAGCAAGCTATGGATCATCAAAAACGCGCATACGTATGTGTGTGCGGGAAAGGGTGTCACGTGACTGACGCGCTTTAGATGTTGACCTGACTTTTGAGCCAGGCTAGAAACTTCAAAAGAGGATCTCAAATACTGCAATTATACACATAGATAGCGCTTTCCGAGAGCTTTCGAACAAGCTTATTGCGAAGGTTCAAACCCTAAAATTGAATGAGCTATTGCTAGAAGATACAAGTACGATTACAACGCGTAATGCAGGTCTAATACAACGGGATTGCGGGGGACTTCTATACTGGAAACTGCTGTACTAACCTAAATAGCTACTAGCTTAGATATATCGATGAAATCGTTGAATAGCTTCAAAAACGCGATTGTAATAATAATAATAATAATAATAATAATATGGGAGGAGGAAGAAGAAGAGAAACAGCAATTACGCGTTGACGCGGTATAATATTTACTTGATTAGTCATATATAGCTCCACTTAATATAGCCGCGGCGCGTTTAGGTGGGTACAAAGGGTACAAAAGAGAGAAGTAACTTGACAAGGATTAAAAGTGGGACGAACAGGAGAAGGGATAACGGGACCGGCTAGTATGGGCAGGCATATGCCTTGAACATGAAGGTAGAAAGGGCAGAAAGGGGTAAGGTACAACAAATGGGCCAGGTACAAATGCTAGGTACCTACATGTACTTTCGATATTGTCCCATCAATTGGAAGGGGCAGAAGGGGGTGTGCTCTTTTACCAAGGTACTTCTGGGAATTAAATGATTGATTGGCGTTGGAAGGGTCTCCCCTAAAACTGCAGGAGACTCTATGTATCCTGTACATATAACCCATATAATCCGTCCTATCAACTAAGACGAGTTAACTCTATTTCTCGGCAAAGCGGACCCCTCAAGCAGGAACTAGGAATGTATATGGGTACATGTATCCACGTCCCTAGTGGTTTCAACGTTATTGAAGATGGCCACCTTGGATTGGGAAACGCTAGTTAAAACAAATGACGATCCTCTCAAGTCCCCAAGTCCCTACAACTTGTCACCCAAGAAAGAGGTTGCCATTCCTCTTTGGATGAATGGGATGGAATCGATGGAATCATACTTCCCCTATCGACATTCCTTATTGAACAATTGCAACTTTTTACCTCCGTTACAACTCAGATGACTTCGGATTCGGATATACGATGTATAAGCCGACTTGCGATACCTAGTATTGCCTACCTCATAGTAGGTATCTGGCAATCTGGGTAGGCATCGGGGTAGGTAATAATCAGGGGTAAGCACTTCGAAGATTTCTAATCGCAAAACAAGCTATCATCGAGATATCCGAGTCGGTGGTATCGTCGTTTCATCAAAGACCGTATTTGAGACCCCTCTATCCCGACAGTAAGAGACTATGATAGTATCTCTTGAGACAACTAATAACGAACAACGCCTCGCGGGCCGCCGTGCGTCTCCAAGGCTTTACCCGCCTGTGAGATCCCGACACATGCGTAGCCGGCGCGAATAAGTCACCAATAGAATCATAGTCAAGACTATTCCATGTAGAGTGGTCTTCGTTTATCTCAACGCACGAAACAACAACCAACTCACCGAATCGGGTATTAAATGAGTATGTCGCAATGAATCGCGATCCTCTGTTACGTCAGGACAGTTTCTCTTCCAGCCGAAGACTTCTCGGTAGTTCCGAGTGTCACGGGAGGTAACAGTTGATCCTCTGTGCACCGAGTAGAACAAGCTCAGATTTCCCTTGCGTACGTATGCAGGAGGAACTCATATGCAGCGCGCAAGGTTCTAGCGAAACATCCATCGGATTGGGAGCGTTCAGATGGATGGAACATTTCTTCGATGATGACGATGACAATATTCCTCAGCCACTGTAACATATGTATTATACAAAACACACGAAATACCTCCTACGAGATATAGCCCCCCGGAGGCAGTCATCGAAACGTCCTCTAGAGGTTTTAACTAGTCAAGATAGTAACAAACCTCCCCGTCGGTTGTCATAATGGGTAAGATGTACGACGTTTCACCCATAGCCTAGCCGCGATCTGCTTCACATTCATCGCTCTCCGCAGAGAAAGCGGCGAACCTCAGCTGATTCTCGGCGATCGTAACCGCGCTCGGGGGTACGGCTGCGGCGAATCAGAGTCTTGGCCTTCTCGAACTTTGCAGGAATAAGCTCTGTATCGACTATCCAGAGACACACAACCTGCCGTACCTAGGGTCCTTCTTGCATTGGTTTCGCCAATGTGCGGATCTGTCACAGGATGTTGGTGCTTGGCATCCCACCAAACCCCCTAGTTTTGACCATTGTGCCTAATTGGCCAGGGGTTACAGGGGTTACCAGCTATGATATGTTTGTATTCCCCCATGGAAATTTATTGCCTCCATCTCCATAACATGTGGGATGTTTTAGTTGTCGCCAGACCATTGTTCAAGAATGTTGATATGAGCTAGCAAATACGAAGTTGTTAGGTAGGAATATTACTAATTAATGAAGGCATCAATATCCTTCTAGAGTAACTAATATAGTTCGCACAGATTAGTACCGGCTTTGGAAGACCTTTCACTCAACCGCCTCGGCGGTCGAACAATCGCACGTGGTCAAGATCTACACGTGAAACCGCATATGAAAACGGGAGCCAACAGATGGACAAGCTTTTAATCAGATCTATATAAATCTGTCTATCGGACCTCTTGCCCCTAGTCTGTCACTGAGGCCTCCGGGCTGTTTTGCCCCTCCGATGCTTGACGTTATGAAGTAATTGACGCATTATGCCCGGGATCAACGAACAGCGACCTCAACCTCCTGTCCTTCAAATGCCGGCAGCTCGGCTTCGACATCTTTCCACTGCTTGTATCCGTCCACTACCGACTGGATTGCAGCAATGATCTTGTCTTCGTCCGCACGGACTTGCTTGGTTGAATCTCGATCTCGCAGTGTGATAGTGCTGTCTTGAATAGTCTGGAAATCAACCGTAATGCCAAGTGGCGTACCCAGTTCATCATTTCGGCTGTATCTCTTTCCAATTGTTGCAGACGAGTCATCGATCCTGTTAGAGATGCCGATTTTCCTGAGCTTCTGAGAGAGCTTGTAGCAAAGCGGTTTGAATTTCTCGTTGGACGAGAGAGGGACGATAAGCACCTTGGTAGGGGCTACTGTCGGTGGGAATGAGAGGACCTAGAGAAAATTAGCATCTATATGTTATAATGAAGACTAAGAACTTACGCCACGAGCTTCGTCACCACCCTCGCTAGCACGTGTCCAGAAGTTGTGCTCCATGAGAGCGTATAGTATTCTTCCAATACCGAATGATGGTTCAATAACGTTAGGCGTGTATTCTCTAACGTGCTCAGATCTCGTACGTCGCTCGATGACAATAAGGTCTTTAGGAATCTCAACCTTTCCATCACCAACACCAGCAACTTCGAGAGTGATGCTATCCTTTTCGTTCAGATCCTTTGCTAAAGCCTCGCGCTGGTCTTGAGTGGTTGCTAGAACAGCAGCCTCGACAGTTTTGCCATCTTTCTTGAAATGTGGGCCGAACTTCTTCTTATTCAAATCGATCTCCCATTCAGTGACAACTAGAGGTTCAGCTAGTTGTTGACGAACAATGAGAGGCGCGCCGGTCTTTTTGGCGTGAACACTCAGATCGTAAGCGCTACGGTCTGCGCAACCAACACATTCAACCCAGCCGTAAGAGGTGAGAAGCTCGGCGTCCCAGCAGTCGGCAGCATAGTGAGCCATCTCGTTCGCCATATGCTGTCTAAAGCGGATCTTAGATTGGTCAACGCCAATCTTCTTGAGGAAGAGATGGATACGAGCTAGGAAGTAACCTAGTGTCTCGTTATCAACTGTCTTATTAGCCACTGCTTGACCAATGGTTACCTTCTCAACCTTCGTTTGACCAGCAAGCTGAGTTTCCCGGTTCAGAAGCACTAGCTCGACATCCTTGATCTCCTCGAATCGTGGGTGCTTCTTTCCGCCCTGGGGATCCACGAAATGTTCGATCTCAGCCATCAGGAACTCACGCACTCGGAGCAGACCGGCACGAGGAGAGATCTCGTTTCTGTAGGACCGTCCGATAGATGCTGAAGCAAATGGCATCTGACCCTGGTTGAACTCCAGCAGCTTCGAGAAGTTCAAGAATTGGCCCTGTGCGGTCTCTGGTCGTAGATAACCGGGAAGATTGCTGCTAGGACCGATTGCCGTTTGGAACATTAGGTTGAAGGCAACAGGAGGTGATGGTTGTACGCCAGATGTTGGGTTCTTGAGGTCATATTTCTTGATTAACTCTCCAAGCTCTTCGCCATTGTAATTGTCAATCCTGGCCAAAACTTCTTCGTACTCCTTTACAACGGCATCGTCGAGCTTAATAGCTTCCTGTACACCCTTGGCCTTTCGCTTCTTTTTCTTAGGATCCTCTTCCTTCTCCTCGACCTTCTGGCCGCGTGCCTCCTTGTCGCCCTTCAAGCGACTCTCAAGTATCTCCTCGACGAAATGGTCCGCTCGAATAATCTCGCCGTTCTTCGGGTCTTTGCACATCCAGTCGGCAAATTTGTCCACGTGGCCACTCGTCTTCAAAACTTCGTGGGGAGTCAGAACCGAACAGTCAACTTCTAGCATGTCTTCTTCTAGCACGAAATGTTTGCGCCACACATCGATAATATTCGCTTGGAGACTGCAACCAGGTGGGCCGTAATCATAAAGACCAGCAACACCGCCGTATATCTCAAAGGAGGGGGTATAGAACATTCGTCTTCGAAGCATGGAGTCTAGGGAGGGACGATCAAGGGGTTGTCCCTTAAGGGTGGTAGCGGTTGTCGTCATTTTGGGCTGTTCGGGATCTAGGTATGACTGGTGATCAGATGAGTGAGGCGTAGACGTAGTGAAGTCTCGTAAATAAGAGTTTGCGACTGTAAGTCTACGAGAAGCGTTGGTGTTTGGTAAAAATTGAAAGGTTTTCGAGCACCTCGAAAATTGGACGCGAAAAGGAATTGCGAAGCCTAAGCCCGGCGCAGAATTTCTAGCCACAGAAACTACCCTGTTCATGAGACTGAAGGCTGATTACTAGGTAGAGACAGATAATCGCGACTCTCCAAAATTTGTAGGAAAGTGTTCTTAGTCTTAGAGTTGAGTCACAACCCGTAACTTGCCCGCTATTTTTCCAATTCGTTCCTTACCCCGCAGCCCCTCCATCGGCCCCTCCAAAATTTCATTCCGGTACCTGGTCGCACCTAGACCACCTGGATGCACTGAACTTGAAGACCCATATATTTGTCGGGTCCACTGAAATTTTCAGATCCAAGTCGTTATCGTTATCACAACATTCAATCTGTGACATTTTCTTTCATTGTACTAACACTCCAAAGCTCTATTGCTTCCCACCACTATTATAATAGCTTGTATCTATTGAACAGACAAGAAAAATGGGAGCACAAAGATCTACCTCACTGTCTAAGAAGACGGGAAACAAACTTCACCGTCAATCGTTATACGTGAAGCAAAAACAAGATCGCGAGAAGGAGAAGCGTGAGACTCGTTTTCGAAGGAAGAAAGAAGAGGAGAGGGAACCCGAACTTCGAAGAGAACGAATTGCACGAAACATACCGGCGACAATTGACCGAAAACGAGTCTGGGACGACGTTGACGATGATGGATTGGGCGCAAGTGTTGATATGGAGCAGCTGCTCAAAAAAAGGCGCTTACAACAGGAAGAAGCAGAGGAGAAGCTAGCTGCCGAGGCAGAAAATGGCGATGAATCTGAAGAAGAAGAAGGTGACGAGGCAGACAGCATGTTAGGTTCGGATGACGAGGAAGAATCTGATGAGGAGGTGGCCGCAAAGGTTCGCGCAAAGCAAGTCATCCGGGACGATAGCATGGCGCCCTCAACCACGTCAACGAACCTCGATCTCACGCCGGAATCGCTGGTAGCTAAATTCCCGTCGCTCTTTTCTGACGATGGACCTGCAGAACCCCAAGTTCTGGTTACCACTACGCTCAATTCGACTATACACGACGAAGCGAAATTACTTTGTACCCTATTCCCACACAGCACATACATACCACGGTCGGCGCATAAGTATGGCTACAAGTATAGTGTGAGGGAAATTTGCAAGTTCGCGGGAAATAGGGGTTTCAGTACTGTCATGATCGTGAGGGAAGACCAAAAGAAGCCAGTCGGCCTCGACATCGTCCACCTACCTTCGGGGCCAACATTCCATTTTAGTATATCGAACTGGGTTGAAGGAAAGAAGTTGCCTGGCCATGGTAACCCGACAAACCACTACCCCGAACTCTTACTCAACAACTTCAAAACACCGTTAGGTGTTCTTACAGCAAGACTTTTCCAGTCCCTGTGGCCTAAGACTCCCGAGCTTCAAGGTCGTCAGGTCGTCACATTACACAACCAACGTGATTATATCTTCTTGCGCCGACATCGATATATCTTTCGAGATAAACGGGCGACAGAGAAGAGTGTGGTTGGCGCAGACGGAAAAGAGTTAAAGGGAGTAGAAAACATTCGCACAGGTAAGCTGTCTACCGTATCTTGTATATGCATACACTAATTAATTCCTGAACTTGTATAGGTCTTCAAGAGTTAGGACCTAGAGCAACACTTAAGCTCAGACGCATTGACAAGGGAATTGGACGGGCTGGAAGCGAAGGAGACGATGCAGTACAGTGGGAATGGAAGGCGAAGATGGAAAAGCAACGAACCAGATTCAATCTTTGAGTCTGCCAAATCTTTCTTGCTACATGTCATATCGAATGACGGAATTCAATATACCCAAGTGTTGGTCCGCTGCTTACATAGTATTCTACATCATCATATCCACTGTCACATGTCAGTCTTACCTCCATCTGTCGTTGTTTACTAGGTTGGTAAAGTAAGAAGAAAGGGCATTGAAGTTCGGAAACTCAATTTACCCCTGTACCGCGCTGTTGGGTATTTTCTAGCGATCGTCCACTAAGATAAGGTACATTGGTAAGTGACCTGACGCTAGCAGCAAGGGAGCCACCAATTCAGCACCTGCACTAGGTACTTGGCGATCTTAGATTTGTGGCTTGTACAACGTGTAAAGGTCATACAGCTGACTGACATCTACCTAAACCTTCCCCGTGACATCCTTTAATGACCAATTTCATCTACATTTCATCATTGCGCCTAGGTAGATTGTACGGCACTGCTCGTATTCAACCGTTCATCCAACAGCGATGACTGAGTAAATCTCACCTTCGAGGTAGTATCTGAACTACCTATCACCGAATACCACCATTCCATTTAGTTACGGTCGCAAGTTTTCCGAGAAGCTTCTTGTAAACGTAGCGTAGTTACCGCTAGGATATCGGCGACTATGGATCGGGTTCGCTCGTTATTCAAGAAGAGGGACGATGAGGTGGAGGAGGAGGAATACCAACCCTTAACCGAGGAATCGCGGTCGTTCGAAGAACCTCACGGACATAACGAGACCGACGAGACACCATTCTCATGGATCGAATATTGTCTCTTTGCTATACTTGGCGTTGCGATGCTATGGGCCTGGTATGTAATACCTCTAATATTTCATCTAAAAGTCTACCTATAAGGAGAGTTTGGCGACTAATGATATAAATGATCAGGAACATGTTCCTCGCTGCAGCGCCTTATTTCCAAATTCGATTTCAGGATGACGACTGGATTCTCAGTAATTTCCAATCGGCGATTATTTCCGTCTCAACACTCGGGAATTTAGGGTCGATGATCGTGTTGACGAATGTCCAATACACGGCTTCTTACCCGTTTCGCATCAACCTCGCCCTCTACATGAACGTCGTTATATTTGCCTTATTAACCGCTTCGACCGCTATATTCCTCGATGCATCACCTACGGCATACCTAACATTTTTATTGGCCATGGTAGCTTTCACCGCTTGGGCGGCTGGGTTGATACAGAATGGCGCATTTGCATTTGCCTCCAGTTTCGGGCGACCCGAATACATGCAGGCCATTATGGCCGGTCAAGGCGTGGCAGGAGTCCTGCCTGCGCTTGTTCAGGTCATATCGGTTCTCGTAGCACCGCCTGCCGATGCAACCGCTGGAGTGAAAGAAGGGGTTTCTTCGGGCAATGGGAAGGCTGCGTTCATATATTTCCTCACCGCTGTGATTATATCACTCATAGCGCTCGTGGCATTCATCCCACTGGTCAACCGTCATAACCGTATCGTCGAAAATAGGATGATGGAACATATGGCTGCATCGATGACAAGCATCGAATCTGCAGAACGTGCAGCGCGTAAGGTCGTCAGCATGCTGACGCTCTTCCGAAAACTCCATTGGTTAGCGGGCGGAGTTTTTATGTGCTTCGCCGTCGCCATGTTCTTTCCGGTTTTCACACCGAAGATTTTGTCAGTGACACCGCCGGAAGATGCGGGTTTGTTATTACAACCTGCCGCCTTCATCCCGCTCGGCTTCTTATTCTGGAATCTCGGCGATCTTGGCGGGAGGACCAGTTCTCTCTTCCTCTCACTCCGGGACCGGCCCGCTTTATTGTTCGTAGCAAGTATAGCACGGTTCCTGTTCTTGCCGCTTTACGCTCTATGCAATCTGCACGGCAAAGGGGCCGTCATTAATAGCGATGTGTTTTATTTGCTAATAGTGCAATTCCCCTACGGATTCACTACCGGTTGGCTGGGCTCCAACTGCATGATGGCTGCCGGCGAGTGGGTTGATGATGGGGAACGCGAGGCCTCTGGAGGATTCATGGGGTTAGCATTAGTGGCTGGCTTGGCTTTTGGTAGCCTGCTAAGCTTCACGGCTGCCGGGATATGATTACATATGAATTTGTGGCAAACGGGATTCGATAAATTTTTTCTTATAGATATGGAGCGGTACCGAAGGATTATTCATGATGCATTTTGGGTATGGCGCAAACTAGAATCTTACATCTATATTATTGATATTATGAGAATGTTAAGATTATTATTCGGATTATTTCTTAGGTACACACGACAGGTATTGGTGTGTATCTAGCATTGATTTTAGCTAGCCGTAGGTAACCACCCGAGGGAGTGGATATTAGATCGCCGTGCATGTATACACGGACGAATCGCATCGCTCAGATTGCTTCTCACGATGCTCATAAAGTCGCTAGCTTTGGCAGTTTGCTAGCAAGGGTACATGACTCCTCCACAGGGGTAAATTAATCTCGATCATATCGGTCACACGGATCGTTTAACTTGTGCTCATATCCATAGATTCCCCGATTCCCATAGAATGGGCAGTTCTCACAAAAGGAACCAGATGATAGATCATAGTCCTAGATATTCGATAAAGGCTTAGGGATTCGCTAGCCCGTTATGTATGCCCGTCGTCTACTAATTATATCTCTTCTGATGGAGGGTTTCTAGGACCTAGACTGCGCCACCATGTACGCTTGAGCATTTCTGTTAGGCTGCCCGCAGCCGCACCTGGACACACTGGATGTAGGTGGATGTAGCTGTGTAGGTACTGCATCCTGGGGGTAGCACATACCTGGACTGGCTGGAGTCCCGGACCTGAACCTGAACATGAACCTTGACGTTTACATAAAGGTTCCCCTAGGCTTAAGCGGCAGTTGAGCAAAACGTCATAAATGCAGACCGTACTCCATACTCCATTTTTGCTATTTTTCCAGAATCGTCTCCATGCCGTTCGATTGTTTTTATGGAAAGGGGTGTGGTTCGTTTTTTTTCTTCTTCGTATTTTGCCATTCTTAACGTTTGGTACCGTCCCCCCTAAATCGTATAAATATTCCCTATCGTTACGTCTGCTCGTTACACCGATGTCAATGTCTCTTTGCCATTGATCGAGTCCTTCGTTATACCCAGACACAATATTGGATATCGGGAAGGAGTATTGTTTCAATACTTTTTTTATACTACTTACGCTATTTTATGCCAATGCCTTTTTATACTTTCTTGGAGAGGCTAATTTAGGTTTCCGCTATACTGGGCTGGGCTACGACAACTACAAAGAAAGAGCACCCTACTTCACTTTACTATTATAATAACTAAACTCTTCACCTTTTCAAAAAGAAAAATCTTAAAAAAACATTACCTCAGATCCCAGATGCGATTGTTTTTTGACCTAGAATTCTCGATTCTCTTTAAAGATTTCACCTATTTTTCCTTGATTCGAAGGGAGTCCCCGCGATGAAGCCACTAAAAGACATCTGGAGCGAACTTTCCCAGCCTCTCCCCGCGGGGTTGTTAGGCGCCGAGCACAACAGACCCTCCACCATCGTATCTAAGAAGGAGGTATATGAGCTGAGCTATATCCTCCAGATGTCCGAATTCACGCACCTGGCCGAGGGTCGCGCCAATGCCGTCTTCAGGATCAGGGAGCCGAAGGATCCCAGTGTCCCGGCAGGCTTCTTCCGCGGCACCCTGTTGCGTGTGCCCAAGGACACGCCCGACGTCGTGCCCTGCGATTACGAGAGCCTGCGGGACTTCCGGGAGGACTTCGTCGACGTCCACGTCGGCCGCCAGCACGTCGTACCCCAGATCCTCGTGCGGATCACCCAAGTCGTCGCCACCGCCCTGAACGCCCGCCGCGACTACGCCCTGCGCGCCAAGGGCGTCAAGGGCGACACCAGCATCATCCTCCCCGGCTACGCCATGCTCGTCGAAGACATGGGGCCCACGCCAGACTGCAAGGCTCTCGAGTTCAAGCCAAAGTGGCTCGCCCAATCCCCCATGGCACCCTCGGACGCGACACGCTGCCGCACCTGCGCTAGGGAAGCCTTACGCGTGGGAAAGTTACGGAAGAAAGGGTTCCGCGCTATCCCAACGCCCGTGTGTCCGCTCGGCCTCCTACACGCAGACCACGCCGTAGTAATGAGCACGATCGAGCGACTAACCCCATCACCCACATGGACAGACCAGGACCGCAAACGTCTCGCCAAAGCGTTCCGGGACAGCGGGGTTCTCGAGCGGCTGCGCGACCTGCAAGAAGAGGGGGACTCGGGGGACGCACTATTCACGCGACCATTCGACGCGCGCTTCGGACTGTCGATGACGCTGCGCGACTGCTCGTGCTTCGTGCGGGTGCCGATCGACCCTGACGCCCCCGTCACCATCAAACTCGCCGACGTCGACAAGAAGAACTGGCGCCAGAAGCAGTCGTACTGGCAGCGCCGCCACAACGACCTCGTCGACGACGGCTGGTACCACGGCACCGAGAAGCCCCCCGTCGAGACCGCTTGTGTGCTTAGACTCGACTACTGTCTCGAACGGGGTCTCGAAGTTCCGTCTGTTTTCCGCGAGAGGTTGGAACGCTGATTTTTTCTTTTTCCCTACCTACATTCACACATTCATACATACGTACCTATTACGAGAGTTGAGAACTTGGCGCAGTGCATTTTGGGCGGTCTGAGCATGTGTTTTTTGTGGTTTTAATTTTCTTGTTTTTTTTTCCCTTATGTAATGCCATGTCAATCTCATGCCCTTACCATTACGAGAAGATGATCTTCATGATGCGAGTAATACCATACAGGGGGGGTCGGGGGAGCATCTGGTTGGGCCGGTGGCAAGTTGTCCGTTACACAAGATCCAATGTTATAGAGATGTTTGGCCGCGAGGCCACGGTGAGGGAGGTACGATTGTCGTTTTATTGGAGTATTATTCTCGCCATGTTGTTGGCGCATGGCCTTTTGGGAGGTTGGTTGGTTCATAAATGGGGGATGAGAGACAGAGGGTAATCGGAGAGTAATCCAGAACAGCTTAATACAGTGTGTTTTACATATATTTATATTATATATGTGTTGTCAATCACTTGTTTGAAGACGTGTTACTTGGTGCTTGGGAATGATGTCAATTTATAGTCTTACTACCTGGTCCCTCTACTTGGGTATGATATTGCGATCTCGGATGTTTCGATACGGCAAGGCTGTAGTGTTTCAGTAAGCACCGTCTCCTAACTCAATCACCAACATCAAAGAGTTACACGTGCTATTCAAGGAAGCACGTGGATCTCAGCTAGACTAGGCGTAGTAGAATCCCAAACAGTCACATATCATATTACTGATTGATAGAATTCTTGTTTCTGAAGATTCGGTTGTTAGGGCTAGCTATGTAGATCAGCAAGGCCTATGTTCATTGGAACTTGATTTTTAGTCGCTGAAAATCGGCATGCCCGGACTTCACGATAGTTGTGTCCGGCGAGATGCAGAATAATGGAGAAACTATGTACCCAAGCGAGAGGTTAGACACAAGACGGCGCCACTTCAATAAACTTTTTTTTAAGACCCGAGGTTGGGCTAGCACTGCTCTAAGCAATTTTAGGCCCTAAGATTTTGGCTGCTCGCGTGCTCCCTTCCAAATCCATGGACGCTCCCTAGCAATGCAGAGTGCAGAGTGCAGTGGCGTGAAACATTGAAAGCGGCCGCTTCCCCCTCTGGTGGTGTGTGTCAGCCGTCACCGTCAGCCGGGAACTTGGAAGGAAAGTAGAAATGTCAATGACAGAGAGAAGGCACAGACCACATGCATTGCTTCCTCATCTGCCCCCAACTTAATGCTGCCGAGCTTGGCTAGTACGGACGATTATAAACCGCTACCGAGAAGCGCGTTTTCTCCGCAGGACCCGTAATATTATCTTGACGAACCAACCATAATTAAAGTAAAGCTCAATCAAGCCTAAGAGAAGGCAAGAAGAGGAAAAAGAAGAAAAAAAGTTTCGCGTTACCTCCACTTATCTCCTTGGTCTCCCATTTCATAAAGCTCTGCGTCGGGGTGCATAGCATAGCGTCATTTCCCTGCACAAATCCCTTGATCCCTTACTATTCTGATTTTTCCAATCCACAATCCACGATCATATAGGTCCATCAGGTCCATACAACTCCTAGAAAGCCCTAGCTTCCCGCCCACTCTCTGTCACTCTCTCTGCACCTGGGCAGTCTTTTGCCATTCCTATCATACGACTTACCGCCTAGACTTCACCGCACCCACACGCCCGCACACGATCAGCCATTGCTTTGCTGTTAATTGTGGTTCGATCTAGCCAATTCTCCGGACGGCCGCCACCTCGACCGATTTCACCGATTTGCATTATTTTATCCTCGCTTAACCTTGGAAATATCCATCACCGCCGCTTCCTTTCCCACTTAGTACCTGTTATACCCTTACAACTACATACAACCTAACAATCGTTACTGCAACTACCACGAACTGCCAACTGCGAATTGCGAAATAGGGAGGGGTTATAGTTTATATACCATGCGAATCGAATAAATGCTTCACTCAACATGGCATTTAACTTCAACTGGTCGCCGCTCACGGCCGACGCCGAGTTCTATAAACGAGCGCAAGAGCTTCTAACGAACGCACTGAATAAATCTCCGAAGCCTCCTATAATCGTCGATGATATCCTCGTCACCGAGTTCAACCTCGGGTCCGTCCCGCCAGACCTGGAGATATTGGAAATAGGAGATCTTGCCGAGGATAGGTTTCGAGGCATCTTCAAAATGTGCTATTCGGGCGATGCATTCTTGACGCTAAAGACGAGAGTTCAAGTAGGTCATATTTTTCCCGTTGGGTTTTTCTGGTGCGAGGAAAGAAAGAGATACTATGGAGGGGATGATGCAAACGACTACGCTTTGGTTCCGGTTATCGTGGGAAATTTCAACATTACACGATATCTTACCGAACTACGTCAACCCGATGCGAGATCTATCGACAGTTCGTTATATCGACATCACTTTCCCAATTTCAAGAGCTAGTGCTCCGGTTGTTACACGAAAATTTATTCCACCGAAGCTACAAGCGCCACCGGATTTCATGGCGGGGATAGCTTCCAAGCTTCACTTCCAGCCCCCTTTTCCAGAAAAAAAATTGATTAGTTCTACGCGAAACCATGGTCGTTCTACTTTTTGCGCGTTTGTGGAGTTTTGCATGAATCATTGTAATTACCTAGGGTAGCTTATCAGGGATTCGCGCTTTTTTCGGGATATTTTTTATTTTCTTACTTCCCCAACTGTCAAACCCAAGGTTCGTGCGTCATATAGGGTAATGGCTAATATTATTGCGCATAGGCAAACCCCTTAAACACATATCTCTCAGCTAAGCCAAGCTTCACGTCGCCGCAACCGTTAGCGGCTGCAGCAAGTCTCACGATACCTTTATCTATCACCTTATCTGAGATCAAGCTGTCTGCTTTTATTATATTGGTATTTTCGAAACAGAAAGGCCTCACGATAGTATTCCGAAATGATCCCCTCGAGTCTCTCAAGGTCTCTTCGACCTTTGACTCGATCCAGTTTGTTCGAGACTACCTTCAGAGAACGATTGAAGGGCAGTTGAGGGCTTTGATGATGGATGAGTTACCGGCTATTATCCATAAACTCTCTTTACGACTTTGGTGCCCCGATCAATTACCGAGGGAGGAAGTGTCGCCAAAGGAAGGATCAGAGGATGAAGCTGTTGTCGATCCATTCGCCAATCCGCCTCCGGAAGCAGTCGATTCTAATGGTCACGTGCTTGATGCAAACGATATTGCGTCATTGTCCATGGACGGGGGCTCGGAATTGCAATCTTTATTTTCTCAAAAGAATCTATTGAAACTAGCAGCTCTTACCGATTCGCAACGGACACTGTCACTATTCACACCCGGGATTCGCGATGTGTTGTTTAGGGCTTGGGCCGGATCGATGGATCGGAGCGATACCGGATATTCAACTCCAGCGTTGACGCCCAGTCTGATGCGTACCCAATCTCTGCAGGGGAGCAGCAACACATACACTTTTACGGATTCTAGCAGCTTAGATCAGGGTAGTATACCTTCGCGACCATCCCTGTCTAGTCTCCACTCTGCCACAACGGGTCTGGCCCTTGGCGCTGGTAGACACTCAAGAAGCTCACGCAAAAAGAAGACGCGCGTGGTCAACCTGCGTCGGACCAAAACCGGAAGCGAGGCCACTAGTGAAAGCAGTGAGACAGTCTCAGACTCTACATCGATTAACGGTCCATTCTCAGAGCCGATCCTACCAGATTCAATTCCAGAAGATCACGAGGAGGAGCTGGCTGATGAAGACGAGCCATACTCGACACAAGTGCACTATAGGTCCGAGAGGGATGTGCCATCTCGAACTCCTTTGAATATGGACATATATAAAGATCCGGCTATTGACGAGGATGGCCCCATACTATCAGTGGAGCCAAATGCGGAGGCACCTCCAGCTCAGCAGGAGAAGGTTGTAGAACCCACCCGTTTCCCTTCCTCCTCCAAGAGCCCATTCAACTTAGAGCGGCATCGGCCGATGGGTTCCGACACGTCGTCCGTGATTCTTGAGCAGGCTTGGATAATGAAGATGGCCGGCGAAATTGCGCGTCGTGTATACGACGAAAAACAACGAAACGAAAACTTCTGGGCGGAGAGAGACGACACTCCGCCCCCCGCATACCAAGCGACACAATAGATCTATAGATCGTACAGGAAAAGTAACTTCCGATCCTTTCACTTTTTTCGTTTGTCTATATCTAGCATGCATCGGCAGCACCTAGACAGACTGTACATACGGTTATGGCGTTACTACAGGGATCATGGCGAGGTGGGGTAACCGGGGATTTGGAGATATCCGGATGTGCTCTTTTTTTTAATGTCTATTGAGAGGCGGTGTGTAGCAGAGGCGTTTTGGGCGTAATGGTTTTAAAAAAAAGTTGTGGGTCGATCCTTTATGCTCTTGTCGCTTTTTGGAAAGGTCTCACTATATTTTCTATCTCTGGATGTGAGGAAAAGTCGAGTGTTATGCAGGACTCCGACGAATCATCTTGCACTACACATGTTTTTACCAACACAACCACTTTAAACCTACTCTCTCTCCTATGTAACGAGGTCTGCGCGACCTAGAAGGCCATGGAAGACTCGTTTGTCGGGTAGGGGAGGGATCGGGTCAACGGACGGGATGGTCAACCGGGGGGGTTAAAAGGGAAATAACTACTAGCATGGAACGGGACAGGAATAGGAAACGGAATTCAAAGATCACATAGATTGATCGCCGGTGCATATGCGTCTCCCGGCACGAAACGTCTGGTATATTGATATATCGATGTGCTGGGAGACTCGCTCGAGGCTGGAGACCTCTTGAGAGAAAAACTCCAATCCAAATATAAATGAAAGAACATAACTTCCCCCAAACGACGCCTGTTTTTTATTTTCTGGTTTGATGTGACGAGATCCGCATTCGCGTTCCTGCTCCTTACTGGTTGACATGTGCCAATGGGACATGTGAGAGCTCTGGCGTAGTAAGCCGGTGGGTGTGGTTACTCCCTAACATCTATTGGCTGCTGTGAGACTTCGTAGTTGTCACAAGAGTATGTTTGTTATATGCATTACAGTATCCGAAAGCACACGATAACCCCCTTTACTATCAAATTTACGATGCGTATTTTAAATTCATAATTCATCCATCTCATCAGCTAATCTATCGCCGCTCTAACCCCACAAGCCCCTAATTAGAGCATGTAGGTACCTAGGCAATGGCTTCCACTATGTAATATGTATGTAAACGCGCTCACAGCACGCCACGTCACAGACTGAACTACCTGCTAGACCGGGAGCTGAACGAACTAGCAGCAGCGCGTTGGCGAAGCATAGCCTCTTCATCCATCTATTTTCGAAGCCCTAATGCATGATGGAATTCTCCATTCCCTATTCCCAATCCTTTCGCCCCCGCCCCCGAAAATGCCGAATGCCAATGAATAGGTCGGCCCCGACCTCCCTATTTCAGATCGTGCCGAATCCGGCTAGCTATCTGGTAGCTATCCGGTTTATACAGCAGGTGATGTAATTTCCGCCAACGCCCATGAAGCCGACGGCATCGTGTCGCCAGCATCCAGCTCAATTAGCTAGAGAATAAGTTATTCGTGCAAGTAAGTAAGTAATCAGCCCAAGTATGTAATGTAGATAGTTACTCAGCGCCCTACGCGATCCTCTCGCCGCGCCCCAGCTTCCTGAGATGTTTCTTAGGAACCTTCAAATCGACCAACTTCGTCTTCTCCTTCTCCTCCACCTCTTCCTCTTCCTCCTCCTCTCCTTTCCCATCTTTCACCCCACGATGCCCCTCCTTCCTCAAAACCGCGGTCTTATCCAGTGCTTCGCTAAGGCGCGGCCGTCCCCTCTTACGCCTAGCCGCCTCACCCTCGCCCACATCCGCACCAGCACCAGCACCAGAACCAGCACCGACGCCGCTCTGCCGTCTACTCCCCCGTCGCGGCGCGCCCTACGCGCCAGACGAGGCAGTAGCAGCGGCCTGTTTCAGCGCCGCGGCCTCAGCCTCCTTCTCTCTTAACGCCTTATGCATCTCGCGGACCATCAGCTCGACCTTGTCCTCAGCATCCTTCAAGCGTTTAATCTCCAACTGCTCCGTCTCCCTGCTAAACGGCTGTCCCGGCCGATTCGCAAGCGGGATCATCGCGCTGCGCTCCTTGACATCGCCACCGCCGTCACTCGGCGGCGGGGCGGACTTCCCCTTCCCCTTCCCCTTTCCGCTGGCAGGCGCGTGTTTGTCCCGCGCGCCCGTCGTGAGAACCTTGTAGAAGTCCTCGAATGGCTCGTTGAAGAGCTGTTCCTCGTAGACCCAGGCGACGATCTCGCCGCCGTTGCGCATGGCTTCCTTTTCGGCCTCCGTTCGTCCGTAGGGGTGTAATCGCAGGTGATGGTATAGTGTCTGCGGCTTCTCGCTGCTGCGGCTGTCATAGTACAATCTTATCGTGATCTCGAACTCGCCCCAGCCGGTCTCGTTTACGACGAACCCTTTTTGCCGCTGCGCGGGGGGCTTGCCTTCGTTTTCTTTCTGTATTGTCTCTGCGTCGATCGTGCGTAGGTGGTTAGGTATAGATTCGTGGAGCTTGAATTGTACGCGCCGGAGCCAGTAGAAGATGTCGGTGTCGTCGACGCCTTTGACGAAGACTTGCCATGAGTGCGTGTGGTCGGCGGGAACGCTGGCGGGGCGCGGGTTGTCGGTGTCGTTGAAGGGTCGCGCTGTCGTGCCGTAGATGAAGGGCCGGTAGATTTGCACGCCTTTGACGCGTTTGCCTGCGGGAGGCGCCATGATATGATGGTTCACGCACGTAAGTAGGTAGGTAGTAATAGATTGGTAGTGGGTAAATGACTTGATGTAGATACAGCTATTAGAATTTAGATTGACTGATTCGAAGAATCTAAATATAGTAGATAGGTAAGTCTTTAAGAAACTGGGGTTGTTATTGCAGTGCGGAGTGATGAGATGCGATGATATGAGGAAAGACCTGGCAGTAAAATTAGAGAGTAGGTAGGTAGCAGCTGCCTTGTAAACCGAGGTAAGTAAGATAATGGTGTTTTAATTAAGTTAGGGACGAATCCCCAATTCGTACAGTTCACGAAGCTTTCTGAAGGAGCAGGAACCTCTTATCGATAGCATGCACTTACCAGGTAGAAAATTTGCAGCCTTACTGTTGCCCCACTTCCCGTCGGACTCTTAGCATCCCCCGACCCAATCAACGAGGCCAATCCCCTCTCGTATCCTGGTATCCCTGCAGCCTCCAGCCTTGCACATGGACTGATGATGTGAGAACAAGTCAAGATATGCGTTCATTTTTACTCCATTCATAATAAGCATCCATGGATACCATGTATGCAAGTGCCGTATAACAAAACAATCCTGGTGTTGTCCATCTACATGAGTCATGCTCATAGTATAAATGAGTCCAGTCTCTGATCAAAATCTACACGGAATTGACTTCTCAAACCATTATCATAGCTTACCAGCTAAATTGCAGTCATGTCTAGGAAGCTAGTGGTATGCGGTGGGAGTGGGTTTCTCGGGTCGAGGGTATGCAAGTACGCTGTTGCCAGGGGATGGGATGTAACATCTATAAGGTGAACCAGCACGCCATTCATATTCCCAATTACAATTATTTCACCATTCAACGCCGGCATACTAACAACCCCCAGCCGCTCCGGCGAACCCAAGTGGATCACCGTCACATCATCCGCAGCGCCGCCGCAATGGGCCCACAAAGTGTCCTGGGAGCGCGCCGACATCCTGCGTCCGGCGACGTACGCCCCGCTTCTCAAGGGCGCCGACTTCGTCGTGCACAGCATGGGCATCCTGCTCGAAGCAGACTACAAAGGCGTGTTACAAGGGCGGGAATCGCCCATCACGGGGCTAAGGAAAGCTTTTAGCACGGCGCCGCAGCCGGGGAACCCGTTGGAGCGCGGGGTGAAGACGGGGCAAGACCAGGACATCCGGCCGCCGGAGACGGCAGCGCAGCTCACGTACGAGAACATGAACCGCGACAGCGCGGTGATGCTAGCGAAGGAGGCGGCGTCGGAGAAGGTGTCGGCATTCGTGTTTATATCCGCCGCTGGCGGCGCCCCCGTGCTGCCCGCGCGGTATATTGCGACGAAGAGAGAGGCTGAGAGTATAGTGGCGAGCGAGTTCCCGAGCATGCGGGGCATATTCATGCGTGCGCCCTTCTTATACGATAACTCGCGGCCGATTACGGTGGGCATGGCGGGTATGACTTTGATGGGCAAGATATTCAACGACGTCACACGAGGCGTTATGAGCGGCTTTATGGGTGCTGCCGGGACGAAGCCCCTGAAGGTTGACGTAGTGGCAGAAGCCGTGGTTGAGGCCTTGGGCGATCCGAATGTTAAGGGACCTATCGAGGTGCCCGAGATCGAGGAGTTGGCTAATAAGGCGTGGAGGAAAGGAATGCTCTAAAATTCAGTCGAAAAAAGATGTATTAATGCAGCAACCCCTATAGACTTGTATCATAGCTGCCCAACGCCCCGAATATGCTTGTGTGGTTGATCTATTCATGCACCATGAGCGATGGAGCACTGCCGCTGCTCCCTCAATACTACAATATACCTCCCTCTTACTCCAACTCCTACTCTTTAAATCATAGTTCCACGTTCGAAACTATCCCTGATTTCCGCCGTGTATTTGTTGTAGAACCTCGATAACTTCTGGTTGAACTGCTTGTTCTTCTCATTGATGTAAGTCACGTCGCCCTCATCGCCATTCTGCGCCATCCTCTCCCTCCTCTTACGCAGCCTCTGTTCCTCCGCCTTCTGCAAGTCTCCCACCAACCTATCGACCGCCGCCTTATCAGGTTTATTCTCCGCGAACGCGGTCGAGTCTGCCGTCGAGTAGAAGCTTCCATCTTTATCCACGGCAATCAGTTCGCCGTCGTCGGTCTCGATGATGTCCAGGCCGCCAGACGCAGCGGCCTTCTCGATAGCGGCCATCTTGTCCTTCTCGTAGCGCTCGAGGTTCGGGGCCATGTCGCGCAGCTGGCGTTTGTACACCTTGTTGCTCTCCTGGCGGTAGTCTTGGAACGCGTTGTTGTCGCGGTGCGCGGCCTTCTTCTTGACGCGCTTGTCCCAGCGCTCACTCTCTTCCGCGGTCCAGTCCCACGCGCGCTTACGCTCGAAGTCGTCGCCCGCCTCCTCTGTCTCCGCCTTCAGCAGCTTGTGCGAGGCGATGTCGCGCCGTCGGTTCAGGGCTACGAGTGCAGATGGGTCTGTTGCTAATCGCTGCGACTCCTTGGTCGCTTCCGCGAGGTTCTGGTCTGAGGATGACTTGGCCCGGGCTTGTAGCGCGCGGAAGCGTGCCATTCGATCTTTAGCTTTTTCCGCAGCGCCGGCGGCGGAGCTGGCTGCTTTTTCTGCCGTTTCTATTGTAGTTTCTGTGGATATAGGCTCCTCCGTCTGTGTAGGTTCGCTTGGCTTGCTTGTGTTTTGTTCTTGGGGGATCTCGTCGTTGGTTGAAGGGACCTGCTCGACTATCTCTACTGCCGGTGCCGGTGTGGGTGCAGGTGCAGGTGCAGGTGCATCTTCTACTTTAGCGGCGGCCTTCGCGGCCTTCGCACCCTTTGTGGTCTTTCGCTTCTTCGCAGGTGGCATGGCTGATATTAAATTTGTTGAAGGTGATTAGAAGTCTTCCGAATTGTGATGTATTTTCGAATTTGTTGATATGGACATGTATATGAGAACACTAAGAAAGTCAACTGGCGGAATGATAGCCAGCAGTGACAGCCGTCCAGTAAAACCTTGGCATTTTACAGGCTGTAAAAATGGGGCTAAAATAAATATTGCCGGCTTTTTTATCCGGATTATCTTAAATCCGTATAGACTCTTTCGGGTAAGTAAGCTTTCCGTAAATAAATCCAAGCTATTTTGACCCGTTCACTAATTACCCCAGAATCTGGGGTAGGTTTGCACTAGGAACGGGTTCTCGCACCATTTCTATTAGTTTCCCGGGTGGACCTGGAGATCCTCCCCTTCTATTGTACGAGTACCTATTAACTGTTAACTGAACCATCCCTTACTTCAATTTATCTACGCTGTATTTATTTGATAGCACAAAATCGAATTATGTTCAAAAGCTATGATAATATCACTCTAAAATGTTGATATATTACGCATCTAGCCATTCCCTTCGACATGCAGCGATTGGCTAATCCGTCGTTACCCCACGTGCTACCATTAAACATCCCGTTGACCAACATTCAAATTCGATCTATGAGCAAATTCCGACGTCGCGGACCTCCGAATGTTCCAAAAGAAGATCCTACGGGAGAAACGCTTTCGTTCAATGCAACTGCCTTATTATTAGATCTCGATTCCGAAGACAGTCCATACGTGCGTCCTTTTGATAAGACAACCTTAGGCGAGCCAGCGCCCCTTAGGTACGAAAAATTTCGCAGAACGCGTCTCGAAAGGTTTCATGCCAACAGGTTCCAAAAAACTGCTGAGATGTACGCAAACGATTTCAAAGGTGTTCGGAAAGATAGATTCAGTGTATGGCGGATATCTGATTATGACGTACTCTCCTTTATACTCGATTCCTCGTTTGAGGATGAACAAACCCCGGCACAAGAAATAGAACAAACAGAACAAACAGGGGGGAGGGGAATAGATGCGCGCTTGAAAGGTGAAAAGTCATCTATAATAAAATGGAATGGAATACCAGAGCGTAAGAAGGATGTCCCTGCTGATCTTGTTTCATACGTCCTACGCCGACAGCTGATAGCCCGCCGTCTACATCCTGGTAGTGGCGATTCGGAATCACTAAGGAGGGCTCTTTTGAAAGTCAGCTTAGCACCAGAACCCGAGAAGAGATTGCTCAGTTATGAGAGAATCATTGAAGGTGTAATTCAGACACCCGAAGGCTCGAAGCTCGTCTCTGACTGTAGCAAAGTCCTCGGGTCCCTGTGTAAAGATATTGCCCCCAAGATACCGCCAAAACGTCTTCTCCCGTTTTTAAACAACGTGGTCATCAACCTAAACTCCCGCGGACTGCCAATTTCGCCAGCTCTTCTATGGTGTGGATATCAGGTCTCATATGAGGGTCGTTCATGGCACATGTTCCAAAAATACATGGGAATGGTTCGCGAAGAGGGATTTGATGCAGGTCCCCGATTTATCCAAGTTCATCATGCTTTCCAACAGATAATGGCTGCCTCGACTAAACCTAGGCGTGGCATGCCACATACCATATTATACATTTACGGGCTGTTAACGGGCCGTTTATTAGGAGAGGATTCTTCACATCCATCATTTCATGATCATCTATCCTGCTTCACCAGGACACAATTCACCGGATATCTCGCCTCTCTTGCCCAATTAGGGGCGTTCCGGTCAATGTGGTATATCTGGCGCATGTTTCCTGAAGATATGGGCAACGACCCAACTTCTCGCATCCTCATGGACAAATTTAAGGTGAAGCCATTTTCAAAGGCTAGGGCATTTGCGCAAGCCATCTCATATGCCGTTCAAGTAAACAGTCGCTCGGCGGAAGTTATACAAGCCCCTGGGTTTACGCATGTAGCCGAGGACAGAGATAAGAACTGCGAGCTTGAATTGCAAACTATCATGACATCGGCGGATCTTCTTTTACCGGATATTATCAAGGAAAACTCCAAATTATTGCCGAAGTGCTTCATAGCAAACCAGCATATGATAAATATTTTTGAAGAAAAGTCACTACAAGAAGCAATGTCGGCACTACAGTCTTATTTATTAGACAAGATTCCCACTTTACAGCAAGATACTAGACCAACGGAGGAGCAATGACGTGGATTATGAGCATGCTAGACTAGATCGAGATGTCTAAAAAATCCCATTAAAGTATAAGGAAGCTTAAAATAAAAGGATGGAACTCACTCATGCATGTTGACACCTAAAACTTGTGTGTCGTTGTCCCAGTCGATATAAGGTCCTGTGAAACCCGCTTTCCAGTCTACGCATGTTGTATAACAGAGAGGGAGGGACAACATCTCTAAGGCTATTTACGAGACTACTTTCAAGGTATGTAATCCGTGCTAGAGTGTTGATGTCGAAGCTAGTAGATCCATAAGGGGTCGCAGCCAAATTAGAATTACTAGAGTTACTTACGCGCCATCCTCGCCAACTATCAGAGTTCACATAGGCTTCGCCGACGAGGACAGTAAACACTTTTGTCTAAATAATTTTGGAAGATGGGACTGTACTGTGACTAGACGCTTGACTTCCAACTTGAATACTTAAGCAAGTTTTTCGTAGGTCTCGCATTCAAAAGAATTGGGATTGAGCTTTTTGGTATTTTCTCTCTTTTACCTCCCTATCATCAACACTACTTTGTAGTAACGAATTGTTACGTAAGAATACACATATATACCTACGTAGTCTCAATCTAGCCTCCGTCTTAGCATTCCTATACCCATAAGCCACGTCAACGGTCTCCCATTATAGTTCATCTTCAAACTCTGCTATCTATAGACTTCCAAAGAGGACTATCCCGGGCACCTACATACGTAACCACTCGGTACCTATGCGAGGGAAGGTAGGGACGAAATCTAAATCGAATCCTAAGATTATCCTATGATGACATGAATACACATAATTTTCGTAGGACACTACCATCGCCACAAAGCCTCACGATATTCCAAATCAACTAACAGCATCAACATAGGAACCAAGCCATATGCAATGCTCATGTACCATCATACCTCCCCGAGCACAGTCCCCTATCTTGATCACCCCCAGAAGATGAAATTCACCAGGTACGTACCTCAGAAGTACGAGCTTCCAAAGCCAACAAGCCCCTAGCTCAACCCTACATATGTAGGGACTCTTATTTCTCCATCCGTGCCACGCATACCCAACCCAAGCTCACAACAACCAAACCCCCAAACGTCAACACGAAAGACATCGTTCTCCATTGACATCATAGCCCCCTACCGTACCAAGCCGCCAACGTCAACATCACCTGACCCGTACCTGGCAAACAGTAGCCAAGAGAAAACGAACCCCAGCGTTCGAGATCCCCCCTCGATGCGCCCACGTTACCAAAGGGGGAAAACCCCACGTCGATAGTCCAGCCAACCGTTTCCCCCGCGCACAGACCGGTGACCCGGGGGGCGAACGCGGGTCTCAGACCTGGCCTGGGCGCGGGAGACCCGGACATCGACGGACTGGGGAAAGGCTCAACAGAGAAGCGATGTAATAATGCACTAGAAGTACTAGAAGTACATAGTGTACATACACAGAAGACCAGCGCGAAGAAAAAAAAACCTGGGGGAAAAGGGAGGTTGGGTGGCGGCCCCCAAGGATAGAGTTATGGGTGATCTACACACGTACATATACATACAGTATGGGGAACAACCCCGGTTGGCCGGCTAGATGAAAAGATAAGAAGTATGTACTGTGAAATAGACCCCGTGGTTTACTACGTAGATTACTAGCCAAGGTATCGTACAGATCTGTACTATGAGGTGGCATATACCGGATTAGTCTCGAGCCTGCGAGATAAGTGAGAATATTCCGATAGATATACCTGATCTGACTCTTATGCATGCATACTTATTTGTACATATTGTAGTAATGAAGGTAGATACGTAGTCTTACATAGAAGACGAGGTAGGTAACAAAAAAAAAAAAAGCTTTAGTGTCAGGAGTTAAGATTACCAGTCCCAGGGTCCCTATATCGGCAGTGAGACGGGTGCGCGATCTGACACCCGTAGCACGAGGCGGAAGATACCGGTGAGGGTTCTCCGCCTTGTGCGCGGCGCAAACCTGGTTGCGTGCTCCAGGTGTGGATCTCACCTTCGGTCGGTTTAGGAAGAAGATTGACTGCGGCGCGATTGAGCCAGTTTCTTACGTTACCGCCTAGTCCATATAGGAAAATGAGAAAGAAATTTCCGTCTTTCATGGCGGTGAGGAAGGGAGCTAAACTTATGCCCCTTTTAGTGGGTTGCCAAGCTTTGGTAATGCCCTCATATGTACAATGAATGAGGTATTCGGATCTCAAGGATGAAGAACAAACTAAAAAGAAAAGAAAGAAAAGTGCGTACGTAACGGAATGTGGTGGGCAACTTGTCTCAGGAGCCCGTGTCTTAGATGGATTGGCGAGATCTCGTGCCATATCCGGGGATCATGTCGATACGTATGTCTAAGTCAGTCTAAAGATGCCGTCCGCGATGCTCGCGTGACGCTCTTCTGCAATTATGACACGTCCCAGAACTTCCCCCGAACTAAGGGGTAAATTTGCTATACATACATCCTGCATGCTAGCCCGAACGATTTTCGGTTGGCGATCCGGTAGAGTACTTCCTTAATTTTTTTTTCCTTTTGCGCGATATTGGCTATTAGTCTTACGCAATTTTGCGACAATTTACTTACTCTATTCGTCAGCTTTGGCTTTGATGGCGTAAACGGCTTGCACAATAAGCTGAAATTTATGAACCTAGGTAGCCAATTAACGACAGACGCGCTTGCTTGCGAACAGACGTACCTAGGTATGTATTCGTCAAAGAGGATGAAGATGAGATCATTGCGAAAATCAGCCAAACCCCGGTCTCTGGGTTATGGTTGTAGAAACCTTGAACGTCCGAGTATAGATATATATTACTTAAGCAAGTAGCACTGCATCAATAACCCGTACGTACCGTGGATATGTACAACTAACTGTAGTAGTCATCGGTGGATATGCCGCTTCTGAGAATACGCTGAATTCTCCGATTGGCATCTTGAATCGTATTCCGCCCTCCCCGCCTATCAAGCCAAGCTAGAGAGTTTATGAGGCTCAAGTTGGCGACGCTATTGCTAATTACCTGTTACGAAGAGAGGAAAATTCGATGCCATAGGTGTGAAGCCCATGGTTTCATGAATGTATACTGACATGTCCGAATTGCCGAGTGGCTTCATGGCTCCCTCCTTCAGCATATTGTCTCGCCACAAATGTTCGCATCGAGAAGTCGCGTGGTAATGCCAAACCGGCGAGGGATGCTAGATCGCTTATGAATGCCATGTCTAGAGTTTCTCGCAGTATATAGTATGGATAGTATGGTGTTCACACCGCGAAGCTTTGTAGTGCGACAGCAGCCACCAGTGTAACGAGCGGAGTTATGCCAATGGTAACCAGCTCCGATTCCGCTAGCTCGGACGCCTCCGATTTGCATGGGATAACATCGACATCACGAATCTGGTCTCTCTAGTTTCGGCCTAACATCTGACAGATGAGAGATGGCTTTCCGAAAGATAGCCTATGCGTATTAGCGAATGCCCGGTTGACACCGAAGCAGATCATCTGCGAGTCTATCCTAGCCTAGCCAGACTTACAAAATCGGTTCACCGAGATGATTGGCTCGTAAGCGCAATAAGGTATGGGTGCTTCGACCTGATAATGGCGAAAGGGTGTCCACGTCTAGGGTACCTGCAGGAATCTGGAAGAGCTGGTGGAAGGCGATGGGGAAGACTTGCTATAGAGATGCATACTATTGCATGAAAATTTTCTTATCGTGGCCGTCTTGCTGGTACATGTCTCAGAAGGCGTCTGAGAGGCCGTGTGTCCACCTGTGCCGTGGTCGCCACGGCTGCCATGGTCGCGACGTTGATAAGCTATCAGCTATCTCGCATGGGCATGGGCACCTGGCATGGGAAAATTTTCTGGGTTGGCATCAGCAGAATCAGACTTGTTTGTTTGACTCCACCACTAGCCTTGAATGGCCGAGGCTGGCCGAGCGCTTATATGTAAAATCGCGACCGTTAAAAGAGAAACATCGTAGTCCACGACTGCTCTTTTTGGGAATTTCGGTAACACTATCGCGGGAAGGAATTCTAGTTGCCCGCTACCGTACTTATTGGGATATCATTCCCGTCCAAGATTCCCGCGGATTCAGCCCTGGCGATCATGTCTGCTGTACGACACATCCATTGGACACCCCAAGAGGGATTGCCACGTCCGTGATGTACGAAGTGATGGAGGGTGATGAAGTCGGCCATTGAATTTGCGACAGTCCAATAAGAAATCGACGCCGATAATGATCAGTTTTTTTTTCTTCGAAGCAATTCGAATTATTCGCATTAAACCATGTCGCAGTCCTAGACAAGCCCAGAATGGACTTTCCATACAGTAATAAGTTCCTGACCTGGGCGGCCTATCGCATTTACGATACTCCACGTGGGGTGATAGGAGTTCGTCCCAAAAGTAAAGATCGGTAAGATCCAGAAAGGGTAATCCGGGTTACGGGCGAGGGGAGGCCAATATAAAACAGATGAACCCATATTGAGGGGACGCCTCGCAGGAATCATAGCACTCCTCGTAATCCTCGGCAGCTCTGCCTCGAGCTACCCCCCCTAGGCTATCAGGCAAACCAGGAGTCGGGGTTATCTTTTTGAAGCTCCCTTGCAGGAGCTGTGCCGGATGATGTAACGATGGATTGTAAGGTGGTATGTAATGTAGAAGCCATGTACGAGCCAATGTACAAGCCATAGGATGTATGCAAGCCGCTCATGCCAGCCGGTGGAGAAACGGGAGGCGAGCGACGACATCTACGTGCTTGTCAACTTACATAGCTGTGCAGCATTTGGATAAAGCAACATATTGATCGCACAGCCCGGAAGGCTACACTGCTTTTGCGTTTGCCTTCCAGATAAACTGTAAATACGACGTGAAACCCAAGCTTCCAAGCCCGCACGAGTTACACAAATAAGAAGGCAATCTGCAATTGAGGACGAAACAGGCAATGAGCCACAATGGTATGTGGTACAGTAACCTTCAGATTACCTGACTACCAAGAGCTACCAAGGTAGTCGATGAGAGCGAGAGCGTGTGATAGAAGGGGGGGTACTGATACTGGTTGCATAGACATTCACCCGTATCCCCGAAGGGGATACTGCGCTTTGACTAGCAAAATGGGCAAGAATTGCAATTTAGCCCGAGGTACTTCCGACGTAGTGGAGTTTCCATATAAATCTTATGTACTCTCTTTTAAATACGTACTCTATATAATTACATATATTACTAGCCATATTTTGATAAGCCTAAAGATGCAACTAAAGATCAAGACTTTATGTAAATATAACCTATCGGGTAATATTCGGATCGTCTTGCAATTCTTGCCCATTTTGCTAGTCAAAGCGCAGTATCCCCTTCGGGGATACGGGTGAATGTCTATGCAACCAGTATCAGTAGTGGCCAAGCGAGACAGGGGCAGAGGGCTCTCAAGGTTTCAAAGAGGGGTAAAACGAGATTGATCAACTATCAATTCAGATAGCCGACGTTGAAACTAATCAATTGACCAAATTGACCACATTGACCACAACCACATTCTCAATAGCCAAAGAGATCAGGAGAGTCAAAGAGCTCTTGATGATCGCCAGAGCTGGATCGGCAGTCAGGTGGTAAGGGGATATGCCGGATAAGACTACAGGAACAGAAGCGAGGTCGGACTTGGTCGGACAGCCTCAGACAATAAGACAACACAGGCATACAGCCTGTAGCGTATTTTGTGTGTGGTATGGTATGTGAATCATTGCAACGGTAAAACAATGAAGAGGAATAGATGGCGACTTTCCCGGGTGGCGCTATAGTTACATAGCAGGATTGCAAGAAAAATACGATACCTACTCGAATTGGTCCAAGATGTTGAAGTCGTCGAATTGGTTGAATTGAAAAGGTGGAAAAAGACGGAGACCCAGCTGCCCAGATAAATCAGATAAATGGAGACAGCGCGGCGGCGGCAACACGGCAGCTGCACGGGAAGACATACATTAGGTAAGTTAAGACATGGAGGAAGGCATAACAGAACATGGTAGGGTATAATATGTTATTATTAGCTTTTTCTTAACAGCAACTTCCTTGCATCTGATAAAGGTACCCGGAAATAATCCGAGAGTTAGTCTTACTATTGAAATCTATATATAATTCTTAACAGGACCACACCAAGATGGTGGAACTCTTTCGTACCTTTTGCACTGTGTGTATAGCACAGTATATCAATCTTCACGCACACCCATTTTCGAAGGTCAGTTCAGGGCAGAGTTTACCTAAGGAAAAAAAGAGACAAAAATTTTTAAAACTAGTCTCGGGACAATTGACATTCAACGAACTGGCACACGTGCAAATGGAATCCACCTTAACCAACCTATTGATTCAGATTCCAAGACTCTAGAAGTAGAAAACGTGCAAAACGTGCTTCAGATGATGGATGAGGTGAGCTGATTTCGAAACACAGTCGTCGTTTTTTGGTGACAGATCTAGATTTGTTACTAACACATGATGGTGTTAGTTTTGGTTCTGGTTCGCGGTTCCGAACGCACAAATACATATTGAAGTTTATATGTATCTATGTAGGTATTAAGTGTATTCAATTTTCAATCACTGTATGAACCAATTGAAAACTACGACTCGTTCCGAGTGCGTATGTAGAGATGGGCAATTAAGATACCAACCAATCCTTTGTTGGAACCTCATCCGCGTTTGGAAAGACTCTTAGGTAACATATGGTGGTTTGGGTGGTGGAGGTAACAAGAGGCTGGTTACGTTACGGAGAACTTAGATCGCGACATTTGACGGATGAATTTCGCTGATGGGTACAATTAAAGTTTTTTTTCTTTCTCTTATCCTTCTTTGGCGTTCTTTAATCTTCCTATTTCTGCTCACCGCATTGAACAATCCAGGTGAGCAATTATGTGATAGATTCCGCCGAGAGATTACCCCCCATATCCAACCCGGATGGGACCTGGATGGGCGATGGGTGATGGGCGGACGGAGACAACCATATCCGCGAAGCACCTGGATGGTTATATGTTTGTTACCAACCATAGTGCGCTATAACGTAGGTTAATAGTCCCAAGTCCCAAGTCCCAAGTCTTCTTGATCGATGAATATTTCCCGTATCCCGCCGGGAACCATTGCAACGTGCATACACATAACAAACATACACTACCTACACATACATCAAATACATGCAAGTATGGCTGCCCTACGTAAGTCGTATCCTCTATCCCGCGAACCGCAGCGGAGCTTATGTTGCTTGCATTATTTATACAACGACGGGAGTGCACCATGGAATTCCCGAGCTATCGTGGCCCCTCTTGCCCCTGCCGTAGACTCCTTCCAAGATGGTTCTTAGGTCAATTTATCATCAATATGCTCAATATACTCAGTATGCATACATTGGCATACATCTATAGTATGTCAACTCCTCAAGGTACAGTAGTATAGCTCTTACAGTGCCAAGTGATCCATACTACCTACATCACCATCCCTGTAGCGAGCGTTCCATTGCATGTCCAATGTCTTGTTCGACGAGGTAAACCGTTTTGTCTTAGTACTATGCAATAGAACTTACTAAAGATGAGAGTACCTGGATATGTCACTACATACCTACATAAGATGTCTCTATCTGCCTTACATACATGTATGTATGTCCATGCGCCTATGATATGGATATATGTACGTGAATGTAGGCTTGAATAACGCTATATTTGATAGTGGGATAGCCAAAATTGTTTCTCAAAGATTAGCCTGTCGAAAGCATTACCAATTAGCAGCTACTAATCAGATACGCTTTAGAAGTATTAATGAAGCGTCGGTGAGAGAGGTTTTATAATGAACAATAAAGTGACAATAACAAAATAATAATAGAAATCATAAGAAGTTAAGAAGTTGAAAAGAAAAATTTTCATCGCTCACTTTTTTTTTATCGTATCTCCATAGAATTCCAAGAGTCATTCAGTGGTCTTTCAACCTGTCCCAACTGGGAGGAGCCAGAAAGGGCCAGGCGCTAATAGAGCACTGTCGTGATAGTCAAGACAATGTAGCAGTCACACGCAATTGGCTTAAGCCCCCTAGTCATGGGTCAATATCTCCGCTTTCGGCATTCTAAGAACCTGCCAACCAATCAAGGTACGCACGCAATTGCGAAGTTAAAAAAAGGGGAAAGCAGTAAAGAGGAAAGAGTCATCGTTGGTTGATTATTGTGCATAAACCCAGCATTACATACCTACATAATACTTGGGTACATCGAGGTAGTTATCCAAACAGAACAGACACAACCCTTGGAACCCCATACCTGCCAGGTCTACCAGATTTACGTTGCAGCCAAAGTACAGCGAGTACAGCAAGTACAGCACCTGGACTGCTGGGGTACAGTGTAAGAAATCCAGCATTCTAGCAGGCACCATACTCCAACCAAGGGTCAGGCCAAGGAGAAGGAGAAAAAAAAGGTACAGCGTATGGTACGAAGATTTTCAAGGGTGCTACTACTAGAATATATCATCCACCACCTCCGCCTCTTTGCCTTCTTCTAAAATCCTTAAAAATTCCCAAGCTTGTTAATCTGTTTAGTTATCGACCCAATTCAGCTCTTCCTCCTTAGATTAAACATCATCCTTCCTCATTACAAGACCTCTCATAATATACCATAATAGATATACATATTTCCAGATCTACTAGACAGCATCCAACAATTGTTACCTGCCCTGTCTAGAATTCTTTCCCGGCATTTACATTACCCAAGAGAAATTCCACCCGAAGTCCTACTTACACAGCTAAACGCCGCCAGTGACTCGAGTGTTCCAGATACAAGTTACACCACTAAAAGCTCTACCACACCGGCATACCACTATTCCAAGCCCGCATATCGCCAATAACGTCACAGGTGAAGCTATCACCAATCTAAAGGTCTTGAATCAAGAAGACTAAAAAGGCGCCATCGGTTTTTTTTAGGCCTAGACGTTACAGGACCACAATTTGCTCGTCGATATCGTCATTGAAGGTTTTACGACATTCGAATTTGAGCTCACAAAACACTTGCGTTTTTGTCTTGTTTTAACTGCTATTCCCTGACACTTCTATGCCAAACTTGGCATCCCGGAACTTGCAGTCTTAACAGAGAGCGGCCAACTATAAGCAACCGTCTTGGATTCGCTTTTTATCTACCAATTTTACGTCAGTTACTGCGAGAAGAAGAAGCAAGCAAGATTTAATCTGCAATTTGCGTTGCGTACTGCCACTAATTCTATATATCGACGATTGGGGAACCACGAGATAGTTGCACGACTTTTCCAACGGTCCTCTTATCATCACCACCAGGATTATTTTGCAGCTTACGAAACACCCCGCCTTCTCGTCTTCTACCCCTCTACGCCGCATATTGGGAGCAAAGACCCCAAACTAGGCTGGCAAACTAAGCAAGCCCTCGGACTACTTATTCTATTTAGATAGTGGGTTCTGGCCTGCGTTGATCGCTAGGGCCAATAGCGCATACAGTCCCAATGCATCACACCCGTCGCAAATCCGGACATGCCTCGACCAACAGCTCGACGACGGACGTGCGAAAAGCCGTCACTACCTCAGATCTCTCGAAACCCAGGAGGCCACAAACCCTGACCAGGAAATCAACACCTCAGACGGTGCAAAAGCTGGGTAAAAATCCCAGGGATCGCGAGAGGGAATGGGAAGAGGAGCGGTTTTTCGACGACGAACGGGAAAGCTTCCCTCAATTTTGGTACGTATGTTTTCTATGGAAAATCGTATATGCACGACTTTACATCGTGGACGTCGGTGAATGCTTGATCTCTATATGTCGGCGAGTACTGGCTGTCAATGTCGCATGTCTGGCGTCTTACCAAACGTCATTTTGCACCTGGGAAGGGGGAGATCGGTTTTCCTTTTTCTCTCCCAGCTACGCGCAAGATATACCTGTTCGGGCATCCTGCGTGAGCTGCGTCACTATTCGGTGAACCCATGCGGGTGATCAATTTATGGGGTGGCTTGTGTAACCAATACAGCTGTTCCTGCATTACACCGAGCTTTTTATTGAGGTTATTTGCGAGGTATATATTGGAACCATGTCGCTGACTGATCACGATTTCTACAGTATGACTTGCGAAAAGCAATTCACCCCGCAGGACGAGAAATTCTTGTATTGCTCTGAGGCGTAAGCCACTCCAGGACCCCCAACCAATAAGTGATTCTCATCGCTAACATCTGAGGTCAGGTGTCGCGAACGTGACCAAATTGCGAGTGTAAGAGCATCATCATCCCACCATGCGAGTAGGGGACATGACGGCTTCGGAGCCAACATGCCGTATTACATGACGGGCAATTCGGAACCCCGAGACATCATTCCACGCGCCTCACCGTCCCGTTGGTCCCCTCCCACTTCGCCAACCAGCAGCCAATACACCAGTGCCGTCTCAGCCTTAAGGTCATTAAGTATCAGGCCGGTGAGCCCAACTTCACCGGTAGGAGGAAATGCGATATGGCCCTTCACCCGCAGCGCTGTTACCAGTCCTAGCACGTCGTACACGAAATCGAGCAACAACTTTTATTCGTCGACGTACGATAACGGTTACGCGGTAACGGGTTACGGATATGGCCAAGGTGCCACCACCTCCGAGCGACCGCTACCCACGAGGAAACCGGGGGGTTACTCTCGACCTAAGAGCATCGAGCTTGTTACGCCGATAGTAGGCCGCTGAACGGTGGCCATTTCCAGAAACCAGTTTTGGATCCTCGCCATAGTGCTGACGTGAGACTCGGAGAGTTTTATTTTACGCGCGCCGACCGATTTTCCCACGTTCAGCAGGTCAGATCGATACTTGGCGTGGGGAGTCCGTATGGGATGTCACAGTCGCAATACTATGTCGAGGTCTATCCGAACTTAGTTACATCGAGGTGATGCGGGGTGTTTCCCATTTCCTTATTCTTAGGCGGACCTGGCTGCCTGGATGCGAGAAGCAAGATAACAATACGACTTTCCCCACGTTCTCACACTATCTACCTACATCTACATACAGTACATATCTACATTCATCACGCTTATATCCAATAGCGCGGAAACTTTACCCACATCAACAGTTTTTGGATCGCATGATTTCGATCCTGTTTCGATTCTCCCAAACTCCCAAGCTCTCAATTCCCTCTGCAGAAGCACAGAAGCAGCTTCCATGCATCCTAGAGACCTAGACCTCAGATCTACTACGGATGTTGTTGCCAAGGGAATTAGTTAGGAATTAGGGAAGGGACTTGAAGGGGATGTTCACGGGGAGATCCGTGTTTCCCGACTATCCCGTCCTATGCGCCTCGCTTCACCCTGCCTTGTCTCTCTCCAAGCCTTCCGAACTTGCCGGGCGTGTCGGTTCCTTTGTGGGGCCCCACGAATACCAAGTAATCTCGGACATAGGCACGGGCGTCGGTGGTTTCTGTTTATCTTTTTTATCTTCCACTCTATTCTCATCTCCATTTTTTTTTTTACCTATCTATTTACAGTAATGTTTTCCAATTGACGAAATAACCTACCTCGTTAGGACAAGCACTTGCATATAGAGTAGGAGCGGATCTTGCATAAAAAAAGTGGCGGCATTAGGAACAGTGCTTGGCTGGCGTATTTGTCAAGGGTGGTTATACATCGATTATCTTTTCATCACCCCTGGCGTACCTTAGTCAATGTTGCATCTATGTTTTATTTGGGACGATAGCTTGGTATCTAGCTTGAAATGATAAGGGGCAGTTGGGGCGTTCAACTCTGTTTGCGATGCAAGTTTATCTCACTTTGGCATCTGTTTTTGGCATTTTCCGGATCCGGTATATACCAATGTTTTTTGTTGCAGCTGTTGTCTTCGAGGTTCTTCTTTTTGATTGGAATTCTCACATGAAGGGACTCGGATCTTATCTTATCTGATTTAACTTGAGATATGTTATGATGGTGCTTTTTGCTTTAGCATGTATGACAGACGAGACGAAGCGATGGTTGATTACAGTATTCATGCCGGTCCTTACCTTGAGGTTGTGGGGACGGAGATAGGATGTAATTGCGCAATGAAATCATAAATCTACTTCTACGTTTACGTTCCACACCATACCTATCCGTGGCCTAGTCTTTGTCGTCATTTCATTGATCTACGAACGAAAGTTACTAAGTGCCCAGGTGGCTAAGCCGGAGTTCTGACGTTGGGCAATTGTTTTTCCCGAGGACGCGGTAGGGTGGCATAGTTGGAAAGAGGAACTTTATTCTGACACGATTCCAGGACGTCGATACGTAATTACCAGGAGGCTCAGCTCCTAACTTTCCACGTGGCTGTGTCTTGCAGATTGGATTTGCTCGCTTACGTCTCTTCCGTGGTTCGATTTACATGTAAGGCCTCGCTCTAGGCTCCTAGTTCGGCTTAGGGCCGAGCGACCACAGCTGCTGTCGCCGATGCCTTGCGTCGGTGCGAAATCTGCTGCGGTCAGAATAGCCGAGTTCTGTCTGGAGTCTGGGGGCCCCGAGAACTCCGACCTCAGCCCATAATGCCTGCTCCAGGGTCAGATGATCGCCGTTCCGCCGCTGCTCGTTGCCGCTTTGATGCATTCTGTCATGATACTGCTTTCTGAGTTATCATATGTAGACCATAAATCCCGCATCTTCTTACTCTGTGGGTGCTGCTGCTTCATACGTGCTTAGGGAGAGTACATGGTTGATTTGATTGCAATCAGCTTTTGCACACGGTATACTATATTGCCTAGCGGAGGTGTGGTTGCTGCGGTGTTACGCGGAATAGGGGCTGGTTCCTATTACGTCTTCTGTTTTGACTTTGCACAACCATATTGGTACCATAGTCATGGCTATGCTTTAGCTAGAGGAAGCTTATTATTTTGGGTTCGATTTAATCCGTGATTGTCTTGGAAGTAGGGGATCTATGATACTTAAAGGGTGGGGGAGGGGGGAGGATGGGTTCGATATATGTCGAGCAAGACATTCGTAAATATCTACTGAACTGCGAAAATCATAGAGTGGCATTAAAATTCATTAGATACCATTGGGAATGCATCTTTACATTTTCCATGAGAGACTTCGAGACCGAAAAGTTGTTGTAGATTAGCCGGTTTGCTTGCTTGAGTGGTAGGCTGGTTCCCCTATTGTTCTACAGGTGTTACAACGAAGCGAGGAGGCTATAACCATGCTACCTAATGCGCCTATTATTTCCCCTTTCCATCTATTCTCTTCCATCTAACCTCCCTCTCTGTTTTAACTTTTCCAATTGCTTGGGCCAGGTAGCTTTGAACCACATTGGTAATATCAGAAGTAGCGATACCTCACTAGCCGCACTGGAGTGAAATGATCGAAATTAAGGAATTACCTACCTCTTGATAAAAGTAGATATAATTGATACTGGCTACCTAGATGATAGTGCCGACTCGAAAGATAAATCACGTTAGTTGTTATGTAAATAATCGAAACAGGATAGGGCCCAGCGAAAGGGCGGCCTCAGCTAAGAGCGGGCTGTCTATAATTCGATCGCTAATTGAATCAAATACAGCCTAAATGCGCTATATGGTTATATACCTTACTTACCTATACTTTCAAGTAGTTATGGCGGGAGGAGTATCACTGTGAATACTTCGTACCCTTTGTCCTGCATACCCCTTACTGATTACTACTACATATATGACAGAGGTTACCCCTTTTTCCATGTAGAAATATTGGTAGCATCGATATGTGCCGTTCACATTTGACAGCTTTAGAAAATTCCGGTAGATGTTAATATTGTTTGAAGACGCAAAAGAGAATCTTTCTAAGCAAGTATATTCGATGTAAGAGCTTCCAGTCAAATCACAACCCTGTTCTCTCCTTAGACACCTCGGCACGTACAGAATATGCATATCTTCTCCATCAACTATTATCGCTTGAGCCCTCCTCCAATGTAATGAGGAATGGTTACCAAATTTATCCACTTTCTCTAGTCCACGCCAGCTCATGAAGGTACTCTAACCAAGCTACCTAGGTATATTATCATATATCCCTCTGCGACAGAAGAAAATCCACACAACACTAGACATTGATTTTAATTTGCCTGTTATATCAAAGGAAACTATCTTGGAGTGGATATAGGCAACATTACATCGTCCTTAGACTGAGGCTACATCGTCGCAGTCATCTAAGGGGATTGCCAACAGCCCTGAGGCACAAGAGGATACCAAAACAAGAAGATTACCTTAGGACTGGAATGCTTCTATTATTTGAGTAACCAACTAGTAGTGGTGTAAAAAGCCTCTCATGCGAACGATATCTAATTTCCACATTTCGTCATTACCCCTGAAATCAAGGACGCCCGGGTTATGGGATAATCTAGATTATCAACAATCATAGGGAGGTACTAGGTAGACACTAGGTAGGTCTATGCCTAAATGCCAGGTACGGATGCTGGACATGTTGGAACTTTGGAAACTTATGAAGGAAGTTACATGAGTCACCATCAATGGGTGGACTAGGTAGTTTGGAAGCTTCGACTTCCTATGTCCATCGTACTTTCCGTATAATCAACACCAAAAACCCCTACGCTATCAGCAAGACCCCTATCTCGTGAGGGGGCATTCCCTAGGCAGGTACTTACGCTTATGTAGGTAGAAGGTAATGCTTTCTATTATGATTTTCTACACTTTTCTACATCCACTCAAAATTCTGTTCCCTCCTCAACGCAATTTTCATTTCAACTCCTACTTTATCACCCATAAAATTACGCGTTTTGCACAGAAGGATCTTGTTGATTTAATCAATCATCTTCTGTAAAATTGACAGCTACCAACCCTATTCTTGCAATTAATTGATACCGATTTTTGCAGAGAGGAAAGTTCAACTTTACATAGTACTTCGATCTTACCCTACTTGTCCACCACCGTACCCCTCATCATGGCGCCGGACAGAGAAAATTCATCGCCATCTAATATGGATCAGACATCAAGCGATGCAGAGCCCTATCCTTTTGAATCTAGTGTCACACTTCAATCGATTCACGAAAGAACAACCATCAATTCTACTCTGACATCAGATTACGCTACCCAATGGGGTCCAGTAGAGGCATTCCGCGAACTCGTACAAAATTGGTAAGTTTAAAATTGATTTCCGTCAGCTATTTAATGGCAAATACTGATACTTACCTATATAGGTGGGATGGAATTATTCAATCATTCAAGCTGTCCGAACAGGATATTAAGGTTACCCGTAGAGAGAACGATGACGAGATCGTCTACACAGCCATATCACCAGGCTCGTATCGAGACATAGCTAGGTCACATGAGTGCCTTGGGTATATTCGATGGTCTCAGCAGGATGGTGCAGGCACTGTAGAGATTACTAACAGACAAGCCACCTTGGAACCCTGTCATATGAACATGGGAAGCACTACCAAGGCGACTGATGAAAATCAAATCGGGATGCACGGTGAAGGACTAAAGATTGCTCTTCTCGTGCTGATGAGAAGTCCTCAAAACCATGCAGTCCGGTGTCGCTCTGGGGGATTTGAGTGGACGTTCAATTTCACCAACCAGCGAAGACTCACTACCCGCCTCGTAAGAATGGCCCCTAGCACAATCAGTAAAGCAGACGACAAAGTAAGCACACCGGTACCAGCCGCCTCCAACCAAGACACACAAATCCTGATTGGGACAAAGGCAAAGGGCCGGAACGAAGACGGGTATCCGGTGGAGCGCGAAGAGGTGACGAGAGACCAGTTTACAAACTGGACTAGGGCGGCCTTGTTCCTGCAAGGCATCTCGAGCAAAGATATTGTGAGAACAAAGTATGGAGACCTCCTCACTGACCCACGATTCAAGGGAAGGATCTATCTAAAGAGTTTCCTGCTGAAAGAATCCCACGAAGGAAATTTAGCTAACATGGGAAATGAAACGTGGGGATACGGCTATAACCTTGCAAATGGAACAACCAACCGTGAGAGAAACTCTATGGCCAGCTCTAATGATGAATCACGCACAATTCTAGCTATCTGGGAAAGTGTTTTGGTGATTCGAGGGGACCTTATTGGAAACCTCCACCGATTGCTAGGTTCTCAGATAGATTATGCGGATCTAAAGGGAGCTGCGAAGTATGTCCAGAAAGAGACCGGGAAGCGTATCACGACATACATTAACGAAGAGCTCAAAGGCAGTTGGTGTTATACGGCTAACGAAAAAAACCTTGTAAGCTTCCAAAACAATCTTAAAGGGGTAAAATATACTTATATAATCTAGAACCCGAGGTTTGACCAGATTGTGGAAGCTCTTGGACGTACACCTCTGGAAGTGAACGAGTCTTATTGGGCTATCCTCAAGGATAGTGGGTTTCGAACGGCCGATGAAGAAGAGATGAAGCGATTCGACGAAGCGGCAATTATACCAAATAATGACAACCCATTTCAAATCCGACTCCGCCGACTTATTCGGGGTGCTCTCGAAGTTTGCTTACTGACGGTTGGTACTGATGTGGTGTTTGTGAAAGCAAAATCGACAAGCAATGTTAACTGGACTGGGACCGATTCAAGATATTCACATGAGTCAAAAACACTCAAGGTAAGGTAATGTCGGACAAGTGGTAGCAATGTTGTATCCGTGAAAACCTTCAAGTTCTGAAAGTTTCTTACATTTCGCAGATACATGAGAAATGGTCAATAAAGCAAGGTGCTATGCCAGAACTCGGCCAACCCCAGCTGACTAGTACGCACTCAATTTTACTTGGTGCTGCTCAATGGCTTGTTCGCGACGCGTTCTCACAAATCCCAACGCACCTATTCGGATTTTACGATCAGCGAGACCCATTCCGTGCGATGGGCCAACGCAATCTTTCCCTATGTCGGAAGCAAGCTGTTGCTCAAGGCTGTCGGAGGATTGATGAACTTGTTCAGATACAGCGAGTGATAAATTTTAAAGTATACGATTGCGGGTCGTTTAACAAGTTGGTTGTGAAATGGAACAAGCATGCTGCTTGGTCCACCGAGTGTCGAGCCACCGTTCAACTTCATCGCAAGTCAACTTGTTGGTCTGCTGTTCGGGAAATCGTTAATGGGGGCGATGGTAGGTCGATTTCATTAATAGATGCCTCCAAGCTGTGGATAAAGCTAACCCATTGGCTACATGTAGTTGTATCTTTGAACATGCGATGTTGCTCTCACATCACCGAGATACCTCATAAAACTTTTCCCGCCACCATATGTTATGCAGCAATAATTCCATTTGAAAAGGAATCATTCGAGGTACAAGTCGAGAAGGGACAAAATTATGCTCTAGTGATGTACAACCCAGATGACCTGAAGGCATTAGCAGTATTCGGCGAAGGTAGTAACGAGGAGAATCGAAGTCGCGGACAAGAGATCAGAAATCCATTTGGTAAGTTCTATGTGATAAGAAATGGGTATGAAGACCATCGCTAACGTATCTACCTATTAGCTCAGCAGGCAGACTTTCAATCGCCAAAGCCGGTGGTTAAACTGCCGCCTCAGTCTGTGGTTCCGTCAAAGCGTCCTTGGGGGAAATAATTGGCCTTATGGCGTTAAAGGGCTGGAATACGGACTATGTTAAGGTATACTGGCATTGCTACCTGTGTATGTAGTGGACAATAACGTCGTCATTGCTGTTTTCTGAGTATCATGCCCAAGATTGTTATTACAGCCATATTAAACATCTCCAGGGCTCCTGCTCAAGTACTAGGTAGACTTGTGTGTTCCCGATAAGAGGATATCCGGTAATAACGAGGTATACTGGTTTACATGATATCCTGTTAATACATAATTCTTTTTGTAAACCAATGACGTCCTGTGGAGGGATCCTTGCAAAAAAAGTAGCGACGCGAATAATTCTACCTTTACAACATTAGCGTTATGTTAATGTCCTAATCATCAAATACAACATAACAGTACAGATTGAAGTGAAGCTAGCCGAAAGATGCCGACATTTTATTCCTATATCTCTTCTTGAGGTTAATTCTCAAATTTTGTATTGATAGGACAGACGAAGATGGCGAACGATGAGGATAAGCAGCATGCGCAAACAGATGAACTCGGGCTCGATCTCAACACCACGGACTCAAGTAGCGACGATGGTGGTTCGGGCGACGACGAAGATGAATCGCCAACTGTGGAGTGGCTGGCCACAGGACGAGAAAGACGATCAACTGCTGGCAACCGTATGAAATCTATGATCGCTGCTGAAGAACCCGACGACGATCTTGAACTCCTCTTCGCCGAAGATGAAGACGATGCAGGTTTTACAGATGTCGGGGATGATGGGTCTGATGTGCAGATGGACTCATCATCAGACGAAGAGGATGCGCAAGAGAATGCCGACGAATTAGAGGGAGAAAAGGAATTGGAAAAACAAGCGCGAGAAAACAGACAAGCTTCTCGAAAGCGTAAAGCCCAAGAAGCAATTCCGATAAAATTTCGCAAAAAGGTCAAAATCGCGCCCACGCCTTCAGGAAGTTCGACAGCACCCGAACCGAAACCGAGACCAAAGAAGAAGTCCGAAAGGATAAGCTGGCTGCCGTCACCAGCCGATATGCCGACGCGTGCCTCGAAACGAGAGACTACGATGCTCAGCAAGGAGCAGCTGCATCAACAAATGATCGAACGTGAAGTCAAGCGTCTTAAGCAGGTCGAAGCCATGGAGAAAAAGGCAAAGAGGATGGAAGCTTTGAAGAAACCACCCATGACACAAGCTCAGAGACTCGCAGAAGCTGCAGTCGTAGAAAAGAAGAACTCCAAGAGCCTAAATCGTTGGGAAGAGGCTGAAAAACAACGAGAGGAGGAACGAAAAGCCAAATTGGCGGCGCTGAACAATAGGACGCTTGATGGACCGGTGGTCACTTTTTGGAGCGGAGTTGGCGAATGGGTTGATGGAAAATTGAAGCACGTGGGCAAGATTGTCACTATCGAGGAGAAGCCGGTCAAGAAAAAACGAAATTCTGCTGCCGGCCAAGATTTAGTAACGGATACGGATAACCCTGATAAAACCCAAGAGTCAGCGCAGACCACGAATAACCCCGAAAAGGATGATTCAGAACCGGCCTTAAACAAACCAGTAGAGCAGAAAGAGGATACACCTAAAGATGGAGTTACATCAGCCCCGATAGCTCCAGCTCCCAAAGACATAACTGTTGAAGGGGAGAAAACCGTGTCAACCGCAAATACTGCCACTCCGTTGCCTCAACCTACTCAATCCGTAGCTGCTGGGACGCCCTCAGCCGTATCAGACCCGACTCAAAAAGACTCAATACCACCACCTACACCCCCTCCGCCTCCTGCACCTACAGCCCTAAGTCTACCTCAGCCCCAGCCCCAGATCCAACCACCAAAACCGCTAGAAACAAAGCCCCAAGAAGTAAAGCCACCGGAGATGCGACCTCCCGCGACAAGCGTCTATACTACCAGCATGTTTGCGCCTCCTCAAGCATCACCGCTGATGAAGCCGCCAGAGTTGAAACCGCCATCTAATAGCTTTTTGGCTCCTCCAGCGGGTGTCAACCAGAGTGGACTTTCCATGCCAATGATCGGATACCACTCAACACCTAATATGAATAGCTCATCTAATGTCCTGGCGCCTCCCAACACGACGCAAAGGCAATCACCTCTCTCTATGCCTCAGACGGGAGTTTGTCATCCTCCTATCTCAATACCAACTCATCCCATGCAACCGCCAACACAATCCGTCTCGACTCCTGCACCTAAGTCCAACCCTATCCCTACCGTTACACCTAAACCGGCTCCTACCCAGACACCCGCCCCAGTGCATACGCAGAAGTCAACCCAGCATGTTCGATATACATTAAAAACACCTCTCACTGCCACAAAACCGTCCAAGGCTAATGCACAGAGACATCAACCCAAAGAGACTCCACCACCTCCACCACCATCTCCACCGGCGAATGGCAAAGCTACGAGGAACTGTATTATCCTACAAAACTTTAATGAGAATGCCGTGAAGGAAAAGGCCGTACAGAACCAGATTCTGTTCGGCAAAGATATGGCCAAGCTCGGTAGTAAGTTGTCTCCTTATCGAATCGCTTCACGGATTCATATACTAAAAACATAATAGAACCGCCTGCGGCGCCCCGTTGCGTTATCACACATCATCCAGCACGTTATAAAGATCCTAAGACCGGATTACCGTATTACAATGCCTACGCATACCGAGAGATCCAGAAGCTGGGACGCGGCGAGTATAAGTGGAGTCGTCTGGTAGGCGCGTGGATGGGCAGCGGATCTAATGCCGCGAGTGGTGTACCAGCTCGGTTTTTAGATCCGGACGCACCGGGTCCACCGAAGAAGACGGACACTGCCGAAGCTCCCAAGGAAGACGTCGCACCAGCAACACCGGCTGTCCCAGCTGAGCAGAAGGAACAAGTTGTTACTACAAGTGCAGCGCCTGCGGTAGTAGCTACGTCGGATCCGCTGAATCCGTCGAATCCACCTAATCCAACTTCAACTAAAGCTTTCGCTCCAATACCGGCGTCCGCTCCAGTTTCAGACCAAATCCCAACCACAATTCCAGCCCCTGCGGAGGCTTCAGTAATCTCTTCCAGCGTTGCTCCAGCGATCGTTCCAGTACCCATCGCATCTCCAGCGGTTCCAGTTTCGTCGACCACAGTAATTCCTACGGTTCCAACCTCGGCTGTGGCTCCAACAGCGGTGACAGCAGGTGATCAAATTCATAACGGGACGTAAAATTCTCCATGAAGGGTATCATTGTGAGACTAAGTTGTAAGATACGTATCACCAAAAACAACCAAACGCCAAGCGATGCAGTTTTCCGACCCTCTACTTTTCGTCACCCCTTATAATTAGCGCTTCTTTGTCTTCATCTTGTCGCCGTACTTGGGGAAGACAATCTTGCTCCTGGTTCTCCGCTTCTCAATGCGCTTCTTATCGCTTCGCTTAGCTGGCGCGGGCTTCACGCTGTCGATATCCATGGCTGCGATGGATTATTAGAAACCACAAATATTGCTACCTCTTGCTACCTCTTGCTACTGGGAGGAGTTCTTACCATTATCATTGACATTGACCGCTGCGGCGTCCTCGCCTATCTTCACCTCTTCCTCTCCAGCGTCCACAATCTTAATGTCGTCGCTTTCGGGCTTCGGGGGTTTGGGTTGCGCGGCTAACTCGAGGAGCTTAGCAGAGAGGCGCTCGGCTCTTGCTGCTTCGACGGGGCCGAAGACTTTAGACTTCAGGCGTTGGTTGTTCGCCTTGCGGGTGCTTGAGCGGGAACTTTTCGCCATTGTGAGGGTTGGATTGAGAGTACCACGAAGTATTTTAGTGGCTTCAGAGGTGTTAGTACAACAAACGGGATTTTATAGAATCTAAGATAGAATTCAACTGTGGAATAGCACACAGAGCCTTTCCGAGTAAAGTGACAATGCTAAAATAGGAGCATCTATGGATTGTTACTTACATTGGGTTATTCGAATCCGTCTTAGCAAATGACAAGTATGTTTTTGACGATGGTGACCTCGATTGGAAGTTTAACGAAAAAAAATATTTAGTATCATTTTTGAAGGTCCACATAACTTACACGCATTTTGTGGTGGGGCAGACAGTTAACGCTTGCCGTAGATCCCGCTAAGATAGGACTAAGATAGGAGTTGCAAGGATATCCGTTTAGGTACCTACCAAGCTACCAAGGTACTTACTACTTAGTACTTACAAATCTCGAATGTACACACTGTAAATCACCGTAATGATTTGCTTAATGCGGTAGGCGGTGAATTTTCTTTTGCAGAAAAGATACCAGGTACTTCATGCTACTTATCAGCCGCCGAGGACGTCGCAGCAATCCTCAAAAAGAAATCCGTACTGTTTCGTTACCCAATCTTCTACACTTTTTTTCCCTGCTACAAACATTTATTCGCGTCGCTGCATCGACTAGCAGAACGGACTCTTACCAATTTTGCTTACATTACTGGCCAATAACAATCACGACGTTTCCTCATAACGATATTTCCAATCACCTCCAACCCGAAAAGCCGACCACGTTTCCGTCATACAGCTTGACGTAGGTACATTCAGGTTTATCGATAGGACACAACAAGTACGAGGATTGAGTTCCAGCCTTACGCGCGGTTGGTAGACCTCAGCGCACGTCGAGCCTTCCTGATGAGGCGGCTCGACTCGACAAGGTGCGACTGCCTCACGAGACGATAGCAACCATGTCTTCCAGTAACCCTGACATTCGATCGCTTGAGCGAATCATATCGAATATGCTTAATAAAAAGTTACAGCAGATTTGTTCGTCTCATGGGTTAAAAACAGGTGGGGTCAAGGCCGACCTGCAGAATCGCATCAAGGACGGTTAGTATCTCCAGAACATCTCCAGAACACATGCATCTCCAGAAATCCTACCAGATTTATTTTCCCACCCAACTATTTTTGCGCGAGGATTACGAAAAGAGTAGAAGTCGAGTTTCACCATAAAAAACCGAAGCTCTACCCCGCTTGAACTCTCTTCTTCATCCAACCTTTTTCTCATCTTCATCTTCAACCTCAACTTCATGGGTCTATCCCTTCTCATTTTTATCCAATTTCCACCAAATCACTATATTTAACCCCCTACTAACGATTCAAAATGTAGCGCTCCATGAAAACTTCACATCCGATCCCACCAACTTTGGAAAAATCCGGGATACGATATTATCCGTCCAGAACGGTTCCGGTCGATCGAGTATGGCGCCTCCGCTAGGTTCAGGCTCCGGTAGTCAGCTTCCCGCCCAAAGTAATCGTAGCAATTATGCTTCCTATGGTTATAACCCATATCCGCAAACTGGTTCCGGCGTGTCTCAACAAGGCAGTGTCTACAATGGCCACAGGGACACTGTTCTTGGGTACGGTCGAGTACCTCCATCGGATAATCTCTTTAAGAACACTCCTTTTTACACCATCGAGATGAGAGTCAGCTCTCTGCAGACGTGCCAAAGTAAGGATTGCGCGCTACGTGGTGTTGATGGCCTGTCTAATATTTTCATAGTCATGAGTAACCATCGCAACTCAGTCAACATCGTTTTAAGATCCAACGACTATCCAGAATTGGCTCGTTGCGGTCCGTACCCATCGCCTATGAGAGTTATGGTCTTTTGTGGCAGCGAGAATACGGGCCCTCAAGAGATCCAGTTCCCACATCAAGCTGAGCTTAAGGTGAATGGGGAAGATATAAAGCATAACCTACGAGGCCTTAAGAACAAGCCGGGATCGACTCACCCGGTTGACATTACGCAACACTTACGACTAAAACCGAGCACGTATACGAACAACATCGAGTTCACTTATGCATTGACCTCGAAGGTGAGTGGATATAATCCGTTTAATTAAGCTCGAGTGAGCCATCCCCTCGGAACTTAGTGGTTCCTATTAATATAAATATAGCTAACAGCTTAGAACCAGAAGTTCTATCTAGCTCTTTATTTGTGCAAGACACATTCGATCGACGAGCTTGTTGCGAAGATCAAGACGAAGAAGATTTCTAAAGCTTCCGTCATTAGAGAGAGTACGATAGAAATCATATTCCCAAACTATGTCGCCATGCTGACCTACTCATAGTTTCGAAGAAGGCTAACGACCCGGACATCGTAACAACATCTCAGGTGTTATCTCTGCTGTGTCCATTAACCTATATGAGACTAAAGACCCCCTGCCGAGGAATGTCCTGCAATCACATCCAGTGTTTTGATGCGAATTCGTTCATGCAGCTTCAAGAACAGGGACCGACGTGGAGCTGCCCGATCTGCTACAAGGCAGTGCCGTTCGAGACATTGGCCATCGATGACTACGTAGATGAGGTCTTGTCGACCACGCCCGACTCGTTACAGCAGGTTACGATCGAACCGGATGGTCAGTGGAAAACTAAGACGGAAGAGCCAGAACCTAGCCGTTTTCGACCTGCCGTCAGTAGTAAGATCGAGGACGACGATGATATTTCAATCATCTCTGACTCTCACGGTTTCCCTAACGGTACTTCCACCAGCACGGCCAATGGAAGGAACAACTATAGCACACCTAGCCGATCTTTTGCTCACAGCGGAACACCCAGCGGAGGTGCTCGAGACACGTCTACGGCGCCAAGATCAAGCCATAAGCGACCGGCAGAGGTGATCGACCTCACCCTTAGTAGTGATGAGGACGACGAACCTATTGCCCGCGCACCGAAGCGCCAGAATCAAGGGACAACGCTTAACGGTCTCAGTTACCCCTCTAGCTACAACCCTTATTAGGAAAATGGGTCTCGCCCACCGCGACCTCGTGACGCTAAAAGACCTCCACGGCCCACAACGAGGCAGCGTCTGGAGAACATGATAACCAACTTTCTGCGACCCAATGGAAATGGTCATGATTAGCACTGAAGGTTAGGTTTTGCCTAGTCCTACGCACTTGACACGATAGTTCTACGGTGATCAGACCAGACGGCACCGAATCTGATAATAACGGAAGTTCCAGGTGGAGGTTTTGTTCTGTACATAGGACCCGATTAGTTCCTCGGGCGGAAGAGTCTAAGTGCGTGTGTGTGTGTGTTTGTGTAAGGTTATGAGGAACGATAGGGGGAGGATTGATCACATCGGCGTTTGGGGGCGGGAAATACCTCTTGCATTTCGAGGCTAAAACGGCTGGATTGCTAAATAAATGAACCAAGTTTACTCTATCCGATGAACGTCTACTTGAGAGGCTTCCATCGGTCTCTTTGCTGTTTAGTCTTAATTTAAGACTGAATACTAATGATATGTACTAGGCAAACTGATTTTGCTTATGTAAGCCTGTCTCGGGTCTCTCGGGCTAGATGGGATTTAAATGTGCAGGGTATGATCTGTTGTGTAACCAAACCCGTTTTGTGTTTATATGTATAGTTGAAACAAATGCGCTTAAGCGGGTAGGGTACCTAGGTGTTTAATTAATTAGCGCCTTGTCCGCTACGCAACCGTTGAAGCTGGTACCTAAACTTTGGAATCTGTAGCAGCTTCAGCCCTGTCTGTCCCACTATATTCTCAGCCTCGAGCTCTACGATACCGACAGTTTAAATGTGTGTTAGACCTAAGAGACGAACGACAGAAGTACTGAAACTTGTTACGGACGGGATTGACGATAAGATAGGATTGGAAGTGTTGGTAGTTTGGAGTAGAAAGGACTAGGAACGAAGATCGGAGCTTTCTATGTGTCTTTAACTCGCACGCACCGAATATTCCTCTACCTCCCGCCTCATGCGCCGCGGAGTACCGCATCTTGGACGATACGAAGACCCCGCGACACCACCGCTAGTGCCTTTACATGAGTAAAACATAAGGTTGCATGGGGAGATAACCTAGATACTCGATATACTTAACCGTCTACGCAAAGTATAAGGAAGAGAGAAAGCGAGAAAAGACAAATAGACAGACGAAATGTCATTCGACCAACCCCTCCCCCCCTTCAACGCCTCGGACCCGAACGCCAGCTTCCTCAGCACTTCATGTCTGGACTTCCTGATGATCGAGCTCGTGCCCATGACCTACCGCGTCGCCAACGAGCTTGACGCCGCCGCCTCCGCGACCTCGCCTGTGACAGGTGATGAGGGGGGTAGGAGTAGTAGTGGTAATGGAAATGGGAATGGGGTAGACACGGCCGCGGGCTCGCATCGCTTAGACGAGGACGAGGAGCGCGATGCGGTGTTCTTCCGGTTGGACGGGTTGGGGTATCGGGTTGGGCTGGGGCTTGTTGAGCGGTATGTCGTTTCCTTTCTTTCCTTCTCCATTCCCTCTTTCCTATACATACATCCACCCATACCCATACCTATACCCATACCAAACAAGCAAACCAAACAAACCAATCCTCTAACCCACAAACCCACAGATTCTCCCGCGACCGCCCCCGTTTCAACGACACCCTCGACGCCATCAAGTTCGTGTGCAAGGACCTCTGGATGCTAGTCTTCAAGAAACAAGTCGACAACCTCAAGACGAACCACCGCGGCGTCTACGTGCTAACCGATAACGCTTTCCGGCCTTTATCCCGCATGAGCGTCGATCCTGGTGGGCAGGCCGTTGTTCGGGCGCAGCCTGTGAGTATATTACGTTTTCCATATATTCCAATTACCTATTCACCTCCATTTTTTTGCTGTTTGCTATCTATATGAAGAAGGGGGCAGAGGGAAAGGGAAAAGCAATACCCATCATTATCACCTAAGCCAATGCTAATGTTCACCAGTTCCTCTGGTTCCCCTGCGGCGTAGTTCGCGGCGCCCTCGCAGCCATGGGCATCGCCGCCACCGTGCAAGCCGAGTCGAGCGAGCTGCCCGGCGCCGTGTTCCAGATCAAGACTATACCCGCGAAGCAATGATCACCTCCTTACCGTCTCGTTTCCGGACGTCACACCATCTAGTTAAAACTAGCTATGATTCCATTCTAGTCTAGTCTAGTCTAGTCTAGTCCAGCGTGAGCTATCCGCAAGCGAGAGAGTATGAGTGTCACCACGCGAACTCATTCATACATACACATGATATAAAGCCCATAAAGGCAAGGCAAGGCAAGGCGTAAAGAAAAGGGAGAGGGTTTGGTTTCAGGCCTAAGGAAAGGTTCTTCTAGCATTTAGAAAGTAACGGCGTTTAGGGGTGTCGGTTGCTACTACTGTTGATGATGATATCTACATATGGTTATTTCTGATGACGAATCTCCCCACGTGTTGCCCGTTCATATAATATACTCCTCCCATCACGTGTTCCGCCGACAGAAAAAGAACCAATCCCAACAACATCCAGCGAAGACCCCCCTTCTATAAAATCCGTTAAACCAAAATTGACTCCCTCGATATCCCCTCCACCCTCCTAAAACCCCGTTGAAATGAACTTGGTTGGATACGGGAGATATAATCTGGTTATAATCCGGGCGGTTACGTACGTCACTTTTACAACCTATGCAAGCAGAATAGGATCAGTCACTTGATCTTAATTATCGCCGGAGCTGTTTTGTTGTTGACTTTGTCTATAAACCACGCCGAACCCCATGGGCAAAGTGTTTCGTGGTAAAGCACATCGCAATAACAGTCATGCCGAAGGCCTCGTAGGGCCAGGCAGATCATCCAAAATAAATCAGGGGGGTAATTACTTTTGAGGGGGGTTGTGGGCAAAGGTAATGCCCTTCTCGATGTTGCCCTTTAGGCCCTCGACGGCCACCTCCACCAACTTCTTCTCCTTTTCGGTGATACCAGCCAAGGGGTTGGTGACCTTCTCGACACCGTTGGGCTATGGAATGATTAGCACAATTTTTTATCAAGCTTCTCGATGGATTAGAAACTTACTCCGAGTTCGACGGGGGCAGAGAAGAAGTCCAAGCCAGTGGCCTTCTTGATCTCCTCACCACCTGGCACACCAGGTAGGTAGACGAAGCTGGGCTCGACAAGACCCTTCTCACCCTTAACCGCCTTCAATACCTTCTCCGCAAAACTAAAGAACGGTTAGCCTTCACCCCTAGAGAATAGGTATAATAGATCTTACCGGAATCCAGCAAAGGCCATGGACAATGTGGCGGAGCCAGCACCGTCCTTGGCCTTAACGACCTCATCACCACCAAACTGAACACGGTTGACAAGGGCATCGTACTTGTCATCCGGGATCGCTACACTAGGGCTGATCTTGCTGAATAGAGGGACAATAGTCTCGCCGGAGTGACCGCCAATGACGGGGACGGTCAGTTCAGAGCCTGTCTTCTTACCTCCAATCTCAGCGACGAAGGTCTCAGCACGGACGATGTCGAGAGTGGTGACACCGAACAGCTTCTGGGGGTTGAAAACACCCTTAGCCTTTAGAACCTCGGCCGCGATAGGAACGGTCGAGTTAACGGGGTTAGAGATGACGAGGATGAAGGCATTAGGAGCCACCTCGGCAGCAATCTCAATCAGACTCTTGACGATTCCGGCGTTGATGTTGAACAGGTCGTCACGGGTCATGCCGGGTTTACCTATCTTGATGAGCTATTTTTGCGCCAATTTATAGGTAGTTTAAAATACTCACGGGGAATGCCGGCAGGAATGACAATGATGTCGGCATCCTTGAAGGCGGCTTTTCCGCCATCTTCCTTAGGTAGGTAGCCTGTTACTTTCTACGACTTTTATTAGATTCTTATTATATCATCGGTTTTTGTCGGGATTGTTTGCTTACAGCAGTGGAGGAGATGTGGGAAAGATCGGTTGCGACACCGGGAGTGTTGACGACATCGTAGAGGGCGAGTTCGTCGACAAGGGGGGAGAGCTTCAGAAGGAGGGACAGGGGCTGTTCGGCATTAGTTTTAAGCTCTTCCTTCGACTACTACGGGTCTTAGATGGCAACAAACCTGTCCAATACCGCCAGAGGCACCAGCAACAACTAATATCTCATCAATAACATGGTTCTCTATTCATTCTTCAACTCGGAATTGTTAAGTTTCATACCGGCTTTGACCATGGTGTCGGTTTAGATTTCGAGGTGGGGTAAAAGTTGTGAGGGACTAAGACAAGGATCTAGATCTCAGTTATTTTCTCTTTAACAAGGTATAGATATATGTTTATTCGTAGGATTGATGGAGGAGATAGAGGTATTTTTGTAGATGAAGTTGTGAAGATAGAAATGGACTACAAACCCGAGCTTTATACGTCGGAAGTTTAGGTATCTACCTCTTGGCTTGTTTGAAGACGGACTTTCTAGGGTGACGAAATTAGAAGAGAGTTGAGTTGATACGCAAAGAACAAGGCGGGGCAGAGGGGGGACATGATGTTGGAAAGCGCTAGGGAATCCACATTAGCTTTCATGCGGTTTAATGTTTGGCGGAACCCCACCATCTCGCTATGGGAATGTACCTTCCGCTGAAACCACATGCAAGTCAGTTAACTTTCTATGCCTTCTCTACCGACATAGGCAAGCGCCTTGTCCAATGATGCCAATTGCATTACTCCAGAATCCTAACAACCTTAACGTCTTATCGTCTCATTGGGACTTGCCCATAAAATAACTCTCTTAGATCGCGTCGTTTTACATCATCCCTCAAGGTAGGTAAGTATAGGTATAAGTATCCATTATTTATCAGATGCCCACCTACATACCTATCGATTCCCCTACCCGAGGCTATTCTACGGAATTCATTATATTGCGTACCGCAACATATCCGAACTTACATCACACCCATTTCCCGAGGTTCACCTTTCGGCGGAATCGGGCAAGGTCGGACGGGCTAAAAGGGAAATCATTCACGTTTAATACCTTTTTGGCTCTTTTAAGGACTCTAGGAAAAAAGACCGACGATGAAGGGCAATTTACTTCTCACTTACATGTATGAGACCTCCCGACTCACCCCTGGCCTGCGATAAGTACTGGGGAATGTAGGAGGATGTAGGAATAAAATCACTCAAGGTAGCCGTATCATACGAATAAGCTTGGCTGCTGTCACACACACCCTTTCGTGACGCCGCAAAACCAGGATTCTCCGGGTAGCCCTGCCATATTAGACTGTAATTATCTCAGCCTACTTCCTCTGCAAAATTCGTCGTTTGAAGTATGCGGGATATGTTCGAAATCACGCAAAATCTGTGGCTCCTTTCTTTTCAATGCATGTATTATTTGAACACTGTTGAGGTTCGGGCTGACTACCGAGCAATTAAATGCATATGCTCATTCCCTAGCCGTCATTCCCTAGCAGTAGTCGCCCAATCCTCGTCGGCATTCTTGCTTCCCCTATGTAAAGCTTACGACTCAGCAGCGGCCTTCTTGGCCTTTGCGCCTCGGGGCTTGGACTCGGGGGTAGGCTTGGGCTCCTTCTGGGATCGGCGGATAGCGGAGACACGGGCAACGGCGGCTTCGCGGAGGTCAGCTCGGTAACCACCGGCGGCGGCCTTGTTGGCGACGGTCTTGTAGATCCTATAGAGTTGCGCGTGTTAATAGACCAATATCCTATGCGATCCAACCACATCTTAGGCAGAATTAGGTAATAGAGGTGACCTATACTAGCTACCATTGCCATAACTTGGCATAGGTATAGCCATAGACCATCTTTTTACGCCATTCTACCCGATATGAAGGTACTTGGGGGTAACTGACTTTCGTGTGGTTTGGCCACCGCTGTGGACAACCTCGGTCGTAGACTTGGCGGGCTTCAGCGAAGCGGACTCCTTCTTGCTGATGACCTTGACACCGTTCTTCTCGGCGGGCTGGACGCCAATAGCCTAATTTTCCAATTGTAAGTCCCAAATCTCATCGGTGTCGGCTCATATCGAGTCATCGCTCGGATCGATCTATTCATACCTTGTCGTTCAGGAAACCGGCATACTAGCTTCATGTTAGCATATATACTCTTAAATGTTTCAATATTTCTTGGAATTTGTAATGAAATCTTACCTTGCGGCTGTTCTTGTTCACCAGGTTAAGAGGATCCCGAGAGAACTGGACACCACCAGCCTCCTTTCTCTTGACGAGGTAGGAGTTGTTGCTTCCTACATATAACACATATCTATCAGTCTCCAATTTATACCCCATTAATCGGGATCGCAATCGAGGCTCGGGACTCACGGGAGATCTCCCAGATGAGGTCGGCGGAGACGAGGTTGCTAGCGGTGACGGCCATCTTGTATGAGATCTAGAAATTCGGAGAATCGCAAGAATGGTAAATTTCGGTTCGATTGTTCTATGACTTTGGCGAATTCGAAAAGTTCACAGCGCAATTGCCCAAGTGTGGGAGTCGCTTAATTAGCTAAATTCGTACTAGCTTCTTTTTATATAATCTGCATAAACCTAATTCATTTATGCATATGACTCGGAGGTGTTCATGGCATTAAAGATACATAGGTACTTATATGGTAGTACGAGAGGCTGTGTAAGCAAATCTCGGGGGGCATCCACTTAAAAACGCGACGACGCAATGTGCACAGACCCTACTTAACCTGAATCGGTAATATTCTACCATTAGGACTCCAGGAGCGGACGGGTTGTCGTCAGTCAGGTCAGTTCAGTGAGACGGACACTTAAACGGATCCACTTCCATCCACTAGAACATCTTCAAACTCGACTTTCATCACTGCAAGTCTGCGAAAGAAGGCCGTCTGTTCCGATGGCTTATCTGTAAATCACGATACCATACCTAACCATTCCATTCTATTCTACTTCTGCAATTGCCATTATTGATTCATTCACTATCTTCTTCCTTCGCCTTCCCTTGTGTCTTTTTTCTTGAACCCTCCTCTTTGCTGTTGGCTCCTATCTACTCGAACCACTCGGCTGCCTCAATCCGGCGACTGTCTCACGATTCTCATTCGCCACCCCTCACCCTCAAACACCACCACCAAACGCTCCCAAGAAACAAGACACACACCAACCGAAAAAATGGGCTACCTCCTCTACTCCATAACCTTCGCCTCCCTCGTCGTCGGCACGATCCTCTACCTAACGCGCAACTACTGGATCCCCCTCTTCCGCAACCAGCGGTACCTGCGCGTGCCCGGCTCCTTCGCAGGCGACATCGAAGCCGGCCTCTCGAGCAGCACCTTCGACCTCGGCGCCAACGTGAGCGGCGGCGACGGCCGCGCCGGTCTCGACGACGAAGCCAAAACCCAGATCCTCGCCATCATGAAGAAGCGCCGTCTCCAGTTCGACGAAGCCCGCCGCGTCTACATGGAGCAGCGCTTCAGCGCGAACGGCATCGGCGCGGATGGGCGCCCTAAGGATCCTAAGTTCGTTAGCTTTTCGTGAGGTTTTGCGCGAAGAATACGCAAATTACAAACTCTAGACTCGGATTATATGCGTGGGTCGTCGCGGGAGGTTGTGTGTATACCTACGCAGATGGGTAGTGTACATGGGTGTATTTGATAGGGAATGGATCTCGGGCTGGCAGGTTGGTTGTCAGCGTGAATATGGATATGGAGGACGGGAGACGGTTAGGCGGATGGGACTAGGCGTAAGCGACGGACCGACCATATTCTCCGCGACAAACATTCGCATTTTCCTTTAACATCTCAGCGGCATGGCGTTTACGGACACGGACTACTCGTTGGCAAGACTGGGTGGCTTTTTATCGCCTTTGGGCACTCGGCAACTCGAACTGAAGCAGGTTATCGACATCGTACAATCGGGCGTAATGGGAAGGGAATCGGGGCTTACAATTGCAATTGAAACCCTTGGGAGATTATATACATAGTATAGTTGCGGAGAGCGGCTATAGGAGGCGAGGACGATAATGGATCGTTCAAAATCTACCTACTACATACATACCCATGACAGTTTTCTTATCTGAATTCAATGATAAAATCTCCCAGCAATGTGGCTAGCCTTCATGTGGTGTACTAAAGTTATAAGCATTCAGGTTCTGGTATACTTTGGGTGTTCTAACATATAGATCAACCAGATCCCTGATCAACTTGCCCCTGTATCCTACGTACGATTTCATGTCATGCGTAACACTCACACAATGACGATGTCGTGTATCGTCCTTTCTAAACACAATGTAAGCGGTGATATATCCCTGAGACCTAGCTACGGAAGCAAGACTTTGAAATTCCGAAAAGAGCATCACAGTCGAGCGCAATTATCGCCCGAGGTTATACTTGTACACAGTTTAGACAAGATATAATACATCAGAACCCAAGACCAACCTAATCAGACCTCCCAAGGCCGTCAATTACTCGTGTTAAATGCAGCCACAAACCCAATCCACATCTCTCTAGACATTTAAAGACGGAAGCCATGCACACAGAAAGATCAAAAGCCAATATTGCTTAGAAAACATTAGGTTTTATTTAGCCATTAAATCTGTTTGTTTTATACTATCCATTATCCATCCATTGATCCATCCGTCCATACATACACATTTTCAGCATCCCATATTCCTCATCTTCCATCGACAAGAAACACGAGAGAGAAAGAGAGTGAGTCGCCTCATCTTCCATCAACGAAACCAATCTCCCATTTCGTCTCGAAGATATCTTTCTTTTTTCTAAATAGCAACGGATCGAGGGGAAAAGCAAATAACGATGGATAATGGCATACCAATCAATGCAGCACCCGGAACGCCGTCATTAAGGGCGGGCCCCAGCATTCATTCTGCCCGTGATCTTCTAATATGTCCGACCTCCTCTAATTAAGCCCGCCCAATCTCAACCGCCAAACGCCTCGTTCCGTCGACGGCATCACAGGACGAGACGTCTTTTCGTTCGGCCGCGCTCGCGGCCGATCCTAGGATGCATAGATGCTAGGAGAGAGAAGAAAAACGGGTGCTTTTTGAAAAATGTGGCGACGAGAAGAGTCTAGTTGTTCTTCTTGACGCCGGCAGGGTCGTAGGTGCGGTCGTCTTCGCCCTCGACTTCCTTGACCATCTTCTCCATCTCCTTGACCTGCTTCTTCCACTGGTCGTCGCTCATCTTCTGCTCCTTCTGGAACAGGCCCTCGTCGGGCTTGCGGTAGCTGTGGCCGAGACGGTCCCAGAAAGTGGTGTACTGGCCGTAGTTGTAGTTGAAGTACAGGTGGTGCATGGTGTGGCAGGCGGCGCCGTTGATGACGGGGCTGTTGGCCACGTACTCGCCGTCGTGGATCATGATGGTCCAGAAGTTGACGAAGACGAACAGACCGACAGATGCGAACTTGTTAAGGGGGAAGAGCAGAGGGAAGACGTGGTAGGGGAGAGACTGCGCCCAGCCGTCGACAGGGTGGAAGGCGTGCGAGGCATAGGGGGTGGGCATGATCCACTTGTGGTGTGGCTTGTGAAGACGCTTGTAGATCAACGGATGGTGAAGGCCACGGTGGATCAGGTAGATGCAGGCGTCTGTGAACAGGATGAAAAAGGGGTACTGCAAGATTTCGTACCACATTCCAGGCCCGTCAGCAGGAGTGTCGTAAAGTCGGGTGTAGCCACGGACGTCCATAAGCCAGAAGGGAACAGTCAGAGCAGACATGCCAGGCATAGACTGCATCGCCTGCTTGATCTCGAGCCACATCTGGTGCTTGAGGTACTTCGGATGCTGCGTCGTTTTTTTGTCAAAGACGAAGAGGTATGAAAGTGTGGCGAATGAGAAGTATAGGACGAAACCGAAAATCCTATGAGTATCGAATTAGTATCGAACATCGATCATACACTGAAAAGGGGGGCGGTGACGAACCAGGTAATTAGGAATAGGGTTGTGAATTGTCGATATATGTTATCCCTATTCCATGCGCTCATATAAGCGTATTTAGTAGGATCGACATGGAAGTAAGGGTTCACTGTCTTGAACTGCCATGATGACAATTCCTGGATTGTGGTGTTGCTGGTTTCTAAGAAAGAAGAGGGAATTGACTTCGCCGGGTGCGCCCAGGCGTAGACATAGTCGGCTATGAAGGTGTCGGTGAGTTCGAGCACGACATCCATGATGAAAGGATTGGAAGGCGAACAATTGAGACGCGATACTGAGAATGAAGGACGATGAGCGAACGAGAGGAAGTCCAAGGAGTGTGTCGGGCGCAATTGTTTTTAAAAACAAATTTGCTATGATCCTCTAAAGTCAGGGAATAAGTCTATGCAATTTCGCGAGTCGCGCGGCGTCCGTCCTGTCAATTGGGGAATATTTCTTTTGGACTCGGAGTTTAGATTGGATTATCGGAGCCAGGGGGGAGAGTCGATGGGGGCAAGGGTCCCTTCGTGCCTGACTAGAGCTAGAGCTGGCAATCGATAAACTTAAACACCGATAAGCGGATGCAACTATCGCCCAGTGCAACGCCTTAAGACTCGGATCTCAGTGCTGAGGATGTAAGTGGGAAAGATAATGCTAGATTCGAGGGGACTATTTCTGCTTTTATTTATTGTAACCGTCGAACCATCCTTCAATTACATCGTCCCATTCAGGCGAGCAGGGATATCAACTGTCGAGATGTCATATCGGTAACGAACTTGACATGCCAGACATTCTGGAATAGGTGGAAAAGGTGGGAAGGTGGAATAGGAGGGAAATAGGAGTCGATGTGCATAGCGCAAGTTAACTTCTGATTCGCCAGAAGCATGACACCACTGGAATCTCAACTATCCGGGGAGCATGTACCTTCCGGTTTGTCCAAGTTCTCCAAGACCCCGGGCTCTTTCTAGTTCTGCAAAAGAGTAGCGGTAACTTATTTTTTTTTCTCATTAGACTCCCTACGTAATGGTTGGTTTAAACCTTTTTGGGTTACGTGACTGCCACAAACGCGCTACAAATCGGCTCATCGTCCGCGATCTGATAAGGAGGAAATGTAAGAAACCCCACTTTTCATTCCCGCATCGAACCGTTCTTTACCCAATGCGGCCTCGTATTCGTATTCAATATGATCCAACACGTGGAGATTGACGCACTAATTACTCCTGTACAGCCGACCTTCTACCGATCGAAGCCCGGTAGACTCGGCCCTGAATGATCTCCGTCGGGCGCCGAGAGTCAGATCTTTACCGATTCGGCCAGAAGTCATTGTCTTTTAATGAAGTTATTTACATGCAACAGCCTACGAAATTCCACGAGACTGTGAGTCAGCTAAGCAACGGTGTGAGCTTGACGATTTTCATATAATTTTGGAACAGCTCACTCTTCGAATCGAGAACCAATCCCGACTCATTCTACTAAGTACAGTGCTTACAATCTAAAAGCCAACATTGGAATATTCTTACGATGTCATCCACAAATTCACGGCTTTGCGCTAATGGAGCTGTCCGACAGGTCTGACATAACACGACAGAAGATTTTCATTTTCACGCCAGGTCTCATATGTGGGTTTAACAAAGCTTTGCTCAATCAAAAAGTAATCCGCTATATATAAGTCTCTTCTAGAAAGGAATTTATCAGTGCTCAGGCTCGTCTGGTCCCCTCGGCACAGTGTGATCGACAGCCCATTGCCGAATGCTATCGAAGTTTCTGCAAGTATGCGGTGTGCTGTAGTTAGGCCACGGGTCACCATCGTTGAATGGAAAGTGGAAACTGAATACGCCAATGTCGCCCTGGCACATGACGAATTGTCGCAGCGCGTCAATGCAGTGATCGAGATGACCCGTTAGATCCGGCGGAGGCGCAGATGTGTCCCCTCCTAGAGGCGAATAGTAGTCTTTATAGACGTTCTGTCGTAACAGATTCAAGCAGTGTAATTGGTGGAACACCTCGACAGCGACTCGATAACCCGGTTTTCCATTCGGATCGGTGATGGCCAGAGAGACGTCGGGGTTTAGACCAAGATTTATCATCTCTTCCCGAGATATCATTGTGTCCCCAACTGGTATTGATGTTAGCCTCCATGCCACTCATATTCCATTCAACATATTTCGACTTACTGGCTGAAATCTCATCCCACCTCGCATCCACGTCATCGCCCTTGCCAATGAAAGGGCCTTTTGCTATTGCGGGCAGATCGAAGTGCTGTGTCTCATACTTTACTGCGCTAGCGGCGGGTGCTGTTTACAGTGTTAGCTTTCAGCTCGCTTAGTTAAACAGTCTCTCTCTCTCTCTTCAACTTACACCATGACGAGTATTTCTTCGTATAGTCAGAGTCTGTTATTTTAGAAGTCTTCGTGCAGAAGGATAAGGCGAAAAATGTCAAGGAGATCGATAAAAGAACGGCATGGCATAGCCAAGCCCAATTCGGGCTTAACTTTCGCAACCGAGTTGGTATTGACTCGATGTCTCTGGCTTCTGTCCACCTCTCATCTAGTCCTTCCTCCTTAGCAAGGAAAGGCTCCTCATCTAGAGTGTCTAAAGTGACTGAGCGATACGACTTCCCCATTTTGATTGAGCAGAATTAATAAAGCACACCAGGTGCAACGAAGAAACGAAACAAATGGTAAGAATTACACCCTACATAGGACGGAATCGCCACACAAGAAGAGGAAGAAGATTATGGGCGAGATGGTCACGAATAAAAGGGAATGCCTTTCTTCAGCCCCGTCCAGGGTCAATAGGTCATAGCAAGTCGCTACGAGTTGCGCGCCAAGCATAATCCACGAAACGATCCTCGATACGTGTGGAGGATCATCGTTGATTGGCAATTCGCGAAAGATTCAGTTATCCATCACGAATGTTACAGCATCAGTGTCTCAGCACGCTTCAAAATGTATCATGGTCGCGCTTAAGACCAAGAAGAGCGCGGGTTTCAGGGGTATGTTGCCATTCTTGGGCAAGAATTAGAGTAGAAGGGTCTCCTAGGGCGTCATGTGGCAGGGGGTATGAAACTCATGAAATTGTACTGAAGCTTTTTACTGGTTACAGTATACGAATAATGAACAGTCAGATATGCGATAATTATCAGCCATTAAATACTAAAGATAGTCGAGTAAGTAATAATACAAACTTGATCGCAGTTTAGAGAGGCTCAAATACGCAATGTCATGAAGGTAATTGATTCAAATCTCCTTCTCCAGTCTTTGATTTTCAAGATGAACAGATCAGAACTAGGGGATCGTTGTTAGTGGAATGAGTCTTGTTTCAGCTTGGTCTCGAAACGTCAGGATTAAGCGATTATGAATTATGTAATTGCAAGGGTTATGAAAACTCCACTTATGGAATTCTCAGAGAATAGTTCTTCGTCGTGTTATTAATTACGTGCGCCCAGAAGATGAAGATGCATCGTGAATCCATTGTGAACTAGCAATCACTGATAAGAGTGTAGGAATATAGTACATAGGTAGGCAGGTAGGTAATAGGTGGTAACTTCCGATTTTAGTTGTCAGTTGATCATCCAATTGGAAGGGAAGTATTACCACTGTAAGGTTTGCGGCTCAATGTCGTAGTTCAGGGACCAAATGCCAACCCACACTTTGAAGGACCCAACTGGAAGGAACCAATACGCAACTAAGAACCGTATGCTAGGTACCTGGTTTTGGCTAGATAGGCCTAATCTTGGATTCTAAACCTACATCCACATCAATCCGCTTCAAATGTCGAAAGATGTCATTCCGGCAATATAACTGAGCCATGTTTTCAGCAATCAGCCCTAGTGGGGTTCTGGACAATCGTTGTTGTCTCGACTTTGACCATCATACGATAGGCGTAACCCGACTGACCACTATGGTTTGACGCAACGTACGATAAGGCATCTCAATCTCAAAACCTCTACCAATTTTTAGCCTCACTGGTGATCGTCCAAAAAAGGAGGCCCCCCAACCCTCTTCATTCTAATCAAAAGGGGATTCGTTCAACTTACGAGTTAATAATATATCGTCAAGAGGAGCCATCACAATGAGTCGAATACACCAATTCCCCTAAGATGACATTGGCGCACGAAGATTCATGGTATAGAATCGTCGAGAGGCTGAATTCGAGTTCTTAAATCCCATGCGCATTTGAAGCAATGTTGCCGAGTCATTGTAACCGATGCTCAAATTTCCTTGACGAAGCTCTTCGAGAGCGCAATCGAGGGCAGGTCATTGGTATTCCTCTTCGACTAGTTACTCTCGGCCATGTCACGATAGTATTTCATCCGAGGGAGTCTGATCATCGGGAATCTCGCTTTTTACTTAACTCTCTATCAAGCCCTGAAATAAGCAATATGTGAGCTAATGCAAGCACAGTGACGCCATCGTCGAGTTCGCCACATACTCGGTAGCAATAGAGACCGACACTCCGGTTCATGGCAAACAGGGCGTCAATGAGTGGCTTGCCAAAGGTAAAGGGCTGGGATCCAAGCTTCGTTAAAATAAGCCTAGGAATAAACCCAAGTTTTTTCGATCCCGATGGGATTAGAATTTGGATCTCACGGACACTGCGGGGGGCACTTTAAGCTCTCACATCTCTCAGAGCTTAATTCATCATCATCTCGCATCTTTCCCTGTTTATTAGCTAGGCCACGCGCGTGTACGTCCGTTTGAAACGGCGCTCGGGAAGTCTGGTGCCACAGAGCAAGATCCGATAACATAACGGCTTGAAGGTGGAGAACCAATCAGTCTTACCTCCATGAAGTTTATTCTATGACCTCTATTAACGTACGCCTATCTCACTAGTCGCTTGCATCGGAAAGTTTACAGTTTCAGAGTCCATGTGGCGGCTGACTCATTCCCTAATTAGCCGCTGTTCGCCAAAGGTATCACGTATCAACCGTCGGTGGTGGGTGGGGGAAATGGGTTCGGGTCAAGCTGATTCTTAGAAGATGTGGATAGCCGTGAGTTTATGCATCGGGCCGGGTGATAGCGCTTTCGCCTACCTTATAGGTAGGTCGACGACGACGACGAAGGGATGACGGAGTTTTATCTTCCGGATAAGATATGGTCATGTTGCTTGCTGTAAACAAAAGGATGGAAGAATCAAGACGACGTGTTCTGGTGTTGGTGAAGGACCGAATTACTTCCTGGGTCGGTACCTACGTACCATCAGGCTGGACAAGAGGATCAACTTGGCCAAACACTCGGGATTCTCATGCAAGGCATTTGATGCTGCAGGAGTCAGATAATCATTGATGACATACATTGGTACATCGCTCGTCGCACGTAAGACGCTGGATGTAATGCCCGGTAATATATTGAGGGGGAACATTGAAGGTTCCGTGGAATTCGGGTAGATGTAGTAATCTGCGAAGCGGCTTATACCCGCGCTCATGCAGCCCAAGATGAATATGTACCTTGTAGGCAAGAATCCGGGGTTCGGTCGTCGGGGATAATCTACTTGATATATGACGTTTCCAATAGTTCTAGGCTGCTGGCTATTTGACACTCGGATATATCCTATAGGTGGGATCTTGAATGTGACAGGGTTAATACAACTATGTTTTTGGTGATAGGTGCTCCCGGGACTATTTAAATCCACAGAATACTATCGATACCTACCTTGTAGTATATGACTTATCGACTTTGCTATACTACGATTACCTAAAGACATTCTACTCATATTTGGGTTAGAGTTATTTTATGCTTCAATATTTCTTTCGTAGTTAGTACTTTTTGACTTGCCCGCTGGAATATCGCTTTGGCTTCATGCGGCCGGCGTAAGACTTAAGAGCTTAAAGCTTGAGTAGATAGTCCCAACATACTGTAACGTTCATCCGCCTGATCTAGCATCTAGCATTATAGTATTACGCGTACAACTCAAGGTTCCTATAAACGCACCAACAAGCCAAGCCTTCTTGCCCGAGGTCACATTGATGTGCTTCGTAGTAGGAACTAAGCTAGGTCGAGCTTTATAGGTATAAGACAATTGCCATTGATTCGTAAGCTTCTTTTACTGCCATGTGGCACCTAGTAAATTGCGACATAGCGTATTTATATTTAGCTAGTCTAGTGATTAGTGAATACTATGTGTGTAAGTATACGAATTAAAACTTTTATAGATCAAACGGCAAGTATAGGCGAATCTTGCGATGCATACCTAGGTAGGTAGCTATTGTATAAAATATTTTAATACGTAGTTATTGAAAAGGTCAATGAGACGAGACGAAAGCTTCAGCTTAGGACTCTAGATCGAGTGCTTCATGATTATTTTTATCATTGATGGCAACATGTACGTTGATGAGTGTTGCCAAATATTTATTATGACGAAACTTTGCATGTCATAGAAATGTACCTTGCTTTGTCTAAGCTGCTAGACAATTAGATATTGCAACGTCAACATGTTCATCATTGCCTTTTGCGAAAATGTATAATCAAGATATGTGTAGATTTAATTTTCCTTATGCGACGTGATTTCTACCCGTCGTCCGCCTGCCGTACAAGCGAGGTTTCCTTCAAAGGATTTTGCCGAATTTAACACCACCCCGTTTTATTACAATGGAGACGAGTCATGACCCGATAAAACCTAGTTGCGCAGCCCAGACGCCGTCCGTTTTGTGGAGCTGAGTTGGACGGTAAATTTATATTGGAGATAGGTACCGGCTATGAAGACGCCATGCCGTGGCACTGGGGTTAACTTATACCCGAAAGTGCGGGAATGCCCGGAACCTACATAACCTTATGTTTAACATTGATTGGCTGAATCAATAACGACTTTCAACCAATGAGACTTTAGAGTTTCATGTAACATTCTAGCTATTTCTAGTGGTGCCGATGATGACAATTCTATTGTACATCTTACAATTGCATTTCTATAAAGGCGAAACAATTGATTACGCTAACGTCATAACTTAAGCCACCTTATCGAGTGAAGACGTATCGCAATTATTCCCTCATATTCTCTAGTATCTGTTTAGATAACTACGCTGTATTGCTAGTCACCTGACTACTTACTTAGATGAACAGCAATATTACTTGCAGTTTCATGCGCCTTTAAAAGTTGCTGTCAAAGGTCGGTCTCAACTTAGGTCTTCCAACTGTAATATGCAGGCTAACGAGTAGGTCTCTTAATCTTGCGTATTATTGCTCTTTATATTTACACCGGTCTATTCTAATGGCTAATAGATGTTTGATCTGCGGGTTGTGAAGAACGACTAGAGTTCCAACTACCTAATAAAGCAACCCTAGCTATGTACTCTAGGAACCAAATGATGGAACCTTGAAGCTTCGTAGCCTGCCTAAAGGATACCTAAGTAAGGTAGGCCTCCGATCAAGATTCAACCTTAGATACGATAAGTACATAGGTACAGTAGCATTGCCGCAAAATGCGTGATTTTGTACTAGGTACTTCGAAAAGGTGGGGGAACAAGTGGTCACGCTTAAAAAGCTGAAGCTTTCTAACGTATTTGGGTACCTTGCTCTAAGCTGTAAGCTGGGCTCACGCCAGCCGTTTACTCACCGACCAGTTTCCATAATTTCTTACATCCTGTCCCGAGCTGGATCTGTTGCTGGCTCTCTCCTTCCCTATTGCTCCCCTGTCATCCAACCTCGGGAAAGCAGCACGTACAGTAGTCTTCTTTCCCGTACAAATGCAAATGTACCTTGTGGCAAGGTTCCGGATTACCTAGGTACATACATACTACATACACACATGCAGCATACTGCAGACACGTAGCGCAAGCACAAAAGGAGGCGCTGAGACGATGCAACACATCGATGGATCCCAAAAATTGTCTTCATACATTTGCATTGCAGTAGAAGCCAAGCCGCACCGTTCAATTCCATGTCTATGTATTATGTACTACCGTGTGCGTGTGGAAGTGGATGTAGGTGAGTTAGTACTGTATGTACGCTATTATGTACCGATGTTTTTGCCAGTGTACCTAACCCACTACGCTTACCAACTTCGGCTAGGTGGGGGCCATCTGCGTACCTAGTTTAGTCTCTTGGCAGCGTGCGCGCCCCAGTTCCTCCGTGAAATCGCGATATCCACAATTCCACAAACTTCCCAACCCACAGGTGTGCGGCGGCAGGTAGCTTGTACTTCTTAGGCGCGTACCCATCCTAGTTTTAGGGACCTTGGTTTCCCTTTCCTGCTAGCCAATGGATCCCCCATGTCCCCACTTCCATGCAGGTAGCCTTAACCCGGCATCCGCTAAAAAAAAAATAAGCTGTACCGTAAAAGGTAAAAATCCGTTACTATCTGGAGAGTTTGAAAAAAAGAAACTAAAAAAAAAGGAACCTGTGATGTAGTACCGAAGTGGATTGTGTACATTGGCCCGTTGTCTCTGCAACCCCCTTGCAACATCCTCACAATCCGTGCATTGCATGGGTCCGTCGCCCGAACCCACCACAGCCATCAGACATACTTTCCACCTTTCCACATAACAGGCAAGACAGGTCATGGTTCTTAATCCAGCTCGTGCCTAGCCTAGCCCCCAGGCCCTGGTCAAACAAATCTGAGTATTACCAACCTTGGGTCTCCTCTTCTCTCTACCATCCCTTCTTTTTTTCTTCATCTGTTTTTGTTTCCTCAACACCAACTAAGCTTATCGTGCAGCCTCATCTTAGTTGCCCCATAACAATAACAACATCGTAACCTATCGCGACAAGGACAAAATCCATCATTTACGATTTACACGATTGCGCCTTCAATAGTTTCGGTAACTACATCGTCATCTTTTCCCTCCACACGACTATGCCCACTGTTTGACGAGACCAGGCTAAGTCTCGTCTCGCTCGTGCAATTGGGTTGTGTGGGTGGGAGATTCCTCGCGTCTAAAGTCGAATAGGAGCTGCAGGGAGCCTACCGAAAGGGTTGAAACATTACGCGACGCTTCGCCCACGATCTATACACGAATATAACGAATACGATCGCGATAAACGCGACACCGCATCCGTGTTAATATAATTAACCTCTTTCATCTCGCGATAAAATCATCTGCGCCGTAGTATCATTATCTCACGATGTCTATGTATCAACACCGCGGCATACCGCAAAATGCGGCGCGTCTCAATGAGCTGCTTGATCAAATCCGAACTGAATTTGACAACCAAGTCCGTATAAATGAAGGATGTGAACAGCAGAGTAAGTCCCATACAAAATAATCCCATATGTTGGTAGACGCAAAGAAATATCTGTAATTGCTGGTTGCGCTTAATCCAACCCATCAACTATTTACTATTTGAGTCTAGCATTTCCATGCGATGATATACTAACACATCGTTAGTCCAGCAGCAAGTCCAAGAAGCTCAACTCATTCGTGAGAAAGTCTATCAATTAGAGCAACAGCACATGAATATCAAAGCAAAGTCAGTAAATCTTACAAGATCTATTCTAAGAAATAATGATTGGAGCATGTTCCTAACCCCTGTCACTATAGGTATGAGGAGGAGATGGTCATACTTCGTCGTCAACTCGAAGCCGCACGAGGAGGTGCCCCTCAAGCCGCTCTACCTGGGCCCCCTCAACATGGTGGTCCATCGGCAGGTCCTCCACCTCCTTCGATTGGCATGGGCAACAATCTTTTTAGTGGTATCATGACCGGCCAGGGAGGTCAAGGTGGTGGACTCCCTCCACAGCCCACTCCCCAGGATCAGGCTCCTCCTGGACCTCAACATCAGATGCCACAGCCGCCTCCGGGACTCCAAGGACCACCTCCACCTCCTCCGCCCCCTTCGCAACAGCCCCCTTTCCAGCAGCCCTACCAAGGCCCGGCTCCTAACGGGTTTCCTGGTCAACCTCCTCAGAGTACTGCTTCGCCCGGGCCGGGAAAGCGCGGCATCGGTAGGCCTCCAGCTGGCGGACCTGCTACACCGCAGATTAACACCCCGATGCCATATGCTGGACCCGGAGCATCACCACAGGTTGCGAACCACCCGACCCCCGACCACAGAGCTATCCCTCCCCACCCTGGCCCGATGGTCAACAACGCCCTTGGCGACTTAGATGTAGAGCGTCTTCCGGCACACGTCAAAAAAACTAGGGATGATTGGTTTGTTATCTTCAACCAGCATGTTCCTCGTATGCTCGACGTTGATCTAGTTCACACACTTAACCACGAAAGTGTTGTGTGTTGTGTGAGATTTAGTCACGATGGCAAATATGTCGCAACTGGTTGCAACAGATCCGCTCAGATTTACGATGTTGCCACCGGAGAAAAGGTTTGTGTCCTACAGGATGAGAATGTCGACATCTCCGGAGACCTGTATATTCGAAGCGTCTGTTTCAGTCCCGATGGCAAGTATCTAGCTACTGGAGCGGAGGACAAGCTTATTCGTGTAAGTCAGCTTCCTTCTATTTTTGTATACTTGACTATTTTACTAAATGAAATAGGTCTGGGATATCGCCAATCGTACGATTCGGAACACCTTTGCCGGTCACGAGCAAGACATCTACTCTCTAGATTTCGCACGAGACGGACGAACGATTGCATCCGGAAGTGGCGACAGAACTGTTCGACTTTGGGACATTGAACACGGTACCAACATGCTTACCCTCTCTATTGAAGATGGCGTTACGACCGTCGCAATTTCGCCAGATACGAAATATGTTGCTGCTGGTTCGCTAGACAAGAGTGTCCGCGTCTGGGATATTCAACAGGGATACCTTCTTGAGCGCCTCGAAGGTCCTGAAGGCCATAAAGATAGCGTTTATTCTGTTGCCTTCTCTCCTAACGGGAAGGACCTTGTGAGTGGCAGTCTGGACAAGACTATCAAGATGTGGGAATTATCGACCCCCCGAGGCGTGTCGAACCCCGGACCTAAGGGCGGCCGATGTGTGAAGACATTTGAGGGTCACCGAGTAAGTCTCTAAATCGTCTTCCCATAATCCACCATGCTAACAAAATTAGGACTTTGTACTTAGTGTTGCTCTCACCCCCGATGCTAACTGGGTCATGTCGGGCTCTAAAGATCGTGGTGTCCAATTCTGGGATCCCCGAACAGGCTTTACTCAACTGATGCTCCAAGGCCATAAGAACTCGGTCATCTCCGTAGCTCCTAGCCCGACGGGTGGTTACTTTGCAACTGGGTCTGGCGACATGAGAGCGCGTATCTGGTCGTATCGGTCGATATCTTAAGAGGAAACAGCGGCGACGGCTAAACAATCTCTAGCTCAGATAGAGCCGTCGGACCCCGGAGAAGAGAATATTGCCCTGGAAGATCTCTCCACTTTAATGAATTCAATCATGGGCTTCGATGACCCGGTTTCGCCATAGATGATGACCCCCGCATATGTAGGAGGGATAGGTTTTAGTATTTAGTTATCCTTAGGGCTCAGGAGGGCTCTAATTCGCCTGAAATATGATTTAACGTAGCCTTCGGGTCTTATTGCCACTGTCAAAGCGAAGGCACGCTCCTCGGACGATTATGAAGGTGTGGATATGAGGTGTACTTGGAGAGAACGGGGCAAAATCTTTTTTTTGTAACGGTCTCCATAGGCTGGCGAGGCTTAGAAGGCGCGGTTTTAATCTCCATTGTTAAGAACAAACAAACGTGTAGCCTATGTCATTAGTATTGCTCAAAGATTTTTTGCTAGTAATGGAATCAGCGTGATAAATTCAAAAACGCTTCTTGGACATTTTTTGCTAGGGTATGGAAGCACCGTAATATATGTAGGTATATATGCTCTATGTATTGGTATTGGTATTCTTGGCTACCTAGTGTTCAGCTTAGAATAAGCCTTTGAAGAGATTGTCAAATTCGTCGCCGCGTTTCTTGGTCTTCTTTTTCTTTTTGGCTGGCTTTGATACCTCCTTGCTAGACGTATCGTCCACTTCCTTCGTTTTGCTTTTAGGTATTGTACTCTCTTGTATCTCCGTAGATGTGGCGCCATCGTTGCGGTCCATATCCTTTCTAGCATTATCAAGGGCAGCAGCGGGTTTAGCCGAACCTCTTCCCTCTTTCAGTAGACCGTCCTTCTTCCGCAACTTCTCAGCTCTCGCAACTTCGTCTCGCGAGATCACGGCGCCTCCTTTCTCAGATTGCGGGAGTTTACTACTTGAGCTGCTGGACTCCGCAATGGCTTTGGCGTTATCAGCCACTCGCAATGCGCCACCGTCTCCTTCCCCGCCTTCCACCACAGCCTCTCCCACCAGCCGAACGCACACTGCGTTCACCTGCGCCAGTGCGCTGAGCAGTACTACGCCTAGCGTCGCGAACTGGTTGTCTGCCGTCAGCTGCGAGAAGGCGCTTTTCTAACGTATCAGCAAACCGCATATATAAGATACATAACGCCTAGATGGCTAGACGTCGGATACAGGATCAACGCACAGATAACATCTCGGAACCAACACATCCCGCACCCACCGCACGTGATCGCGCGTCTTCCTCTCGGCGCGGGCGCCGCTGTCGTCGCTGCGCTTGCGCTTCTTGTTCTTCAACTTGGCGGCCGCGATAGCGGCAGTAGATAATTCGAGCAGCGAGTCTATCAGCTTATCAACGTGCCGCCGCAACATCCCGTACGGGGCCCACCACGCAGAGCGCCGGTGCTGGTTCCGGTTGCGGTGGTTGAAGCCCCGGAGAACGGGCTGCAGCGGCTGCAGCTTTTCGAGCGCTTCTTCGTATTCATTGCTGGGGTTTTCGGCGGCGCCGGCGGCGCTGCTTTGCGGTAGGGGTGCTGGTGGCATTACATCGTTCGTGGGGTTGGGGGGAGATGTTGGTTGTGGTGGACGGAGGTTGTGAAGCTTTTTGTTGAAAGGCTTGTAAATTTGGTTAGACGGTCGGATTGTGGTGCGTAGAAGGTGGGATGTCAGACTGTTTGGATAGCGTGGTTAGATTGTACGGGTGTGAGTGGGTCTCTGAGATAATGCTATTTGATTGGACAATAACCTTGTCGTTGCACAAAGCCAGTCTCAGCCCCTTTAAAGATATCGGCTACCGTTTGACGCCGACGACTTCGATTCATCTTGTAGTAACTTCATGGGCTTTCAACTCGCGTAGATACTACGAATTATGTTTTTTAATACGGCCACAAAGTCAATATCTAGCCGATGTTACAATAATTATCATATTATAAACCTCTAAAGACCTATAACGAGACTGAGAACCATAGTTCACGACTAATAATCTTCTCAAGCAGCGAGAAACACATGGATAGCTCTACGTTTTATTAAACAGTACGTCTAAAGGATGTTCCTAGACTGAGGAGACCCTATTGTGTTTGTAATGTAATTGCCGACAGGACGACGAAGGTATCTACAAATTAATCAAGGCATTGTCCCAGTATCCGTGGATAGCTCAAGGCACGATTGTCTGATGTGGGTTGGTGGGTGACGACAGAACAGGAACAAAATATGAAGGTGGGTCAGCCCAAATGTATGAGCATTGACAGTAAGGTTATATATCTAAAGAAGGATACACATCATAACAATTCCTCAAGGACCTATTAGGATCACTTAGCTCAGTTGGTAGTCGGGCGGAGACCACGCGAATCTCCACATGTACGGGATCGAAGCTGGTATATCGACATTCGTTGAGGGTTCGAGACGGGTTCTTGGGACTTGTTCTTTCTTTTTTTCATTTTTTTTTTTTCAGAAATATTGTTTCTTTCTTTCCATCGCTCAAAAGCATCGAACCTTTCGATGCGGAACATCCTATCCATGATCGAGGCTTGCTTCGAATTTTGGTTCCGCTCATACATACATACACCTTCACTGCCTTTCCACTACCTGATTCAATATTTTAGCTAACGGCTTCCTTCATCCGTAACCATATTCCTTGGGTTTCAGTGCTACAGGTATCAATAAGCATCGTGATGTCGAAACACTCTTTGGGCTCCAGGTCACACTATTCAATATGTGAAAAAGCTCCTTCTAATGCGATAGAATTTCAGATCGCTACTCCCCAGAACGTATATATGTTATAGCTACCGCGCGTCTCATAGAAGTATCACATAGCTTCGACGACGGTTTCAGACCGGTATCTACCACCTATGTACGATCCACCTAGGAATACAAACATGGAAGGACCCCAAAAGGAAAAGGTAAAATATGAAAAAGGGGAAGAGAGAGTCCTGGGTTGGGAAAGGACGAGGTGCGAGACTCAAAATCCATCCAAGGTCACCTGTGAGTTGACTACCTGCCTGGCCCAAAGGGTAGAATACGGACATCAATGAGTCTCGCGATACCTCAAGTATATACCAGAGAACACTAAACCCACTGATAAATACAGCATAAAATTTGGTAATAACTGTACTGCGACTCTAACATTCCTAGAGAAACTCTGAGGGTACCGACGTTGAGTGATTGCGAAGTTTCATTGGCAGGTGGTGGGATGAACAGTAAGTAATTTTTTGGTAGGAGGCGAATATCTACCTATCTACTAACTCATTTACAGAAAGCTTCGTCATCTTTCCTGACCTCAAAATAGAGAAAAGAACATCCACTCTCGACCGCAAATCGTTAACGTACATTAAGATATTGGGTAATCGCATCGACTTGCCTATGCTGACGACAAGGGAGGAACTCTTTGTGCGCTATTAAGATGGGTGGCGGAATGATTAAGAGTGACTAGAAAGAACGCTCACATTTCTCAACGTAACTGGCAATCTATCTCCATCTGTACGGCCTTTTCATTCCCGAGCCCATTAAGATCGACCCAACCTTGGATTGTACATCATCTTAACCTATCAAATTTACATCGAACGAGGTAGCCAAGTTTACTTATTGTACACCCTACACCATTATCAGCAATCAGCCTCACCATTTTTAAGATATGAGATGCTCTTACCTACATAATAATTCCATATACTGTGTCCTAAGGCATATGCCTCTATCGTACCCTCCCGAAGACAATTTTATCCGCGATGCCTTACTACCTGCGAGCAAGAGTCACCCTAGGAGAACAAAGGGAATATCAGGGCTTAGTTGGTATTTTAATCCTTCTACCCAGACGTGAATCCACGATTGCTAATTAAAATGTACAGAAATCGACTTTCATAACTCTCAGACGAGCATAAAAATCAGTCCAGTCCAAGGGAGTAGAGCGTAAGAACAAACCACTATCCATATGCAGACCTTTTGCCGGCCATATAAGAGGCGCATGCGACTCTTATTCATGGAAGCATATCATGAAGCATCATATTTACCAGAACTGTCATGGAACTAGCTTGCGAAAAATCACCAGAGAAACTTATTCCGAAATACTCGAGCGCAAGAATAATAACTCCTAACTATGCCACTGGAACGAAACATCCCTAGACCAGGACCCCATCTAGGATATCTCCGATGCGAAATTGGAACGAATATATGGCATCGACAGGCCTAAGAGGGGTTGGACCCAAAGATCCCTCCGTTCCACCACCCAGTATCTTCGATAAATTCCCATAAAAAAAGGCACGACAACCTCTCGAACTAGGACTGTGACCGGTCGCTCATCGATTGCATTAGATGTGGATAAAGGGAATCGACATGCTTGAATGGCAGGAAGGCCTGTAAGGGGAATGCTGAAGAAGAAGAGATCCGCTGTCGTGGAATGGGTCGCAATCATCAACCGTGACTACCGTTCGGCATTTCAGAATAATAGGGGTTCTAAAGAAATAGAGGCATCTATAAGCGACTGGTATTCGACATTCGAACATGAGGATAGGATCAAGCGTCAAACTTCAAGGGGCTAGAGTACAAGAACAACATTTTAGTCGGTGTCGGGTATCTGTTATTGGGTCTTAAGGGAGTAGAGCGTAAGAACAGGGACAATCCCACAACACCTACTGAGGTCGAGGTCGAAAAGTATTTCTTAGGTTTTCTCGACATATGGGCAGAGATGGATAGCCATTTCGGGGACATATGGAGGGAGGAGTTAGGAAGAAGCTAGGGACTAGAACATATTCAGGACTAATCACTGAAAGCCTTGAATAGTATCTGGATACTATTTTTGCCTAACTATTGACTAAACTCGGTCCTTGATTAGAAATGCCTGTGGACGTAATATGGAAGATCCGCACAGGAAATTCAATATCCAGATATTTCTCTAACATCATAGCAGCTTTACTAGCCTATTACCATCATAGCTAGCTACCTATACATAGTGCCTCGATCTCAACCCACCAGTCCCAAATCCCAGATCGCCAAATCGCCGCTACGGAGATTAACCAAACTCGCCGCAGCCGTCCAGCCTCCCCCGAACATACCTACATACATACAAGCTCAGCCCCTCCGAAGTGGCGCCGGCGATCCACGCACGCGAAGGCGGACTATCGACAGTCGGTTAAATTGCCTTCTGCAATTCGCGCCGGAATGACGTGGTTCCGGCAACGACGGCGGGGAACTGTGGGTTTGGGATTACGTTTTGGATTTTGGTGGTGGTGCTTACTAAGTAAGGGGTGAGTGAGGAAAGGGGGAGGGATGGAGGTAGGTTGGGAAGTGGTATGTGTGGCATAGTAAGTCATACTTAAGGTTGGAAACACTTGGGAAAATCGATGGGGATGGCGATTTACTCTGTGGTTTACGCGTGAGGGTACAGGGAGCATGAAAATTTTGTGAAATTTTTTGACATGCCAATTCTATGCAAAAAATACGTATTGAACACCCGCTTTCGCGAAACTGAGAAACCACGAAAAATCCAATTAATAGTAGCATAGGGAATTCACCATTCCTCCTCAAACAACAGTACACTTATACTCCAGGTCTTTAACTCTATACGTAAAAATCATTAATATTCATAAAAGTATTCTATCATATTAAACATATCCAATCTATCCCATCCCATCCCATCCCATCCCAAAAGAATCACGGGTACGCAGAATCGAACTCGTCGCGCGGATCACGTACCCTGACCCTCTCGGGCATCCTCTCGGGAATCTTCCCGAGTTCCTTTCCGTAATCCCTCCCGTATTCCCTGCCATTATACCCGTCGTAGACCCCGCCAAAATTTTCTTGTGAATCCTTCCCGCTGGCGGAGCGGTTCGGATACTTCCCCATGCGATCCATTCGGTAATACTCGATATTCCCGTCCCCGCGCATGTGGTTTACGTTCACCGAGCCCGACTTCCGCCAGGAGTAGAAAGAGCGCCTCTTCGCCGACGGCGTGCGCGCGCGCGAGCCCGCAGTTCCGAATATCTTTCTGTAGAGCGGGCGCAGGGTGGCGAGCGAGGAGGCGATGAGGCCTAGACCGTTCTCCACTGTGGACCAGATGGACACGACCGTGAATACGTGGAGTCTATCAGCATTCTCGGCGGCAAGCTGCCATATATACGGAATACGGATGATGGTCGCTATTGATGCTCTGATAAATTTGTCAGCTGACTTTGCTAAGCAATATTGTGCACTGACGTCGGGGGAAGGGGACACCATACATAGACCCTAAGGCTAGGGTACAAGAGACCATGATCTTCGAGCGCTTTGACAACTCCAGTTTACCTATAAGTGCGATAGGCAAGAGACCCAAGGTCCAGTCACAGACGCAATTTATAACGGCATGTGCGTAAGATATGGCCCTGACCAGCTCATCACTGAAGCATGTCCCTGTCATCTGCTCGGTGTATTGACTCCAATAGTATGGGACAGGGCGACACTGGAAGATGGCCATGAAGGTGAAGAAGACGCTGTAAACGAGACACACGAACAGCGCCGTCCAGATGGCCGTTCTCTGCCACGCCAGGGAGCAGATACGTAGGAGGAAGATGCCGACAGTGAACTTAATTAATAGGGACGTCATGATGTATACAATCTCGCCTGCGTATCTCATCTATCCAATCGGTCAGTCTGAAGTGCGCGCGCCGTATAAATCCTAGGAGGACTACCTTGAGAATGGTTGGGTAGTTCTGAAGAGGGACCTGAGATATTGTCTTGCCCGCGCCGTGTGAAATGCTTATCATGACGAGTGTACAATAAATTATAAAACATATCTACTCTAGTTAGCCCAAATGATAACCATCATCTTTTCCCGTAGAATGTATTTACCATCGTCGCAATGGCTAACCAGTCTTCTGCCTTAAAGAACTTCAAGATGCGCACTCTCACATAACACCGGAGAGCCAAAGTGATAACTGTTAGCGGGAGAAGCGCCAATACGGCGGCGGCCAGCCGGGGCCCGTTATCTGAAGTGTCGGACGCCATTTTCGAATCTGATATCTGAGGCGGATGCTAGGATACACGTGCAGCGTAGACAATTAGGTAGGAAAGCCCAAAGGGCAATCACTTGACGACTGGGATCACATCTAAATCGGACAAAAGAACAATAGAACGATGGGGAATCAGACTGAGGGAAATAACAGAGGTTTTATTTTTTCCCAAGCGAGCCATCGTATAATCCGGGGTAGCAGCATACTATCTTGACAGCGACATCCTAGAGGCAAGCAAGGATCTGCGTAAGTAGACGATTGTCAGGGGTAGCTTAGGTGCGTGCTTGAGATCCGCGATCGATGGTCTGGGACGCTACCTATCAAAGGAGGAAAACGTCCGCCAAGGGACCGTATTGTCGCAATTTGGCGATGGCGCCGTCGTAGTTAAGTCGACTAATAGCCCCATGATCGGCGACGTCGGAGTTCTAAGGCGAGAGCTAGTCGGTTTACCTTCGGAGCATGGCCTTATTTTCGTAGGTGGAAATTTCCGACAGCTGCATGATAGACAGCCGGATACATATGCAGAATATGTAAATGCCGCGTAAGGCAAGAACTCGCCAGACCAAAAGCGTCATGGCCTAGATGGGAAGGCTGTTTATGCAACATCTTGACCCCTTCCTAATGCCACATGGTTTCGGTGCGAACATCCCACGCATCGGTGCAGTCGACGAACAGAGCTAGAAGATCTGTACAGAATAGTCGGCCGGCAGTGAGCGGCAGGTGGCTGGAATAGGAAACTGAATAAGGCCGACTATGCGTCTGCAAAGTTTATCGATAAAGAAGAGATCGACGATGAGACCCGCCGAGCATGAGGCCGAAAAATAAGAGAAAAAACTATTCGAAATAATGCGGGGTTTGACCTTGAAGAATTAATGAGTCCCTTTATTAGGGTTTGCCGTCTCAGGCTCGATTTATGTGTGTTTCGGCTGAGCGCCACTAGTGTTCAGCTGCCTAGCTGCCTAGTAGGTCTTAGGAGAACTATTCTGTTTGCGCACCTAGTAGACAAACAGAATGGTTGTGTAAGGAGTGACTAAGGGCGTTGCGAGCTAGTCTAGAACTACTAGGCATACCTAATAACGAAGAAAAAAACGAAACGTCGCGGATTGTAAAGTAGAATAGAATTTATGATGCTATTAAAGATCACGAACTGCGTCTTTAAAATCAATGTAATAAGCTCTTGCATAGAATTGATGATAATAGACGATCCTAGATGTTTGGATTGTCTATTCGTAGTAGAAGCATATGAAGTTAGCCCATCTCGTATGGATAGAAAATGATGAAGAGTCCAGGATTAAAAGATTGAATTGAAGTGGGATGAAAAGTGGACAAACCAAGCTACAGCCAACCGCAAGACCTTAGCGGTTCGCTAATGACGCAAGTGGATTGATTAGGTAATAGGGACCCGCATCACAATTTAAAAGGTACCCATGTACCTATTTGTCTCGGACTCTCAGCCGCAACGACTTCGACGTACATAAAAACATCATAACAACTAGCAGCCCTAGGTGTTTCTAGTCGCGCAAATAAAACACTTCACAAACAGACACAAACAGTTTGCATGAAGACTGTGCAGGAGTCATTTTTAATGTTATGATTCCTATTTATATGCCACCTCTGCCCGGAACTGAAACCCCCTAAGCACCATGCGAGAGTACCGAGAGGCTGAATCTCTAGCGGAGAGAGGGGCTAGAAACTACCCCAACTCGTTCCGCGCACTACGGAAAGGAGATTCCTCAGGCGCGGCAAATTTCCGTCCCCTCGGCACTTAGGAATATACCAGTAGCGTGTTCCTCGACGCAATTCAGGGGAAGCAGAGACAAAGAAATCCTCAATCATAGGAGAAGGCAACAAGCCCAAAGTCATCCAGTGCTACCAATCCATTTCCACCACATACCTTTTCGTAGTACGCCCTGGAAGTCGTTTTTTCATCTGCATACCTAGGTAGGGAACAGGTTAGTCATCGAGCACTGACGTATTTTAATCGAATTCACTTACTCAACCCTCAAGATTGGGGTGACTTTCCAGCATGTCGTAATACGAGGAGAGAAGCGGTGCCTTGTATCTATGTCAGCGGATGTCGTGGCCAATAGGTTTGAGAAAACTTACATGTCGACAGAAACGATCGGCAAAACGACGAGTTGTATGAAAAGAAACCAGAGTATTGCACATCATAGGAACGCAAGTTGAGTAGTCTGAGGCCATCAGTTAATCTGCGCTCACTATCGATACCTAATGGAGTCTTACCAATATGTTTGTAGGTATCCTTCAGTCGGCCAGTCGGATGGCGTAGAAAATACCACCGGGTAGGACATACCAACGGCAATCGCCCATGTTGTCGATACCGAAGCGGTTGCGGAGGGTCCACTCGCCATCAAGCTCTCGGCAGTAGTACATTCGAGACGGGTCAGGATCGGCAGGGGCGATGTCCTGGCCTTCAAGGGCCTTGTTGTTCACGGCCGTGTGGTACTGCTCTAGCTGGACTTCCATTCCGGTCTTGCCAATTCCCATAACGTCCGGAGCAGAGCTTGCAGGGAAGGCGCCAGGCATACCACTAGGTCCAGCGACCTGGGGCGGGCCCATCATGGGAGGGAATGCGGCGGGCTGAGTGGCTACCGGAGCTGGCTGAGCGATGTGTACACCGGTCTGGCCTTGGACATAAACGGGTGGCTGACCACCTTGCTGCTGCTGAAGAACAATCGGGGTGCCAGCGACACCAGAGGCCTATAAAGAAAGGAAATATTAGCATCAGTCTTGGAAGGTAAAGTAATGATAAGCACAGTAACAAAAGAAACTATGAAGAGCATAGCCTGCTGAAGCAGAGAGTGTGGCAGTGCGCATTCACTCGCTTGGTATCTTTACTTAAAGTTCATTTGGGACTTGCATTCTGAAAGTAATAGACAGGCTGGGACGAGCCCTGATGTATGGTATAGCATGTGGCAGGCTGTATAATGGGCAAGACCATTGGTGAATCCTGAGTGAGAATGGCAGATACCTGTTGAATGGGCACATATTGGACTGGCGCACTGCCATCCTGGGCATTCGCAGCTCCGACAACCTGGTAAACATGGCCATCGATCGACACGTACTGGCCAGTGGCAGCGTTATTGTTGTCAAAACGAGGATGGTAGGTGTGCGGGATGGGGCCATAGGTGGTGTCCGGCACGGGAGGTTGAAAATGCTGGCCCTGGTTGGGCATGAAACTAGCGTACGCCATAGCAGGGGCTTGCTGGTGGCCTACAGGAGGCGCGAATTGAGGAACGACCTGAGGTTGATTTTGGACAAAGCCCGGTGGGTAGACTTGAGGCGGCGCGGCTCCTGGAAATTGATGAGCTTGTTGCGATTGCGGACCAGAGGCAGGATTGACGCCGTGGATAGGATTTTGGTTGGTCTGGTTATTATTGTAGACTAAACCAACGCCAGGGACGTTTTTGACGGTTTGGTCAAAACCAGGTCCAGAAGTCTGGTAATCTGATTGAGGGGTGCTAGTGCGGGTGGCCTTGGTCTGGTTATCGGCTGCGGTCGTGGGGGGCTTGCGGACTGGTATCTCCGTGTCGCGCACAGTGTTCTTGTGATGAGTGGATGATGTGGTTTTGTTGGAGGTAGAGGTGGAAGGATAAGAAGAAAAAGATGAAGAAGAACGTTGTTTGATTTTAGGGTCTTTGATATCTTCGGGTTTGGGAGTCTTAGAAGTGGCGCCCATGGTGAGTGATGGTCATGTGGTAGGTAACGAATTGAATGGATAACAGCTGGGCAGTGACCATTAAATAAAGCCCTAGAAGGAAAAAAAAACTTTCGATTGGAAACAATTGCCCGCACAGTGGTCAGGTAAAGTAGTCCTTTCCTTTAAAGTGGAAGATGGGAAAAATATACACTAGTGGTTTGGTTGTGTGACTTTAGGAAGTTGTAGTCGAAGATGGAAGCTCATGCAAGTAGAAAGTGGGAGGAGAAAGGATGAACCAGTGCAAAATAACCAACAACCAATAAGGAAGGAATGGAAGGTAAGAAAGTGCCAATTATTTCAATCATGCGGTTTTAAGGTTCAAGGTAACAAAGTGCGCTCTGAGAGTATTTGTCTTTTCTCGTCACTTCGTCCACGACTTGCGAACCGCGTTCCCGTGTTTGCTCCCTAAGAATTTCGAAGTAGTATGTGGCGCGCTTGGGCCCAACGAGTTGAAGTGGCAAACTACAGTGATAATAGAGAAAATTTAATACTCACGGTATCTCTCGTTACCGCAATCCACCTACTTCCATCCCACACATATTGGCGAGTTCGTTGTTGTCGTGCGCGCTCCTCCTCCTCGAGGAACACATCGTCAACGTCCCAGCAGCAGCACATTTTGGCGTTGGATTGTCGAAATTCAGTCTTTCTACGCGGGTAAAGGATAAAATGATGCGATGGCGGTAGAAGGCCGTGATGTAAGTGTGGGACTTGATTAGAATCGTAGTCTGGGAAGGAATGACTGATTTAGGAGTTTGCTGATTTATAGAGTAAAGGTGGATATGTAGATAAAGGTAGGAGAAAGTTATTTAGTATTTGTAGGTACTTGAGGAAGGGGCAATGCGTTCCAACTATGACTCAAAGGTAATTCTCGTATGAAAAGACTTCATTTTTAAAGACCATCTAGAATAATAGTGCGAAAGTCGCGAAGAAGAGTGGGATTGTTTGCGTCTACTCCCTAGTAGTTCTTGGACCTGCTCTTGAATTATTAAGTCGACGTTAGACTAAGCATATTGAAACAGCATAAATAACGTAAACAGATGCTGTGGTTGGTTACGGATTCGCATTCAATCTCGTCGTACGGAATAAGAGGTTGGGTTTCTAACGGCTTTCGAAATATTCGGACAATCATCCCATCGCCTACAGAACAAAAACTGTGAAGGAGCGGCGAAAGGTGCCCGAAGACAGCACATTCATAACATTTTGTCCGCCCGTTCGACTAGCATTTCTCCTAACCACCTATATTCTCGAGTGTACGACCACAAACTCAGCACTGCCATCGGCGTCAAACACCCTGGACAGAGACACATTTGATGCCCGAGTGATGTGATAGAACGGAAATAACCCGCCCCCGTACTAGAAACTTGTTGTGTGCAACTTCTGTGTTCAGTTTGTTCAAAACCTCGGACACTGCTTTGATGTGACTGTTTGTTACTTTTCAGACTGCTGCCTTGTATTAGATTCTGATCCGAGAAGTTGGGTGTGGCATGTGCTTGCTAGGCTTACGGATATCTGCCTGGTGGCTCAATTCTGCGGCGGATTTTCCGTTATCCCTTCATCCCTACCTCCTAGCCAAATCAGCTGGTCATGTGCTGGGCAAACTATCGAAGGTCCAATGGGTATTGGTGTAGTTGGTGTATCAAGGCAAGCCTTGGGGGCAGATTTCTAGTAAGGGGCCAAACTTCTGAGATCGATTTATCGGTGGTTCTATTGACTGTAAGTTATCCTATCCCTCACATTGATTAGATTGTAGTTTAGCGAGTGCGTTCTTCACGAACCTGTTGCTCTACCTAAGCTTGCCAAGTAAATCCACACAAGACATCTTTCACGCTTATTTACCCAGAGACAATCAACCATCATCTTGATTATGATAGGCAGGGTAGATAAATCCAGTACCTAAAGGTGCAAGTCTCAGCCCTATTTCTACACCAATAGTGGCGACAGATCCTTCTATCACTACTCACACGACATGGGTCATCAACGACGAAAAAAAACCAAGACTTGTTCAAAATTGAAAATTCAATTCCGTCCCGTAGTTGACTTGAACGCCTACCAATCCACTACCGTAGATGCTTTCTATGCACTTGACCGCCTATTTTATACACTTTGTCCAGCCGGAGGAGAGATCATCTATCGTTTCGCACCTAACTCGGCGACTTTGTTCACCCAATTATATCGAAGTATCGTAGGGCACATGGCCTCATTCTCGAGTGTGGTATCATACATAATCGTACCCGATTTCCCGGTCCCCCGACTCCCTATTCGGGTGGGAAATTATTTTTCTAGCATTTTAATGGATGGATGTTGCTAGTTTAAAGGTGTAGCTCATGCCCCTTATCCTCCGGGGAAAGCACAACTTTTCGAGTAACCTAATACAAGTTAGCGGTGATCAATCAATTAAAGTTCAGGTCTCATACCGCCCATACTCCTGCTATCGAAGCCACAATACCTCCTGATATCAACATCGGTCGGAGTCCTCGTGTACTTTTGAACAACATTCCACTTAGACCACCCGCCGCAATAGTGTTCGCAGAGTCATGCTTCCCTCTGATATAGCCGATGCCTGAGTTGAAACAGTTATAGGTAATGGCGACGACACCAGCAGAATTGCCTAAGAATGGACCTCTTCGTGTTACGGCGTTAAGGACGGAGTTCAGACGTAATTTCGGCGGTTGACCAGCCGATCTCCTCAGGCCTTCTTGAAGTCCCCATGCACCTCCCAATGACAATGCTGTCAGATATGTAATGCCGGTTCCATAACATAAGTCGTCGCTAAAGCCTCGAGAGGGGATTGCCGATTGTGCGCCGGGGAGATCTGATATGGCGGAATCTTCTAAAACCAAGTACTCGAGACCATCCTTGTCCAAACCTGCTAGAGGATGTAATAAAGATGGGTCGGCAAAGGCGGAACTTTTCAAGAAAGAATCTACACCTTGCGCATCTTGTGGGTTAAAGGCAGTTGGGGTGAAGGTATCGGTTGGCGCGGACGACGAGGTGGAACTTGGCGTAGAAGACGATGATTGCTGAGAGGACTTTCGTCCGGTGAGTGCATCCCAAATTGACATGCTGCTGAGTACAATTCCGGTTTTGTACGATAGAACAAAAGAGAAATTGCTGGGTCAGGAGCGCTCGTCACCGCGTCACTTCTCGCAAGGTGCGGGATCGCAATTCTTAAAGTGGGTTGAAAATGATTTGAAGCTTTCGCAGATAAAAAAAGTTTCAATTGCGTAGATAGAGGCGGATAGAAAACTGGCGAGTGGTCCGTGCATCGGCCTAACGGTACGTACCTTGAGCTAAAATTTGCGCTGAAAGGTCATTCTTATATGCGACATTTTATCACCATTGAAAAGTTAAAATTTAAACTTTCAAGATTCTTTTTTTGAAAAAAAAAAAAGTGTATATAAAGCAATTATTTCCTAGATTTTCAATCATGGTATAAATTCTTGTGGATTTAATTCATGGGATTAAACAATTAGATTTTTAATTATGGAAGTGCGTTGAAGATATTCTTATATGCAGTATTTCATCATTATTTATGTATACAACAGGGTTTAAAGTTTCCTCCCGCGCCTCAGTAACTGCATAATAAAATATCACAACTTAACGAATTGGGGGACTTATGAGATATCAAATTCAACTTTTCATGACTTTTGAAGATTCCAGAGATTCTTTTTTTTGAGTCCCTTCTAAGTAAATTTTCTTTGAGGATTACTTAAATGTCATACAAGGTTTCTGATGTGGCAGTTAGGCTGCGAATCCACTCATATTCACTCCTCTAGCCTTCAGCCATTGACATGACAAATTTGAGAAGAGGGTAGTGAAAAAAAGGAGAAAAAAAGCACATATTCATCCAGAACCATTAACTGAAATCAAAATGGAAGCCTCAATACTTGCTGGTGTTGGCAAGACCGACTTCAATCCAAAGCATGCTGTTTCTTGGCTCGAAGAACAGCCTGACGAACTACAACTATGGTGAGTCTAGGCCAATTCAACAAATCTCGTCTTATATTTATGCAAATTCATTAGGCAAGCCGTCTTCGAAGAACTTATACTATGTGCTTCAAAGCCGAAACAATCCTCGGGAAATACCTGTGGGAAACTGTATGGCTTTGTTGAGCAATGCTCAAAGTCTTTCAAACCTGCATTGCGAAACTTTGCTTTCGCAGAGAGTACTGCTCTGAGGCTTTTCGACTTTTTTATGGAATGGAATGAACAAGATTCTCATAGATCTATGAGGCTCGTCCTCGATTTCCTCGCATATTTCATATCCAATAATCCTACAGCAGACGTTGGTGTCTCCGTCAGGAATACTATATTGAATAACACCATATCTACGATTACACAAAAGTCGTCTCGACCATCGGTAAAATCTGCTATCGCCGCGTTAGATCACTTTATTCAAAAGAAACTAGTTGAATTATACGGTGTCTTAGAGATATATAAAGAGATTAACAATCTCCCCTCAGATGATATCACTCTCTGGGATACTTTCGTCGCCAAGATTTTCGCTTGGATGGAGCTGCATCACATATGCTCCGTAGCCGGAAAACTTCTTGTTACCATCTTCACTAACTTCTGGTTTGAGGATAAAGATGTTAAACATAACCCTGAATCCTGGCATGGGTTCATATATAAGGCCCTGCAGACGAATCCCGATTATCTTGAACCAATCAAACTTTATATATTCGTGCCGTTATTCAAGGCTGATCGAACTAGCTCCTTAATCTACCTTCAAAATCTATTCACATTGCAGACGCTTACTAGTCATGGCAGCAATGGCTTAGATCCCAATTCAATGCTATGGCTTGCTATGCTTGAGGCAGGAAAGAAGGTCGGGGTAGTGGATGAGCCGGGTCGCCGTAAGTTGCCCATAATAAGTGCCCCAACCTGAAATATTCTTCGCTAATGGCGCCAAAGAACCCGAGCAGAATTCCCAGTCAGCTTCTCAACTGCAAACAGACATACTTGAGAGTGTCTTATGCCATGACTCCTTCGAAGCACGGTCTTCGGCCGTCTCTATTCTCATAGCCTCATCGTCTACAACAAAGCCATACACCACAGAAGCTTTAGAGCTACTTAAAAAGCATCTGCCATCTTTCTACGAAGATTCTGACCCGAAGATGCGCTATGATGTCCTGGGTCATTCGCGAAATATGATTAAACGAATTCAATGTACCATCGAATCGTTAAGGCGCGAGGTCGAGCGACTTTCGAAGAAGATTAACAAAACGGGAGCGAGCAAGGCTGTCCCTAAAGTATCCTCTAGAATCAAAGAGAGTCAACTTCAGAAACACCAAGAGGACGCAATTGTAGAGCTTCGTGCTACATTACAACGACATGAAGACTTCGTTTCCTGGTACGTAGGTTTTCTTAAGGACGAGCTTTCTCCCACGACATCCTACCAGAGACATATTACTGCATTGAAAGCGATGGCATATATAATTCAATCAACCGCACCTCAAGTAAATGGCGCGGATATATCTTCCGAGTTGAGGAATCTACTCGTCGATACAACGTGGTTTCGATCTATCTTAGATCTCATAATGGACCCGTTTGATGATGTAAGAGAGACTGCAGCCTCGCTAGTGATGTCGCTCTCGCTTCAGAACAGAGATTCGGGTCTTCAAAAACAGATTGGTGAACTAGGGAGAACACCTATTGAAGAACTTCGGAGTTTTTGCCGCAAAGCAGATGAGCTTGCGCGGAGAACAGCTCGCGCCGATCACTCCGACGGTGCTGCTCGATCATCTGAGCTTCTATATCGCTGGAGTACAGATACGGAGAAACAAATATCAATTCCATTCGAGGTTTTATCTAATCTCGAATCCAAGCTCAGCGCAGCTGAAAAAGACTTAGCCACCGCAGTTCTCCAAGCCCCGGTGCATGGCGGTTTTGCTTCTCTTCGGTAAGCATTTCGATTTATTGCCGATAGTACATGGAAACGAGAATTTGCTAACTCCGAAAGCTACATATGGGGCTCGCTCTCAAGCGCCAAGTTCTCCGAGGCGGATTTAAGGACATTGGCAGAGTTGCAGGACCGTGCTATTGTATGTTGCCAGAGAATATGGCGAGCTGTGCGACACGTCCTCTGTGATGATTCTCCCGAAGGCCATCTTCCCGAGGAGCTTGAAGAAGTAGAAGGGCTTGATACCAAAGACTTACTCAGTTACAGTTTCCGGGCGATTCATGAATCAAGGTGAGACACCTCTTTACTAAGTATTATGGACTAATTTTTAACCACCACTAGCAATTTGATGCGCACGATTGCAAATTGTGCCCGTCAAGGCCAAGGACGCGGGCTTCTAGTACCTTCAAGGCAGAATTTCGAGGCAATTGGAAGACTAACATTTGATGAATTATCAAATTTGCGACACCGAGGAGCATTTACGACTGTATCACAGACATTCACTAGTTGTTGTCAGCTTGTGAAATACTTCCCACTCGAGTCGAATGACGGTTCTAGCCTCCTAGACGAGTGGTATACGGTTAGTTAAACTCAGAACCATCAAATTTTGTGCATCTTCTAAGATATCTATTAGGGGGCTTTGGCTTGCATTAATACACAAGCGTCGACGACCCGAAGATCAGCTGGTATCCCAGCTCTCATCGTAGGCATACTTTCTTCAAATGCGGAACGCCCGTCTTTTGAAGATGTCATCCATAACTTACAAGACATCGGTCGGCAACCGGCGCTCGTGTCCGAGACTGATGGGTCGAACTTACCCCAAGTACACGCCTTGAATTGTATCAAGGATATATTCAAGAGCTCGTTTCTTAGTAAGAGAGCAGAGCCCTACCTCACTGATTGTCTCCAATTAGCAGCAGATAGTCTTAAATCTGAGGTGTACGTACAGAAATATCTATATCTTATAATTATTCTTGAACTAATATGGGTCAATAGATGGGCAATTCGAAACTGTGGCCTCCTACTTTTACGAAGTCTCATTGATTGCCTCTTCGGTACAAGTGAGAGTAAATCATCTATTGAAGCAGGTTGGGATGGGCGAACTACCAAGATATCCTATCACAAATTTAAAGCCCTCCCCGCCCTCCTCGTGAGCCTTCTGGAGATGGGTCAACAATCCACAGGCGTCTTGATCGGAAGTCAAACTGCGGAATCTGTATTTCCAGCATTGGATATCATCCGTCGAGCTGGACCACCGGAGGAGGTTCGCGACAAGCTTTATGATATCATTGCATGGTATCTAGGAAGTCGAATTTGGCATGTTAGGGAAATTGCTTCCCGTACCTTATGCTCCTTTCTTTTGAAACCGGGCTGGACTGAATCCATTAGCAACCTTCTAGAAAGCTGCGGAAGCTCCGCAAACAAGCTTCACGGCACACTTCTAACACTTAAGTTCTTGCTAGAGAGACTCGCCGATGTGATGCCCGATCAGCTTTCAAGTGAGTATTTTGAAGTATCCGTTCTTCCTATTCGCAAACTAAGAGTTTACAGGTCGCGAGGTTCGAGCCGTAAAGACTCTTCTCGAATCATTAGTAAGAGATGGGCGTGTCAACACATGTCCGGAAGTGAGAGTCGTATGCGTCGATGTGATTGGCTTCCTTACTCGACTAGACTTGTCTGAAAATCTGCCTTCGGCGGAACCAGCTATCGACCCATTCGAAAATCTAATGTCTAAGGCTTTTGCATCTAGCGATCAGTCGGCCATGATAGGCGTAGGGCCATCAGCATTACTAGATATCGCGCTGGGGCAAGCTGTGACTCAACAAGCATTGCGACAATCTAGTACGGAAGGAGGAGATATCCTGGCACAGATTCTGATGGCCAGTCTGAAAGGCGATATAAATGTTGCCTGCTCCATACTAGAGACTTTACCTACTCTTAAACCATCACAGTCCAAAGAAATGCGAGCCAGTCTCGTCAACGCATATATACGAGTGTCCCTCGGGACCGATGCTACTGAGCCGCGCATAATTGCTTATAGGAACCTCGCGGATCTTCTAGACGATATGATGCGCGATACCCAGGCTAAGTGGTATAAGTATCTTCCCTCAAACACGACCATAAACCTGCTTTCTGAAGATTACCGCCGAAAGCCTTCGAATCCAAGTTTATGCGACGCTTTCGTCCGCCTGACCGGACCGATGATGGCGATTTTCTCGCGATCGGAAGAGTCAGGCTATCCTGGTAAAGAATGCGAAATTCGGCGCTGGGGCGCAATGATTCACGACGCCGGGATGGCGGATAGGGTAAGTTGAATTTCCTAATAGTATTCACATTATGCCATATGCTTTACACAGTACATCATACTAATAAACACACGTATAGGCATTTGGTTCACGTAAAGCGGCCGTCGACGCGATGCAATCCTTCTGCACAATCATCAGGTTCGGCAGATCTGACAGCCCTCTCGACGTGGCACACCTACCCTGGCTCCTCGCTCTTTATGACGCCCTCAACGACGACGACGATGAGATCCGTAGCATCGCAGCCCAGGCCGCGGCACCCCTGCATTCAAACCAGCCACTCGTCTCCATTGAGGCAGGCCACCGGCTCCTGCGACTTCTCCTACTGTGGTATGGTGAGATCGATGAATTCAGAGCGCGCGTCGCATGTCGCATGATTGGATACACCTCAAACGACGCCCCCGGCAACGATGGCGCCGTTTCCCTCTCAAACTGGATCCCCGCTACAACACAGATCTCAGAAGCCATGCGTTTCGACGACTCGCTATTTGTCATCGAGGAGCCGAACCTGTACATAGACGAAGTACGCGAAGCGCGACGGTGGAGCGAGGTATACTCCTCCCTCCCCCCATCCCCATCCCCATCTTCGCTGGTAGAAGCCACGCTCTCCAGCTGGATCCTATCAGGTCTCCAGACGCTAGTCGATCTCGCGGAACGGGAGGGAAGAGACGGTCCATTGGGACCGATGTCGAAACCAGAGGTGTTTGCTATCTCCGCGCGGATCCTAGTCGGTGGCGTTGCGCTCGCTAAGAAGAGGGACGTGGAGGTCCGGAGGGAGTTGGGGAAGTTCCGGGATGCGGGGCGCAAGGCTGAGGTTCATGGCTTGTTGCTTGGGATGTGCAATGGGTTGGATGCATAAAAAGAAAAAAGAAGCCGTGAAAAGAGGTTGGGATTCCACAGGATACTTGGTTGTTGGGTGTTCATTGTATCGATCACTCTAGACATAGAAATTCCCCGTTTTCTCATCTCGATAGATCTGCAGCGTTCCATTTCATAACAATGTTTATGATATTGATACACTTCGTAACCTCGTCAATCTCATCGTTTCGTCTCGTATGCCATCCAAAGACGAAAACCCAATTCTAAGTAAGTACCTAGGTAGGTAGGTAGGTAGGTAAATGAGCTCGCGACTAGCTCCTTTTTTTGCTAATCCAAGTTCTGGCTTATCCAATCAACCAATCAATGCAACTCGTATAGCGACGTCATGTTTTCAAGTCGCATCGTCGCAGTGGTATCGTGCGCGCTTGCATCCACGTTCCGTCCCGACGTATCGTATATGATCCCCATCCTCTCCTATCCATCCATCCTATCCATATATACCAACTCATACCAACCCCCCTCACGAACTCAACCCCTCTCAGACATCCTCTCCGACATAGCCCTCCTAATCCTCGGCGGCGTCCCCACCCCCATCCCCTCCTCCGCATCCAACAAAACCCCCTCACGACCCAACCGCGCAACAAGCATCGTATTCTGCGCCTGCAACTCCCCAACCTGCTCCTTCAGAATATCCATCTGTTTGCGCGCAATATCGCGTTCCGCACGGACCTTATCCAGCTCCATCGCCATCGTACTCCTCTCCTCTCTCTCGAGCGTCTTCTTCCTCCGTTCTTCCGTCTTCTTCTGCTCGCTCACGCGCTTCGCTTCCAGTTTCTTGAGCTCGCGCTGGTATTTCTCCTGCTGCTTCGCTACTTCGCGCTCGTGTTTCTCGCGCAGCTTTTGCAGTGCGGTTTCTTCGCGCTGCGAGGACGTCGTGTCCGATGCCGTGCTGCCCCGCTTCGCGAGCGCTTTTTCTTGCGCGCGCCGGAGCTTTTCTTCTGTTTTGCGTTTTCGCTCTTCGAGCTTTTTAAGCTCTTTGTCGTGTTGTGATGTTCCCGTTGAGCGGGTAAGAGAGTCGGTTGAGCGCATGGATTCTGCGCCACCGTTTGTAACTGAAGGCGTGAGTTGTGTTGAGCTTTCTTCCGGCTTGGATGACGAGCCGTCATTTTCTTCTATTTCTTCGGCTTCCAGGCTATGGAAACTGCGAGTTGACGACGCATCGTCGTCGTCTACAGGTGGTTCGGAGAGGCTAGAAGAGCTCATATTATCGTCATTAACGGATCCAAAAGGATTAGGGAGGCGCGAGGCAGCCGCCGAAGCCGCAGAATTTAGAGCATTTGATATCATGCCATAAAATCCAGTAGGGTTGGCTGCCTCCTCTGCTTCTTCTTTCTCGTCGATAGCTGATAGGATTGGAGCACTAGGAGACTTAGTAAGGCTCAGCGTGATATTCGCTGGAGCTGGCTTCTTAGAAGCTAGCCCTTCTTCAGCTTTCTCTGCCTCTTGTATGAGTTTCGTATCTTCACCATCGGACTCAGTAAAATCATGAATAGATTTTGACGAGATCCATTTGACAAATTTGTTAGCATCACCGGCAATACCGGGAGGTGTACCCCTTTCGATCATGAAACGTGGTACACTGCCACCAGGATCGCTTCGGGTAACCATTATCCATTCGACCATGGTATCGTAGTCTTCATCATTCTCCATGACATCGCCGATATCTGCATGTCCGATAGTTCTACCTCGTCTCCTTCCGTCTCCGTCTCTCGCAGGAGAAGCTGAGTCCGCTGCTAGACGAGCTGAGCGAATAGAAGCCTGTCTACCGAGATTCTCTGCAGTATTCCGTATTGACGCCGCAGACTCATCGTTTGGTAGATCTATTGATGACCGAGTTTTGCGGAGAGGTTTCTCGACCCTGACTTCACGAATAAATTCGACAGACTCATATTGACCACGGATATAGCCTTGACGTGGTGGACATTCCGGGTGTATACATGGCTTCGAGACGAGCATGTAGTGTTTAGGTGTGCCAGGGATGTCGATAGCTGAGTCAGAACTTAGTAATAAAGTAATGAAGTCTCGTGGCGTTGTTGGTCCTGGGAATTGTGCCGATAGTTGGTAAACTGGTTTGATTCGTCAGCTGGACCAGTGCTTCAAATCAAAAGCAAAAACTATCCGATGATCAGACAATATAACGGTTAACCTACCTTGCATCCTACCGCGACCTTCGACAATTTGGTTCACCACCTTTTTATCGGCACCAATTCCCCTGATGCTCCCGTCACCAGGCTTTCCTTGTACCTTCATGCTCTCGTCGAGCTCTTTTTCCATTCCCAATTTCCATTTTGCAAAGGTAAGGATATCGTGGACGCTGCGTCTCGCAAACCAAGCGCCCTTTCCGTCCTTCGCAGCGAGTTTATAGACGTCTAAACCTAGCGGGTTCTCGCGCGGGTTCACCTTGGCCTCTTTCCAATCCTTCCTCAATTCCGACGCACGATCCGACGTTTTCGAAGAGCTACTAGATAGGGAGGGTATATTCGAATCAGTGGCTGACCGTGGTCTGCCTATTTTCTGCGTCGAGGGCGAGGAAGAGACCGGTATTGAATCGAGAATACACTGGGCGTCGTTGAACACTTCCTCCAAGAAAGTCTCGAGACTGTCATGAGCGATATCGTCCCAATTGACAGGCGCGAGGGCCTTGAAGGCCTCGTGGGCATTCGGCATAATCAATTCCTCCTCTTAAGCACCGATATGTAGTAGTCGACGAGGGTAGTATTCGTATGTGTTGAGGTATTAGAAAAGTGAATGACACGGTGTAATTTGAGGTACAGTAAACAGCCAAGAAAGTAGCTAAGAGCTCCAAGACGACAAGGTTGATTAGGGAATTAAGACACCCGTTCTACGCGCAAAGCATTCTTAGGGACGAAGATAATAATAATACATCGTACATAGGAGTAGAAGGAATTGGCTGAGTGAGAGGTTGGGAAATGAGCAACAGAAATACGAGGTTAGCAATTATCTCCAGGGCTCAGGGCTCAGGAATTACTAGAATGGTCTTTTCTTTAGTTCCTACTAGGTTGTACTTTTCTACGTTCTAGGCTCAGTAGGCTCTAAAAGCTCTTATCATTTACAGCACTCAATGTATTTCGTAGTCCAGCAAAATATCCTTGACGTCACACTTGCATCTATCCAGACTCGTCCCTGATTCACTGTTACACAATGATAGAGAAAACGCCGTTCTAACCGTTTAAGTTGGTCTCATAAATACATATTTCACATATTAACAACTTCGTAGTTGCCATTAACAGGGATAACCACGTGCGATAAGAATTACGTATCTCCACTCTGCAACGGAGATGGACCCCTATTCTTTGACCGTGTTTGCCGAGGCTTAGCTGAAGATCTCGGTTCTAAGCCTTCGGAAGCCTCTTCATCGTTACGATTGATGGAGGCCTCTATAAAGTCTGTTTCGCAAGTTACAATTATTCAAATGTCCTTATTGGCGGGGCATGTATGTGATTTTAATAGTATTATCATTAACGGCAGAGCAATGAATCTGCAGCAGTTCATGTTGTCTTAAAAGTAAGATGTGGGCGTCTGATTGATGTAAGTGGCGCTCACTACACACGGCAATATCATCTCATCCGGGACCGAGACAAACGGTTCTAAGACATTTTTATACTCATCCCGTTTACCCAAACTTACGCAATCGAATGTTTGAGTTTAACGACTCGAAATTCACCTTGAGATATGACCTCCAAGTTTGCATATAGTATTGTCCAATCATATCCTACTGACCGGGACTAGCCAGCTACAGTCGCTTAGTCAACTCAGCTAGTTTATAACGCAATACACAGAGAATTCAGTATCATTCGGACAGCTCACTTAGGCTCGACGGTCCCATAGCTCAGTTGGTTAGAGCGTCGTACTAATATTCTCCTGTCCTGTATAGGAAATATTAAGTAAATGCGAAGGCCGAGAGTTCAAGCCTCTCTGGGACCATTCCATTTTTGGTTTTCTTTTTACTTATACTACATCTAGAAGATAATTAGGGAAAGTCTACATTTGCTACTAGCTTTTTTTCCCCTATCGATTGACATTTTATCGGTCGCGAAGGAGGGGAATATTTTGTGTTGTCACTTCGCAAATTTTAGTCAGGAGTGAAAGTCTAATTATGGTGGTTTGATGTATCTGATACCTAGGGTCTCTAGTATTAGCCCATCTTGAATATGTACTAGGCACTTTGAAAGCGCCTCTAACAGGATGAACATGATGAGATAAGTTCCATTTCGTGCATCGCCTTTCCTACCATCTTGTAGGCGTAAGGAGATGGTCGACTTCAGGGTAGTCACGTGATACATAATAGATAACTCATACTTTCTTATTTCATCCTCTCGATCTGAGTCCCATCCGAAAAATTGTTTTCGGATACGGTAACAAATCACAAACTTTTCTAACTCGGCGAGTAGGTATATGACAATAACAACAATCCCAACAACGCCAAAACTTATATAACTAACTATATACAGTCTTCAAGCTCTAGATACACCACAAAATATACATAACAAACCAAATATGACAAACGAGCTAACCGGGGTATTTATTTCTACCACAACTATACTGAGCCCCTACAACATCCTCCTAGACAATATGCGTGCTTCATACATATAGTACAACAATTCCTCCACTCCCTTCTATCAGATATGTATATGTATATGTATACCCACTCCCCTCGCTCCGTGAGGAGCTCGTTGCTACGTATGCTTCCCTATACACTGTTACTTGCACTCTTCCCTCGTCTCTTCTCGCTTCATTACCTCCTCCTTTTCTCACCCCCTCTCCGACACTTCACCTACACGTACTTCACATACTTCACACACACTTCACCAAGCAACCCCCCCACCCCCCAAACTCTCCCTCTCCCTCTCCCGCATCAGCGCCTCGCGATCAGCCTTACAACTGCCACAATACTCCTCATACCAAGCCTGCAAGCCCCTCCTCTTCGCCTCATCTCTCTCCCTCTCCCCTTTCTCCCCCTTCACCACCTCCTGCCCCTCACCCCTACTCATCCACCCCCTAATCCCCCCAGCCCCATTACTCGCCCCCTTCTCCACCCCCCCATCATCCCACCTCGCAAGCGCAGCCTCAACCTTCTCGCACCGATGATTCTCATCAAGCAACCAATTCTCCCACTCCGCGCGCACGACCTCCCTCTCCACGCTATTAACTGTGCGCATCGCGACCAGGAGATCATGTCGATAACTACCTAGCTTCTGCCGCGTCTGACGTAACCGTCTCGCTGTAGCGCGGCTCGAGCTCCACGCCATCGCCGCGCCGGCCTGTTCGCTCGGCGCATCCGCGTCGGTGCCGTTCGCGATGGATTTGAAAGTCGAGTAGCAATAGCTGTGTTCGGGCCAGTCCTGGAGGCCGGCGGAGCCGTGGGCCGCCTCGTCGAGGTCCGCGATGTAGATGGCCTTGCTCATAACGACGTTCGGGCCTACGCCGATGCGGTTCATGAACCCGACGGCGCGGCGCTCGCTCCACCATGTCGATGTGCCTTGGCCTGAGAACACGACGTTGGTGAACATGCTGAAGGCGAGTAGGCCCAGGATGATCCACTGCGCCGTGACTACGTCCCAGAGCTTCTTGATCGCCGCGAATGCCCACATCATCAGCGAGCTCGCCACGCTATCTGCGAACGACCGGAGCGTCTCGAGGAGCATCTGGCTTAGCGTGCGCGGGTTAATCAGTGCCTTCTTCGCCATGTCCGCTTCGTTGGGCGTAAACACCAACGCTTGTGTTTGCTGTCCGACATTTCCGTACACCTGGATCGCGCGCTTCGTGCGGCTGTGGTGGCCGAGCTTCCGCACTTGGTCGGTCGCGACCTCGGCGAGATCTTCAGCCGACTGGCCTGCGTCGTCGAGAGCCTGTTGCTCGACTAGGTTCTTGGCGAGGGCCGGTGGTTTTGTCCATACCACCTTCGTGAATATGGCGAGCTTACATTTCGACTTGGCGACGTGAGTGATGACGATCTTGGTCACCAGCTTGAAACCGTGGGCGTGGGGAAGATGCCACGGTGTTTTGACATGAGTGACGACGTAGGTGACGTGATCACTGAATAAATCGATTGTCTGTTCGTCCGTATACTCCTCTGCTTTTGTGCGCCCCATTCTCGTCGTGTAGTTGACGCTAAAACGAAATTGCCTCTGCATGTTCCCTGCCTCGTTTAGCTTCCAAGGACTCTGAGTGATATGCTGGGCTCTGCTCTCGAAGTAAAGCTTGGGGAAAATGAAACTCTTGTCTCCAAATAAGACGTGAAAACAGGCTTTAGCACTAATTTCGAAATTCCGCTCGGCGCCCTTCCTTTGCATGCCTTCGGGTTCGTAGATTACTGGGTTAGTTGGAAGCTGGAACTTTGGAAGCGGCTTTCGTGAGATTTTTCGTCGCGACTTATAGGCTTTATCGTAGCTCCTAGGACTGATTGCTCTACCCGCCGCGGTGCCGTCGTCAAGAGGAGTATGTTCTGAGATTTCCTCCCAGCTGTCCATGCTTGGGCTCTTCCGGTCTTGTTCTTCCTTCTCCAGATTGATGAGCGCCTTAATGAGTTCGGGCACATCCATCGGCTCTTCAGCTTGCAGGTCATCAACCAAAAGATTCAAACGTGAGTGCAAAAGATCAAGATCTTCAAGGAAAGTCTTGATTGTAACACGGGTGTATCCGATAACATCCGTACCCTGGTTTAGATGAAGGAAAATAAAATCGCAGTCTCTGCCAGGGGCAGCTGTCACCTCCGAGATGGTGTCGAGACTGATCGTATACGTCACAACGAGGTCCATCTGATGGCCGTAAAAGTACATATTATCCGGCGTGACGTAGATTCGTCCATTACCAGCCATTGTAGGCACAACACGATCGTCTTCTGAATTACTAATCCAAGAAGCGCGGAAGACGAGAACCAACTTTTCATCCAATGGAACATTTGGGAAAAGGAGTCGGAATTGAGCCGAGTTCGTTTTCAATTCTATGGGGTAGTTGGCCGGGAAGGTTTCTGGAGGCGGTTTCTCGATGGCAGGTTGAGCATTCTTCGCTTGGTTCATCCGAGCATCCATACTAATGGCCTTTTTATGCGAAGACGGGCTTTTGACCTCTTCACCATCGCCGACCGGAACCATTTTGATAGTGGGCGAGTTAGGCCCAAACGGATCTTCAAGTTCCACGTCGCTCCGGCTAGCCTTGGAGTATTCTCGACCCCAAGCATTGCTTCCCCAATAATTGGCCAAGATCGCCGTCGGTAAGTATTGTGAAGAATTCGAGCTGAATACTCTATCGCCACTATAAACAACGGCCGTCTTACTAAGATTGGTCGTTGCCGGTGGTTTTGCTAAAGTTGCCGGCGCAAGACTGCCAGGTTGTGCTTCCGGACCAGACAAGCCCGGCAATTGCTGGGAAGTTTTAGAACCTGCCCCGGTATATCCTGGTAGTAACCCATGACTAGCAGATATAAGACCAGCAATTCCTCCACTTGTCCCAGGTGCTGGCACAGGCCCCGTATCCAAACCTGAAGTAAAAGCCCTCCTGTGAAGGTCGAGTTTCTGCATAATCCTTGCCGCATGTTCTCGACTACTCTCACCTTCCTCACGGGCCAAGGAGGTGACAGATCGTTTAGGAGGAGCTGTCGTTAGGTCAAAGCTTGGCCTTGGTATCAGTCCAACTTCAGGTGCAGGGACTGACAGAGCTCCGGCCCGTTCGGCATTGGCACTGTCTTCGATTTGCGCATCCAATGCTTTAGCCGAGAACTCCGGAAGCGAAGGAGGCGTGATAGAGAAAGCTGGATCGACACCACCCGGTAAAGATGAATTGTCTCTGCTGACGCTAGCTTCAAATGCTTTCTTCTTTGCGACTTCGAAAACCTCAAGCCATTCCATCAACTGACTTTGTGTCTCGGCCTGGAGTAGTAATGTCTGGTTCTTGGTTTTGACCTCGAAACAGAACCGACGCTCTTCTCCGACAGCGGGTTTCGCATTACAGAGAAGAACACCAATCTCATCGCCTTGCAAGACTCCTTGAGGACTGTTGACAAGCCAACCGAAGATACCGTCCCTACAATAGTACCATCTTCGAATCCAATTGGTTCGAGAAGGCTTGCCAGTCAATGTCCGTAGATAGAGCCAACCCTGTTTTTCCATTATCGCCGCAGATTGTCCTGCCGTGGTAACGTTCAAAGGGCCTTTAGATCCCAAAAATGGAACAGTTGAAGCGCTGTAGTCTTCAATCTCCCGTGATGGCTTAACCGCTGCTAGTGCACTCTCTCCAATATCGCTGCGTGCTAGCTGCAACTGTCTTTTGAATGTGGGCTCGGACAGTTCCATTTCCTTTGCCCATCCTCTCACTCGATCCATCTCATGGCCATGTTTCCCAAAACTTCCTGCGGCATCTCGTGATTTTTTCATTTCGCGCCAGAGGTCGTAGGATACTTGTACGATCAACTTGTCAAGGTTGATTCGGAACTGGGGCGCATAGAAGCAAAAGTCCATGGAAGCCTTCAAGTAAGCCTTGCGAGTCTCGTATACGGCAAAAGCGTCTTCACGTAACGACGAGGGCTCTTTTGCCTTAGACTGGCTCACGTACCGAGCTAGGGTAGTGTCGAATGCCTTCTGTGTCTGTTCCAATATTCTCCGAGCTTCTTTGAAGTTTCTTAAATCGCCTTGGAGGAAGTTCCGAATCGGTTCAACTGACATGGAATCCATTTGCTTTGCAGCGTTTAGGATTTGCACCCACCATTCTCTCGAGCCCTCACTGAACCTCTTAAGCGCTAGTGCGGCATAGTCGTTGTCCACATTGTTGATATAAGGAGGCGGGATGATCTTAGCTAGGTATGTATGGATAGTTTCCTCCAGACCTAGCAAGTCATGGGATAGCTTCGCGGTTGTCCTCACGTAGCCTTCTAGCCACCGCTCAATAGCATCTACTTGTTCGGAAAAGTATAAGGCAGAAGATCGGAATGAGGGTGAATCGAGCCCTGCTTCGTGGAGGACAACTGGAACGGAAGGGTTCTTGTGTTTGATCGAGGGAGGTGTCGGCGTGGATGGCACCGCCGCAGGAGCGGTGGTGGCTACTTTTTCTGTTGACATGAGGTATTGTACTATGTATGTACGAAGCTAAAGATTCGGTGTAAGTGTAATTATTGCATTAGGGTATTGATTAGTGGTTTCAAAAAAGGATAGACAAGTATCATAAAGTCGTAAAGAATCTTTGAATTTGCATTTGTATGGCGGTTTGGATCGGTCGTTATAGGTAAGTTGAAGCTTTCGACTCGACTCGTTGAAGCGTTTAAGGCGACGCGCCCCCAAGTTAGTTAACCGATGTTTTCCGTTCAATTGTCATACAACAGCTTCGTACGCTGTATATATAAAACTTGTGTTAATTCTGTATCCCTTCCAGTTTGAGCATTCTGGGCATGCGATGCCGAGCCTCACAAGAGAAGGTGTTGAGAGTTGGTTAACAACATGGCAGCCTGGATTAGATACTCGACAGATAGGGGACAAACGCTGTAGACGTCTTAGATCCGCGCTATACAAAGCGCTGACATCAGAAACCTTAAAGCCAATCCAGCGGCGCTGTAAATTAAGCCCGCTACTTCCAATGAATGGGACAGACAGCGCTAAACTAACCTATCTGAGCTCTAGCCTCAAACCTTGCTCCTTGAAACTGGTCAGTGGAGACCTTAGACTTTCCTTATCTTATCGATAACCAAGACGTCATGGGATGAAGGCGCCATCTACCAGTAGGCACGCCGTCCAGGCACGCCACCTTGGCCTATTTTCAAGACAGCGACCAGTTACAATTATAAAGTTAACTACTAGATAGATACTTTGTATAACGATTAACAATTTCTTATTTCTTGTTTATCTCTATCAACCAATGTCAAAATAAGCCTCCGGGACATTTCTAAGATAACTACTCCTAATCAATTAGCATTGTATAATATCATACACATTCTTCTTTCTATATTGTCAACCTTCCCCCAGTTCCAATTCCCTAAATATGACCGTGTTCAATATCAAGCAGACGTCTTCGGCAGTCGAGTCTTGCTGCACCTGTGCGACTCTCCTTAGCAAAGTCCCCCGATATAGCAACTCGGAGAAGCCTCTACCCCATGATCGCCACTTAGAGTGCTGCCGGAGAATAATATGCGGACACTGTCGTAATGTGCGTTGAGCAATGATCAGATACAAACACACATATCCACGAGTCCATGACTTTACAAGTCAACTGACCATCCCAAACAGACCAACCCCCGCTTCAACACCTACTGCCCCTACTGCCAAATCTCATTAACAGACACGAGTCTCCCACAAGGTCTAAAAGACCCGCCATCATACGAATCCTCAATCGCAACCAGTTCCAAGAAGCCCGTCTCCGCAGCCCCGCCACCCTACATGCCTCCGATAAACCAAACGAGCCCAGACTTATTAGACGAGAAGTCCGTCCCTCTTGGCTCTTCCGAACTAGCCGAAGACACCCTGCACTTCCTAGACCACGCACACGACTCCGTCTCCTCGCTCTCTCTGCGCTACGGCGTCCCCGCGCCCGCCCTCAGACGAGCGAACAACATCACAAGCGACCACCTGATCCTAGGCCGGCGGACTGTGATAATACCCGGGGAATACTACAAAGGGGGCGTGAGCCTCTCGCCGCGGCCGATCGAGGGCGAGGAAGAGGAAGCTCGGAAATCCAAGATACGACGATGGATGGTAGCGTGCAAAGTGCACGAATACGACGTCGCGGTGCTATATCTAGGGCAAGCCGGGTACGACCTCGACATGGCGACGGAGGCCTTCTTTGCAGACGAGGCGTGGGAGCTAGCGCACCCCGTCGAAGCAGCGAAGAGAGGCAAACGGGTTGCTAAATATGCAAATAATAGGAGTGCATTTCGGAGAGGACATAGGTAATAGAAGATTCATCAACTAATTGGTAAAAGTAGGTTAGACCACGAGGTTTGGCCTTTTGTATTGTACATATAAGTATCACATGTGCATATCTCGCATCTGGGGGTTACTTAGGCACTTTTATAAGACCTGAGGGTTTCAAGTTTTAATGGACATCAACACTGACCATTAAGCTATCTTGATTTGGTATCAAAATCCGAGGAAATCTCTGCGGATATAATAATATGACTCCTTATTACTCCATGCGCCATTCCCAAGCCTTTCATCAGAATGCCGATCGAGTTCGTACGTCCTAATCATGTTAGTCTGGTGGTTACATTCAGGGATTTGAGGCTTCACTTACAGATATTTTTCTTTCAATTTCACGGACCGAGCGATCTAACTCTCCCGCAATCATCTGCTTCTTATCACTAGGGAGCAAAGTGAACCTCTCACATAGGTCCCCATCAATGACACCTTTAACGGGGGCATAGTAACCCCTATATATCAGATGATCTCTTCCGGCAAGAGGCGGATCCTCAGTCCGCATATGCGATTCGAGGCTTTGGAAGAAATCCGCATCTTCTCGACTCAGGAACGGAATCAATACGCCAATAGTGCCTTGTATTCCACTCCAAAGAAGCACGTCTTGTCCACCTACTACGAGGTTTGTTTTGCTTATGCTGGTGGGGACATCTTGAGTAAAAAAATGCGACATGAGGCTGACACGGTGATTAGAACCGTGTAGGTATTCTCGGGCGTGTTGTAGGTGCGCGCCGGTTCCGTCCTCGTCGGCTTCCTCGCTTGCCTTCTGTGGACATCGCACAATCCATATATTTCCGAATTTGTCTCCGCCGGCAACCGATTCGTAGTCCACCATAGCTGTACAGATTGTCCAGCGGGGTACGGTGTCGTCGGCAAATGGTATCAGCTTGTTGCTTTCGTATTTATAGACGACATACGTAACTCCTTGCTGCACATCGCCAACGACGATACGGCTACCTTGGGTTTGTATCGAAACGATAAGTTGAGGGGCAACTTCAGCTTGCGACTTTCGAAGAAGCTGACGGAGTCCAAGATCGTAGACTCGAAGAGTCTTTCCGATGCCCGCTAGCAAACGGCCTTGGAATTGTACCAGCGCCATTGGGGGCTCTTCCACTTTTGTCTTGTGAATGAATTCAATCTCTCTGCCGTTGTCGCGGAACCTGTAGACATGTATGAACCCTGCGCTAAACTGGCGAGGACTAAGGATCATGTCTTTTCCGGTACCAACAACGAGGAATGTCTCGTTGTCTTGACTTGCAAAGGAAACCGTAACCATGCTGACGGCAGCCTCGTTGTCGGTCAGCTCTAATGTTTGCAGAACTCGTTTCTCCACTAAAGGGTCTACGACATTGATACAAGATGCCCATCGGCCGCGTCCCCTAGGATACCCAAACTCCTCTGGTGGTAACACAGCTGCATCGCCATTAACGACAGCTGGATCCGCTAGTAATTGGGCGCGCAACTCGGGAGGCAATGTATTGTTGTCGGCTTCAATGGTGTAAAAGTAAGGCTGGTCAGGGTGTTTAGCAAGACGTCTAGGGGTATACGTAAGCGGTATCGACTGTTGCAATAAGGTGTCCCCTAGTCGATCGATGGAGAAAATCCTGTTGCTATTAGCAGCTTATCTTTTCCATGTTTCTCAAGATTACGTAGAAAGTATTTGAAGTTCAGTAGGAACAATTGGTATATGCGTAAAGACCTCATAGCCGTAGCATCGGATCCTTTTTTCATCATTCTTCAGATCGGACAGGTTTAAAGAGTTCACTTACTTGAGATTTTGGCCCTGGATTCCCACCATACCTTCTTCACATTGCTCACTGCTGAAATTCCACCCCCATTCTAGATCACTATAGTCTAGCGGCGTCATCATGAAGCCCTTCGTAATCGGATCTGAATAACCCAACCAGGTTCTTGAGCTGAGAGCGAGGACACAGGTGCTGCCCTCGACGGAGGTCTGGAAAAGTCGTACAGCCTTAGGTCCAAGGAACTTTTGGCGGGTATCGGTAAGTTCACCAGTCACCTCATCTAGGACTGTTCGCAAATACACGCCTGAATGCAGACCGATGTGAAGATATAAGGTCGAGCCACCAAACGAAGAGTCTTCCATAGCCATGATAGACAATGATGACGGAGCAGCGGTCAGAGCTTGCACAGATTTACTCTCAAGTGTGGATTCGAGATCCAGACTTAGGATTCGGACTGTGCAGTCATCGCATCCAACAGCCAGGAATGAACTTCGTAAGCGACCTTCAGGAACCTCGCCCAAACTTAAGCAAGTAACAGTTCCAAACATTTCCTTCTTTTCATCATATTCGGCCAATGACCCATCTTCAGCCATCTCAAAGTAAACAATTTCACCCGAACTTAGAGCAACCGCAACTTGGCGCTCATTGGTGGAGGCCGCAACAATAGACCGGTGAGTTGGTGCTTCCCATTCATTCACTCGTCCATTAATGATATGTCGGATACCTTTGGGATGAACTTGGAGAAGGCCGTCGTCGCCAAGTTGTTGGACGGCAAGCGTCGGGACTGTTGAGAGGAATCCAGTATCCGTTACCTCTTCCACAGTTTCGCCAATACTGAGCACCAAAGTGCCGTTGCTAAAAGAGAGCACAATATAGGCATCGTACTGATCAGATCGGTTGAGTTTCGTAGTCCAAACAGCGGATGGGACCCCGGGAAGTTCCGAAGCCACTATTTCATTGACTTCTAAGCCGTGCTTTAAGGTCCTAAATGTACTTCTCGCGCCATTTCCACAAAGAGAGTAGATTTGTGGTGCATCTTCGCCAGTTAGATTTGCCACTTTACAGTCAACCAAGGGGTTCATCGAGTCGATGCTCTCAACTAAACTCAGGTTTTCGGCTGGTCTTGGATAGAAATAAACAGGATTGTATGATGTCTGGGGATCTGTCGGGAAGTCATCACTGCTGAATTCCAACTCATTATCGTCATCACCCAACTTCTCGAATTGGTAGAAGTGGTGGTTACCAAACTCGCTAGCAACAAACAGGAAACCGCTCTTCAGGATGCAGAGGCTCGTAGAAACTGGAACGGTATCGAAATACTTGATCTTGAGCCTACGTACTTCCCCAGTTGGCTTTTCGTCATCGTCCTGAGCCATATCAATGGTGACTTTAAACAAATCGCCATCTTCCGTTTGGAGAAGAAAGAAAAACGCACCAGCACTCCCTTTGAGTTTGTGCATGACTCCGGATACGATCGAGCGTTTCCTCTGGGGATCTTCTGTGGCACCCTTTCGCCTTGGGATCGGGACCCGGAACGCCTCCTGGTTCGAGTGTCTGTACGTGATATTCTCTTCTCCGCATACTAAAACACCACTAGGTCCGTCATTGCCACCAGGAACTTGAAAGAGTATTGATGCCGTAGGGTCGACCAACTCGTGCCACTTCCGGACAACATGGTTCAGTCCCAGATCTAGTTCATAGTACACGAGTTGGGTTTCGATTTCGGTAACAGCTTGACCTGTTGGATCTTGGTCTACCTCAGAGTAATCAACCTCTAGCGCTGCGAATACTGGATTCGCATAGCCAACATCTAAAGACACCATAGAGAGCACGACCGTTCCAGGTTTATGCGCCTCCAGGGGCGAAGAGATAGTAAGCTCTGCCTGAGCATTGCGGTTTAGAACGTAGACTAGTTTGTTCTTCTCGATCGACGCGATGAGACAAGCACGGCCTTTAGGATCGCAAGCTAGGTACTGGCCTGGAACGACTCGGCGTACACCTGACTTTCCAAAAGTTTCAAGCTTCTGCCTTTTGAATCGATTTTGCTGTGGTATGTACTCGACTATAGCAATGCGTCCCGAATCGGTAGCAAGTATGATATAATCTATCAATAGAAGAATTAGCTAAAGTTCTGGTGGTAATGGTTCCTTAAGCGCCTGTATATCGCACCGTGTATCTAGGCGGTAACCCGAGCGATTCTACGATTCTAGGGACCGAGCTTCAATATCACTAAGTGAAGCCTCACAAGTAGGATGTGTGTACAGAACTTACCCTTATTGCTTCCCGCCAGACGAAACGAGGCTATGGATCTAATAATCCCAAAAACATCGTGAGATAGGAGGGTGATAACCTTTCCTTGGGATGGTTCTGGACGAAGTAATGTGAGCCGGGAACCCGAGGCTGTGACGATTTGCTGTTCTCTAGTTCCAGAAAACTGGCCAAGAAGAGCTTGAGTTATCGTTGTAGGAGGTTGGATGGTAAGGGAATAGAGAAACATATTAGAAGTAGTCGCCATCTTCGCAGCAAACGTGCAGGAAGCCTGCGCGACTCTTCGAATTCCTCTGTCTCTATCTTTTTAATTTTCGCGTCGATTGTAATGCGGTGTCGTCGCGTATGAAGAAGCTAATGTAGAGCTCCAAAAGTTTTTGTTAAGGTTTATCGAGCTCTGTGCTGATTGGAGAAGGTATCTGCTAGACATTTTGCTCGTTGTAACATCGCCCTTTCATTGGACATTGAGAGCTCTTGTGGGGTACAGTAAGGGATCAACCTTTATCCGTCATGATTTTTAGAACTTGGAAGGCGGGACGACTCATCAAGCTGTTGTATTGTACAAAGTACATCGCTGTGTACCTACTTGAAGCGCTATGCCTATTTTGCATTAGCTCCTTAGATCTGACGATTTCCAATTCCGAGAATTTCAATGGCAGCCATGAAGTTACCCAGCCCAGTCGCAACCTCGGAATTCGCAATTATCATATGAGGAGGCTGTTTTATACGAATCCCGAAATATGGAACCTTCAGTGCGTCTGGCAGCTTCGAATGCTTGCCGGGCATGCCTAAGGTCCTCAGCGGCGCATGCATCTCGTCCCTCCATGACGAGAGCATTCTCTAAAAGCACCTCCCCGCGCCCATTGCGAAAGACTAGCTCTTCCAACCGACTTATCCATTCGAAGCGTCCTATTCCGCCGGTTCAAACCAAGGGGAATTTATCAAGGTCTCTGTCATTATTTGGTGAACAGTCCAAGTTAGCCGAGGATAATTCGGTTGGACAAGGACCAGCTGCAGCATACGAGAACCAATCGAGACCACCTATCCTGCGCCCCGACGACTTGTTCCACTCCTTCACCAATTCACCCATTCCAGAGATACGGCGTCGTGCCGCATTTATAAGACAACATGGACGTTGCCCACATCCGGATCATAGTCCCACGGGTTCCGGGGCTCCAGCCCATGTCGACTTTGAATGTCCGGATTGCGGGATTCCGGTCTATTGTAGCGACCACCACTGGGCCGAAGACTACGAAGCTCATCTAAAGATATGCGATACATTGCGACAAATCAACGAAGATGATCACGATCTTCGATCTGGAAGATTCTTCCCAGAATTTGAATACGCGGGGCCGCAAATGGAAGAAGCTGCTGTTAACATGACCAATTGGGATACCTTCCTCTACACGAGATTATTTGAGGCTATCAACGATGACCGAAATATGCGGCAAGTCACTAGGCTGCTTACATATCCGGTGACAATTGGCAGTATCCTCCACGAGCTTAGCCCCTATAACATTAGGAAGGGTGGCAGACTCACACCCGAAGGCTTAAAGAGTTTAAGCGCTCTTAGATATACCTTACACCCTCCTATGACTGGTGGTGGAGAGGATATCAAAGGTTTACGGCCTGAAGCACCTCCGGTGAGAATATTCATACTAGGTGCCCGAGCAGAGTCATCTTTACCTCGGAATGTCTGGGTGCAGCTAGCTCACCTTTTCCCCCGAGGAAAATTCCATCTCATCTTCATTGGACCTGAGAGTATGGCGAATCGAGATGACGAGTTCCCATTGCCGCCTCGAACTCCTTCCAACCCTTTTGGTGCTATAGTGGAAGACCGAGTATGGCCGACGATGAAGATTAGCACTATTGTGGACTACTATCATACTCTCCACAAAACTGGACAATTCTACCCATATGATCCCTATTTTGACTGTTTTGTCATGTTCCATCCAGGCTTGGGACATCCGGCCAGCTCCCACGAGTGGGCGGAAACGGTGTCGTTACTCCTCGAGACGAAGGCACCGATCATCGTGACCGGCTATACACAGTATGACATGGACAGGGACATAGAGTGGGTTAGAAAGACTTGCAAGGGCGAGTTTGATTTGCTGATGGAACCTGGGGAAAATACATTCAGGAGTTTGCGGTGGGATCTCAACGATCTCGACCCGCAGGACATTAGCTGCGGCAACTGGGGAGTATGGGCTTTCCGAGGCAAGAGGTATGTGTTTTCTTCATCGAAGATGCCAGGCAAATCACTCGATTCTACGGCTCTAACAATTTTCACAGATACGAAGCAACAACAAAAAATGCCGAGTAAGAAACGACTTTGCATATGTACCCCTATATATAACCGCGTTAACCGAGTGTATAAAATCGCACCACTCCATGCTGATGAGATGCACCTCCATGAAATCACCTAGCCTATGTCCGATTTATGTGATCGTGATCGTGGTTGTGGAAATGAGTCAATCCACAACTTACATTCTTGACATGTTTAACAGCGTGCTTAAGTATGAATATAATTATTTGCTGATAATTGCTGATAATTGTATCATTATCATGAGGCTCAATAATTGTCTGTAAAACGAGACATGGTAATCCTTGCTCACACATGGGATGCAAGTCAAGAGCCGATGGTACCCAGCTGCCCAGGTTCCAGGTAGTTGAAGGCCTGTGCTTAGGTGCTAAAATTTACGATTTACGCATGCTTCGGGGTGCTCCGCTGCACCTGTCAACGTCATTTCAGGTGGCACGAGCGTCTTACAGTTGCCGTAAGCTGCGGCTGCAGGTGCGACGTCCCTTGAAAAAAGAGTACAAGCCTACAAGGGGAAGTCGCCGCAAATAATGGTTCCTGCAGCAGCAAAACGGCAACGAACTTAGCGCGATGACCAACTAAACCCACTTTCAACTCCACGACAACTCCTTTCCAACCACATACTATCGAAAGACGAGAGAATCTTCTACCCGATTCAAATACCATGACGATACTCCGGTAAATGCCCCATCCTCTCTCGACCGGGGATGTCGACACCATCATCGGGCACCCTCCCGCCCAAAGGTAGCCCGGTTCCGACCAGTTTAAAGGCGCCAGCAACATCAAGCACCAATCCCGAATCAGTCACATCATCCACTGTAAATAAGGCTTCTAGTTCACCTGCCGTGACTCCACCGCCCTCGGCTCCTCGTCGATCCACTCGTCCCATATCGTCCGACTTTCTCTCCGACAAGGCCACCGCTGCCTTTATACGCCGAGTATTGTGCGCCCAACATTTGGCTGATAGGGGAAGGAGCACGCCTGCTCCGATTCAGGATCTGTTGCCGCCTCTGACTAGTCGCAACGATGTGGATCTCCAGCTATATGCTCTCATAGCGATCATCATCAAGGAATTTGTCCAGAATTGGTATGCTAGGATTACGCCAGATGAGACCTTCGTCTCCGAGATTGTACACATCATTGCACATTGCACTCGGGCGTTAGAGGAAAGGTTGCGGAATGTAGACCTTGAGAGTTTATTGTTTGATGAACTCCCAGAGTTGCTAGATGCGCATATCCGAGGTTGGCTGCCATGTCTTATTATCTGGCAAACGAAACTCGTATATTTGATTGCATCATCACTAACCACATCGTACAGCGTACCGAGTTGCGAAGAGCTCCGTGGCCCGTCCACCGGTTGAAGCCAATCCGCGCGAGATCTATCACTCGCTTTGGCCTCTGCCTGCTCTGTCCCCTGTTCCTAAATCAGAATCTGGCAGTGCCCAGGTCCAGGCAAGCAACGAAAGCGAATACCGGCAGCTTTTAGTTCGGGGTGTTCTCGCACTTCTACTTCCGACTGAGGATCTCGAGAATGAGTGCTTAACAGCTTTGGTTGGGCAGATATTCTCGGAACTCGTTATTGGCAATCTAATTGTCAATAAACTCTCGGAGCCATGGCTCATATTGGAAAGTCTGATTATGCTAACGAGATTAGTACGCGCAAAAGGCGCCATGAAGGCTTCTGAAACTAGAGACATCACGCCGAGCATCAATCTAAAAGCGGGCTCCGGCATAGTTCCGCCAACTACGAACAAGACTAGCTTGCATATTCAGGAAGCATTCTGGTCCGTAATCCAATGGGGTTTCGTTATAGTAAACTCGATACGATTAATGATCAACACGTTAATGCTTTCCCGAGCACTCCCTCCAAGATCCACTCCTAGTTTCGCCCGCCTCGCAAAGCCAACTTTTGACGAGGACGAAGCAGAATCATACCACCCTCCGGCGGTCTCGGAGACCCATTCGCAGCCAGTCAAGATCCCCATTGCGGACTTCAAAATATGGTCTTGCGCCGGCAACCTTCTCGAAATAGACGCTCGCATGCCCTGGATGAGCGGAGCCTTCTCCATGATACAATGGGGAGCTCTTAGAGGCCCTGGAAATTTGGCAGGGTTTGACGGGATGATCGATAGGTAGGCGAATCAATCTTCTTTTCTTCTTCATCGCGGAAGCACTTATCTCGTCACCTCGCATGCGTCTCAGGTCACAGGACCAGACGTCGTCCATTCACATCTCAGAATTGTCCTGTCTCGCGAGTGTGCATGACGGGCATTGCCTTTCCATCACAAGATTAATTTCCATGGACGATCGGATATCGGCTTGGCAAATCGACGAAACGAGGCACGGATACTTAGGCCAGGCCATTTTCAGTAAAGCCACCCTCTAGTCGAGGGAGGTGCTGTACGACGCTACCATCCTCTGGTTTCACAGCCGGATAAACAGGAAGCCACCCAAAGTCCGATATTCGCCAGGGTCATCAATAAAGACTTCATTCCAGGGGTTGTCCTTACTCACGACCAATGACCGGGTAAACCTAGATATCCTTCATCCGATTGCACGATAAACGGCGCGGGGCTGAGTCTAGCAGGTCTACCTGGCCATCCGCGAGCCTTATTTACGCGCCCAACCTTGGTACTTGCAGGGATTCCTATCCTCGACCAAGGATTCCTCCATTCAGTACGACGCCACGAACTCTTTTTCCCTCTCGCTTCGTACCGCTGGACCCCACCGCTACCGTTTCCCGCACGCACGGGCATCTCTCCGACGCGCGTTGTTCAAGCTAGGGACTTTTACACGACAGATCCTATCTCGAACCTAGATATCTTAGCAGGCTCTGCTATTCTACTTCGATGTTAGTCCCTGCCGTACTACTCACGGCCATCCCACTATATTCCAATATGTGCATCCGCTCTTGGTTCGATCGGCGGGACGACAACGACTATGTTCAGCTCCGAATGCCGTCAGATGTGATCGGCCAAAGATGGCACTAGCTTGCGTAGCTTAGACCGGGGTATTTTTGAAACCTTTCCGAGAGCGATAATGTGGCTTTCAATACCCTGGCGTCGGGATACGCATGTATCATACACCATCTTGGCCGTTCCGTCCAAACTTAATCGATCTGAGCTCTTTAGGTCTCGACCTCGCATATTTGCGCCCAAAAGACCATCATCGACGTACCTCTTCCCCGATCGGATAGAGCCAGGGGTGACCCCCCTCCAGGGCTTATGCAGCTTCTAGCTCCCCTGTAGGAGCTCTCGTCTCCAGGCAAAGCTCACGGTCCCTTGAAGCCTCACATCGCTTGTCCGTTTGATGCAGTCATGCGTGGTAGACTTTGCATTATCAATCATTATTAGATTATTAGGTGTGGTTACACCTGGTCGTGTGTACCTTAACCGTGAAGCCATGGTTACAGCGAGATTCCATTATGGAACCGTTCGGATTATCTGCCCTAAGAATCTGACTCTTTTCGAACTCGCGTTCATCCCCCCAAATCCCCAAATCCCCCTCGAATCATCCCGCTTACGGTAACACCTGTACCACTAAACCCCCCACGTTCCCTACAACGCCTTTTCCTTAGAAGCTTCTATTAATGTTCGCTGGTACATGGTTTGCACTGTACTGTACTGATCTCGCACAGACTTTTTTCACATCATATCCACGCCTATATTCTCGATCCTGCCCGTCTTCCCCCGCTCCTTCGAGCCGTGCGCGGCGCCATATTCCCCAATAACGCCCCAGGAGTATCTAGCTTGATCCCTCCCTCATCTGACGAACAGCTGGCCGCCCTGCGTCGCAGATGCGCTAGCGCGCTTTTGGCGCTTGTTCCGAAGGGGGTGGGCAGGCTTTATTACGGTAGCAGTACCTGGCTATTTTCTACTAGATCGACTAACACTCAGAAGAGTCCGAGCTCGCGGTCCGGACCGTTTAAAGTCAAAGGTAATAACACAGCACATAATACCAATAACACTGGAGAGGAAGTTGCACGCGTGCGGCTTACCGATGAGGGCAAATCTGTTAGAGACAACCATGCAACGTTGACCCCAGAAGGTTCAAAGCGGGAATTTGGAGACACCGGTGTGCGGCCGACCGAGGCTGGTGGCGACAATCGGGCTGACATGTGTGACAAGGGCGATGACGAGGAGGAGAGCAGAATCTTATCGGAGATCGAGACCGGCATCCTCGATGTCTTCTCGGATGCCTATTGTAACAAGCATCTAGTGTACGGCATTCTAGAGCTCGTCCTTGTGCGCCTTATGCCCGAACTAGCCGAGAAGGGGGTGATCGAATTATGGGAAGAGCGTTTAAGTTAAGGGAGGGGGGCCGGACAGTCGGTTTGTCTCGTAAACGAAATAAGTAATGTAATAATGATTGATACCCAACCAACCAACCGGCCTACCGTTAGAACGGACAACACGACACGACACGACATTAAGAGAAACAAGTAAAAAGGAAATTCTTCTGTTAAGAAAAAAATGAGTTTCAAAACCTTCTCATGCACCGCCCTGGTCCAGATCGGGTGGCACCCTCTTGTCATGCAATGCAACGCAACGCACTCAGTCCAACATAAGCCAGCAATAGAGTACTGACGGGGCCGAGGGGCGAGATGTTCCGGAAGGCTAGTTACAGAGCCGCGACAGGCTCCGCTTTCGTTGTTTACATAGATATGTACCTACATACGTATATACATACATACATACATACATGTGTTCTTGTGTGTCTCATCTACCTACCTTGGTGTCGTTCGGCCGGCTTGTGGTTAGGGGGGGGGAGGGGACGGACGGGGGAAGGGGGCTTGTTGTGTATTACTATGGATGTATGTAGAAGGTTACTCCAAGAATATGAATAAAAATAAATAAACGTTCGGTCGTGGTTTTGGGACGGGTTCGGATAGCGAATTCGAACCCCCTTTCTATGGACGGTGTAACGTCGTCGGATTCCCCTGGATTGATGGATGAATGGATGACTGGTGTTTGCTAGGTTTGGCTGGTTTGCTGTATGAGACCCCTTTCTCTCCCCTACGTTTTGAGGCAGGTTAGGCTCGAGGGACGTGTGTACTCGTTTGGGCTTTCGCTGTCTCTTGTTTCCAGGGCACTTGGATGATTGATTGATTGATTGTTTGGATTGCTGGGATATGGTAGAGCAGTGAAATTCAAGATTAGTGTCAGCTAGATACCTAGAGAAACAAATCACTCCGGATATACGCCTGATAGTGCTGCTATGTAGAGAGAAAAAAATTGGAATAATGAACCGAAAACACGTTTCCCCTTTCCTCAGAGACTCTAACACCGGTCACCTTTGAACACCTTCGCGCCCCCTTTCCCCTTTAGACCCCCTCCCCTCCCCTTCCTTTCCTTCGCCTCCTTGGCCTCCCGTGAACGGAGGGAAAGTCGCCTCTCCTCGTCCATGTTAGATATCAGCGAATGTGGTATTTCTTCTTCCTGCTTCCCCCTATATTCCCAACTCCGTCGAGGATAGTAACGAGGGGCGTTCGAGGAGGAAAAAGGACGGGTTTTTCGGATTGATAGACAGATGAGTATTTAGGTTGTTATGTAGGTGTATATACGGGGAGGACCTTATAGAAAATACCGAGAAGATGAAGAGAGAGAAAAGAAGTAGTAATAGTAGTAATAATAATAAGCCGTTTTGAGATTTTTTGAAAAATTCGCGATGTTGGAGACTCCTGGTTATCGAGGGTAGTAATGTTCGCGTGAGCGGGACAAAGTCTTGTTGCCGAATAGACGGATAGATCGAAAATCGATGGTTATGGTATAGCAGTATAGTATAGGATATCAATATAGATGATATCGAAGGGAGAGGATGGAGAATAATAACGAGCGCCCAATTTAAGTCCAATCAATATAAGAATTTTTCTTCCGTCTTACTCCTCCTCTTCCTTTACCCTCCCTGGGTTTCCTTCCCATCCCTTTCCCTTTCCCTGGCCCTTCCCTCCCTCTTCCTCCCTTCGTCCATTGCTCGAATTTCGGGTATATTTCGCTTTGGGTTAAACGCGCGGTGGGGCGACGGGGGTATAATAGTGTACGTATATGAATTGATGTTTCGTGAGAAATATAGTGTATATAATTAGATACGCTTTGTTTCGGTATTTGTTTGGTTAGTTAGTTTGGACAATTTTTGTAATTTTTGTGTGGTTTTTTTGTTTCCCCCCTTTCCCCTCGGCCCTGGTGACGCCTGTGTGAATATGAGCATGGATATGATGACATTGTCCTTATCCCCTGTGCCTGTCGTGAGACGTTTTCTGTTGTAGACTCGGAATGAATGGGTCGTTCTGTTGTTATAGATACTGTAGTCGGAAGTGAGCGTGAAAAGTTGGGTGAAATGGAATAATTTTAGGGGGTCGAATACGGCCGGTGTCTGTAGTTGTTGGTTCGTCAGGTCATACAGATCAGTTTCGGGGATTCCTATATGTCCAATTTAGAGGATTTATTAGTCCGAATCTGATGCTGTCGGCGATCTCGTAAAAGATATAACCCTCAGAATTCCAGAGCTAGGGATCCGATGGTCGATAAGAGCTCAAGCTACTGTCGATATGTATAGTGTCCATGGAGATGGTTTCCCAAAGATGGACGGGCTCATGGGTTGTCATACACTCATCGTCGTCTCATTTTTGATATGGGGCGAAGGGGCCGTGGTCATCTCCGTATCGCCCTCCGGTATCCTTGATAATCCTCCGAAGCCCTGAGTAGCCGAGTTAGACTGAGGAATCCCCATCTGCTGTTGCGACTGTAATCCCAGCTTCTCTGTAAGTCCGAGGACTATTAAGAAGTCGTTCTGATCAACCAAACCCGTGGTCTTGAACTGCTGCATGAAGCTGAGAAGAGTATCGGCGGCCCGTCTAGCGTCCTCTTGTGTCGGTGAACTCGGTGAAGATCCCAATGTCGTCCCGGACACCGCAACCCCTGAGCAGCTAGACCTTCCGGTTAAACTGCTGTTGCTACTTACGTGATGTAGCGGTGTAGGTGGGGATATAGCTGAGTCTAGGTTTCCGAAAGGCGGGGCCGGTATCTCGTGGGCGGGCGACTCGAGAGCTGATGAGGGTGCCGTTCCGGATTGGCTGTACTTGGGTGTCAGTGGCTCGCTGGACTGTGACTGGTTGATGTAGTCGAGATGTCCGAGGTCGGGAACTGTCTGACTTCGAGGGCGCTGGAAGTTGGGATTTCCGGGTATTTGGTTCCGATCGCCAAACATTCCCGAGTTTGGATCCGGTGAGAAGTTGAACTGCGAACCTGGGCTGAAAGCACCTGCTGAGAAAGTTGAACTTGGAGGGTCTGTGACGGCACTGGAAAGCGATGTTGAGCTCTGCGAGTGTGGATGTCGGTATCCGTTGGATTCGAAATCCATGAAACCCGTAGATAGAGATTCTTTGCTTTCGGATTTTTCGATCGCCGAAGTAGGTTGCGGTGAGGTCGTTTGGTTGATCGGTGAAGCAGGTGAGATACCTCCTGGTGTCTGCGAGGTAGATAATAGCGGTGAGCCAGTGTCCAGTCGAGCATTGTCGGGAATAGCAGTCTCGGATGCTCTGCGAATAAGTTTTCCAGGACCAATATTGTGCTTCTGCTTGAACTTCTCGATCCAGGAGGCCGTGATAGTTTTCAGAGGACTGTCTGCGCCGGTGCAAAATACCCTTGCCTTCTCCTCCATCTGAGAATCGCTGACCACGACCCCCTTCTTCTGCTGGCCCCTGACCCAATTTGCCAGAGCTCGCTCAATGTCAGGTGGGGATTTTCCCTTGGACTTTTTCACAGGAGAGCCGCCCTGACTATCCAGATTGAGGTAGAGTTCCTTCCTTCGCAAGACCTTCGATACGGTGCTGCCAAGGTAACGTTAGCAATCAAGATCCGTTTTGTCGCCTGTCGACTTTACCTTCGCTCGACACCAAACTTTTGTCCAATCTCTGTTTGTTTGGCGTGAGGGTTGTCCTCGTGAAATAAACACATGTTCCTGCGATCTTCGTCCGTTAACGTCTTCCTCGGCTGCGACGTGTTAATCGTCGGCAACCTCGGGGGTTGTCTCATGGGGGCTGAGGCCGGAGGGATAGGTACAGGAGGCGCCGGGTAGTTTTGAGAGGGGTTCGTCCGTAGGCTAGGCCACGGAACCTGAGAAGGTTGCTGTGTTGGTATTATCAACGGATGAGGTAGATGGCTCGCGTAATTATTATGCGGCTGGCTGTGCATCTGATGCGGGACAGGCGGCGGAGCCATGCCGATGGACTCTGACGGCAGTCCATGAGTTACCGGAGGGATGTAATAATCACCTCCGTAGGTTGTCATGCCCATATTATTATAAGCAGTCATATCAACCCATTGTTCGTTCGAGTACGAATTGTCATGAGCCAGATGGTTATCCTGGCCTATACCAGTTGAGCCGATTATTGTATTGTGCATGGCTATCGTGCCAACTGAATCGGCTATACTAAACAGTTGGTGGGATCCGTAGGATATAGCCCGCATTGACTGACAGTCACGATATAGACTGGTACTTTGAGTCTCCGTTATGTAGGTTTTAGCAACGAGCCGCAGTTAGAATCTGATAGAGAGGTGGGATTGGCGCTGGCGGCTATGGAGATCTGCCGGGACAGATTTTCTGATAACTCGACAATTACGGGCGGAAAACAACATGCATACTCAGGTTTAGTCAACCAATTGGTCCTTTAAAAGGGCTAGTGTGCCGTGACCGGTGGTGTGTAGTTCACTGTCCTCGTGAGCTGTTGGGAGCTGCAGTAAAAGTCGGTGGTCTGCCAAAATGTTGACCGGTATGTCTCCCGTAGTAGTGAAGGATGAGGAGGCGCAAATCTCGACTCCGGTAACTAGTCGTCTGGTTGTCGTTGTATCTCATGCGCAACAATAGGGCGTCGAATTTTTAAGAACCAACCAACAAGCACCTTTGGGGGCCTACCGTTTCCTATCAAGTTGGTCCAACTCTTTGCTTTCTTTTTCTCCTGAGTTGATCTAGTTTCCTTATTTTGGACTTTTCTCTTTTTTTGCCCTGGTGGTTGTCTCTTATTTTCCCCTCTCTATATTTGCTGCATCGAGGAAGAGCAGGAAGAACTTGGCCTGTGCCGTCTGGTGTAAATGGAAACGGCCGAAGGGTTGACAAGAGCGTAGCAGGGTGGACGAGGTAGCAAACAGAGTCGACTAGGAACTAGTGAAGTGGTGGCTTTCACCAGCTTGACCATCGATTGAAGGTCTAGCTTGCCTAGTAGAAGACGCCGCAATGCAGTCTCATAGCTGGGTTTTCAAGATAGGAATATCAGACGCACGGCGGAAGGTAGGGCTAGATGCTAGACACAGAACATGTGGAGGAGACCGTACATAGATACATATGTAAGTCTATGCAGTAACAGGGATGTGAGTGTGTCCTTCGAGTCCGGGGGCCCTGAATTACAATAGATACTTAGAGGGGGGGTGTGCGTGTGGTAACCCTCGAGGGATAGGATGTGGTATGACAGGTCTGACAGGACGAGGGTCCCTCTAAGAGGGTACAGATGAATTAATGTAGTTAGGCCCGTGGATGTGCGTCTAAAGAGAGCTGGCTAGCCGGGGTCGAATCTTCAAGGTGTGTGGAGAGAGAACCACGATGCTACCGTGCTTTTTTAACATGTCAGAGAAACGACAAACTGGAGAGCTATATTCATATCCTGGACACAACAGCCATGCCCATCAGACGGGAATGACAAGGGCCGCAAAAAGCAACTGAGAGCGCCACCCCCGGGGCACTCGGCAAGCCGTACGTACACGTAGAACGTAGCAGTGAATTATGAGACAAACCGAATGAAATGCTAGATACTGACTGATAGAGATTTTTAGAAGACTTCTTCGAGAACTATCTAACTCTTTAGATAGGCAATTTCAGAACACGAAATAAGAGAGACAAGACAAGACAAGAAGAAGAAGAAGAAGAAAGGGAAACCCATAATTTTACTAGCTAGTTAGTTTATGGTAACTCTGGTAACTCTGGTAACTTAGGTACTTCTAGGATACCTACCTACATACCTTGGTAGTAGATAGTTGCTCCCGTCCGGGTGGCTGTCAGCCATGTTTCCTAGTTGAGAATGTTTCTTGACGAAAGTTCTTTTGGCGTTGATGAGGGGAGAGAAGATGAGCAAGGAGGAAGTAGCCGATCTAGCTGGTCCAAGGTCAACCGAATCTAGCTAAAGTGCGGGTAACTGGATGCTCCCGAGGTGGAACTAAGGCATGGGGATCATCGAAATGAAGAAATGCGTAGGCTGTAAGGTAAAATAAGGTCGATGGATTATGAATACTTCTCGGAGAATGATGATAGCAAATCTTGCCCTATTTCTTATTAGGGATTATGAGTCCTGAGCAAAACCCCACATGCAGTTGGATCAAGCAGCCAAGGAGAGCGCGCTTCTTTGCCTCTCACCTGTTGTCAGCTTGGTCGTTACCTAGTTATTACCATATTACCTAGCATGTATGGCCTGTAAGTTGTTTCGATAGCATCACACCCTGGCCTGCCCTGTCTTCCAATCTTCTGCCATGTCTGCCATATCTGCCCTGTTAAAATATGTAAAACAAACAGGACCAGACAGGACAATAAGGAGATCGAAACAACGGCATCGAATAGATCCATCCCCATCGTCACGGACCAGCTGGACCAACTTATTTAGACTCACGATAGTTGAGATGAATGGGTTTAGCCAAACCAGGTTAAGAAAATATTAGGGACCAGAAACGGACCAAACAGAAGTGAATAGACTAAGACGGGCGGACCAGGTGAGCCGTTGCGACACCTACAAAGGTAACTCGGCGGGAAGGATTGCAAGCATTTGTTAAGTCGACCTTCTCGGAGAAGTCTTGGTACTAGTACTAGTAAAGGTCAGCAAAACATTACATAGTAGGTAAAGCCTAGCAACAGCCCAGCAAAAGCCCAGCAGAGGTCTAGTAAAAACCCTGTGCCGCAGAGTGGATTGTAGGCTGTAAGAGGTTGAATGTTGAACGAATGGGTTGAATTAGTTGAATGAGGTATTTCGTAGAAAGCTTGGCCCTCGTTTCTCTTCTCCACTGAGTCTTTTTAGTCTTAGCGGAAACTCCTCGACGGGCAGAACGGGCAGGAACGGGCTGACCTAGCAGGGAAGATAGGGAAGGTACGTAGTTACTTTCTCATTTTTCAGCAGGGTACCATGGTCCACAATCCCCATGTCAAAAACGGTCCGTATCGCCCTTTCATAGGGCAAACATGGGCCACTCTCTGCCACTTTCTACCACTCTCTACCACCGTTTCCGTCCCCCCGTCCATGACGGATCGTCATATTAGCTTTTCTGCTATCTTATTTGACGGTCGCTAGCGAGCCAGATCTCTCCATAGCCTTGAGAGCTTCATGTGAGCCCCTCACCTTCTCAAAACAAGCTTAGAAGAACGTCCAATTACCTAGTATATAAGCCCGACGTTTCGAAATAACGCGTATTACTTTCAAGACAGCAAGATAAAGAAATCCTATTCATTCCTCTTGGATTTACTAGAGCTCACCTGATATATTCCTACGTCAACCCATATCCAGTAGGTAGCTAGTTCATTGCTAGTTTATCTATCTAGGTGATGGGTTGGGGAATTGAGGAGTACGAAGCGTCATCATCGTGAAGGTCGGGGTCGAAAGCTAACAGCTCTCTCGTCTGGGTTTGCCAATTTTCCGGCCATAATCGGACCATATGATGACAAAGGAGGGGTTATTACCTGGTAGGATTTCTTCGTGCTCGCCGAGCCGAGCGAAATGGTCATTCTTGCGACTCTCCCAGTTTCCTTCATAGTGCGTAATGCCCATTATCTCCGTTTGTGAGACAACCTCGACCAGGTCAAATTGAGATGAGCAGCATATGGATACGGGGGCCCCTGTCTGTTTTTTTCCCCCCCAAGCAGCCCCAAGGCCGATGGTGCCGGGGGTCCCCCCAAAGTCTGTGAGTTTTTTCTTGACATTTCTGTTTCTAATGAAGGTCACGACCTCTGTTCCTTTCTTCCCCCAGCTGTTCCACACCTATATTTTCATCGGTTGTCTACCGCTCAATGCCGGAAAGCGGAAAGCCTCATACTTCTTGGGCAGATCATGGCAGGCCATTAAAAGATCGATGTCATGCAAACCGGGGTTGAGATCTCTTAAGAGTCTACGCCTTATTAATGGTCTCGCTAGAGCCATTGACGTACACGATATACATAGGTCAAAGTATACTACTGTCTATGTTAAGCACTACATACTATGAGACAGCGCAGTGTTTCTGGAAACCTCTCATGAGCCTCTTACGGCCTCGTGACGAAATGCCAGCAATGCAACGGAACGCCAGTTCATTCAGGAGTAGATCTCGTCTGAAATTTACTCCTGTAATACTCACTCACTTAACCGGTGAGGGTTGTTCTATCAAGCTGTCGCGGCAAGCAAGCCTTGTGTAGCATCTAGACCCCCAAGCCGTCGGGATGATATCTACCTAGGATCAACATCGCCTCCAACGTGCTTCGACATACCTCACTATTTCGTCGGCCGGTGAGAACGCTCACATTCACGCATTTACCTACCTACGCATTTACATATTCACTCATTTTTAACACTCAAATATTGGTAAGAGGATTTTCTCTGTTACATCTCATTTCCACATCATTATGAAACTATTGTTCTTCAGCGGCTCGACCGCGAGTAGTTATTGCTTCTCTCAGGCCACCAACAGATTTCCCTACTATTACTATGGTATGAGGTAGGTAGGCAAAGGGCTTAGATAGGTCTGAATATTCCGGCTCCTTGGATCCAAAAGGCAGAGCAACCAACAACAGGTCGAGAAGCGCAGCCTGGAATTACCATTGGACATAATTTCCGGGTCAGACGCGAGGCCTTCACCGAGGTCCGTTGGGCGATTGGGCATGAATGGTCAGGAGGTCCAAGCGAGTACAATACTCTTTTCCGTCGGCCGGGCTATCTTCCAGTTGGTCAGCTCTATCTATATCCTGGACTATCCATGCCTAACTCTTCAGAAGAGGCTTGAATCCTAGAAAGCAAGGGCTCGTTCGAGCTTAGCGTCCTTACGAAAAGCACCAGTTGTTGCCACAAGGCCGAGATTTGTGTTACAGTAGGTAGGTATTCTGTATGTACAAAGCTGCGAGGCGTCTGTGCAGCTCTTAATCTTGTAACTTGTTTCTTTCGGCTTCATGCAAGGCTCAACACCCCCCCTCCATACGTACCTCATGCCTTATGGGTCGTTGCAGTTCGAGATTCGGCTACTCCTCCCATATATGATTTTCATAGAGTAGAATCCTTTAAAAGTCGCGACTCGCGAACTCACCCTGTCTTCCATAATAAGCCATGAACCTTAGCCGACCCCGGCGGCGGTACGTTGCCGACAATGCGGCTGTGGAGTTTAGATACAATACCCTGCGCAGTGCGCACTATTTGGCGATCGAAGTAACGTCATGCCGCGATACATCTTCGTCCCTAAAAGCAGCAGTCATTGGCTAAGTACCCATACACTTAAGACGACATACCAGTTTCCCGTAAGCAAACCTCGGCGTTAGTGAGTCGCGTAACGGCGCAAAGCAGTTCGACCCGAGCAGAACAGAGAGACGATGATAATAAAGCATAAACTATTACATACGACACTCGGGTCTCCTCATCGGTCACGATGACTCCTACTAATTCCTCTAATTGGGAAAAGCAGCATTGACGAAGAGAGATGAACGGATTACCAAATGCGATCACGAGAGAAAATAATATTGGAAACGAAATATCGAAACCCGCAGTTGACGCGATATCATATCAATCTACATACATACCTACCTACCTACACCATCATCGCGTCAGAGAAAGAAATCCGAGGACGAGAAGGAGAAAGTCCAACATAGGCTAGACCGCCCTATATTGTTGCCTTGCAGCCAACCTTACCCCTTGGGAAGTAGAAAGGTTTAGGGGAATAGCCATAGGATGTCCCGAGGCTAGCACAGCTCGAGCAAAAATGAGGCTGCTGGAACAACGCAACCCGGCATTTCCCAGAAAAGCTACGGTGACAACCGCGAATGTGAGTGTGTGTGTACGGTAACATCCCCAAGATTCGCTTTGAATTGCCTGCGAACGAAAGAAGAAAACAAATAATACAAATAAATAAAAATACCTACCTACCGACCTATACATGGTAACAGGAAAGGAAGCGATGGCGTTATTTGTCATCAGTCAGCTACCTACCTAGTAGCTACCCACGAAAACGCATCCATGTGTGTAGGTATCTATGTGTGTGCGTTGTATGTTGTATGTGGTAATGTACGTGTTGTGTGTGGCGGTCGAGCAAGGTTAGTCTCGCATGGCTTTAGGAACTTGGGAACTAGCCTTGGCTTGGGTCCCGCATGGCCAGGCCATGAGGTAGATGGAATAATGAACCAAAGGAAAGGGAAAGAAAAATCGATAATCTGAGATTAACGAACATCTCGTTGGATGCGAGTATGTACATACATACATACATACATACATACATACTAGGTAACTATAGGGAAAAAGTTTGGGTTACGAGAAAGGTACATATTATTGCCCAGAAGGCCCCGTAATGACCCCCAAAATTCCAGACGATCGAGAACTTTTCTCCACGAAGGGGGCTGTCAGATGTACCGTGGGCGGCTAGAGAAGCGTTGTGAAAGGTTGGAAGCAGGTACCAATTTGCCGTTCGGCCACTTTGGGGAGTGGATAATTTCTATGCTGGACCGTTGACTGGTCCAAAAATATTCCGGTCGTTTAAAGGTGCAACGACAGATACGCAAGGCCAAGGCAGCGACCGGCAATAAATTGTCGAGCTCATCATTGTGGCGTATGTACGTGTTGTATGTATGTATGCATATGTATGTATGTGTGTGTGCGTGTGTATATATGTACTAGGTATGTATGTAGGTAGGTAATGTATAAGAAATAATAGAGGGAAAAAAGGGGGAGGGGTGTCATAGAACGTATAGACCGTTGCCTTAAAAGACGTGTAAACGTGCAGACGTGCCTTAAAACGGCCTCTGAAGAATAAAGTAAGGCACCGCTATGCATCCCCCGCCCCGTCGGAAACATTGGTCGCATCAACTGAGGCCCTTCGGTTATGCAGGTCTTGACGATTTGCAGCCCTGGGTCTCTGGAGTATATGCGGAGTGCGCTCAGGCATTTATGATTTCAACGTGCGGCTGCGGCTTACTATCTCTAGGTGCCTATCTATCTATTGATGCATCGTGGCATTCCCCCGCAAAAGGGATTATAGCAATCTCGAGATTGGAAACCCAACTGCCACTTCACCGGCCTGGACCTGCGTATTTTTCAGATCCTCGCATGCAAACTCGTCCGCTACTGTACCATTCTTTGCATGATCGGTGCCCTTCCAGAAAAAAAGCAAACATTACTTTCCGTTACTGGTGCGCCGCATCGGCTACGGTCTGTCCCTTGATCCGCAAATCTGCAAACATCCGTATCCCCTCTTGCCCCTGTTCCTGAAGCTGCCCATTAGCGTCGTAAGATTATGATGCCTCTTGGGTATCATTGTCCATCCATCGTGTTAAATACAAATCTCAGGCTCGGAAATGCGCACGCGAAAGAGCCAATCTCCTTCAGGACTCGACGCCCTGAACGATGATGCGTAGGCCGAGGCCAATTGGGGGGTTTCTGACCCCCTTTTTGGCTTTTTTGGGGGTGGACCGCCTGACCACTCATCTCTTGACAACAGTAACTAGAGCAACGGGTGAGGTTAGTATCCGATTTATTGCGGAGATGGTGAAATATTGGCAAGGCAATCATACCAATGTCCTCGTCGGCCAGTTCGTGAGAAAGCCCCACGCGCTGGGGCTGGTGCTTTACAGACTTTCCGTAGACGATCGCGGTTTTGAACTGTTCGACAATGCTCCGGTGGATTGCGTTACACTTGAGGTTCATTGGTCAGCGGGTTTGCACCGGTCAAAAGTTACCGAAGCGAGGTACTTACAAAGTCCTCGACGGTGCACCTGGTGGAACGGAGTACAACAGGCGCTGAATAGTCCGGCATCTTCCCTTTTGGCTTCGTGTAAACCCGGACCAATTTTAGCTTGTCCCACCTGCAGGAAAAAGGAGATTAGCCATGTGTGCTTACACACCTTCGTAACTTGTAAAGGTTCCTAAGGGTATAGGGGGTTCGAGACGTACATAGCCTCCATTAGTTCGTCGACGTTCCATCCATGCTCAGAGCTGATAGGAACCGCGTTGGGGATTCGGTACAACAGGTCTAGCTCCTCGATGCTGATTGCGTCGATCTTGTTGAGGACGTAAATGACTGGAATATAGCTGCGACTCTTGGCTTCTAGGATGTCGATCAGATCATCAATCGTAGCATCACAGCGAATCGCAATATCTGCTGAGTTGATACGGTACTCGGCCATGACGGCTCTGATTTCGTCATTGTCGATGTGGGTTAGTGGTACGGTACTTGAAATATTAAGTCCCCCCTTGTCCTTCTTCTTGAAGGTAATATTCGGCGGCTCCTTATTGATACGAATGCCGAATCCTTCTAATTCTGTTTCAATAACCCGCTTGTCTGTCAAGGGTTTGTTTACATCTAATACGATGAAGATCAAGTGGCAAGTTTTAGCGACAGCAATCACCTGACGACCACGACCTCTTCCATCCTTGGCTCCCTCGATAATACCCGGAAGGTCAATCATTTGTAAAGGGGCTCCTACACGACGCGGCGTCAGATGAATCATCCACAATAACAATAAAAAGAACTACCCGAGAGGTCCTGAGATAGTGGAGATAGGGGGAAGAAAGGTTTGATTGCCATACCATTATACATGACTTGTCCAGGGACAGACGTCAAAGTAGTGAACTCGTACGCCGCAGCTTCCGAATGCTGACCAGTCAATCGACTCATCAGAGTACTCTTCCCGACGGAAGGGAAGCCGATAAAACCAACACTGGCAACACCAGTTCTGGCAACGTCGAAACCAGCACCTCCACCGCCTCCGCCACTTGATGAAGGGGTCAAGAGCTCTCGCTTCAGTTTCGCCAACTTTGCCTTCAGTTGACCCAAGTGAAACGAAGTCGCCTTGTTCTTTTGAGTTCGAGCCATCTATCACAGAATTTAGTACATTTTGTATACCGTTCAAGACTCCAAACCCACTTCGGACTCGATCTCCTTAATCTACGAACGAGTTAGTAGTTTGCTCCTTCATAAGACGTTAGATAACTTACCTTTTCTACCGTCGTCGACATCTTGGCGGTTTTAACAAGATGCTTCGTAGTGAGTTTCGGAGTGTACGCGATATTTCTTCTCAGTCTTTCTCACAGCACGAAGTTCAATCTTTGTTCTGATGAATTTCGAAGCGTACTAGGTAAAGATTTAGCGGGGCAAAATTGAATAATCGACTTTTTTTTTGCTGGTGATGTCAACCCCACTATTTGCCGTAATTTCCCCGAAAGCTCCTATATATGCAACTCCTCTGTAGCTGATTAGAGACATATAAGAATACTCTGTAAATAAATATATGAATAATCCAACGTCTACTTGACGAATCGGTACTGTGTCTTAATTCTATGTAATGTCTTACCCATCCTCACGAGTGGCTTAAACGTTAACATAGTGAGACAATTTAATACTGTCCATATTACCGAGCGGCTAGGCTACAGTTAGGAACTATGTCATTGTACATGATCAAAGGAAGTATCCGTCATCAACATTTGACCCGTAACCCAGACCAACAGCCTCCTATATTTTGTGAAGTTCTTAGAAACACGCCTTTCCAATAGCATCTACACCACTAGTCAGGAAGTGTTCTCAGAGTGTAGCCAGTTTTCACTATGTTGTATACGGTACTATTCACTATCCATTAGTTGAGCTTTGGTCTACGATCAGCCGTACATATGTAACAAGCCACAAGCCACAGCCAAGAAGATCCCGTGAAGCCCATGAGCGGTGACAATATATTCTAGTCACTTGATATTTATCGAGGCGTAACAGAGTTACACAAGTTGTATCAGATTGTGACAAGTTGAGTTCCCAGAAAAACATGCTACCACCAATCCCTTCCACGTACGTAAGCCTCATATATTAGATTTTCTGCCACCACAAAGTACGGCGGGTAAATTATAATAGGGGCTTCAATAAAAATCACGACCTCAATAAACAAACAAATGATAGATATTAAGGGATCGATTTCTAACAACATTTGCAAGTCGAGAAACCAAGTAGAGGCAAGACGCCGGTAGTTGATGAAAAGCAAGTACTTACAGATACACGATAATGCAAGGGGGGTACTATGTATTCTTTCAAGTCCAAGCCTATCATGTAAGGAGGTGCATATATGCTGTCTTACAAAGAGGCGTTCATTAGCGTTGGAAATGTTGGTCGACAAAAGCCACAACGGAAAACTCCAACAGCTTCCTTCCACATTAAGGAAATATTTTCGAACGAATTATGTGTTTTTTCAGGATATATCTGCGAAGGTAAGATATTGTATTCTTATGTAACTATAATACAATGAAAGTCTCACACGTCGCTATGAGATCAGACATAGGAAGCGATGGGGCGGAAAGGAGAAGAATGTTAATGTAAATATTTCATATTATATACCTGTCTACCCTTATCTAACTCGTCCAGATACAATCTCACAGAACGCCATGATAATATACCCAGTTTTACCTGTTTCTAGTGGTCACATATTAATTGTCACATATACCCTACCTGATGCTATATCAGCCTAGTGAGTGTCATATTAGTCCTCTAAATCGCGCCACGAGGAGAAGAAAAATACCGACCTACCGTAGGTATCATTCATCGCCACTTAAAAACCACAATACTGCCGATATCTCTTCTCTAGGTATCTATACTTAAGTAGGTAGGATATTGGTGTCATTTTCCTATTTAGATTTAAGGTTGGTATTAATATCTACAATCATAGCTTATACTCTAGTAATTACATTGCCTTACAAATTAGTATAGAAACGCTCGGTATAAGTACAATGGTCATGGATTATATTTGATTTTAGTTATATTTGCTAAGATATATGCCCTACTAAGTTCCAAAGTTCTCATAAATTTCACCCGGCATTTTTAGCTATCAGTAAAAGGGGGTGAGGGGGTAGGATGTGCCAGGCGGCATTACCACAGCGGTCTATCAGTAATAGCATTGAAAGATAAAGGGCACAATCATGCCCCGGGTTATCCCGCCCTATAATCACACCATTCGGGATGGCCATCAAACCAGCAGCTCCTCCAGTAAACTTGGCGAATCTTCGTCTCCGAAGTTAACTTTCTCACCGTCTTTACCCTCTTCCAACTTGCGTGCTACAAATGGATCCATCAGCTTTCTCTGCGGCTCGGAAAGGAGTTCTAGTCTAGCTTTATGGTCCTGATCCTCGTTCGGCCCGAAGTAGCTCTCGTCGAGGTATTTCCACCATATGTAATCGAACGACCAGCTCTTCCTAGCCGCGAGACTAACCATCCAAGTCCGCTTCTCCCAGCTCTCCCGCATGCGCTGAGAAAGCGGTATCTCTGTGTCGGTGTTTCCATCCGTAGTAAGCGACAAGCCCTCGACTTTATCAGCTAAACTCGCAACAGCCATCTTCTTTTCCTCGGCCTCTAGAACACGTAGAAAGGTCTGGAGCCGAGGCTCATAGGTCTTCATCCAATCCTCATACCCCAGGGTCCAATGGTCCGGATGGTCTAGAAGTAGCCACCAAGGGGGGTCGAAACTGAACTGTGCCGGGGCGACGTACGTGAACTCCCAGTCTATGACGCCGACGATCTTTAAGTCTTCGTCCAGGAGAGCGCTCACTGGCCTAAAATCCTCGCAGAACAACCTGAACCCGCCGTCCGATTCCGATGTTCGCGGAAAGAGACGTTTCTCCTTGACGAGGTTCCGAAATAGTTGACGAGCGACGTATTTGTCGCGGGCGTCGTCTTCGTCCTCATCCACTATGGCATCGTTGTGTTGGTATGAGAGCTGCGCCATGTGCAGGTCGGCGAGAGCGCTGTACCACTCGTCCTCAGTGGCAAACGTCTGAGATGGTTTTGGCAGGACGCTTACTGGCATATTTGTGTGTACGGCTACATCGCTCATATTTGCGATTAAAGGACGTCCTTTGACGGAGATAGTCTTGTCTTCCTCTTCAACGAGAGAACCTATTCGAGGGAATTTCAAGGAGAATAGCTGAAGTAATATGTTGGCCATCTGAGCATATAGATACTCTAGTTTCTCCTCGCTAATGTTTGGATCTAGGATAGGTGGCTTATCAGCCGGGAGAGATCTGTCAAGAACTTCATAGCACATCGATTGATTATGGTCTATATAGTCCATTATGATGAATGGGCCTATGCCAGTAGGATTCTCAGCTGCGGTTCCGTAGTGGTAGACATGTGGGATAGGTATAGTAGTATGAGTAGCGATATATCGCATTGTAGCCGCTTCATAACGAACTTTTTCATCCGGATACGGGAAACAGCCTGATATACTTGGTAGTCAGTAATCTGTAGTATCGATGTGTGTAATTCACGGTCTACCCTTTATTGGGACTCTCATTATAGCAGATGAGCCATCCTTGTATTCAAGACGATAGATAACGTTATATCCGCCGGCGAATCTCCTATGCATCTCCACTGCTTTACCCTCTTTGAATTTCAAGATGAAGTCGGCGATAGCGCGGTACAGATCAGCTTTTCCAATGGTACTACGCCACTCGTCGGTGTATTCCTCGTATTTCCGCCACACAACGTCGTCTTTTTCCATTTCAGTGCACCTGATCTTGGGAGGCATTGTGTGGAGAGTGAACTTGTCTCTGGCGTGGTTAACGTTGAGGTAGGATTCTGATGTTAGCAAGGAAGATTTTGGCAAGGTGCAATGACATCTAGAATAACTCGAAAGTCGAAGCAGATATATCGCGTGGAGTCCAACTGATTTGGATTGAGACACAGTTTTTATCGATTGTTGCCCTACTTTCTCAGTGCGAGTTGTGACGACGATCGGGCGGAATAACGTCTCACCTCGTTGGACCTCATGCACAATGATGGCCAATTCAGCAGTACCAACCAAATGATGGCGGCATTTTACATTGCCTTAGCGTCGCTTGGAATGTAACCAACATCATTATACCACCAATTAAGGCTACGGCCTGTGTTAACTTGTCACTGGCTAATAAGGCGGCCTACGACGGTTGAGTTGTCGTTTAGAGCCTCATAGTTGGAGGTGAGAGGCTTAGATATCCGATTTACCTTGTTAGGTACACCACAGCGGGTTCTTTAGAACAACCTCACTGTAGATCATGAAGATAAATCCCCGGCTGAATACAATCCGTTGTCGTTTACATAAGTAGCAAAAACCACGTATGAGTCTATACTAGAGGAAGTTCAAGAATCGAAGACCGCTATGTTAATGTAACAGCTTGATAGGTGCATGAAATGCTGAGGCCTCGCTGTTTGCAGGTCATGAGGCAGGAAAAACTCATTTGCTGATGGTCCGAATCTGTGTTCAGACTACCTAGTATTTTAGTGGGGTATTAGATATTAATCTAATTGTTTTTTGTGTAAATCTGGATATTTTCAGGTAAAGATTTTGGAAAAGAAAAGAAATGGGAGAGGAGTAGCCGACGACCTTGGTCGACATTATATATTGTTTGAATGCATATTCGTAAATGGAATATCGCATTAAAGCGTATAAACAACACTAACGAAAAAGGTTTCTAAAATGAGACTTCGGAACTTCATCACATGCTTCTCAATTCACTACGTTATCAACATCGAGCATAGAGAATTAATTCCCTTGCTTCAAGATGCAAGCAACGGATCTGCTTGCATACGCCGCCGACATCAACCCAGCAACGTATTGCCAGCTTTTCTACGTCCTTGCGGCCGCAACAGTTTTGGCCATCGCAGCAACTCCAGAATCTATACAAAGCTTGCTCACTCGGTACGGTGCTCGAAGCTCAGCCGAGAACGGTAGAGATAAGAGAGCCGGGAATGGGCTTCTCGTCAAGGCTACCAGTTGGGCGACGTCTGTTGGAAAAGTTCCTCATTCATGGTTCATTCATTTCTACATACTTTCCGTGACCTGCTCCGCTTTCTGGGCAGTCCAGTTTCTTCAGCATGGATCGATCATGGATTTCATCGTTAGAAATCAAGCATCGAGCGAGAGGTCGTCGATGACGATCAACCAGGTTATCCTTGCCTGGCTCTTGATGAGCTTACAAGGCGTGAGACGTCTTTATGAATACCTCGCTGTTCTCCGACCTTCACCTTCCAAGATGTGGGTCGTTCATTGGCTATTAGGAGCCGCGTTTTACTTCTGCACAAACATTTCCGTTTGGGTTGAAGGATCTAGTAGGTACTACGGTGATTTTCGATTTTGCAGCATTCTAAAAAGTAGCCATAGATTCAATCCGGTCTTCTGAGAGGTCTTTTCATAACGAGACTCTATCGTTCAAAGAGGTCGTTGGTGTCTCTATGTTCCTAACCTCGTGGTTCATGCAATACAGATGCCATAGCTATCTGTCTAGACTCAAGAAGTATTCGCTACCAGACGATGGTTTATTCCGGTATTTGGTGTGCCCGCATTATACATGCGAATGCATATTGTATATTTCTCTGGCGATAGTAGCAGCGCCCGAAGGCCAGCTGTATAACAGAACACTGATCTGTGCGGTGTTGTTTGTCACGGTTAATCTTGGTGTCACCGCTAAAGGCACTAAGAACTGGTACGGTGAAATGTTCGGTCTCGAAAAGGTGCAGGGAAAATGGAGAATGATACCCGGTGTGTATTGAAAATTGAGTATGCTTGAAAATCACTTTTTCTGGAACAATCCAAGCTTGCCGCCGATTTTCGACACTTTCATCACGTCTCGATAAGTTAGGCTGGTACGGGTCTTCCGTATGTTGGAGCCGTCTGTAAAGTCGTCGGGCGAGCGGAGGAGTTCCCAGTTAGCAATTGTACCCCTTGAAAGTTCAACGTCCTCCGTAATATCCTCGATACCGTGTAGGAATTCCGTGTACAAAGCAGATGTGGTGACGAGTAAGCTTCGAGGCTCTTGTAGTATTCTCCAAGCTGGCTCAGGATCTAGACTACCGTCATCCTTGGATTTGTAGATATTGAGACAGAGGCTAGCACCAAGGCTCACAGTACACACAACGGGATGATACGCAGCTCCGTCCTGTAACAGGATGAGCAGTTCGTCACGACTGTCCCAGACTCTAACTTCTTACCTTGTGAGGCATTATTCCGATGCCAGGAGGGTATTCTGGCTATACATTAATCATCTAGGCCGATCAAGAATCTTACAACTATAGGTCACTTTCTCGGACGAACATGATGGCAACGATGAGAACATGAAAACCCCCTAGAAAAGGAGGATATATCAAGTTCCAACACGGATATGCGTCTACACGTACCATTGATTAAAACATGATTCGGTTTCTGGTGAGGGCTGTCGGAAAATATGTCGGATGAACCAAGGGTTTTCGAAAGTGGGATGGATTTTAAGCGAGGCACGATCGGATCGTTCAACCAAGCCGGCAACGGAGCGTCCATCAATTTGTTATTCACCAGATCGGATGGCCAAGTTTGTAGGCGGCGATGAGTGAGTTGCTTCCACCGCGGTTTCGGTGCCGAGGCTATCTGCAAGATAGTCAGGCAACCGGCACAAGAGCATCACGTTCAAAATGAATGACAACCGCACTTTTTCTAGAATTGCTTCCTCTTCATCCTGCGTGATAAAATCGGAAATGTAATATGCCGCTGCGGGTAAAGCTGCAATTCGGACTTGGTCGAGAGATTCGGGGAGGGTCAAATTAGTGGATGTGGAATCCATCAAGTCTCCAGCCATGATGAGATGATGAGTGGCCACCGACAGGCTCGGTGGGTTTCGACTGCAAGATCTAAACTACAGTACTTGTAATACTGTCGAGAACTGGCGAATTGGGCGTCAACCTAGAGATGCCTAATGGTAGCGAAGTTTTGCTGCAAAAGATTGGTTAGAGAATATTAAATATGATACGATTCGCCATCGAAGATGAAAAGCGAAAAGTGATCGCGTGTGTAACTAATCCACAGAGCAATACATAAGGCTAGGGCTGCGCATCAATAATTTCGAACTCGTTTGAGATAAATAGAATAGACGGGTTGGTTCATGGACCTGGAAAAGCCGATCAACGTGGGATGGCTTATCAGACAAGAAGGTGGGTTGAGCAATCCGTTTAAAAAGGAGAAGAGTGGTCAGACCGTAGGATGGTCAGGCTGCGTCGCTGATTGCTGATTGCTGGATAATACTGGGTAGCCAGAAAGAATCTCGGGTTGAAAAGATCAAGACTCGCAGGAGATGTGCAATTTATTTAGTAACAATCAATAATTGAGTCCTGTTAAGAGAACAAGAGAAGAAAATTGGACGAGTCGTAGCGAAGGAAAAGCTGGGAAAGAAATGGGAGTGAGGGGCGGAAAACAACATTAAACAAGTAGTACGCCGTACATTCTGCATAGTAGCTGCACAGTAGCTGCATAGCCTGCCTGGGATAGGCTGGATAGGTTGGATAGGCAGACGAGACAATAAAGCATAATTGAGTGCAAGTAGGGCAAAACAAGCAGGGGTAGCCGCTGTCGGGGGGCGAAGAGAAAACTTAGGTCCTCATCTCACCCGCCTTCTCACTGGCTCACTCTTGCTCACTCTGCAAATTTGCGGAAATACCGGCCACCCGACCCATCCGTATCCAATCTATCGACCAATCAGACACGTTCGCGGCTTGTTAGACTGATCTCTGAAATTGATCGTCACTGGCTTCGCAGGGAAACCAGTCCTAGTGTCACCACACTAACAAACCACGCTAGTCTATCTTTGAGCATAGCCTACATCAAGTACTCTCGTACCCGTTCTCTTTCCTTTTTGTGTAGGCGATTTGGCAGTCTGGCCTTCCTTTTCCACCTGGGCTTGCTGGGTCAAGTCTTCAGTGTCGTTTCCTTCGTTATGCGCTTTGCCATTGCCTGCCTTGCCTGCTTGCCTATCTGCCTATCTATTGCTATGTACTAGGTTCTAGGATCCATGGATTGTTATTGCTCTTGCTCTCGTTAGCTAGCGTATTTTCCCTTAAACTGTGCTTTGGTTGCTGCATCCTTCCAACCTTTACCGTGTCATTCAATTTTTGCAAATAATTTCCCTACTCCAAAATTCAAAATTATTCACAATTGATTCTGGTCATTATTCGCGACGACTTCTGTTCATAAGCGATATATTAGCAAACACTCAATTTGTTTGAATCCCGTTTAGTGTCCACAAGATCCAATCCAAACCCGTCCGAACTCGCCTCTCACATCCCGTCAAGCTCATCCACTCCAGCTGTTTGACCCGCGACCGACCGTTAAAACTCGTACTCGTATCGTATCATCTCGTCTCGTCGTAGAGTAGACTTTACCTAGGTATTCGCCAAGTCTGTATAGCGTTTCCACCACGAACCTTCTTCCTTAAAGTCACCCACGAGTGGCCATCATGGTGCACTGTATTATATTTCGGTATATGAATTGAATGCTATGGATGCGCAGAATGCTGTCGAGTCCGCAAACACGAAACAGGCCGCTTCTCCAAAGCGGGGAGTCGCTGAGTCTGATGATCCAAAGACAACGGTGACAGCGAATAACAACACGACGAATAACGTTAAACTTCCTTTGACCGCCAAAACCTCTTCTTCATCCAAAGAGTCACGGCCTGCGACGACGGTTATTAGCGCGCGGGATGATGATGTCGACCTTGACCAGCACTCAGATGCTGAAACAATCGTCCTTCCAGGGAAAGATGGCGTCTCTCCATCAAAACCACGTAAGGTGATCAAGCACGAAGATAAGAGCGATGGTGAGATTGATGCGTTACCGCCCTCGAGGAAGAGTTTGAAGGATGGTAAAGATGGTAAAGATGGCGATCGCAATGGTGTACCTTCCGACGCTGCTGCTGCTGTTGCTTCCTCACTGGAGAAGAAAAAACGGCTCTTTACTAAGGAGAAGCAACCACGCAATAAAGATGCTTCGAGTGGGCTGAGTTCTGCACCCGCATCTCCGCCTCCCCATCGTCGCAGCAACCACGACCAGCTCCATCGGCGTCGCAGGTCCGGTGATGTCCCTTCCGAGTCTGGGTCAGAGTCATCCAAATCCAAATCCTCGAAAGATCCCATAAAAAACAAGTCAAAATCTGTAGACAGATTGCTACCAGGTAAACGTAAGGCACCCAAAGCTGAATCTGATGATGAGAGTGAGTCACGCAAAATTCGTCGTCCACGCATCTCAGATACAAGCCTCGAACACCTTGCTGGCGCGAGAGAAAAAGACCCCAAATCTGCATCTGCTAGAATACCCCACGATAAACATTCAACGTCTCGAAATCGCTCACTCTCACCGCACAACCGTATTCATCGGCGAAGCCAATCCACTCAACTTCCATCACAGTCTTCAAATGGTATCAAGAAAAGACGCCCTGCCCCGCTTCAGTCTACCGATTATCATTCCGACGATTCTTCCGCCAGTGGAAGCCCCCATCCCCGCAGCTCGAAGTTGAGAAGCATCGCCACTCCAGTCACTGGCGAATCGACAATATCTCCCGCAAGGATGCCAGCTCATAAGAAACACGTTGACAACCACGGGCAGACTTTGCTAGCCAAGGCTTGTGCGAAAGGCGAATATGATGCCGCTAAGAAACGACTAACTGAGCGACCTGAAGATCTCAATTTTGCTGACTACGCTGGCAACACACCACTTCAAGTTGCATCGCTAAACGGACATGAGCCAATTGTTCAACTTCTAATCGATGCGGGATGCAATCTAGATTGTCGGAACAGCGACAAGGAGACACCATTGCTGGATGCTGTAGAGAATGGACATTTGGGTGTTGTGAAGCTATTGTTGAAAGCCGGTGTAAATCCTCGCAAAGCCGATGCTGAAGGACACGAGCCACTTGAGAAAGTACCCGACGACCTAGAGAACGCAGAAGAGATCCGAGCCGCTTTAAGGGAAGCAAAGGAGAAAGTTGGGGAGCTGCGCCGAACGTCTGAAGACCACCAGCCTCATGACTTACCAGATACTCTTTCGTCTCACGGACCTGAGAGCCCCCGACGCTCGCCCACGGCACCAGGCAGTAGTTCATTGGCCGCACAACGCCGCGGTGGTGCTGTGCGATCGACCAAGACCAGTAACCATCTACTGTATATGAACCTTGATGACAAGACGCTCAGACAAGCTGCAGCGCGAGGCGATAATGAGACGGTGACTCGTGTGCTCCAGGTCAAGGAACGCTGTGATGATCCTGAGGCTTTAGTTAATGCGGCTCGTGGCGGCCATAGTTTTGTTGTCGAGCTTCTTCTCGCCCTAGGAGGCGCTAATCCTGACCCGCGCCCGGTCCCTAGCCTCCCAACAGAATATGGCACACCGATGTTGGCAGCTATTGGTGGGGAGAATATTGAGGTTATCAAGCTCTTACTCAACGCATCTAATTTCGACCCGACACGTCGTTTTAAGGGACAGACGTACTACGAAATAGCTAGGCGTCGAGAGGGGCCTCAGTGGAAGGATGAGGAACATCTTCTGAAGAACGCTTTTGACGAATTTAAGAAGGCACCCAAAGGTTCTAAGACGAAGTCCCCTGGCAAACGGGAGCGTGATCGTGAGATCGACCACGAAACCCGACGTGCTAATCGCAATGAATCTAACCTAGATACCAAAACTCAACTCAAGCGTCGACAATCGAGCCCCTCGCGTGATGCTGACGCCAGTGCCAAGAAGAAACCTAATCCTACTAAGGTTTCAGGAAGTCCCAAAGAAAAGAGGCGCTCGCTTTCTTTTGGCAATCACGACGAACAAACTTCCCCGAAACGTGGGCCCGGTCGTCCGAAGAAGGAAGAACGAGTGTTACACATTACCACATCAGATCGAGAACCGTCTCCGCACGTAGCCAAACAACAACCAACACGGTCAAAACTAGTTGATTCCGATCTTGCTGGTGGTTCTTCTGATACCGAAGCGGTGAAGCCTCGAAGGAAACTCATCTCGGGTAAAGATTTGAAGGGACACCGAGAGAAACAGCGACGTGCGAGCATGGCGTCAAATAATTCTACCACGGATCGCGGTGATTCGAAGAATGACGATGGACACGAGAAACGGCCAGATCGACTTTCGGAGAAGTACCATGACCGGACAAAGGCCATTAAACGTGATGAGTCTAATGATAGACTATCTATTGGCGAAGGCTCAGCCAAGAGACATCGATCTAGTGTCACGCCACCTCGACACGGGCTAGGAGACAACGATAGCGAGGTTCCTATCAAACGACGAAAACTTGACCAAGAGGGCAAAGAACGACGTCAATTACACACTTCTTCTCCAGAGAATCGTCAACAGAAACGAGATGTGTCACGTGATTCTACTAAGCGGCAGCGACCTCTAGAAGCCGATCGCAAGGAAGCTCCCAAAGCCAAGAAGGCAAACCGCGACCGCAAGGAGAGTATCACTGTGGCTTCTGACGACATTGATGTTGAGATGCGCGACGCGCCTCAATCGCATGCTGCTGATCATAGCGAGGCTCAAATTGAGCGTGAGCGTGAGCGCGAGCGCAAAGAAGCCAAGCGACGACAAGCTGAAGCAGATGCGATTGCCGCAGAAGAAGCAAGGAAAGAAGCCGAGCGACAACAGCAAGAGGCCGAAATGAAGAGGCAAGAAGCAGAAAGAAAGAAGAAGCAAGAGGCAGAAGCCAAGAAACAGGAGGCTGAGAAGAAGCGACTCCAGGAAGAAGAGCGAGCTCGCCTCGAGATGGAAGAGAAGAAACGTAAAGAAGAGGAGGAGAAGGCACGCCTGGAGGAGGAGGAACAGAAGCGGAAGCAGAAGGAGGAGCAGGAAAGAAAGGAACGAGAAAGAAAAGCACAAGAAGCTGAAATGAAACGAAAGGAGGAGGAACTCAAGCAACAGGAAGAAGCTAGAATCCGCCGAGAAAAGGAGGCTGCTGAAGAGGAAGCTCGACGCCTGCGAGAGGAAGAGGAGCGAGAGCGAAAACGCGTAGAGCGAGCCGCACGTGAAGCGGAGATACATCGAGCCCGCCAGGAAGAGTTGGAAAGAATTCGCGTGTCCAAATTGCCTCCCTTGCTACGATGGCTCGATGCGTGTCCGGACCCAAAGCAGAAGGACATAGCTGAGCTCTTTTCGAAGGCCCTAGGGGTTCGATACGACACGATCAATCCGTCGGCGACTAGGAACCCAAACGGACGTGAACAGTGGCTACTCAATACGCAAGTTGCACTGCTTTTGGGCGAGAAGGACACTCAACTCTCCAGATGTAAGTTGCTTAAAATTTATACGAGGGTATGATCATACCTAACCAATTTCCAGACACTGCGTGGGATCGTCTTCCAGTATCGCAAATAGCGAAAAGAGTTATCTGGCGTCTCGAACAAGACAGATACTCTCTAACGCAAAGCAAAATCTACCATCTAGGTGAACAAATGCCTGATTATTACGGAGGTAATCCCCGAACAGTCGGTTACAGGAGACTTGAACAGCTTCGTGGTGAAGCGGCAAAACTTTTCTTCGATATGGATAACATGTTCTTTGTCAAAGTAAGTTTACTAAATTCCTTAGTACAACCAATCCTATTGAAGTAAAACTAACTTGAACAAAAGGAATCGGACTTCCTGTACATTGTACCCACCATACCCCATCTTCGCAACGTCAAATTGTCAATTTGCTACTGCGAGCTCCCGGAAAATGAATCGGCTCTAGCAACCTTCAGCACTCCAGCAAAGTGGAGACAGGATCCAGATGCCGACAGCCGAGGCGGATTTGCGCCGAGATCCAAGCATTATATAAATGGGCAGTTGGTAGGCGAAGACAAGCCGGGACGATATCAGCCAAGCAAAACTCCATTTCCAGAGCACCGTGTCCCAAGAAGAGGCCTTATTGCGGTCTCACCGGACGACCCCGACTATGCGCGCATATGCTTCGAGCAAGGTCTAGTTCACCTTCTCAACGACGAACAAAAATTAGCTATGCAAAACGCTACTCACTTGACACCCCGGAGCATGGTGTCGAATGAGCCTCTAGATTACACTAGCGAGAACTTGTCCCCTTCTACCAAATCACCGCGGACTACACAAGTTAATGGCGTCAAGAGCACCCAAGGCTCCCCAGATAGACACCCGACTAACGGGATTAACGGGGATAGCTTAGGAGGTCATTAACCAATTAATTAACACATCATTGCCGTAAAATCACTCGTCATTACATCTTCGCGTTTCCTTGTCCTTCTACGATATTAAGGCATCGATTTCAGCGACGTCGAGTTTACTCATACCCAAATGATTCTTATTCCCATAGTTATGGGCTTCTTTTTTTTGTCACGGAATTGACGAGGACGGCTTGAAAAAAACAGGCAAATACTCACGTATATCATCACCTGGCTTCATGGATGGAGTTTATTTTTGGCTCTTCGATTGGCTGGCAATGTGAACGGAAGCTTTCGATCTTGGATTCCAACTCCAAGAATTTGCTCTTCCAATGTCGGCGTATTTGTTCTGATTTGCAGATGCCGGTGCCAGAAAGAGGGGTCGAGAGAGGAATGCGGATTACGACTAGATACTCCCCAGTTGCAGGTATATACATTTATGACCGGAACGCTTAACAGTGTTCCACAACCAAAATAACACCACTCGAGATCTCGTGTGGAATACATTTGTATGATTCGATGATACCCCTGAAGCTAGTTCAGCAAAGTCCAACAAACTGCTTGATCAGGGATCTCTTATTCTCAAGAAGTGACACATTCTTCGAGGAACAATACTTCACATACGAAACAGTGATCAGACCTAGAATTTCGAAATGATCCGATACTTTCACCTAACACCTAACACAGTCTATTTTTACGACTCTCTATTATAACACGACCTTACTCGAGTCTTTCTTCTCTCTCATCCTGATAGTGTCTAGGTCACAATGCACGTTAGGAGATAGATGACGACGGTGGTGCATCAATACGATAAACGACGTCAGATAGGAATCTCACGTCACCCAATAGTAGGCGGCGGCAGATCGCATATCGGACCTTCGCGCTTTTTTTTTTTCGCACCCCTTAGCCAGCCAAGACTTCTTAACTCTTAACCCTGATAACGCTAAACGACACGCTAGCCCGAAGACAAATCCATAACCGGACCATACAAAACCAGCCCTAACGGTGGAGGCCGCCAGCGAGCGCGCACGTCTTTGGAAATCTGGAAGTCCTGTGTACATATTATGTGTGTACATTGTATGTATAATCAAGGACAGATAAGCAGAAAAAGAAAGGATAGCATAGCAAACAACAGCAAACCGTTTCCGCACGCTTTCCTAATAGGACGTATGGACGAGGAATCGGGGCGCGTGGCTGCCGTTAGATACGTTGATTATTAGTGTTGGCTTTAGTGTCGGTGTCGGTGTTGGTGCTGTGTACATACAGCGTACATAGTAGTGTCATTAGTACCTAGTGTTGGATTAGCCACGGCGCGCGCGGCGGAGAGACACGGACACGGCACATGTTGTACGAGAAAAGAAAGAAAAAAACAACAACGTCCCAGCTGCGCATGTATGTATGTAGCTACACGTGTACGAGTCTTAGTTTATTTTACTTTTTTTTCCTTCCCAATTCTTCTCCCTTTTTTCCCGCTCAACGTATGTATCAGTGTTCTTCACGCTAAAACTCGTCGCTCTTTTCCGTCCTGCCCGTTCCAGTTCCAGCCTTTTCTAAACACCGCAATCCGACGGGAATGATCGACGGAGATGGAGGGGGGCTAGGCTAGGGTAATAGGCTACTTCGTATTGCGGAATCTTCGCTCCCCCGGTCTGTATTGTATAGAATACATAAAACGAAGTGCCAGAAGGGTGCTAATGAAAAGTGCTAATGAACGATAACCCACATTTTGCATACATCGACCGCGATGGTGGCATGGTCTGGGCGTGCAAATCTCTAACGACAAGGCATTGGCGCGTTTTCATTGGTGCCCGGCACTGGGACCTGTCGTAGCATCGACAAATTAACAACGATCTAGCGTACGAGGACCCCAGACGGCAGACGATATTGTCATGTTGGGCTGATGGGATAGCCGGCTCCCTCGACCGTAGAGCTGGATACGTGCCGCAGTGCTATCAAATCTTCACACGACAAGCGCGTCTGAAGCGAAATCCGCTGTAAGACTCGTAGACGAATTTATACAGGACACAACGAGAGCCTGAAAGACCTCCATAGCATAAGGTATCATACCGATTATACATAGCATTAAAAATCCGTGCTGCCCAGGATTTCCCAAAATGTTGACCGCCCTAGTGTTCCAGGCTTGAACTTCTGCTAGCCCCAGGGGTGCTGTTTCGATCATGCGAGGATCCTGTCCATCATTGGGCGGGAGATCCATGAGGCTGATCAAAAAGCAAATTACATAATGTACCCTTCCGTCTGTGATGGGCCTTCTGGCCAAATTCGTGCACGGTTTTTTCTTTTCCCTCCCTTTTTTTTTCTTCATCCGTAACCGTAAATCATCCGGGACCAAGTGGCAACTCACCACCACCATCGAGGGCGAATGTAATTACCAACTCGGATACCTCTGGACAGCCGACTGCCTATAGACGTGAGCCCATTCTGGAAGACTTAAGCATCCCCTATTGTCGTCTACCCACGAGGGAAACCCCGGCATGAAGTTCCTGGCGCTGCCGACCTCGCTGCTTCTCAGCATCACCCTCCAGGCACGGAGCTCGGCGGCCCAACTCGAGAATGACTTTTCGGCATACCCTGAAGGCTCGCAAGAATGCATTACCGACGCGGCAAACCAGACACAATGTTCGGGGAGTACGGGACAAGAGTTGAACCAGTGCTTGTGTAGGAACAAGGGGAATTTCATTTATAACACGGCCATGTGTGTCGCAAACGAGAGCCCCGGCGATCTAAATGCTGTCTATGATACCATGCAAAATAACTGTCAGGGCACTGGTGTAACAATAGCCGTGTCTAAGGAAGCATTCTTATCACAGGCTGCGGCAGCTACTTCATCACCTGGATCGCCAACGTCGACGAGCTCGCCCGAAGCGACACAAAGTCTGAGCCCCGTAGCACAGAGCAGCATCTCGACAGGCGCAAAGATCGGGTTAGGCGCTGGCATCGGCATCGGTACCGTCGGGTTGGGGTTGCTAGCGTGGTTCATATGGTTATACTCAAAAAGGCGGCGATCACAAACCCCTCCCCCTCCCTCGGCAAACGGGACAAACCACGATGTTGAGCTTTCGAACAGTAATATGCCCGGCAACCAAAGCTTCGTTTCGTCGATGGCATCGCCGCATGTCGCATACGCGCACCACAACACACAGTTTGCAGCTGCGGAGCTAGGGGACACGCACCAAGAGTGGAAGGAACTTCCGGCAGACAATTACGACCATGTGAAGGCCGACGATGGAAGCCATAAACGCACATCCGACGTCCCACTCCTGGCGGCGGAACTAGGACACGAGGAGACGCGTGGGAATACCCCGGTCTCACCTATACCCACATACGCCGTCGAGCTACCGGCCGAAGTAGTTTATCCTCCAAGATCGCCTCCCACTCCGACTGTGAGTCCGATGTCATATAGCCCGTACCACGAACACGGATATACGCACCACCACGGAACAGGATGATTTCCCTTTGTTGAGAGAAGGTCGAAGCACGGAGATCTCCGCGGGGGACTAATATAATAAAACTAATGATATTCGATGAAATTGGCAAGCGGCCGAAGATAGCCAGCCATAAAATAGAGAGCTCTCACAACACGGCATAGCATTAAAAAGGTGGCGTCCGGGCGTCGAGCGTGGCGGGTATTCGCGAGGGGTTTTGTACCTTGCTTCCAGGATATATACTTTGTTGATATCTATTTTTTTTTAACTATAAGGAATATAGTTAGCATTGAACTACTTCGCTTCATACATACCCATGTCCTCTCGGCAACATCTCGTTAGACGGACGGGTAGCTATCTATGTTCCTTATGTTAGGGGGGTCTCGTTAGTAGAGTTCCTGACAGCAGAATTTGAGTTGATGTTGCATTCGAACACGGCATTGGTTTGTGTTACTCAACTATTCCTGTTTAAGTTGCAATAATAGACACTAATGTCTTGTCCATGTGGTCAGCTTACGTGAGATATATCTGAGACATGCATATCCACGGTGTGAGCTGATTCGGCCGGTAGGTAAGAGAATCGTGCGAGTTGCCGTCTTCTCAGACATTCCAACGTCGGTACGCTGACCGACTACGGTATCGAATGTACACCTTATGCCAGTTCCCGTTGAATGTCCACTCTGTTCTACCCCGGAGTTGAGGAAGCCAGCTGTTTCCGTCCAGAAGGTGAATTTCCCCCTCGGGAATAGGGCGGGAATAATAGCCATCGCATCCTGTTCTTCAGATATCGATCAACCAGTCACTCAACGGCAAATCCGGATGGGTCGACGTCGTCGGTGTTCCGAACCCCAACAGTCATGCTTGATAGGTAGTTCTAGGTACTGTTAAATATATCTTGAAGATTGAGGGAATGAAGAAAGTTGGAAGAAGTTGACTTGCCCCGCAGTATTAGGTTGACAGCTGAGATCCCGTGGTCTATTTAAAGTTATCGACTAATCATAAAGTCAATAGTCCGTCCAAGGAAACAACGACCTTGTCTGGATTGGTAACATCAGCTTAGAAATAGGGGTGGGGACGCTACATATATTTACTTTCTTAGTGCCTATGTGTAGTATCTACGCAGATTTATATGTTCAAACGGTTTTTTATCAGTCTATTAGGAGCAGATGATAAACATCTTCCACTTTCAAAACTCAACGATTTGATAAAAATGTGGAAATATATATCAAGACATGGTACCCATCGTGTTATTATTACATGCCACCCCCACCCATCGAGTGACTAGTAGATGAATGCCCATGAGAATGGGAATCACTGCCAGTATGCCCACCACCATGATGACTGGAATGGTGAACATGAGGCGTACTATCATATTCGTACTTATGTTTGTGACCAGAACTGGAGACTGGCCTAGGTTTGGGGAGAGGTTTGGGGAGAGGTTCAGGCCGCTTCTCTGGGAAAATCCACCGACCCTGCCAACCCCGGAAGCAGTCTTTGATTAAGTCAAGGGGGGGTGTTTTCGGATGCCCTTAGTTATCGGCTCCCTGCAAGGCTTTAACTGTTTCTGGTATGGCGCAGACCTTTTGGAGACTAAGTCTGATGTACCGTTTTGAACCAATCAAGAAATTTTATTCTTATCGATATATTTTTTGTGGAAACAAAGTCTTCTCACTGGACGATTTGATTTCATAATTCATAAAGATGTATAAAAGTATAATTTTATTAACCAATTAAATTATTACTTTTCAAATATTAATATATTCGTAGCTATTACATAAGTTAGCTATAAAGCCTGAAGTAGTTAGCGCTTCGGTTAAGCGAATTAAAGTTAATCCGAGCCCGACCTTAACTATATCTGGCCAATTAGGATAAAGCTAGCTCAGCGACTAAGCCTATTTACAGCTAGAGGATAGCTTAATTTGCAAGTCCGGCCAAGCTATGCTCAAAGTGGTGACTCGGACACTCTTAGCCAATCATGAGCTAGCATCTTTCTTGTCATTCTTTGAATGTACCGCGTTATACCCAAAGCGGCCCCCGCCATACCCGAAACAGCTAAAGCCTTGCAGGGAGCCGATAACTAAGGGCATCCGAAAACACCCCCCCTTGACTTATACCATCTACCTCTTTCCACTGCATTTGGAAGTCTTTGCCATTCTGTTCATATAGGCAGACTTTCATGTTCAGGCCATTCTCCGTCCAGTTGGGTTTCTGTGGGCTTTCACTTGTACTCTCTATTTCATCCGAGCAGCTTGTCTCCTGGGCACGGTTCAATCCCATTTCCCTGAGTAATTTTTTCAGTTCGCCAAAACCGTCGGCAGTCTGTAATCGGATCAGCGCCTTGGAGCTCCGGCCCGGCTTGTCAGTATTGAACCAGTTTCGGTGGCCGTCCCCGAAGCTAGAGAATATGCAAGCGATATAGGCGGGCGGAACGGGACGATTAACGTGATCAACGGAAATTGGAGGAACTAAGACTCGCAGTTAGGAATACTACCAATGGAAGGGAGATGGCTCCAAGCTAATCGGGGAAGACTCGGATATCATACTTATATGGCAAGATCCCGCTAGAGCCTCTGTGGGATGCCCATCCGGACCATTCTTCTCGGCACAGTGGCCTTTGTACCGGCCGTACGCAGCCGGATAGGATCTCTTAAGAACACCCCCCAATCCTGTATCAGGCCATGTTCCTAGATACCATCAACTGTTAGTTGTTATCTTGCTATATCTTATTGCTATTTTGCTGTCTCGTTCCTAACATTTATTAGGTACCCAAGAGCTTCGATATTTTTTATTACTGACCTTGGCAGTTTGTCAGGAGCACAAAGATTGTATATGGCTCCACATCGTGTGCGATAAATTCCGAGATCTCCTCGTCAGTGAGAGACTTCATTTTGGGGTAGAAGAAAATATGATCATATAATGGTCTGTCTCTGTAGTGAAAGTTAATGGTGAGTTGATCATCTGCGAAGAGCACTCTGAATGTTGACCGAAGCATGTTTAAATACAAAACTAAAAACTTGATGAGTTACAGTCCCTGATGTCGTTTATCTAAACATAGCAGTCAACTATACACGTATTCAAGACGTGTGTGTGAATACGTAGATTGGCAGAGGGGTGAATAACTCATCGCATATGGTTGTAGGGAGTATCATCAGAGTTGATTGCTACGCAGTTAACAGAGTGGCTGATTGCTGTCTATGTCATGTATAACCACACAGTTGATAGCAGTATCTCTGGGATAGGCTCGCCTGGGAAGTGAACAGGGCAGGTCTTGGATACCTAGGTTAGTTTGCCGTCAAACTTGAGGTATCCTCAATTGGGGATTTCCAAGTTTAATGGCTGTATCATTCTGTAGTTAACTGTAGTACCAGCCTTACAAACATTATGGGCATCTTATTCAATCACTCGTTTTCCATGAGTGTCCATTTCTTCGCTATTAGGGGTCTTCATGGATGATATCATATTGTAACTATGATGACTTCAAGATAGACTGTATCTAGGTAATCATGTGAGTTGCTGGTCTTTATATGCCTAGATAGGTACTTTATTGTGGTACACTTGCCTACGTTGAAAACAAACTGACAACTATCAGGGTTAATTAACACGTTTTGTGTAACTCCATCGAGGCATCTTAAGTCATTAATTGAGATAATTATAATCAGGATCTTGGATAAGTAAATATAGTCATTAAATTACGATCGTACAAACATGCCGATTCCGCCTTATGTGAAGGACCAGACTGAGGTTGTTGACGCCATCATCGATCAACATTCCTAAACAACTGCACATGTGGCTGAATAATATAGATATATATGTCGAAGTAGCATTCGCTGCTATCGGGCTTGAGTCGAGTCTTCGGTACCGTCGCACAAATGCTCTTTTGGTCAGCGGTCAAAAGACCTGACCTGTCATTTATATCAAATACGTTCCAGGGTCGATCCCATAAGCAAATCCATGGCAACCCAAGGATAAATACATTACAGGCTACTACGGTGCCCTGTAGTATTTCTAGCGACGCAAATAGTCTTGCTGCACACCCCGCCTCGTTGCAGCCCCATTGCAACCCTGGACATATGAAGAGAAGCAGGCTACGTCTAATGCCTGCACTTCCATTAAGGTGGCGTTCTAGACGAGCCAGTAGTAAGATAGCATCTTCATGCTAATCGCTCTATTTGGAGCCAGTGTGCCAGCGTACTCCCTGAAGAAGAAACTGCAAAAATCTCGCGAGCGAGTGATGACACATACATAATTGCGCTGCCGATACTAATCCGGAACCTCCTATCCACCTGTCCCGGAATAGGAAGATGAGCAGGAGCAGCCGCCGTATCAGAGCGGCGCAGTGTCCCGGCCATACTACGATCCTTCCGCCCCCTTTCCAATCGGTAGATTCTCATAGCCCCAGTAATCACCACCCATAGGCGCTACCCCCCGAGGAAACCCATGGCATATTGCGACCTCAGATTTTTTCCCTCCAAGGCAAGTTAGATCAGATGTCAGGTCAGATCATATAGATATTCGCCCGTTTAAGGTTAACCTGCCATCGCGATGTTATTTGATCCTCCGGGTAGCCCTACCGGGCACGCCTAGGCCAAACCCGCCCCCATCTCCCACAAAAAAAAACTTCTTTTCCCGTCTCCTACCCATCGATGTCGAGCCCCCCATCACCCCGATCGTCCTAACCTATGTCCTTCACGCAAAAACGCCACAAAACGTAGTGCTTCACTCCGTGTTGGCTCGACGAAAACGCCCGACGAAAACCAGCGTAGCATAATGGCGTCCCTACGACTCCTCCTCCCTATCCTCGGATGTCTAGCTCTCACCATCGCCGCCACGAGCCTCCTAACCTACGTCCCAGAATGCGCACAAGACTGCGTCACGAAGTCCCTAAACGGGACCTGCGCCGGGCCGGAAGACTCGCAATGTCTATGCAACAACATGCGGACCATCGGGATCGGGTCGGTATCCTGCGCATCAGCAGCATGTGGCAACTCCACAGAGCAAGTCGCAAGTGAGTTACTTATATATTCCACCACATCATCAACACCAACAGCCCCAGAACTAAACCATTACGTCCAGCCGAACTCCGGTCCGGGTACGTAAAATACTGCAGCGCGGCCGATGTCTCGGTGGCGCCGTCGGCGACCGCGATACCGAGCTTCGGATGGGGTGCCGGGGGCTTCGGGGGCGGCTCGTGGGGATCAAGCGTAACGGTAACCGTAGCGAGCACCGCAACCGGCATGTCAACAGCGACTACATCGTCCACAACCCTCGCCCCCACAGGCGAAGCCGAGAACTCACCAAACGCGCCAGCCTCAGGAGGCGGTAGTCACAGCGGACTAAGCGGCGGCGCCATAGCCGGAATAGCCGTCGGCGGCGTGATCGGGGTGATCTCAATCACCGGGGGTCTCCTACTCTTCGCCTTCCGGCTCGGGCGGAACCACTCGCAACGGAAGAAAGAAGAGGCCGAGGCGGAGACGGGGGGCCAGCAAGAAAGCGGCAGCGGCAATGGGGGGCCGAAACCTGATTCTCCGGCTAATAATACGGCGGAGGCCGACAAAGTGCAATTAGAAGGCAAGCCGCTAAGCGAGCTGCCGACCGAGTACACGCTATCGGGATTCGAGCGCATAAGAGAACTGCCGACGCAAGAGCGGCCCGCGGAGCTCTGCGCCAACGCGTTGCCGCGGTATGCGGACATCGAGACCCCGATATTGCCTCGTGCGCTGTCGAGGTGATGATGGTCATAGGAATATGCAGGTCTGTCGAAGACCAGAAGTAAATAATACAATAAAAGTGCCGGGGAGAGAGAGAGAAGGGGCTTCCGAATATTATAGGCACTTCACCTACCTAGTACCTACGATTGAGCGGCATATACACGGCTAGCCGATTCGAAGATCGATGGATCGACGACTTGAACGGCTCATATCCCCGGACAATGACCCGAACGTAATATAAGCCCCAAACGCGCCCTCAATGAACATCCACTAAATCGCTCTCTTCTAGTAATCTAAAAGGATCAAGCCTTCTACGAGTTTTATGGAGTACTCGTGAGATGGCACACCACATCCGAAACTAGAAAGGCTATAGGAGAGACGGGATAGAGGTGCAAAATGGAAGTAATTGCCGACAACGAGCAGTTCGATGGAGGTGGAGTTAACCTTATCGGGGTGGTGGTTAAGTTGCGATTGATGGGAATTACAGTAGACATGAACTACTGGTTATTGTATATTATGTATGGACGTGAGCCGGGGCCGGGTGACGTTGTGGAAAGGTTGGCGATAGTAACTGCGAAAACGACGAACTTCGCCGAGGTAGATAATGAAACTAATCACAACTATCGTCTGATTCTAGAGGCATACTATTGCACATGTACTTAGTAGCTTGCAGCTTCATGATACGTGCAGTTGAAAGCATAGACAAGTAGAATTTTAGTAACTAAAGACTCAGCTTTGTGACTCTGGCTGTAGTGGCAAATTAACAGCATTTTACTTCCTGTGCTTCACTAAGTTACACACGAGTCACGTACTAAACCCGAAACCCCCTAAACGCCGGTCCTTCAATGCCTCTAGCTTTTACTCTCTCGGAGATGTCGAGGTACCCACTTTCCAGGAGCACCGGAGGGCTTCAGAGGCTCAGCGGGAGCCTGTGCCGATGCATTATCCCTGTCCCGAGAATCTCGGGGGCCCCTCGTGTCTCTAGTGTCTCGAGAGTCTCTAGTGTCCCTAGAGTCTCTGGCATCACGGGAGTCTCTGGTATCCCGAGAGTCCTTAGCGTCCCTGGAACCACTTCCACCACCAGAAGGACCTTGGGCCACCTTGGCAGCCTCACGGTCACGCCAGGAGGACTTGGCTCCGACAAGTTGGAGACGTGGCGGCCCTGAGGAGCGCTCGTTGGAATCCGTGCGCTCCATGGGTGTGCTGGAGCGGCTTGGTGGCCCGTTGCTGCTCGCGGCAGGAGGAGCGGAGGACTTCGATGCCTCGCGATCACGCCAAGACGGTTTGGCACCGGCAAGTTGAAGACGCGGTGCTCCAGAAGGCCGGTCGTTGGAGGGCGAGTCCGTACGGTCCACGGGGGCCGCTTCGCGTTTGATTGGTGCGCGCTCCTTTTCTTTCTTTCTGGCCATCGCCTCTTCTTCTCGTCTCTGCTGGAGGGCAACCTTCTCCAGAGTTTCTTGGCGCTCCTTTTCTCGCATCTCCTTCTGCCTGGCCGACTCCAGGCGCTTCTCTTCGGCACGCTGATCCTGCTCCTTCTTCTCTCTCTCAGCACGTTCCTCTGCCTCTCGTAATGCCCTCTCCTTCTCTTCCCGCTCTCGTTTCTCCCGCAACTTGCGTTCACGGTATTCCTTCTTACGGGTTGTGATTTGCTTCTCAAGCTCCCTCTCCGCGTCACGTTGGCGCTTCTCAAACTCGTCGCGACGACGGTCATGTAGAGACTTCCTGAACGTCTCATACTGCGGCATGAGACGGCTTAGGCGATGTTTCAACTCAACGCTCTCCTTGTGCTTCTCCTTCGACTCACGGAGAGTCTCTTCTTTCATTTGCTCGTATGCGGCCAAGTCACGCTCACGTTGCTTAGCATAGTCGTCAGCGAGCTTCTTGACTTCCTCCTTCCTGAAAGCACGCTCAAGATGATCAATGCGCTTTCCGGTAATGCGGAGCTTCTCGTTGATGTCATTCTTTTCCCGCTCGAGTTGGGCAAGCTTCATGGCACGAAGTCGGTTGCTATCAAGATCGTCGATGTTCTCAAGATCAATGTCAAGAGCATTCGGTCCAATCTTGAGATCAGCAATCTGCTTCTTGAGCTCTTCTCTTCGAACACGATCTCTCTCATCTTTGAGACGCTTCTCCTCGCGATCTTTTTGCTCTTGAGCGAGTCGTCGCTCCTCGGCCTCTGCCAATGCTTGCTCCTGTAGACGCTTCTGTCTCGCCTTCTCCTTTTCTCTCTTTGCTTGGAGCTCAGAAGCCTCCTCCTTTCGCTTCTGAATGACTTCCTTGCGAGCTAGGGTTTCACGTTGTTCCTGCTCGGCGCCAGCCTTAGCTCTGGCTAGCGCAGCTTGCTGGGCCTCTAGCTGGCGTTGTCGGATAGTTGGATCAACATAGAAACATGTAGTGTACAAAGTAGTCGAAAGTCGACTAAGCTGCGACCGAACGATCTCCGAAGGAGTGCTTTGGAGGCGTTGCACAGATCCAACCGGGCTTTCGGCAGAACCAGCCGCCGATCCGGCATGGACGGCCTTCGAGGACGCGAACACATCCTTATCGAAATTGAGGATTCCAGTAGCATGATCCATGCGGATAGAAAGATCCCCCTTCTTATTACCGTTCATAATGAATTTCTCTATAGTTCCACGAGTGATTTGGAAGGGGTCTGGGAACTTTGCGAGACTCTCAACGAATGCTAAGTCAACAGACTCATACACTTGGGACAGTTGTTGAAAGAGTCGAGTTAGAATGACTTGCTGGAGAGGCAAGATGTACTTTTCCATTTCAGAGTCGGCGCCGATCTTGGTCAAGATGGGGGATATCTTCTGACAGATAGAGAGAGGGTGAAAGTCAACTTCGAGAATATTGTAGAGATCCTTGATCTCCGGGCGCGCACGCTTTAGGAGTGACTTAGAGAGTGCATCGCGGAACAAACCAGCACGAGTAGGCGCAGTAGACATGCCTAAGAGATGAGTAAGACGAGAATTCTTGTTCTTTTTAGCCTCATCGAAATCGACCATGGCACCCCGCGATCGCGAAGTGCTAATGACGGGAATGGAGAGAGCCGATAGAAGGACGAAGGAAGCGGCCTTTTGAAGATCGACATCCGTGGCGGATGGGTTATCAGATTTCTTGCTCTGGCCGGTAGCTACAAGGGCCGCGGACTGTCGAAGAAGAGTATAATATCGGGACCAAGCAGCAGCGTGGAACAAGTAGTTCTCACCAACAAGGAAGATACGAGTGAGTTTCTCGTAGTAGTTGGCCATCATAATGTTCTTTGGAGGACGCTTGCTGAGATTGAGGAGAGTGTGGATATCCTCGACACTTCGGAATGCTTCTTGCCAAAGTTCAAGCTCAACGGCGACATTTAATTGTTGAAAGCGGGTTTCTAGATGCCGCTGTAGGGTGTCTGGGTCGTTGAGGTTGATAGCGTGCATTTGGCTCGAATATTTGGCAGCGGTCTGGACATGATTACGTAGGAGTTCGCAGAGTCGTCGGAACTCTGTCTTTCGCTGATACTTGAGGCAAAAGTCGAATGCTTGCATGGCCGTGCTCTGATAGAGTATTTCCAATCTCGCATTGTTTCGCAGGATGTCGAGGACAGTTCGGTAAGCTTCCCAGAGGAACTTGAGCCATGGCGTGACGACCGCACGCTCGGTACGATCTCTAGATTGCTCGCCGGAGACTGTGGCCAACAGAATGGATTCGGGCGTCTCGCTGGCCTCTAAATCATCGATACTAGAGGTTGCAGTTGCCTCAATGCTTGACTGCAATTCATCCGCTTTCTTCTGTGCCTCTGTAACCTTTTCCGCGGCTAACTCGATAAACTTCTTTAGAACGAGCTCGATGGTGCTGATATTGGTATTCTGGGCGATATTTTTGTAGGAGTAGAGCGCATCCTTGGCTAGTTTTCCCTTCTTCTGTTCGACAGATAATTCGACTAGGAGGAGCATCACGGGCTCCAAGGATACGATGGGAACATTTCGCGAACGTTTGGACGTAATATGATCATGAAGAAGATTGAGGGCGGCAGGAGCCTGATTGACACCGATGAGCTCCTGAGCACGCTTGAGAACGTTCTCAGGCTTTTGATGCGGAGGAGGCGGCATCTTGGGCAATCTCCTAGATAAAAATGGCTTGAGGAGATCGAAGCGGCCGGGTGACGTTGGGTTAGGAAAAAAAAACCGCGAAGAAAGTCTGATGATGTGAAGATTTTAGATTTGTGCCACTTGTGTGGGTTTAGGAAGGCGAGGGGCACGGGCTAATTTTCGCAGTCACATGATTTTTAGTTTGAAGGGTAGGACCGTAGGAGGGATGGGATGCCTAAATTTTTAGGGATAGTACAACGTAAATCCGTTACTCCCGACGCGTGCACGTACCAAATAACGCAAAGCCTTATCGTACTCTTATCTCTATCTCGCAACGAGCCGACCGTTAAAGTTGTTTAAGGTTATGCTTAAAGCTAGGAATTAGGATCGATTCACTTTTCATTGATATTCGCCATCATATGTAATGATGTATACGAAATGACATCCTCATACACCATATGCCTGGTTCTTAAATGACCAGCGAACTTTGACAATTACACGTTGATGTTACAATCGGATCGAAACCTTCTAAACACCTACTAGGCTGCTAGGCATAAGTAGGCTATTGAGTAGGTAACTACCTACCTGCCGAACATATAATACTGCAGTCATCTATATGAGTAGTCGTTACTCAATTGTTTGACTTCCCGAACTTACTTGCCTCCTCAACTTACTCGAATAACAATCTAACAATCCTCTCACGTCAGCGCATCCGATCAAAGAAGAAAAAAAAACAAAGCTTCCCGATTGCCTGGATAACGAGTCCGTGAGGTAGTAGTCCACCAATCCCGGGATCAGACAGGTTAGTCCCCGAATTAGGGGGTACAGAATAGTCCTTTTACTTGGAGCCCAGGTAGTAATGCATACCTACCTAGTAGATAGTATTGGTTTGAATATCGACGCATATACCCAACGTGACATGATTATTTCGAACAGTTCATAGTTCATAGAATGATATGCTGCGATTGCTGTCTTGTTTAGGGGATTTTAAATAAAGCCCCGCTATCAATGAATAATACAGATTTTAATATGCATGTGTAAGGTAAGCCTTGCTTGGATTCTAGAGGGTTTCCAATTGCAGCGAGGCCTACACGTAAGATGCCTGAGTGGATGTGGATAGAATACCAGGTACCTAGTACGCATGTACCTCCTGAGTCCTTGACAGGTCTGGCCTGGCCGTGCAAAAGGGAGCCCTAAAGGGCCGCTGTCATTAAAGTTTAGTGAAGAAGACAACCAAAACAACCAGGGAAAGAGCTCAATTGATTCATTGAAATCCTGTGGCCAGTGCTCCAAAATTTATTCACTTTTAGCGAACCATCCTTCGAAACGGGTCCCAATTTCCCAATTTCCCAGCCTGCAAGAAGAGCCCTGGAAAGAACCCCATATTCTAATCCTTCTGGCCAATTGAGAGCGAGATAGGACTTTGCCCGGTGCTACGCCGTGGTTCAGTACTTTCGTTTTTCGTACTAACCTTAACTCGCCCAGCCAACTCTTCTTTTTACCTTATTCCCCAGCTTCCAGCCCATAGTCTCTCCTTCACGTCTTCTTACTCGACGAACCAACCACGTCCTGACGTCGCGCCCCCTTCGTCGCCTTCGAAGTTTAATCTATAAAACCTTTTCTTCTTAAGATCGCCTTGTTTTGTAAGTCTTTTTTCCAGCCTCTTCATCGCCAACTATCTCGATTGAAATAGTTCCCGATTTTCTGATCCCCGATACGGACGAATTGGAAATTGGCTTAGCTCCTTGCATCCCTCCCTTCCGATAGGGGGTAACGGGAGCAGTGAGACGCGAACGAGAATATACCCATCTCTACCGCTCGCGAGCCGATCAATCGCCAATGAGACATGACTCTTAGGAGCTTTCTGTACTGACTAAGGTTATGTCTTCGATAGAGATTCACGATTCTCAGACTGAGGGAGGCGCTGCAAGTGGTCCAAGCACACAGCCACAGCCCGTAGGAACTCGATCAGGGACCTTCGACTCCATCGATTCTTCCAACCCGGCCATCAATATGCCTCAATACACTTCTCGGGACGTCGGCGACCCGTCGCAGATCAAGAAAAACAAGCAATCTATGGCCGACCTCAAGTTACGACGCCTTACCGAGCTCAACAGCAGGCTACGGGAGGACTTAGAACGAGAGCGAATTCCCGTGTCGCAGGCAGCAAGAAGGTGAGAGGACACAGTCAATAGGAAAATCTAATCATGGATGGCTTAATTAACACGTCGCGCAGCATCATCGCATACTGCAATAGCACAAGAGATTACATGGTTCCGTCGGTATGGGGAGCCGTCCCCCGGGGAGAGGACCCGTACGCGCCTCCTCAGAACGGCGGATGCTGCCTGGTAATGTAAATTGGGGATACCACAAGCCAGCAAGGCCTGCTATAGGAGCGCACTACCTGGCCCATATCGTGTGTAATAACGTGTTCTGTGGGGTTTTCGTTGCGATGAGGCTTGTAAACTTTGGAACCTGATTTCAGCGATGGGCAGCCTTTTTGCTTCGTTCATCGACGCCCCGCGCAGAACTTAATTCTTCATACGCACACTGCTGAAAACGGGAGCTTTTGAAGGGAAAGATAAAAGCTAAACGGGGGATGGAAACCGAAAAGGCTATTACTACTACTACACTACTACTACTACAATACCCGAGGCTCGATCACTATCGGCCGTGTTACGATAATACAACAACCGACAATACTTCAATCCGTATATGTGTTGGTTGGTTTTTTCTGGACGGGCGGTCCATTACGGAGAAGAAAAGGAGTCCTGGGAAGAAACTCGTCAACATGTAATATTTGTTCGTTCATGACTGTATTGTTCTTCCGTTTTCCTTTGTCGACTCTGTCGGTACTCGATGAATGACAATATTTCCTTGTTACGATTACCATCTACAGTCTATTTATAAGACTCGCATTTCAACAGAACGAGTGATCGTCCAACCTGGATTCTGATATTGTGCTCCAAGTTTCATGTTAAGAATAGTTCATTCGGGTCCGTACAGCAGCAGTATCTACTTAATTCATTCTCCGCGATCCTAGTTGTAGATCGCGGGTAATGAGGCTAGCATGAAGGATCCTCCCATCTCTCCCTTTGGGACCTTTAATCATTCTCCCATCCATTCATATCTTACCCAATTCACAAGTTTATGGCCTCCAACTTTTACCGTGCAGATAAACTAGCGGTCTGACCAGAAGGCTGCTGACCTACCCAGTATGGTTCGCTCATACTTGAAAATGCCTATGGACTTTGGGGTGCTAAAATCTGCAGGCGATTGCTTACGGATCTAGCGTGCCGCAGAAACGGCAAATCACCTATTCGGTTCCGAAGACTCAAGGCGTCGATGTAACATCGCGGGTCTCGCCATTATAATCTGAGGGCGGATCTAGATTTTAGTAGCTTCCTAATCGACCCCCTAATATTATATCTAAAGGAGGATCTTCAAAGGTGGATAAGGAGCTAAGGAGGAAACAAAAGGTCGTTATATATAAAAAAATTTTGAAGAAAACTTCGATATGCGTGGAAAAGTTTTAGAGGCATTAATACGGCGTGGTATATTCTAAACGGGTAGGTGCCAGAGCTGAAAGACCGCCGCGAACCGTAGGCTTGGAAAGTATCGCCCAATCAGCGTTGACAGCACCGGTTAACTCAATGGTAGTCGCGAAAGTTTGAACAGCAAGTCGCAGAGCTCGGTTTGATCTTATCTTAGCTCATATCATTGAGCTCATGTATCTAGGTACTTCGCTTCAGAACATCGTCATAGCACCCCACGTCTAGTGAGCTGTCTGCAGTCACGATCCAAAAAGCATAGTTAATTGTTATACTTACCTAAAGCGATACTATACAGGTAGTTGTTTCCAAGGTTCTATTCTCTACCTAGTACCTAACTACCTAATCATGGCGGAGACGTTCACCACGACTTCAGCCGGCGCAGTTCCGGACTCTCCATATCCGCTACCCCGTGTCACCATCCAATTCTGTACGCAGTGTAAATGGATGCTCAGAGCCGCCTACGTAAGTCTTATCCCATCAGCTCGTCTTCCGTCTATATCAAGAACCTCGTATTATAATCCCTCGTCGTCCCCCAATTCCTATACCCTCTGCACATTCCTTCCGGGATTCGTCGTTCCCGAGACCATGTCTTTGCTCTAGTGGCATATCACATCAGCCACCACCCCACGAACCCCGCCATCCGTTCTTATCACCGTCCCGTCCAGCCATAGCTTACTACTATCTACCTACCTATTCACACTTGCTTTTTCTTTCTTCTTACATACGTACGAATTACGTCGAGCCACGGCGATTACGTACGCATCCCAGCTAACACGAGCCCCGAAACCGCCTCAGTTCGCGCAGGAGCTCCTCTCGACCTTCTCGACCTCCCTCGGCGAAGTAGCGCTGCAGCCCTCCACAGGCGGGACCTTCATCGTCTCGATCGTCTTCGCGCAGCCTTCCCCTTCCCCCTCTCCCTCCTCCACCACCCCCACCCCCACGATCCAAAAACGCGTTCTCTGGGACCGCAAGACAGACGGCGGGTTCCCCGAGACCAAAGAACTCAAGCGACGGGTCCGTGACGCGATCGAGCCGGGGCGGAACCTCGGGCACGTGGACAGAGACTACGCCGCGCCGGCGCCGACCAATCTCCCCTCGCCCACGCGGGGAGAAGAAGAGGCGGCGCGGATGCGGGCGAAAGAGGAGCGGCGGGCGAGTCTAGCGAAGATCGAGAAGGACAATGCGCTGGGGCTGAACACGCACCCGGACGAGAATATCGGCGGGGCGTGCCGGCCGGGGACGGAGAGCGTGGCGACGAATGTGCGGATAGAGGCTGAGTGCGAGGACTGTAAATGAGAGAACCTACCCGTGGATTCATGATCGCCTATGTATCTTCCCCTCTTATAATGTGGAGGGAGAGGCTACATAGCAAGATCGATTCGATCTGTAGGATAGCTGTCACATCTGACAAGAGGTCGTTGAGAAGCTGGATATACTTGGGTAAGGACTTGGGTAAGTGTACAGATAGCAATACTCCACTATATTCTAGGGGTGACATAGGAACTGCTATTTAGGTGATGTAGTAGGATAGGTGTAATATATAACCATCGTCAAACAAAATATCCAGTTAAAGCAGTCCCCTTTTAGATAAGCCCCTGATATTTATGATTCAGCTAACCTCCTTCTCCCCCCTATTTTTACACTATCTCTAGAGGAGCTAATTCCATACTCCAAGTCAACGGCATGTCTAGAGAACCTGCCTACCTAGGCATACAGTCAATGCTACATATAAGGGTTAGTAAATAGGAACCTATAGAAAGTTAACACTAAAGGTCAAGCTTCTTCAACTGTTAGTACCCTTGCACGCAATGTACAGAAAGCAACATAAAAATTTATTAGTCGTATCAATTCACTTGACAACTAAACAAGGCAAAGCAGCAAAGCACGAACCGTGAGAGCAGATCATTGCATGAATTCGTAAGTTTCACGTCTCGGGGAAACAAAATTAACTGTCTAGACTTCTCCCCTGTCACCATGGCCACGCTGAGGTGGGCTGAGGACACTCGTGGAGACCATTCCAAATGAAAAACCTGATTTTATTTCTTTTCTCGTGTAATAACAACAACCATCCATCATCATCTCTTCTGTGTGTGTCATCCGTTCTGAGGTAAAGTGAGGTCACAAGGGCATGTGTATTTCGCGGAGGAAGCGGCGGGTCATAAAGGTTGTACTCGAGGGTCTGCATCATCAAAACGCCCGTTGGCGGTCGGAGGGTATTTGGTGCCGTTGGCGACGGTCGAAGGCGCAAGCAAGATTCCAATGGGATCGTTGGGCGAGGACAAAATCGAAGCTCGAGTACCGGGTGAGGTGTGCGTCGTAGCAATTTATCGGTTGCGGCCGAACCTAGAAGACGAGGAAGTCGGTATGAATACTCTTTCTGCTTAAGACTTGGATGATTGCTTTCTTGGAGATGCGAAACCGCTGCCTCCGAGGCCGCCATGGACGTACTTTTGTTTCTTCTCAGCAGGTTTGAGAATCTAAAAGGCGGCACGGTTAGCGAATAATTCAACACTGCATATAGCAGATAGGGGTTGGGGGGAAACAAACCTGGAAGGAACATAACAAGCTCTCGTCGACACTCATCATAGCACCGGCATTGTCGAATTCACCGCAGTAATTGGGCGCACTAAACAGGGTAACTAGTTGGCGCTTCGAGAAGAACTCGTACCCGTCTTCAACGACTTGATGGGCACGACAGATCAGGTCCATGTCGTGTTTTTGCAGGAACCGAGAAACAACGTCGGGACCGAACGTGAATGACACGCCACGGTCGTTCTCGCTCCAGCCTGTAATGTCCTTATCGGGATCGGACCATAATAAATCGCAGAGCAGGCCACAATCAGGAATCTGGAGCAATCATGTTAGTATTGGCTCGTGCCAATGCAGGCGGAACAAGAATGGTATTGGTTCGGAAGAGGGGTTATCTTACATCGGTTGGGCGCATGACTCGACGGATCTGCTCCATCGAGTTGAGATCGGGACTTAGGCCACCGTGCATGGTGAAGATCTTCTCGTCAATGATAGCGGCGATGGGCAAGCAGTTGAAGCAGTCGGTGAATGTCTTCCATAGCTTGATGTTGTAACGGCGCTTGCACTCGTCGTAGAAACCATAGATACGGTTGATGGACGCACACTCGTGGTTACCTCTTAGGATAAAGAAGTTCTCGGGGTACTTGATTTTGTAGGCGAGTAGAAGGCAGATGGTCTCTAGCGACTGCTTGCCACGATCTACGTAGTCGCCGAGGAAGAGATAGTTTGCCTCTGGCGGGAAGCCACCATATTCGAAGAGACGTAAAAGATCATAATATTGACCGTGGATATCACCGCAGATCTAGAGGGTGAAAAAAAGCCAAAAATATCAGTGGCTCGATTTCCACCGAGTGGAGGGTCCATTATATTATGGACAGGGGATTTGCATACCTTGATAGGAGCTTCTAGCTCGAGTAAGATTGGCTGGCTGATGAAGATCTCTCTAGCTTTCGTGCAGAGATATCGGATCTCGGTTTCCAAAAGCTGAACTTGCTTTCCAGGTCTGCTACCGCGCACCTCTAGGAGGCGGTCGATGATAGAGTCCAAGTCGACGTCGTGTTGGTCCGCCATTGTAGGTTCCAGACCTGCCAGGTAGTTGGCCGCGAAACTCGGAAGTTGTGAGAGATCAGGGCCCTAGGGTTGTAGAGGGCCGGGATCTAGGGAAATACGGTGGAGCCCGATATTAGAGAATGATGCACTTCTTAGGCCTACTCGTGCCTCGATGTATTAGCAAACAAGGATAATTATTGATACATGGAACAAAGAGAAAAGAAACTAAACGGTTTGGGGTCGATAAGATGGGGAGATCTTGGTAGAGAAGGTACAGAATACGACGGATTAAAGCTGAGGTGACGACAAGGAGAGTGGGGAAGAGGGGCCGCGGTGGATTATCAAAAACCAAAACCCCAAAAAAGGGAGACGGAAAAAACTCACGATGAAGTGATCTCAACCAGTGACGGAGCTTTCTAAAGAGAAAGCTTAAAAAATTCCCTGCTAAATTCAGGTACAAAGAGTCCGGTGGTGATCCTTTACTTTGGTATCTAAATCGTTTTTACAATCTCGATATGAAACCGAGAGTGCTTCGTCTCCTACTTGTTATGCGCCTTGCTTGGCTGCGAAAATGATCCCGTTGGTGCTTCGTAGAGGAATCGAAGTCGGTCGGCAGAGGGAAAATTAAAGGATATGCAATCTTTTTATTTTGAATCGTCGTTGTGTCGCTCTTATAAAAAGAAGAAATCGTAGTTCAAGATACTCGTATTGTTATTGATCGGCCCTATTTTAGGACTCGATGCTTCGCCGGTTGTGTGTATCAGAGGTCGTGTGAAAAGCCGTAGGGAGATGAAGAGTGATAGCGAAAGGATTTAGGAAGAGGAAGTTGACAATAGGTGTCGTTCGTCGCGATGGATAAATCGTCGGGGTGTCGTAAAAATGGCTGCACGGGATGTTGTTTTTGTTGGTGCAAAAACACAAAGCGCGCAATTCTAGGTGTTTTCTAATTGCCAGTCGGAGGCGATTGTCAAATTGTACGGGTACGGTAATGGAGACAACCCGAACCAACAGGTGTCTTAATAGGCGTTGGCTGATGCGAGTTTCAAAACAACGCGGAAAACCGGATCGTCTTTTTTTTTTCGTCGTGATGTAAAGTTTGGATGTGAAGGAGAACTAGAATTGTTCTCGCTCGCAGGTCACCGTAAGTAGGTTATGCAGGCCGCAAAAATACAAATGGCGATTAGAATTCGTGGTTGGGGGGGGAAAAAATAAATGTAACGGAATGCGTCGCCGTTGTCGCGGGGTGTCCTGGACAAGAAAAAAAAAATGAAGGGAGGGAAGGAGATGAAAAAGGGTCAAAGCCGATGGAAACGTCAGAAGAATCCAATCCGGCTCAATCAAATCCGCCAGAAGCAGACTCTACTATTGTTAGAGTCCTTAAAGTGGAGTGCATTTAGCATTGAAAAAAAAAGTCCTGGGCGTGTATGGAATTGCCCTGGTGCTAATCGGGCTCTACGGGCTCTTCAGGGCTCTCCAGAGCTGTGGTTTATTCTTCGACAGGTACCCGGAATATCTAAATGTTCAAGGAATTTAGAGACCTAAACAAACTAGAGCTGCTAAACCAAGCTGGGGGGCGTCTAGGAGAAGGAACAGACCGGGCAGGCTAAGGGGGGCTCGAGTGTCAATACGGTCGTATCTTGTAGGTCTAAGGGGAGAAGAATGCTAGGCAGGTGAGCAGGTGGGGTTTCAGATTTGAGATTCTGATTGGCGGGGTTGAGGCAGTGCAAGCTAAAAGCGCTAGGGACAATTGAGAAAATCCGTACCTACCTCGATACCCAATGGTACTTGGGTATCTATCCATCTCAAATGGCAATTACCAACCGCCAACGCGCTGAAAAGCAAGGAAGGCACGATACGAAAGGTACGGTTGTCCAACCAGGTTCGATATTAGATCGCATATCCGGCAACTGCCCGGTACATTTTACCAATTCACTAGTATGGTACTAGTACCTTAATGTCGTAAACTGCAGGAGCACTGAGTAGGTAGGTACATTCAATATCAAACATTCTGAGCCTAACTCTCGTCAACCATTTATTAAAACAACTCCAACATTTCCTAGACTTTATATATTGCTCCAATTTCCTTCGCTTGATTCTTGTCTCTTGTCACTGCAACTCCGAGCGATCTCTTTGTTTTTTTTCTTCTTCGGTAGTATGTTCGAGTCACGATACCCTAACCCTCCCACGAGCCGATTTGTGTACCAACCCTACCTCACCTAGTACTAATATGTATGGCAATGCCTAAACCTTTGGTCTTATTCTCTTGGTCTCACTCTCCTTCGTTTAACTGGCTCATTTCACTTGCACTCCATACTCATACAGATCGCCTATTTTACGGATTTGGATAAGAAGAAGATTGGCTGGTGTTACTGAAGAGATACTAAAGAGATCAGATCTTCAGGTATACTCCAGACACGCGTGGCCGTGTCTCCCACTTAAATCGTCTTTTATATGTTTTCTTACAAACTGCTACCAGCTAGCTTCATGTCGTTCAAAGTACCATACGCCTATTTGGCGGTTATTCCATAGAGCCACGCATTTATTAAGTTTTTTACTAGCCCACCGGGAGTTCAACACGGTGTTCGGAAAAGGGGGCTTGTCGCCTTCCGCAGATGGGACCTGGCACCGCTTTGTCTCCAACCCAAGAAGCCTTCAGTATACCCACGATTTGCTTAATCCACTCCAGTGGTGTCTCCGCCAAGTTCTATCAATTCTGCCATTCTTGTCAACTTGTCATTTTTGTCATTAGAGACTACGCATCGAAGCATCACGGCTTCTATAATATGTACGCAACGTTACTGTATAGCTGGCGAAGGTATGATTTTCCCCCAGATTTGATGGTTTGGCTAAACTTCAAACTGCCAAGGACAACAGCCGTACGGCACTTTGATGATGCAAGTCGACTTATATGTAAGAATCTTTTTTCCCCTTCTCCTTCCCAAGCCGGCCGCAGCATCGACTACAACCACCACGCTGCAGTATCAAATTTTTAGGATGTTATAAACAGCTTTCGGTCAATTCGTGCATGCATTCAGGGGTCAATGACGTGGAGACGTGGATACCCGTATAAGCAGGTGGGCAGAAGATACCCGATTCCAATAGCAGACGTCGAAGTAAGTAATTCGTAGGCTTTAACGATGCCCCAATTCATTTCCTTGCTAACATTGGCGAGGTCGGTTTCCAGACACAGCGTCTACGTTTCGGGTCGGCGATTTGAACGCCCTTGTGAAAGCGTGGCAGGTCAAGCTTTTGGTCCGTATCGATCATTCAGCTCTACATCTCTCGCTTCTCGTTTCTCATCTGTTAGAGATAAGAGATTACAAGATCAACCCCTTGCCGACGCCAGCTTTATTTTCTCATTCGTCCCCTCAGCCGCCTGTGGCTAACCAGTATCCCACACCGGTCGCCTCATCTAGAACCGAAACCACTACCAGGATATGGCGCAAACTACAGCATTACTTACAGCGCCGTCGTCAAGTGGTGGCTGATTTATAAGCGAGGAGAATCGCTTGTGCAACAGCCCACAACCGTAACCTCGAATTAGGTACCGTTTGATACCATTTGTAAGCTACAGTGAGCTCACAATTCGTGGAATATTATAGCTGGGTTATACGACAACGAACCCTTTTGCAGCATGACGTTTTGCTGTCTCTGATTGCGACAACCTGTTAGCCTTTTAAGGAGTCATCTCGCGACCAAGTCACATGATTGAGGTCTGGACGCAAGATATCGTCAGCCTCAAGCATGTTACTGTTGTAGGTTCGTCATGATATTGCTGATTGGTCGTGTCTTTGCGGTTCCTGACAAGTATGATGACTCAGCCATCACTGAATGCGCATAGACGTCTTGAACCCGAGAAGTGCCACGGTGACGTCAGCTTTTGATGAAGCAACCTTCAAGACACCGAGCCGCGATAAAGGGTCTTTACACAGATATTACGCATAAAAGACAAGGTACTAATCAATGTCACTTATCCGCGAAGCAAACCGAGCTGTAATTATCGTAAATCAGCACCCAACCGAGGTAACGGGAAGCCGGCAGACCGGGTAACATAGAACTCGACTCAACCGCCCCCATTCCCCCGGTTTAAAGCGTGTCATCATTGCGACGACATGAATTTTGTTAGATCTCAGAAGGCCACATTCCCACCGTGGGAATAAACCAATATTCAGGTAGAACAGCTTACATCTACAGCCTACCAATCCAGGGTTACTGGATGACACGTTGTAGGTTCCCTACCATCTGGGGATTTAATAAGTACTCGCAGAAGCGAATCAATTTCGGCTATCGATAATTCATCATCTTCCGTCTTGTCATGCCTAGCACAGCCGACGCGTCAAGATAGAACATATCACCAATGATATTAAACATTCGCTTAAACTCCGTAAGTCACGATTCCCTACCTAATGAGTATTTTCCTATCTCCCGCTCCCAAGAGATATTAGACGAGAATTATCCGCCAACGGCCCTTCCTCTGATACCGAAGGCGAAATGTCCGAGTTTTTCTCAACGTTGCCAAAGGAAATTTGCGTTGAGATATACCGCCTCCGGCTCCACTCGCCGACATAGAAAACATGTTGGCCAGGTCGCCAAAACATGTCTCGGCGACGATCCTCATAGCCCTACCAAGAAGTAGCCTTTTCACTACCGAACACTTAGAGCACATACTTAGGCTAGAATCCGACCGGGAGTGACTTCTCAGTGCTAGAGTCTAGTGAGCCAAATAGTCGTCGCCCAACAGTGCATATGTCTAGTGATGTCGCGCTCTAGTCTTCGCACAAGGAGAGTCTGGATTGATTATCACAGTGTGCGATACAATCATTCTAAGTATCCTTTCTAGTGTGGATTTAACTTACCTACCTAGGTAAGCTGGAGCTTTCGAATTACGGAAAGCGAGTGAGCAGAACAGAACCCGATATACCTCCGTTTAGGGGATCCGGTCATTCCGGCACAGACTCCGAAGCTGGCCCAAGCATTCAAAACAAACTTTCCACAAACATATTGTGATCGTTCTAATTCAGCAAAACCGCTCTCTCGATGGCGGCAGTGGTTGACGATTGGAAATGAGCTGTGTCGGCCCAGTTCCTTCTACCTATCTCACGATAGAATATACATTTGCGTACTCCGTGTGTTCAATTTGGGGAATATCAGGTTATCGGGGACCTAGGTCTCGACTTCAAGTCTTCCTTTCACGGCATTCTATTGCGGACGGTTGTGAGTATGATTTTTCTCGTGGAGATAACACCAACCTATACTTTTACTAAGATAAGCATTTACGACTGCTCGAAGGACAGGTATCTTGGCGGAAACCAGTAGGTTGCGCGTTACGGTTACAATCATAGGCGCCAATAATCGGTAATAGGATTCAAGGACCTCTTGATACTTTTGGCATATAACACGTGGAGAGGCTATATAGCACAAGCGATGGTTTCCAGTAACAAGAGAAGTGATAACCTCAATAGTAAGAGGTACAGAGAAGATAAATATATAGATATATAGCTAGACTTTCATCGGGCAGCCTCAGCGTGTTTTTATCCTTGAATCTACCCTTATCGATGGTCAACCTTTCTTCAGTTTATCTAGGTCAATGGCCATAGCTAAGTGTCATCATCTCTCGTTTCTTTGGTTCTAGTTATACGTAATGCCCATCTTAGCTTCTACACACTTGCCTGGTATCTATTTTACAGTCTCTCCTTTAACCGACATGATGATATGTATGGTATATAGGCTCTTCTTACATCGGCAAGTATATCACTTCAAACAAACATCTACTCTTTCTCACCTATATGAGACACAGTCAAAGAGGCAAGATGCCTAGGTAGACAAACAAGCCAACTCAATCACCGCCTCTATACCTATCAGTCTCATAGATACCTAGGTATCTAAATCGCACTTAACACCTAACTACCTACCCACCCTTTCATGAAGGCTTAATGGCTAGGTCTCGTAGCTCAATTGGTTAGAGCGTCGTACTAATATTAGGCTTGATAGAAATATTACGTAAATGCGAAGGCTGAGAGTTCAATTCTCTCCAGGACCATAATACTTATTTTTTGCCTGTCTATCACGATTTCTATCTAGGGGTAGTTCATGTAACTTAGTTGTGACTGACAACGCTAAATCCCTATAGATAAACCGTGCCGTGCCCTACGCAAATAATATCCCAAGAGAGAAGAAGAGGTTATGAAGCATAGGTCCTCTCCTGATAAAAGATACTTTACCTGCGCAAAATATTAGGCGACAATGCCACGGGGACTCGTTATTTAAACCAATATACTTTATCAACCCTGTTCAATCTCATAATCAACACGACCTTCAAAAAACCTAGCCACCGTGCTACATAGGGTAGGCAAGAAAAAAATATAGTCACGCCGTGGATCGAACACGGAACCGTCTCGGAGCTTACAGGAGACTGTAAACGAGAAATCATAACCTTTAGACCACGCGACTCTCATCTTGCGTTGAGTTCAGTATCGCAATGCTGATAGATACTAGTCACTTCTTAATAATAACTTATAACTTAAAGAGCAAATGAGTTTTCGCTTCGGTTGGTTGAAGTATCCACACTGACATCTTGAGGAAGGAGCTGCCTCTACCTAGAGCAAAGAACCTGGGTGCTTGTTGGTCTAGACTTCGGATGTTGGAAATGCCCAAGCAGGAGCTTCTGAGCAATATAGGTATGTAGGTACTCATAGGTACGTTGGAACGTCTTGCCAAATACTCCAATGGGGATGTGTGTGTCGGATGAATGCAAGTTTAACTAGATCATGAGAGGAAACATAAACCTCTGATGGCTTGGTATTAGGTGCGATGAGTAGTCTGAGTAGGCAGCGTGTATTTGCCTACGCTGGTTTGGATGAGTCAACCTATACCTAGCGTGTAGCTTGAGCCCCCATAGCGATGTTAGATCATCATGACTCCTTGCAATACCTACTAGGCCATAGCCACTTCTGTATGGTAACCACTTACACATTCAAGACATGCAATTGCCTACCAATCTATCCTCTTTTCCAACCAAATCACTTCAACCTCAACACAAAAACTCCTAAGAGCAATGAACCAGTAGTTAAGCTAGGTACTTAAACTAGTCTCTTAAACGGGCTCTCGCCATAACACACATAGTGAACCACTGTAATAGACCCGAGACGAGCCCAGAAGAGCCTCTCTAAAATCGAAAAATTCCATACGCACGCACGCACACACTAATAAACCCATCCACTTCTCTTACGCCTTTAGTACCTGGTAAAAAAAAGCGCCCATCGATCAACAAGGCTAGCATGTCTGTGGTGAAAAGTCGCGCCGACTCCCCCCCAACTCCGAAGCACATTCCCATCCGGCCTTCCTATAATCCACCGCGTGAAATGTGCTGCGTTAAAAAAAGCAATAGCCGATATAATGAACTTGACGAATGAACCTAGCCTGAGCCGGGTCCTCGAATTTGCAAATACAGTGTATGGGGGGAATCAAAGAAAAGCAAAAAAGGGGGATTAGAATATGAATATGAATACATTATTAAAGGTCCTCCGCATTACCGTCTCCTGGCAGTCGCCTTACGCTTCCTTGCCCTAGGTGTCGCCTTCTTCGAAGGGCTAGCGGTGACGGTAGGAGCTGGTTCTACCGTCTCGGCGGTGTTCGCTGGGGATGCCGTGATACTATCTTCGTTGATCTCCACACCGAGACCCTTCAGCTCATCTTCGTCAATCTCAGAAAGCTCCTCGCTAAGGCTACGGACAGCATCCCTTCCTTGCCACTGTTCCTGAGTAGCCGAGGTTCCGTCTGGTTCGAAGTCGTGTAAATACCACACGACGCCGCCATCGGTTAACGGATCAGGTGGTTGGCGTCCTAAACTCCCATTGGATTGCGGAGGTGTAGGAGGAGTAGGCTGCAACGAAGGCGTTGCACCCACGTAACCGTTTGTCGCCGGTGGTGTGTCTATTTCTTGCATACCATCAGCTAACAATGCCTCTGGTTTACTTTCGGCGACTGGCACTTCTCGGAAGGACAGAGTACTGGTGGTTGCTTCAACGCCATCCATCTCGTCCCCATTCAAACCAGATGTGTTGACTTCGATACTACCGCTACCACCAATAATGCCAACTCCGGTCATAGGAACATCCGCCAAGGTTTCTCCTGTGGCAACGGAGCCGTCCGCTTCTCCGCCAACGGTAATTTCTGGGGCGGACGAATCGACCATGATCACGTCCCGGCTTCGCTCAGATTCCCCATTGCCTTGATTAACGACTTGTTGTCGTAGTTCGAGGCTAGCTTCCATCATAGCCTCTAGTTCTTGTTTCATCGCCTCCGGCGGCTTGTGAGCAGCTTCTGACTCGAGACGAAGTGCCGTCTCTAGCTGTGGTTGAACCGACTTAAGAATTCTTTTACCCAGCTTCTTCCGATCCCGAAAATCAGAAAAGTCAGATTTGGACACGGCCGGGGCGACAAGGCCTGCTTTCTGTTGTGTTTCAGATTGCAACTTAGGCTCGGTGTTGATTCCGATATTGATTACCTCACAGAGGTCGTGAGTGAAAGCTAAGGTTGTGGTGTAAAATCGTTCATCGATTCTATTAGACAGCCTCAGCAGTCCTTCGTGGAACAGGTTCTTGTCTAGCCTAATGATATAGTTAGCACCCTATAGGAACCATGACTAATTGTTCGTTGACTTACGTGATAGCTTTCTCCACGATAGGGGGGAGCATCTTGTGAATCGGAAAGTAACACGTATCGACGAATTCTTGTTCCATTTCCGCAGCCTCGAGCTTGCTCTGCTCTCTCTGGACTATCGACTCCGATAAGGCCTTGAGCTGCTCCAAATCCTCGATAAGGGTCTGTGCAAATTCAATTCGTCTTGACAGCCGAGCCTTTCCGGAGGGACCCATAGCCGCGAAGTTACGTCGGGTGAGCTCCATGGAGGAAAATGATTCCATTTGTAGCTGCAAGCGCTTGAGCAATGCAGCACCACGACGCATCTCGCGTTTCAACGTCCAGTAACGACAAGCATCGCTAACAAATTCCTTGCGCTTAAGGAAATTGAATCGCTGCAGAGAGGCTTCAACATTCTCGAATACAGCTTGCGGTATGACGGGAGCTCCAGATGGTAACTTCCATATGGATTTTCCAGCCTGACCTTTCTTATCCCCGAGGACAGCAGAGAGCTTAGCACCGGTCATCTGGGATTCGTCTGGTGGGTGTTCAGTTATCGCATTCCGGTGCGACGCTGCAATAGTCATAGCTTTAGCTTGACTATTGGCCCATATGCGATCCTTCATTGTCTTTTTGTAGAATTTCTTGGCCTTTTTAGTAGCTCGAACTACGTCATTCTCCTTTGCATATTCGGAGGGACAATGTTTGTCGCAAAGCGCTTTCAGGTTTGTGCTCCCATCAAGAACATCCAAAGCCCCCGAACTATTCTTCATTTTCAAAAACAGACGAGCTCGTCTGGCACATGTTACGTGGAAGGCCTGATAACATACTTTGTTGCCGCATTGTATGCAGGCACCCATTTGCTGATTGCAGATGTAGCAGGTTAACTTCCAGCGGCTCTTCGGGACCTTATCCACGTCCATGACCGGCTCCATAAAGGTGTGGTTGCCCAATGTCACCTCTGGAATCCACATGGCGCAGAGCAAATGTGCCCATTTCGATGAATTCGTCTGTTTGAAAGCACCATCTGAGTTGGGGCAGAAAATACAAGTCTGACTGTTGTTAGCACGAGGGCTTTAAGTAGAGCGGGACTAAAGGAACTGACCGGGATGCCACGACCAATGAGCTGGCACTTCCGACAAAGCCATTGACCCTCCGGAATAAATGGAACGCCATAGCACTCTTGGTGGACCGCGAGATCGCATCCGTCACAAAAAACAATTGCGTTTGTGTTCTCACAGTCCCCATCGTCGCATATTGCGCACTTGCTGTCTTGTTCCTCACCCGCTTGAGGCTCGCCATTCACCGCTGCAGCTGAACTAGATCGGGGTCGGTGAGTCTGCGGTGGCTTTGGATTGGGCTTCGGAATTCTTTTTTCCAATGCGTGCCACTCCTTCTCGATCTTTGTAATGGTGATCTCGAAAACCTCGCGAGTAACCGGATTCCAACCCTGCGACTTTCTATGTGCATTATATGCCTCTAGCCACATATCATCTTGTTCATCCATGTCATATTCGACACGACCCAATATATTTGGCTGCGGCATCGGTTCTCCATCGACCTTGACAACAGCTGCCTGATCTGCTTCGTCCTCAATGTTTGCATCGCTCGCCTTGATCAATTTTCTATCCGGCCGAATGAAATTATCGCTCTCTTGGTACCCGACATTCATCATGGCCTTATCGACATATCGAGCTTGGCCAAATGTCTTGCTCTCGAAAAGCAATATGCGGTCTGTTTTTCGATAGGAAGGTTGCTTGAGATCGAGTTTCTCCTTATTATTCTGGCCATGGATGGGGAGAGGGGTAGGTGTATTTGGCGGCATTTGCTGATCTCCACGAGTTGCATATAGGGATTCCCCTCGTGGTAATCGGCCACCACGTCTCCTTGGAGTGGTAAATGGAGCGGTGGGAGTTGTGACGGTACTTATTATAGCGTTCGGTGCATTTAGGAGAGAAGAGCCTGTAGCATTGGGGTCCTTGGAAGGACTGCCAACATCGTTATTATCGACGCCAGTTATCTTAGCTAACGGTGTATCCGGTATTGGCTTTGCGGTTCCATCGACATCCTCGGCATGAAACATCATGAAAGTGCCATCTATATCGAGATTCGGGTGGAATTCTTCCCAGCCTCGTTCTTCTCTGGGCTTATACCCCTCGCTTTGGACGACCGCGGCTACTGCGGCTGCAGAACTGATCTGCATATCGTCGTCTGGCTGAATTCGGGTTGCGTGTCGAGTTCGGGTACTACGCTCGCGTCTAGGGTAGATAGCGGGGGATGCCGCACCGTTTTGCGAACTGTGTCGCGCTCTCGAGCGGCTAGTTGTCGCGATAGTCAAGTCGCCATTTTCATTGCTCGCATGATCGGCGAATCTGCTAGCACTTCCAGGGCCATTAGTCGTATATCGTCTTCGCTTCGAAGGAGGCTCTGTGGCGGCTACAATGCTGCCATCTCGGACGCGTCGCACAGTGTTAAAAGAGCCTTTGGGTCGACCGCGCGGGCGTGAGAGGGCTGATTGTCTCGGTGTCCTTGGACTCGGTGCCATCGTTTTTAGCGTATTCAGATGAATTATAAGGTGAATAATATGATGATAAGATGGCCCTAATCAGCGCGTCGCAAGAAGGAGGCGAGGGGGTTTATCATGCGGATCAAGTCGGCAAACAGGCATTTGAGAAGTATCAGTCAGATAAAACGAATGGTTCGCAATAACACTTGGGTGGTCGGAGTGTTCTTTGCTTAACGAAAAGTGTCGTTTTCTACAGTTGAAGTTGAGAAAAGATGGTTGAGAAAGGTCGAAAAGGTAGTCAGGACGCGCTGTTGAAGTCGGCTGGAGAAGTCGGCCCTAGCCCCTAAAAGGAAAAGTTTAACGCGCCACAGTTACGTAAGCTTAAAGTAGCCCCTCCCCACCCCGGACCATTATCAGTTGTGACACCCCGAATCCTTGGATGGACCAGTCATATTGCGTAGATCGTATCCACTTTATCACAGTTCCTTCAGATGAATCTATGTCATGTGCGCATTGAACCTTTGAAATATATTTTACTTTCACAAACAACACTTACCAGTACGAATACTCGACGTATAGAATATTAATATTAAACGAGGGTGACTCATACATTTGATTTTTTTCACATATTTGTACTTTCGAATTTGTCCTTCAATCAATTGAATCATAGGATTGTTTGCGAAAGGAAAGGATGATCTGGTATTATTCGACAAAGTAACTAGTAAGGTATTGTCCTCCTCGAGAAGACATCTACAATTCTGCGCACCAATCAAACACAGACACACATTCCAAAAAGGGGTGGGGTCTCACACATTGGCCCATTAGACCAAGGGGTAGCTTTCTATTTCTAGATTCTAGATTCAGCCCTACCGGGCGAACACCGAGTTTACCAAGTCATAGCCAATCTGCTAATTCGGTAGCGCCCTTGTTCCCAATGCTGTTCCTGACGATCTAGATCTTTCCCCGATCAAACATTTCGCAAATGCCGTCATACCGGGTCTATCGGGTCTACCGGGTCTGCATGCATTCCCATCGTGGTAGCTTGGCCCCCTTCGTCATTCTAAGTAATCACACCATCGAGCCAATCCAATCCTCGCTCCATTCGGGTCCTTGGTGTTTGTGTATACCGCAAGATCGCGATATTCGAGTGACTGCCCGAGATCTATCTCGAGTCTTAGACCATCGATCTTGATCATGTCAACCGGATTTCGGCTATCGGTCAACTTAATCTAACTGCCTAGGTAGATAATCCCTTGGATTGCTCTAGTGGGAATTGTTTTTCGAGATCCCACTAGTTCACTAGTCTATAGAAGTGGTTAATATTATATTTTGACTTTCTAGGAACCCATTGGATCCGCGAACCGAGATGCACTTCGTTGGGCAGAATATCGGCCTCGAGGTCGGCGGCCACGTTAGGCTTACAGCCCACGCCGCATGCTACCTACTATATGAGGTCACGATGCATATGATTTCGTGTTGATCACCAAGAATCCGCTACAATTAATTCTTAAAAACTTCTAATCGAGCAGCCATGGTAATTATATATAGGTATATTACCGAATTTCCATTTGTCTTGTAATGGGGCGAAAATTCATTGAATCCCATTGGACGTATATTATCGTGTCCAGCGTATCTTGATAAGTTCAGATATTTCTTACCAGCAGCGACAATGATTATCATGATATACTAGGTTGTCTAGCATTAGTGCGAGGGAATCTACACCGAAAGGCTTCTCGGGATCTGCGAAAATGTCCCCCTTTGCACGACTTCCGATTTTTTCTCAGCCGACTAGACACTCGCCAATACAGCATCTTTAATCAGTTACATCGCACATAAAATGACTATCATTGAATTCACATTCTATTTCTCTATTATATTCCAAGTAGTTTGCCATTTTTGAGGTCATACCAGGTTCTGGGTAGTATTTGCTACAACGGACTTGTCGAAGGGATCCTGCGACAATCCCAAATGTGGAGTCCTCAAAAGTTCCTGTCAAGACCTACGATCTATCCCGTTCGCGTCGAATCAGATTCTACGTAGAACACGACCCTTCCTTTGATTCGTTGTATGTACGCAAAGCATTGCCATATCAATGCCCTATGCACAATTTTACTGACTTTACAGAGAGTATTTAGATGCTTATCTACCTTCTTACACCCGACCGACTGGACGGCGACTCGGTAAAAAGCCAAGGCTCGTGTGAGGTCACTCACGGGGGCAGAGAAGCAAACTGTTTGTGTCTCAAGAAACTTCTACACTCATATATTCCTCCGAATAAATTTCCGTATAATAGCAGCTAGTTCTAAGGGGCTCTTATCGCGGGACACCTAGCCTAGTATGCACATTTTCAGGTCGGCAGCTTATAAACAAGCCAACGCCTGCTCCTTATTATAATCACCGAAATCCGAGGCGTAACTATACGTTACCTGGGTTGCATCAGCTTACGAAGCCCCCCAGACACCCGGTTAACACTGTATTTCACAGACTGGGTCTCTCTAACCAGCTTTCCACCTGTTGACTCTCAACTATTTTTCCGGTCGAGATCCTACGGTCTACAAGCATTACATTTACATAGTGACTGAATTGGGCGCCAAGTGTATGGCTAGGGAAATCAACGATCAATGCACATACCCACGAGACTTGTCCAAATCATACATCATGCCTGCTTCAAGGAAGATATTCTCACTACGTTCGCGTATCCGTCCTATCGGGATCTTTATATACCGGTTGTACGTCGCACAGTGTTCGGTGAGCATATCGTATCCTATCATGATGAACATAGACTCTCAACACTCAACCAACTTAACCGGAACTATATCTGATAGAACATTCACGGATCTTGCTCAAAAGGGGGCATTTCACGCAACTAAATGTTTCTCATATATCCCTACGTCCTAAGTTGACGATCTAGAAGTGCCCAGACTGTACTCGGACCAGTTGTAGTATCTCCTCAGAGCTTCACCGATAATATTGTCAAAGTATCGACATACTGACTTGACTGCCATCTTCGGCGCTTAGAGCATCTTCGCATTCGTCAAATCACGTTTCATCTTCAGCGGAGGGAATACAATTTTATCCGCTGACATTTTTACAGGTATTTCATTAGAATCACACTGCTTTCATTGCATGGTTGTCCCTCAGGAGACTATCGCCAATATCATCGCTGAAAGAGTATGTTCTCTTTCTACCTATATATAAATCATATCTTATCCTTCGTATGAAAACCATGTTTAGAATGATATAATTTGTATGTAAACTCATTGATATCAATGGCAGAATCGACCTCCACATATTGCTTACTTGAATGCGGCTTCAACCTTTCTTACCACTCCACCAGAACTACACACCGCAACAACAACTTTCTTCTATATTATCGGATTTATTCGTATGATATTCCAACTTAAATAACCTGCTATGATATTTGTATACCTAGGTACGCTAGATTCGCTATTTATTTCGTAGAACCATCGTTTCCCCCTAGTGTTACGGGCGGCCGGACCTGCTCCAAAACTAGACTACCGAGCGAGTTACCAGATAGTGCGCAGAAATCACTCGCTTTCTTGTTCATCATAAGAGCCATAAGTGTACTCGGCAATATTCCTGAAAGAGCGAGAGAAATTTAGTACTTAGTGCGTTTATCAGATATCATGTTATGGTACGAATTGTACATCTGAGAAGTAGCACATTGATAGGTCTAGGCACTCGCATGAAGCGGACTCGCATTATCTAACTAGCACCAGGAAGCATTGCTGATTACCTAGGTTATATTTAGGAAGAGCCCTCAACACCCTTTAAGGCCTCATGAGAACCTTGGAATATGTTCGTAATCCCTACGGCCCACCAGGCCCCGATCTTACAGCGTATCCGAATCATCTAATCTACAAACAGGTACGCATAGGGATATACAACACAACAGTCACAGCACAAATCACAACACAAGTCATAAAAAACAGTATCTTCAGGAAGACAGCGGAAAATGCACGTTTTTTCATTAACCATCCCCATCCCCAACCGCCAGCACTCCCCCCTCTATCGTGAACCACCCCCACCACCGCCGTCACCAACCCCCGTTTTCGAAATGCAGAAGACGGACGCGCACTCCGATGCCGCGAGACCCCCGTCATGAGTAGAGAGGAGCCGGAGGAAAGAAGAAAAAAATGGAGGACGAGGACGAGGAAGAGGAAGCGTCGGAAAAAAGGTATGATATGAACAACGAAATAAAAATCCCTCTCGGCCGATGGTTCCGGCATCTCTTAACCTCGAAACGCCTACCAAAAAAACACATGCGCGCAAAAGCAAGAATCGCGAATAGGGATATAAAAGGGAGAAAAATAACAAGCCATTTCATAACCATGCTCTTATTCCGTTCCAATCTCAGGTGTTCGGTCTAAAGGTTGCTCGATCCGAAATCTCTTTCTTTACAGGTGTACCTGTATTCCATCCCTCCTCCTATGCACTAACGTGATTCACAAGACAGAATCCTCTCCGCCGCCTCCGCGGCATCAAGGGAAAACTGAAAAAAGACCTAAGCTGCGATGGTATCACAGACCTGGTCGATGCAAAAGACCATGAATTCCTTCCGTTGAACGCCGAAACGCTATGCTCCATAAGACATCAGGCATGACTAAACTGATACCCTACAATGGGTACTGGTATATCGAAAACCACAGCGACAATAGGGGTATGTGATAATGCCAAAGAAGGCTGCTTCTAAGGCGGAAAGAAAAATATGACTATTCATATGAATGTTCTGATCAGCACATAGAGCCAGCGCTAGGAATAGCTTGAGCACTTGGGGTGCGAGTAACAGAGCTAGGTCGGATCGTCGAGGTGGGACTAAAGTCTCCGGGGACGTATGTCGGACGAGATGATTCCCAACTCTCCTCATTAAGGACGCTTAGGTAACCATTTCCAACCTTGTCTCGTAGTGCTTCAATCTTTTGTCGGTAGATTTCGCCACTGACATTCCAATCTTGAGCCTCCTTCCACATATCCGGTGTCTCTGGACTACCAAGGAAGGACACCGGAGGCTGCAAGACAGCGCTAGTATTAATACGCGGCACCTCTGGTGGGTTGGAGGTGTTGTTAAGTTTCGTCTCGGAGAACGCTCTAACAGGCACATCTCGTATCTCTGGGGGCTGAGAGACACGGTAACTACTTTCCGACTCAACCACTGTTGGAGACGAGTCAAGAACAGTCTTGTCGACGCCAGCTGTTTGGTGCTCGTTGTCTCCAACACGGTCGTTTGTAGCCAGATCAACTATCCTGCGTTTTGGGGTACGCCGACGCCTTGTGGATGTTGTGTTGATCTCGCTAGCGACTGCCTTCGGTGTAGGACGTGACGGCCTCTCCTTGCGCAGAACTGCAGGCTCCCTTGGAGTCTCTTGGATGATAGCTGGCTTGCTTACATCTACCGCAGGCATTTCCGGGACAGCAGGCTTCACTACAGGGACAGCGGCAGGTACAGCAACGCGGTCTACGAGATATCTCCTTTCGGACATGGATGGCCCGGAACCGTCAATGACAATATCCTCTGTATACCCAGGTGTGTTGCGGAAGAGGTTAAAAATGGTGATTCGGTAGTCTCGATGAGATCGTGTAAAAGGATTCCCTTCGACGTATACTTCATGGATGTCTGGAATTCCAGTTAGGCGAGCTAACTCCATCGGATCAGTCAGGCGGTTATCTCTGAGGTCTAATCTTTCAAGCGGATAGAGCTTCTCAATCCCCGCAATCGATTGAAGGCGGTTGGCTCGGAGATTCAAGGCGCTGATAGCTGGTAGAGGATTGCGAAGCAGGGAGTGGAGAGAATCTATCATGCAATGCGAAAGGTTTAGAGCACGGAGTGCGGTAAGAGTTGCCAGGCTATCGGGGATTTGTGTGAAGAGATTTGTAGAGAGATCCAGGGAAGCTAAGGTGTTGGCCAAAGGAGAAAGACTGGCCGCTGGTATCACTGTGAGAGAGTTGTCTGCCAAGCTTAGATGTCTTAAGAATCGCCACTTGGATGGCGGGATTATACCCATTGCCAATAGGTTGGAAGCACTATTTCTTGGATTATGCCACGAGTCGGATAAGCTTGATTGTGAGCTACCGGAGCCAGAACGCTTAACTTTATGGGAGCCCCTTGAAGCGGATGTATGGTTACGAGCGGTGGCAGGGCGGTTGGGAGAATGACTCCTAGGTCGAGAGGACTTATTGGACTTTGGCTCGTCCGTCTCGATCCTAGAAACGGAGGGGCGGCGAGAATCCTGAGCCGACGTACTTTCAGTCGATTCGGTACTCATAGATCCTACAAGAATGTCTGCTACCGAATATCGACGTCCCGGGATCTCTGGCGGTAGCATACTTCCAGATCCATGTGAACCGCCATAGGGGGTAGAAGGACTCCGTCTTGGATGGGATGCGCGTGAGTATGTGCCAGTAGGGGATGATTGTGCCTTCGCAGATCGACGTCGCCTCTTGTCCATATCATCCAATACGATATCAATCAATATATCGGCGGGGTCTTCGATGCTGGCGCGCTTGAGGGTCAGAGATTTAATCTGGTCCGCCACTCGGTCCCAGCCGAAGAACTGTCTGAAGTCGACACCATTGACTTCTAATGATTGCAGATTCTTAAAAACGTATAATGGTACTGCTGAGTCGAAGGGGAACTCCTCGAATCCCTTGATCAGCTTCGTCCTCCAGTCCGGTGCAAGTCGGAGGCACGGTATCTTTGTGAATGCCGAGTAAAGATATTTCATATCCGCTTGGAGGGCAGCTTTTTGTCTTTCCATCCGAGCGGCAGATATACTTGACCCTATCCCAAAACTATTCCACAGGGAGGACATCCCCGAAACCACACTTCGAATGCTGGATACGGAACGGATCGATATCGCATCGGAACTTCGACTCTTGGTATGTTGAGACGAACTCAAGAATGATACGTAGTTGGCCGCGGCTGACGTATCGTGTAAGTTTTCCAAACGTACTTTCATAGGCCCAACATGTATTCCTAGCTCTTCAAAGCGAGATAATAAGTAGAATAGATGATGCGGCGTAAGACTTAACCTCGCTGATTTAATATTATTAGATGTTAAACTTAACGAGCCAAGCGATAAAGCTGCCGCGAGAGGACCTGCAGCTGAGGCAGAGGTAGCAGGGCGTTCCGGTAAGGCGGTCGGCGAGTTCGGGACCTGTATAGAGGAAACACTTTGACTAGGGCCATGTCGAGGGCCGGGCGACCTTCGGACTTGTATGGCGTTGGCCAGCGCCTTCTCGTGCGTTCGCACATAGACGGCCAGGCGCTTTTCAATGTTAGTCCATCATCCTAACCATTATAATACCAGATATCATCATACCTTGATGTACAGCTCCCCGTCTTCTGAATCCATCTTTTCTTTTATCGGAAGGGAGACATGGGGTTAGTTTGAGGTAGGAATTCGTAATACAACTCGGTTTTATTTATCTCGGAAGACTGCCGAAGGTCTTCTGAGAATTCGGGTCGTCCGATTCTTGTATTTAGAAGAGGACTTCGAGAAGTGCCTCTATAGTCCAACGACCTTTCTAGACTGTATTGAGTAGTGTTAGTCCCGGTAGTTGAAACGTGCATTTATTCTAAGCGTCCTAGTAGTCTATCTACAATGTCCGCGGGTCAGGCAGCTAACTAGCTGTGAAACAAGTGGTGTGGTGAGGATGGAAGTGCTAATGACTCGTAGGGGAAATTCAAGGTTGTTGACTCGTTATCTCGATATTATATTTCCACATGGAAACCAACAATGTGAAATTAAGCCACTTCGATAGAACGAAGAGATTCTCGCATCGAGTCACAGAGATAATAACACAGCACATATGAGTAAGTATATCAGGGCCAAGATAACAAGGCAACTTCGGTCAAAAAGACGTGCGTCACGGTCCGGGCAAATACAAAGCAGCATGATGTGGACAAGGCATTTTCGGACAGGATAGGTGTTTTGTGTTTGAGAGAGCGGGACATAACAGGGCGTAGGATGGATGTATGAATGAGAAGTGTATATGGTAATATACATACGTACCTCTTTATTATAAATATAAAATTCCTCCTCGAGACAAAAAATGAGGTCGTCTCAGGAATGTGTAAAAACACTATGATTATTATTATTAAAAAGAGAGCAAGAAAGGGAGAATGTGATCCGAGTCTCTCTTGGAGGGAGTATTGAGAAGAGACTGGAGACGAGAGAAAAAAAGAAGAGTCGATAGCTAACGGCAAAGCTATCTCCTAACCCTCGACTTTTCGGCACTGCACCCAGGTTGAAGAGGGTGTCGAACAAAGTGCTAAAGGAGGGAGTAGGAAGTTTGGCGCGATTGTCGGGGAGATGTCAAGAGATATACCAAAATATTAAAATTGGTGGTCAATGGGTACTACTGGTGCTACTGGTGCTACTACGAACATCCATGCCATGTACTTTGATGTAGGCCAGAAACTGCCCACTTGCCTTGCAACTTCCGTGCTACTTCCTTGTAACTTTCCTGACTTACCAGACTTTCACTTTCCCTAGGAAGTACCCACTCAGCCCACATGCAAAATGCCAAGCCATTGCGTCCCCATCCAAAATTGGTATGGTGGGTAGCGACTGCTGGGGTGTTCTCGGTCAAGTGTGGATACCTGGTGTCCACCTGGACAAGCGAATTGGGGCAAAATTACGTGCTGGGTATAGGTACTCGTGGCTCTCTCATGGTCACTGCGCTATGGAAATCTTAGTGCGTGTTTCTAGCATATCGAACATCTATCAGCGAGTGATATAGCACTCGATTCCACCAAATCCCCCCACTACCTTTCTACAACCGTTCACAAACATTTGGAGAACAATGTTCCGCAACTTCTCTTCGACCGGCGCGGCTCAGACAAGATTTTGGCGCCAGTGTCAGATGGGCGTGGACTCATTTCACTTAATGCCCTTTTGACCAGTCAATAGGTCACACTTGATCTGATCAGCCATTCAGCCAATGTGCGATGGCCAACCACAACTTTTTTTCTCCTTCTCTCTCATCTTCGGTCTTTGCCCGTTTGACAGCTGCATTATGCTTTACGGGGCGATGTCTGCATTAAGATTGACTATTAATATTCTGTACGAAAAAGAGAAGACGAAAAGATGCAGAGTCCGTATATTCGAAGTACCATTGACATCACTTACCTGTTTTTGCAATAGGTGAATCGCGACCTACAATACAATCTCGATACAAGTTAGTTGCAACACAGCATCCGTCCTTCGCCGTTTGGTACTATGTAGCTGTGGTAGCCTAACCGTGTACGGAATGTCCGTTCATGATCGACCGAGCCAGGATATCGATCATCGCTACGAGACAATCATGCATGGCTTACATATGTATGGGATTCCTTTCCATATGCACCGATCAATCATTTTAAAGGAGTGCCTAGGAGGCCCTTAAGGGGAATAAGGGGAAGAGGCCTACTCTCAATCCGAACAAATAATATCACACTCCCAACAACTATCCGAGTGCACGCAGCTCTCGTTGGCGATGGTAGACGGTACTAAAACTACATAGTATTGTAAAACAAGCCTTGACAATGGATACCATCACGAATAAAATGAGGTCCATAGAAAGTTGCGGAATAAGTCGTCGATGCCCAGCAACGACAGCTAAAGCGTCAGAGCGTATCGACAAACCAGGGATGCGCCCCCATGCAGCGAACATGGCCAGGTTAGCCCCGGTGCTCGAGACTCTGTCAAGGATATGGGTTCTAATCATTGGGTATGCTAATTGCCCCCCTGTCAATATCGTGGAAACTTTAACTTTGGCATCAATGTTCGTTTTGGTAGCGCAGCAATTTTTACAGCTTGTCAACAGCTTCAATTATGAGATGAACCGTCTACAGCGTAAGTGCAGCTTTCAATCTCATGGTTTACTGCCTCTTTTTTACTGCCTCTTTCAAAAGGGCATGTTCTGAAACATAATCTAAGCTTTTTAAATAGAGACTGCACAATTGCGATGTATTTATTATGGTCCGTTTTAGCTGTAAGTTTATCAGTCCGAATGTGCTTTTTACAGCCACTTTTACACATTCAATTACCTCCCAATCATATATGCATATCATATCCAACAGGTCTCACATATACCTCCGTGACATGCAGTACAAGTAAAATTAAGTTATCCTTTCTTAAATCTCTAACCTATCGAACTCCGTCGTGTTGCAGCCGTACCCCTTTTATTTTTTATATTATTTGTTTACTGTGTACTGTGTTTTGTTTACTTTCTTCAGCGAAGCGCCTCTCTCGGACATTAGACTTACTGTGTATATGCTTAGGTACACATGTATTATCAGGGTTGCCGGTCGCAGCTGCCCAAGTGATATATCGTTAGGTCAGCGCCTATTCCTTTGTGGACCTTGAAACTGTTAGGCGAGCTTAGGTAATAAAGTCCCTTAGATCCCTTAGGCTCTTCGAATTGAATTTGCCCACTTTCAGATATCAGGGTCCTTTCATGGGACCCTTGTCATTCCTTCATCTCGCATCCTTCGTATCTGATCGTCATAAACCCAACCCGTTTACTTCCGCTAGCCTTTGGTACAGTACAAAGGTGAAGCATAGGCCATTAATTGTCTGTGCAACTCCATGGATGCTTCGTGCTACAAGGCCATTCCACTTTCGAACCTCTATCAACTCCTTAAAACCTGTATCGGTAGTGACCTACATATGGCATATGTATAAGTCAATCAAGCATATCTGAATAGCCTCATGTCTCGACTGCCTATACAAAGACTTATATTATAGGTATATAATCAAATATTTAGATATGCACGCCACTGTAGCTAGGTACACAACTTATCCGCAGCTCATTTCTACTTCTAGGACATTTTGATACTGATGAATCGGCTAGTTATCCGCTGATCTTAGGTGTCGCTCCATTTAAACTACCCGTTCACTCGCTCGCCCCTTTATTCTCTTATTCATTCGATTCAACATTGCCAACAATACCCCTTCAGAAAACCATGTTGCCGCCTGGGAGTCGAGTTGATCTCTGTTCGACTACGTAGTAGGTAGATATCGTTTATAACAATGGCGTTAAATGATTGGTGGTCTCCCGAGACTTGCATCCCTCATACCTTGTGCATCAAACAACACCGAACTAAAGTAATAAGATTAGCTATCTATAGCTATCTATCACACACCAAAGTTGGCATGGCTAGGTATCTAGATCCCGAAGACCCCTCTTTACCAAGTGTATGTTCTCCCCGAGCTTGGGGAGAAATTATGTCATGGACTCCACCGGACTATAACCACGATCGCATCGTGAACCGTTCATAGGTGTAGTGGCTTAGAGCAAATGTCATTCTGCTTTCGAAACGACCCCGCGGCGTGGCTTTCGGCCCCACTAACTTACTCTCTATACTACCGTACTACGTACGTTTACATACGAACATGATCACCAAGATCACCACAACCGCGTGGCTGCTTTTTTGCATGTGTTTCAGATAATGTGAATGACTTCCCGAGTGGCGTGCTAATCGTATGGGATGGTTGGTTGGTCGGTCTATCTCATGTCGAATTTGATGGCTGGGGATAATCGACGAGAGGGGTAATGTCGGCGGGGGGAGGCTTGATTGCACGTTCGAAAGAAGAAAACTAGAACGATCCCTTCCGTCTATCGACTTATTCTCTCACGGCAATGATATTCAGCAACTTCACTTCCGGAGCGAGAGTTTAGTAATATGGCGTGCCGCTCCGCCTCTAGTGCGACACGACCTGACTCAGTCTGGATAGAGCAAGTCTATAAGAGGGCAATCGATAGATCTCTTCTGTTTGGCATCAAGTATGATGTGCAGTTTGTATCCCTTCAACGACATTCTTGGGTATGCTAGGCAATGTAGAGAACCCTGCTGGTGTGCCACAATCTGTGGGATGTGTGCTACTGATGACGGGCGTACTGTACTTCCCAGGTTCTATACCTCCATTTTAAAAAGACCACCTGGGTATAGACCATGTCTCTCGGCAACCTCAATCATCTTTTGAGAAGCGCTACAGAATAACTGGAATCTAACAGTCACACCGCTTCGCAACATGCTCGTCCGTCTTTTTTTCTTTCTCTCTTCTTGAATTGAGGACGACATCCAACTTTTTCCCTCTCTTCTTACTTGATGTCTCACACCGCTTTAGATCGTAGCGCCGGCGCGATTCCTAGCGCTTGGGGGCGACCTTGCTGACTGTAGAGAATTCAACATTTCAATGTTGTAAGATATACACTAGACACCCAACTACCAGGTACCTAGTAGCAGATCTAGTTTCACGTGGGATAACGACTTGAGAGTATTATGCGTATGTGACAAGTCCACATTTCCAAGTCGTCAGCCTCAGTCTTGATACCCTTCGTCATCACAAGTCTGGTGAGACGTTTAGCTCATCCTACACGATGCTAGTTTGACAAGACTAGTTCTAGTAGATATCAGCGTCAAAAGGCTAAGGTGTCCCTTCCTTGTCTGCTGTCGCTAAATTGGGTGCACTGCAGGAACCTCTGTTCGGAGATGGGTGAAAAAGAAAGTGCGAGAAGGCGGTGGACGACGCAATCCCTTTACGCCTATTACAAGAATGGTATGGGCGACCTTAAAGATCTGAGAGGCTTGTCTGAGCAGTGTCTGGGGTTGGCAGCTAACAAGATAGTGCCGGCCAAGGCTGGGACTCGCTAGCCTTCTAATAGCAGTACGCCATCCAATGTTTTAATGCCGGAATCCCCAGAGTGGTAACATCCTTAATCAGACTGTCGTGTTACCATACTCGTTGCTACTTACACATGCAGGTTTTATAAGACCTATCCTCTGCATACATAGTATTATCGAGGAGAATTTTTTCTTACTATTGTCCGCTTATACCCATGATGTTAATGGCCAGTGGTATATGTGGTCCGTGGGCTGTGCCGAATGCATCTCTACCGCGCGGAATCCGCAGTTGCGAAGACTTTATTGGCGAACGACCTCGAAAGTTGCAGCAAGCACAGCATGACGTCTAGATTTTAATAGAAGTAAGAGTAGTAGAATCGTGATCTAGAATCTTCAGAATTGGGCATTGAGCAGCAAGCCACAATGTAAAACACCATGATTGCGAATCCGCGCATTGAAAGATGGATGTCTTTCGTTTCTTAGAGACTTGAAGTTTAAATGTTTTAGATTTTGATAACATTACTTTTGAAAGATAACAGAAATGGAGAGCACTATCTTGCGCTATCTGCGGTTGTTCTACAAATCGAAGTTGGCACAGACCACCCACCAGTAGACTTTATCTGGTGCTTAAATCTGCACCCTTACGTCGTTCGAGCCACACCAAGTTACTAGGGCAAAAATAGAAATCTAAAAAGGACCGGGGTATCTCTTGTATCTTTAGTACTTATCGTCCCTTATCCAGATGTCTTTCTTGAACCCCTCCCCCTCCTTTTCTTTCCAAATTCCATCATTTCCATCATTTCTGTCAATAACCCTTACCCCCCACCTTGAATATTTGCCCACTTCTCAACCAACGACACCTTAGATCAACTGACCAGTTAAACGGCACACCGATCCGTTCATTGCTCATCGTTCATAAACTCCCCCCCAACCATATCCGATACTGGGATGGAACCTTGGAAACCCTGACGGCCAAACGGATGACCTGCCTTGACTGCCTTGCCTCGCAGCTAAAGAGCCTGGCGCTTCGTCGTTCCAAACACTGTCGCATCTTGTCTTCTCGGATAACCATACGCCAATTCGACGCTCACCGCCTCGCCGAACTTCAACTTCTTTCGATCAAATTTTCTTCCGCAGATTGCACTTGCAGCATCCAGTTCTCGGGCTTGCATGTTCATCGATTCACTGATTTACTGATTTACTCACTCGCATTTAGCCAAGGGTAGTAACCCTGGCAATCCGTCCGATAATCTATCATTTTCTGCAACTCCATGGGATTCAGATGCCGCAGGTAAGTTGATGCTAAAGAGAGAGTCCGACACCCATGTCGATCTCTCTCTCTTTCGTCTTCCTCTTCGCCGTGCCGTTGCAGAGATATCTATCTTGCGGTGAAGACGTTAAAAAATTTGATACTACTTCCTCATTGGTGTTGTTGATTGTACGTCGTATGTAATGCAGAGAGGGTCACTTCAGAAAATAAGACCTAACTAATACTGCGTAAACCAACCTTAAGATGGTATCCCTGTCAATACGATAGGCGATAGTCGGTCCAATCCCTAATCCCTTCGTACATACATATCGGCTAATGAGGCAGGCCGCAAAGGCAATGCCAAAAATGAGGGGCGACAAGGATCACCACTTGGATCTCAACTTCGATCGCGTGGGGGAATCATCTGACCACTCATAACGAACATTACATGCGCGGCTGACCGCATTGATGGATATGTTTGGCAGCCTTGGACCTCACCTCACCTCCTCAGTCGCCAGCGCCAGCAACACAGAAGATATGCTGTGCTACGAAACACACAACTTTCGATCATGGCCGGTTGTTATACAGCATGGTGCTTGTGCCGACCTCGACTACTCTCTTAGGCGCCAAGAAGTCTAGGCTGTATCCTTTATTTCGATCCAGTTTGTTTCAATTTTCGTCTAGAGCTCTACAATCAGAGGCAATACTTCATCCTAGGGCTATTCAGGTAGGTCAGAGTTGAAAATTTGACCCAATTGGATTATACGGCCTTAATATTTGTATGCTGAGGTTCAACTTGAACGTTCAGCCGTGAGGGTAAATGTCCTGATGACATGGTCATCTCGAAGACTTCACGTCGAACAGTCAAATCTATCAAAAAAATTTCACTTGTTACACGCCGAAGTGTGGCGCCCTGGGTCCGTCGGACAATCCGCAACAGGCTGTCGTCGGCAAGTTACCGAGAAAGGCCTCCGTTCTACGACTCCTAAAATTACGCCAGAACGGTCGGCTTTTGATGTAGGTTGCCGCCTTATAAGCACCAAGGAGGTAGTGGCAGGTCCGGTCAACGGCGATATGTGAGTTGGCAACTTATCAAAACGCCTTAATTTGGAATTTCTCTGGGCGTATCAGCCCATTTTGGTATTCCCCTTTTCACTCATATGGATTCAATGCTCGATGCTGTCGCGTGATCTTCGTACCATTCCTCTGGGGCAAAGATCCATAAATGTTATCGGCAATCTGTTTATCACAAGAAGAATTTTGAGTGTGAAGTGGTACCAGATAATTGGATATAATTATCTGTGTCTAGAATGCTACTAAATTCCAAGTATCACGAGTGTCTATGTATAGGAACATGTATTTGACGGGGTGTCGCTGACTTTGCGTGCTACCCCAGATACTTGTCATTTCAGACAATTTGGATACCATCACGATGTCCCGCAGCGGCTCTGCATACACGTGTCTTTCAAGGTTATTTTTTGGGCTCAACCGGCGTCATCATCCTAAATGTCGGGCGATTAATGTTTGCTTGAGATTGGGCAGCTTGTCGAGTAGTTTTTCAGATATTCCGCGGTGTTAGTTACTTCTGAAACCGGACGTATGCAAACACTTTGTGTTACGGAGTAATCCAACCGTTATCTAATGCCCGGGATCTGATGAGGCTTTTCTGCTCGTTGCCTGGCTGCCGAACGCCACGAACCGACTGGGAAATCTTATCCCCTCGTGCTACTATCCGTCGCCCAGGCGTAGATGCCGAGTTTCCGTGATGCGGAATCGAGCAGGTTCGAGAAGCTTTGTTGCGCGCTCTCGTGTATCTGCCACATTCTGAGGTGTTTCGTGGCCTTGATCGTTATCTTAGTAATTCGGACTTCCCATGGGCTTGGAATTATGGATATGAGTCTAGATGGCTTGCATAGCCCGTCTCTCTACTTATAGCTATCCTTACCTACCACACTAGACCGCGCCGACGGGAGCCGTTAGCAGCCAGCCTCAAGCGCATATCCAGAAAAAAGCATCCCCCTAGTCAGGTACTAGTAAAAAATATATTGAAATACCCAAGGTGGCGGATACGCCAGACAGCCACCGTTCATTTACCTAGCAATGTAATCTAAAGCTAAGCGCTCGTTCGGTTTAATTTAGACCTGTTTGCTAGAAAAAGCTGTTTGTTAGCCTCTTTATCCAGTGACAGCGGGATTCTAGATCGGAGAGCTCTTATCTCGAAGTTTTTTTCTCCGGCCGAAAAATATCTTGTTTCGATGCTGACTAGGTAATAGTTATCTATCATAAATATTTATGGGTGGTCGGCCGTCTTCTAAGCTTAGATGCACATGATGCCGTTTTCCCGTTCACGCTGACCCTGACTAATCCTGCGGGAGCCATGCAGGAGGGATGGCGATTCAGGGTCTTAGCTGATGTGGATGGTGTAGTCATGTATTAGATAAAGTACATATTTATTGCTGCATATTAAGAGGCTTGATATGAGTCTATAATGATAACACGGAATAGTTTGAAATGAAAAATTGGGAACTTGCTAGAATAGCAGTAGGTACTATCTCCAGTTAATGAAGAGCTTGGTAGTCTAGAACGACCGCTCCCATGGCAGTTCCATCACAATAATATCTTGGAGATTAATTTTAGTATATATTCGATTTGAGGCTAGATTCATTATTGAAACTATACTCTGAATTTATCTCAGGAGGTCGTAAGTCATTAGGATACTGTAAAATATTTACTGAGCTAATTCTAGAATGCCATGTGAAATAACTCGACCCAATCATGTTGTGGTTTGCTTTTCGTATACTACATAGTATCCTATGATATAAAAAAATAGATAAACCGAAGTCGGATTATGTCGAGTCATCCATATTCCTTCCTACTCACCTAAGCCTTTCATCAGAGAGCTAGAGTACCCCCTTAAGCTCCTGAGTCGTCCTACAGAACTGAAACACCGCCGTCGAGCACTTAGAGATTAGCTTTTACACTGCCAGAAATTTTTTATTGTATAGTAATCACTCTCTTAGCCCCCCTTCCTCTCTCCCCCCTGCTCTTTCATCACCTCCCTCTTGTACTCGATCCAATCATCGCTTCTCGGGAACGGTTCCTCGGCTCCAGGCACCATCCCCTCTTCCACGCCCAAAAATGCGCAAAGCGGCGCCCACCCATCCCCAGGAGTGTACTCGAGGTACCGCCGTCCCTGATCACTGACTAGCCGGCGCACAAGCTCGTTGTGGGCGCGGTAAGCGGCACGTCCGAAAGCGGGGAGATCGTTGTTCCAGCAGTGGCGGTGATATTTCTCAGATAAAGGGGCCATGGGGGAAGGGTTAGGGGAAGGAGCGTGGGTGTGGGCGTGCCACTGGGTGGAGATTTAGGGTTAGTTCCTAGTATTAGTAGTGAGGACGAGGTGGTAAAGGGAAATTTCGCCATCACATACGAGTGTTAATTCCATCGAAGCCAGCCATTGATCCTCTGAGCGCCGTACTGAGAGGATGACGGATGCCTCTGGGTACGCAGCCATGAGCTCCTCTGGGAAGATTGCTGCTGGGTAGTCGGCTAGGGCCTAGAGATATGAACTCTGTGAGAAGCTATTTTACAAACCAAACGATTTAATCCAGTTGAGGGATTCTCTGGTAGGTATACATAGAATAGATAATATACAGTTTTAGACCGAGTTGAAGCATCGGAAGGCGTACCTCGTAAGGCCCAAGGATCCGATCGAACTTTTCGCGATTGAAAGACTCTCCTTTACCCTCAAACTTGGAGTCCAGAGCATCGATCCAGAGGGTTTGGTGCTTGTTCTTGCCCACCTCGCGCATGTGATACACAGGCGCGATTCCTAGTCGTCCAAGCGCATCCGCGAGGGCTTTATAGATATAATTAGGTGTAAGCTCGTATGTCTCTTTTCGTGAGGGATCAAGGGTCAATGGATGAACACACATTGGGTGCCTGTGCGAGGCATTCCTAAAATTAGCACCTTCATCTTATGAGCCGTAACTTTCCCTAGATTTAGAAAAGAAAGATGAAATATGATAAATATATAGTATTCATATATATATGGTGCCTCACGGCTATATACAATTAAACCTATGTGAGATTTTATTTCGCAAGAATCGTCTCTATAGGGATATAATTCGCTCGATTCGATTTCCCCCGATCTTCAGTCCGGAATCATCCGACCTGGCTCTTCTCTTGCCTATTTTGGATCTGAGGATTCCAGTAACCACCAAACAAGACAAGATAACTTCAGGAGTATAAGTCCTCTTGGCGCTTAATGCTGCCGTAGGATAAAATTTCCAGTCGCTTAGATATGCCGAAGATTGCCTCTCCACGTGGATGGAGAAGATGATAGGGATTCTGCTTCGAAGCTTGCTGATCTGTAATGTTGTGCTGTACCTTAAAGAGCGCAAGGCCAGCCATTGAATCTCATATCATATAACAGGGTAATTCAGGGACTCTTCTTCTGAGCAAGTAGGCGCTCTACTGCGGGAGTCTTCTCGATTCTTACGATCCTGTCTAAAGCTCGCCCTTCATCCAGCACGTAGGCCGATGTGATATCCAACTTATACTTGACATCGTTAATCATGATAGGCGCGAGACCCTCACCCGTTATCCCGCGACGGATATTTTTGAACAGGCCGTCACGGGGTAGAAGAGATTGGTCCGGTTGATCATGTGCTGCCATGTAATACATGGGCGCGACCATAACGACGTCTTTAGGGTCGACTTCGAAGCGTCGGTACATGAAAGGCAAGCTACGACGTACTTCGATCTCGAGCCGGACAGGTAGGCTTGACACTGGAGTTGATTTCATAGCCGGGTTCGAGCTCTTGATGGATTGGGCTGGCAGCACTTTGATATACCGTACGACACCTGCTGGAATCAAGGCGAACCTGGTGCCTATGATGGCCATTATTATCCCCACCGCACCAAATGCGACAGGCATGAGAAAGTGCATTCCTTCCGGAATATTATACACGTTCACTATGATATTGGTGGCAGCACCTAGTAAGCAACTAAAACCGGCCAAGTAGCTAGAGAATAAGAACATCCTCTGAGACGCTGCTTCGTATAATGTCGTTGGCTTAGGGTTGTTCGCGAGCCCTTTCGCAAAGCCCAACTGTGGAACTACTGGATGCGACACAACGGTCGGTTTCTCAGAGCGGATAGGCTGGGGAAGAGTCTTGGCGGTTTCCTGCCCTGATTTCAACTTCGTGGACTTGGGTGGGATTTTACCGACAGTCGCTTTATACGGCGGCGGGACTTTCATCGCGTACGATCGACGGCTTATTCGAGCGCAATTTGGCTGTAGCCATTGCGGGACTCGGGTTGTTTGATTATATGGTTTGATAGATTGCAAGGAGTTTCGAAGCAACAATATAGGGCGCGAACAGCCTCGACATATTGGAGTTAGTGTCGACATTATATCCTACAAGCTCAAATGTAAAACACTAGCCAATTGGCCTGGTAAAATGAATAGTTACGAGATCATGGTCTTCAAAGTATAGAATCATGTATCGGGTCCACAACTGGAGTAGACTTAAAATAAATTGATAGAGCTTTGGTGGAGTTCTTATCGATAGTGTATCGTGGGAAGGTGGGTATTTTCGAGACCCATTAAATAAGAATTGTGACCCTTGTAACTGCCCAGCCGCCCTGGAAGTCCGGGCAGTTGTCGGAGCTGGAAACGGTAAAACTTTACAGCGTCCCTTCTATTTCCGATGGAAATTGATTATTCGGTTGAGACCGGAGAATCCCCAACAAGCTTGACCGTTGTAATTATTCATAAGCTCCGAATTGAGGGATCGAACCTTAACGAGAGAAAAAAGCTCAATTGAGCTTCACTTTTCTACTCCGAAAGCGAACAATGGCATCTTTCGCGACAGCCACCCGTCTATCCACACGGCTCGTAAGCCGACGGGCTGCCCAAGATGCCACAACTCGAGGTATTTTGCTATTTTATTCTTGAAATTCAACCAGGTCTGGCTTGGCTAATGTTGGGACTTCAGGTTTTCGCACATCCGCTGCTTCGTTCGCGGCGCAAAACTTTACCATGCCTGCCCTATCGCCAACCATGACGGAAGGCAATATCGCAAGCTGGAAAATTAAAGAAGGAGACTCGTTCTCCGCCGGAGATGTCCTGCTCGAGATCGAAACCGACAAGGCGACTATGGATGTTGAGGCGCAAGACGATGGTGTTTTATTTAAAATAATGCAGGGCGACGGGAGCAAAAATGTTCAAGTTGGCGTTCGGATCGGTGTCGTTGCCGAGCCAGGAGACGATCTTAGCACACTAGAGATCCCCGCAGACGAGAAGCCTGCGCAGAAAGATGCTAAGAAGGAGGAACCCTCATCGCAGAAGGCTTCTCAGGGAAGCGCACCAGAGAAACAACCCAGTGGACCCAAGAAGACTGGCCAGAAGGCACCTCCGCAAAAATATCCTCTCTACCCGTCAGTTGAGCACCTAATAAAGGAGCACAAGTTGGACGAGTCAGTTATTAGCGAGATAATGCCCACGGGTCCAGCTGGACGATTGCTCAAGGGCGATGTACTCGCCTATCTCGGCAGCGTGTCTTCTAGCAGACCGGAAGAGATTAAGGCACGTTTTGACCACAACGCACATCTCGATCTATCCAACATCAAGATCGCTGCTCCTAAGGAGGCACCGAAGAAGGCGGAAAAGGCTGCAGCGCTAGAGGTCCCTGTTCCAGAAGACTTAACAATATCATTACCTATCCTCCTGAAGTCGGTGATCCAGGCACAGAAAAAGGTCCAAGATACGTTCGACACCTTTATTCCATTATCTGTGTTCATCGAGAGGGCTGCGGAATTAGCCAATGACAACCTACCATTAGCAGCAAACTACAAGCCGACTGCTGATGAGCTCTTCAACGAGGTCTTAGGGCTGAAAAATGTTACACTGAAAGGTTCTCGGGGTCATTACATCCCACAAATGACTGCCGTGCCATCACCGTCTTTCACCGGCGTTGCTCCCAAGCCGAAATCCAAGGTCGACATAATCGATTTCCTTGCAGGCCCGGCGAAGCCCACACCAAAAGCGCCGAGGATAAGCTCTTCTCCCAAGGTTACCGGTAGCTTTAGCACGCTTAGTCTTACCGTACCGAAGGCCGAGGAGCTTAGAGCCAAGGCTTTCCTGCAAAAAGTAAAGGCCGTACTAGAGGTAAATCCAGGCAGCCTTGTCTTATAAGAAAAAGAGAAAGGGGGGATAACGCTGTACCTATAGAGCCTGTAATGTCGACATGGAAGCAGTGATAGACTATATTATTAGCAATTGTTTAAACATTGTACACGACGTGTTCTACTTGTGGATATCGCGATATAGATGAGCAAAATAACTTTTTACCACACTCCTATTTTTGATATTATATATACAGGATCCTAAATAGTAACTACATGTCGGCCTCTCGATCGGATATTCGATTCGGGAAACCCCCTTTTTATACGGATCCCACCTTTGACTTGACGAAAGACAAAGCCTGCTGTCCGTATATCTGGACATATTGCTGGTGGTGCTGCGCGTTGTTGCCGTTGGAACAGTACGGGTCTTCGGCGTCGCAGTACGACTTGATACGGTCCGCGTATACGGGGCACGTGTAGCCCGAGGGGCGCGCGGCGAACTATTTAGGCCAGGTCAGCATAGTCTCTCATCGTCCACATCCTTAAACCCTTTTCAGAAGAGCAGACGAGGTAGTATGAAAAAAAGGAGAAAGAGGAAAGGAAGCAGACTTACACCACCAGCCTTCGCCGTGCCCACATTATAAGCCAAACCCGGCACATTACGCGGGTCGCCCATCAGAATAATGGCTTTCACATGCGTGCCTACCTCCGCGGGCAACGGCGACGCGCTCCCGCTCATACTACTCCCATCCGGGCCCCCGCAGAACGCATCGTCGGTGATCTGTCCGCCCTGCGAGTACCCCACCATCACGATCGCGCTGTCCGGACACTTCTTCGCGTACGCGGAGACTTGGTTCACGACGGCGCTGATGCCGGCTGTTACTGAGGAGCCGTAGGCGTTGCCGCCTGCTGCGGGGTCTGGGGTTGGTGGTGCTGGTTAGCGTGCGCTATGTTGGGTAGGTAGGTGTGAAAGATTCTTGACTTACACACGATGGCTTCGGATGTCGTGCCTGAGTACGCCCCTTGGATTAACTGGATCATGGCCTGCGATGAGCCGTAGCCCTGTGGAACGGTCGATTCGCGCGCGCCGAAGACGTGGACCTTGGCGCAGGACTGGCGGGTTTCTAGGTCTCCCGACGGGGCTGCGAGGACGCCTGAGGCGAAGAGGAGGGGTGTTGAGACCTTCATTTTGCTGATCTTTGTTGCGGAGATGCCAATGCTTCGATTCGGGCCGTTGGAATAGGATATCTAGGAGCCCCTAGGCAAGACGATATGTTGCTGATCGTTTATATACCCATACCTTCTCATGGGTAGTTAAGGAGGTTGAGGAGCTCTTTTGGCCACGGTAGACTAGCTTTTTACCCGGATGTCAACCTCGCATCCGGGGCTGCGGAGCTGGAAACAAGGTTGACAACCCTGTGGCGATCTGAAACGAGGCATCGTCGTGGACGGAATAGGCAATGTTCGGAGGCAGGTGTGGTCTTTGACCTCGAGGGCAGGGGTCTGGTATGCATGACATTACAGCTGCAACGTCAATCTAGATGTAACAGAACCCCTGCTATACATATGGTAGGAAGTATTGCAAGAGATTTAGATCTGTAATATATTGGTATTTCACTAACGCAATATTGTTGACGAGGCCAAGTTTTCTAATTGTGATGGAATACTTAGTATTCTGAAATACAATATGGGATATTGCTGTATTCACATAACGCAATAATACAACAGGAACGAATAAGGCTCTTGCTTGAACTTGCCAAGGCCTAGCCTAAGATCCGGTGGATAGCTACAGGTAGGTACTGGCTACAGCGCCTCTTCCGTTAGGTATTTCCTAGACAGAAACGCCAGGGCGTAATCTGACGTCAAGAAAATTCATCACCAGCGCCTTCCTTCTGATTCTGCATGTCCGGTTGGACACGATGCTCCGTTCCCGCCCGGCGTGGCTGGCATGGCCAATCACAAGTATTCGTTACCGCTCCGCTAACCCATATAGGAAATGACCTGACTTATCTAGTCCAGCAGGACCAGCACACCGAAGCTGAAATGCCGTGTAACCGTCGATTTTCATAACCGGTATACCCTCAAAACTTCATGTTCATTACATAATTTACCAAGTTCTAATTGTAAACAATAGTTCCTTCGTACATGTTGCATTGCATTGCCATCGTCCACCTAGTTCATGCTGTCCGGTACCGCTCTACGTCGTGGCGTCTTCACGCTGCGCCCCGGATTTAGGAAGCCGACGTCTGGAACCACACGATTTCTCATTGCTTCCTCGGAACAAGCTTTCACATCCCCGTACCTTATGTGTTGCTTGAGCTTAGGAGAAGAGTTAGAGCATGCGATGGAGTTGTGATTGTTTATCGAGCTTACCTCGCTGGAGCTGCTATGTATGCCACGAGACTAGGTACCTAGCATGCTATAGCTCACAGGGATATGGGCAACAACTGGTTGAAGTGATATTAAAAGGAATATACATTCTGATATTAACTAACAACTTATTACAACTCTAGGTTCAAGAGAATGGGCATCTAGGGTATCAAAATCGATAGGCCCAAGTTCTGCTACTTTTAAAAGACTCCGAGGCTAGCCGCCATTTACCAAAAGGCCAACGCCATAGCTAAAATAGAAACCCAAAAGCAAATTCCGCCGAAAACTCCGTCCTGGCCTAGCATTCTTGACGCGCCACCTTGCAACAAAACCACGGTTCCTGTCTTCGTCGTCTGGTCGATACTACAGATGTTGGCGCAGGAATCATCACCTCTCTTTTCGAAATATCCCGGCATGTCGTTCAGATCGCGCTTATGCGGAGCCTCGCCGGTCGTATTATAGACGAGTTCGATCCATTGGACCTGGAGACGGGCTTCCGTCCCTACACTCATGTTGCCAGTCCAAGATCCGCCGCTGTGTTACGTTAGCAGCTAGTTTCTTTGCATATCAAGTTTCAAGAGTAAAAACTTACTCTGACCACGCGTTAAATATGACCATGCTAGGATCACGGGGCGTCTGGAAGGAGATGGAGGCTACTTGATCACCATCTATGTACCAAGTCGTGTCATCCGGGGTCCAATCCATTCGATACGCCGCCCAATTCGTCCAGTCTCTTTTATTCGGGATAGTGACATTGCGGGTGGCATCCTGAACACTGAGGCCCATCGAACTATACGAGGGCTGGTTTGTATATTGAATGTGATCAGGTGGGTCGACTGTCCTGATTTCTAGATCGGATTCCTGTACCGTAGCCAGTGTTGCATCGCCGCTCGGATCCTTATATGTGAACATTGCTGTCACGGCACCCGGCGCGCCTAACGTTCTTGCGTACATTCTTACTGATAGGAAGTGATAATCACGAATAGCAGACTCGAACTCGCATGATGACTGATAGTCCCTTAGACGAGCCGTCCGTAGGGTTAGGAATGTTTGTGAATCGGCATCGGGGTCCCTATTCTCCTCGATATAGACATTGTTTAGCGAATGAATCATTAATACAGAAGAATCGCTCTCGTTGCTTCTTAATGAGGCAGAGTTATTCCAACTTTGTAATGTCCAATAGTCTGACCACTCGTCGGAAGAAAAGTACTCGCTGGACACCCCCGATTCACCGCTCTCCTCGGGGTCAGGAATGAGAGCTGGCACTCCGGCGACATCTGACTTGTCTCGGAAATCGAAGAATTTGTGAGTTGTAAAGTAGTGGCCGCTACTTCCGTTGGTGAGATAGCAGTTACACTGATCGCTGTTAACCTCAGGGTAATCGGCCAAGGCTAACGGAACTAAACTGGAAACGACCACGAGTGGTCGAAGGAGCCGTAGGTGAACCATCCCGGCGTCTCTTATCCCTGGTTTTCGTACGGTCCAACCTCAACCTATTCCACTACTGAAAACTAAGATGCCCAATATTATATGCGTGTGTATGCGCCGACTTCAAAGGAGCTAGGTTCGATTTGGAAAGGGTGGTCCGGTAGTGATGATCACGTGTGGTTGAGATCTCGTATATCTGAGAAAAACATGGCAGAACCGACCCAATGGCGAAGGAAGACCTGGAAGCGAAAAAATCGGGCTGAAGGAGAAAGGGGACAGAGACACAAATTATGTATCGACTGGACTATAGGTATCTCCCCCAGAGAAAGAGACGCGCCCAGAGTGACACGGACACAAGGATAAGATCATCCAGGAGTTTGAGATATGTATGCAGGGCCGAATAAAAGGTTGTGATTACGACTGGCTGCGGAAGAGGAACCCGGGAAAGCGGTGCTATGATCAATGATGTGAGTATGGTCTAAGGTAGTAGGGCTAAATGAGGAAAGGAATGCTGGATCAGCAGCATATGCTATCAATGCACATCTGAAAACTCGAGGTTCACCAGGCTAGCTATATTCTAGCCTATGTGTGTCTAGATAATAACCGCTAGGTTCCTCCGTGGGTAAATAGTACGAATGCGACGCTGTGGCATGTTGTTGGAGAGAAAGTTGTTATATTATTATTTTGAATTCAGACTCTTGGGCCTCCGTAAGAAACAAGGAGCCACTAGGTATTACGCCCATAGTCTCCCTAGAGATAGAGAAGAGCACTTGAGTTACTAAACTGGGAAGTGAAACTATGTGTTCATATTAGGCTTCGAGTGAAGTCAACTTTGATGTCCGCGAAACCCTTACAGAATGACTGGATCGGAGGATCACAAATAATATAGAAAACAGGGGGCAGGGAATAGGAGATATCTGACAGCGGCCGGCGTGCGACGATACAGCTTTACCTGGTGTTCAGGTAGTATCGTGAGGTATCAGTTGCATCGCGGTGAGCTACCCACGATATCCATGATATCCACAGACAACGCTTACCTACGGTTCCTTAAAGTAGCATTCGGCCGACAGTTGTGGCGTGCTCGCTTGGCAACATGCTCAAGAGGATTTATTATTGTGAAAAAGAGAGCCAAGAGCCTCTGGAGGGCTTCGAGTAGGTACAAAAGTGGAACGGGAGGCCTAACTCGTTTATGTGAGGGCCAATATATGCATGTCGTACAACAGCGGGATTAATGAACCGCCATCTTAAGCCACATTATGGTCAGCGAATGGACGAATGAGATAAATTGACTAGTGACTTCTAGGTGTCGTGGCGTTCCATAGCTCTTCGCTTATGCCCGCTCGTGGAAGACGAGAAGATGGGAAGTAAAAAGAATAAAAACATATGGATGCATGGAGAATGCATATGTATTGATTGCTTGGGTTGAAATAAGAGTACGCTACGTATTGACTAGAGGTTTGAAGTTAGCCATGAGCTTGTTCCATATGTGTTAAACTTCAAATGACACTGGAGTTTAAAATACCTACCTAGGATCTAGGTACCTACCCTTGCATTAGCTTCAAGACATGGCCTGGGATAGACTTAAAAAATTAGCTGAAGTTTAGAATTCTCATTTGATCGGAACTCAAGCGCCGGGCTGAGCTTGGTTAGTTGTCAAACTGAAATTGATGCCATGGTTTTGGGTCAAACTCGATTCAAGGTTCCAGCTGTCATATATCATACCTAGGTAAATATAGAATGCTTAAGGTTAGGGCTACGAGAGGTTAGAATGCCCACGCATCGATCCTTACATAAATTATCAGCTCATGCGAAACGTTAAAATATCCGATGACATAATAGAGCAATAATTAACCCATTAAGTCTTTTTGATTAGAGACATCGATTATACTGGTACCTAGTAAGCACCTCAACGTAATATTGGAAATATTGCTACAAGTTTCTCAATAGTGAGTGATGACTTGTTACTACCTAAACTTCCGAACGTAACACTTTACTTTTTCATAGCCAGTTTAGCACGAACACCGGGACGGATCTGTAGATCGCTGATCATGCCAGGTGTCTGTGCACGTGAAAGCCGGGATATCCTTTGGTCCTTGGATGAACATAAATCCGGAGTAGACAAAGGAAGGTACTTAGGTACTTAGATACATTTGTTCGTCCCAACCTTCCAGAAGAAGACAACAAATTGTCCGATTATTTGCCGTTCCGATAACCGATAACAGAATTCCGGAAAGAGAACTCGCATCAGCTGGTAAGGAGCTTTATGATGCATCGTTACTATTACAATTCAGACTTGGCTTCGTCTCAGAATCGATTCAATTGACGGTAACCCCCTTATAAAGCCGAATTAGCCGTGACGTGACTCTCCAGCCAAAATGTATCCTTTCGACTCCCATTTATCGACTCAGCCGTAGCGATTCCTAATAACATTTCTTAATAGACAAAGGCTCCGAATATTTATTCTGGTCGCAAAACATGTCGGCGCAGCCTACGTCACCTAGTTCGTCCGATGTGGCTGCCGATCAGCCCAAGGATCGCGACGAATCCCTGTCGGTTGATGCTGAACCGAAGTCTCAAGATGTCAATCAGGAGAAATCCGTCGAGCACAAGTCTCTGGACAAGACAAATAGCGCTGCGCTAGAATCTCCGAAATCTTCTCAATCATCTCAATCGCAAGAATCCGGCGAGGCTTCGCCTATCCCATCTGCTGACTCTGCAGCTGCCGAGTCTAGCGCTCCACCGCTACCCAACGAACCACCACCAGCGACCGAGGATGACGGCTGGGACTTCCATTGGGATGCGACAAGCCAAGCATACTTTTTTCACAACAGATATACCAACCAGACTACTTGGGAAAATCCCCGATTAGCAACAGAAGCCTCGACAGCGCAATCGGAAATCACCGCCTCCAGCGCCCCCGAACCTCCGAAAAACGAGAAACCACCCGCTGGAGGCTACAACCCTGCCATACACGGCGACTACGACCCGAATGCGTGGTACGCGCAGACAGACGAGAAGAAATCCGATCAAGATGCAGTCGCGGTAGACCCGTCGGCGGCGTACGCGTCTATGGGCACATTCAATCGGTTCACGGGTGGCTGGCAGGCCGCGGAGCAGACCACGGAACGGTATAACGACGAGGCGAAGTCGCGGCGGCAGATGAACGCCTTCTTCGACGTCGACGCCGCGGCTAATTCGCACGACGGCCGCAGCTTGAAGGCAGAGCGGTCGGGCAAGAAGCCGACGAAGGCCGAGCTCAAGCAGTTCAAGGAGAAGCGTCGAGCGAAGAAGGAGGAGAAGCGGCGGGCGTGGTTGAGAGACTAGCATAACCTAGTCACTACATGCCTGGGTACCTACCTTCGCTGGCAGTAGGACCACGTGTTTGATGGAAGAGGGGAAACCGGTAGACCGGATTGAAGGGGCGGAGGGCTGCATTGTGCATCGAGTAAACGGCGTTGGTTGCGGTTCGCGTACAGGGGAAGACGGAAGGTAGATGGCATATGAAAGCATGGATGCATTGCATTTTCCTGGAGACGTTGGCTCGGCTTGTTCTAGAAGTCTCATCCTAGGTGAGCTTGGACGGAGCCTGCCTAGATCAAACTCGTTCTTACGTTGCATTTCGCTCGGATTATATACCCCAAATGATAAATCGCTTCTTAAAAATATTTTGGTATGGGATTGATTGTGTGTGGCTGGTTCGTCGCGGGTTATCCTATTTGTTAGGAGCCACTTCCGTCGCTATTTCGAGTATTGAGGGCTGTCCGGTCCGTCTTGATCTATAGATACCGTACGATGTATCCTGATGCCGAGTTAATGAATGAACGCTCCCGTTCGGTCTACGGGATGATCTAGGTTCAGAACTGGACCTCACCGAGTTCGCTTAGATAGGGTATATCACAACAAGAAACCACACATATCAAGATCTAGAGTTTTGCAAAGTCTGGCTGACACAATATATTCACACATAAAACACCAAGGAAGCGCCTATCTCGAAATATACAACGGAGTCAAGACTCCACCCCACGCTCGCGTGACGTCCGAATTCCCCTTACATACATAGGTATCGACCAAAACCCCCACGGAGTCTAATATAAACCAGCTTACGCGGTCGGTTCTTGTGCAATTTATATCTACACCGAAGCGACCTACGTGCCTTGCATCTGCACGACAAGGCAAGTCAATTAACGCCCTTTCTCCAACTATTAACTACGTGCTGGGTATGTACGTATGTATGTATCATTCGCTTCTACCCACGCGAGCAGGTGCAGGGCCATGTGTGATCTATTTATCCGGAACAGGGCGGCGGGCTCGCCGGCTTACCGAGTGCGACGGCGCGTACGCGAGTATTCGGTTCGGACTCCCATTCGTGGGACCCCTAGATTCCCTACTCGTCGTCGTCGTCATCATCGTCGGAATCGAGGTCCATGTTTAGGTGCACGCTCGCGTCGTCGCTGTCCGAGTCGTCTTCGGAGGGGGTTGTGGCTATTGCCTTGTCTGCTGCGGGGGTGGGCGCGGGGGGTGCCGGGGCTCTGATAGCTGGAGCTTTGTCGATTTCAATTCGTTTCGATGCGGCGATATCTGCGTCTTCGTTCTTTCGCTTGAGGGGTATTGTCGGCGGCGACGGTTGGGTTGTAGTGATGCGTTCCTCTTCAGACCTAACGACTGTTTCTGACGCTGGCTTGGGGATGAATGGGTTAGGGATTTTGGCTATGGTCTCGACGGCTCGTGCGGGGGAAGGACTTCTATGAGCTTCGGTGGCCTTGGAGGCTGGGAAATCATAGAAACTCGTGAGCCCAGAAGCGGATGGCTGGCCGAATGATGGTCCGTTGCTTGAGGGTTGGTCCTCTGGTTCATCTGCTGTAGGTTCATCGTCGTCTACGTCCATAATGTCATTTCTAGACCCGGTTGCCATAGGTCGGAAGTTGAAGCGTAATATTTCCACGCTCTCGTCATGAGGGAATTGCTGGGTGAGGTAGGGTAATATGACTTGTGGTGTTCTGCCGCTTTTGTCTCGTGCTGGATGCAGCACGCTTGCGACCTGTGCATCTTTGCTTTGGCATAGGATGGCCGTTTTGAGCATTTGAGCTCGAAGGGAGGAAGGTAACAGTTGTTGAGGCGCATGGCTGAAAAGAGCGGTTAAGAGCGCCACCGCCGCGGAAATGTGGTCTCCGCTTAGGCTAGTCGAAATAGACTCATCTTCAGCTTTGTTGCTGAGAAACGCGTCGACGTTTTGGCTGATGGATTTATTCTTTTGCCCGACCTGAGTAGCGGAAGCCGATTGCTTAGGACGCTTAAGATGGCCTGAGGATCCCAAGAGGTCACGACAACACGCTTTGGCGACGAGACTTAGGCTCTCAACAGTAAGCTTTGCCATTGTTGGTCCGCAGAGCTGAAGTATATCCTTTGTCAAGAGGAATGTCGCAGTTCGAATATCAGGTAGACGATAGCTTGATTCAAACATCCGAAGTAATTGCTCAAGTGACTCCTGGGCTACTGGCATAAAATTTCTTCCTAGACGTCGGGCTACAGTATGCAGCAACTTTATTGCTGCAAGCTGGATATCCGGAAATACTGTCCATAATTCGTCCTTCTCTTCTCTGCCGACAGCCGGATTCATTTGAATTGACGTTGATTTCTCCCCACTTTGACCTGGTGGTAAAATTGAAGATATTCTTGTAATAATATCAACAATCGCACTAACTGGAATAGTGACGACTGTTTTTGTACGGCAGCGAAGATACTCCCCGATAAAATCCAGCAAGGCAATGATCCTTTCGCTGCCTGCATAAATGCCAATCCATGGTGGTAATTGGTCTGGATTGGTACTACCACCCTGAGGTTCCTTGTCGAAGTCTATCTGTTGAAGCATAGAACCCGGTATATGACCAGATGTTGACTCCCAGCTCTCTTGGACAGCTCGGAAAACTTGGTCAGCTGTAGCATGGAACGTCTTGATGAGCCCATCTAGATGCTTCGCCCATTCAGACGAGTCTCCACCTTTTACAGCTGTCATATGCAATTTTATGGCTAGACGTCGACTGCTTGCCTGTAAAGATGCAGGTATTATTGTGCCATCTGAGATGGTCGGTGCAATATAGGGTCGTATCTCGGCCCTAAATTTAGATGCAAACTGGCGCAAAGTAGTTGGATACAATGGAATTATCGTAGAAAAAGCTTCGAAGATGTGTTCAACGAGACTATTAGGTATCTTGGCAGCTTTGCTAGACGCAGGTGGCTTCAAACCCTGAAGGCATGCTGTCGCAAACGTAGGAAGGGTAGGTGTAACGATCTCTCGTACCAAAGTCGGATACGCATGCATTAATGTGTATATCTTGACTATGATTACAATACACAAGTCTTTGACAACAGCAGGGTCTTTTCTCTACTTTTTGTAAGCAACACCTTTTTCAACTCAATGGAATAAAAATCTTACCTGAAGGATAGAAAGTATCCCACGGACCCACAACTCAGATGTTCGAAGACATTCCCAGCCGCCAGTCTCTATCACACCTTTTACCAGTGCAACTCCGACAAAGCGACCTTGGGTGGTTCTGCTATTTAGAAGCGTAGATATTTGAGTCTTCAACTTATGTACGAGCACAGCTGATTCCGAGGAGTTCTCAGAAGTCTTCACTTCTTGGGGTCTTGAAAGTGGTTCTTGGCAACGCAATAAATCTTTGAGAAGGGAAGGTAGCAGAGCTGGAAGTTGCTCTACCTTGGTCGCCGTCAGTCTGCGGCATAGACTGCGTAGCTCGGGTGGAAGAGAGGAAAATGCCATGGTTTTGAGACGTCTTTCTTGTAACCTGTCTCTTTGTAGTGTAGACGTTGTCAATTATTTGAAATATTGAGAAGAACTTTCGTAAGTAGCTATTCCGTGCTGAAGTTTTATTGGACGGTTTGTAGCTCTGACGGTCTTATATAAATCTTCTTAGTTCTCGGGCGATCAATTGGATCTGTAGGAAAGGAGTGGTTAAGTTGAGAGAAAGAGTCTCTTATATCAGATTGCTGGGCCTAGTTTATATGATACTAGAGCACTTAAAATGAGCTGTCGATCATAGAATCGATATTTCTTCGAAAGTAAAGAGATTATAATGAGAAACAGAATGAAGGCTTCATGAACTTTTCATTATCGATTAACTTTTTAGTGGACCCATGCATTTAACGCAGCTTTTATAGGACCTGCAGGTTATATACCTTGTACAAGCATATTATGGAAATTAGATGAAACAAATTGTTTTTAACGAGGTCATGACATAGTTTCCCCTGTTTCGCCAAGAAGTTTATTATTTGGCGGTCGTGACGACGCTTGGGACCGTTTACTTCCAAACAACCTAATCCCGGGTATACTTCCAACGCTCTGGCATATGACGCCGACGGTTCTATCACATATTACGCATGCGTCCGAGATGATATACGAGAGTCCTACTGATCAATAGCTCGATTGCTCAGACCTCCGTTGGTTCGTAGGCTCGTATTAGGAGAGCAATACTCAGGATGAGTGTAGGTACCCCCCTATTTACCCAATCTAATGTCATTATATTTGCTTACAGAACATGCAATAGAGATCGGGCAAGGCAGCGCAGTATTTGGCAAGACTGGAAGATGCAAGATGTGATGGTAAATGGGATGATGTGCCAGAATTAGTACGAAAAATCCGAAAACATGCCACCGATAGGATATGTATGATCCCGACTAGCCTCGCTTTCACCAAAGCCACTTCTAATACCCCGTCTTATCTGTAGGCTTAACGACGACTGCCGAGACCGAATATGCCATCATCAAAGCTTCTCAGAAGCAGCGTCCCGGTTCAAGACCAGCTACCGCCGTCTCTTTGAAAGACTTAGACGTTGCACAATTGGTACCTAGATTACTTGGTGCGATCGAGGCCGAGACATCAGCTAGCGAAGATAAATACCAAGCCCAAGTCTGCGTTGGATGGCTTCATTGGACTGTCGGCGACTATACCGAAGCCTCTGTCCGGTTACCGCAGAATCTCGAGAACGAATTAGGTCAAGGTGATCAACCGAGTAGCGTTTCGGAATGGACAAGAGTATGTTCTATCAAGGCTGCGTACTTGAAGGCAAATTGTCTTGCACGGAATAATGAGAGGATCGCTGCACTTGCTATCTTCGAATCAGCACTAGCTTCGTTATCGTATGTATGGTCGGGCGAGAAGGGTCGCAAGCAGTTGCGTTTTTGGGTCGAGCTCTTTTTGACCGAATTTTGCATGTTGCAATCCCAGGCTCTAGAAAAAGGCGAGAAAACTCTCGAAGATCCTAACTCATTGGCACCCTTCCGCTCCTGGGCAAAGTACTGGGAAGTTTCCAAGGCCCAAGGCTCTGCTCTTACTGGCGGTTATGGTTTTCGCGGGGCCGTACCGAGAAGGAGAGTGTGGAACGAATATTATGCTGCTATATCGGGAATCCTTCAACAAGACTTGCCATTTCCAACGGGATTCGTAGATGTCACTAACGAAGCATCGGCTTACAATCAGCTTCGGGCCGAGCTAAAAAAGGTTGAAATAGCCTACGAAGGATTGCTTCTACACGAAACCTCTTTCCCACGAGCAGAAGAGCAAAGGCAGGAAATAGAAGACTTTGTTGCGGCTGTGATGAAGAACTGGAGTGTCTTGAATAGTCGTTTTTGGCATGAACAAGACCTCGGGCCTGGTGGTAAAGAAGGCCTTAGTCGTGGGATATTGGATATCCTTTACCGAGCCGCCACTAAAACATATCATTCTACGGCAATATTGCGATATCTATTTACGGTTCATCTTTCGGTTGCTGAATTTGATCTAGCTTTCCATGCTTTCGATTCATACCTAGAGATAGTTAAGAAAGGAAAGGCTCGAGTTGACAAGACCGGACATCCGGAGCCAAGCCTGGATGACGATGCGACAGTCTTGGAAATTATTTCTCAAGCGATCACTGCTCTCTGCAAATATGGCTTCGGGGACGCTGCCGAAAAAGCTCACAGCCTGGGAGTTGAATTAGAAGGAATATTGCAAAAATTGCCAGCGCCGCTTCCTAATTCTCAGGATAATATCACTACACTGGATGAAGAGGATGGGAATGGTGTCATACTACATCCAAGAATATCATCCAGGGTCTACGCTTTATCATGGCAGGCAATCGGTATCTCGCAAGCACAGTGGTCCCGAACAACTTTTGATTCCCCCGTCCGGACAGAATCTCAGTCAAAGGCCATTCGAAGTTTTCAGAAATCGTTGTCGCCAGATAATGGGAACCCTACGGACGTCAGAACTCTGTTCACTCTCGGTCTCTTATTAGCTGAGCAAAGAGAGCTAGCTGCAGCCATTGACATTGTTAAAGCGGCGCTTATGTCTAATAAGAAAACCGCGGAACAGGCTGAATCTGGGTCATACTGGCGAGAGCGCTCACTGATACCTTTATGGCACCTGCTTGCACTCCTTCTAAGCGCTAGACAGGATTTCATAATGGCTGCTAGGGCTTGTGAGGGAGCATTTGAACAATTCGATGATCCAACCGTTCTGTTCGGCTCACAAAATCTACAGGGCACATTCCGCAGCGAACACCTGAACGAGGCCGAGGCTAGGGATGAAAAGGCCCAGGCAAAGGGGCTCGTCGACGAAATGGACGATCTCGAAAAAGAGGGGATGATTGAAGTGAAAATGACCCAGCTTGCTCTTTTAGAACTATTAGAAGGTCCGGAGGTTGCGGTAAATGCAAGCCACGAATTGTTAGTGCTGTATGCAAGACTTTTTAGCGGCACCCAACCACCCAAAGCGCCCGCCACAACTCAAAAAGCACCAATGGAAGTTCCCAAGAGCTCAGCCGGTACAATCAGGACTGTGCGTGGTGGTATCTTTGGCAGCAAGTCAGAAAAGACCCCTCCTCGCGGCTTAGCCCGAGTTGGCACAGGAGAAAGCGGCAGGGCTACTATTGTGCCAGAGAGGCCCCAAACCACGCAGACAGCTGTTAGCGTTTCTACTACTGCTACGACAGCCCCCACTATACAAGTTAATGGAGAGGCTGGTGATTCGCGGCGGTCGAGGAGGTCATCGAGTGTTCGCTCACGACGTAGTGACTCAGGAAGACGAAATAGTTTAAGAAAACGGGAACCGAGCGCTCAACCAAAACGAACCACTAGTAATGCAAGCGCATCGCATACACCTACGAACGTGGATGGTGAAGACTTCTACACCCCTGCAGTGGATGGTACAGCACAGGAACGCGCAGACTTCTTCACGTGGAGTAGCAAAGGCGAGGTGGCTAGGCAACAATCTTTTTCGAAAGGTCGTGGACTCCTCCGATTTGATTCTTCTGCTTCTTCAACAAGAGGATCTGGATCTGCTGCCGAGGGCCTCAATACGCTCTCGGCGCCAAGCTCGCTTCCCGTGGTGCTATTTGCGAAGGAACAGGTCAAACGACAGAGGCAGACTGTGCTTGTTAAAGTATGGTTGATGATTGCCACATTCTACCGCCGTGCCAAGATGTATAGTGATGCAAAGGGAGCAATCGATGAGGCGGTCAGCTTGGTTGACGGCCTAGAAGGCGAGGTCGCGAAAGACACAAGCGGCTCTGTAACATTGCGGGATCCCGGTTGGGGCGGGAAGAAATCTGTCGAAGAACTTTGGGGTGACGTTCAGAGTGAGGTATGAGGTCGAATATCCAGTTAAACGATGCTTGCTAACACAATACAGCTGGGTTATCTTGCCCTCGCCGAAAATGCACATGACATAGCAAGGGACCACTTTGAGGAAGCTTTAATGCACTACCCAGATCACCCTTCAGCTATTGTTGGGTTATCTAACATTCTTCTTGACGTCTATAACGAGACGCTTTTGCCACCTGCCGCAATTCCTAGCATTACTCTACCTGATGGGCAATCAACCAATATGATGCCAGCAAGTTCTAGCCCTCAGAGGCCCCGGGCCAGCTCTAATAAAACAGGAGACATCATAGCACTACCGTCAACACCATTGGGGCTAGGAGGTAACTCGCTAGAATCCGATAAGCCCGGCACCCCTCTACATGAAACCAACGACCTTTCAGCGGAAGAGCTTCCGCCCCCCTACAAGGCCGTTTCTTTGCCTCTTGTTGATCGACTCGCTGCCAGGGATAGAGCTTATGGATTGTTGTCTGGTCTTACTAAATTAGGCACAGGATGGAATTACTCAGACGCATGGTTCGCCTTAGCTAGGGCACACGAAGACAGCGGGCAGCCAGATAAAGCTAAAGATGTGCTTTGGTGGTGTGTGGAGCTCGAAGAGGGAATGGGTGCCCGCGAATGGAATTGTGTCAGTGCCAACGGCTACGTGCTATAGACTACCTAATCAGCGTCTCAAGCACCCTAAAACGGATACGATAATTCCTCATCCGATGGACGGAGCACCCATAGATATGCAGCTCGGAAGACAAAAAATTGGCGATTAATGGGGGATTTGACGGATATACCGGTGCGCAAAAGACTTGCTTCTGTCGCGGACGTCATTGTTGGCTCACGCCGTATTTTTCAGCTGTGTTAGGACGATACCCTTATCGGGTTCCTCGTTTCTTAAACCAGGATTGATACCCTCTTGTGGCGTATTTTGTTCTTAAAAAGAAATATTAATGATTTATAGACTCAATTCGAAAGGTGATCCCTGGTTACAACCATTCACTGCTTATCAATGCGAGCCGCGCGAGCTCACCGTACTTAGTCTCTTCTTATTCATAAATCAACGACCCGAACTTCAATATGATTCAAGTACTTCGTGATTGGCTTGGAGCAACACTGGTGGTTTCGGTGGTCAATAAAGAAGTGGGAATTAATGAACGACAAGCAAAGTTTCAAACTAAATTGGCAGATATTTTCTCCATCAAGGTTTCTGGAAGAGTCGAAAATGATAAATCTAGGCCATTTCGTGATTTATAAGCTAATTTTCATCGTCATCTGCGTCCGTTCTAAGTTGGTCTTCATCTTATAACCTCATACTCACGTCACAATATATGTGAGGAGCCCAGCTCTCTGGATGAGACCTGAGATCCAGCCGGACGAACGTCCCAATTAATATATTAAGTTTACCTGGACGCAGGGTCCCTCCTCGTGGCAGAGCAGTGATGACTTCACATCGCTTTAAATCTACAACTCTAATCAACTCTAATAGGAGGCGGATATTTCGGAAACTTGTCTCGTATTATTAATCGACCCAACCGACCGTCCCAACTGGCAAAGCGTGTTTTCCCGCGACCTTGGACTTGGTATCTTGCCATGTTTTCTGATGTTCCTTCCGTTCGGATGACGGTAACCGATTCCTCAAAAGTCCCCTTAGTATGCGACCTAGTGGCCATGTTGCCGTTACTGTAATCGACCTCATTTCATCATCAACTCGATGGACTTGAGATAGAGGTCGCGTCATATGGTGCGGAATAAACGGTGCTCCTTGCATTGGCGTCCCGGTCTTAAGCAGATACATGTGAATAACGCCGTGGTGATAGAATATCGTTGTCGTCAATAACGAACTCAATCTGTTTCGATCATAAACGCGAAGAGCCGAGCCTTTTGCCGCGTGCTCTTCTACCGTAGAGTCGGAATGGATATAAGAATGCCTATCCGGTCCTCGTCAATGGCTAATCTCACTTCTCTAAACAGTTCCTTACAATATATCTATCAAATGAGAACTTTAGTCTTCAATTCGGACTCATATCAGTATCATACAACATAACTTAATACATCCACGCCTATCTTGTTACGATGCAAGTCAAATCTCTATTAGCAGCAGTCCTGCTAGTCGGTCCAGGGGTTCTAGCTGCCCCGACTGCACCAGAAACCGCAGCGCCCGCTATCAAGCGTGACACACCTGACGTTAGTGATCCTAATGCTCCTACATGAGTATATCATCTCTAACTTTCATCTAGAATGTCGTCGATAAGAAGTCACCTGATGAGCCTCAGGCTAATGAAGACTGGTACGGCCACCACGGCTATGGCGGATATGGTGGATATGGTGGCTACGGTGGTTACCACCCCAAAGTATGTATTCCAACACGCCTCAGACATGATAGGATCGTAAGGACACTAATACTAACCTCGCGTCAAGGCCCGTCGAGACATGAATGAAGATGGACAAGCAGAAGACCAGCACTATGGTGGCTACGGTGGAGGTTACGGCGGATACCGCGGAGGATATGGCAACGGTTGGGGCAAGAGCAAGAGAGGCGACGGTGGATATTGGCCAGACAACGACTGGTACCACCACCGCTACGGACCTGGTTGGGGATATCCTCGCGACTAAACAGCACAATTGATCATACGTCATATTCCTACCTACATACCTAGTATTTAATGAAATAATGCCGTTCCTCCTGTGCATCGCCTCCTCATAGCATCGAAAATTTTTAATAATTGACGAGAAAATTACACCCCTTAATTCTTTCACTTACTGACAAATTTTTAAAAAATTTTATGGATTATTTCTCTCACTTTTTCAATTAGAAGATATAAGCCTTTACAAATGAGCTACACTTGATAATTACCTAAGCCGTCTATAGAGCAGAATATGCAAAACACCTTCCTAAAAGGGGTTTCAGCCTTATCCAGTGATCGATGACGACGTTGGTAGATTTGCGTAGGTACATTCCCCATTAGGAAATCGGGATCGAAAATGACAGGAACTGCGACGTTAATTTGGAGTTAGGAGTTGCACATCAAGGGGTAGGGTTACACCAGATCTACCCTTAAAGTATACAGGTGCTTAGCTGCTGGAGAGTTCCCACTATAAAAAAAGGACGCCAACCACGTGATAACCAAGAGAACATCAACCTTTGGTGGCTCCCTCCTTTGTAGAAAAACTCACCACCATTACGAAAACGTCGCGGAAATCATGTTTGTTAGATGAAACAACATGGATTGTCAATAACACATCGCTGTATATATAATTTCTCCTTCGCTGCCTGATCTTGCGTTTCTGTTTAACCCCGCTACTCAATTTTTTCTCTTCTCAACCCTTCCCGCTCCCCTAGACGATTACTCCGCGGGAGACATCACCGAAGAGTTTGTAAAGACGGAATTAAATGGGCCACAAGATGTCGAGCTCCGGAATACCCCCCGTAGTGCCAGACTCGCTAATCAGCGCCGATGACGGCCGCCGGTACTGGTCGGGTGTTGAACCCGACGTCAACGGTATGCTAGGCGGCTTCCCCGCCGTCTCCCGCATCGACCTCCGGTCATCGGGGAGCTTCCTCGCCAAACTCGGGCTCGGCCGCACCAAGGGCGCGAAGAACGTGAAGAGAGCGTTAGAAGGCGGTGCTGGGTATGTTCTATATCTCCATTTCTCATTTCATCTTCTACTTTTCACGTCCAATACCCGTGCGAACATACATATTCCAACCGCATCATGTCATTCATACCCCCCCCTACCCCCATTCCCCAACCCCCAACCCTACACCGGTCAATCTATTTTCACCACTCCTTTCTCGCTCTAAGCGCCTGTGTACCTGCCCCGCACATCCCCAACAGGGTTATTCAGGATTGCGGTAGGCACGATGACGCAGGTGTATATGCGGGCGCCCGGAATACCAAATAAAGAAACGAGAATTGCATACATACATACATACATACATACATAGTAGCTAAGTGATACCGGCCACAGCATCGGACGCATAACCGAAGGGCTCCTCCTCGACGTCGCCGAGAGCGTCGACATAGTCGAGCCGATCGCCAAGTTCACCGCCGCGCTGGAGGGCCGCGCGGGCGTGGGCCGGGTGTACAATGTCGGGCTCGAAGACTGGCGGCCCGAGGACGGCGTGGCGTATGATCTGGTCTGGAACCAGTGGTGTCTGGGACACCTGACCGACCTGCAGCTTGTGGCGTACTTGAAGCGCTGTGCTGCTGCGCTGAGCGTGGGCGAGGATGGAAAGACGAAGGGCGTTGTTGTGGTCAAGGAGAACTTGAGTACTACTACTGTGGATCTGTTCGATGAGATGGATAGTAGTGTTACGAGGTATGTTATTCCTAATGTTTTTGTTAGTGGAAGGTTTGATTGACAAGCTATTGTTATAGGCGAGACGAAACGTTTCGGCGGATTTTTGAGGACGCGGGATTGAGTATAGTCAGAACGGAGCTACAGAACGGGTTCCCTCACGACCTGTATCCGGTGCGCATGTACGCACTTAAACCCAAGACGACGTAATTCAGCAAAAAATGCCAAAAAAAAAAAACAATTGAATATTTGATTGAGATTGATATTGATATTGGTGTGTCGGTCTTATATACATTATGTACCTATAGAGCAACAAGTGAAAATACATCATCTCACGTCCCATACCAGCTCCTACTTAAACATCTCCATCGCCCTAACTCAACTTAAACAAATACGGCTCCAACCCCTTCACACCAACATCAACCCTAAACACCGCACCACTAAGCTCAACCTCCTCCGGCGTCCCCTCCCCCTCCTCCATCCCCGCAGTCGTAATAAACAACTCCGTGCCCACGAACTGCGGACACGTGATATTCCTCGTCGGCAGCGTAATCTCCCCTACCAACTTCCCCTCAGGCGAGATCTTCAACACGCGCCCCTCGCCGTACACGGCCTGCCACAGGTTCCCCTCGACATCGACGCGGTGGCCGTCGGGCTCGCCGGGGCCGGAGTGCACGTAGAAGACGCGCTCGGCGGAGACGTCGCCGGTGCGCGCGTCGTATGTCCGCGCGAAGATCGTCCGCGCGACTGAGTCCGTGAAGTACAGCGTCTGCTGGTCCGGCGACCACCCGATTGAGTTCGGGATCGTCACTGGGTGCCGGATTGATTGCACCGCGCGCGTGGTGCCGTTGATGAGGAAGAGGGAGCCTGTGTGTGCATTGGTTAGGTGAGTTTGGTTGGTTTGTCTTGGCCTTAACTCTTTATAGTTTAAGTGATTTTTTTTATTCCGCGGCTGACTTCCGCCGCGTAGTGGTTTTAGTGATGGCTTTAGTGAGTCCACTCATGTCCTTTTGTTGGGTTTTGCTACCATCGTGAGTTTGTGTGGGTGTACATAGTATGTATGTGTGTGATATACCGCGTATATTACATAGTATCGTAGTATAGACGCTAGACCATACTACTATTTCCTGCCGTCACGTCCCCGTGTGGATCAAGGCGCTAGCATATCACATCCATATGACGGAGACAGGTTTTGTGATATGTAGCACCGGACGTTGTAACGATATAAGACAAAAAAGGACCAGGACTATTAAAATTTTTTCTGGTTTTTTAAAATTCCCCGGCACGTAGCTGGAGGAGAGTATTCGCGGCTGCCGGAGGCCAGGTCCGGCATATTGCGAGAGGAGCAGGGTGCCCGCCGGGAATAAACACGAAAAATCAATAGTCCACGGGGCTCCTTTCCCCTTCCGGCGGACTAGGCGGGCATGTAATGCAAGGACCACTTATGGGTTCTAGAAGAGACGGAAAAAATCGACGGTACCCTTGGAAAAGAAGCGGACGGAGGTAGGAGAAAAAAAATAAATAATTCGTGAGGCGCGAAATGAGCAAGCGCGCGGGATCCTTCCGCTAAGCGTCCCCGCGGCGGTCCCTCCGCTCTTAGGTCCTTAGCCGGCTAGGCTAGGCTAGACGAGGCGCCTGTGACCCCTGGAGCTGAAAGCTGCAGTGTTTGTTTATAGACTGGAGGAATAGGGAGTATGCGGGTAATAATCTTAACAATGATTGGTGTGAAGAAGACGCAGGATGGGAACCACAGTAAATTTATGAATAAGGACTAAACTGAAAGAGAAAAGAACTCACCTTCAGGTCGAAGGTCTAGACCGATGTCGGTCATAGTCCCGAGCCAGAAGCGGCCGTGGGGGTCGATGGCGCCGTCGTTGCTGCGTATGCGCTCGTCGTCGCTACCACCATCACTTGCAGAGCCAAAGCGTGAGACATACTCGTACTTCCCGGAACGCCGGTCCAGCACCGCGACCCCGTATTTGGCGCCGATGGCGATGCGCTCGCGGGGATCAGTTCCGTCGATGTCCGCTGTGACCGTCACCGGGGTGTCGAGTTGGATGGTTTCAACCGCGGACTCAGGATTGGGTTTGGAGAGGTCGACGATGTGCACACGCTTTTTCTTGATGTCGACGAAGCGCAGATGGTGTGTTGCGGACTCATAATACGGACCCTCGCCGAGCCCGCAGTGCAGGTTCAGGTACGGCTCCGTCACGCGCCATCGCTGCAGAGAGGGGTTGGTCTCGGCGGTGCTAGACATTTCTAGGATTGGGAGTTTCTCCGTATCTCCAGCTTTCTTTTTTTCCTCTTATTTCTTTATTTTGTTGTGTTAGGCGCTCGGACTTTGAGGAATCAGGATAGAGAGGCCCCCTTGCTTGTGTGGCTGCTGCGTGTTGGTTGACGGAGAATTAGATGATTTGCGTGTCTCGGAATTTAATGAGGAGTTTGGAGATTCGTTCGCACCGGGTCGGTACAGGCGTTTATAGCGGGACTCGGTTCGGAACTATAGTGGTGTAGCTAGCTGCTGCTAGCTCCTTCTTAGTGATACCTCTAGCGGTTCGTGAAAGGTTACCAGAGGCTCCAGAGCTGTATTACACGCAATGTCCTTGGTAACTACCTACCTACTAGTTATCAGTAGATAATTACTGATGGGTAGGAGAAATACCCAACTCATTTTAAACAAACTACGATAGTTAGAAAAAGTAAATAAAGAACATTACGAAAACTTAGACTCTATCGCGAAATTTACGGAAGGCGGGCCTATTAACCGCAAGAACAGAGGTCGATGTCCTCGTCTAATTATTCTACGGCTTAATAGGCCTCATGGTTCTAAATTTCGAGGGGCTTTCTGTCGCGGCTATTTCTTTCAACTTACTCCCCTCGCCTAACGGATGAATATGACCCGTCATCGAATACGACATATACTTACCTACATAAATGTATACTAGTATTTAATGTGCGTAAATACCGGATAGATGACGCGTTCTTGAACTAGAGATTGTGATGAAATTTAGATGCATATCGTCTAAAGAAGCTAGGATGCAGCTCACTTGAGACGACATACAACGGGAACGACTCCAAATGTTGTGCTGCATGAAAGTGTTGGTTTCCACGCTACTTAACGCAGATAAAAAACCAATATCCTATTTGACATATGAATATTAAGGAATCGAGTTGTCATATGTGCCTGCACCGCTGCGATAATCGGCAGCCCAGCCGACTACTTTTTTTTTCGCTTTACAAAAAGAGAAAAATGACATGCCACCACACGATGTGGTCCAGTCTACGCACGTAGCTTTTTCTGGGTGGTTGTAAAAAGGAGCAATTGCCCAAAATAGGGAGGCGATTGCTGTCATTAGTTATGTAGAATCCGCATTCAGCAGACCCGTCTTGCGGGTTGGTGACCGCTTGTTACGAATCGCAAGGATCCACGACAACCAAGTGCGTGGAAGAAGCTATTTGGTTGTAGATAGGGAATGGGGTTCATTGAGGGGACGATGGATTAGGGATGCAGGTGAGAGAAAAAAAAAGGAGGCAAGGTATGCGAGCAAAAACTTGTCGGTGTAGGCATCGTGAAGGAACGGATTTTCCTTTTGGGACAGTAAGTCCACTAGTCTGTTCACGAGAGCTTCAGGCGTCGGGTGCGTCATGTGCATGCAATATGCACCCCATCCGGAATCCAACAAGCGGTCGTTTATCGTCCACGAAGACGACAGACTCTGGAGATCTGGACTTGGCTAGCTAGCGGTAACGATGGATCTAGCCAAGACAATTTAGCTGAACTGACGAACTGACGAACTTGAAAGAGTTAAGAAAGAGGTTGACATGTTTGCATGTGTGGATTCGAGCCGTTCCGCTCGGCCATCTGTATGCTGCAAAAGCCGCCATAACTGACGAACCACATGATCATAGACTGATGCGGGTAAGTCTTCCAGAATCTTGTTCCACACACCCCATCTCGTAGAAAAGGAAAAAAAAAAAAAAAGCAGAATCGAAGACAAGGAAGAGAGATAACCATGGTAATAGGCACTGTTTATTAGAAGTTAAAAGTAATAAATGACGCGCGAGAACGGTCCACTTAGCTTCTAGTGCCATAACAATGGTTGGCTGTACACCGCGAAATCCTTGTCAAGACCGGTCGGGGGGCGGTGATTGATCGATTATGTATTTCCTGGGCTTCTAGACTGACAGAGCTTCGTAATAATAGTAATAATAGCTCAAAAGTCATAGAAGGCGGATCACCGTGCGTAGGTTCGGTAGCGATTGTCTTCGACAATCTGTGTATCATTGCATCGGCACTGATGATGGTGATAATAATAGCGATATTATAGGGAGTGCACGTAGCTCCGTAGCACGAGACATCCTTCGACTGTGGGGGTTTAAGGGTGAGGAGGCATGCTAGCCATGTGTCGACGAGACACGAGGGAAGCGGAATCGTGCAAGCTGCGACTAGTACTACCACAAGTAGTACTACGTGGTACACATCGTCGTGACATGTTCCCGTACTGGTACTTAGCACTCCGTATGAACCTGTGAGCGTATGAGGAAACCCGGTTGCGTGAAGTGGATTAGTGGCTCACCGCTGATGCCAATGTCGCCTAGGATAGCAGATCATCTGGACCTGTATTGCATCTCTTCCTAACTTCCTCCTCCTCCCTCCTCCTCTTCAAGCCCTCAACCGGTCAGACTAGTGAAAATTCGTACCCCATGTCTTTGAAGAGTGGATGGGAACGTATGCGAGGAAAGTGACGAGAAAAGTGACGAGTCGGTTTTACGTTGCATTTCAAAGCCTTGGAAGCTAGGGCGAAGCCGGTTATGAAGCCATATTTCAACGAAAGCCGTACTGTGATGTTTTGACCCCTGTTCCCCGGTCTTGCAGGCTGCAGCCTATCCATTATGAGCTGCAGCTATGCTCTGCATGCCATACATGACACATTTTTCCAGAATCTTAGAAGGATTCTCCAAGGGAAACACGCGAGAACGACCAGCCCATCCCCCCTACCAATTCAATCTCCAGATCCAGATACGGAACCCTTCGGCAGAGAGGGGACCAGCCCAGACTGCTGGGTAACTTAAATGACAACCTAGGACCTTTTGATTTTTTTTATTCATTTATTTCCCAGCATCATCTCATAAGCGAGGGTATATGTCGCGCTATTGTATTCTTATTAGTGGGTGTCTTCGTAATTCCTTTGTACCTACCACTCGGTACCGAGGCATTATTATTCCTCATCTTTTATGTATTAGCATATTTAATAATATTCATAACACGGCTTTCATATCGTAATAGGCGTCTTAGGATCCGCTGCGAGTCCACGGTAAGTAAATGTGTCGGCTGGCTACGAATGTTTTTCCTATTTGGTACCTGGGTAGCGAACTCAACATGTTGGTTCAAGATACTAACTACCTGTAGGTATGTACCTACCTAAGGTAAGCAAGTAAGTAGGTAGGTATGCTTTGCAGGATACTTGTGTATCCGACCGTTGCGGCTGGAACCGCATAACTGGTAGGATTCGATGATCGTTTCCATCACCCGGAACTCGTGTATCAAGGGCATCGTTATTCCCGCTGGTGGTGTGCGATAGGAGTCATTTCTGGAGCACGGCTGGAGGTAGATTGGTACCTAGGTAGGTAAGCAGGCTGGCAAGTCCGGGTTTAATTAGGCCAATGATGCCATCCCAAGCCACCTAAGCACTAGGTAAGAGTGGGTTGTCCAAGTATTGCGAATAGTGGCGTTATTGCGTACTGTACTGCATTTGTGGCTTTCGTAACCGCTGATACGGAGTACATGCGTACATGCGTGCTTCGAGTAATAAATCCCGACTCCAACAAGGTAACGCTGAAGATAGGGCGAAATGACGTGTAATAAAAGCATTCTTTGCAGAAGCCTCAATACTAGACGCAAATTACCTGATGCCACGATGTCTCAGGCCTTATTCCTGCATTGAGAAACGGACCGGCCGTGATATTCTCCGACTACTGTGTAAGGCCAGGGGACAGCAGATTAAAAAATCAAATTAGGACCAGGGACAAAGACCATCCGAAATATGAAGCTACGACGTTGTCTTGCTCTCATTTTCACTTTTTCTAGGCTTTATTTCCTTTTTGCCCTGGGGGGAAAGCCGGCTCCCTGGTACGCTGTCATCATTAAGAACCTTTAGTGCCATTGCGACGATGTGATTGATCAATCTTCAATTTGGTTCGAAATGGGGAAATGCAACACATCGATGGATTAGACGGACGAGAAAAAGATTGGCCATCGTACAAGTGCGTGATCGCATGGGATCGGAATGGTTATCTGCAGACTTGCCTGTCAAGTCACTTCTTTTTCTTTTTTTCTTTCGGTTGGAGGTCGTCTATCGTCATCGAGGTTTCAAAAGCACTGTCCCGTCTCGCCCGATTCGGGATTGTCAGACAGTCCACTCAGCTTCGCTCTGGGGACTAGACCTGACAGGGTTTAGGGCGTGGCTTTCTATCCAGGCTGCTGGGTTAAGAGCGAGGAAGAAAGATCCTTGCGCTTACGGGCCGCCAAACAGAAAGCTTTAATTTCGCGCGAGAAGATTCATCTTGTGGTGTTCCTTTGGCCGCATAGTAGGCCGCAGGAAACAGGGCTTAGGTACGTACTTCGCACTCGATGTTAAGTCGTATGCAGCCATGCTACCTTATGTATGTCGTGTATGTACGCACATCGACCGGGTCCAGATGGTGGCCTCATCCCACGGCGGCAACATGAACTATCCCATGACATTCGCAGAACTCGCAGGTTCCCGTACATCATAGATACATGACACATATGCATGGCCAAAAATGCCGTGGCCCGCGAGCCCGAGTCCCGGTATACGGTGATGCAAGCGTGGACACTTGTGTGTAGTAGTGTACAGCATACTTGTCATGCTGAAATCCCTTCAGTGACGCCTTTGCGGATTCGGGCTGCCATCAAGATGCCAAGAGAAAACCCCCTGACATGACCACCTAGCTCAATGTGACGAATATGGCTCCCTTGCCGGCTGGCTTACCGCAAAGACTAGTCAAGTATTAACAAGTACTCATAAGTAGTATTAACTACAAAGTACCGTAGACCGTCCGGGACTGATTCGAGGAGAATCTGGTGTCCTCGTGTCCGGGAGGTTGATGTGACGCTCCAGAATTGTTTTTATGAGCTGTTGCAACTCAGCAGCTCAGGTAGCTCATCAACGTTGTGTTGTTCTTGTGCCTAATTAATGCACAGATACGGAGGCGCTCCCAATCCGCTGGCATGCCTTTATTAGGATGTCGAGCTTTTTAAGACAACTTTTTATCTCGTCTGCTTCGTCGGATCAGCAAGTAGGCGTTAACGCATTGCGCCCCGCAGACGACCGACTAACAGAAGCTACAGTAGCTACAGTAGCTGTCTGCGTGTGTCGGCGATCCTTCTGCGGCCTGTTGGTCATGCTGACATGGCCGACATGGCTGGCATAGTATAGTGGCCTCGGTGTTAATTGACGATGAGACATGGCAGACATGGCCTCTCGTGGTTGGGCTGGAATCTAACCGCTAACCGGACCGCTCGTTGGTACCTGATCTATTGATCTACCTTAGTGTACATCATATACCTTTCATATAACTGTATCAATATCAATATGTATGTATGTATGTGCGTATGTATGAATTAATGATGGGATATGTAGGTCTGAGGTTGGAGAGACCGGGTGTATGTAGGTCAGCGGCGAAGAGTTAGAAGGATGCAGGAGTTCAATGGAACATTGAATGTTGAAGCTGTCGCGATAAGTACCTAGGTACATCTGATGCGGATGGTAAATGGGAGATTTCAATGGTTCAGGGTTCCGTCAGCAACCCCGGTCTTTTAAACAATTGTACTATGTACATGCTACAAACATCTACGTACCGACGGTAGCGTATACGAAGTATAGAATACGCCATCTACCTTTACCGTACTTGCCCTCAGATTTTTACATACACTAATACTACATAATAAATGGATATCCATACTACATGTAGATGCTAAGGTTTGACTTACATATGTAGTACATAGATCCATAAGGTAGGAGCTATATTGATAGATTGGAAGCACAGGACGGTTAAGGAGGGTCCTTCCCGCTATCCGCGGGCGTGGACCAGCTAGAAACAACGACACATCGCTGGAATAATGGACCCGCGCTAGTAACAACATTGAACTTGTACAGACCCAGCCTAGTATGCCGCTATTGTTCCCTACCTTTTACAACCTAGCTTCTTCATCTTTCCCCCCTACCCCCCTAACTCATTCTGACATACATACAACACCTACATACATCTACATATCTGTGGCCTTGCTTAGTCTCGCATATCTTTCTTTAAAAAAGAAAAGAAAACACTACTATGTATCGTCACTTTCTGTTAGCTTGACTAGCATTAATCCCAACCCGGTCTAGCTCACCTACTGAGCTAAAGGAATAAGACCTCCGTTTCGTCACCACCGGCAGACGAGGTACGGTTCTGACCGCCAATCTCCTAGTCGATCTTGGTTGTCCTAGTAGAGTACTACGTAGAGGCAGGATACTCTGGCAATCTGGATACTAGTTGTTCCAACAATACCTGACCAGTTGGCACCGGTATTGCACACGTACAATCCATGCAACTAAAGCTTGCTCGCTCTTCGAGTGACCGCTAATTGCTGGTCTTTGGCTGCTTTGGTCATTTACTAAAAAACTAAACTCTGGACCTGGGGGGGCCGACTGACGTTTTCTTGGCTGGTCGGTGGTCACGGTTACTTTGTCGATCATTTCCAGCAAAGTCGTCTAGGAGAACGGTTTGGAACAAGCGGAGTCTTTACCCGCCCACCTAGTCGACCCTCTAAACTCTTAAGCAACCACAACGACTCCACCGGAGATCTCCATTAATGAACCCATCCTCTTCGTGACGAGCCGTGATGAGCCGTGGCCTATTGGCGGTGCAGAGACCACTAGTTCTGCCCTTTCCCAGCATGCTGACGATACATCTGGATGAGCCATGCAGAAAGCACTAGGTACTACCACCTACGGTCCACGATAACCCTCACCCACCGCCGTTCCAGTTTCTAATGAAACCGCCAGAGGCAATACCGAAGTCCTAGGTAGACCAATCTCACCGACCTGTGTGCCGTGTATGTCACCCATACCGGCTGGAACGATTGCGACCGCTAGATAATACGTCGGTAAGTACGAGCCTCGAATCTGCACGGGACGATCTGAGGCTGTATCTGTTTGGTCCCAAAAAGTCAAATAAACATTATCAATCTACAATAGGTACAGAATACTCGTAGTCTCGAGTGGACCTGGGGGGATAATTCCGTCAGTCAGCTTCCTGGGCGGTTCCCGGTTGACACCTCATGTTTCGCATGTCTTCTAAAGCTGCAGGTGTCAGACATCAATAGGGCTGCTTAGCTCTCAGCTCGTCAAGCCTTCGAACATTCGAAGAGCCATACACTACAGAGACTCCTTGACAGACTCCCCTAGTCTAGAGATCCTCATCATTCCCACAGCTCGCTGAAACTGCTTAAAAAAGGAACATGACCACGGGCTGCACGGGGTATTCCTAGCTCATATTGCCCCCAAACTATGGGTGTCAAGTCCTAAGCCCTGCCGGTGCTAAGTACCAACGCGAGCCTGAACATGGGCCCCCTGAACTTCCTGCACCCCGGCTGGTCGTCCCAAGCGTGCCAAACCCATCCCCATGTATAGCTCCACCCCTTCTACCTTCTGCCCTGTCTGATTTAACATGTCTGGTGATAAGAGCGGGCATGGAAGCTTGGATTTCCTCGCGCCAAGAGGGTGAAAAGAAGACAAAAAAGTCTAATAGACGCGGTACTGCTCGTAGCAACTGGTCCAAGTTCTCGACTTACTCTTGGAATATCCAGAATTCCGGAATGCTTACACCCGCCTTCATCCTCCCTTTCCTCCACTCTAAAAAGTCACACTGCTGCCGGAGTACCTCGCCAGCGGGCAAAGTGCTAAGCTTACTGCATCCGTATAGCTTAGCTGTCGGTGAATTGACGCAAGCACGGTAGAGACTACACTACCAACCTCTAGTCCTACCCGCTTATTTTGGTCGAGTCTTTTTCTGCCATACTACATTGTACGTATCCATCCCGAAGAAGCATACACTATCTCCTTACGAGCATACTGTAGCTGTTTGTCTGCCCATTTTAGGCCCCAGTGCTCTAGCGTTGGTGGGCATTTGGCCATTCATCGCTGCAGTTCTTTTGTCAGGGTCGTGAATGGACCGCTTCCTGCATATCATAATTGGCTACGAATCACTTTTCCCTACCTACCTAGGTAGTCTTCAGTCCCCGTTGGACAACAGCAGATATACATCCACTAATTCCTCCAGCCGCCACATGTCTGGAAATATTTCCCAGAATCTTCACCAGTGCCCTTCTACTTCTACTTGATTAACGCCCTCTGACCCGGACCTGGATTTCCTACAAAGACCTTTCGAGGACAACTTCGACTCGGACTGGAGGAACCTACCAAGACCTCTTCACACATATAGTTTCAGGATTGTTCGAATATTCTCCAAGACAAGACCTAGGAGTTATCCGAATGTCACAAATATCATTATAGCCCATACGCCTTAGATACTGGAGGACGACGACCTTGGTTATACGGACTATACCTATTTGCGCAAATACTCTTGTGACGGGCGCAGCAGAAAACGAGCTGTCACCATCCCTCAGTAATTCGTACGCAAAGAGTCCGCTGAACAATCTGTCGTCGTGGCGGTCCAAAATCCCAACGTTCGTCAACCCTCCCAACAGGCGTCTGCCCGCACAACTAGCAACGGGGACGTGGGGTCTCACCTAAATCGTCTAAGCAGCATTGAGCAAGCGGACGGCGAATCTGGTGGGGCACGACTGGATAGTCACGAAACAAGAGCGGAAATCAAGCGGTATCAATTCGCGTCTGGTAGAGGCGGTCAATGTCTGGGTCTTCTGGACCACCTGCGTATAGGGGAACCGGATCAGATGTCGCAGAGGGACCCTGCGTCACGATCAGCCTCACCTCGGATATCCAGGTCTCCTCCAGTAGGCACGAGTACTTCACCGAATTCGCATCTGACCGATCCTCGAAGATCTGGCAATCTACCAGCCAGCGGCGGGCTATTGGAGAGTAGTGTTATTCCCCGAACTAATGGAGAATTGACTCAATCTTTACCCCAGAGGGGCTTTGGCGTGCGTAATATCTTGAATCCGACAGAAACACAGCCATCGCCGACTGGAACCACTTCCTCAGCAGCATCAGGACTATCCAGTGGACATTCTCTACACCCGAGTCCGAATCTCCAAGGTTCTACCTACGAATCTAGTCCGACTTCCTCGCGACCTCCCATGTTCCAAGGACATGGGATTATGAGCCAGCAGCAGGCAAATTCAGCCGCTGGTGGAGGTCAACCTCTAGGACAATCACCAGGCGATCGAGGCTCGCCTGCTTCCATCCAGTCTCACCAATCTCATCATTCTCACCATTCCCATCATTCTATAGGGACCCGACGAATCCTTACCCCCCGATCACCTCGCGTCAGCGCTTCAGGCAACATGCCATCATCAAACGCCCCTCATCATCACCACTACTATCCTGGCTCATCCGTCCAAAATCGAGGATATCCTGCCGAGCCTCCCACACCGGGACAGCATATCCAATCACCCCGAATTGGCGGACCCCAGCCTTTGGCTCCCCAGTTCGGGAGGGTTCATCACTCTGGAGTTGGTCCTTCAACTACTCTAGCCCCATTAACAACGCCACCGCCTCGCCCACTCTCACACCCAAGTGCTAGTAGTCACTACAGCGCCCCAGGACCAGAACCACATCAGTCGCAAGGTGGCAACGGTCACCAAATGAGACCTCACTCTTTTGGTCCAATTCCACCATATCAGTCGATTCCTGGGAGCCGGGGCTTCCCTTCTTCTCTTCCAGCGGATTCAAGATGGCCAGGCGTGCTTGGAGGTGGGGGCCAGGGCTCAGGCGCTCGTGGCATGATGGGAATGGAAGGACACGCGGCAATGAATGTCGGTGGAGAACCATTAATCGTGCCATTGGATATGTATAACGGCTCGAAACAGGCGGATGAGAAACGACAACGGAATGCAGGTGCTTCTGCGAGGTTCCGGGCTAGGAAAAAGGATAAGGAATTACAACAAGGAATGCGGATACAGGAGCTGGAGAGTCAGAATCGTGAACTTCTCAAGCGACAACAGGAGGCGGAAAACGATCGAGATAGGTATCGTAGCGACCGAGATCGACTGCGCGATATCGTCTACCGAACCCCCGGAATCAGCGATTTCGCATATCAGGGACCTCCTAGTCCTATTTCGACGAGAAGCGGTGGATCTTTCGCAGAGAGAAGCCCGCTCGGATCTAATCCACCTTCGCTACCGATGCCCTCTTATGGGTCTACTGATCCTGTAACGGGCGAGAGAGCGGCACGACGACGTCGAACAGACCCTCAACTAGACTTCGGCCCATCTTACGGCGGGCCCCAAACCAGTTTGCCATCGATGCCACAGTCTACCCACGCTCCTCTATCGCAACCGGGAACGCCCTCGGCGATGGCTCGAACTTCACGATTGCCCCCTCTACGATTGGATCAGCCGGCTGGAACGCCGACTACCGGGCCACCTACCTCGAACACTCCTGTGCAAAATTTCCCGCCATACAAGCGGGAGCCATACGAGACTGGTTGGGCAACTCGACCCAGTGCACACGATCCAAGCCAGCGTTAAGCGCGATATCTCTAGCTCGAAAGGTCCTCTCAATACTCTACTTTCGTTCACGAAGCAAACAATTTATCATATACATATTTTTAATGTTAACTCCTCGCACTAGCGGCGATAATGGAGGCTATGGGTTCCATATATCATCCGAGCATTGGACAAAAACGGTCATTAGAAGTTTTCACATAGCTCGGGCAACCGACGTTTTGGACGGGAAGGAGAAGCTTCACAAATGTTGCTTACTTGGTTAAGGTGTCAGGAACGAATCCAGTTTGTTTTTACCAGTCACAGGTCATACGGGTCCCCAGTACCGAGCCGTGCGCCAAACACCTCCCCTCCGTCATACCTTTCCTTTGTCTTCTCAACATATTACATACACGGATCCATCGTTTTGCTGGGAATTTGGGTTTTGGGGCTTGCGGTTTATACATACATCTATCTGAGGTTCTGGGAAGGGTTTACGGACAGAGACAATTGGGAGTTACGGTGTTATTTGTCTTGTGTTTATTTTTTTTCTTCTACTCGATATCAGATTGCGAATTGCGAGACTGCAGAAACTATTATGCGTTCATTATAGTATGGATGCTCTAAACAACCCAATCGGTCTTGTCCTTTACGAGTTGGTATACAACGAGGAACAGATATGAGGAAGGTGTTATTTTTCATGTTTAGGAAGCCGTATAGGCTTACTATTACTACGCTAGGTGCTACGGGAGGGCGAGGTCTATTCGACGGAGTCTAAAATCTCGGGGGAGAGAATGAGGTGCTGGCGATTTCGACGTGTCGTGGATGGAAACGGTACAGAATCGCGTTATTTCCCAGTTTAGGAAAAGGGGGGGCAGTGATGAGGAGCGAAATGGGATCATAACAAGCGGCTAAACTAGAGGATAAAATCAAACAGATCAGCGAAGGTCCAACCAGAGAATCCCAATAAAGCCAAATCTAGCAGTCAAGACAACCTCACGTTGTGACACAAGGCGGACTTTTCCGAAGTAGCAGAATTTCGAATGCCGCGGGCAATGGATGTAGCCGGATGAGACGTGAGACTGGGTAGGATCCGGAGCCGTATGGAGCAGTAAACAAACCAATGCGTGCAACCCTACACAGTTATAAAAAAACTACCTAATGGCTACCATAGGAAAGGCTTCTGAGACGCAGATTTGCCTGAGCTACGCCCGTTCCAGATCTCGATAACTCCTGTTGGTCGAGCATGTAGGGTTACAGTATCTACTATTTTGCTTACATCTCTCCTACACCTGCTCGAGCTCAAATCTCTCCAGTCACGGCGACGAAGTTCCCCAGCCAACACGTACGTGCATGGTAGGAATGAGATATGCGTATGGTGATAGGGCGTACCGAGAGGAAACCAGGTTTGGGATCCCTACCTCTCTCTTTTTTTTTCTTTTTCTTTTTTTTTCCTGCTCTTCGCGCGCGTCCGCCCAATCCCCAAACGATGATCTACCGCATTTTTTAATGTATTATTATTATTGCCTAGGTATTATTATTATTTTATTTCTCTCCTCCTGTACCTACATAGGTACCCAAGTCACCCTTAACCTACATAGGCTAAGCACGGATACGTCAGCGACAAGGCAAGGCCCTCGGTATCGCTGCCGAGAGCACGTACATCAGGTCCGCGTCATTATATATATGCATAGTGCGTCTGCGTGTCTCTGCTTGGCCAAAACTCTATTCGAACGAACCGCTTCCCTTCCCCTTTTCCCGCCCGCAGCCCGCTTTCTCCTGTACGTCTGACAACGCGGCGTGCTTATGTGTATACATTATATACATATATATCTATACAATATACCTATACGTACCTGTTATACATACCTAATGTATAATATGCCTGCATGTAAGTGAGAAATGTGTGAGTGCGTGTGTGTGTGTGTGTGCCGCACCCACAATGGAGCTACCCGGGTAACAACCCCCTTCGTCTCGTGTCTGGCGCCCAATGGAGTGCGGGCTACGATGTATGTGCGTGTATATGCGCATGTAGAGGATATATTTATTTGCAGATCAGGGTTCGGGTCTGAAGGGGCAGGCCACATGGCAAGGCCCCTTCGCCCGCTCTGAGGGTTTAAAGATGGGCTGGCGAGGTTGGTACGTGGTAGGTAGCGCTGTAGCGTGTTCCTACTAGATAGGCTAACTAGTGGTGGTTTTTTTTTTTTCATCTGCTTCTTACTCGGTCTATTCTTTTTTTATTTTTAAAATTTTGGTCTTCGTTTTACATACCCTCTGTGAGTCATCAGATAGTATAGGTTGGTGTCGCTCTCGTTTGGGTCTATTAATTTTTTTTCTTTCTCTTTATGTGTTTCCGCAGTATGTGGTGTAGCGTAGCCTTCTTCGTCTGCGCGCGCGCTGCATCGTCACCGCTAGGAGACACGATCCAGCCTCGTCTGTTTATGTATAGAACTTTCATGGTCGCGTTGAAGATATGATGATTCACGTACAGCTGAAACCACTGCGACCCATCGACGGCAACGTAGTTACGGGGCCCCGTCCTCCCCCAGCCAGCAGAGCACGGCCGGAAAGGGCAACGATGGACCCCAGTACCAAGCGTGCTAAGTCGAGATCAGCAAGTGCCGGAGGATTTTTTGGACGAATTAGAAGCTTGAGCCACTGCTATAGGGAGACCCAAATCTTAGGGCCTGGGGGGTGGGTGATCCGCTAATCTTCAGTTCAAGGGGACAAACCAACTCGCCATCTTAATCAACTCATCTACTTGACTTACTTACATAGTCGTATTCTATCTGTTGCGAAGAGAGATTGGTCGCAGTATCTGGTCTGTTTAGTTAGTTCGCGTCGTCGTCGGTCCGATTAGATAATACATCGTTTGCCCCTATTTATCCATATACATGAATTGAATCCGCCTTGTCAAACCTCAGTCTGTTGCGAATAAACAAATGAGAAATAGTAAACCGATATTTCGGAGTCACTACCGACGTATATCTCCATTTTGCGGCCAGGTGTGCGAGCGGGGCGGCCCGTCGGTGTCTGTGAGGAGTTACGTAGGATTCTCGACGCCCCAAATTCGATCCCTATACCGACCGCCCAGAAGCAAATTACGGTCACAATGATATTCGAAACCGACATCCTCCCATCGTTAAAAGTTCCCTACTTTCAGCCGTGACGAGAGAATTATCAGAGACGGGGAATCCGAAGCGACATAACGGTCCTCATCCCGTTTTGTATAGTGCTATCATACAATACCTATCTACCTACCTATAACGTACATACAACATACCTCTAGCAGATTGCAGGAGAGGGAAAAAAAAGTTCCCTCTCGCCTTCACATTAATTGCCTTTCTCCTCACTTCATGTCGCCTCTGTCACCCCACGAATATTCCCCGAGCCGTCATACCAAGACTTTTCTTTTCTACACCGCAAGTTCAGAATCTCGACGGCATACAGAAACGTTCCAATGTATGTATGTACCGGCAGCGCCGGTAGTTAGGCAGCAATTACTTTCGGCGCCGTTGGTCTGTCGGCTGGCATGTAGGTATGATATGTATGGTATGTACGTATGTATGTTATGTGTATGGTATGGTATATTGGTATATTGGTGTATGCGAGTCGAAGGTTGGGGAATAGCAAGGACAGTATGAATACAACTACAACGATATGTATCTCAGGGGCAGATGTCGTGCGAGAGGCTCCGAACAACAACATGATCTGAGAATTGGTGATCACACGTCACATAGGTATGAGACGTTACCAACATCGCCCCCAGGGGAGAGGGAAAAGTCTCAAGGGATCGACGAAGAACTCTGATCTGATTCCCCTCGGTGACGGCGGCACGTCCCGCGCCAGCGCGCGAACGCCCGAGTATGTCCGTCGGCAGGCAAGGCAAGGCTTTTTTTCTGCCCTCGAAAACGAATTGCTGGCGCGATAGAGAAAGGGAACTAAGAGAGAGAAAAGGACGGGATGACCGATGCGGACGAATAGAGTGGGTGCCCAACGCCTGCACGAAAACGACGATCGACGCGCCCGTCATCACAGCTGCTACTCATGTCGAGCAGGCAATCTGTCTAGCCGCTGGAGCCCGATGTAGCTCATGCCTGCTCGCTTGCCAACCGCCTACCGCCCACAGTACCGACTACCCGTTTTTTTCGCACCTCGACATCCATGACGCACATGGTCGATGATGTACTGGGGTACTGGGTACCGGCTCGCTGCTCCGTGTGAAGATGACGATGCAACTCGACGACAAATGCCCCGGTATTTCCAATCTTCGGACTCTCCCCTTTGCCCCCTTCCTGACCCCCCAGCCTCCTTATTCCGTGGTTCCTGATGCCCCCAATGAGATGGTCGGTCGATCCCCAGATGTGACTGTCATAAATTAGTCTGATCGATAGTTTCCAACCAGTAAGCGGGAATATACTACCTACCTAGGTACAGACCTACCTACCCTTGGGCTGCTTGGGGTACTTCCCTCTAAACGCAGACCGCGCAAGCAATTCGCGCGCTACTGTGGAGATAAGCATCGCCACCAGGACACGAGATCATGTCCTTGGGCAATTCACTTGCCTAGCGCTGACGAGGTAATTTAGGATATGTGATTGCGCTAGGTATAGTCTTGGCCGAGACCATTCCAGTATCTTACCTTGATACAGTGTACTAGGTAGGCAGTTATAGGAGTTAACCTCAACCAAGACCAGTAAAAAGGGGGGAAATCCGAGACTCCTCATCTTCTACGACGATAGAGGTCTTGATCTTGTCCTAGTCCTGTTTGAGACCCTTTGCAGTTATACTCACCCCAGATGTATAAGTAATTTGCTACGACTTTTGAGGTACTTACGTGGGTAGATTGCTAGGCGTGATCTACGTACATGAAGTAGATCGATCTACGACCAGGGTAGCGAAATGATACTAAGGAACCTTTGTCCGGAATTCACGGAGTATATATATGTGTATGTACTTAAAGATACAAGCACCAAAGCAAGTTAAGTGTTGTTATAGTTAACACCTTTCAATCTTCAGAATATGGCTTTTTCAACCCCTATACAAGGTAGGACACGTGTAACTAGGTACCCCTGAGCATCGTGAAAGAGCGTAGCGCATCATCGCAAATCATTGAGGATTCACCATATATACCTAGGTAAAGATCGGGTATTCCTGCCGATGCGGAAGATGAATTGGATTCGTTTATCTGCGATACACATGAAACAGGTAGTTATAGTGGAAAATGAGAAAGCCCCCTAGTAAGTATGTAGGCTATGGGATTCCATCTCATGCGATTCTACGAAAGCCTATGATGAGAAATACACCACGTATGATAACGCGTACGTGTGGCCCTATGATGTGTCAAATCTACATGATCCTACACAGACTATCTCCTCAACTTGGTTAAGTCTGTAGAGCCCCCCCTGAATATAGTCCACCTGACCTAGTGGGCCGACCCAGTTCCCAGGTAAGCAGAATTCCACTTCGTAAACTTGATATACCTAGTCACAAGGACGACATATTCAAGTTAGATACCTAGTAGTTATATTCACAGTGACCGAGAAGTACAATTGTAACGTAGTTGATATCATATATAGGTAACTATGAAAATATAGCAAAAACTTCCCATGCGGTATCTCATTATCCCATGACCCACAATATGCGTTGCCTAGCAGCCGAGCATAAGAGACCTGCTCAGCCTCGTAATAAAAAAGAGAAAGAAAAGAAGAAAAAACTCACAACCAAAGATGTATACCTAAGTGCTAGCCTGGCGCCGCATTAAACTCCCTGCTCCCTAGGTATATCCCATAGCCGAAACCCACCAGCGAGGTAGCGCGCGCAAATTATTCCATCTAGTGTCCAACGCCATTATCATCCTGAGATTTGACTGTCCTAACATATCAAAGAAATAGCCCCTATATACGGATATGTGTGTCCCATTGATTATACCAGACCTTTCGCTTCTTCGCCCAGCGGTAGTCTATGTTCGTTGCTAAGTGATCATCTGTATTCTGAGGGTGGATACGACGGCACGTGGGGATTTAGGCCGTTCCCCTGCGGCATAGGCGGGTGATGAATCCCGTACGCATTGAAGGATTCGGCCGGGTGTAATGTGGACGGAATGCCCATACTGCTAACGGGTTGCGGCGTCCAGCCATGCCATAATATATCCAAATCGAAATCATTGTCATTGCCACTTAGCGGTTCCATTGATGGCGGCAAGGTGGCGGCAATACCACTATTCAACGTTACGCTTCCTTCGGGGCTAGGTTGCTGAAGCGGCGGCGGCATCATACGAGACATGGTAGGCTCCGAGTGCACACTCGACATGTTTGCTACCTGCCGGTCTTTCACCGGAGACATCTCATTGACGAACATATCCTGTCGTTCGGCTTTGACGTGCCGGAAGAAGGGCGACATCGGCTCATGGGGGAATTTATGCGAGAGCGTGGATATCGTGGGTACCGTCCTCCCGGGCAAATATATTTTCCTCATCGTCGAAGACTGATTCATATTTGCGGTGCGAAAACTATCGATGATATACGAGACTCGTTGAGCCTGTGCGTCCCTTTCCCCACAGTAGGCGAGAATGAGTAAGGCACTGTGGATGGAATTTTCCGCATCTGGATTATGATACAATGAAGCAAATTCGTTGCTCAAGATTATGAGTGCCGCTGCGAAGACGAAATATCTGTTTAATATAATAGGGGTCTCGCATCAGTTTGAGATCCCTTTGAGATTTTAATATGGTAGATGGGAGGTCTTACATTACAAAAGGATTGCACTGAGGCAAGTATTCAGCTTCCAGAGCAGACCGGGCGATAATTATCGTACGTTGCGAGGCCTCAACACAGATCTGAGAGAACTTCTCTAATCTTGGGCTAATGTGAGCCGTTTTGTGGGCACTCCTAGACATGTCCTCGCAGCCCATCTTGATGAGATATAGAAAGAAGGGCCGCGTGAGAAGCAGTACGGAGTGGCAATGTAGGAGATTCACGTGGAGAATGGCGACAGCCTGCGCTAAGTCGATTGGCCCATCTTTAATCCGTCGGCAGTGTAGACTTTGATGTAGTTCTCCCTCCCAGTTCTCAAGTTGATCCGCGATTTCTTGAGCCACGAAAGTCGATACTTTTCTCTTAGAGTAGACTTTCTTAAGCGTGGACCCAATCCAATAACAACTTTTCACTGCACTATCCAAAGCTAGTGAGTTTATTGCTTGTACATCATCCATCATAGGCTCCTCAGTACCGATCTCTGTTGGCGCCTCTAGCGCATGCGCGGAGCAGTCATCTTCCAGTATACTTATAGGGCGGCCAAGGCATGCCGCAAGGAAGCGATCGAGGACGAATAAAGTCCTCCACACGTTCGTCCGAACGCGACGTTCAGATGGGCTAAAGATCACCATGCTATCCTCCCTATGCAGTCCCATCGCGAAGGCGGACCGCACTGCCATCCCTGCTTACTAGTTAGATTCGTGGTTAAGGTAAAGAGGGAAAGGTATCGTAACTAGACGGAAAATGATGAAATGGACAATATTATATACCGTAGTAGAAGTACGATGCATTCCTCTTCGAAACGACCAGCTTATAGAGGGACATTAAGAGGAGGGCCTGGATTGACCAGAAGTCCGCATCCTCAAATCCCGACACCGGATTATAAATGTTTTCAGCATTTCGATAGAATAACTCAGCGCGACTAATAGGCTCTGAGTGCAAGCTTCGAATTATGGCAGCCTCATCGGTCCCGCGTATTGGACGAGCGATAGCTAAACCGATAGCAAATACCAGGTTTAGAAGGCATAACTGGGGTTGGGTCGTGCTGAGTGGCTCCTTGTAGCATTCATCTAGAGATCGGAGAAACTCCTTCTGAATGAATACGTCGATAAGGCCCGATGTCTACGACTTGGTGAGTCAACCTAAATTAAACATCAAGAATAAACATACGTTTGTGAAGAATGAGTCTACTAGTATATCAGCCGTCTTCTTATCAGGAAGCACCCCTGTTGGCTTTATCTCATATGGAAGCTGGATGGTATTCTCCAGAATGTTGTGTCGTTGGGGATCAAGGGTAAACTCTGATGGCCCGGAGACAGTCTCGACGATCATGCGGATCAACTGCAAGTAGGAAAGGCTTGCTGATTCGCCAACGTAAACTACCCACTGTATTAGCATGCGAAATACTTGGTCTCAAAGATACCTAGACAGGTAGTCCTCTGAAACTTGAGCCCAAGTATGAAAAAGGGGTATTTATAATTAACCCTTCACGGCTGTTCTCGATAGACATACTTCATGCATGTGTTTGAGGTATAAAGTACGGAATATAACGATTTGACTTGAGAGGAGAAGTAGGGGCATGCAGTTTGTCTGCAGGTGCCTAGATTTGTGTATTCTGACTTACGCAATCTTCCCGTTGTGTCCATCAGCATCCTAGGTAAGGTCACAATCTCAGCTTCATCCGCAGCCCCGCTAGCATTGCTAATCCGAGAGCGGGAGTCAAAATCGCGATCATTGCCGCCGAGAAAATGGCGACCCGTCCCTGCAAGCTTCTTCTGGCTTGACTCGGGAGGCTCGGCTTCCGCTAGGTTCATTGCTGACCTATCGGTAGGCTGATTCCACGGAACTAAAGACGGAGCGTGTGTCGCAAGAGCCTGGTTAGGCTCAAGGGTAGATTTCAACGTCCTTGGAGAGTTATCAATGTGTCGGCGTTTGGTCGGCGACCCGAGAGGCTCCTGTGACCCGGTTTCAAGGCTCGTTGGCGTGTACAAACAATCCAGGCTTCGTTTCAGACAGGTGCTACATGGTTTTAGTCCATTGCACTACAATAATATCCAAGTTAGCAGGGATAGCAATAAAAAACTCGATGCCCGTTTGAATCGTATGATAGCCTCTGGACATCCTGTCCACAAATGGCTACACAGCCACGCAAACAGCTGTGGGACCCAGGGAAATCATCCGAAAACATCAGCATAACACACGCCGTCGTTGCTCATGCTGTACACTGCTCAACTGGAAGACGCTAGGAGACAGGCTTGCCTGGTGGATGACCCGTCTATCTTGCTAACTCGCGCCTCCGTGGTCGATGGGTCGGCGATCTCACGTGTGAGGTGGTACAGGAAAGTCACCGACGATGTAAGGGAAGTAATGTTGAGGAGGAAGGGAGTAAACCTTTTTTTTTAAAAAAATATCAATTGACTGACCTTTTGTTTCCTACGCTTACATGAATCACATGCCTGGGCAGTGCGTTGCCTCTTGTCAGGATCAACCTTAGGTCGTGTCATGATGGTTTGAGCCACAAGAGGTTTAGGTCACATCCGCCATCCGACACCTTGCCACAAAACGACAAGACACAAGTCGGACAATGGAGAGAATAAAAAACAAATAACTTCGGGGGCGGCGCCGGTCTTACGGCACTTCAACGGCGGTCTCGGATGCGGACAATTATCCAGACTCAGCCCTATCGGAAAGCAGACGGCGGCTCAGGTACAGAGTCGTGGAATGATACGAATAATTGACTCGGGAGTCGTTTGTGTACTCGGCAGTGTGTAGAAGCCGATCTGCATTTGGGGTACGAGCAGGCAGCCTGAGCCCTGAGCTATTCTGGTACCTACTACCTAAAGGTAGGGTTGCTGTAAACGCGTGGGTGGCGGAAACTAAGTGGAGAAGAGTATAGCCGAGTGTATACAGGCCGTGGACAGGTGTCGAGCAACTTAGCTCTCACTGGAGCGCTATAATGATCTGTCACAACACCAGTTAAGTGAAGGAAGATGCGAAGAGGGCGTAGGATTTCTGGGAAACAGCGGGACGCGTCGGAAGCGGGAGATGAACGATGAACAGGAAAAGAGCTATCATGGGAAAGGTTTAATGGAGAGAATGCAAGGGCCAGCTTGTTAGGTAGTTTTTTTTTCTTCAAGGGGAGCCAACGTAAAGCCATGCACACTCCAAGTGGCCGGCTCGGCGCCCTCCTCCCTCACCGGACAATGGGCGGTCTCGACCGACATTGAGTTTTGTGGTCATGACTTCGATGAGAAATCGAGGCAGGGCTGGGTAGCCAGTAGGACCGTGATTGGGCAGCTGGGCTGTAGATCAATCAAGTGAGACTCCGTTAGGCAGTTAAGTGGCGTTTTAGCACGCCTCAAGATGCGGGAGATAGCGGCTTATTTAACCCTTCTTTTGACAGCTGGACTGTGGACTTTCTCGAGATAGTTGGAACTTGGACGATATTAGGAGTGCGGACTTTTTCTTGATATCCCACAACTAAGATCTTAACGGGATCCATGTGAAGATCATAGGGTCCAGAACCGGGTTATTCCTTTTTTTTAACAAGACATCTGAGTGTTGAAGAAGATATTAAAAAGTGACTGGTCAACTCCGTATCCACAATACACAGCAAATGTCTCGGGTTGGACTTTCAATTATTGGGTTCGCTACAGATCTTTAGCGGGTAGAATAAGATGATGAAAAAAAATCAAATCCAGGGTCTTTTTGAGATGTGACAAGAAGTCATAGTTCGTGTGCGGCTTGGTGTTCATCCTAAGTAGGTAGACTTAGGTATTATTAGATTTTGATGTTAAATAAAGCATGTAGACCCTTCCAAGTCAACTGGTTGCTAAAAAGTTAGGTACATGTAGTAGGCAGGTACGTACGGTATGTACCTGGTAAACCTTCAAATTTTCGCACGTGTAGCCTGGAGGTGGACATAAGTGCCAGGTGAGGTACATGTATACATGATACTCCGTACTCCGCAAAATATAGCTCGTATGGGACCTAAGAGGGATTAAACTCATCGGATAATGCACCTAAATGACCAGAAGGTTCAGGGGTTGGAGAGAATAGGTCGAGTTATGTACGATGGAGTACATGCCAAGGAAAGGATTTATCAGTGTCATCGCACATTATCAGTAAGTGAGATAAGTAGATGTAAGTATCTCGTCTTCTTTCCCAAACAGGATATCTTCAGGATCCACTGTCTAGGGCGTCTAAGGCAACTTCTCCATTTTTGCGGCTCAATCTTCTTCAACTACCAAAACTTACCTAAGACCTCCTACTCCCACTTAAAACCTCCCCATATTCCCAAGACCCAAATCTTCGCCGTTTATGTATGAACCGGCCCTCACATCCTAGAAGAGTAATCTAAGACAAGCTGCCAATGTCAGTCTTTGAAACCTGACGTGGCACTGGAAACCGTTAGATACCTAGGTACCTAGCGGATTTTACAGGGTCTAGAAGGATTCACTTTTCTCGGATGAAGCACCCGGCCCTCGCATACATGACTCCCAAGACTCCAAGAATCTCGTGGCTAATTTGCCAACTTCTCGATATTTCTTTAAAGCAAACTGTCTGAATAGGGGAATCGATTCGGTGCTCGAAATATGCACGCAACCCTTTAGATCAGATTGCTCCAACCTCACTCGCTCCGTATGCCCATCATCCCGTCACAGTTGACGTGAGCCGGCCCGCATTTAGAATAAGCTTGTCTTATCTACCGACATCATATTAACGTCAGCAGCGCTGGCTATTTTAAACATAGCTCGCGGCTATTCATTGCGAGGCGCCTAATTCGTTCATTGGAGCCGACTTAGAGATATCCACGCTCAAGAACCTTCTGTCCTTATCTCGACCTGAATACTAATCATCCAGCAGGTTCAGCCAGCCGCCGGCACCCTCTTGAAGTCATATTGGCATGAGGATTCCAATAGATCCTACAGCTTTGCGTCCACAAGAATGGCTCCCGCGTCTTCGGGTGTACTGCGAGAATTGACGTGTTAATGGACCTGGCCTTGGCTATCCTTAGTTCACCACCCCTTAAACAGTCTGGTACATGCTTGACTTCGAGTACATTGGCTATGGCAACAGCCCATAGCATCAATGACATGTTTCTATCCCTTACATACTAGGTACATATGCCATCCTGCTAGACGAGTCTCTGGGATCCTCTGATCGGCTGTGCTTTGTTTGTCGTTTCTTAGCCTAAAAATTTTTCTCGTCACTTATATATGTCCGAGTCACGATCTTACCGACAGGCTATTTCGGTGAGTTGCCCCGAATCTGATGGATCACAATATGATTACATGCGTACTATTATTTGTAGTTCATATTTCCTAGAGGTCTTTACTTTAAGTATTTTAGGTCACTATGTGTGGCACTCTCTCCTATATTCCTCTCTTTGCTCTGAGTACAAACATCCCCATATCGTTATTTACCATCACGCTTCTACCATCATGACTATCAGACAACTAAAAGCATCACTACCCATTGGCCAAGTGGGGCTCAGAAAGCACTCTGTAGGTGAAGGTGCGAAAGATGTCTTGGAAGAACTCTTGAAGTCCGCGAAGATGGAGCTTCCGAAAGAGTTTCTGAAATACGTTGATCACGTTATGTTCTTGAGAAATTCTCGTGCAGGGGATACAGTATGCCTTCCGTGCCCCCTGCGTGAACAAGAAACAGTAGCGGCACTTAAAGCGCTAGAGGGATGCGCTGCCGCTGCTATTACAGACGTTAGGGGGGCAAAGCGCGAAAGAGCAGTCAAAGTCAACCTAGAACGTGTGACCTCATTCTTAATGTCTGCGTATATCACCAACATCGACGGCTTGGATAAGTGCAACCCCAAGACCAAGAAACGAATCCCTGGTTCGTCTCGTATACCCACATCAGGTAAATTTAGAACCGTTTATGCTAACCAAGATACCAAGACACCGACCTAAATCAGGCACAGTCAAATATATATCGCCGTCTGTCAGCAGGCTTATACGAGACTAAGAATTTAGGTGAATACTACCATATACACGGGTCTTTAGAAGCCACCACGACTCTGGAAATGATTGGCCTTCCCGCATTTTTGCCCGGTCTAACGGATTACCGTGATTGCATTGAGACTATCGAAGGGGCGGTCAGAAAGTTTTCAGGAGCTGAGTTGGAAGAGCTGAATCGAGAATATCGGCAGGCAGGCGTTCCCGTCCTTACCAATGAAAAGTACCAGAAGACGTCTCATGGCCGAGCGATGGCGTCTCTCCCGCTATTTACAGTGAATCCCCTGGGCGTAGAAACGCCACCTGTTCCATTTGTAGAATCCACAAATGGGCCAAGTCAATGTCTGCAGGGACTTCGTGTTATTGAGCTGTGTCGGGTGATTGCAGGGCCAACTATCGGCCGATCCCTAGCAGCCCATGGCGCATCCGTCCTGAAGATTACATCGTCGCAATTACCAGATGTTCCATTCTTCCAATTGGACGTCAACACCGGTAAACACACCACATCCTTACACCTCAAAGACCCGCATGACGTCGCGATTTTTGAATCTCTCCTTGAGACTGCAGACGTGATAATTGATGGGTACCGACCGGGTGTCATTGCAAACCTCGGTTATCGACCCGAGGATCTTGCAGCAAAAGCAGCGCGACGCGGCAAGGGTATCATTTATGTAGCAGAAGACTGCTTTGGCGGCGCCGAGATAGGCGCAGAGTGGGCCGGCCGGCCAGGTTGGCAACAGATCGCCGACTGCGTCACGGGCGTGGCATGGGAACAAGGCCGATTCATGGGTCTTAACGAACCGGTCGTCCCGCCTTTTCCTATGTCTGATTACGGTACGGGATGCGTCGGCACGATCGCGGCACTCGCCGGCATATACCGCAGGGCGACACAAGGAGGTAGCTGGATCTGCCGAACTAGCCTATCACAATACAACATCTTCCTATTATCCCTCGGTACGTATCCGATCGACGTCAAAGACCAACTCCGTCGCGAACACGACCCTCACTTCTTCGAACTGCGCCATAGCGACTCTGTCGACGAGGTTAGCCAGCGAGCCTTAGCGAGTGTCAGACACCTCCACCCGGCGCTATTTGCAAGCCATATCATGCAGAGCGCATATAGTGAAGCTTATGGTGGTATAGTGACATGGACGAAGGAGCCACTACAGGTGGACGGAATCAAGATCGGTCATGTAAGACCGACACGGCCTAATGGATATGACAGGCCGACATGGGAAGACTGGGAGAGCGACGAGACGCTATTGGATGCCTGATATCTCACCCCCCAGGCCGGCGGAGAAATGCTAAAGATTTACGAGGGATCTACTTGCTGTGTGGTCGCACTGCAGTAGCGGCGGTTATCGTACTTTTTCTTCTTCTTTTCATTTCAACATCAGCGGGCGTCGTGGTATTTGTCGTAACTGGTGTTACATGAAAAAAGCATTATACGAACTCAGCTCCGGGGGACATCACTACCTAATTCTTCGCTTGATGCTACATAGGAAAAGTTCAGTTTTGATAGGTTCCGAGGTTGGCATAGCATCGCGTCTTCCTTATCATTCTTACCAATTTCTCTTCTTTTTTAATACTTCTTTAATAACTACCACCTTTCCTATATCATATCACACGAGTCAATTAATGATGATTAAATTCGCCCTATTTGTGCAGTTCCTAATGGAGAATAATAGTTAGACCAAAACTTGAGAAATGACAAAAAGGGGGACCCCAGTTTTTCGACATGAAAATTATCGATATGAGGTAAAGAAAAGCACATCTACGACGCCTCAAACTTGATACATTGATAACACGGCATGAAAAAGAACAGTAAGCACATAGTCTCTCTGAACGAAAAGGAAGAACTAAAATTGCCGTATTCGTTAGTTCGATTGACGACAGTGGCGATGCAGTCCCTCCCAAATCGGGTCCTAATAACCAAATAGACCCTGTTCGAAACGCCTTTTGAACTATTTTTGACCTATCGCTAAATCCCAGCTCGAGATCACGAAAGTTATGGGGAGGTAGAGTAACCAAGAAGTACCCGGCGGTGTGATAGAGGGGGTTTCTGGCTGTAACTATCGAGAGACTAGTTGCGCCGTCGTACTACAAGATCTGTTATCTCTCGCGAATGACACATCACATTCACAGCTACGCCTCGATCCTCTCCCCGCAGGAGTTCAAGTTACCTACATACCTACATACTTACTTACATACCTGGTAAGTTATCAATATAACACATCTCGTCCCTAAAATAAAACGCCCCCTTTTTCCCCTTACCGTACGGGCTATATTCTAATCACGTTTTTATACGAGACCGCAGCTCTTGGCCGGCGCGAGAATCAGGCGATCTTGATCTGCCTTACCGACTTCACTTGCGCAATCTACTTACACAGGAGACGCACGAGGCCGGCGGTCTACGGCCGCCTGTTGGCCGGGAGCCCCAGCTGTCGCCGGCTAGGTGCAGGGGTTTGGTCGAGGGGGTGGGACAGCAGCTACCCGCATTACAGCACCTTCGTCACGAGTCCAGCTCGTCGGACCAACCGCTTTGTAATCCAGGCTCTCGTATTTCTTACTTTTTTTTCTTTCCCCTTTCCCCCTTCCCCGCTAGGCGAATTTACCTAGATCCTAGGTCGAAAGGTCGCAGGGATCTAGCTGATGACGGAGGAACGTCTAGATGCCCGACGGGCTTCTGAAACCGTCGTAGAATGTCGGCCAAGACGTCACGGCCCCGCGACGGAGGACCAGAGACGAGGGACCGTCGATGCAAGGCTGCTTCCCTCATCGAGAGACTTTCACTATGCAGCCACGTAGCCACGTTTCTTACCTAGGTAGGTATCTACCAAGCCAGCTCTGGCTTTCCCTTCCCTTGGCATCAGCAGTTTTCTGTATTCGGTAACCAACGTAAACCCACCCCCGTGCCCTCGAGTCGGAGTGACAGTGACGTACGGGCGACATTCCGTCGCGGATATTGCCGCGCCCACGAGCGCGCATTCCTCCTGCCAGGAGCCGAAAAGGCTATAAAATGGCGTGAGAGGATGCGGAGTGACATGTGCCACTGGAAACTAGCTCGTAGATTAGAAGCACTATGAGCCACTATCTATCAGCGCCTATTTCGTACTTGACGGGTGATCTGGAAAACACCGACCGACGTCTGGCGTTATTGGTGACGCTGCGTGTCTCACTCATATATCTATCACTTTTGATTGTGATGATGTACGTGCAAGAACATGACAGCGAGGCTCATGACGCGGCTGTCATGACACTTATATCTAAATTGGCTTTCTTGCATTTGAGATTGCTTTTGCTTCGTTCTTTTTTCGGTGCGTGATGATTTGAAAAAGTACGAAACGGAGATGTGATGGCCTGACTTGGTTATTTATCATACTGAAATGACTCGATAGGTTTGAGGCATTATTTTGACATTCTAGCCACAACATGTCAAAAATTAAAGTACGGTATACCTAGTAGGTAGTAGTTATCCTAAACAGAGTGACTTGATGCTATTGTTGAAAGGGCTCACCATTGACTTTCTAGAATGATTTACATGGTGAATTAGAATAGAGATGACATAATCATGCACGCATCACTTTTAGCATATACGAGATAATATGTTCGTAACAAAAAAAAAGGGAAACAAAAATAAAACTTCAAAAGATCGCAAGGTCCAACATGAGAAAAGGCAAAAGAATTAGTCACGCCGTGGATCGAACACGGAACCTTCTCGGGACTTAGGAAGTGGAACACATCAATGTGAACGAGAAATCATAACCATTAGACCACGCGACTGTTGACAAATCTCTGCTTATTGTGCAACATATACCAAATCTGCGCAATACCCCACCAAACTTCCCGTTAAGCCGACCAGACGATAGCGTAGAATAGCGTCAAATAGCGCTAAAAGTCCACTTTCTAATAGGCACTAAAACTTCTAGATATACATCCACAGGTAACCTTTTCATACATGAAATGACTTATTCATTTGTGAAATATGATCTTCGGAATTTCATCATCGAAAAAAATATAGGCTATATGTTATTGCAACATATTCCGTTATCTTTCCCTCAAGTTGCGGAATAACTCCATTAGAAAACATTAGGAAGAATCCAGAGATCCAAAACCAAGTGCATCATCTCACCTCTTCCCAAACAAGATCAAGCGGTCTACCTTTCACCAGACCTACCAACCTATCAGCGACCTCGGTATCTCATTTCCTTCCTCCCCGTCATTCCCATTACAAGATAGCCTCCGGCATTAGGACGCAGGGAGATACGAGCCTGGAGCCGCGAGGGCGCCAGTTGCCAATGACGCTTCTCGGTACGTCGGTAGATCAGGACGAAGTGGAGTCTGCCAAAACCGATCGAGCGCAACTCCCACCGAGGATCTATCCAGATCAACCGAAGTAGCGATGGGGAATCTTGACACATACATACGATCGACCATACCTGGAATCGTAGCATTGCGTCGGACCGAGCTTTCTCATTCTCATTCTCAATTCTCCTCGTAGTAGTATCTATCTCGCGCGCAGGCCACCACGAGCGAATCGGCCATCGCGTAATCAGAATCGAATCTTTGACTACTGACTTACTCCAGTCTGCAGTACATACTCCGGTGCGATGTATAATTTATCCATTATGGGGTTGTGCGCACAAGCTGGGTCCCATCATAAACCCCATTGCGACCTTGGCTATCGCTAACCTCAATATGACACGCCGTCCCTTGATAGGGCGAGAGGGAGTGCTCAACGAGGGATGGGGCATTTCGGTGCTCCGTTCCCGTTCCGGTCCCCGAATTAATATACCATTGCTGGTCTCAGGACCTCAAAACTTTCACGATCGGACCCCTATTGCACACCTACTTACCTGCTCTTCTATCATATCTTCCCTGTGACGCCCTGTCGGTGGAGTTTTTGCAATATCTCTTCATGTATACCGCATGAGTGACGGTAAGGAGGATAGCGATGTCGGAGCGTCCTGAATGAACGCCCCTTAACGGTATCTTTCTGGTAGACATTTTGAGTTTTGTGTCGTCGACAGTTGCATATGTAGAATGGCTTATATACTACTAGGTAGTAACCTTCCATTCCATAAGGTTTCTATCTGCATTGGAAGCCTCGTACCTGGTGAACTGTCTTGTTGCTGCCCAGTAATCTTATTGTCCTAGAACCTCGAGGAATCTGATGGTTTTGCGTTTCTCCTTACTATCAAATAATACCTGAGACGCCCAACTAGGAGCCGCAAATATGAATAGACCACCCACCGCTAAACCCAGGGCACCCCCCGTCGACTCCCCCCTGGTAGGAGAGGAGATAACACCGACATACTCTACCTCGTCCGCGATACCTATTGACGAGCCACCGGATGGCGGGTTCCTAGCCTGGTCCCAAATCGTCCCGGGTCACATCGCCAATATGCTATCATGGGGTTATGGAACGGGGTTTTCAGTGTTTCAACTATATTATAAGCAAACCATGCATCTGCCGGCCTCACAAGTGGCTTGGGTTGGTTCGATCCAGATTTTCCTCTGTTTCGTAATCGGTATGGTCTCCGGCCGGCTGTCTGATGCGGGATACCCGAAACTCTTATACGCCACCGGAGCCATAGTGACCGTGTTCGGCATGTTCATGACCAGCCTGGCAACGACATATTGGCAGGTCTTGCTCGCACAAGGTTTCTTAACCGGCATCGGCGGCGGTCTGATGTTCATGCCGGCCACCGCAAACGTCGCCACATACTTCAAGAAGAACCGATCACTTGCCGTCGCCTTGAACGGGTGCGGGTCGAGCACTGGCGCAATACTGTTCCCGGCTCTAGTCCAATTTCTCACACCAAAGCTAGGCTTCGGGTGGGCGGTCAGGATATGCGGGTTCATAGGCCTGTTCTTGGCCGTCATCGGATTCTTCGTCTTAAAGCCGCGAAAGTTGCGAAGAATACCAGCCCCCGTTGTCGACTGGAATGCCTTCAAGAACATCCCCTACTCCACGTTCTGTGCCGGCGCGTTTCTCATATACTTCTCCCTATTTACCATGTTATTATACGTAAGTTCATGATGATATCATTTCCGTAACAACTTGTGGGTGTTGTGCTGACTATGGTCTCTTCCAGATCAACTCCTTTGCACGCGAGAGCATCGGGCTGAGCAATCAAGAATCGATCAACTTTGTCCTAGTCACAAACGCAGTTGCTATGCCCGCTCGACCCATCTTCGGTGTCATCGCCGACCGCTATGCCGGCCCTGTCAACACCTTCGGCATAAACTGTATCGCCTTAGGGATCATGGCGTTTGGTTGGATAGGTGTGCATACACGGTCAGATATGTATGCTTATTCTGTGGTAATGGGTTTTGTGAACGGAGGTGCCCAGGGCATCTTTAGTTCTGCTGTAAGCAGCTTCGTCAAAGACGTTACAAAGATGGGCACATGGATCGGTATGGCATTTGCTCTCTGCGGGTTTGCTACTTTGGCTGGCCCTCCTACTATGGGTGCCATCATCGATGCTAGCGGAGGGAGATATATATGGGGACAGCTCTGGGCAGGATTGACTATTGTTATCGGGGGTATTTTTATCCTCGCATCTTCTAGACTAGTAGTGAAAGATCGAGGGGGGAATATATGGACTAAAGTCTAAAAGGGAAACAGGATAACCTAGGGATTGGGTTGGAATATTGGATTAGACCTTCAAAGAGGATGTGCATACGGCTGTATAGGGAAGTACAGTAGGTAAGTATGCCACGCCAGCGACTGAAAAGAGACTCGGAAGCGACGCAAGATTGCAGGAAATTATGAAATCAAACGAATAAGCGATATACTATTTCAGCAATAGCTAATGTAATAGACCTGAAGTTGAATTGGTATGTTACCTTATAATGTGTGAAAACATTCATGTGGTGTTTCAAGAGCCCGAAGAGAGGTGTTGGTAGGGATTGTATAAGTTTCGCTATACCTACCAAGCGTTTCAATGGATTTTTGACGATGCGGACGATTCGAATGTGGAGGCCTCGAGAAGTGTAGGAGGTAACCCAGTTGTGGCGTGGCTGAGCAGTTGACTCTATCCACACTAGCCACACTAGCCACATCGGTTAATTCATGGCAGGGATCAATTCCATGCCATGAAACGCGGCAGATCCAATTAACCTTAATTGCCTTGGTCAGACCTTAGATAATGCATTAGTTTATCTGTAGCTTGATACAATTGACATCATCATTCGTCTGAGCTGTTCATACATCGTACGTATAGTGCAACCATACAACAATCTCGCATATTCCAAGGTCGGTTGCCTCAATTTCACTTCCACTTCCACATCAGTCATGAAAAATGAAAAAGAGATGACAACCAATCCTTTCGGTTGCTAGCTCGGTTATACACGTTAATCCGAGCCGAAAAGAGCTCGGTTCAGGTATCATTCAGCTGGTCCTTCAAGCGCGGTAGCTTCTAATTGGCCGAGACGAGTTGGTACTGATGCATGATCGATCATCAAGGCGAAAACTTGAAAACTGTTACAGTGCGTGTTTATGTCATTAGCTGTCAGTGCAGGTTTTAGGAATTAAAAAATCTATGATAATTCTACTATTTTCATCTCTTTATCTTTAAAAGTCGCTTCTGGCTCTTTGTTAGGAATTTTTAATGTTTCAGAAGGAACTCGTGATTGGAACGGTTCACCCAATCTTCCATCTCTACTAGCTCAGCGAGCCCAGCGCTTAATTTGGATATCAATATTTCTTTGAAGAGTTAAACTCACGACGATCGCTTGCTTACTTTCAACTACCTCGTACTTCACTTACCTCGGTTCCTATATTCATTCTTGTTCCTCTACATAATTCTCTTTCAATAATCCATCTGCCGCTAGGCAGTCAATTCCATCTTACTCTAATTCCTAAACAAGATGGCGGCGTTTATCGCAAAGAAGATCCTCAAGGAGACGGCGGGCAACCAATTTGGAATAAAGGTTCGCGATATCTATTTCTATCAGCGCCATTTACTCAATGCGATGCGCTTGACAACCTTGAGCGCGAACCATGCTAACACAACACACTATAGGACCCGTACTTTGAGGAAGTTCCCGCGACGAGACTGGACGGTCGACCGTCGAGAACGAAGACTAAGAAAGTCCGTAAGGCTTTGCCGCCTGGCCTCTCGGAACACGATGCCCAGGTTTTGACCAAGGTGAAGAGAAGGGCATACAGACTAGATATGAGCCTGGGAAGCTTTATGGGGTTAAAGTTAGGATGGGGTAGCTTAATTGGCCTTGTCCCATTGTGAGTAGACCTGTTCCTTTCGGATTATGGTTAGTATGTACTAATGCAAGTTGACTCGGCAGCGCTGGCGATGCCGTGGATGCGCTCCTTGCGATGATGGTCGTTCATACTGCGAAACAAGTAGAGGGAGGGCTCCCGACTCGAATATGGGCTACCATGTACATCTGGGTGATCATTGATTTCATCGCCGGGTTGGTACCCTTCGTTGGAGATATCGCAGACACCCTCATCCTGGCCAATACCCGCAATGCCATAGCGCTGGAGGACTATTTACGTAAGAAAGGAAAGAAAAATCTCCGCGCAACCCATCAGCCGGTACCCGATGTTGACCCCAGCGACCCATCCGAATTCGATCGGTTCAATGCTCAGTCACAAGAACGCGGAACAGATTATCCTGCGCAAGAAAGTGGTGTCGCACCCGCTCAACCGCCACGGCCGGGTCAAGCAAGGGTTCGTGACGATCGACGGGCCAGCTCTGGCAGAGGTTTCTTTGGTCGGGGCAGCCAACGATCTCGCCCAGATGATGTTGAGATGGGGACCCGCTAAGAGTCGGAATCTGTGGGGTTAATTACCTACATGGAACCAGGTCACGTAAAGTGCTTGGAGGGGCTGTGACGCGTCACACTATCATACATGGGATTTGACTATTCTAGGTGGTAATCTGTAGCAACGGCGGTCGGTTTGCTTGTCTTGTCTTATCAATCATTGCGGGTGTTTCATACCTGTAATTCGTGGATCCGTGGTACCCATACGATCAATTTGATATGTAGATAGATTCACGATTCACACATTGCGGGAAGCATGGCTTGTTCAAGTGTAACGGCAAACAGAGACAAGGGGTTGATAAATGATACCCAGATACCAGAGGAAATATTGACAGACGGGAAGATTCGCAGCTAAACACGAGACAGTGGTTAGGACGATTAGATATCCAAGATAATTTATCGGGATCGATGAGAACATAAGCTGTTTAGAATGTACTGTGGCGTAAAAGGTACAAGGTAGGTATCCTACATTTGAAGGCGTAGAATTACCCCTCGTACTCCGAGGACACTGTCCGACATTTTCGACTTAAGACCGATATTAGGTCCGGAATTGAACCGCTCAGAGTCGACGATGACTCCCACGACGAGTAATCATTACCTGATCTTGAATCAGCTAAGAACTAGGGATCCAATCCATTCCTTTTTGGTCCACTGTTTATCTCGCGACTGTGATCTGATAACTTTAGTTGGTGCCGATGAATCCATGTTTGTAAGACCTGAAGCTAGGGCTGGCTTGGCAGGCAGGGACCGAGTTGGCCGACGCTGCGAGCTTCCTGCATTTTTTCCCGAAAGAAACTGTACCTGCCGCAAAAAAATAAGTTGGGGCTGGCTGGGCAACTTCCCTCGGATCGTCATGATGTCCGTGTCTAAGTGGTACGTACACTAGTACCGTGGGAAAGTGGTACCAATGTGCTCTAAAGTGGTATTAAAGTGGAGACATAATCCCTGTTAACGCGCGAAAAAAAGTGGCGGGATGTTTGGTCGCGTCTATGATCGCGTTACTCCTACTGATCTGTGCACGTGACTTGGCGCGAAACGCCCTTTTTAAAAAGATCTTGATTCCGACCAATTTTCTACACGGTTTTCACTCTGCATCATCAATCAAGACCAATCTTTCCACTTAACGCGTAATTGTTCAATTGAACTTGGTAAATATCATAGCTCAATTGCCAATCTACAACATACAATTACAATCCCTTCATCTAACCCTCCATTCACAATGTCTGTTGAGCTTACCCCCTCCAAGAAGGTACGTGACATCGTTGACCGCTTTCCAATAAATTTCGTCAATACCACATATCTTTACATTGTCAATTGATACTAACGCATCATCCTACATAGGCTGCTTCCGCTTTCGAGTCTCTAAAGATGGACTCTCCCATGAAGAAGCTTGACTTAGGCAAGGAGAACGCTCCTTTCGATGCCAGCGTCGATGCCATTGCCAACGAGATCGAGTCGCAGAAGGTTATCGCCACGAAGGAAGAGAAGCCGGCCGTTGCCGAGACTATCACATCCGAGGAGGCTGACGAGCCTATCCTCCAAGAGAACCCTCAGCGATTCGTCCTATTCCCTATCAAGTACCACGAGGTGAGTGACGCGTCTAAGACGCGTAAAGTGGTTTTCCACGCGACATACGCTAATAACGAAACATAGATCTGGCAAATGTACAAGAAGCACGAGGCTTCCTTCTGGACTGCCGAAGAGATCGACCTGTCCAAGGATCTTCACGATTGGAACAACCGACTAAACGAGGATGAGAAGTTCTTCGTCTCTCACATCCTTGCTTTCTTCGCCGCCTCCGATGGCATTGTCAACGAGAACCTCGTCGAGCGATTCAGCGGTGAAGTCCAGATCCCTGAGGCTCGATGCTTCTACGGTTTCCAGATCATGATGGAGAACATCCACTCTGAGACATACTCTCTCCTCATTGACACCTACATCAAGGAGCCTGCCCAGAAGACCCATCTCTTCAATGCCATTGACACTATCCCCTGCATTCGCCGAAAGGCCGACTGGGCTCTTAAGTGGATTGCCGACAAGAAGTCTACCTTTGCTCAACGTTTGATCGCCTTCGCTGCCGTCGAGGGTATCTTCTTCAGTGGAGCTTTCGCTTCCATCTTCTGGCTCAAGAAGCGTGGTCTGATGCCTGGTCTTACCTTCTCCAACGAGCTTATCTCTCGTGACGAGGGTCTCCACACTGACTTCGCTTGCCTGCTCTTCACTCACCTCAAGAACCGCCCCGGCAAGGACGTCATTGAGAAGATCATTGTGGACGCTGTCGCTATCGAGCAGGAGTTCCTGACGGAGGCTTTGCCTTGCGCCCTGCTCGGCATGAACTCCAACCTGATGAAGCAGTACATCGAGTTCGTCGCTGACCGCCTACTTGTCGCCCTTGGCAACGAGAAGGTGTACCGCTCTGCCAACCCATTCGACTTCATGGAGAACATCTCCCTTGGTGGCAAGACCAACTTCTTCGAGAAGCGTGTCGGTGACTACCAGAAGGCGGGTGTCATGGCCAGCACCAAGAAGAACACATCTAACGACGACGTCGCGACGACAGATGGCCAGAGAGAGAACGGAGGTGACTTCACCTTCGACGATGACTTTTAAGCTCGTCGCTCAATACTCCTTTCTCTTACCTGTTTTCGATACCCCCTTGCCTCTTGTACCATAGTTGCTTGCGCCTACTCATACTCTCCCTCGACATTAGAGCCTAGAGGGTATATAATGCATAGAACCGGCGAGCAATTGCGTGGCGCACGGTTGGATCCAGCAACTCCACTATTTGGATTGTTGGATTCCCTTTTCCTTTTGTCTACATTAATGAACACGGTCATCCGAAGGTGTTTTGGCGTTGGGACTCGCGGTTGCTTTTTCGACGTCACGCTTTCGACTATCGAGGGATGACGGTCCGCGATGGGGGGAGGCATGAAATGAAGAAATCAATTGATCAATAAGATGATGGTTGGGCGGAATGACTTGATGCATGGAACGCGGACGTAGTTAGCTAGAGCTGCAAAGACAGCTGGTGATTAATACAATCACGATGAGGAATATTCATGCCTTCTTGCTTATGTGACTTGATGCCATGCTTTCATTTTCATGTTTATCGTACTGGCTATGCCTAAACGCCAAGGCTCACGTTGCTGTACTTTGGGAATCCCTCTTTTGGGCAACGATTCCATAGAAATAAGGACCTTGTCTTTCACCACCCTCACCTCAATCTCCCTTTATCAAGGCCACGGAACCCTCACCCCCCTTTGTCCAATGTCTCACCTCACCTCATTTCTTCCCCTTCTTCTTCTTCCCCTTCCCACCACCCCCTCCACCACCGCCACTTCCTCCCTGCTTCCCATCACTCTTCCCCTCCCCCTTCCCTCCCGCCGGAGTGGTAGTAGCAGCAGCAGTAGCAACCTCACCCTTCTCCTCCACAGCAGCACCCGCATCAACCATAACCTCGTCCGCAGCCTCCCCCAACGGCAGCGCCGCCATTCTCGCCCCCAGCGGCTGGCCTAGGCTCAGTATCAGCCGCGATACCTCCGCCGCTTTCGTCGTGCGGTATTTCAGACACGCGCCGGAGTGCGGGTCGTACGTTTTTAGGGTTAGAGAGCCGCGCGGCGCGGCAACCGCAGAGGTGGAGGAGGAGGTGGGTTGGTCGGTTTTTTTTATCCGTCGGGGTTTGGGCTTTGAGATGTGGTATTTGGTCGTGATGCGGGTCTGTGGGTGGTGGTTAGGTTATGTTAGATTTTCGAGGTTGGAGGGAAGGGGGGAGGGGAGGGGAGGGAGACATACGGTAGTTGGCCGCGCCTCGATGAGGAGCGAGGACTGGTGCAGCCATTCCTGGCTTGTTGCGTAGTACGGCATGGTTTCTTATGCCGCTGATTCTGTGCTTGTTGCTTGAGATAATATGCACTGATATGCACCCTTATTTTTTGAGCGGACTTGTTCGTTTCTGACCCGGCGCTGGTGGTAAGCTCGCGGTCTCGTGTGGTTGAAGTTGGATATGAATTTTGGTGTTGTCCAGTAGCAAAGGAAGATTTAGTGATTGTCGGTAAGCGTGGGGCGTTGACAGGGATTGGTTTGGAAGCTCCATGCAGGATTGCGGGGTAGCTCCAGCCTCGTTCAAATTTCTATCTGGATAGTTACATATTGCCCTTAACAGATTTTATATCTTCACTTTCAAAGGAAATCATAATACGAATCAGGATTTCATTTCTCATAAATCAACTATCAAACGATGCCATTTTATACGCCACCAACAATGCAAATGGGTATCTTCCATAAGTAGTTAACCGCAACAGTCCCCTTTTGTATATTATCCTTTTAGACGTGAGGGGCCAGATTCCAACCTCCCATCTGTCACGGAGATCATGATGGTGGAATATCAGATCGAACCCATCATAGACCAAGATTAAGGCGTCTAATGTCCGGATATGCCCCCTAGGCATGTGGATCCGGTAGCCAAAACACCAAATCTTGATCTGCCGAAGCGAAGAGGTTGAATCGAGGATTCATAGCAATGACTGCTGCCGGTCTCTCATCCTCTAGCACGTGGACCGGCTCCAGAATATTCTCGGAAGTTTGGCCTAGGGTGTCCCATACGACAGCACCCTTCTTTGTACCGCCGATGACATATCTTCCATCTTGAGTAAAGCAACAGTCACCGCTACCCTCGACGTGGCCGCCGTTTGGTCCACCACCATTGGTCATATACTCTTCCCCAGCGCCCAGTCTGTTGGTGCCGCCCTCGCCTTTGTGTAAGAAGGCCTTAAGGCTGCCATTGAACGAGTCCAAGAGGAAATGACCCTCGCCCTTCGTGCCTAACAAGATGGAGCGTCCGTCATTCGCGAATTCTAGCTTGGTCCAGCCCTGTAAAGTATTGTTTGTAGTTACGGGAGAGACCGCATCCATGACGTCGAATTCTGCAAAAGGCGCCTTGTCGAAATTTCGATGGTCGTAGAGTAAAACAGTTCCTGCAGTAGGTGATCCTACCGCGAAGACTTGTCCACTCGGATCCCAAGCAGCAAGATATGGGAAATTGAGATATAACAACCCAGTCTCGTTCTTAGTTCCGGCATTCCATAATCGAATCGTGTTATCCTTGCTGCATGAGATGAAATCATCGTGGCCAGGATGCATTGCTAAACACGTAACTGCCGCCGAATGGCCCTCGAAATATCGTAAGAATGTATTGTCATGGGTGGTTAAGTATCGGATCGCATCTACTCAAGTCCTTAGTATTAGCATTTCTTCAATTGAAAAGGGAGCGCTTAGTCTCGGGTAATCCGAACCATTTTGTTTCGTGCTCGCGTAAATAATACTCGAGCTGTTGTGCGTGAATTTTGCCAGTTTGGCACCATACTTCTTGCTTAGAAGCTGCTTGTCGTGTTTACCCTCTCGAACTTTATAGATCTGGATCGTTTCGTTGCTCTCAGACGTCATCAAGAGCTCGCCAGGGTCATCGTAATCGAGACTAAGAACGTAATGTTGCGAACGTCCATCTTTCTGGTCACCACCCTTAAACAGCTGCAGTTTGTATAAGTCAGTATTCCTAAATACCTTTCGGCATAGTAGAATATTACCTTAGTAGGCCTGTAGTTCGCGACAACTTCAGTAGTAGTTAAGGTACTAGGCAATCCGTTCCCTAAAGTACGAGTGATGTTAAGAGATGTAGACGGTGTGCCATTGGCAGGTGATGAGGAATCAGGGATATCGAGATCCATCGGCGTCGACGCCATGTTGGCAAAAAAAGGCGAATTAAAGACCAAAGTCGGATTGCGAAGAATATGCTGCGTAGAAAGTTACAAAAGTTGCGAAGTTCAGAAGGAAAGCTACAAGGCTTAATTGCAGCCGACGAGTTCACTATGAATTCTTGGCAAAGTTTTGGTTTACCTAGATATGCAAATAACAGAATGGGGCTAATGACGGAGCAGAAGAGTTTACTCTATCGGTGCTTCGCGTAACATTCGGAGAAATATATTACATAATCAATATTCTAAGACACTCCTTATCTTCCTCCCTCCATTCTCCTTCATCAACTCTTCTCTAAAATGTAATTGCATCACTCATACTGGCACCGCCTCAAAACGGTGGTTTGCCTCGATTATTTTTTCTTTGATCCTAGCATTTCAAGGTCAATCGCGTCCATTATGTATTATACGAGCCAGCAAGTAGTATTCCCGCAAACTAGGCGGCCTCTCGTAGGTTCCTCTATCGACATGACGTAGCGTTATTACTTGTTTGTCTGTCGGTCAGCTGGTTCTAGGACCGGATCTACTCAGCCCCTACAGAGTAGAAATAGTAGAGAATACTGAGCTATCACTCGCTTCAGTATTTGGTGTTAGCGGCTGCGTCGAAAAGGTGGGTGGCAATGAACGGCTGACCTGCAGTGATTAGCTCAATTCGTTTCCTCTTTCAATTACTTTTGCAGGGCGCGGGCAGTTCAGCCCCCAAACACATATAGGTAGTCTTCTACTTATCTTATTTACTTATTTCCTTCGTTCTCCAAATTTCTATTCACCAGTTTTTTAAACTGTCGATACTATAACATCATACAGACAGAACCTGGCACAATGGATCTGTTGGGGATACAAGAATGGAATCTAGATTCGTCGTTGCAGCCAGCGAAATATTTGCTTCCTAAGTTGCCCTCAAAAGCTAAGTCTCGACTTAACCATCATGGTTTCCGGGAGCAGGACAGCAAGATCGCCGAGGAGAGGTTCAAGAAGCTCAAGGCCAAGATAGATTCTCTAAATCAATCAGAAGAGCAATTATGGGAAGACCAACAACAAAGGCTACGAAGTAGTGCGGATGAGAAATTATCGGATGCATCTAGGACACAAAAAGAAGCCGATGCGATGGATAGCAGTGTCCCAGAGGATGTTAAAAATCTCTATGCGGAGGCGACGCATGAATTCCAAGAAACGCAAAACTCATTAAAAGCCGCTCTGGGAAATCTTGGTAAAGAGGGACAGTGCAGCAGCTTAGAAACAACGGCTCAACAACTCCTTGGGATGCAGCGTGAAAAGGAGGTAGCGGCATTCAGGAAGATACTACTGAAACAAGAGATGGCCAATTTAATGGCGGGAGCAGGCCTACGGAATAGGAATGGTGCCTCGAGTAGGGGTCGAGTACTAAAAGCTATCGAACCGGTCGCCGCCAATGACGAAGGGGAGGGGTCCGAAAGGGCGGAAGATCAGGAAGATGATAAGCCCGTGAACGAGACAGATCGATGGAGGATGAGAATGTTGGAGTTGGAATTGGAAATTCAGGACAGGGAGAACTGTATATGTGATCGAGACGCCGACATTAAGCGCCTCAACGAATATTCTAAGGAATTGGAAAGGCGTTGTAGAGAAGAGAAAAACCACCAAATAATGACAAGGCTTGGTCAAATGAGAAAAGAAAAGAGGGAGGCGAAACTTCAGAGGCTGAAGGAAACCATCCTCGTTCGACAATACCGATATTACCACGGCTCTGAGATAACTCTACGGAAACGTTCCCATCAGACTATGATGGGACATCACCACGAAGGCGTGTTTGAATCCCGGATTGCAACGGATAGTTCATTAAACAAGGAAGACAATTCAACGGAACCACGCTCCCTCAAAGTACTAGAGAGGTTGATAAGCGATGCACAAATTTTGGAAACATGTATCCAAAAGATTCAAGAGCACTGCAAGAAGCTTGAGGATGTAATAAATTTGAAGCAAGTCTTAGAGAAAGAGTTGGAGCTAGAGCGGAAGTGGTTGGATTATTCGAAGGGCGTCAACTCGGTGAAACCGGACGATAACCCAATAACCCATTTGATCGACAAATACTTTTTTAGTAGCGGGATATCTAACAGAGGATTCTACGATTCACTCGAAAGAGATGAATTTAGGGTTCTCGTAGTAGCACCGGCGCCAGAACCATTTTACCCCTTGGTTTGTAAATTGGAGACCTGGCCTATAACGAACGCAAAATCCACCCAGCAACAGTACGCAGCTCTGTCATATGTCTGGGGCCGAGATGAACTTTATAACGGTCGAATCTACCTCCTACCTAGCGACAGTACATTGAACCTATCGGATTCGAAAGAATGGGGATCTGCGATAAAGAACGCCACTCCGGTTCCTATCCGAAACAATCTCTTTCGGGCTCTTCTCCGGCTCCGACGGCATGGACATCAGGCTCAACCAGTGGCTCTCTGGGTTGATTTTCTATGTATAGATCAAGAAAACTCCGATGAAAAGACGTATCAGCTACCTAAAATGGTTGATATTTATCGCAACGCTGGAAATGTGTGTATCTGGCTTGGCGAGAGCGACGACGATGGGCGTAGCGACGAGGCTATGGAGTTTATTTCCACCATCGTAGATCTGGCAGTATCAGACCACCTTGCCCACGATAAAAGCCAGGCTAGGAAATGGTACGCGCTGGGAGAATTAATGCGAGATCGATGGTTTTCGCGGCGCTGGGTCGTACAAGAGATTGCTCTTGCGAAAGAAGCAACGGTACATTGCGGTGGGAGCATTGTGCGATGGTCCGATTTTGCTGATGCTGCTTCTCTTCTGGTTTCTAACCAGGAAACTATTAGATCGCTTTTTGACTTATCGGAGTGGCGAGAGGGTCAGAAGACACTTGGCGATGTTGACTCGTTCGGTGCCTCTATTCTTCTGGAAGCGACGAATAATCTTTTCCGAAGGAAGCCGAATGGCGACATCAAGAAACCCATTAAAACAATCGAATCGCTTGTTACATCATTAAGAACCTTCGACACAGGCGACCAGCGCGATCTCATCTATAGCCTCGTGGGTATTGCTGAGGATACATCCTATGAAATATGGAACCATAATCCCGGCCACGGCCATGAGAACCCATTTGAGTTTAAAGTCGACTACAGCCAATCTAAAGTTGCCGTTTATAACAATTTTACTCGTTTCTGCGTTTCGTCTTCCGGGTCGTTAGATATTATCTGTCGCCCTTGGGCAATGCTACCTGAAGACGGCGCTACATTGCCCTCTTGGATCCCTCTCTTATCGAATTCGGAATTCGGAGTCCCGGAGGAGGTCTACAGCGGCCGTAAGAATGGCGAAATCTTAGTTGGACCGGCGGGGTCTCCAAATTACGAAGCTTCTGGAAAGACCAGATTCGATGGAACATTCGAGCTTCCAGAAACCTCGAGGCAAGTCTCTCGTATCCGTTCTAGAGGAAACAAAGCCACTTCGCCCCCAAAAGATGAGGGCGGGATTCTCATTGCGCGGGGCTTTAGACTAGCCAGGATTGGCGGTGTCTCACCACGAAACACGGGCGGTTTAATTTTCCGCGAGTCTCTAGAAATGTTAGGTTGGGAAGGGTTCAAACGGGATACCGTTAGTGTCCCGGATATTATCTGGAGGACACTCGTTGCCGACCGTGACCAAGGTGGCCATGTACCTCCCTTATGGTACCAAAAAGCCTGTCTACGATGTCTTGAGATTGCTGACAAGTTCAACAACGGGTATCTTAATATTGGCCAGCTCTTGCAGGATCAGTCGGATATGGTTCGCAAATACCTGACGCGCGTGCGTAATGTTACTTGGAACAGGTGTTTTTTCACTGCGGATATCCCAAGTGTAAAACGTGGAAGTCATCAAGACGTGATTTCTTCACGGTCAAGCCAGGCAACTACTTTAGAGAACATTGACGCTCAAGATACTAGGGTAATATACGGGTTAGAAGAAGATTCGAGGGGTGCAGAAGAAGAAACAGAGAACGGATACATCTGGTTTGTTAGCCAGGAGAATTCGCGCGAATCTGGAATACATATTGTCTTTATGTCTAGTGGATTAATAGAGAACAGAGAAGAGGAGGAAGAAGACGACGACGAGGAGGTCCCGACTACATCATTTGGACTTTGTCCACCGAATACTCAAGCCGGGGATCTCATCTGCATCTTATATGGTTGCACCGTACCGGTCATCCTGAGAGAAGGACCGGATGGCTACATGGAGCTTGTAGGTGAAGCGTACGTCCATGGGCAAATGGATGGTGAGGCAATGGAAGAGTTCCAGGAGAACGATGCATGGGAAGAAGAGGAATTTCGAATTCGGTGAAAATATATGAAAACTTACCTACCTTGTAATTTCGGCGTTACAACTATCACATAAGCACATTTACCCAAATATCAAACCAAGTCTTTTAAGCGACACAGTAGATTAAGTACCTGGACGACTACCTAAATAGTAGTCCATCTTACCTAGCCTAGTATCCTACCCAGGCACATCACATATCTAACTCGGACCAGGCTCTCCTTAGGACACCTCCCCTACCCTAGCTTAGATCTGGAAACCCATATCCCCCTCCCCTCCCACATGTACACAAACAAGCTCAAAGAAAGGCGTGAGCGCCAAACTATGTCCTGTCCGACCTTCTCACTGTTCCCGCCCTAAGCACACCTAGATATCTCAGTAGACCTGTAGTACCTAGCATCCATCCATCGAGCCCGTCCGTCCGTACCGAAGGAACCTAGTGCCCAGTGTATACGTGTAGCGTGTAGTACAAAACCAAAAAAAGACATCAAAGAAAAAAAAGAATAACTCCGGCCCGTGATGCAAGCAGCAGTTTCTGTTTTATACAAAATGAGCACGCCGTACGCCGGCCTAATGTGCTTCTACCGTATTCGTATGTCCGTATCTCGCATTAATGTTCCCGTTGCCCCGGTACTCGCTCCTCGTTAACCGGCGGTTTCTCCGCCTGCTCCGTATTACGTTCGGGGGCTGGCTTGCTTCCCACCGCGAACCCGATATTCGCGCGGTCGTCGTCGACCACTCGGCCGTATCTATATTCTCATTAGTACTTTCCAACTTTACGACTTCACCCTTACATGCTCGGGAACCGCGGAGAACACTCACTCTAACAACAGCCTAAAAAACCAAACCTCCATATCCTCGTGCCGAAGGACCTTATTCGCCCACTCGCGCTGCTGATTCGCCAGGCGTTCCGCCTCCTTCTTGCCGAGGCTGCCGTCGCCGAAAAACCGAACGGCCTCGAGCCAGTCATCGCCCTGTAAGCTCAGCGGGATGTAGTGGGCCCACGGCTTCAGCCACTCGAGGTGCCACTCGCGGAAGATGGCCCACTTGTACACCAGGCTCCTGCTCTTCAGGAACGCGTAGAACCGGCCGCTGAACGCGTTCCCGTCAATGTCTAGGAGGTATTTGTAGTTCCAGGCGTCTTGCTGCTCTGCGTGTCCCTTGATGGTGAAGTACTCCTTCTGGGCAGCGCAGTCGCCTGGGTCGCACTGGCCCACCCCCGAGAAGTACACGTCGATGATCTCCTTAAAATCGCCGCGTGGTACTATCTTCGTCTCCCACTTCTGGTTACCCTCGGTCCCCTTATTCACGAGGATCTTGGCGCTATCGGCCGCGTTGATTTTCTGCACGAACCGCTGACGGTGCTGCCGGCGCCATCCACCGTTACGGCTGAATCCGCCTGTCGTGGAGCCGCGCCAGTACAGCTTATCTTGCTTCGTCGCCCACGGAATATCCTTGCCCTCGTCGTAGCTCACTTTCTCAAACCAGTACCACGGCGACGGGTACAAGATATCCGAGTACGACGAGATTTTCGATTGCGAGAAAATGGGGAATAGATCATGAACGATGTTGTACGCGTTCGGGCGGTCGAAGAACCCAAACGTCGAGCTCAACGACGGAGAATAGCATATATCCGACATAGCAGTGATGTTGTATATGAAACCCAACTCTCCCAAGCCATACTTCGAAATATCATCCTTCTTCTCATCCTCCTCCAATCCTCTCGAGGGACTCTCAGGTGGACAAGATAACCGCGAATGCGTCCAAGTCGGCTGGTGCGCAAAGACATTAAACCGGGTCAACTTGCTCTCCTCGAACCTCGTCCCATCATTCAGCCCCCTAGGCTTCGAAGTAAACTCGTTCCGAGGATTCACCTGAAGATTCGCCGCTGGCATATTAATATCCTTCGCCCGTTTAACCAGCCTCGCGAGGTCATCATGGGGCACAACGACCCTCGACTCGTCGTGTAAATTAAAGCATAAATCCATATCAGGTAACCACTTGAGGAACTTCCCCATCATGCCCGCGGTAGCCTCGCGCTGCCACTCGCCGCCGCCCTGGATATGCGTGATCTTGCCGTTGCGGATCTGGATGCCGAGGAGCGCGTTGTCGAAGCCCAGGGCCTCCTTGGCGCGCGCGCGGATCGTGCCCGGCTTGAGCCCCCAGAACGGCGTCAGGCTCTCGTGTATGGTGTCGAACTCATCGATCAGCTGCGTGCCCTTGGCCCGCGCGAACTCGAACCACCGGTCGAAGTTGGGCGGCGGCGGGATCCCGTACCGTCGCCTGTACTCGGTCGTCGCCTCCTTCAGCGTCTTCGACTGCCGCTTCTTGACAGCCTCGAGATCCTGCTCCGCTTGTGTGATCAACGACCATATCGGGTGCGACCCGGCGGGCGCGGGTTTCGGTTTAGGGTCGAACGGGACCGGGGCCGTCAACGGCTGTTGCGGTTGTGTTTCGCCATTTTTTCCAACGCCGCCGGTCTTACCGTGCGTTAGAGGGCCGGGTTTAAGATCTGCGAGGTTGGTTCCGGAGGGCGAGAGTCGGAATAGGCTAACGAAGCATAGGACGAGGAAGACGAACCCGCCGGTTAGAAGCAACTGGCGCGGCCTCATTTCTCTCTCAGGGCGCCGTGGTCCAAGCCAATGTTGGGAGGCTTAGTGACGTCGGTCGAGAATTGTTGGCGTCGGGTAATGGCAAAATAAAGAATGACATTGGTAACATGTACCTAAGTTAGATATATCGTGTTTCGTGGGTCAAGGGACCAAAGAGAGGAAAGGGATAGTACAGATTGGATTGAAATATGGAAATATGGAGATATGGAGACAATGGCGTTAGACCGTTAGTCTCGTCTATCCGGTCTGCTGGTCTGGTCCTTCTCTCGTCTGTTAACGTTAGGAAAGGAAAGAACTTTCGACCTGTTGACCGATTTGACAGATGAAGATCAGGTACAATGTCCCTGTTTGCTCCAGTCGCCCCTTCCTAAGTCCATTCTTGATTTTTTTAGCTGCTACCAGGTTGCTACTGGGTTCTATGTACTGGTGCACGTAGCGTCGTAGCCCCCCCGGCACTTTGTTCGTCTGGTCCAATTAAATAATTCCATTTAATCAAAACCTCTGTATCGAAGACGCACTGTGACGCGTCTCTACCCAGATCTAGCGATATTATCCATAAATCATATACGTAGGATATAAGACCTTGCAGACCAACAATCAAGGAATAGGGTCCGAATCATGTTTACGAACTTCGGAGGATTAATTATTTAGCCCTTTTTTGAAGGATGACAGAACCTTATAGTAAATAAACTCAAACTCCAATTAGAAGTCACCGTTGTACAGAAGGATCAGATTACTTGGTCGTAGGTACCCCGACGCACCTGGCATTTTAGGTAATAATAGCTCCCCTTACCTGTGCGTGCGTGCGGAGTACAACCTGCATTTTCACATGGCATAAAAGGGGCTTGGCAACACAAGCGATTACTGCAGAACTGGACTCAGTGTAGCATTTCGTGGTATCATGGTGTATTTTGGCTTCATGAAAACATGAAAATCAAGTCATGAATCGACTTGGCCATTATCCATTCCTCCTTCCCCAACGCCGAAAATGCTCTCAGTCAGTTCATATATCTTAATTCATTCCCATCCTCCTTTTTTTAATTGCCCCTTCCGTTTAGTAGAAGAAACCAATAATCTTGCCAGCAACGTGCTTTCGTCGGGCCTCTTCATGGTCCATGATTCCAGCAGATGTGGTGAGGATGATGTAACCGAACTGACGAGAAGGTAGCAGCTTGACGACCCACTTCTCGAGGTGGGCAAGGTGGACGTTGTATCGGGGAGAGATAGTACCGCACTTGTTGATGCGGCCGTTCAGTTGAACGACGATCTTGCCAGATCGGTGGTCATCGACCTCCTCGAATTCGCCGATGTAGCCTAACAGAAAAAGAATGTTAGTTAAATGTAGCGAAAGACTAAACGTCAAGACTTCATGTTATATTTGATCAGAGAAACGTGTAAGATTCCTTCGCTAGAAAACATCGATCTATCGGCAACTTAAAAGACTTCGATCGTAGGGATTGTTGAGATCGTTATCCAGTTATCATGCCGAATGTGTTGTGGTGAATAGGGGATTGTCCATGTGCAAAGGACCAAGCAAAATATATCGCAAACATACCGTGTCGCTGCATGACAGTCAAGAACTTGACAATGACCTTGGAGCTAGGTCGGATGAGGACTTGTCGCTTGCCAGTCTTCTCGGCATTGTTGATCGCATTGAGAGCGTCGTTGAGAACCGAAGTCTTAACCATTTTGGCGGTATTCGGGTGAGATTCTCAGATCGTCCGTGGATAGATGTGAGGTATCTGCAAAGGTGAAACATTTGGTTAGCCTTCAAAAGCCATGAGCATGGAGAGTGCCCTCCCCCAATGCGCCGCTTGGGGTGGGTTCTGCCCGCTCAGTACTGGAGAGGAGAAGCGTATCAGAGACCAGACTTGGCCATCGTAATCGTGATGCGAAGTTTGGCGGTAAGGCCTCTGATTGCTCTCCCCCGGCTTCTTGAAGGGCGCATTGGTGGATTGATTCAAGTCATGATAATGGCACCTGATTTAAAATTAATAACATACCTCGATGGAGGTCTTAAGCGATGGAAATTTGCTTGACGCTCAAAAGTTGTGTGTTGTGCAGAAAGATGAACGGGAGTAGAAGAATCGGAGTGGAGTGGAGTAGAAGTAGAAAAGTGAAAAGTTCGTTAGTTTAGGTGGATTTCTTTTTTTTGCATGCGAAATTCTGGTGGGCAGTCTTGGCAAGAATTAGAATTCACCCAATTGGATAAATTTCGGCAGCTAACCCTAAGCGATACACAACTAAACCCCCCCAGTGCACCTTCCCTAGGCTCAAGCCTCAATTGATTGATACAATCAAATCTCATCAGTGCTTTGGAACATTTCTTGATTTTCTCACGATTACCTCCCGTCCACCAAAATTTCACCTTCACATCTCGACACAAACAAGTAGCTCTTCGAGGATCGCACCGGTATCAAACAATTCAAGATGGTACGTTTTTGTATTTTCTATTAACCCCAGAATATCATGCGTCGGAACATTTAAATGCGACTGTCTTGTATTTCGTATCTCGTGCTCAGGCTTCCATTCTGTGCGCGCAAGCAATTTATTAACAATACATTTGCAATTTTAGTCGGACGTAGAAGAGAACAACGCACCCGATGCCCCCGAGGAGGTCGAAGTCTCAGCAGATGCCTCCAAGGGCCAGATGTCCGTTCTAGACGCTCTTAAGGGTGTTCTAAAACTTGCGCTCATGCACGACGGTCTTGCCCGAGGTCTCCGCGAAGCATCCAAGGCCCTCGACCGACGCCAAGCACACATGTGTGTCCTCAACGAGTCCTGCGAAGAGGAGGCCTATAAGAAGCTCGTCATCGCGCTCTGTTCCGAACATAAGATTCCTCTGATCAAGGTCCCTGATGGCAAGCAACTGGGCGAGTGGGCCGGTCTCTGTGAGTAATATATCAAACGGGTTGGATATGCATTTTGGAGCTAATCAGAATATTATTAGGCGTCTTGGACCGAGAAGGTAATGCTCGCAAGGTAGTCAACTGCTCTTGCGTAGTAGTTAAGGACTGGGGTGAGGAGTCGACCGAGCGATCCATCCTCCTGAACTACTTCCAAACCGAACAGTAAAGGGGATCTTCATAGGCGTTGCGCGGGGATATTAGACAGTGGATCGGGATGATTTTCACGACATCCTCTACGGACCCTTGAAATGTACTCTACTGGCGATTTCAGCTGGCAAAGGTGCTGAAAAAATAGGGGTACCATACTGCATCGGAAAGGAAAATTCTGCATTACAACATGCTCCGCGAAACCTCTCATCTCAACTGTGATATGCTTCTACTGAGTAAACTGTGGTGGACTTGGTAGTCTGGGTATCTTGAATATCTCATCTGTAACCTTCTACCACGATAAGGTGGTATCCGAAAGCTGTCTTGGCCTGTCCGATGAAGAGGTTGCTACCTTTGCTCTCCTGAAGAACGAAAGCAACCTTTTCAAACTCAGGCGCCAGCTGACCTTTACGTTGCCAACCAAGGAGACCGCCTAGTACCTCTAAGTTAGCCTATGAAAGTGATATGCCTACCTAGTAGACAGTAAGCTGTACGAATGTGATAGGTAAACCATACCTTGCTTTGCTTTATCCTCACTGAAGATTCTGGCCACTGTGATGAAGTGATCTAGAGTGGGAGTCTTCATGATCTCGGCAAACGCCTCTTCCTTCTTGCCATGCTTTTCGCACTGCATATTGTGTATAAGTTTCTCTTCGCATTGAGATGAACAGAAGCCCTAACTTACCAGAATGTGCCGGACTAAAACTGCTTGGCCACCTTTCCCCTTACCCTCATTCTTGTCATCTTTGCCTTTCCCGCCGGCATCCTTATCATTCGACTTTTTGTCGGCCTTCTTCTTTGGAGCCATGGCGAATTATGTTGATAAATGGTTGGATGAGGTAAAGAATTGAGATCGATGAGAGCCCCACGTTAAATTGACGTGGGCGGCGCGATCTTTTACCAATCGAGTTCCCAGCTGTGGACGGCTGTCAGACCACTATCCTTCTGCTTACATATGCACTTTATGTGAGGCAATAGTTACAAGCCACAACAACAAACACGATCGGATCTGAAGTAAAATAGGTATTTTATACTGAATCGTCAAAAGAGAGAACTTTTATAGGCTCGGATTATCAAAGTAGTCATGATCGTCGTTACCACCATTCCCAAAGCTCAAACCGGTACCGTGAACACCTTTACCAGGACCAGCCTCAGCCTGCCATCGTAGACTATGTGCATAGGTTGTATGTTCAATGGGCGAAAGAAGCTTTAAACAGCCTCGCTCTTCTCCAATCCTCTCTTTCGATATTTTCCTCTTGGCGTCTGAGCTTCCACTCCAAGTAACTCGACTCCCCCTGAAGCAGCTTAATCTTGTCTCCCTCGAGCTTCTCGTACAAATTCCAATCATCGAGTTGAGACGGCCTAGGGATCTTCCTAATCTCCTCTAGAGTCTTCTTCTGGTTCGGGGCACGTTCGAGGGTCAGTTCGAGGCGGCAGAGGTTTGTCTTGCTGTCTTGCTTGGATCCGTATTGCTTGATGGTGAATCTAGAATACCAAGTCAGTCAACGTCGGCCCATCGCAAATGGTCGCTCAAACTTACAGTCCATCATACCGAACGCCAGCTTGTGGCGCGAGTATGCTTTTTAACCTATATCCCCGAAGAACCCGGATCTGTCGGCCGACCTGGGATATCAGAGCGATGTGCATATCCTTGGCCCTCCCAACACGCACATATTTATACGTATTCGGGCGTATCATCTCCTCTTGTCCCGTCATCAGCGGCAGCGCCGTAATTCCATATCGCCCCTTCGTCGGTTTCTCGAACGAGCTCGCCACTATGCCATCGCGTTCGGCACACGTAAGATTCAGCCACCAGCTTCACACAACACAGTCAGCCACATCCCCAGCCAAGCGAAAAGCAAAGAGCAAACTTACTGTCCAGTCTCAAACCCCAAATTCCCCTCTAGTTCCGAAATCGGATCACTAACCTTCGTATGCCACTTGCCCAAATCATACGACAGCGAGCTATCGAAGCTAACATCCTTGAGCCTGCCGCCCTTAACCAGCACCGCGCAGCGATGCTGATCCATCATGAAATACTGCTCCCTGAATCTCCTCCGCCACGCGCGCAGCAGGTTCTTAGCCGCGGCCAGGTCGGCGCCGTACCTAGGCGACAACTCCGCTACCGCCTGGGTTTCCCGCTTCCTCCCCGCACCGCCCCCCGCGCCGCCGTTCCTAGCTGTCCAGGTGCCGATGTGCGGGTTATGCGTCTCGTGCGTGCTCCTAACCGGCGTGATCAGCTCTGTCTCTAGCCCCACCGACATCGACGACGTCGACATCCGCAGCACATCGGCATGATGCAGCAGCTCCGCGAGCAGCTTGTCTAGCCGCGCGTACTCCACGGTCTCGAAGTCGAGCGCGGGCCTCCTAAGCTCCTCGTCGCGCTGCGCCGCCTCGAGGAACGCGCTGAGCTGCTCGTTGTCCGGCCCGATGGTCTTGTGGTGCTGCAGGCTGGCCCGCACCGAGTCCGATAGGCTGAGCAGCGCGCCGCGGTCGTAGTCGAAGTCTGATTCGGATGAGACTTCAGAGTAGGCCGGTTGGCCTAGTGGGTTTGATTTTTCGTCAGCTGGAGAATCTTAGGAATCGGTATGTGTGATTGTATTTTTTCTTTATTTTTGGGGTTTATATTCTACCTACGTAGGGGATACGGGGGAGTTTCGATACCTCTCGGAGGCGGCGATCTCCTACTAAACGGCGAGTTGCTAGCTCCGTCGAACCCGAAATGCTTGACGGTCGGGCTTAGAATCTACGTAATAAGCATTAGTAGGTGTCCGTTGGAAATATTCCACCTCTTTAGTTATCCCACCTGGTTCACGATATCCCGTTTCCTACTAAACAAGCCGCGCTCTTGTCCATCGTTGTTGAAGCCCGCGGGTTTAGGTTTTATGTTTAGTTTCGGTACGTCGCGGCGGGATCTCGTGCCTTGGTTATACCTTGCGAAGCGCTCGAGCATGCTCATTTTGAACGTCGTGTGTATAATCTGAATGGCTATGTACTCGGTAGGTGGCAAGCTTTTTTAGCTTGTTCGTCTTTGGTCTTCATTACCGTTCAAGTGGATGAATATGATGACCTAATTTAGGTCTACTTGATTGTATTCTAGGCGATTAGGTCGATATGTAAGAGGCGAATTTTACAACGAAGCAGCATGACCTATCTAGCTATTCGACTCGACAAAGGACCAATACAAATTTAGAGTTTACCATGACCAATGCAACAAAGGAATATCGTCAGTGGAAGGAAAGAGCCCACTGCTAAACTTGCTGGTTACTTCCGATTTTGTAAATAATACACTACTAGGTGCTAGAATATAGGAAAGAACATACCATAGTATAAACTACTAGGTAATTACGATAATCAATCCAACTCAAATGTCTAATCTCACGCCTTAGGTAGACGCGTGAGAAACACCAGCATCACGACACAGATATAATATAGTCATGGTAGTATAAACTAGCTAAGGGGTAATTGGGGTATCTCATCCTGCGAATTGTACTCGTGCAAGTCTTGTCCCAAAAGCTATATCCACCATCCATCATACTCAGGTGTGATCGTGATTATGTTCCCTTCCCATCATACATTTATATAGCGCATCTTTTGTTCATCGTAGGAAGTGAATGTCGAACCGGAAAGTTGAATTAGTAGCTCCAATGAACGTAGAGTCTTACCGACGAAGAAATGTTCTCAACTTCAACTACCTAATGCGTAGGTAGAAATCCATTTCCACCCGAGTTCAGTCCTCGCAGTTCATCTAGGGGCCAGTGGGCGACGTTGAAGTGCAACATTGCAAACATTAACAGTGAAATTCGACCAAGGTTGTCGGATAGAATTGGCATAGGCTGAGCGATAAGAGAAAACTGGTGTGGAAAGTCGTCTCGTCGAGTTTAGGTGTAACATCGCTAGGAGGGGTTAACGGCGTCTTCATCCGTAAAGGGCATTCCTTGTAGTTCACGAAGAACAATGGTCGCATATTGGCTGGTGTGCAGCGCGAATTGAAGGATTACTGCTATTTTCTTCTCATCAGTAGTGGCAGGAGATTCTGTGTGGGTTACTTGGGCCATAGAGGTTTCGCTAGTGGCGGCTTCAGCTACTTGATCATGGTTCTTCACCGTATGTGCGCCGTCTTCGGACTTGCTTGCTGTGTTATCGTCCGTCTGAACCCCATCTCCGCGCGTGTCCATCGGCGTTCCGTTGTCAGTATCAGGGGTGATCTCGTTGGTATGTTTAGCAACTCTAACCCGTTTGTTGCCTCGATTGACCGAAGTTTGCACCCAAGTATCCGTTGCTTGCTGCTCTGGTCTGACAGAGGCTTCTTCCGCTTTTCGTCGCTCGGCCCTGGCACGAAGTTCTCGGTTCTCTGCGTTTTCTACATTGTTGACAAAACTTTGCCAAGCCGATGCCGGAGGGTTCACGCTTATGGAAGCCGCAGCACGCTCTGCGGTTTCTTTGGCCTTGCGATTTTGTATCAAGTCTAAGTCTGTCGGGACAAGCTGGTCTGTGTCGTTTATGTAGGTTCGAACAGAGGCAGTAGTAGTGCCAATGAATCTACCTATCAGCTTGCGATATGAACCAGGAAGACTGAAATCCTTCTGTCGGCGAAGCATATTATGAGGATCCAGACCGCCATTCTCCTCCATTGCCATAAATTCTTCGTAAAATGTTGCAATCTCGTTGTCTGGGTATACAACATCCCAGCCAGGAGAGGGCAAAACGACATCGAATATTGAATATTTTCCGCCATTCGCCTCTTCCTCGGTAAGCGCGTGTGCTTTGAGTCCACCTATATCCTCAGTAACCGACTCCGAATCCGCGAGATGGATAGTTTCTTCGTCATCCTGTGCAGTCTGGTGGTCGCTTTCGAGGAGAACTAGATCTCCTTTGACTACTTGCTGGCCAAAAAGCTCCCAACGCTTACTTGCGGCAAAATTCCATACCAAAGATTGGAATGCATGGACGTACATCGTTCGCATTCCCCGACTGATCGAAAGGAGGGCTCCAACGTAATCCTTGGGCTGTTTACTTAGATGACGCATTAATGTAGACTCGACATGACAACGTCTCGGAAGATACTTGAGGGCATCTTGCACGTTGCCTGTATCTGAGAAGATCCAACAAGCCCGTGCGCGGGAAGCATCCTCGCGTCGTGTAACCGCAAGGGAGCCGGTCTCTGCGGGATCTACCAAATCGGGATCGAAAGATAGCAAGGCTCCCACGGCACCTTCGAAATCCTGCTTGAGGATCATCATGCCGATCTCTTGGGTTCCTATCCGATGTGTACCAAACCGCTGAGTACCATAGTAGTTGATGAAACCATTATGATTGACCTGTTCTAATGCAGAGGTGACGGTAGCATTTGCGATGTCGAGCTTTTTTTCGAAGGTCAAGTTATCTGTTCCATTAAAATGGCAGTTCTTGAGAACGATCACAAACTCGTTACCGGTATGCTGCCCTAGATGGATTGGGTTCTTTTCGAACGTAAAGTCACCGATCTTAACACCGAATAGCTTAGAGTTGACGCTAATCATGGACTGGGGATTGCGTCTTCGTATGCTAACTCTCTGGGATGTCACAGCACGACGATCCTTAGTTCCAGCCGTGCCGAAGAACGCGGGCTTGAGATTGAGAAAACGGGCAATTTGGTTGATCGCCTCGATAGTGTCGCGATTCTCTTTAAAGAGAGTGAAATGTAGGTAACTGCCGTCATCATCCTGACCAGCGTACTGTCCTTTGCGACTAGATCGTTCATTTCTGGAACGATTACCCCATTGTTGATTACCCCTACCAACAAGTGCCGCCTTAATAGATCCATCACCATCAGTGGAAGTGTCGATCTTACCACTGAATATACGCCGAATCTCCTATTCGAAATTAATTGCATGCAAACTGGGAAGAACCTGCAAAACTTACGGTATGAACTCGAGATCTTTGAGACTTATCGCTCATAGCAGAAATCTTGACGAAGATAGGAGTTTTGGATGCCGATTTCTTCTGTTCATTAGCTTTGCCATAGAGATCAATAAGTTCATCTGTGGTAGTTTGGCCGAGGAGATCTGTTAAAATCGTTTGGTCTGATTGAGAGATGCTGGGTAGCTTCTCTATATTCACGGCAGTAGTGCCGTGACTGCTTGCCGTCGAACTTGCATTCTGCGGTTTGCGAGAGGACTCCTATAGTTGGGTCAGTTATTTTATTATTAACTATACGCAAGAAGGGATAGTCTCACAGTCTTTGCTGAATCTCTGGCGTTCACCGGAAGGTCTTGTAGATGAATGACTTTACCGTCTTTGTCAATCTCATTGACTTGAAAATCGGTGAATCTAATAATTGTCAGTGCTGGTTTAAGCAAATGGGTCAATCTTGAGATGAATATCAAGATTGCTTTATATGCTGTACGTGCCTTGTGCGCGTATCTCCGGACCATCCATGTTCCTTCTGTGATACGTATTGAGTAATACCGACACGTTGCTCAAATGAGCCTCGAATTGAGGCATTGCTGCCTTGAGCCATGGCGGTATGGGTTGCCATGTCTGAAGTATACCTAGTTACCAAACTTGGGAGATAGCCCTGGAGGTTCTAGGTAAGAGTGACGAACACTCAATGTATGGATGTTAGGTATCCCTAACGAAAGCAGTGGAGCAGTGCAATGCCCTTGTTCATGAATTCAAAATTTCGTGAAAAGAGTTTGCGAATGACAAGATACCTATCTAAGGGAAGGAAGAAGTTGTAAATGTTACTTAGGTGCGTAACGAGTTGTGATATCTGGGGTGCAACTTTTTGGTGGGGTAAAAGCTAGTGGGGGATTATAACCTTAAAAAACATTCTGACGGCAGAAAATCGTGATAATAAAAGCGGTCTACTGGCGTACTAAAGTGCCTGCAGAAGGCGGTGACAGGGTTACATTAACATTCAATTGCAAAGTTCTACTGATAGAGCGGGTACTTTTAGGTACTTCTAATATAGTGGACTTTGCCATGATGAACCTGTAGCTTTGCCCCACATGTAAGTACTTCATCACATCATTGGAAATTCTCCGATTGGCAGAAACAGACTGCCGTCCGGTTACATAATCTAGCTTGTACCTAGTACTTAGTACTTGTAACCTGCCATTACGGTACTAGGTATCCACTCAGTCATAGGTAATCTTCGCCTCCATTGATTTCTAAAGGTTCTAAATCAAACCACTAATCCAAACTTCTACCTCAGCATTTCTCTTTTTCTTCATCTGCATCACGCAAAGAATTTCTTTGCCAAGATGCCGCCCAAGAGAAAGGCTTCCGCTAGTAGGCTCACTTCTAACCTCTTGATATTTCTCAAAAGAAAATAAACTAACAATTGTGAAATTCAAGACGTGTCAGGACCCTCCAAATCAAGAAGGGCTTCTACAGCTTCAACTCCCGGGCCCTCCACCCCTCGATCTATCGGTAGTAACGATGACTCGGATTCCGCGGAAGAGCTTCCCCCTGAAAATGAAGAACAGATACAGAAGGTTGTAGATCGCTTCTCGCTCGCAACATTTCGGGACAAGGCATCACACGAAGAGGACTGGACTTCGAGACGATTCTTCAGAGACGGTAGACGTGATTTCTCATATTTGCCATTGAAACCCGATTTCAAAAATCGCCCTATCTGGATAGATCCCCAGCGAGGACGAATCATCCTAGAGAACTTCAGTACTTTGGCCGAACAAGCGAAAGATTTCCTTATTACCGTTGCCGAACCTTTATCGCGTCCAACCTTCATCCACGAGTATGCCCTTACTAGTCATAGTCTGTATGCGGCTGTATCAGTTGGTTTGCAGCCTCGAGATATCATCAATACGTTGGAGCGGTTCTCTAAGACCCGTGTCCCTGAGTCTATTATAGGCTTCATCGGAAGTTGTGCATCTAGTTACGGGAAAGTGAAGCTGGTCATTAAAGATACGAAATACTTCGTCGAGAGCACTGATCCCGAAGTATTGCAGAAACTATTGAAAGATCCTATCATTGGGCCGTGCCGTGTTCAAGGCACTGAGACGGTCACCAGCGCCCCCTCCATGGGCGGCCTAGTCATTCCCGGTACTTCCAATGCCGCAGGAGTAAAGCAAGCACAGATCAAGAAGGATGAGAATACGCAGCAAGAATCGACTGAACAAACACAAGGCCAAAATCCATATGATGCTCTGAGAGAAGATGACGATGATGATAATCAGGATGCCGTGCACGCCTTTCAGATCGAGGACTCTACTATCGAGGTCGTTCAGAAGCGTGCTTTAGAAATCCAGTACCCTATGTTAGAAGAATACGATTTTCGCAACGACGACAAGAATGCGAACCTTGAGATCGACTTACGACCTGCTACACAGATTAGAAGCTACCAAGAGAAAAGCCTTAGTAAGATGTTCGGAAATGGGCGAGCGAAGAGTGGTATCATTGTGTTACCTTGTGGTGCGGGCAAGACCCTGGTTGGCATCACGGCCGCATGCACAATTAAAAAAGGGTGCATTGTTCTTTGCACAAGCACAATGTCGGCCAATCAATGGCGTAACGAATTCTTGAAATGGTCCAATATAAGACCGGAAGATATTGCCCTTTTTACGTCGGATCATAAAGCGAAGTTCCCTGGCAACACCGGGATCATTGTCACAACGTATCCTATGGTAACAAACTCCGGAAAGAAACGAGCTCATGATTCGGAGAAGGTTATGAAGTTCCTGAGGGAGAAAGAATGGGGTCTAATGTTGCTGGACGAGGTTCACGTAGTACCTGCGGCCATTTTTCGCAAGGTGTCACACTCAATTAAGAGCCACGCGAAGCTTGGCCTAACTGCAACACTCCTACGAGAAGATGACAAAATTTCTGATTTGAACTTTCTCATTGGACCAAAATTGTACGAGGCAAATTGGATGGAGCTATCAGAGCAAGGACACATAGCCAAGGTTCAGTGTGCTGAAGTCTGGTGCTCGATGACGGCTGAGTTCTTTGACGAATTCAACCGTCAGAAGAAGAACCGGAGTCTCCAGCAGAATCTATACGTCATGAACCCGCGTAAGATCCAAGCCTGCCAGTTCTTGATCGATTACCACGAAAAACGAGGTGACAAAATTATTGTCTTTTCCGACAACGTCTACGCCCTTAGATCCATTGCCGTGACTTTGGGGAAGGCTTTTATTTGTGGATCTACGTCTAATATGGAGCGTATGGAAGTTCTAGAAAACTTTATGCACAATCCCGAAGTCAAGACTATTTTCTTGTCAAAGATTGGTGATACATCTCTAGATCTTCCGGAAGCCACTTGTCTCATTCAAATCTCATCTCATTACGGATCTCGTCGTCAGGAAGCACAGAGACTAGGACGCATCCTTCGAGCGAAGCGCAGATCGGACGAGGGATTTAATGCGTTTTTTTACTCATTAGTCTCGAGAGATACACCGGAAATGTTCTACTCGACTAAGCGACAGGCTTTTCTGGTAGACCAAGGATATTCTTTTAAGGTTATCACGCAACTGACCGGGATTGAAGAAATGCCAGGCCTTGTTTACAAAACGGCACAACAGCGTCGCGAACTACTTCAGACCATCGTGATCGATACGGAGTCTAAGAAAGAGACAGAATGGGACGATGTCGCAGATGACTTGTTCTACGGACCCGGAATCAAGAAGAAGGGTCGCTACAAGCGTACAGCTGGCGAGCTCGTCGAACTCAGTGGCGGAAGAGATATGGCGTACATTGAGCAGAGGAAGGGCAACAAGGGACTCAAGAAGAAGCCGGCGCAGAGCAATGCCTTCTTCAAGAAGATATCCAGAGAAAAAGAGCGGTTGAAGAATCAGCGCTAGACAACTTGAGCACTGTACACTGTAAGATATGGAAAAAGATGTGAATCGGGGGTACGAAAACGGGGGGCGGGCGTCAATGGCATTTTCAAGATTGAACGGGGAGTGAATATACCCCAAGAATAACGACGAGTTCCAGTGCGGGTTAGGCAGGTAGTGTTTTGATGGATGCCTTTGGCAAGCCACCCAGATGGGCATCATTTTTGGTGATACCTACTTCATAGACGCCTACATAGTACATAGCTACTAGTAGCTAGATACCACTAGTCAACGTGTACTCGAATTTAGGTACTTTATCCGGGCATACTATAATAGCTTAGTGTTTCCAGCACAATGGACAGATGCACCATCCCACGGATCGTAGCCCTGAAGGCTGCAGTGCTACGTATTAAATGTAACCTATCGCTCGCATATTGCGTGGCTACGGGATTTATTTAAAATTTGCTCAAAACACTGCACGACATGGGCTGACATTCACGGCATGCGATTGGGGTGGCATCGATGGAGCCTTGGGGGTTCAAGAGAGGCTTATCTCGAGTTACATTTGCTACATATAAATTTTTCGGTAATATTTCATGGTAGGTAATGTCGGTGTAGAAGCTATCAGCCCGTTACCTTTTTACTTTTTTTACTTTTCATTTTTCCTGTTCTACCATCCTACATGCACGATGTAAAAGATCATCTCGTTTTTCACCCGCCTCTTCTATTTTCCTGACAAGTACGCGTCGAGTACATACGCGTATGTACATAATGTCTTGATATGCAACTATTAAGTACTTCCAAGCCCGGTCTGCCAAGAAAAGCAATTGACAAATCGTAGGTACCTGAGCTTCGACCACGTCGACATCGCACGATTGAGGTGTGACATCATCACCGAAGATTCCATGTACTTTTTTTCATGGAGGGTACTTGTGATCACATGCTGAGTGGTTGCAGTCAACCAATTGGGATCAATTAAGGACCCTTGCACCGAAGGTAGCAGCTGTAGGTACCTTGTAACGTCCATATAAAAGCTTCCGGTTTTTTTCAACCATCTCCAAATTCCGCAGATGGAGGCCACATAACTCGGACGATTTGGATATACGATTCTACAGGACGAAGTAGAAGGATAAAAAGTCTAGGCCCTTCCGGATATAGTCCACAGAGACTGCCGACAGTAATGTCTCTGATGATTTAGATGCCGGGTGCTTACAGAGTTGTAACGCGGCTTACAGAGGGATTCGCAGAGCTTCAAGAAGTTGCGGAAAACTTCTAGCCTTTCCGTCACGTAGTAGCACTTGCCGCGGCCCCAACCCTACTACTACCCCGGTTGTCTTTTAGTGTCCCCAGGACTTTCTTTCTCGCATCTCTTGCATACTTACACACAGATCAATTTCAAGCTAGACAAGCTACATGTTGCGTTAGTCAGTCAGACACGTCCTGATCCCTGTCAGTCTACCAAAGAGGAAGGGTATTTGTGGTTTGTGGTTTGTGTTCGATTCAAAACGCGCTGTTCACCGGCTATCTGTGGTCCAACCCCATGTCGAGTGCATCATCAATCTCGGACCATCAAAGGCTAGGAGACCGGGGTCTCCCTTCTTATCCCTCTTGATTTCACTTGATCTGGAAAAGGGATAAAAAAATAAAAATAAATAAAAATGAAAACATCGTTTAGCAGAGAAAAAATTTAAAGGCCTGTCTGTTTTTAGTCTTGGCGGTTCTTTTCTTTCCTTTAAATTACGATTTCTTAGCTAATACAAACAAACCCCTTTATTTTTACGATATTTCTAGCTTAAGCGCATCAGAAAGAATTAAAAAAACAACCACAAGAAACCGTTAAGCCACTACCAAAAGGTTCGAGGGCCAGTGAGTTAAGCTACCTACATACAGTATAGGTAAGTGCCAATCAAAGTTACATGTCAAGACTTAATACTCTTGACTAGATCCACTTAATTATAATCCGTGAGCACTGAGTCGTGCTTTGACGGAAGGTGTCGCTTCTTCTTTCGTTTCTTCCGTCATATCCATATTTTCATTACCGAGCTTGCCTGCTACCAACAAACTGCGCCTACCTCTTGGTCCTTAAACCAAGATTTTGGTGGATAAGATCCCATTGATTCTCCGCCGTCTCCAACTTCAACTATCCAACTATCCTTTAAACCACAAGACCATCCGAGCCACCCTCGAGATCTCCTCACGCAATCGTAACCGCTTCATATACCGTGGCGATGAATCAATGAGAGTAAGTTGAAACAATTTATCATTTATCAATTCCCATTTTCGGATATCTTACAAATATTTCAATTTCATCAAGTTTCATTTCCAATTATTCTTATTTTGGTAGCTGTGTCTAGGGCTTGGCATAAGCCTCCGTTTGACCAATTTGTCTCAGCCCTCTTTGTATTCTTGTCTTACGATCTTATAATAAGCCGTCTATCTGCCGAGACTTAGTACTTACCATTCGACTCTTTAAACCTCTCATCTCACCTTCCACTAAGCTTGTCTTGTTTATAGCTGAAGTTGCACTTGATTGCTTAATGTTTGGTCTACACAATTCCATCAATTCCTTCCTCGCATTACCTTGATTGACTTTATACAGCCTCGGAACGAACCACTATCATCATGTTCGGAACCCGCCCTCTCATCAGCGACCTTATGAGCCAGGTCTACGATTCGGTGGCTTTCTAACATCGGCTTCTCTTCTTTTAACCCCAGGCTTTAACAAATAAAAGCCCTCTCTTGGATATACAACAGCTTAGCCATCATGGGCCGCACTCGTCGATATGTCTTGGATTTTATCCAGACCCTTCGACCATCTTTACTATCTAAAAACCCACACTTCAACTTTATCACAGCCCACTGTATGTTGTATTCACCCAATGCTGTGATATATATGTTCAGCTGACGTTCTTCAGACCTTTGGATTGTCGGATGGACTATTGTAGGGTCCATCTTGCTCTTCGCTTCCGGAAAAACCCAATTGGCTTATATCGATGCCCTCTTCTTTGCTAGCGGTGCCAACACGCAGGCAGGACTCAATACCGTTGACGTGAACACCCTCAACACTTTCCAGCAGTTGGTGATCTACTTTCTAGCTATGATGTCTAATCCCATCACTATTCATTCTTCCGTGGTCTTTTTACGTCTATACTGGTTCGAAAAACGATTCCAACACATCGTGAGAGAAGCCACGACGCGACGGGTTTCTATGGCCAGGTCTCGCTCTAAGTCGAAACCGATTACTACGGACTTGGAGAAAGGCGTCAATGGGCGAAATATTACGGTGATGCACAACACCGCTAAATCATCTCGTATGACTAATGACGGTATCTTGTTGGATAATTACACGATTGAAGGAGCTACGAAGCATGAAACGCCCTTGAACGGGTCTTCACATCACGACGAATCAGAGCAGGAAGAGGCGGATCCCAAAGATGAAGATCATCCTATTCATCGTCTTGCTCCACAAATAAAATTCTCTGATCAGGTTAGGAGGAGCGACACGCTCGAGTTGGAAGATGCCGGAGCCTTCTTGCCTTCGAAACGTTCTGATGCAGAACATATTGCAATTCTAGAGAGACAGCGCAAGGCCGACAAGGGTGTGCTCAGAATTCCCGGACCCCGAGAGGCCGACGGAGGAGCGCTGCCAGAAGAAGTGGACGAAGAGGGTGCCGACGGACCCGACCCTTCGACTCGTAGACGAAGGGAGTCGAGCGTCGAGGGTCCTCGTCGACCAACTTCACCCTTGCGATTTGCTAATCGTCCGGATCGCCAACCGACCATAACTATCGAGGAGCCTTTGCACCCGCGCAGAGAAGAACACGACTTGCCAGAACGAGTGATCGAGGATGCCGAGGCGGTTGCCCACGCCCTAGGTGCCGTGAAACCCCATAAGCCTAGGAAGGAAGGGGAAAAGCTGCACCACACCGATACGACTACCTCAACTTCTCGGATCAACCCGCTTCACCGAATCAAGACAGCCTTGACACAGGGTAAAGAAGAAGACCCACCATATTTGAGTTGGCAGCCGACTTTGGGTCGGAATTCCGAGTTTCTTGGGCTCTCTGAGGAGCAGAGAGAAGAGCTGGGTGGCATTGAATATCGATCGTTAAAGACTCTTGCTCTCGTGCTTACGATCTATTTCTTTGGTTACACCATATTCGGAATGGTCACTCTGGTGCCATGGATCGTCAACAACAACGATTACTATGGCCATATCATCGATGAGGCTGGTCAGAGTAGGGTATGGTGGGGCTTCTTTACTGCGAACTCTGCGTTCATGGATCTCGGCATGACCCTGACCCCCGACAGCATGAACTCATTCAATACGGCCATCTTCCCGCTTCTGGTCATGTCGTTTCTTATCATATTGGGGAACACTGGTTTCCCTATCATGCTTCGTTTCATGATCTGGTTATTCTCTCTGGTCGCACCTCGTGGCTCCGGTCTCTGGGAGGAACTAAGATTTCTCCTCGACCATCCTCGACGATGTTTTACGCTTCTTTTTCCAGCTAATGCTAATTGGTGGCTATTCTTTATCTTGGTCGCCCTTAATGGGGTGGACTTGATATTGTTCATTATCCTTGACGTAAGTTCCATACGGCAAATCCTTCGTAACTTGCACAACTAATACGCTCCTAGCTCCACGATGGAGCGGTCGATGGACTGCCACTCAACATCCGTTTCCTCGACGGATGGTTTCAAGCCGTATCTACCAGAACGGCTGGTTTCTCTTGTATTAATCTAGCTCTGATACACCCAGCTGTCCAGACATCATACCTCATTATGATGTATATCTCCGTCTTTCCCGTCGCTATCTCGATTCGTAGAACGAACGTGTACGAGGAGAAATCTCTCGGGGTGTACAACACGCACTACGACGCTGATGACAGTGAACAGGGCAATATGTCGTATGTGGGAACTCATTTACGACGTCAGCTCTCCTTCGACTTGTGGTATATCTTTGTTGGCTATTTCATCCTCACCATTTCCGAGGGCTCACGTCTTATGTCGGGCGATTTTTCCATGTTCGCAGTGCTCTTCGAAGTCGTGAGTGCTTACGGCACGGTCGGACTCAGCTTAGGGTACACCAACGTCAACGCGTCATTATGCTCCCAATTTAGCGTCGTTGGCAAGCTTGTCATTATTGCAATGCAGATCCGTGGACGCCACCGTGGTTTACCATACGGACTCGACAGAGCCGTCCTCTTACCTAGCGAACATCTTAATCGCAAGGAGGCTGAAGATGCCGATTTAAGATTACAACGTCGCCATTCCGCCATGTCTATTGGACATCAATCTCACAGACCTTCAAGCACGGCTAGGGGTCGTAGTCGTAGCGGCGACAGAAGAAATGTTTTCTCAAGTCTCTTGCATCCTGGTCCAGCGTATCCGGCGCATCCGCCACATTTGTCGATGGCGAAGACAGAGAGCTCTATGGGATTGGCTAGGCTAGACACCTTGAAGAAATATACCTCGGACCCCGGGATGGAAGAAAACGGTGATATACAGGAACCGATTGTCAGACAGAGGAAGAGAGCCGATACACAGCCGGCCATAGACTATTAGTGGAAGAAAGGTCCGGTTGGATGGGCGAAGTCGCCGGAGCTAAATGAGTCTATAGTTAGTCAAACCGGACGAGCGGCATCGCAGCCAACGCCAGGCAGCGGTCGCGATATCGAACATTTTAGGCGGCAGTCGGGATCCCGCAATCCCCGGTGGCCGCGACGTACAGGACCGAGAGTACAATGGTATCTCGGGAGCACAGGATGAGTATATTTCTACACTCTTTTCTCATGATGATGCAAATATGGGAGTGAGGGCGCAAACTAGACTAGAATTGCATACGACGACGCACATACAATATTAGAGATGGCAGCTCAGGCTTGGGATAGAGGGGATATGTAGTGTTTCACTTTTCATTATAAGCGTCACGTTCAGGTTATATGGACTCGGAAGGATTCATGGGAACGAACAGGATAGCCCATACAGGAGACGCTATACTGTCCCGTTTTCTTATCATCGTTTCGGACGGGCAACGGATTATTCTTCGTATATATATTATTTCAGCCTATCTCGGTAGGTATTTAGCTAGTTAAGCAATGCGAGCTTCGTTAATTATGCCTATTGCTCCTATCTTGTGCTAATTTGCAAACTAGAGAATCATCTCATTTTACGCTTTAGTCGTGTTGACCTCTAATAAGTAAATCGGCGACTTTTGCTAACTCTGGGGAGAGTCAAGTTGAAGCATTTTAAAGTGATTTATGCCCTTTTTGGGCCATCGATATTTTTGATATTCGGTAGATAGTTTTAATACCTATGGTACACGTCTACAGAACTGGTATGTGTTTATACACACAGCAAACCAGTTCCGTCGCCTTCTCACCCCATCACCATTCTCACAACCCACCCCCTTACCGCTTCACCCCCTTGCCCTTGCCCTTCCCACCCGCCTTCGAAAACACATTCCTCGTGCGCCTCCAATTCTCAACCAAGTGATCCACATTCTTCATATCATACTTCGGCTTACGCATATACGTCAACCTGGCCCTCCTCGCGCGCTTCGGCCGTCGCCACACGATCTCGATCCCCTGCACGTTCGGCGAGAATATCTTGTACCACATCTCCACCGGCACGCGCGAGATATGGTTCCGCAACAAAATCGCGGTGTCCACCCCCGCTCGTCGGATCGATAGACATACCCCCGCGAACGGCTCCCCGCCCCCCTTCCGCGTCGTCACTTGCAGCACGTCCCCCGGCTTCGCGCAGTCCGGGTTCTTCTTGTTGAAGAGAGAGGCCCGCGCCCCGGTCCGGTCGAGACGGCGGATTTGTTGCGCGTGGAAGGCTTCGAGTGCTGCGGGGTTGGTTTTTCGTGCGGAGGGCACGCGTGGGTAGATTGCGAAGGCGGTGCGGATTGGTTTGTTGGGCGTTGTGGGGGATCGGATGGCGTCTGTGGGGGATGGGTTTGGTTAGCTTTTCAGGGGGTGTGTTGGTTTGGGGGGAGGGAGGGCGGCGTACGGAATGTTATCTTCCGCACGGGGATCGTGGCCGGGGAGGGTGTTGCGGAAGCTGGAGCTGGAGCTGGTGGTGCGGCTGCTTCTGGCGTGGTGGGTGTGATTTCCGTCGCCATTGATCGGAATACCGCCGGGGTGCGGTGCTGTTGCTGCTGGCGGGTACGCCTGAGCACGGCTTTCCAGCTGCTCAGGGGCCGCCGCGTCGATTGGGTGATCATCGTGTCTGTTGCGGCTACTCCTCTTTTCGGATGTGGAAGTGCGTTGCGGGACGGACGAAATCTTGAAGCAATTGAGGTGTGGGTCCGGAACTATGCCCTATCGATAAGGAAACGGATGGAGGAATTTTGTTGCGGAGTCGGTCTTGGCGTACGTGGGGGCCGATCATCAGTTTGAATTTTTGTATTAGTGAAATTTCGATATTTTATCTTGAGCTTCAGAAATTTTACGACTTCCACGACATTGACGGTCTCGCGTGCGAGGAGTACCTTCGAAGCTGAATAGGGCCCAATTGATGGTATTTGCAAGAAATATGTCAAGAAAATTGGCGCTCGGCGCATCCCGCGCGAGCAATGGCGCCTTCACATTCGCGGCGAGGACAGCGATGTCTACCACACAACGGACGTTCTCGTCCACTGCTCAACGAAATAGTATATATCCCTAAATTTTTAAATATAGACCCAAAATAAGATCTAATCATACTGTATAGGGGAAATGATATACTTCTCAAAAGCCTCCTCCGAGGAATTAGACAATATCCTCAGCGAAATTCGACACCAGATCATCCTACCTGCCTTCCTCCCTCAAGACCAGCGGAAGAAGATCTACTCTAAGAAGTACGAGAAGCAGCTGCAAGCGGATCCTATAACTATCGAAATCGACGGCGAAGTCTTCAAGTTCCGGCACCAGAGCCCGTTCTCGAGCGTACCCAACACGAAAAAGGCACTGTACCGCGCCATCGAGTTGTTCTCTACGCCGGAAGACTTTTCCAACCTGCGCCCGCTGATTGAGGGCCTCGCGATCGCGGACCGGACGTTCAACGTCAACTCGCAGACGAAGTTGACGCGCTTAATCGGTGATAAGGGCCGGATCTACGACATCATCGAGCTCGCGCGCAGCGTCAAGCGCACAAGTTTCAAGCTCGACATGAGTGAAAAGGTCACCGAGATCCTGTATCACGTCCAGATGAGGGCCGTCCGCTCCGGCTGGGATCTGGAAGAGACGAGGAAGGCGCTGCGCTGGACCGAGATCGTCGTCGCCCTACTCGAGGAGAAGGACCACCAACCCGCAAACGGTCTCGTGCCCCGCGACACGCTGCCCCTGGCCCGAGACCCAATGGTACTCCTATCACCTCTACATTTAGCCGCTGTGCTAGTCCAGAAGCAGGGCACGGAAGCCGAACCTGCCGTCGTCGATAAGGTTATCCAGTATGCGACGAAGATCGTGTTACTATGGGACGAGGGCAAGACGTTGAGACAGACGCAGCCCGAGTCCTTGTTCCAGCCCGACGAGCCACTCGCATATATCGCCGTGGACAACAAGTTCGTGAAGCTAGGAGCGTCGTGGCTGTACGGCCTCAATGCCGCCCTCGAAGTCCTCCAGAACCAGGGTCCCCAACATGCAGAACTCGCGGCGAAGCTGAAGACGCGCCGGGATTCCCTAGAAGAGGAACTCCGCTTAGCGAGGGAAAATGCGAAAGGGGGTGTCGGCGAAGCGGTATGGCAGGTAGTGTTCGGGGGCATGGGCCCGGTGGGAGATGTAGACCAGGAAATACGAGATTCGATAGACAGAAAAACGGGATGAACTAAGGCTCGTCTAGACAGACCAGACTAGGCTTGTATAAAGATCGGTCTAGGACTGGTCAGATCACATGAGATCTGGATTAGCTCAGATGTAACAATACCGACTAGCTATCGCCGCAATTGTACTTGTACATACAATATTTACAGAGCGGCATGCTCGATCTATCATATCAAGCAACTCCTATTTAACATCTTGCTTGCTTGCCGACTCCTATGCATATGCGTATCTATTCAAACGCCTTCGCCCAGCTGAACCAAGAACTCTTCATTTCGCTTTCCCCTTTTATGTTGCTTTCCTCAAGGCAGTACGACGTATCTTTCCAATCCCTTGGGCACCGCGCTCAGCAAGCCCTTGCTCTCCAACCACTTCTTCGAGAATAAGCGCTCAGCATACCTATACGCGCCATCACACAGCATCGTAACAACGGTATGTCCAGGCCCCAACAGCTCCGCGACCTCCTTCGCAGCAACCACGTTCAACGCCGAGCTAGCACCCAAGTATAGCCCCTCCTCGTCTAAACACCGGTACACCATACCAATACTCTTCTCATCCGCAATATGCAGACTCCCATCCAACAAATCCAGATCAGGAGCCAAGTTATCCGTGATGCGTCCCTGACCAATCCCCTCCGTTATACTCCCACCACTCCTCTCGACGAGCTTCCCCCCAGACTGAATATACGAATGCAACACCGACCCCGGCGGATCCGCCAAATACGCCTTCACCCTGCCCCCCGAGACATCCTTCAAGAACCTCGTAACCCCCGCCAACGTCCCCGCCGTCCCCGTCGCACACGTAAACGCATCAACTCCCCCCTCAGTCTGGGCCCATATCTCCGGGCCCGTGGTCTCGATATGCGCTCTGCGATTCGCCGTGTTATCAAACTGATTCGTCCACACCGCGTTATCCAACCTTTCCGCATGGCGCTTCGCCTGATGGTTGTAGTTGTCAGGGTTATCGAACGCGACGGCAGGGACGGGGTACACCTCCGCGCCGAGCAGACGCAACAGGTCGATTTTGCCCTGCGATTGCGTGTTCGGCATGTATATCACGAGCCGGTACCCGCGCGACCGACACACGTGCGCGAGCCCGATCCCGGTGTTGCCTGCTGTGCCTTCGACGACGGTGCCCCCGGGCTTCAGGAGTCCGCGCTCTTCGGCGTCTAGGACGACGTAGAGCGCTGCGCGGTCTTTGACGGAACCGCCCGGGTTCATGAATTCGGCTTTGCCGAGGACTTCGCACCCGGTTTGTTCGGAGAGCGTGTTCATGCGGATGAGGGGGGTGTTGCCGATTGCTAAGATTGAGGAATTGGGTTAGCTATATTCTTGTTGGGGGGTTGGGATTGGATATTGTGTATTGTGAGTTGGAATAGAGCTCTGACAGGACGCAATCGAAGACCTCAATGCCATAAAGGAAAGCTGCACTACAAGGGAAAAAAGACAAGTCCTCATACCTCCAGTCAACCCCTTCGCAACGCCCTGCGCCTTAGACACGGCCAGCGTATGCGGGCTCGGGGGCTTCGCGACCACAGGACCAGCAGCAGCCGCGGCCCTGCGCGCCGTCGTCGATATTCGTCGCACGCTGTGTCGGAACATGGTTTCTGTCGGACCTTAAATTCCTAGTATGTGACGGAGTAGGAAATGGACTTTTTAATAATTTTGGCGGGGCAGTTTTGTTACGCTGGCGCAGGCGCTGGACCGGCTCGGTTCCAGCTAGCCGGCACGCATAAGCACGTCATCCCGGTTTCCGCACTCGGCCGCTTTTTAGGCCGTGTACATGTAGGTACATACCTATATGGTCCCCTATTTCTCTACAGTAGCCTCTGAAAAGAGTTTCAAAGTATGTAGGTACTTTTTAAATAAATAACTAGAGTGATGATCTGAAAGCAATGTGATCATAAAATCATTATATTATGAACATTAAGTAGTTACCTAAAAAGCACCAAATCTTAACAACTCATAAGCGTATACACAACGCAACACGACACATATAAATTACGCAACAAGCTACCTAGGTATCATCAAACTCCCCATCCACATACCACATACCCCCACCCCTACCTATCCATGCATACATATAACTAAATGCCAAAAAAAAAAATCATAAACCCATCCCTATAATGCTCAATAACCCCCCCTCCCCTCCCTCCATCCATCCATCCCCATACCCTCCACAGAATATCACTACTCGATAATCCTCACATACGGCGCCGGAAACAATCCCTCAGCGCCCATATAACTCCCAAAAAGCCACTCCCCATTAACATCCTCGACCTCCCTGACCTCCGAGCCCTTCGGAAACAACAACTCATCCACAGTCCCAGCCTTCGGGTACCAAGACCACCTCGCAATAGCCTTAAGCCCCGCGCCGCCATCCGGCGGGAAAAGCTCCGTGCCCAACGACGGCGCCGTATCCGCCACATCGGCCGCGACGAACTTCTCCAGCCTCGATCCGTTCTCAGTCTTCCAGCTCCACCTCTGCAGATGCGATTCCCCGCGACGTGGCTCCTCCTCGCTCGGACTAGCGGTGCCCTCGTAGGATTCCATGCGTAGGTTGCGGCCGCCCACTATATCGCGGAAGATGCTGCGTCGTTGTCCGAGGGAGCCTTCTGTGAACCCGACGATGCCCATCCGATGGCCCTTTAGACAGCGTCGCCAGCCCGCGTGCCCGTTTTCATCGGATATGCGCTTGTTGTGGACCGCGCTCGCGTAGCAGTCTACGCAGATTTCGTATTCGCCTTTCTGTGCGTCTGGGTAGGCCGTGCTAGTGCACTCCGGACAGTGGTACCTGCGATGATGAGGTAGGATAGCCTCCCGACAAATGTCGCATGTCATCGTGAATGTAAGTGACTTGAAGCTCCCAAGATTAACGGAGTTGGGTCCTGTGAATAATGTGGCTCCTCGCGGGCGTTTCGGTATTCGAGGACTGGTAGGTGGAGTATGAGGGCTCGATGTGGGTGCGACGTAAGTTAGAGGAAGAAGTGGATGTGTGCAACATTTGCCCGTGTTCACGCAATTGTTACAGAAACCCCAGTCGCCTTCGTTGCAGGATTCGCATCGCCAGAAGCACTCATTCGACCAGGAGAAGCATCGTGCGCAGAACATGCCGCTCTCTAAGCGATTAACCGGGTCATCCGTCGTGACCGTTCTTCGTCCTTCCGCTCCGCCAGGTACATATTTCGGCTGTCTATATCGACATGTAGTCAGCATGTGTGGCGGTTCCAAATCCTCATGGTCATCTGCTCGAGCTCTTTCCCAATTTTTGAAAGCCGCATATCCAAAACCAAACCAATGATTACATCCTTTCCCACTCCGATAGCAACTTAAGCAGATATTCCATTGGCCGTTGGCACACTTTGAACAGTTGTAATGAAGTTCGTATTCGATATGCGGTCGCCTGCAACGTGAACACGTGATTGAGGGTTCCTCGTAATATTGAGATCGCGTTCGGTGGTGATGTGTTTGATGTGTAGACGATGATATAAGCCCAAGGCTAGGTAGGGGGGATTGCGGTGCGACTACAAGACTTGATGGCCGTCGCGCTCGCTTGGGGGGTTCTTTGCCGGAATCATCAGACTGGAGTTCTGGGGAGGGCGCTGATGGGATCTGAGCAGCAGATGCCCGTCCACTGAATGATAAATCTCTAGGCCGGGGATCGGTAACCGAAGCGGTTGTCGTCAGCTGTACAGCTGAGGCTGAGGTAGGCATACTGGCGCTTCTTGAATCCGAAATGGAAGGGCGACGAGATGATGGATCGCTCGTCTGTTGTCTTGAAACTAAGTCAGTCTGCGATCTTGCTGCCGGAGTCGTCTCGGTCGTCCTTGGTCGAGTAGGATCTGTTGCACTTCTCGCACCGCTGGATGTCCTCCTCCTATGTCGTCTTTCTGGATCTGCACGAACTTCAAGGTGCGTTGACGTGATGGGAGGGCGGCTGCGGTCGTCCACCTGGCTTTGACTAGTGTGTGGTCTACTGGTTGCTGAACTTGACCTAGGTCGACTATTGGGTCGAGATGCGTCCGTCAAAAGAGGTCGTGGCGAAGGAGATGCTTGTTTAGATCGGTGAGATGCGATGCCGGGATCGCTCATCCTAGGCTGTTGGATAGACTGGTTGGTGCGGGCTCGTTCCCTCTGCCTCCGTCGATACGCTTCGGTGATCTTTCGGCTCAGATCATCATTTTGAGCTAGGTCGATGTTGTCTAAGTCTAAACCGTCTAAGAGACCTTCTTCCTGTATTTGACGAGCAAACTCTTCTATTTCTCGTTCTATATCACGAAAATCGACATTGGATGAGCTAATCAACGACCTTATGGATGACTGGTGCTCTACTTGTCTCCTCCTGATTTGGGATGAATCACGCGAGCGATGTTGTGATTCGCTGCGATGACGTCGTCGTTCATCCGAAGATAGATCGGGTTGCAACATGCCGGTCGAATCAACCCGACGTCTGTGCTCATCATCTCTCCGGGCGCGATCGTGCGTATCCCGACGCCGGGCCTCCCGGCTACTGTCTCTGTCCGACCTGCCCCTCCTATCTTCGGTCCGATTATAATCGCGATACCGCCCCGCCCTGGATGATTCTGCAGCATCGACACCAGCATCATGCAAGCTCATCTGACGTGCTTCTTCCAACATCTGCCTCTCGATTTCCTCTAACCGCCTCTCTTCGGGCGACTTGTAAGGCACGCGCACCCGTGGCAAGACATTATCTCCAGGTTTATATTTCTGACGCATCTCTTCTTTCTCGTCCTCCGCTCTAGCCTTGTCTGGGTTCGCAGACAGGTACATTTCGAGTAAAGTGTTGACGGTAGCATTGTGGCGAGTATCACGAACGAAGGCACGACAAGATGGACAGGTGAATCTTTGAGAGCCGGGGGTTGGAGGGTTGGGTGAGTTTTCCGCTACAGTTTGTTGCCATCCGAACCAGTCCTTTAAACAAGAGCCGCAAAATGTGTGCAAGCAGTCGAGTAGGGTTAAGGGTTGGTATAGAATATCGGTACAAATCTAAGAGTTTGGTTAGTTCATCCCGTCGCCTAAGTCACCCCGCAATTTTCTTCCAAGATTATTTACTTACAGAACAGGTCAACTCCTTCTCCAAATCTACGCCAGGTCTTGGGGAAGCCATTGCGCCTAGTTTTAACTTCCAAGATCGAACTTGGAACTGAGTCTGAAACTGAGACTGAGTAATGTTGAAGCGCCTAAAGTTTACCGAAAGCGGCTACGAAAAGAGTCAAAATAGGTAGTGGGGGACATAGAAGAAATGTCTTGTATTGGCGAGTCACAGTACTTCGTATAGCACTTCGTATTGGTTCGCCCACCACCATTAGTCGACTGCATGGTGCTAATTGCTGCGCATCTGACTGTGAGCTCCGTGGCTCAATGTACCTAACATAACATAAGAAGACGAGCGAACGAGCGATCGAGCGATGACAAGAAGCTTCTAGGTATTCATATCAATACTATGCATTCTATGCAATAGTCAGCACTACCCGAGACTCGAGTACAGCGGTGAAGAAGATGGGGTTTGGAAGTTTGTATGATCGTTTTTGATTTGGGGATTTCAAGATGGAGATCCATTTAACAGGTTCATTAGATCGTACTATCGGGTAATGCCCCGATTTAATGCAAGATTATATGCATATCTTTTATTCAACCAACCGCCACCGTTCCGCTTGACCGTAACTAACCGTAAATCGGCCTCCTTTCTTTGTGAGTACCGAGATAGACTCATAATACACTTGGCAACAGGTAGAATTTTCATCTAGCTTTTTCAATAGGTATGAAATCTGAAAAGTAAAGTGACCAAGATATTATAGGAGCCAATTATTGCACGGGATATGTATGTATACCAAAGTATGTACATAGGTACATATGAACTCCTTAATCGTTAGAGAAGATAACCTGAATAGGAAGTTCGAAGGTTGAATTCATGGAAAGGCTAGGTAAATAAAAGTGTGCCCATTATATCTGGAAGTTATGATGTTGACATTATAGAAATAGCTAACTCGTTGTTATTGCTCTAACAGTTATTTGTCACGCCTATCGAAAACTCAAAGTTGTAGGTACCAGGTACTAACTTTACTATCCTCGTAGTAAAGACCACCGTATATGTCCTTAGCATCCCTATATCGTAACCTCCTCGCCCTCCTTGGTCTTACATAATGGGATGTTCATGTAAATGCTTCATTTTCCCTATCATCGTTTAAAAAGAGGTTGGGAGAAGACAACCCTTTATGAAAGCTGTGTGATGGCGTTGCAGCCATAAGCCACTATCTATCTAGGCACAGATAGGGTAGTTTGATGAGGTGGCGTTTGTGGGGGGTCATCTAATTTGGTATTTGGATAAATCTTTGGGACCTTACATAGAACTTCATGAATTTCTCTAGAGAGGACAGAGGATGTTTAGGTATGAAGTCTACACTTTTAGTACGATTAGAATAGAACACGACATCCAACCCCTTTTCATTAGGGATCTTCTTGTATACTGTGGTCAGTCAAGTCCGTTTCAGGGCACTAGGTAATTACACGTAAAGCCGTGCATAAATGCCAGCTCTTGCATAAGGCAATCGGATCATACATACATCACACCAAGTGGGAATGCTGTGATAACGGAGCGTCACCTGAAACATAGAGGTGGCGTTGCCGCATTGGTCAAGACTCCGAATGAGCAGGACTAAGGCACTGTACTTATCAAGAGATTCGGACTGCAACTTATGTTGTGATTTTCAGGGGATCTAACCTAAGTCTCTGCCGAAGTCTCACCCCAAATTTCTATCGCTTTGGTCTTGATGAGTATAGCCGTATCGCCGGTCCCGATAGATGCAGTCCCGTCATTTGATATTGTTAGAGCATCTCCAAAGTGAAGATGATCATCGACGACGCGGGGCTCGTCCTTAAATCGAACGACATGCTGAGTTGGACTGAGAACGAACAAGATCGGCCGCGCGGGAAACCTGATAGTGCCACGGAATTCAACCCAATCATGTATTGGATCCATCTCCCGCACGACCGGCTTACGCTGCTCTTCATCCTCTTCATCTGGCGCTTCCCTGAGACTCTCTTCACCTGCAGTCTCCTTCTCCTTTTCGAGAAGTAATGGCTTGAAAATACCGAAGATATATTTCTCGCCCGCCGAAGTCAGTCCGTACATGGCTAAGATACTTAAATCAGGCATTGTCTTCATAAAGTTAGCCAGAACTCCAGCCGTAGGGCGGATGCCCGTATGCCATTGATGAGCCCTGCCGAAGCTCTCGAAATCCACGTCTTGGTTTATCATCGTCGCTAGCTGGCTCAAGCGTGGTAGAGTCATGAAGCTGTCTTTGGGGGGCGTAGGAGCTATCCAATCGCCAGAGATGCTGAATGGCTGCTCCTTCAAGAACGCTGTAGATATAATTCTGTGAAGCGGATCGAATAGGAACGGCATTTGTTTAAGCGCGTCATCAAATTTAGGCCAAGTAATGATACCCAATTTCGCATCCTCGCAGAATGAAGCTGTTATATTTCTTGCTGCCTCCTCGTATTGAGATGGTATCGGTTCCCCTGGAGTTTTGTGCTCAAATTGTAGAGCTAGCAAGAAAGTAACGAAGGTCGTAAACCGATCTAGGGGGATGGCTAGGGTGTCGAATTTAGGCAGCCCCTTGGCGAGCGTCTTAGCGAACTCGCGGAAGCCATCGCGTCGTACGCCCGCGTAAGGGTAGTTGGGTTCTGGCTGAATTGTATGCAGCACATCTAGGACATCATGGTATATCTCATCACCATCGTCGTCACGGTTGACAAACAGCCAGTCTGAGTTGCCGTAGAATGCATCTGGCTCAAAGTGAGCATTGTAAATGGCTCTTTTTTGTGTTTCAATTGGATCAAATGATCCGCTGTGTGTTGTGGTGGCCAAACTTTGGAAGAGTAGTCTGCGATGGTCGGCCACGGTACGTGAGCGAGAAGAGCCGTCAGCCCCAATGACTCTGCGAGAAACCCCTGGGAGGATCCATGCCAACCCTCGATATATCTCAGAGAGAGAAAGGCTTGGAGGGACTTTTTCGTTTGGTGGATGATAGAAAGGTGTGGCACTTAAGTAAGCGACAACGCTATAGATAAGACGGCCGAAATCCTCGCAAGATTGAGGGAGGCCACCCTTACTGCATAGTAGCGAAATGAAGGCAGATTCGTTAAGCTCTTTTATGCCGGAAGGGACTTTCTCTGGATCGGGCACGATAGCCTCTTCTACCTCAAGCCGGTCCCAAATACAAGAAGGCTCCAAGATTCCTTGTGATTTCCACTTGTCGATTCTCTCGTCTTGGACCATTTTGAAGGTTTGGTTAGATAAACGAAGATAGAGAGGGGAATGGGATTTAATTCCTATTATTCAGCTCGGTCGTGGGAAAGTTGTGACAATTTGTCACAAGACTTAAAGTTATTACCCTCAATACCTAATTGACATTAATAAACAAAATCCGAAAAGAATATTAAATTTAGATGTCTGTCCTCATCGAAAGAACACCAAAAGGGTAATCTAAATTTAGCGAAACAAGCAACCGATTAATGCAGGTACGCATGATGATAATAGGTAATGACATCATTGTATCATTGTAAATCAACCTCGCTGCTGCCTCGTAGGAAGACGAAAGAGCAGGAAGAGGGGAAGGAAAGAACCCTGGAGATCGCTGACACCGCCGCCGCCACCGCCGTAATGGCCGGAACTTGCAATTTCCCCAAATACACACCTAAGCGTCTGAGTCAGATCTGCAAGCGCTAAGAACTATCGTTCTAATTTGGTTCATCCGATACTTCCTAGATGGGCTTATACCGAGGGGTTGCATTACCAGAGATTCAGAAATCGTTGGGCGCAAAGTGCCGTGGTAGGAAGACGATCCATGTTGAAACAAACAAACAGCATTTCAAATTCATGCTACTGGTGAATGAATATATCTGACTAAGGACTAACTGCACGACTGAGGCTTGTATGACAGTGCCGTAAACTTAAGGAGGATGGCGCCAAAAAAGAAATCTGGAGACGGGACGATCCATACGCTAAGCGCCAACAGGCTCCACTAAATACAGCGTCACGTGACCTGAAGCTAACAAAATAGGCGCAGCACTGGACAATTTACTGATTTGGGAATAGACTCTTGGAATTCTTTAGGTAATCACAACAACAACCTAGCAGTTGAGCTGGCAGCCCTGAGGCTGGGTAGACTACCTTGGTACCTACCTAGTAATGAATCGGAGTATTGCGACGATTATTATATTGAATTTCAAAGGTCATATGGTCTCACTGCTTATTTAGCACCATTCGTTTACATAATTTCAAATAAATCGTAGGATTTCTTCATCAATATGAAGCTACCTAGTGTTATGATACATCAGCCAAGATGTCATACTTCCAACGCCATTATGCTCTTTAGGATACTCGATCCTTAAACCCCGCGGAGATAACAGGGCTGAGCATAGAGATATCCAATAGGATATTCACCGGTACCTGGGCAGGTAAGTAAGACAGCGCCGCTGAAGAATCCTTTCGATTAATTAGGAGTATCACATCAGCGATATAACCATTTTTGTTAATATTCTTTCCTTATTGATCATGAGCACCATCTGTTGCTTAGCGATCTTCAGGATCTACACTGAGGATGAGGCTCCCTGCTGGCCCTGGTTTCTGGGTATGGGGAATTGTAATTCTATTTTCGATCTATCACACGATTTGAATCCCTACAGCACTTGAAGGTGACAATTGACGACAAAGGCTTCAAGTAATAGTATACCTTTCAATTGTCGGTAGAAACTGTGAATAGAAATTTGTATATAAAGGTAGTTGTACAAACCTCGAGTATTGGTTTTTTCTCATCACTCATCACCATCATCATCTCAACCAACCAAAGCATCTATACTTCAGTATACAGCTCATTCTTTATAACACTACTTTCCAAACTTCTATCTTCTCAAACGCTCTCCCTCATTCAAAATGAAGTTCTCATCTATCTTCTCCGTCTTCCTTGCCGGTCTGGCTGTTGCTAGTCCTCTAGGAAAGCCCCAGAGCAGCGAAGACCTCGCTGTTCGCGAGGCCGAGATCGAGATCGAGAGCAACTTGATCACCCGTGCGGATGACAAGATCAGCGCAGAGTATAACAAAGTCCACGCTGCTAAGAGCTCCATCGCCAACGGAAAGTACTATGCATTCACCGTCAAATGTAAGCCAACCCCTGAACAATAGCAGACACAGCAGATTTGATAGCTGACATATTAAACAGGGCCTCTCGGTGATGGTACCAACATCGACTCCGAGACTCCTGCTGAGATCCAAGAGTTGCAGAAGAAGCTTGGCTTCAAGCACGTCGGTGTATGTAAACCTCTAATATTCCCAAACCTCTTGGTCTGCCCCGGCATACTACAGAAACCCGCAACTAACATACCTTCTAGGTGATTATTGGAAAGGTCAAGGACGTTGAGACTGGCAAGGGCAAGAACAAGCACCACGAGAAGGACTTCAGTGGCCAGCTCTTCCACCTGATCAAGAAGGCCGATGGCTCTGCCCAGCTCGACTCTCCCCGCAACTACAAGCTCTCTGGACAGACTGCAGGTCTCTTCAAGAACGGCCAACTCAGCTTCCTCAAGGAGGTCTCTGCTAAGACCTTCTCTGATGCCAAGAAGACTGCCGACAAGTACTTCGCCGTCCCCGGCCACGACAAGTACTCTGTCGACAACAACAACTGCGACTCCTTCGCCAAGACTTTCGCTGCTGAGTTGTAAGAAGTTACAGCAGTTTGACGGCACAAAACATAGCGCTGTGAAGTCTAGACCAGCGGCTCTGGCTTGGGATTAACTTCGAAAAGTAGAAGTGACGGCTTTCGGCAGTCATTTCACCCATTCGCTACGGTGATGAAGAACATACAGGGGCTTTGTACATAAATATTCCGAAATTGTTGTATTATTACAAACTGGGGGGTACCATAGATCGGTTTTCAAGCATATAACAATAGATTCAACGTTTCACTACAGCAAAAAGGACCAATCTAGATTGTCTAGAGATCTGAAACCAAAATTGCGTTGGTGCCTAATAATTAACTCGGCCGATGTGATCTGACTTAGATCCTTAGATTACGCTGTAATACGGCGCATGTTCTAAAGCGGCGTGACCTACAGTAACCTCAATACGGACTCAACCCACGAGATGCCTAACTAGCTTAGTCCGACATACACCACCACACCACCCTAACCGCAAAGGAATCCGCCTATTCATGCGTCCACTCAGGCTTCTTCTTCTCCGCAAACGCTTGCATCCCGACCTTCTGATCCTTGCTCCCAAACAAGCTATGGAAAACCCTCCTCTCATACTCGACCCCGTCCCTGAGCGGCAAGTCCTGGCTCTTATTCACGACCTCCTTGGCCGCGATAACCGCGACCCGGGAATTCCCCGCAATCGTCTCGGCCGTCTTCAGCGCGCCCTCCATCAGCGCCGCATGATCCGAGAACGCCCTCGCCGCCAGCCCCCAGCGCGCCGCATCCGCGCCACTGAAGCTCTTCCCCGTAAGAATCAGCTCCATGGCGCGCGACTTCCCAATCGCGCGCGTGAGTCTCTGGCTCCCACCGGCGCCGGGGACCGTGCCTAGCTTGATCTCGGGTTGTCCGAAGTTGGCCTGCTCGGTGCAGTACAGGATATCGGCCATCATGGCGAGCTCGCAGCCGCCGCCGAGGGCGTGGCCGGAGACGGCGGCGATGATGGGTTTCTTGACGCGCGAGGTGAGCTGCGACCAGGACTCGATGAAGCTCGTCTTGTACGCTTCCGAGAAGGTCAGCGGCGCCATTTCCTTTATGTCGGCGCCGGCTGCGAAGGCTTTCTCGGACCCCGTGAGGAGGATCACGGAGACGGAGTCCGAGGTGTTGAATTCGTCGAGGGCTTGGTTTAGCTCGGTTATGAGGGGCGTGCAGAGTGCGTTTAGGGCTTTGGGTCGGTTAAGGGTTACTGGTGATACGGGCCGAGGTTAATTGGTGGGAGCTGTGTGGTGAGTGTTGCGTGTGTGAATATCTCACCTTGGCCGACGCCCGGTTTGGGCTCGGATACTAGGATGTACTCATAGGATTTTGATGACGTAGCGGAGAATTGGCGGATTGTCTTGGGAAGTGTGCATGGCTGGAAGCGGGAGGCTAACGGCCTCAATGTCCGTAAAGTGTTCATTTTGAGTGAGCCTAGATGAATCGCAGCTTGGATTAACGGGATTAACACATGTACATAATATAACCCCTCTAATGGGGTGGAGAAGACTATCAATTGAAACAATCGAGATGATTTGGAAAGGCGCTTTATTTATGAAAGTCACGTTAAGTCCGAGGTGCAATCAATTGGGCAGTTAATATCCCGGCTTAGAAATCGATGTATCTGTTCGAGGTGAGAGTGAAGTTAAGAACCACAGCTCCGGAGCTTATGAGGTCATGAAGCCGAAGCTGGCCGAGGATAACGGACTGCAACTAGAAACTGTAACTCAACCAGCCACACCCCACTACGGAATACGACTTACTAAGAATGTTAAATACCTGGGTAATCGGTAACATTCACGTAAAAGAATAAAGCGGGGATTTGTGGAATTGAGCTGCCGAAAAACGCTTGCGCGGCCAGTCATGTTGGTTTCATTATAAAATGTGGCTTTAAATAGAAATGTGGCTAGTACAAAGTTTAATTAAGCTGGCCACATTGTCTTCCCCTTTGGCGCAGATCTCGAAAAGTCGCGACTTGCAAATTGGCGAAAGAATTCATTCATCTTCTTTAATAATCCCACGATATCTTCGACATCACTCTTTTACCCCCTTTTAGGACATCGAGAATAATACGAGACATCGAGGCGACTTTAATAATACACTATTTATTACCCTCGCGATAAAGACACGAGATCGCATCATTCATCATGGAGAATATCGAGACGGATCAAACCCCTTTCGCGGCTGTGACGGCCCAAACGTCCAAACTCCAGAGAGTATGTCTCTCTTTGCGCCGGTTACCACGGAAGGCTTCACAAAATAGCTAACGGTCTATAGCAATATCAATCCCTCCTAGATCAATCGACCCCCTTTGTTCTCTACCGATGGGTTGGTACAGCCGTATTTCTAGGCATCTTCTTCCTCCGCGTGCTCTTAGCACAAGGCTGGTATATTGGTACGAAGACTCCCTTACGCTCACCAGGAAAGACTTAGAACATAAGCTGACAGTAAATAGTTGCATACGCACTCGGAATCTACCTGCTCAACTTGTTCCTCGCCTTCCTGCAGCCTAAATTCGACCCTTCAAACGATATGCTAGACAATGAGATGGAGGATGGATCAGCCGGCGGCCTCCCGACCAAGCAGGACGAGGAATTCAGACCGTTTATCCGACGACTTCCAGAGTTCAAGTTCTGGCACGAGGCGACTCGCGCCATCGCTATCGGATTTGTGTGCAGCTGGTTCGAGATCTTCAACGTTCCAGTTTTCTGGCCCGTCCTGGTCATGTACTGGATCATCCTCTTCGTTCTAACCAGTAAGTCGTCCTGGAAATGTTCATGGTTGACTAGTATCGCTAATCATACTCAGTGCGCAAGCAAATCCAGCACATGATCAAGTACCGATACGTCCCTTTCTCGTTTGGCAAGGCGAAGTACGGTAAGACTAGTACTTCGTAAACGTAAGGTTACGCTGAAGCTCGGTCATGCTAGGACTTATCAGGACAGAACTCGGAGGATACCGAGAAAGTGAACGAAACGTGTAGACAGTTTCGATAAAAATTTTAATCACGATGACTACTCGACACGGTGATGCGCCTTGGGGCTTCGATAACTGTACAAATTATGATACAGGCATTTTGTATGAGGTACTAAAGGAGCTGGACGGTCTGTACGGAGTAATGCGATGAGTCTCCATTGTTAATTGTTGGTTGGCCGTGAAAGGAGATATTTCTCCACAGGTATGAGAATAGGCTGGTAGCATGGACGTGGTCGGGGCGCAGAATTGCATCTTCCAGGATTGTTATCAGTAGACATTATATCAAAGAACAATAATAATATGCTTTTAAGACTATTTTGGTTGTTAGTCGCTTTCAAGAAAAATAATGATGATTATCTGATAGGTAGGAGGCAGGTAGGCAGGTACGGCGGTGCTGGAATGGGACGCCGATGTTGCTGATAACGATAAAGCTTGGACGGTGCACCTTCCGACCGTCAACTTTTTTTTTGCGACTAAGCCTGCGCGAAATGTACTTAGCCTAAGCACCAGTCGCGACGCGCATAGCACTTGCCTGCAACCTTCGAAGAGTCGATTCACTTTGGAGGTTGCATTTCCGAATGCACTTTCCTTAATAATTATTGGATTTCATTTAGTACCTTGGTACTTGGGTACTCGTCGACGGCGTCAATCGGTCTCGCCGATAATCCTAAACCTTCACCTTTACCTCTCCAACCACATCACGGCGATTATCATTTGCATCATCAATTCTCTACCCCTTATCCTTCATATTTCTGTGCGAGCTACGTTCAAGCCATTGCCACAATGGCGTCCTCGTCGCGCAATGGCGAGCATCGCTCCATTCATCAGGATTTCATTGCTCGAATCCGATTCTCTAACGCGCTACCGCCTCCCCCCTTTCCACCTAAGCTCCTCGACGTTCCGAACACCGGACTTGCTAGCAACCGATACACGGCTATAGAGTTTGCATCGAGGCTGTCTCGAGAACAGCCTCTGAACATCGAGGCTGATGCGGAACTGGGAATGCCGCTAGATCTGGTGGGAATGCCGGGCATTTTTGACGGTGATGAGAGCTGTATGTAGGGATAAGACAAACAAGACTATGATGAATGTGTTTTGCTTCGAACATTTATAGCTAACTTAAAGTACAGCCATCCAAGCCCCAGCACAGCAGCCGGCCATTCATCCACGCGATCGCGCCCTACTCAGACCGCCTGGAACCTTGGGTCAACCTAAGATTCACGAAGCCAATGTATCCTTCCTACGCCGAACAGAGTATATCTCCTCTGTATCCACGAAGCGTAGCACCTCGAGCGCTCTCCTCGGTAGCAAGCCGGCCCCCAAGCGACCTCTCAAGCGACCCTCTCCAGACCGGGATGTCGATTCGCCTGCCCAGATAAAGAGGAAGATAGACCAGGGCTTCGCTGTCGCGGCTGCTAACATTAAGGATAAGAGCCGAGTTAAGCACCCGACGAACCGCAACGCCAAGCTCGTCGACACTTTCCCTCTGGTCCCTGATCTGGACGCCTTCCCAGACTCGGGCGCTTACGTGACATTCAAGTTCACACACAACCCACTACCGCCGACACGAACGTACGATCGACGGCTCCTCAACGGTATCCTTAAGCCTATTAGTAAAAGCGAGATCGATGAGCAAGCCTTCACGTTGGCCATGCAGGCGCACGAACGGGACCCACAGCGCGTACCGAAGCCGCAGAATTTGATGGATTATGATTTTTTCCTCAACGACTCTGTCGACACGACGGAGCGCTTCCGCCAGAAGTTCGACATTGAAAACCCGGACAACGACGACGACAATCTGTACACACACAAGTGCAGCGGCAAGCCGGCCTTCATTTTCCCTCGGGTCCGCACGTACGAGACGAGCCAGGAGCTCGAATTGAACAACCAGACCAAGTATGACGAGGAGGTCGTGCTAGCGTTTAACGATGACGAGACGACGGACCAGAAGGCCGCGTTCTACTACCCCGTCATGCAACGCAGCGTTATCAAACCCCAGCGTGCCAAGAAGATCGCTCGTACCATAGGAATGGTGCCGGCGGGCGTGGACCTGGATGAACGAAACGTGGATCAGCTGGACATCGTCATCGAAGACCCGAGCGACGATATAAGAACCTGGATGAACCTTTACCGCGACCATCCCTATGGTAAGGACGAGGATGAGGGTGAGCAGGGAACGGATGCTGGTCGAAGGGGATCGGTTGGTGGTGCGAGTCAGCCGCATGAGATTGAGGATGAAGATGAGGAGCAGGATGCTGAGGGCGATGAGGAAGACTGATTGATTAATTGCTTGCTTGCATACATGACTCCCGAGCATCGGTAGATGCGGTCGTAGGTGGTATTAGGAATATCAGAACCTCGATTTGACTTGACTATTTGAGAGGTGGGCTGAAGTTGCTTGGAGATGGGTTGAGTTGCACCTGCTTCGTATGAATGGGAACATTAAGTTCTTGCCTTGCTGGGTTTCGGAGTTGCGATGAGTTAGGAATCAATGAAAATCACCAAAATTCAGTTGAGTTGAGTTTGATACTGGGCGTGTTTAGGCTTGGAGGCTTGGTTATACTATTCGGGCCTAGGTGTTTACCCTTTGTAGGGGTGCTTTCACCTTGTTTTGATCTACGGGACAGAGATTCTTGCTGTCGCGTACTACTTCGATATCTAAACAAATACTAAGGCGTCTTTAAGGGGTTGAATTCACAACATCGTACCAAACACAGTTCTTCATGAATTCTCAGCTGAATTCGGTTTCTCTCCTACACACTGATTAGAAGAATCCGATGCCTATTCCTGGAAAAAGGCTTGATTCATGTGGATACGTTAAACATACCTGGATCCGTACCTATGATATAAATTACGCCTTATTGTCAGCAAATCTCTTATTACCTAGTTATTCACTGATAAGAAAGCTGATTCATCAACGCAAGATCGTCTCTGGGGTGTTTTCCGGTGGAATACTACTTTCGCCTAGATTTACACGGAGTCTCTATAACAAGTATTCCCATATTACTCGTACTTCGTATTGGGCGCATTAAAGCCTGTTGGTGGCTGAAGATGTACGATTAGTATACCGGAAAGGGCACGAGGCGCCTTTCAGTAATATTAACCGGATTTTGTGTTGGCGAAGTCCGAATTCCGGCTATCATAAAAGTGGCCTCGATTCAAAAGGGATAGGATCTTGGCTCGTCAACGCCAAAACATCAAATTTCTCACCTTGGGGACGCAACTTAGAAGGAAACATATATATCTTCTAGAGCTCGATTGAAAGGGAGGAATGAAAAACTAAGAAGTCTCAACCAAGGACGGATCCGGACCCGAAGGAGATCTAGCCCGGTCCGGAAGGAGAACAGCCTATCAGCAAGCCATGTCTCACCGGCGCCCGATTCGACGTCCAACAGATCCATCTCCGCGGACCAACCTCCTCGGAAAGATACCACAAGTTCCGCGTGGGGGCAGATATATATGCAGCCAAAGTCTCAGACCTCGATCCTTGTTCTAATTATCAAAAATAAGGGTAGAACCCCTATTACATAACAGCCTGCTCATAAACGAAGCTCACATCCAGACAGCAGCTCCTCCCCCACACCTTCTTTCTCTCCTATCCCCTAGCAGACCCAGAAAATCCCGCGACCCATCCTGCAACCCGTCGCCCTCGTCCCAACACCAACAGGACCCAAGTACTCGGCACCGCTTCACGTGACCGCTTTGCCCATGCGAGACATCTATGTCGTGCATGAATTCAAAATCTGTGTCTTGGGAAGGAGCATGAGCTGGTGGTCATGTGTTATACGGGCTTATCCTATCCGGGTCGGATCGACGATCTATCCCTCAGTTTCGGGGTTAAGAAAAAGGGGGGCCGCTGTTCCTCGTTCCACCGTGAGCAAAATTCTCCTAATATCGTGGAAAGCATCCCGGTAGCTTGATGGTCCGTCAGCACTGCTGTTGGTACATTGTAGTATTTCAAAGGGGCCTTGCTAGCTCAAAATATCCAAATGAGGCATACTGCTTCTAGTGCTTTCGCTTGATACTGGTAAGTATTAACATGGATGGGTGCTCAGAAATGCCAAAAAAAAACACAAAATAAGAGGTAAACAGATATTCTTGGTATTAACTATCCAGTGATATTCTCTAAACTAACTACCTATTAATATGCTCCCATCATCCCCGACTGGCTATGCTTCTAGTGGTGGGTCATGTCAGTCTTCATCTGCTCTCCTGTAGAGGTGCTACCAGCTATAAGGCGCTGGTTCAAGAAGATCTGTATCGAGATTGTACGAAGCTTGGTTTCTCCTCTAGTTCCTTACTATTATAGGCGGGGCGATGGTCGTAGTCTCTGCCACTTCCTCGGCGGTCTCGCAAACGATCTCTCGACCCATCGCGGCATGGGCGGTCCCATCTGCGTCCGAAATAGCCATCACCTTCTTTACCGGCGACTGGAAAGGAGGACGTCAATCGTAGGAGTAAATTGCGAATCAGCCGTCCTGCTCCACTACAGCTGAAATATCATGTGCGCGGCACAAGCAACTTCAAGGAATCTTCATGTTATTCGAATGGCGATGTCCTTGATCTCCTCCAGTGACATTTCGTGGTTTGCGTCGTACTCATCGACCAACTTCATGGCATTCTGACTCAGCAGTTCTCGAGGATACCACTGATCGTGTATCGCTGAGAATCCTTTCAACCTGACCAGATGTTCTATGGTCGGTTTGCCTCCTTGGCGTCTTATTCTTCTCAGCAACAACTTCTCTATTTCATACGACACCCACTCCTCTGTATCACCTTTCGCAACGACTCTCCCTGGCGTAGGTTGGCGTCGTTTATAGGAATAAAGGGATCACGTTTCTGCAGCGATACCCCTTTCCGACTATGTTGTGCCGGTTTCTGTGCCTATGAGGAGTCAGACTGAAGTGATAATTGTTGTTCGAATCGAAAAGTCGAACAAAGGGTTCAACTAAAGAGAGAATATCTACCTATCGAGAGCGTAGAAATTTTGTAGAATTGTAATCGAACCAGCGAGGATCGTGAGCGTAAAAAGAATAGTAAAACTGTAATCGCAATGGAGCGGAGAGCAGAGAACTAGCAAGATTTATCAGGTTCTTGCGAGACCTCGAATCGAATAGGAACGTAGAGTGAAGGGAAGGTCGTCACTCTCTCTGGAGCGGTAGGGGGGGGCATTGGTAGTTACCTAGTTATCCGCAGGACAACTCGGCAGCAGAGCTACCATATAGTCATCTATCTAATGATACATTCGTACCTTCTTTTAGGATACAGGAGACACAAGGAGACATAATAGCATGTGAGAACAACAGGATAAACCCTAACAGTGCCCTTCGTATTTCATGTCCCTAACGCACCAACTTTATAACCTTGCCTGAACCCGCCACAGTGTTATCCAGATCAGGATGGGAAACGTCCATATCTCGGATGTTCTAATAATGCTTAGTAGATAATGACTGTCATGTCAAACGTTGGGTCGTTCATGCGCAGGGCTCGGCAGGACCGCACAATAGACATCGCATGGCCTTCGAAACTGACCGCACGCAGACGTTCTTCGATCGCATAGCGAGCCAATCACCAATGTTCAATAGCCTCGTTGAATGGGGCTTGAAACTCTCGGAAGAGTTTGTGTAGTGCATAAATATGTATCATCCTCGAGACGGCGCTCCTCTTCCGTCTGGCTCGATAGATTGATCCACCATAGCTGAGCACGATCATATAGGAGCCGGGGTGGATGTCGTTACTTTCTCGCACTGGTCCACTCTATTGCCTGCCAACCACTGGTACCCAGAATGGCGTAGGAAAGAACAACACAAAGTTTAGTGACCTGATCAGGTCACAACTGAGAGCCCAGTCTTCCGAATCGCTATGGAACTCTTCCTCGTCCCGCGGCCCATCGGCTTAGAGACTTAGCTAGTAGCTATGATCTCGTCAGCGTTATCTTTTTCGGCAGGTATATTCTATTGAGGGAAATGTTTAGGCGTAGAGATGCTAAGGATAAATTTTCGTGACGTTGGCGGGGGAGGCGCGTGGTTGACTGTTATTCCATCTCCCGATCTTTGAACATCTTGGCCGTGTTCTTCCCCAGGCGATTCTCTATATTAGATGATCTTTGATCATATAATGGCCATGGAGGCTCCGGGAGCATACACTAACTGTGTAAGAGATCGATGACCGGGTAAATAAAAAGACTAGATGTCTTCTCTCATCTAGGGACTTATGCTTGTCCAGACCTTCCTCGTAAAGTCGTTGGTAGTGACTTTAAGGGGTGTGGGAATTCGCCATATTGACCAATTCATAGAACCGTCTTCATAACCCGGAGGTCCTCCGATCGTAACGGAGCAGGGCTACCATATATGAGGACTCAAGAGATCTGATAATTGTTTTTCAATTGAAAGATTGAATCCAGAGGATTCAATCGAAGAAAAGATAATGTTTGTGTTCGATCATTTTCTTCCGTAGAAACCTGCGGTATTCCCTTGCCCAAGGCTACCTAGTACCTACCTAGGTACCAGCCTAGGTAGGTGTGATTAGCCTGGGCAGTTCCACATTGAAGTAATGAATAAATGGTAAATAAATGAGAATCGTTCGGGGCAGAGGGTCTCTTATATAGTAGGGAGAGATAGAGAGAATATGAGAAGAATTGAGAAAGTTTTGATGAAGGTTTCTATGTAAAGTGTATTATCATTTGAGTTAATATTTATTGTCTATAGGAAAGTTTCAATTGAGGATTTTACTTCTTATACTCGTCATGCATTGATTATATGCTATGTATATAGCTCATATTGCGGTAGATACTCAATTGATCTTTCCATATTACTATATTTACCCCTAGGCAATTGAAATTAATGAGAAGGAACGCTCATGCATGTAATTGTCGAGGCCAAGGAGTTGATTTATGGTTACCCCTATTCCTTCCACTATTGCCTATCTCAGGATACGATGGATAGACTACTTGTGACCATAGCTATATACAGTAGGAGTCAGGATAGAATATACGACCATCACGCGGTACTGATTCTCCTTTAAAAGCTTGTTGTCACTTGACATATAGAGATTCACGCTCAACTGACTCACTACCATACAAACCTGCCCAACACAATCCGCCACACCATCAAACCACCAAAGCGAACGAGCAAAACAGTAAGTACAGAAATTATTGAGTCTATTTAGTTATAAACAGGTATATACAAAACCAAATATCCACGAAGCGAAGCGAACTAAATACCTTGCCCCCTCCCCAATCCAAATATTTAGACCTCAATCCCTTATTCTCCCGACATTACCTACATGTAACTACCCTCCCTCCTCCACAACCTCAATCACGTCGTCTTATCAACAGGATACCGTCCCGTAAACTTAAAAGTCTTCAAACCCCCTACCAACCCCGTTGCCAGGGTCTCCACATCCGCGCTAGCATAAACACCCTCAGTCTTCGGATCCAAGCCGCCGGCAACGAGGGGATCACTCGGCGCCGCAGCGCCGAAATAAGCAACGGGCTTGCCGAAGAGGTACGCCGTGGTGGCGATCTGCAGGGGTCGGAGGGGCGGGTACAGAGGGCTGAGGTTCGCGGCAGAGAGGGCGAACAGGCCTGCGGAGTCGGCACCCGAGACGACGATCACGGCGTCGAAGTCGGTTGCGTCGGCTGCGCTGTACGTTTTATCTACCCCGTCGACGAGGGTTTCCGCCACGACTGTGGAAGTCAGGTTCTCGTTCGCGAGTCTAGTTTTCAGCGTCTTTGCCTGGTCGAGCGCGTTCGTGCCGTTGGCTTTGCTAGTGCTGGCTAGGATGCCGACTTTGAGCGTCGCTACTGATGGAAGCGTGACGTTCGTGATACTTATCCCGATTGTTGTGTTGTCGTGGTAATACGTGTCGTCCGGGGCCGGGGCTTCTAGACCTAGGGCTGTGGCGACGCGGACAGCGATGTCGTTGCTGATTTTATTGATTTGGGTCAGTACGTTTTGCTTCACGGTGGTGGAGGTTAAGTGGCTGGTTTCGAAGCGGATGGCGTTGATGAGGAATTGCTGTTCTACGGGCGTGAGTGAGTTGTAGAATAGCCGTGGCTGCGACCAGTGGTCGTCGAATGTAGACGATAACCCGCGCACAAGCCTGCCTGAAGTACTGCGGATTGGGGCGCTGAAGAACCCTCGGCCGCTGCTTTGACTTGCTTGCTGCGGATAGCCGTCATTCAGACTGTTAGGAGAGTCTAATTTTGTGGTTAGCTATGATTACATTTCTAGTTGGTAGGGATAAGGTTAAATAAATATGTAAATAGAAGGAAGACATACATGCGTGGATGTTCTTGTGTATCAAATTTTGACCGGCGCCATCGCGATTGTTATTGTGGATTGGGATGACCGGTCGGTTGATAGGCAGCTGCTCGAAGTTGGGACCTCCGTGTCGATTAATCTGGGTGTCCAGGTAAGAGAAGATACGACCTTGTAGCAGAGGATCTTCGGTGAAATCTACACCACGAACGATATGTCCAGGCTGGAACATGATCTGCTCTGTTTCGGCAAAGTAATTTGTCGGGTTCGTGTGCAACTTCATGACACCTAGCTTTTGGAGGGGAGCGTATTCCTCAGGAAGAATCTTAGTGGGATCGAACAGGTCAAACCCGAACGCGAGCGCTTGATCCTCATCAACTACTTGAACGGCGAGCTCCCACTCGGGGCCATTGCCAGACTCGATCGCCTCAAATAGGTCTTGTCGATGGGCATCAGCATTCTTTCCAGCAAGGATCTGAGCTTCTTCCCAATACAAACTGGCCTTTCCTTGCTTTGTCTTCCAATGCCACTTTACGAGCTTGGAAGTACCGTCATCCTTGACGAGACGGAACGTGTGGACGCCAAAGCCATCCTATAAAATAAGTCAGCACTAGAACTAGCGGGCATGTGTAACTTAGACTAACCATATGTCTAAAGCTCCGTGGGATACCGAAGCCTGCCATAGCCCAGAAGAGAGTGTGGAGAGTACTCGGCTGTTGGGAAAAGAAATCCCAAGCTGAGTCATGAGCTGTTGCGGCTTGTGGTATTTCGCTGTCGGGGCTTGGTTTTACTGAATGAATTAAATCAGGAAATCTAATAGCATCCTGGATGAAGAATACTGGGATGTTGTTCCCAACAATGTCTTGAAAGTGTTAGTATCATTGAAGTCGAAGTAGTTCATTAATCCGTACCAAAGTTGCCTTCATCTGTATAACTTCATCAAAGTTAGTACCCAGATAAGACTCCCTGGGAAATGGAGGGTATTCTTACAATCTCGTAGCAAACCCATGAACATCGCGAGCCGTGTCCGCACTTCCTCGAGACCCTGCTACAGTGGAAAACCGTACGAAGACGGGGGTTTCCTTGCCAGCAGTGCCTAAGAACGAGGCCGCTGTTAGGTTGCTCCAATCACCATAACTTGTAAATGTACCATGGGCACCAGCACCTCTTGCATGGACTGCCCGTTCGGGAACCTATCGAAATATTAGTATGGCTTTCATGCCATCAAAGAAAATTAAGGCTTGTACGACAGTGTTCTTGGCATTTTATAGCTTGATGACGTGGGCTCTTTCATGATTTCTCATTTGACTTACCCGTTCATGGTCGAAATGTGTGATCTTTTGGCGGAAGATGTAGTCCTCTAATAGAGTTGGGCCTCTTTCGCCGGCTCTTAGGCTATCTTGTTCTTGGATCTGTCCGCCAACGTCGTCGGTGAAGAAGCCATTGCTATCATCTACCATAGCGCCGAGCACCGGATCAGTATCACCATCAGCTCGAGCGCGAAGCGCACTTGGATCGGCAAAGGGGCAGCCTGCGGAGACAAGCCCCAGAAGTCCAAGAAGGGTAGTGTGGGAGAGAAGGCGACCCATATTGTCTTAATTTGCAATTCCAATCCTTATAGATACTAGGTATATATGGGAAGAGATCTCGGGATGGTGCAGGAATCGTGGAGCAGAGACGGCTTCGCGTAGAGAGAAAGGGTTCCACGGGGTGCTTATAAAATAAGACAACGGCCGGCGTTACATAAAGCCAGGTACCTAGACTCAAAGGGTTACTCAAAGGGTTACTTGAGGCTCTAATACAGCTGTAACTTAGTCCTCAGTAATCAAAGAGCTTACATTACAAACATTCCATCCAACATACATAGACCCTTTCAATTTCCATTTTGAGATATTCCATCTTCAGGCTAGGGCTATCTCCACAAAAGCGGGTGCTCAGTAAGGGTGGCCGCCAGTAGAACTGAGGATATTCGTAAGTAAAAACCCCGATATAGTTAACACGCCCGCAACCCATGCTTTGATAGATGTGACGAGACCCTAGGTCGAAAAACAAGGTATGTACATCCTGTACGGAGGTAGAAGATACCGAGAGTAGAAGCAGTGATTCGACACCGCGTAAACCCACGATCAGGTCAGAGTCACGGTGCCACAAAAGGGGGGACTAAGCCAGCGCTTGCAATATGGCGTGAGTTCATTGACAATACCAGGCTAGGAAGGGTGTTGACCAATCTGGCCACTTGGCGTTGACATGATATTCACGGATTAGCTCTGTCCCACTTGCTAGGTTGTTGCTGGTGTCATATTTTTCTATCATGTGCGTGCTTGGCAAATGCCGTGTAGTCTCACAGCAGTCATCATGACCAGAAGGCGGTCTCCCAGATGATGACATGGGGATCTACCTCCTATGCGGGGAGGGGAAAATGGGAAGGGGCCCCGGGTAGATTCCTCTGGCTGTCTGGTAACCCTTGACTATCGAACGGAGATCTGTAATAAGGAGAATGTAGTCCACAAGATTGGATTGTCCGAGAGCCAAGGTGAATGATATTCTCCTTCGTTAGGTATGTTACGGTATCTACCCAAAGAGGATAGAGGGATGAACGACCTGCCAATTTTGGTAATCCACCGTCAGAAGGGATAGCATATTGCAATGTATTACATTATCATCTGAAAACATAACCACTGCTGTCAGGTACAATAGGTCTTGCATGTCGTGGTCCGAGTGTGGGGGGTCTCTTGAGATGTATGTAACCCGCCTATATACCGACAGCCGAGTGTATTGCTAAAAAAAGAAAAAGAGGCAACAAGAACCAAGACGATGTATCTTGGGCGTCTTGGCGGAATTTAACTGGCCACCAACGAAAAGAGTTTAAAAAGAGCTGCCCAGAAGATAGCTTGAGTATAGGGAGGGAGAACGGTATCTACTTACCAGGTATGCATTGCAACGGTATTTCAGGATCTACGCGAAGCGGATTGGAAGCCGGTTTTTGATATGCCATCGACATGCCTCCAAATCTAGGTAGGTAGCTGAAGCTCACCGTTCTAACCGTTGAAGAACGTGAGCCATGTATGGTTGCATTAAAACCGTAGCTGCGTAGTCGTCAACTGCACGAGCGGGTTGCGTGTCACAATTTAGTAGAAATGCGATTGGGTTGTTATCCAGTTTAAAGAGTGAGATATCATGAGAGATGCTTTCCAAGCTTCGATGAGGCGCTAGAAGACAGCCATTGTGGTTGGGATGACGGGCATTATCCCTGTAGGGTTGGTGAAAAATTCGGCACTTGCATGAAATTAAATGGAACCTCTGGACGGGTAACATCGCTAAAGGTAAGTACCTAGCAAGCCATGTTGCAGTGGAAACTCCGGGGGACCCACGTTATCCGGACCGTCTTTGGGATGAGTAGGTACCTAGGTCCTAGGTATTCTCGTACGTCGCTTCGAGTAAATGGTCTGTCAGTTAGTCGTTTTGACATAGCTAAGATATTTAATGTGAGCGAGATCCATTGACGACGAATTGCAGATAAGAAGTAGATTAGGCTTGATGTCTCATCAATAATTCTTTTCAGAGAAAGCGAAATGAATATCGAATGCCTTCCTACATATCTAAATGACGTAAAAAGGCTACGATCTAAGATCTTCGTTGCTCCCGGTGGGCTATCGTTGCAATGGTGGTGTGCCGGGACGATATTCGGCCTATTCGATAGGTATACTTGGCAAATACATATCTGTCCAACAGCCGGTGTGTAATAGAGAATGCCTAGGTGATAGCGTATTTGTAAGGGGTAGGTTTGTAATAATAGTAATGGATGTGGGCGTCAACGCCGTCTCACACCAACGAATTATTCGGTCAAGGGAAAGCAATTGCCAAGACCTTGTTTGTATCACGTGTATACGCGTCTGGATCATGTACTTCTTATTTCCGGACCGAGGATGAGGTACGTCGGTATTCGCGTTCTCGAAAAAAATCGGATGTGGTGTTGGTTTCTGAATTAAAGTCATCGGAAAGATGCCGCATGGCCGCATGGTGGAGGGGTTGAAGGCCGCATACAGATCTGTGGAAGGTAAGGAAAGTTTGGAATCATCTGAGACCAGTTGCGGAAAGACGATGGACCGCATTGACCACTTTAAGGCACCTGCTGCATTGCCTGAGCTACCTATCCAGAGTCGTTCTTGCCCATCCACATATGTTGCGCCATGTTGCTCTACGGCTCAGCTTCACTTAAACTTCCTAAGTTGAACCAACAAAAAACAAAGTTTCAGCTCAGCGCTGCTGCACCAATATTGATATCACCATTCAACTAGATTTACCTCCGCGCTATGACTAACTTGGTATTCTGATTCCTAAGATAACAGGGATCTTTTGTTCAATCATCTTCACTTCATGATCAAGGACAATTGTTTGACTGAAGGAAGGATATCCGAGTCCGGAGATTCTACATATTATCAATCCCTCTTCTCTGATTGATGCCTATTCAAATTAAAGACTAACTTGTACGCCGGTACCTTGGCAAATTCTAATTACTTTCGTCTCCAACTTCTATTCCCTGCTAGCACAATTTCAATTGCACCTACTATGATCATCCTCCTCGGCGGGCGTCTAATTCTTAGCTAGCACCGCTACTTTTGCCAGGTTCCTGATCCGACGAAGTCATATCCATCATATGATTATGTTACGATAGGGCTAGCTCTGGAGTTCCAAGTTTACATAACGTATGGATGTCAAGTCTACGGTCTAATAGATGCGTTCTAGACTTCCGAGTTAAAATCGCCGACCTCCACCCCGGTTTCCGGGTTGTTTGTTTCAACGTCGACCCTGGCCCCCGCTGTTCCCGCTAGCTAAACTAATTATCGCCGGAGTATCTACCGTTTGAATGTACCTTCGTCGGCATCTTGTGGCGGAGATGCCTTAACTCATGCCTAGGCACTTAAGCATCTATTTAGGGGTTGAGTTACCTTTCCTCGAAATCCCTCACTCTAACCCCTTAGCTCAAATTCATATGACCCTACCGTAAGGCTTGGTGGTACTTCCTATATCCGGTTTAAGGGATTTACTTTCAGCTGTGTCTCGTTTCTAGAAATATTGGTCAAAAGAACTCGACGCCACTCGTCCAAATATTAATAGAATGATGTCACTAGGCTTAATGTCTCGGAGCCGATTACAGAGTACCACCTCTGACAGTTTGACCTAGTACCTACCTAGGTAGCTAAACCAACTCCGTTTCTATTAAATGGCAAGCTTAGGTTTTCTATGACAGGTGTCATAAACGTCGTAGTTTTATTTATTCTCCTTACCGGCGGTGTCGTCATATTAGACTTGGCGCATCAATCAAAGGTACGCTCGACGCATGGCAATTAAGGTAAATATAGGGATTCTTGGCGTTTGATGCTTATTTGGAAATCAAAAACGACGCTGTTATATCCACGGCTGGGAGCTTCCCGCACCAATGTCATGGACTTAACGGTGCTTGGAACGAACCCCCTTTTCCGGATCTATTCATTGGAAACGGTGAGCCGGCCCGCCATAATAATGTCCGGACATATCCTTCCTCGGCTGGAAGAATTACAAATACGAAGGCGTTATCGCAAATTTAATATAAAGATCGGATACCCCCCTAAAAAGATGTCATCTAAACGGACCGAGTCGGTTTCACGATAACTGTATTATGCAACATAATCTCTCGATCTTCGCCACAGCCTCTTAACTATATGATTAGAAATCTGAAGGTTCTGATGACAATTGAATTTTATTTCAGTGTTATGGTGGATGACAAGATAGGGATTTTTCGGTTCGCAGTGAATTGACAGGCATAGGCGTGAAAAGTTTGAAGCATCGCGATTTCGCTGTCCGATGGGCTTCCGAGATCAGGAAGTACAATCTAGGGTGAGAGCTGCGAATCAAGGGGAAAACGAGGACCACCAACAGATTACCCCACTACTATACGATGCCTACAGGTATTCAATTCTTCGTCAAGCGTGAGTCTGAACTAAAAAGCCTCTTCACAGCTCTTAGCGAATCATAGTTTTGAATATAGGGGCACAGTCATGTAGTCACGCTTGCCTTTGCAGGCCGATAGCTTGGTTTCCTCCGTGAGAATCATCGCTTGTATGATAATGAAAAGAGATTTTTTGGCGTCGAGCTTTTACATCCTTTTTTTTATAAAATACACGATGCTTGTACGTCCAGTGTCATGTCAGGCAAGATAGCTGTTATAGACAGCCTACCAGTATGACATAATTACCTTCACGTTCACCTCCTAGATATCATCTCGTGATAAATCTTAGCCATCCGTCCAACATATAAACTACCTAGAAATCGCAGTGAACCGTTATAAAGACTAGCACAAAAACCAAGGTCTATCCAACTGAAGACAATCTGTCAGAAATAGTAGTGTTAACCAAATACAGAACAAAACATGATCTGTACCCAACTAATCCACCTCGACTCTCATTATGAAGTCTATATATTATATATCATAACCCGCCTCAAACCTGCTGGCCCAAAACAAGCGCAACCAAGTCCTCCGGCTCATCGAAGAAATCCAACACCACAACCCCCAACCTCTGCCCCTTCAACCCCTTCAACACATCCACCAACTGGTGATTCACACCCCCATCAGGCGTGACCTCCGTCCCATTCCCCAGCGCCATAGTCTCAGGGACCACAGACGGGGTATTAGAATTGTGTTCAGCCGACGTAAACGTAATAAACAAGCTATCCCTCTCCTCCTCCGCAACCGCCTTCTTAAAATGCGCCTCAACAGCCGCCATCTTCGCATCGATATTACTAACCACAGTCGAATTCTCGCCCAGAACATCCGGCTCGTAGTAATCCTCAATAAACGCCGTCGCATTAGTCGACGCATTAAACACGAGCGCGAACCCAGACGGATCATTATCAATCCACTTCGCCGGGCCCATATGCAACCCGGGCAACACCCCATCCCCAACATCATCACCATCCATATCAAACCTCTTAACCAGCACAACCTTCCCCCTCGTCTCCCCAAGCGTGGGCACATACCCCCTCCCCTGCCAAAGCAGCCCGTCCTTCCCATTTCCCGTCAGCGCATCCTTCATCATCCGCTGAACCTCCGCATCGAAGCTCGCATTCGCAACAGTCCCAATCTCATGCTGAAAACTCAACAACACCGTCTCCCCACCATGCAGCGCAAGCCAATCCCACACCCCAAAAAGCACATCCTCAACGCTGGCACGCGCACTCATCAGCGCCGCGGAGTGCCAAAACACGAGTCTCTTGCCCAGCGGATCCGCCGCAAACCTCAGATCGAAGAACCTAACGCCCTTATCCAAAGCCTGCGCAATGCTCTCCCGTTGACAGCGATACACAACCGCAGGGTTCGCAGTCGTGCCATCGCAGCGGGTAGCGTAGGTGAGCGCGTCCTGCGTATCTTGTGTGTAATTCCAGGTCGCGGCGTCGTGGGTCCCGGGGATATTAATATGCGAGAGGAGCGTCGAGTCCGGCAGTGCGGCCATCCAATCCGTGTACCTCTTTTCCGAAGGATGTGCAGCGGCGTAATCGCCGAATACTTCGCGGCCGTCCTGCAGGACCTTCTGCAGCGCAAATTGGGCAAGCGAGTTTGTGTTCCCGGCGGAGGCGGTGGCGGCGATGGACGCGGAGGCCGCTAAGTAGCGGAAGATGGAGGAGCCGCGCATTTTTAGAGAATTAGACGCGTTGCGCAGAACTTCAAGGTGCCTGCTATTGAAAGAGAGTAAAGCTTTGTTATAATTATATCGCGACAGCTGTCCAAAGGGGCGCAGGAGCGATCGTGGGGCGTTGTCTACCGCTACCGACAATTCCGGCTTCGTTATGCGAGATTGAGTGACGATCTCTGAGGCTGTGGCGAGTCGGATTACACCCGACAATTGAACCTAAATTCTCACCTCACTTGCCTAGTAGTTATGATGGCATATTTAAAGCATCATAGCTAAATAAAGAGAGGAAATCGGTCTTAAACGAGGATTAAATTTATATCCGCCATACCGCGATGGCGACAGGGAAACTTGAAGAGCCTTGTTCAGTTTATCCTGGGCGTAAGCACGAGTTCTAATTAACTCGTTTGATTGGCGGCATCGCATAATGCAATGTTTCGGATCGCGGCAACTAGTATGTCAGCTAATCCAAAATACAGATATTTAGAACATGTGGTGCATACAATTTGAGGAGAATCAGTTTTTATATTCAAGCTATGATTTAATCCGGCGCCAGGGTTTATTACCATCGAGGACTCATTCAGGCACGTGTGCCAAGGTGGCTGATATGAGCCGCAGACCGCCGCATTGATCCTGAATAAACGTGGACAACTCCTTGAACTTTTAGATAGAACGTCGTCCACTTGACTTATTTTCATAGGCATCATTTCCGCATCAAATTCCTTCGTCCCGGGCTAGCAAGTCGACTTAGACTGAGTAGATGCTTATTTCGGCTTTGTAATCTCGAAGAATTCCTTCAATCCCTGCACCACCACCTCGACGTTCATGTTAACCAGCGGCATCTTATCATAACTGTCTTCCTTCATAATCGCAACTAGAGCAAGGTACTTGTCGACCTCGCGTAGTATTATCGGCTTATTCCCATCACTTAACACCATGCAGCTCTCGGCGCATCCCGACGCCACCTGATCCTCTATCTTCTGATTCCACGGTGGTCCTTCTAGAGCTTCGCGATATCTTTGAGTCCGGGGCCAGCTACCGTAGACTTCCGTGACATCTATTATGACGTCAATATAATCGGAACAGATCTCGTAACTCGCCATGTCCGCCGGCTCGCTGTCTGTCGCGATGTAAATCTTAGACAAGACGTCGAAAAGGTACGCTTTTTCGAAACGACATGTTCGGCAGAGGTTAGTAAGCATCGCCTCGAGAATTCCGAGACGAGGAATGAGTTTCTGAATGACCTTGCTGAACGCCTCGAATATGCTATGATTGTAGATACTAGTCAAGTGAAAAGTAACGGGCGCATTCTCGAAACCGTGATCCGAGAGTTCATCCTGGATTCGTATGGTGATATCTCGTTGGATATCTAACTTGTAGTCATCAGACAAGCCGTCTACTTTATGAATGAAGACTTCGATTTTGATGTTCGGATATGTTCGCTGGAGATTTAATATGGTCTCATTTAGACGTGCTACGGCCTCAAGGTAATCATCTTGAGCATCGATAACCCAAATCAGTGCACCGATCTCGCCAAACATCGCATCAATGTCGAATGTTGGGTTGTCAAATATGTCGATCTGACCCGGAAAGTCCCAGACTTGGAAATCCATGAACGACCTATAAGTACGTTAGAAGAACTGATATCCTACTCATACAAGCCATTGGGTCCTTACGGCATAGTGTCCTTCTGGATTCGCGCTGTCGACTCAAGGAATAAGGTCTCGCTCGGTGGTAATTTATGAAAGACTACACTCGATATCGAGGACTTGCCACTCCTACAGTAAGATTAGTTCAGCAGTCCGACATGCGCGGTGTATGATAGCCCACCTTCTCTGCCCCATTAGGAGCAGCCTAGGTTTCCCTTTTGTTGGCAGATCCGGAGGTTGTTCAGGCGCCCTCGGGCCATTTTTACGTTGTCTTTGATCCTGTTCGTATACACGTGTTAGAGCTAGCTGCGCGAGACTAGAAGGACTGGACGATGTCCCGCCTAGTGGTTCCTGAGTATCCTCAGGATCGAAGACGTCCACACCGCGAAGCCGAGAAGACATAACGACAGAATAATTTGGGCCAAACGACATAAAACAACATTAAGAAACGCCCGTCAACAACAAAATCAGGATCAGGCACATCAAGAGCCGAGCTGATAAGAGCGGGGGTGCCCTTCGTATGAATATGAAATTATTCCCTGGTTCATCTCTGCTGAATGATACGAGAGGGTCAATATTCTTAATGAATCCCAGACGACCTCCAATTGAGTAGACTCATAGTTTGTGGCTTGGCGGTTGATTTTAAGAGGCTAATAGCTGTTAGGCTAGCTAATGAACCAATGTGCAAACGAGGTTGCTGAATCCAAGGGTCCGGGTAGGGGAATGCAAGATCGCAGCGATCAGAGATTGCGACGTCTGGGTGGCTGCATGTATGCGGAATCGACCAGGAATATATCAAGTCTCATAACGGGAAGAGGCAACGGAGCTGGGGCGTTCAGCTGGATCAAAACAGGGCATATTGCTCCTGACAATCTGTAAGAAGGGGCGCGATGATTTCATTGCTGATCTCACCGTCGTACAAATCAAACAGCCCAGGCTATCCATCTGGGCGGATTTCGGGTTTATAGTAATTGGGATATGATAATCCCTCCGTTTGCAAACTCGATCCCGTACCAGACCCGGTGTCTGCCTAATTGTGCCCAGGCGATGATAATAAAAATAACAATGGCGATAATGTGCATTTAAACCCGATATGACCAATGCAAACCATAACTGCGTGTCAGACGCAGCATGGTAAGAGGGGGTAATTTTTATAATACCAGCCAAAGTATCTGACTGGCACAGAGTATTCGTAGCCGTCGATTGATGATGAGTGACCTTCCCGAAAAGTATCGGCGATGATACGCGGCGGTGATTTTTGTGCCACTGAGCAACGCCAGCTCGAATGACATATTCAAGGATTTATAAGCAAGGAAATAGAAAGGAAAAGAAAAGAAAAAAGGAAAAAAAGAAATCAAAAGTCAATGTCTCACCTCCATGTTGCGAGTATAACTAGAGGATGATCTAGAGGGTAATCAAACGCGCGGCGGCCCTATCCTCCCCTCCTCCGCGACATGGAAGACGGATAGAGTAAAGGGGACTTGATGGGAATACCCGTGTCCCGTTCCCCGTATCGACTAGAGCGAACGTTGTGTCCGCTTGAAGTCGTACTTTTGACCTGTGGGATGAGGAATTCTGAGTCAGCTTTCTATGCGGCGGCGAATGAATTCGCTGGACTCGAACCAACAGGCTGGCGCGGGCTGACTCAACCTTGACCCGTCGCACCAATGATGACTCTCTGTTGTGTTCGTCGTCTGGTGGTTGCAGTAAATAGCGGCAAGAAATAACAGGCGGAGGTACACAACGTCGGTAGGGTATTTCGGTAGAGAGAGGGCGATAGTAACAAGGTAGTCCCGAGTCGTCAGGCTCCCTTTACCTAAAGCAGGGCGTTCAGCTCTGATCTCTAGCTTCACCAATGTCGAATCTATGTTCAATGTCGGCGGGTTTTGGAGTGACACTTTCGATCCCGGAATCAATTGAATTAATTGAACACCGTGTCGCGCCAGATTAATACGAGCAAATCCCGAGGGTTCATAAGGCTCCTTGGCAGAGTAAGGGAAGATGAAAAGCCCTGCCGCTTATAAAACATGGAAAGTAAGGAGGGCTTTGGCTCCCTTCGACTTCCATTGGAAATAGTTAGGTATTAGGTTATGAGCAAGGTGAAAGGCGGGAGAAATTCAGGTGGAGTTAGCGGAACACAAGTACGATGTTAGGGCCAGCTGTTAACCCCACGTTTCGCAGCTGCCATTCTAATTGATTTGCCGCGACTGCAGCTGTCAAGTACAAACAGGCGATGTTGAGTACTAGATACATACCTGATAAGCCCAACCCTAAAATTCAAGGTTCTATCTTCTCATTCCTCATTCAACTAATGTTTGAATAGTGTCACAACTTACATCCATGAATAGCAAACACTTAGCTCCTAACGACAACAGCCATTCGGAATTTCATCATTCAATCCTAGCAAACATAAGTCTCACTCCTTCTAAAATGAATCATCCCGTATCATGAATCAGATTTGAATCTCTCAATCTAAATATGGCAGGATCAACAGTAAGGTTGGAAAGTTTAAAGAGTAAGCTTGAGTCACTTATCATCCAACTTAATGAGACACTAGAAATAACGTCTTATTTTAGAATACGGCTGGTAGAGAGCACAAATATTTCACCGCTTAAGTAAGAGGCATATCACTTCTCTTTGGTCACGTCATACTCGGCCGTAAAACCCGGTCCAGCATTTCCGACGCTCACGGGACCCGGGGCTATATCCCGGCTGTATTAAGTCCGCGTTATAGAAGATGAGCGGGATCACAGAACTCTACGTCCGGGTCAATCCAGAATTATTACCAGGCTACCTATCCATGCAGAAAATTCATCATTGGTGTTCATTCCACATGCAAAAGCTATTGACGTCAGAATTTTCAAGTGCATTGGCGAAGTCAATTTGAATCAGTATGCTTCATCGCGGTACATTCTCATTAATCGGGTATCTATACAGCATACCTAGTAGCCGATAGGTAACTCATACATTACTCGTAATTCATCGAGTGAGCATCAAGATGACAAGGATATCGTGTTCGATGCGATGCAATAAGACTCTTATTCTCCAAAGTCCAAGGTACCAACTCCTAACTCCAATACAAGGCTTCTCTAAGCGATGCGATGCGATATATGCTGACCTATGTTCCGTCGCTCCTTTAATTAGTTTGTGTACCAGCATATGATGATTCGAGTCGTAGCTGAATGATAGTGAGGCTGTAATAATCATAAGATTCGGCCCGGTGCAAAATCCATAGCGATACGATTTCGGCCCATTTCTGTCTACGCCCCCGTCTTTCCACTAAACAGACTGAACCGTAAACTTTTGCGACGCGGCGCTGTCTTGATCGGCTTTCGTTCGATGAGTTCGCCTAGCTTGTCTTCCTCGGGGGGCGTAGGAGGCACCTCCGGAATAGTCGTAATAGGCGTAGTCTCGTCGGAGGTACTTGGGGGTGGCGTAGGGACTCTCGTAAGGTCCGACATTGAAGCCGTTCTAAAGCTTCCAAAGGACTACTGCAATATTAGCAATCAATCCATTTATCCGAGTCAAATCACGCGGCCAAGGAAAGGGTAATATTATTCACCTTAACACCAATCCTTCGGTTTGACTTGGCACCTTTTCTGATCTCGGCGGGCTTGTCATCGGGCGTGGCGTTGCCCGATTCATTTATTTCGGCAGCAATCGTCTTACCCCCAATGGCGACATTTTCTTCGGAAGTGGCGACGAAACGCACATATCCCCTTGATGTTGGGACTCCTAACGTCTCTTGAATGTGTTTTTGGATGAGTGCCGCGTTCCTCTTATTTGTCGTAGGCTGAACTAGACTTGGCAGTGCGTGAATAGTCAAAGTGTAAGCCGGATCGAAGGAACCACCAAACATCATACAGCAGCCGTGATTCAAGTTGATGACGATAGAGGATATGGGACGCTGATATCTGTTGGATAAGTGATATGAAAGGTCTGTTATGAAAGAGAACTCGTCTTTGATCTATATTGTCTTGTTAGTACATTAGTTCGAAGTTATGATCAGCAAAAGACTCACGATGACGTTCGTTCTTAAATCCGCCATGACGATGGCCTCATTCTGTATGCGAGCCCGGACCGGGTCCGGATCCCGGTTAGCTGCCGCAAATTCATTTTCCCAGTAAGCGCTCTTTTTCTTACTGAGCTCCGGATGTAGTTGGGACTTTCGAGAGCCCGTGGGGTCGCCGGGCGGAGGACGGTCAATATCGCGCATCATCTTGTTACCCTCGACGATATGCACTTTCGATGATCGTGAAGGTTGAACTTTTCGTTGTGCAAATGAAGCACTATGGGCAGCAGAGGAATGATTGTTACCTGTAGCGGGAGGGTTTATACGAGGAAGCCTTGCTGGCAAGGAGTCTGGGCGAGCCATGGTTACACACGCATTAGGGTGTATGATAGATCAAATGGTCTTGTCTTATGTCCTGCCAAGTGTGGTTGTTCGCAAGCGAATCGGTCCCTCTTAGTTATGATGATTGCTTGTAATCCGTCTAGGCGGATACACTTTGCATTACTCTAGTGCATGTAGTAACTCGTATTGGTGTTGGGCTGTAGAAGACGTGGAGGCAAGCCTGTCTGTTTTGGGCAAGAAAATATCGATCCGGGTCTTTTCTCGCCTTGTAACTGGACCGAGGGCGTGGACTCCTTTGATCTAGACGGTTGAACCAAAGGAGGCGTTGGTCAGCTAGCCTAGCTCTTATTTTTATCGTAAGATGGTGCCGTTGGTAGTATAGACAGCTGAAGTTCCAACAAGGCTACCTAGTAGTTGAAATGGGTAGAATTGGTCGAATTGAAGTTCCGGTGCAAAACGGGGACTCCGACGGGATGTAGTAATAAAAGGGGAAGTATTTGACCCGTTCGCACGACCTCTTGGAACTTCTTGCCCAGAATTCAACTTAGTTAAGGTTAAGCAGGCTGTCGTCAAGCTGCATGAAGCAGGTACCGATCGCCGGGGTTGGCAGCAGCACTCCGTGTATTGCACTTCCCCTCGTAAATATGTCGAAGTATAATTCCAGGGCAATTGCTACCAATCCTTTTTTTTCTTCGCATGTGATCGAGTCTCGATTTTTTTAATGTTCCCAATCTCAAACTCGAAATTCAACTTCCAAGGTTGGACCATTGCTTAACAACAGTCTTTTATTAGTTGGTTGTCACACGGAGTGCACGACAAGCGGGATCTAAGTAAAACATGGTACCAAATTGTCCATCTATGGGTGTACAGCACCAACCCGTACTACCTCGCTGTTACGACGCCGCTACCCGTTATGGTCGCTTGCATCCGGCCATCGATTTGATAGCAATCAGGAAAGCGACATCTCCTGCCGCGGGATGAGTGCATTCATTCCTTGGTGGAAGCAGGCGCCATTGGAAACCAGCACCGTCCGTTATTTCGAATCCCCAGATAAGCGGTCGGAGAACCCCCCAGATGATTCCGCTGGTCGCCATTAGTAAATTGGGATGACGATGTTTATGTCTAAAAACGTCGTCTTGGTCATCTATAGTTGGAGAGTTTCTTATCGCAAATAAGCACCTCTCAAGCGAGAGCCGCAGCTTTCCGCCCACACGATGGCTGAGTTAATCTATTTCCTCGCACATCCGAGACTGGCTTTATCACCTTATTTCAAAGAACACGGTCTGCAAGGTGAAATCCGAATTAAATCTTATTATGCGCTACCGAGATCCGAAATATTGCACCAATCAGTCTGCCCATGGTATCTATAACGAGATGACCTAGAACGTCAACACGCAGAACCGACTCAGATAACGTGAATTGCGTCGCCACACCTCTTCAATGCCTTGTTACAATTGTTATACAGATCGCAACCACAATCCGGCTGCACTTGTCGTTTCGCATCCCATCTTGCCCACCTTATCTAACTCTTAGGAGCGCAACCCGGCTCCGATAGACTAGCATGGGGGTCATTTTCATTTATAGAGCTTGACATGCAGCCCATTGCAGATTGAGAACCGGGTTGGAGCTGCTTAGGGTCTGATAATGCCCTACGATGATGGCGTGGGGCTACCAACCTTACGAGATGGCATTACACCAATTGACTTCCTCTCTAGGATCGATTGATAGCCAGCGACGGTAAAGACGATTAGCTCGACCGGCACCAATATGACAGATAGGTATAAGGCCGTCCGGCTTTCGTCGCACAAGGTACCGAAGTGTGGCTTTGCGCTCATGCTCGCGACCTTCCATTGACAACTCCAGCTCTGAAGCGTATCGTTCGTAATCGAGGTATTGACAGCGTAGAAGAATATCATGCTGATCATGACGGCTGTGAAGCCAACGAATGGCGCAGCCATAGATAAGGATGTGTGGACAGCGGTCTTGTTGCGAAGCTTTAAGAGTCTTAGTATAAAGTGAACTCATTACGAGTTAATGAATTTAAGGTACACTTACTGCCTTGACCTTGCTAAATATCAAGGATACGATATGCGCAAAGACCACAATACTACTTCCAATAACGAGCACTACCGTGGGTCGAATGTCGAACTGATCGGGCCATAATGGTAAATGAAAATCACCCGATAGGTGAGTTGCATTGTATACAGCCAAAGTGTCGGCAGAGGTACCGAGGACAGTAAGACCACATAGGAGAGCGAATCCAGTGAGACCAACACGAGCGCTATCAACCAGATGAATCTTTTTCATGTACCGTCGGTACTCGAGATCATGGGGATCAAATTCGGAGTACGTCGGAAGAACCGGGCCTTTGTTTTCGGAAGCCATAGCGATGTAGGGATAGACCAGATGGAGAGAGCGATAGAATATAGTATGGTATGTATATATAGCGATCGGTTTCAACCCCTACAGAAAGACGATACGGCAACAAGAACTATAATCAAACGAAACAGAACGGAACCAAACAGAATAGAGAAAAGGAAACAAAAATCGCGAAGAAAAGAAATAGACAGCTCAAGCACGAGCAACTATCGTCTAGCGAGATGTCGAAACAAGAGACAATCAATCCTAACAAACCTGGCAAATGCGGCGAATATGTAATGAACCTACATCGACTATAATCGACGAAGCCATCCCGTCTAGAACGTAGCTACGTGGGCCATTCCCTACATCAGAGGTAGCAGAGCGCTTCCGGCATGCAAAGTGTGCTAAGGATAGCAATGCGGGTGATACCCTCCCCTCGCACATACACACCTACCTACACATATGGCTAACTCCCACCCTTGCCGGCGACATTAGCCCGCCAAAGGGCGAGGCGCCAGACGCGTGTGACGGAGACTCTCGCCGGGGTGTCGAGCAAGGAATCTTGGTAGAGATTCGGGAAGAGATCGCGGCGGATTGGTCGAGAGAACGCCGGCCAGGCCAGACCTTAATTTAGACCCATCGCGGGCGCTTAGAGGCACGGGGGAAGTGGGGGATTGTCCGGCCAATCGCAGCCCGTAGCGCTCACGGATGCTACCTTGCGCTGTCTCGCCTGAGATGCGTTCCCTGCGATGGTTAGTCGAGCTACAGATCGGATTGGCTGCTTGTGATGAAGATTCTAATTTCGTGGGTGAGGTAGCGGAGGGGCTATCTAGATTCTATAGAGATGCCATGCTTAGGGTCTGATGAGTGGCTGACTGGCTGGCTTGAAGGCCAGGCGAATGCACGACATTCGGAGATATTGCTGTGGGGGAGAACGGAGGGTTCGAAGTTCCGGGAGGATTTGAGGCATACAATATTACCGGTTTTCTCTGTTAAGGAGGATACTCGTTGCAGATTTTTTTTTTTAAAAAAAATAGAGTCACACAGTTGGAGGGTTTCTGCAAATTGAAAGGGAGCCACTAGATTATTATTAGCATTTTGGTCTCCTACCTCACATGCTTAAGGGATCTGCAATTTGAATGGCAAGACTCGTGGTGAATGTCCGTGGAATTTCACGACGAAACTCTTGTATAACAGAAAACATATGCTAGAAAAGTATTCTTAGCAAATAGTCTGTGCCATTTTATATCATTTGAATGACAGCTCGAGGATGTTATACACAAAAAACCTTTCTCGGCGTCTGTGAAGCATCTCGGATCCGAGATCCCCGCCTCAAATCCGCTTCTATCGCCCATCCTCCAATCCCCTATTTATAACTAGCGACGCAAGGGATCTCTGATGTGTAAATCAAGTAGTCGGTCACCTTAGTATATCAATCGCGAAATGGCTTCGTGGAGTACGTTTGATTTATGATCTCATGGCTCGACACAGACCAGTTTAGTATATGCACTCAAAGAAGCCTTCATTCTAGAGTTTGCTTTTTGTTTCAAGACGATAGGTCAAGTGACGCTGGTCTGCTGTAAGGGCGATATTCTCGAAGACTTCTTGTGGGTTGGTGGAGGTTGGCTTGGCATATCGGTATGTAAAGGTTTACTCTGTACTATGAAGATAGTTTGGATGATCATCGTGAAGGGTACCTACTATTAATTGTGCGCAAACCTTTAGACTGCATGGAAATCTAGATTATGCAGAAATGAACTTGAAATATCCTGACGTATTTTTAGCTGTAATAAAACTGTAGCTGGAATCGGGATTCCACGGCTGAGACAGGTAGCTCAAACGTTTGCCTTCATATTTAGAGTGGTTTGCTTACCATAGAATTAACAACCTACTTTATGCGTATTAAATCGTAATGAATCTATGTTGTTGCTAAGTGGCAATCAATTTGCTAATCAATGATATAGAAGGTTATTGATTTATTTGATAGCGAGAGGCGATATGGCAGTCGGCTCCTAATACATATATACGTGCGTATCAAGCAGGTAAGCCGAGGCTTACTATTGACGACTACCGTACCAACACAACGGAACCGAGCAACTAGCTTGCAGAATTTTGCTGACCATTGGGTTTTCCAACTCCATGGATCCATATGCCGGGCTCTTCGCTAGAACGCATATAAACTCCGTAACATATAGGTAGACGCATCACAAGAGTAAAATATTTGCCTTCGTGTACATAGCAATTGCGCGTGGACGACGACAGGGAAGCGGGTTCACATCCGTATGGCAGACCACCACTTCTGTAACTACCCGAGTCCTTCGGAGGTGATCATATGAGGCGCAAATAGACGAATTAGAGTTCCACATAGACATCGTTCTCTTCTCACATGTTTCTATTTTCCCGGAGAAGAACTCCTTCGTGTGTGATAAAAAAAGATAGGTTAGGCAAGCTGTAACTCCATATGCGTTCTTTAGGGACCATGGAAGGATATGATTGTGACTGTGTCGAGTCCCAACGTTTCGGGACGCACAATACCCTCGTAAAGTTTCCCGTTACGGAATTCTTCTCAGCCGGTGAGATTTGATGCTCATCATGAAGGGGGCCGCACCTACGTAGCAAACCACTAAGTATGGCATGTAGGTTCTTACATTTCCTATTTGAGACAAGTTTGATGTGTTGGATCCGGACTGTCGGGTCGAGGTGGACCCATTTCTGCCACGCTAAACTTTGTCTATATCTGACAATCTGGAGAGTCGATTTTTCGGTAGATTCCTCTTCGTGGCTCTGGGGATCGATACTATCACCTTTTCCCCCGCTAGAGTACCCTGCTCATTTGGAGGTAAGGAGTGTTTGAGATGGAGAGTAGAGTGAGCTACGAGTACATACACGAATATGGTGGGACGATGCGTAAGTGCCACAACGCCTAACCGACCCGTGTTACTCTTTTGACCGATATCGTTGGTATGTGACTTGTTTTGCCTAATAATCTCTTTATGGCCTTGGCGATATCCGTCTTTGTGGATCGGGAGAGAATGGGTTAAGTTTCTATATGTACGTCGCAATTACTTCTTTGTCCATTCCTCCCTCCCGAACACATTTTCAGCCGTTGCACATTTCCCACTTACCAGAAGCCTGGGATTCGGCGCCACGCTCAACCGCTCTCTTGGGACCCTATCGCCAGTTTTAGCACACCACCTTCGTTTTGATAACCTGATACTTATGGCTGTCCATGGCAAGAGCTCGGCAGTCACGGCAGAATGCACCCAAGTCTTCGTAAGCTTTAATGGGATCGAGGTGCGGATAGGCGCTAACAAAAACCCAAGCATCTTTTTACCAGGCTTCCCATTGAGCTTCGATCCAAGATATGGGCTTGCAACCTCCCAGGACCGCGGATCGTGGAGATAAAATGCAGCGCCGAACCTGCCCGGACATCACAGCTGCGACAGGGCGACCGTAGGGCGGTTGTTTGTACATCCACATCTCCTATACCGATCAATCTGCATATATGTAGGGAGTCTCGGTGGGAAGCGTTGAAACGATACCGGCTTTTATTCGGTTCTTCCCCACAACTTGGTCGTATTTTCTTTGACCCCTTGGAAGATACGCTCTATTTCGGTCCAAGGCGGGGAATTGCGACTGCAGAGACGCTGTTTCACACTTTCGTCTCCCTAGTCCAACGAGAAGACTTAGGCCAAGTTCGTCGTATCGCTATTAGCGAGGGTCTCATAACCTATACCGGCTCTGGTAGTCGGAGAGGTAGAGCCAACAAACTAACATTTAAGCAAACGCTGTGCCAAGCACAACGATATTTTATAAATATTGAACATCTCACCTTCGTCAGTGACGACAGGAATCCTGTCTACAGCTCGGATGCGGTCTTCGTCGAACCAAGAGTAAGAAACCGGATTTTAGAACGGCGAATACAGGAGGCTATCGATGTCGTCGAGGGACAGCAGCCAGAATTCAAGCTGCCGCTTTGCAGTGTGCGAGTCATTGCTGCTGAACCTAACCGTCCTCTGTACAACCAGTCCGTAATGGGCTATAACGGAAAGCGAGCGACGTTTTTCAAAGAAATTCAGCTTCCACGAATTCAAAGAGACATGGCTCATTTACAATCTGCCACGTGCGTGTAATTCTGCGTGGATTGAAGTCGACTCCAACTGTACGGGTGGTTTTGAACTTGCTGGGGTATATCCGCAAGCCATATAGCGCTAGCTTTCTAATAATTAAAAATTAATTGCGTGCTGTCAGTGAGGTCTGGAATCTGGATGTCTTGAAGTTTGACTTGCATTTGGGATCCGTTAGTTTTAGACTAGCTGAAGGCACGAATTCGCAGGTATCCATAAGAAGGTGCGGAAAATCTTCGGGCCATTAAAATTCTTAGTGGCTTGGGGCATCCAATCAGCGATCGCTGTGTAATAATTGGCCTCGAACTTGTACCAGCGTAATTTTTATCGTTCAGAGCTTGATCGGTATCAAAGACCCCACCAAAATTCTTGAACAGTATAGTTTCGCAGCGAACGCTACGTACAAACGACACAAATTGCTCGCTAATTTCGGCTCTCTTTCGACATAAGAACACACAGATAGTTCAATTCATAGACAATGCCCGGACGAACAAAGAACCGCGACGATGCGTCTGAGGAGGTAGACACTTCCATGGACGACGCTCCTACTTCAGCACAAAAGCCCACTGAAGAAGAGAATGGAGATGCCATGGAGGAGGACGGGTCGGAAGGTGGCGATCCATTTGAAGAGGAAGAGGAGCCTCAGCGAGTTAGGATTGTACGTGTGGAACCTCGCCAACAACTATGATAGATTTGTCGCTAATGGGCAATTGGATACAGCTTCCTGGATCATCCGAGACGGCGGCTTCCTTCGAATTCCTAAAGGAGGGACATACCCTCGGCAACGCTCTGCGATATATCATCATGAAGAAGTACGGCTTATAGCTTTTGTCTTAGGAATGTATAACTAACTGTCATCCTAGCCCTGATGTTGAGTTTTGCGCATACGCTATCCCCCATCCCTCCGAGGATAAGATGAACTTGAGAATTCAAACATACGGTAAGGATAGGCCATATAATATTGAGTCTTATACCTTTCGTACTAACTACCTCGCTCTTAGACACAACAACTGCCGCTGCCGCCTTGGCCAAGGGCCTCCAGGATCTAGAAGATCTATGTGATGTTGTTTCTGACAAATTCTGGACCGAGCGAGAGAAATTCGAAGCAACGCCAGAGCAGTCTCTTAAGAGGCAAGAGGAGGCAGAGAGGAGATTAGAGGCAGAGGCATAAAGTGTTGCGGGGCATCTCGGTTTAATACGGATGGCATGGCATATGCGGCGTTTGGAGTATAGTAGACGACGTTCTTAGGTGGTAAAATTTGCTTTGCTGGAGTCTCTTTCTATGTACAATTCAATAGGACGATATCCATATATCTAATTGCGACCCTAAGGCGCTGTTAGTTGAGAACTTATCGCATTAAGGGTATCGCGGTAGAGAAACTTGCCTCTAAGAAACCCTTCATAAAGTTATTTGGTAATCTGTTGGCTCCTCGAAAGTTCTCCTCGGGGAAGTATGACATGACGTGATTACTCTGCTTCCAGAAGTTCATCGTTTCCTATATATAAACGATCAGCAACACTCCTCACAGGAATCTTGTAACCCTATAATTGCGCCCATAGGGCACCCGATGCTCGTAGCCACAAGTTGGATCGCCATTCCACTAACCTGGTATTCGCAATTATTCTGCATGAGGAGGACATCGACCACCGGTAACTTGTTCACAAATCTATGTCGTTCGAATTCTTGTCGCATTCGTGAGCGGATAGTCGATACGGGAAATGGAACGGAGTACATGGATTGGATCTTGGGTGCCTAGACGCCTATTCTTAGTAATGGACATAATAAGTATACTCTATCATTCATTCCATCATGGTAATGAATTGGCGAAACATTTGCTCTTGGGAGAAACATACTGCCCGCATCCAATCTCGATAAGACCGTATAACTCGACGCTTAGCTTCCGTCCAATTAGCCGCTATGAGCCATGTTAGCGAGCTATATATCTATCCGATAACATGAACTAACATGTCCGCGTCGTTACCGCGAGTTGGGTGGGTGTTAACAACATGATGGGCGAGATATGTTGCTTGACGTATCTTTGAGGTTCATTTCGACATCTCGGAAGCTCCCTCAAACGAAGGTGGGACTTCAACCTTCCAACATTGCCCAAGAAGCACTAGCCACATTTCACTCAGCCAATCAGCCACAGACATTAGTCACTTTTTCTTTATATGGCTTACATAACACAGATTGCGCCGACCGCCCGACCTAGCATTATTAAATCCTTATCAGGAATCGACAACGTCAAGGCTTCATTCTTGATAATTCAAGTCTCAGCCTTGCCCCACTACCACCATACAGATCGCCGACCGATAAGTGCCAACAACCAATTCACGTTCACAACCGAAGTATACTCTATCTCATTGACTCGACCACGATCTTTACATCATGCCACCAGTCAGATCCCACGGTTCGAGAACGAAGAAGCCGCCAGAGGGTTTCGATGACATCCGTGACGATCTCGAGATCTTCAGCATCAAGATGAAAGACGCGCAAAACACGCCTACAAATAACATTCCTAAGCACCAAGCTCAATGGCCTATATTCCAAATATCCCATCAGAGAAGCCGCTATGTCTACGAGCTATACTACGAAAAGGAGGCCATCAGCAAACCATTATACGACTGGTTGCTCAAGAACGGGTATGCCGACGCGATGCTGATCGCTAAGTGGAAGAAACAAGGATATGAGAAGGTACGTTTGCATTCACAAGGGCAACACGAGGAAAAGAAATATGTTAGCTAATTTGGAATGGTTTAGTTGTGCTGTCTTCGCTGCATCCAGACCAAAGAGACGAATTTTCAATCGACGTGTGTCTGCCGAGTGCCCAAGGCACAGCTGAAGGACGAGCAGGATATCCAATGCGTCAGCTGTGGCTGCAGGGGCTGCGCTTCGAGCGATTAGGTTACGATTTCTGCGTTCTTGTACTGGCTAGGTACTCTTCATGGCATTATGGCGTTAGGGTCTATATCGCGGCCGAGTTAATTCTGCCGGCTTCAGGCATTATTACTATTACACCGATTCGGAGTACTGGCGATCTGTTATCACATATTCTGGTGCATGAATTACGAGATTTCTTGAGGACCGCTCGGAACAACTAGGGAGTAGACCAAAAGGCGAATTTACAAAATACCCGGATGATTTGGGATGTTCTGGTATGCAATGCTGCTAATGAATTCATCAATCTTGATACCCATTATATCGTTTGCTCGTGTCTTCATTCAACTTCGTATTCGTCGTCTTACCGTTTTGCAAAACCTGTTTTCCCTTTCCTGTGACCGAAGCGAATGGTTGTAGGGATGAATTGCAGCGCCGACATAGCACCGGCCAAATCGTCCATCTCAGTATCAGGGGCCTCAACCGGTGGTGGTGCTTCTTTAAATGCTTTCGATACTTCTTTTGCCGGCTCCTCTGTCACGGGTTTCGCGGGTTCTGTCTGCCGGAGGCTCTGTCTTCTTCCGGTCGACTTAGGTCCACTAACGCTAGTCGCCGTAGAGGATCTTCGTCGACGATGTCCACCTTCAAGAAGCAATGACTGCCTCCCATCAACGCCTTCCTTAGTAATCGCAAAGAAATAATTCTTCGGGTACATATGCTTATCTATGAGATGGCTGCGTCTCTTCTGTGGTGTTCCACATTTTCTATCACAACCCTCAACAAAGCATGAGTACTATTTGGTAGATGGTCAGTATTTCTAGAGTAAAAAGAAGAAGAAAATGACCAAAAAATTGTATGAAATATCTTACCGTGTGTTCACCCCTTTCTCTTTTCACGGCAGCGAATACATCGTGACATTCTTCGATATGAACATTTAACAAGTGGTCAGATGGAAAGTTCTTGCCGCATTCTACACATCGATTCGTATGGGTCCTATTGTGATGCGCTTCGTATTCCGAATATGTCCTGAATGACAGGATGTCCCGATGTGGAGGTAGAGAGCATTTCATTGTGAAGGTATTGCTATCGTCGTCGACGGCGTGCTCGTCTAGCTCTGTGATTTTCGTAGGCGGAAGTGCTTCTAGTTCTCGAGGGCTCGCCTTATCCGATATGCTGTCCGAACTAATCCTAACCTCGGGTTCTGGTGACGGAGACACTTCGTCCTCTTCAGGCTCGCGTGAGCGCTTCATATTTGTGATGTATAACTTTCTGTAGAAACTTGGGGTAGATTTACATTGACAGTGCTATTTCCAGCGGCTCTCGGAATTTAGTTGTAGGCGAGATATGACACTTCGTTTTGTCTTGGTTGTGGACAAAGGTATTGGACGAGGCGAAGCTTGTATCAAGATCACGCTGCCGGGATCTACGAAGGACTTGGAAGGTTAGGTATAAAGGACATGAATTACTTAGAATGAAATATGTATTTAAAATAAAATAATCAAAATTCAAAATCGGTATGTCAAGCTAGATAGTCGTGGTCAAGCAAGCTCTTGTTGCTGTTATATTTGACAACTATAACATACCTGTTGGCAATATATGGATATCGCCAACGGAAACTTAAGTCACTAACGAAGGCGGTCAGTGAATCCAACTGAATTACAGCAGCTGTTAACAACTGGGCGATAGCCCTAAAACTGTAAATCATAGAAAACAGAGACTAAAATAGACAGAATTCTAGCGAGTAAGAGATAGTGTCTAGAGTGATCTGATTGATCTGCTGCATGGACCTAGGATAGGGCTCACGGCGTGTCAACTCAAAATTCATGCCCCGGCACCTGTCTGGTGGGCAGTGACCGAAAACGTAAAGTTCACTGGGTGGACCCCTAACTAATCCGGGGTTAGTGATGAGGGGTCTACTGTAGGATGTACTATTATATTGTACTAGGTACGTAAAGGTTAGGGCACTAAGCAGACGCTAATAGGTACCTTGTTGGGATTTGCGCATGTGCATTTAGTGGCTGGTTTGGGCAGGCTCGCAGATTTTAGGGAGCCCTGCTGCTGCCCTAGATAGTGGTTAGACTGTTAGCGTGCGCCCGGAAGGTTCCTCCAGGCAGGTAACTTTTTTTTAAGATCGGCAGGTTTATGAACTCACCCCGTCGCCTCACCCAAATTCCATTCATTCCACATTAAATCATCTTCATACTTTTACACCATTTTCCTTCGCTCTGTTTCCCGACGACACCCCAATCCACGATACGGTCTCATTCACGGTCGCAGACATATAGGCTACTTATCTTTTGGTCTGCGCTAACATCGCTCGTATTATTTCCACACCGTGCTTATATCCCTAGATTAGAGATCTCTCTCTACGAGGCATCCCTTCTCTCCACCAGTAACCGCAAATGTTCCCGATACCTTCTTCCGAGATAGCAATTTCAGCCCAATTCTCTACGGCGCGCCTAGAACCAACCCTTCTGCTGTCGCACCTATCGAACTATGGATATCATCCGCATCCTCGCTCCCGGTTCGAGTTCGTGTGATCCTGTTTCCTGACTGGGCTGTCGCAACAGCTCCCGGTCACCACCAACTTTTTTTTTTCTCTCGACGGGATTCAATCTGATCCCTTTTGAATACATTTAAGCTTCGGACTTGATTATTAGTTGCTACGATCATAATGGAGAGCCCGCGAGATAAAGCTAAGGCGAGCTGGGGGTATGTTTAGAATTACAAGATGCGCCGCATCTGGCAGCATTGCGATGCCGGTCTGATTGTCGGCTAACACCGACCATAGTGATGCCCAGAAGATTCGCTCTGATATAGTAGAGAAGCTATCTAATAGAGGGACGACGGAAACTACATCTCGTTTCGAAGACCTCGAGAAGACGATGGCTGAGTATGATCTTCATTGTTCGCACTCACTTGTGACATATTCTAATATGAATACTTCTATAGATTTCGGTTAGCCTGTATGAACGTCGTTGCCAATGATTTCGAATATGCAGTGGGTAAGCAAGTGGAATATCATCTATGGCAAGCTCATGTCAATCTCAATGTCGAATACCGAAAAATTATGAGTCGCCTCCTGGCACAAAACCAGGTGGTTGTGAGACGCAAGCTAGAGAAACAGTATAGAGGTTTTCTCAAAATAGCTCAGTCCTTCTATCGTGTCTATATACAACAACTTTCAGGACGGTTTTATATTCCCGAGCTGCACCAGGCCGCTTATGGCACCGACATCGAGCTGCCGGAAATCCCTGCTCCCGATTCGAAGCCTCCATCTCAACTTCGCGCGATGATCCTTAAGTCATGCCAGATTACCTTGGTTCATCTCGGTGATCTGGTCAGATACCGATGCCAGATGTCAGAAAAGCTTTCAAATCAGAACTTCGACAAAGCTATAGCGTACTACAGCCTCGCACATACCATTAATCCTGACGATGGCTCGGCTCATCACCAATTGGCCGTTCTATACCAGCTTCAAGGCCGGCACTTCGATATCGTCTACCACTTTCATCGTTCTATCTGTGTTACAAAACCATCTGAATTGGGTGTCAACAACCTTGGGCGGGAGTTCAAGGGCTTGGAAAACTCCCATGGGGGACGCAAAGGTCCCAAAGACCCGTGCGAAACTATGATCACCTGGTTCCTCCGACTACATGCGTTCTTCTTCCAGGGAGAGCCTTTTTCCCAGCAGGCTGAACTGGAAGAGGAAGTGCTACATCGCATCGAGATTTCCTTGAAATCCGACATCGATGAAACGATCCTGCGCAAGATGATATTTATCAACATAGCAGCGTATGACATTGCTTTGGATAAAGTAAAATGTAGGTCTTCCTATGGGTGCCTATTCTTACGCTCCTAGATTTTTGTACTAATTGCATTTCACAGCTGCATGGACGATCCAGGGATCTCAGTCAGCCCAGTTCTTACTGCGATTCAACATTCGCACTGTCCTGATTCTCCTTCGTATCTTAAAGGCAGGACTACTAGATGAGTCTGCCACATCTGCCACCCCTGAAAGTGAGAGAGGGGACCACGAGAATGCCGAGAGTCCGATCTGCTTCAGTCAGCTCTTGATGAAGTTGTTCCCTCTTTTCCGCATTTACATCTCGTGGATTTATGTTTCTAGGGCTGATGCAAAGAGCTATCGAGAATTTCTCGAACCATACATAAGTGACGTATACAGGCTTCTTGCGGACACGCTCACTTTTCTTAATGCAACCATTGACCAAGCTACCATTACTACGTCGTCGAAGTATCTTCTATTGGAAGACACAGAAGCTCTCGGGCTAAAACCTTTAAGCGATCGTAATTTACCTCTATTTTCACAAGTTGAAGGCGTACCGGATTTGGATTCCGATCCGAATCCATCAAAGAAACACAAAACTCGCAAACCTCGCCAAAGGGTCTTCGGTCGTCAGTATAAACCCCACACAGAAGCAATCTGGCGAATGAGAGATATTGTGTATTGTGGGTTGCTTTTAGCAGGAAGTTCGACTTTCCCACTCACAATGAGCCTTAAAAAGCTCGAGGGACGAGAGGTTGAATGCTGGGATTTCATTACTGAACCTTCCCAAGCCGCCTCCATAGATGAGATCAGCATGCTACGTGTTTTAAACAAACTTAAGCTCAGCGACTCGGCCGTAAAACCAAAGGAGCCGGTACAGAAAGCACCAGATGCAACTTTGGAGGGTATCGCTATGGCACATACTGAACTTGAGATAAGCCCTGTACCTCACGACATGTCTCGCAAGGGAAAATCAATCGAGGAGAAAGTACCCAACTCACTTGACATAGATCTAAGTGGGGATAGCGAGATGGTCAATATGGTGAACAAGCTCTTGGATCCACTTGATGATGATAGCAGACCTCAGTCGAGTCAGACTCAGGGTGACACGAGCTATGGCATGAATACTGCTACTGCTAACGAGGTTTTTGGTCGATTTGCTACTGATTCAGCACAGCCTTCTCCCGCGTCTAAGGCTATACCCAGCCTTCCATGGGGTTACTTCTACGAACCAACTCCGAAGCATTCTAGTAGCCAATCTAATAGTCAATTGGCTTCTGATGGAGAGTATGTCCCGAGGAGCGCCCATAGTCAGCTCGAAGGCTTCGATTCATCTCCCTATTTGAGTAATCTTACCATCAGCAAGGCTCAAGCTTATCGCGACGTGAGAGAACAGCCTGCACGTGAGTCGCCAAGACTATCCCAAGGAGCCCCACGATTTGACAATCACCGGAGCAAGAGTTCCCGCGACTCGTTGGAGACATCGCGAAGTGCAGTCCTCGATAGTCTGACGTCTGCACTATATGCTCAAAACGGGCTGAACCCGCAAACCGCGCAGGATAGCTATACAGGCCGGATAGGTACGAGCCCCTATCTAGGGTCTCAGAGACCCTCGGCGGCCAATTCACCCTATTTGAGTAAACTAGGAATGAATCAAGGATCAAGCCATATGGAGCGTTCGGCCAGTCAACAGGCAGCAGCTTCTAATCTGCAAAGCCCTCCTGGATCTGCGGGGTTTGGCCTGCCAAGTGTTAGCCCTAGTGGATTTAAGAAAATTCCTGGCCCCTTCGAGAATATTTCAAGCCCTTTTAGCAACGAGGGCGGTTTTCTAGCACCAGGAAGCAACATGCAGGCAAATGGCCGCTCCGCACCGGGTCCTCCTCAGCAGTATTCTCCTTGGCCCCTGGAGCCTGCGAGAAGCGGATCAGCTTTTTCCTTTTCGCACCCAAGCAGCCTTTTCGGCGGAACCCCTGCCGCCCCTCAAGACGGTCTTTCCAACACTGTCTTCTCTAATGGCCACTATTACAATGCTAGTACTCCATTCGGCCGACTTGGCCCCGGCCACAACAACAAGGACGATCCTACGCGTTACCGAAACCAAATCAAGAGTTATCTAGGCGAAGAGGATCCTTCCTATGAATACGACCAGAAAGCCCTACAGTCTGCATGGCTTGGCAACGATGAGATGCACCGCCAGAAGTGACAGCTACTAGTACTGATATAACTCTATATGACACACCGCACAATATTATGCGATCCATATCATCTCACCCAGAAGTTACGATAATACCTCTATTCTCAACCACGTCTCATTCATTCCCTTCTCATGACTTGGTCCATACAAGTCGCATTGCATCTATGCAGCACATCCATGAGGTATGTCATCAGTTTGTCATATTCCCAACCACTCATGGCTAATAACTGGCAAGATGGCCTATGAAGCCAGTAACCAGAGACTTACAAGAATCAACAAGTGAGATCCTAAATACAAGGATTGATAGTAGGGATTTCATGTTGTGGAGTCCTGACCATAACCTGTCAATAGAATTTACAGTATCTCGAGAAGAGCAGATGGTAAGGAATCTTTCGCCTAAGAGGTTACAGAAATATCTATTGTGGATCGTGGACGAAGACACGAAGTCAAGGGTGGGCGGATGAGAAGTACTTTTGAAATACTTTATCACGAGAGTGACGTTTTCTAACCTATTACCGGAGGCAGTTTTTCACAGCAAGTCTGGCCTCGGACCCAGAAACACTCATTAATAATGAATGACATTGTCATCGTTTGTATTCCATAATATGCCCCCAGCAGTATGAATACTGATCTACCATAACTCCTATGGTTCATCTCAGTCTATGGGGTTAGCAGAAAACACCATCTATATCCATAGTGGGATAGTATAAATATAAATCAGAAAAGGGCTGTTGTCGCTACGCGGCATCCCAGCCAACACCTCTTGGTCCCCTTTTTAGAACGTTATCAAATTCGTGATCTATCCATACTTGTCTTTTTTAAGCACGCTTCGGACGCTACTACGGCTAATCGTAAACTGTCGATTCACATCATATATTCTTCGACCACGATCATGAAGCTAACAATGACAGATACCATGTTACGAGTATATCCATTCAGATATTAGAATGACTTAGTTCAGCCAATCCTTAATACTCCTACCTACGAGCATGGTTAGCGGCTCCTTCGGTAACCAGGGCTTCTCTTGTCCTGCGTCCTTGGACATCCGGATTTATTGAGTTGCTGCAGGGGATTCATTACTATTTGGTCCAGATCAACAGCTGAATCGTGTGTGGAGAGAATGTACCTGAGCTAAAGTAGGGCTGAAGCTCGGAAATCCTACGCGCTTCTGCGATTGGTTGTCGGGTGGTGCGGTGGCCTCCCCTAGCTGGCTGATCCTTTGATCTTCCCGTGTTCTGCAGAACTTTTTAGGTTCAGCTAGACTGTCCTTAAGGAAGTGGTAAAGAATGTGGCTTTCTGGTGTTTGGTGCAGATTACCTACTTGGTGTATGTAACTCTGTCCATAGGTAAGACTTTACGAGTTACATAAACATCCACACAAAGATAGAGAACTCTCGGAAGTTGAGGTTACCTACATGGGTAGGTACATGATCCATCATAGGTATTATCAAGGCTAGCTATCATAGCATGTTCTTCTATGGCTTCTTATCATACCCAGTTGCTCAGACTGCCTTTACCGACAACACGGCGTAGTGCACGGGAGATCTACGTGGTCGTGTGGAAATTACCACCATCAACCCCTTAAAGCGAGGGGACTAAGTTGGCGTAACTCTGCTTACGACGTGCACGACAGTGGCTTGGAAAGAAGCGAAGTATTAGCTCTTAGAGTAACACCAGTGCTATCACTTAGCCTATAGCCTTTTGGCGACATTACTGTTCGTTAACATTAGATGTTCTTGTTGTTCCGTGTAACATATATTTGGCCACTATGAAAATCATCTACATGGTTGAATCATACTCTTAGTGGAAAGGGGGTCCCGTGCTAGGTTAATTATCTTTTAGGTGGTTGGGGTCTTTTTAAGGTAAACGTATTGGTGAACTGTTTACATGATGAGGGTTATGATATAGGACAATCTCGCGGCCACTGCATATATCATACTCTACCACTCATAGATTTTTAAATCTTGATATGTTCATTTCGAATAACCTGACCTAGCCAATAGAAAAAATCGATGGCAAGTTGGTAGGTACGTAATAATCTCATCATCGCCTTGCCCATTGTGTTATCACGAATTATAACTCGCCCAAGTGTTCCAGGAAAGTCTCAGAACTTGGTCTTCCGTGACACAACTTCCTCACTTCTTGGGATAGCTCGTATCATCGAATACTAGCGCTCACATCACTCACCGCCGGTTAATTAAATAGGTACTGATGTCGTCAGCTTGGTATATTAAAGAGTTTATTATCTTGAAAGTGAATATACAATCTTCGAAGAGTTATGTATCTTATAGGAGCTATGGTAGAAGCATATGCAAAATATTTGCTATGCCGACAGAGTTGAGATTCGTATCTGCATTAACCCCTATTGTCTTGAAACTGTCATCGTGATATGAATAAGGTGGTTTCTCGGATAAACGAAATCTAGTCTTCTCGAAGTTAGAAGCTACCTAGCTCAATATTTCAAGCATTGCCACCATATTATTTCGTGCAAGCGGCTAACGTGCCATTCGTTTGTTCGTTTTCTAGGGGTTAGCTGCTTTGCGTTACGGCATCCAGGATTCTACTTAATGGATTTTCCGCCATTGGTTGGCTTCAAATGTTAGTGTACTTTGTATCAGACGCCGAATAGAATCCGTTAGGGTTTCATGCAGCATTTCGTTCAAATAATATCCTTGGGATACGGGTTCTTGTGTTGGTGAATAGAGTGGGAAAATAGCTTCTTTGGCACATATTGCTTTAAAGTAGATGAGGTGAGCGGCTAAGGGGATAAGCAGTGTAGTTGAAAGGCGCTTTGATTCGTAGTATTTCCAATTAACGTCGTCAATATATCGTTCCGTGTTCGAGGCGGTAGGGCGGCAAGAACATTAATTCTAGGATGGATGATGATAAGGTCAGGTACTTCAGGGGAAAGAGAGACATCTGGATATTGGAATCGGAATTTACCTGAACACCTAGTGCCTAGGGCAAGCACTAAAGGGAAAATGCGGAGGTTTAATGAACACGTTTTGGGAAATAGCATAAAGCATAATGAACATAAGGTGGCCAATCATATACCGTAATTCATTCTCCTAGAAAGTCTTCCCTTCACATGGATGATTGCGTAACTGGGATAATTTCAATCAAACCTTCCCTTTTTTCTCTTTTTTTAAATACTCAGAGAGTTGATGTTACCAATAATCATTCATGCGACAAATATTCTACAGGGATTTAGAGTCGACTTGCCCAGACCGTAGGGCTACGCAAGAGTTTAATAGTGCACTATGCAGGTCCGATCTTCTTCCATATTGGGAAACAAGTCGCTTGTGGTCGAGATTCTCTATCATCGACTTGATAATTGATGAAGAAACCCCGTATTCTCATCGAGCGGCTCGGTCCTCCGGCTAGATACAGAGAACTGGTTGTTTCTATTTAAATGTTGATGGTGGTGTGCAACGAGGTCGTATGAATGGTCCAACATGCGACGTCCTAAGGCGTCTAATTTACTCACCATCGAAATATTATATTCTCCTACTCGAGGGCGTATAAAATCGAGGTTCTGATGGTAGAACAAGGGCGGCTGTCGAGGCAAGCATGGCGCCAACATGTCCAAGCAAAAAAAGCAGCTTAAGTCCAAGCGGTTCTATTTCGTATGCTGCAAGCCACATCGGACAATAGAAACAAACTGCTATTTCCAAGGTTTCCACGGCCGTCAACCTATCAGTGGCTCAACTGCTTCGATAGGCCAAGACTTCAGCTGCCGTGGGATGACGACTAACATGCCTAATTAATCTCGATTAGTCTTGTTTATCGCACGAGCGGAATGTGTGATCTGATTGACAGGCAACTGGTAGACTGGATGCATCAGATCAAGCTTCCTTCGACACAGATCAGGTTAAGTCTAGATGTCTGTTCGCACGAGCTCGCTACCTGGGAGAGTCTATCTAACGCTTTATATTCCTTATAATGCGCATTGATAACCTCGAACTGTTCGATGATGTCCGCCGCGGGTGGAGTCGAGCCTGTTATAGCTCAAAGATATTATCAACCAACATCGACCTGCATGTGTTAGCCATCCTAGGCAAGATGGGCTGCAATGTGGAGACGGTTCTTCCTGTGTTGACTCATTCTTGTTCCATCTAATGCAGGTCCTAGAGCCCTAAGGCTTTAGAATGCCATAGTACAAACGGATCATGACTTATTCTATAGGTCAACCATTTTACGACTTTAGAACCTGGCGCGATCCACTATGATTCGACCGAAGATCCAGAGGTTCGATATACTACGGTATATGTCTCGTGCCTATGGCTAGCAGACTAGGTACTAGGTAGGTAGGTAGGTATGTTACTCGGAGACTCAGCCATCTAATTTGCTCCTGCATAAAACAATTGACAACTCATAGGTGTTGGAAATATTGGGATATTCCCCCGAACTGGTGCCGCAGTAAGCAAAATAGCTCGCCCGCTTGGCGTAGACGGAGCATGCGCAATTCTGCAGGTCCGGATCCCTTAAAGCTGTAAGTAACGGTAGCTTTGCTGATTGATACTAGGTACCTACGGTAGATATGCTAAAATAATACCAGAGAGCTTGAGAAGTTATGTACGACGATGCCATCATCCTTCTTCCTCTGACTGATAAGAGAAAGCAAGTTCCAGTCCAAATAATACCTGGATAACATGATGACGTTTTATTGAGGGTGGAATACATAATGGCCTTCTATCCCCCTATCTGCCAATGTTGCATTCCTACTACCGGTATGTACCAACAGGATAGCTACCATCAATTATACCTACTGAACTGCGGGGATAGCCCTGTATTTTCGCCTATAGGAAGAAGTCGACGAATGCTAGCTCCCAGCTATGAAGAGTTCCTCTGCAAGGAGTCTTACGCGCCACTCGTCCACCTTAGTTACCTAGTAGTCTCCTCAGCCAAAAGCCCAGGACCAATTGATCATCATTTTCTTGACTGTTATGTCATAATACGAACGGTACTAGATTTCTAGCTTTCTTATGGCTATCGGAAAGCCTCTCCTGAAGATGATCGCCGTTACATTAGAGAATTATAGCGCATCTGCGCATCTGCAAATATCAAGTATTTGCACATCTGTATGTTTTTAAGATCCGGGACTCCGTTGCGATGTATACGTTAGTAGGTGCGCCCCTGTACCCCTCGTTACACACCAAGAATATGTTCCCTGTATTTCCTTGAAGGTGCTTGCCATTCGCAAAAATTGTACTATGTATTGTACTATTGCCAAGTTTAGCAACCGGTACCATACCAACCAAGCACAGACCTTAGTTCCAGGTACCTTACACTCTAAAAATTTACCCGACAGACGAAAGAACAGCCCTGGGGCCATGGATCCTTAAAACTTCAAGGCACCCGCTTCTACCTAGAACCTTATCCACTTTAAGTTCCTCTCTTCACCACGACAACCACTTTAGCTGTATGATTTTTTCTTCTTTCTTCGTCTTCTAGACCGGCGATTAATGATATCTAATTATTAACGACTTTTCCCTTACTGGCTTGTGTATATTTCGAGACCAAATTGACGCCCAAGCTGACATACAACCAACCTAATCCGTAGTTATATTGCCAACGACTTAACGACTTCGTACCTACTCTTTTCTTCTTCCCGGCACCAACAAACGATTCAAGCTATATTTATGATAATGTGCAATGATATACGAGTTTAAAGAAGAATAGCACCTACCCGAGGGAAGCAAACATCTTTTTCAACTAGCAAGACAGACTTTGCTATGAGTGGAGATCAACCGACTCCAAGGCAAGACACTTTTCACTACTTTCAACTATCCCTTTCCCAATTGTCTCGGTGCTGATTCCAGTTTGTAGCTTTGGTGATCCAAACGCTCAGCCTCCCACTCCCAAACAGACCCCGACGTCTATTGCCTTCCCAAATTCTGTCTTCGAAACCCCCAAGAACAACCGAGCCTCCTTCGACGAGTCATCTGGTTGGACTCCTCAGTTTGCCGAAGAATATTCCGTCTTCAACTCTACTCCCGGTAACTTGAAGGGTTCCTCGCACTCTCACTTTGTCGACTTTTCCATTTCCACGCCCTTCCGGTCTTCGAATCATAAGAGGCCCCTGTCTACCGATAGTATCGCTGCCGAAATTGCAACTCATGTTACCCACTTCTCGCCGAACCCAAACCTTTTACCGCCCGTTGATCCGTCTAGGCGGGTGCCTTCTTCTACCAGCCCCTTAGTAACCGGTCAAAGCCCAACCGAAGCGGGTTTCCGGAATAGTTCGCAACAGCTGTCTAAGAAAGTTTGCCGGGATACGGCGCAAGAGGTGAAGGTCCAGACGGCTACACCGCCCCCGTCTACTCACAAGGGGCAGCGCCGACTTGCACCAAAGTTGCAAACGGGCACCATGCAAAATGATGGATTCGAACAGGAGTTCGTAGCTGGCACACCACAGCAGCAACACATGCCAAGCTTCATTTCGACAACCCCTACCGACCTGTTTGGATACCCATTGTCGGCTCCCGCTACGGCTCCGAGCTTTGGAGACTCACGCATGTTCTGGGACACTGATATGAGTGGAATGGACCTTGACTTCTCGACCACCAGCGCAAATGTATTCCAGAGTTCTGGCCACCGACCCATGAGTTCTCAGGACTGGGGCAAGTCCAACGAGATGTTTCAAGAGACTGGCGCAATTCCCCCACAAAGTCAGGAGAGTAACCCTCCGGCCAAGAAAGAACGGGCACTTGCGCCAAAGCCTCCAGTTCCGAGCTTAGATACGGGGGTTGCGGATACATCAATGTTCAGCTCTTCTTTTCCTGCTTCTGCTGATGATTCTTTCACTATGATGAATCATGGTGGCGTGGACCCCGGCCTTCTTTTCACTAGACCGCCGTCCTCCAACATGGAACCTGCTCCTTTCGATCCCATGTCCCAGCCTCCCCTGTTGCAGTCATTCTCACAACCTGAGCCTGAGCCCATCACATTAGTCGCGAAGCCACCGAAGCGTGGTGCTGGTCGTCGCTCAGCTAACACCAAGGAGCCGAAAACCGGTAAGAAAGCAACTCGGGTGTCTGCAAGTTCGCCTATCAAACCATCAGACCGTCCTGGCTTGTCGCGCAGTTTTAGCGAGAAGATAACTCGGAAGCCCGTCGGTAAGACAGCCAATTTACCTAATCTCGCACCGGCCACGCGACCTGTTCCACAGAATGTCGGAAGGTCAGCATCACAAGGATCAGGAGCCAATGGAAGAGTATCGCCGCTGAAAAACCAACCCCGCCGACTACCCAGCCTTTCTTCCATTCCAGAAGCTCCGGTCCCGCGAACCCAGACGTCAGTTAAGTTCACAATAGACTCCAAGGGTCGAGCTCGGGCAGAGACAACGACAGTGGTATTGAACGATGATGATACCGCACCGACAGTAGTGCGTCGTCGCCGGAAAGAACAACGAGACAAAGGGAAAAGCTGGGCATCATCTGAAGATGACGAGTCGTCTACAGACGATGAACCTATCATTATTCCTAGTCGAAACACATCTTTCTCGCTACCACAACCACGGAGACCATCAACGCACTCTTACCATTCTTCCCAGCGAAGTGTTAGCGACCAGAGCACTAGTAGTCTCGGAATTTACTATAACGAACCCAACCCTATGGATCATGACGGCGAAAGCGAAGCTGAGACGGTAATGAACATGACAGGCGGTAGTAACCTTGGTGACGCAGCGAGCGAGCTACGCAAGGTTATGGAAAGCCGGCAGAAGCGGCCATCAAACTTGAGTAACGGCTTGACATCACGAGCGGCGTATAGCAATAGCGCCTCGGTAACGCCCGCCTCCACAAAGACCAACGATCGCCATATTCCTTCCGCTGATCGTGGCCGCCGAGTTCGGTGCGTCTGTAACGCGAATAATAGCCACGCCAGCGGAAATGCTTATATGGTCCAATGGTAACCTCTCCCTCTTCCTTCATCTCACGTGCCGTCAACATATACGATAGCGTTAAAAGCCTTGGCTAACCCCATTTTAGTGGCTCATGTGATTTATGGCTTCATGGCAAATGCGTCAACATCACTAAGCAAAGCCAGCCTAGTGTCTATATCTGCGCATTCTGCGCAAATACGCCCAACGCTCACGGGATGCGAGGGAGCCAGGCACGCAGGGGCATAGGAGGACCAAACTCCCGGGTGCCTGTTACATCTCCGTTAGCACACAAGTCGTTTAAATCGTTTAGATGAAGACGACTCGTGGTGCTCAAAGCGATCCAACCAAACTTATTGTGTGATATCTTCCTTCTGTTATAATAGGGATGTATGAATGGTGCTCAGTGGAAATTATAGATGGGGATAGAACTGGTCCGCCAGAAGCGAGCTGAGGACCTTTGCGTACACATGATACCCTGATCTATTTAGTAGACGACGAGTAGCAATGAGAATCGCTGATTTGAGAAATCAAGGGGTTGGGACTCTAATATGATGTACGGATATTTGTGACTTGTCGTTTACATATGTACATGTACGCGTGGTTCCTGTATGATGCTTGTGCAGATAACCAACGAGATTCGAGATCGTCACAGCTGGAAGATCTACTTACCCACCTAACCACGTCAGCTACCAAAGCAAGGATTTTCGTATTTGAGAATTGAGCATTCTTATTTGCTGGTGTGAGTTGATATATTATTCGACGAAGCGTACGTTTATTAATTGAGTATGTCAGGAGCTTCATTCAGTAGCGCTATATAGCGGCCACTAGCGGGCTTCTAGCAAAGCTTCTATGCTAACAACCCCGTATCGTTCTAGGGTTAACACATGTAACGCCCATTGCTCATAGTAGCCACTTCTGGTTTTAGGAAATGGTAGATACTAGGTACTATGTAGTGACAGGGAAGAGCACTAAGAAAGCAATACGGAACAATTGTAGCGAAGCTTCCTCGCATGTTTTTTGGCCGAAATGGAAGTGAATAGCGGTGGCTTAAGGGATACAACGCCGATCTCGGCACCGCGGGGTAGACTTCGGAAGCAAAGCTAGGGAGCGTGGGGCAGCTCCGGTCAACTTTTTCAAAGGGTTGTGATTGTATTTGGGTTATTCTACTATCCCTTGATTAGATCAAAACCGGGACACTTTTCTTTATATCGGTCCAAACCTTCCTGCAACGAACTTGCAATTCCTTTTATATTTTTATGTTACGGTTTCTTTCCAATTGACCTATCAAGATGTCGACACACAATATCGTAGTCTTCGGTGGAGACCACTCCGGTCCAGAGGTCGTAGCCGAGGCCGTTAAGGTACGTTATATGCGTTATGCTGCCAATGCCAATCGAACGGCGGAAGAGCGGTTATGCAAGGTCGGTGTCAAATGGAGATAACATGCTAACGTAAGATTTATATCCTGCTAGGTTATCAAGGCTGTCGAATCCTCCAGCTCCTCCGGCAATAAGTTCAATCTTCAAGAGCACCTACTAGGCGGCGTACGTTTATTCAGACATTCATCCCACTCTCCAACCCCCCGGAACTCCCCAATCCCACATCGCCACCTCCGCTCTACCTCCACCGTTACACAATCCCTAAAGAGGGGACGACATAGACACTAACAAACCCATTCCCAGTGCTCCATCAACGCCCACGGCGAACCCCTCACAGACGCCGCCCTCGCAGCCGCCAAGTCTGCAGACGCCGTGCTCCTCGGCGCCATCGGCGGTCCCGAATGGGGCACCGGCGCCGTGCGGCCCGAGCAGGGGATCCTCAAGCTGCGGAAGGAGATGGAAACGTACGGCAACCTACGCCCGTGTTTCTTTCCCTCGGACTCCCTGATCGATTTCTCGCCCTTAAAAACCGAGGTGGTGCGCGGCACGAACTTCACGGTCGTGCGCGAGCTGACGGGGGGTATATACTTCGGCCAGCGAAAGGAAGGCGACGATGTGGCGTGGGACACGGAGCAGTACTCGCGCGAGGAGGTGCAGCGCATCACGCGGCTGGCGGCGCACCTCGCGCTCGCGAGCGATCCGCCCGCCCCCGTCTGGAGCTTGGATAAGGCGAACGTGCTGGCGTCGAGTCGGCTCTGGCGCAAGGTCGTCACTGAGACCATGGCGACTGAGTTCCCGCAGCTCACGCTCCAACACCAGCTTATCGATAGCGCGGCTATGATCATGGTGAAGAATCCGCGCGGACTGAACGGTGTGGTTCTGACGAGTAACCTGTTCGGCGATATCATTAGCGATGAGGCGAGTGTGATTCCGGGAAGTATTGGGTTGAGCCCCAGTGCGAGCTTGAGTGGGATCCCGGATGGGAAGAGTAGGTGTAATGGCATTTACGAGCCGATTCACGGTAAGTTGTTTTACAGCATCATTCCTGTGTAGGAGTCTGGGTTATGGTTTCCCGTGCTAATGAGATTGTTCTTCAGGCTCGGCCCCTGATATCTCCGGCAAGGGCATCGTCAACCCCGTAGGCACGATTCTCTCCGTCGCCATGATGTTCCGATACTCGTTCGCGCTGCCGAAGGAGGCCGACGCCATCGAGCTCGCGGTCAAGAACGTCATCGACAGCGGGGTCCGGACAAAGGATCTCGGCGGCTCGGCTAGCACAAAGGAGGTCGGCGACGCGGTCGCGGCGGAACTGACTAAGATCCTATCGTAAAGGCCGATATCGGGTTGGGATAGACACGGGCGGCATGCATTCTTGCGTTGGGGGTGGCAAAACACGGCTGGTAGACAAAAGGGGATCTACGCAAGTTGGGTAGCGTGCTGTAATCCGGGCAATGAAAATCTAGTGAAAGATAACACTGTGACATGAGGCAACTGTTTGTGATTGTGGCTTGATGATGGTCGTGGTCTGTTGGACGCAAGGTCCAACCAGTTTTTATTGGTAGATATATCATAACTCCCTAGGTATGGTCAGATTTGCCCATCTGTAGCGCACCTAGGCATCCCCAAGTACCATATTCAACGTTTCCATAAGAAAGCAACCGGGACGCCATCTTATGCGTGTAATCATTCCATCCCTCGTCAGGCAGAACCCCGTATGTCGGAGGTAGAACATTGCTCCTTTTGATGAGATGCAGGTCACTCAGCCTAGAATCTTCAGAGGGTAAAGGCATTTCGAAGAGCCACCTATCGGCTTTCCTAACCTCCGTCTCTCCCCTCCTCATCGCCGACCCTTCGTATTCCCAACCACCCTCGCCGTATCCTCCCGCAGCTCCGGCATCGCCTTATCCATCTCCCCCGCCAACACATCCCGAAACGACGCAAAAGCCCCCTGCTTCCCGCGCGCGAGCTGGTTGCCGCGACGGACCAGCTCGACGAACTCGCGCGTGTAGATGTCTGGATTGCGCCCGTTGTCCACGTACTGGATTAACTCCGGCGGGATGCGCGGTAGCTCGTTTGTGCCGCTAGCTAGGGCGCGGTTGTGGATTGCTTGCAGGTTCGCGGAGAGGGTGCGTAGCTCGTTGGCTACGATGTCCCGCGACGAGGCGCGTGTGTTGGGGGTGTGTGGGGAGGGTGAGGAGGATGTGGTGTCGTAGTTGGTTACTTGCACCATCAGGTTCGTGAGGGTTTGGATGGTGTCTTTGAGCTGCTCTGTTGGAGGGAGTTAGTTTGGGGATACGATAGAGATGAGGAAGGAAGGGGAGGGAGATACGTACGCTCAAGGGCGTCGTGGTCGACGCGCGCCATTGGGGCCATTGTTTATGGGTTTCTGGGTCGAAATCAGGTATGTGAGTGTATTGAAATCGATGTGGATGTGGATGTGAGTGGTGATTGTAGGAAACGAAAGAATGGGTTGGGAGATGCTGAGGGAAGCTTGAGTGCACTAACGGGTTAGCTAAAAAGATAACAAGGATTAAGCATCGGAAAGATTAATAGCCAATTAGCAACCTACACTGCACCCCAGATTTTTTCCATACCCTTACTGAGTAACTGTCATGTGACCTTATCTTTAGCGTTATATAAGCATATAATATGATAAGCATTGTTAACGTTATGCATGTGGGACCCTCGTTACGGACCGTTGCACCACGATGAATACACACAAGCCATGTAAGCCTTGCTATATGGGCCTTGCCATACGTTATAACATGTTAGAATAGAATAAGTTTGTCCTAATGGATACCATATGACATTAGTGGTTCAGTAGTTGTTCAGCCCATTCTTCTGCTTTGTATATAATTCTTCTTGGTATCAGGATCAGCTTTTTACTAAACTTACAGGTAATGACAAATAGTGTGTTGAAATGTTCGTGCCCTTTCATTGACCATGATGATGATTCTGCTTAAACTTTTCGTAGGTTACAGCAACACGATCAGGTGTTGTTTTAGCCTCGTTCACTGCCTCAATAAACGATTCCATATTCTTCCGGCAAGTAGGTATCTTTGCCAATGGTTACGACATCCAATGACCCGACTATCGATGAGTCTATGTCTGGGTGAAAGTACCCAATTTCTCGTATAGTCCAGCCTTTCTCGTTTATGAGGTTCCCTATTCTTCTGAGTACTGTTTGGGGACTTGAGAGAATAGTGGCTTGGATTTTATATCCTTTATGAAGTCTCAAGTATATAGTCTCATCGATTTAAAAGTCGATAGGTCTATGTTTCGCATTATATCTCATCTTAGCCTCTAATGACTTCTCATATGGGAAGGCCATTCTTCGAACACGTTAAAAAATTGGCTGAAGTCTTTTAAGTTTCTTTGGGTGAGTTGGTTTAAATTGCTTAGTAGGCAGGCGTGTTGATGTTAGATTCATTTGTTAACGGGCTCTCCAGCTCACAGAATGCGACAACGTTGTTGTTTCGTCGAATGCTAGGTCCATATCGCGATAATTTCTGACCGTTACTTCGTGTTAGACTTAATTTGTTAAAGAATAGAATATATTTAATGATTGAATGTGAGGTTGTGCAGGATTGAGGTGGGAATCCTTAAGTATTGGCGGATATCCATCTTGTGAAATGGTAGAGGATGACTCTTCACATTATTGTTCTTTCTGTAGACTACTAGGGTGGGTTACTTATAGAAAAATTAGAGAAGGATATGAGACGATTATATAAACGAAATGAGTCGTATAATCGTCTCAAGTTGCCTTAGAAAACTCTGGCTAGTGATGAGTCAGGCGAAAAGGTTCAAAATTTAACTAGAGTTTGTCTTCATGTATATTAGCTCACTCAATGCCTACCTGCGTATTCTGAAATTATAAGACTCACCGTAAACTTCATGTAGTGAATGGTAAGTTTTGCTCATTACGCGACGAGAAAATCAAGCCTGATAATGCTTCCTTTCATGTGTATCAAAAGGGAAGCAACAAATGATGAGTAACAAGTTTTACCTTTCAAACTTTTGACTATATACCTAGGTATCTGTAATTAGGCTGTGTTAACATGCTCTTCGGTGAGAGAACTTAGATATTAAGATCTATCTCCACCCACGACTCTAATGCTGCGCGAATTTGAGACCATCAAAGAATAGGTACTCCTCTACCTCATTACATAACAAAGGGAAAGGACTGGAAACATGCCTTAAAAAGCTATCGTTAATATTATTGAAAAACATCATATATGACTTCAATGAGAACTCAAATTTGTCCTAGGTTGAAATATCATTTGCGATAAACATGATGCGTGTTGAATCTCAACCCTTATTCACTGATCTGAGTGAGAGATTCAATTGCAATAAAGAGGAATTAACCAATCAAAATCAGCGACACGTTCCTAATTAGGAAATCTCGACATTACGTAAGTACGCTGTGGTTCAATGGGATGGAGAAGACCCTGACCAAGCGGAATATTTTCAACAGTGACGTTAATGCTCAAATGGTGTACTGTAATAACAGCTTTTGACAACCCTAGATAGCCTTACAAATTCGTTGTAATAATTATTCGTAACGAAACAAGATATCAGGAAAAGCTGCGGATCAACACGATCAAGAGATAGGCCCGCATGGACGGGATAAAATGGCAAACGCCACCTAAATCTCGCATTTCCGGAGCTCAGATATACCTCAAAAAAGCAAATCCCAATATCAACAGCAGGATGCGATTCGGTAAGCCACCCAGCCCTCGCATTTCCCCAACAATCTCCCCGTCGGAAAGATCTCCCTCTCCCCCTTCCAATCAGCCTACCTATCAACCACACCGAGATCTCCAAATACAATCTCCGTATCACACACAGAATCGAACAGTGACGCAATAAAATCTAATTCCTAGCAGTACTTACAGAAGTCCAGGTTACACATAACAATCCCCCACCCCATCAACTCCCTAATGTCTCCCTCCCCTACCCCTGTCCCCGTCCCGCAAACAACTTCCTGATCTCATTCTGCAAACTGGACCTCTTCCTCACACTCTTCGCATCCACCACCTCCCCCGTGCCCATAACGACCTGCCCATCCCCCTCCGTCCTCGGCGACGGCGTTCTCAGCCGTCCCAACATCCTCCGCACAGGCCTCCCATCCCCCACATCCCTGCCCATCAACCGTCCAGGCACCGCGACCCCCGGGTTCAGCGGCTGCAGGGGGCGGTACAGGTTGATGAACTCGGAAGACTGGGCCGGCGGCGTGCGCCGCACGTACCGTCTTAGGTGTTCCGCGAGCGGCGACGGGGAGCGCCGTAGCCGCGCCTTCCAGGACTTGGCTATCCCGCCACTGTTGGTTTCGGCCACTTCCGCGTGTGTGGCCAGCGGAGAAGGCCGGCGCGGTGCGTAGGGGGACTGGGTGCGGGGTGGGAATGTATCAGGGGAGGTGGTGGTGAAGGGATCGCCTTTGGCGGATTTGGAGCTGTTGGATTTTGAATGTGTTATTCGTGAGGAGGGACGCATTAGAGGTTCGTCTAGGATGAAGGAGGGGCCTTTGATGGTTTTTATGGTTGAGTTGGCTAGAGTACCGAAGTTGGGGGTTAGGGGCGAGGGATGGCGGCGTAGAGTCGTCAGGTCCTCTTGGGGACTCGTTGGGCAGATGGTGTTTGGTGTGCATGTAAGGTAGTCGTTGGCTTCGGGTATAGGGCTGGGAGGGAAATATTCGTCGAGAAGGGAGTGTGGTTGAGGCTCGTTTTGTCGATGACGGTTTCGCTGGCTTGGGAGCCATTGCATCCATCGAGGGATCGGTTTAGTCGGACTGGGCTTGAAAGCAGGCCCACCTATAGGGTCTAGAATCGAGACGTAGATGGTAGAGTCTAGGGGAACAATGCATTCTCCATCATTATTCGAGTCACTCGAACCACTCAAAGCGCCATCTCCAGGTAGGCGTGGAAAATGTGTTCGGCCATGTGTAGACTTCAGGGACCGATGAGGATCTGGTGGGCTCTGTATTTAAATAAACGTAAGCCTTTATATCACGACCTGCGACTTGTGACCTCACCTGGATAGTAGCTTTAAACGTAACGCCAGGCGTCCTCTTGATCTCCCCAACAGCACGTCTGCTAATCTGACCATCCTTCTTCTCCCACCTCTTCCTCGCCAACCCGCCATCTACCCTATCCACCTTCCTCAACGCTTTCTGCTCTAGAGTACGCCGATCCGTCGAATCAACCTCACACTCAACAACACAACTCGCACAACTCGGGACATCATAAATCTCCTTCGCAGATCCCGTCCCTAACCCAATCCCAGCTAAATCGCCATCTCTCACCCTCTCATCCCCATCATCAACAAACAGCTCCGCAACCGTCGGCGCAGTAACAACCCTCCGACTCCCACAAAACACGCAGCCGTAGCAAGCGCGGTGCCAGAAGCACCACCCGAGGCTCACGCACTCGTCGCCGCGGAACACGATCTCGCCACACACCTAGCAGATGGCCAGGTCGATCAGGCTATGGTAGCAGGAGTCGCAGGTGAGGCGGGCGGAGCGGCCGAGGACGCGGGGCGGTCCGCGAGATAGGTGCCAGCAGAAGGTACAAGTGAAGAGGCGGGGATGTGGTTGGGGCTGTGGTTTGGTGAGAGGTGGTACCATGTCTACCTTAAGAAGACACCCGTGGAATGTCTGTCTGTCGTTGACGCCGTGGTTATTGCTGAGGTGGGATACTATTTCGCGTTAGTGATGGTTCGTGTTGGAAACGATGGTTAAATCAAGCGAATGACTAATAGAATTAACGAGTGTCAGCTTAATAATTACTATGGTGATGGAAGAAGATGTGAATATAGTAAGATGATTCCTAACTTAGGTACGAGGTTAAGGAGTGGTTCGTTCTGATTAGAGTGCCTTAGGATAAGGAAGCCGTTTCTAGATAATCCTTTCGATATGCAGATACCTAAAGTTAAGTAGAAACCTTGATAATAGCCACAAGGAAGTCACTGGCTGCTGAGCTATGCACAGAGTTACACCTGTTGATTTTTTCGTAACGGGGGGGTTTTGTCATTATGATCGTGAATACCTAGGACCTATCGAATATGCCATGTATCATTTAGTACGCCTACGCCACCATATTCGGAAATAAACCACCGGCCCAAATCATGAATCTTCCGGATTCCCTAATCCTACAAAACCCTTCGCAGACCCCAATGCAATATGAATCGACTAATGTAGACGAGGAATGGCCTATGAGACCTCTCGTCAAAAGGACAATTAGAAAGTGTATTCGTACACATCTCGAACGTGAGATAGAATTTGCTCCAACATGACCCTGCTAACAATCTGAATGTAGGCATTCTAGTTATCGGTTGTATAAGCAGCTAATTTCGTTCTTCTGAAAATCATGAAAAGCGTCCTCTGATGCTAATACGCCGGCTCATTAGCGTAAGCATCAACAGTTGCCAAGCGGCAGATCACTTGCGCAACTTGGGTCTAGCAAGCATGTTAAGCCTGCTCAGACTGAGGCCGCCACTCTTCTTCTGGGGGCTCTTCTGGGGGCTGGGGGTACGAGGAGCTTTGCTCAGCTTTTTGGCCGGCGACTCGCGACCGAGTAATCGGGGCGCCACAACTGCGTGACCTTCGGCTGTCGGGTTCTTTCGCAACTTTTTGGGAGCGCGCTGATCGGCCTGCTCGTCTTCTTCCTCATCCCAATTGGCCCTATGCCGCTTCTTATTGGACATCCCATGAGGAATTCCGTGTCCAACGGGCGGGACGTCGTTCTCCTTGTTAGGAGACGCGATGGATGGCCGGGGGAAACTGCCTGGCATTTGGTTTGTGGGTAAAACTGAGTCACGGACGTGTCGAATACTGGCTTGACCGGCAGCACCCCCAAAGCCAGTGGGAGACGCACTGTCAAATCGGATAGTGTGATCACTACGGAAGGTGAAGGTTCCGGGCACAGATTCCGGGGGATTTGCGTCTTCAGCCATCTCAGTATCACCATTGATATCCCGACAGTACGCTGAAAGGTCTGGATATGTAACATCGCCCTGAGAAGTATTCTTGCTGGGGGTCTTGTCACGAGTGGAGGTGCCCGATTGGAATCGCACCATAGCCTTAGAACGAGGTATACTCGACTTCGTAGGGGTAAGTCCCACATTACGGTCCGTCTTTCGGACCGGTGCCGTAAGAGGAGCTTGGGGGAAGTCCTCGACTCCTTGATGAAGAGATGTCTTCGAAGGAGACGCCGCTAGCTGAGGAATTTGGGACTTCTGTCCATTAACCCGCTTATCCAGGAGCGATTTCAATCTATCAAGTCGACCCGGAGTCTGAACTTGGCCCAGATGTCCCACGTTGCTTGGTATCATAGCCTTCTTAAGGCTAGAGAGTCCCTTCTGGCTAGAAATTCTCGCGAGGCTAGCAAAGCTGGATTTGCTTGGAGTTCGACTGAGGTCTGCAAGGTCGGGCTTGCTCTGCGTTCGCATTAAGGTCTTGGCTGGTGTCTTTGTGCTAGCCGAGCGCGCGAGAGATGACTTCGTTGGAGTCATTAAGTTGTTAAGGTGAGAACGAGGAGCCGCTACAGGAACGGAATCCTTTCCACTACTCTTCGGACGAGGGATATTGCTACCATCTCGTGACGCGGGACGAAGTGTAGACACGTCATCTTCCAATTGCTGCTTAACCCTCTTGACGGGCGATGCAGGCTCCTCCCGTTTCTCGGGGGAGCTAGGGGCCAGGCGAGAGGATGATTTCTTCGATCGTAATGAATCAGGAGCATCGAGATCTGCCTTCGATCGAGCGCGCTTGAGACTGGGTTTCAAAGGGGTAGCAGGATCAATTGAGCGAAATGCGGACGGGTGATTCGCGATAGAATCCATCTTCTTGAATTCGGCCATGTGAGCAGCGCTAAAGCGACCAGCCTTTCCTATCGCCTGGCGAACTTTTCGCTGTTCAGCCTCTTGTTGCTTTTCCTGCTCTCGCTCGACAGCAAGTTCAGGTTTGAGTTTAGCCGCATCCTTACGAACATCACTCATCATCATCTTAGCAATAGGACTTAGGCCTGCATCTTTACCCATAGTGTAACGGAAGGTAAAATCAGCCGAGGGAACCGACACGGGTGTCTTGGAGGGTGTAGATTGGATAGCACCGGGCATACGGAGTGTCTTCTTATTATAGTCGATATCCGCGAAGCCTAAGTTCAAGCCGGACGATGGCGCGGCAGTAGTTGGGTGTACCTTGCTAGGATGCATTTCAGACATGGGAAGTTTAACAGGTGTGGCCACGGCCGGAGTAGCAGGCTTGGGAAGAGATTGGGGGATCGGAGAAGATACGATCGTATCAAGACGTCGACGGGGTCGTTCAGATTGTGAAATAGAAGTCTCGTTAAGCTCGGATACAGGATCCAGCTGAGGCGCCGGAGATGGCGTAGCCTTCTACAATTAAAAGCAGGAGTTAGTTTCGCATCTCAGTGCATGGTACAGCGTGACGATTGCGCAAAAGTCAACGCGGGTTGAGGCGGTGTGGGAATGAAGAAAAAAATGAAGACCTCTTGATGCAATGTTTACTTACTTTGGAGGCGCTTGCGAGGCGCGCAGAACGACGCGCCATTGTGAATCAATTCAGCGTCGCTACTAATGGGATGTAATTGAGAACAATGAGGATTGAATAAGTTCTCGTGAATGTGTATGGATCAAGTGTTATCGAGCAGGGAATATGCGGGTGTGTGTTAAGACGATGATGAAATTAAATGGAGGAAGGGTTGTGGGGGAAATGAAGAAAGAGGACCTTATGTCAGAGTTCCAGGTTGTTTACTTAGGAGAAAGTCAATAATATTTTTAGTCAAGTGCCCGTGTGCACGGTTATTTTATTTATGGAAGCGGTCTGGCCCTCTGTGGATCCGTGCACCACCGTAGCAACGAATCATATGTTCATGTTCTCAATAGGTACCCAGTATTTAAATCAGCAACATTAAATCGATGAAAACCTTATGACATAACCAATCATTTAATTTTTAATCGGATGTTAATTACTAAAGTACCTTTGTACATAGTGATATCATGATCAATGTTGAGTCTCGTCCGATCAGAACAACGATATTTTCCATACTATTCGACATGCTTGATATACTGGATGGATTATTGTTTCTAGGTTCTCTTCTCTTTTACCTAAGCGCCTATGTATCCTCATACGCGCCTACACATATCTGTATGGGCGTATAGACCCAGTAGCGGTGTACATACTTACTGCATGAAACATGTACTTACATAAGTCTACCCGTCCCGAGAGTCATCGTTCCCCTTCCCGTGCAGTTCCCCGAGTTTACCTTATCCAACGTTAACATAATAAATGGGGGAAACAAATCGAGCGTTCGAGGTTACTCAGCGCACACCAATCATAGATCACTTTCATACCGTTGCCCAGGTGAAATCTGCATTATGCACACAATCGGGGAATTTAGGGTTGCAATCGAAGTTGTCTTACGCCCTTTATAACGTCATAATCCGAGGTCGTTTACATATGCGCCCTGAAAATCTGATTACTTCAGCAAGTCTTCCATTCAACGTTTATCATCCAACTGCGGCATCAAATTCGACAAAACTAAGTTTACTATCATACTATATAAGGCCTAGATTCGCAGAAATGATATGCTCTCTATTTCATCCACCTAACCAAAATCTAGCTGTCAATACTGTATCAAATTGAACTACAATTCATACTTAATCAAGCCCCTCACTATGGCAGATATCAAACCCTACACCATCGCTATTGATGGTCAACGATTAAAGGACTTGAAAACGCGATTGTCTCTAGCCAAGTTTCCTGATGAGCTTGATGAAGCTGGGTGGGATAGTGAGTATATTTTCAAGACGTTAACTACCTACTTAATCATTTACGCCATCCAAGCAACATCCAACATTCAATACTAGGATTGTTTTCTCATCGCGATAACAACACTTACATGATCTGATGGCCCTTGGCACGCCGTCAATTAGCTATAACTAACTTCGATAACTTACAGTGGGTGCCCCTCTTACCGACGTAAAGAGACTGACGAAATATTGGCAAGAATCATATGACTGGAAGAAGGCAGAAGGTGACCTAAACAAAACACCTCAGTTCGTCACCGATATTCAATGTGACGGGTTTGACCCTCTTGCAATCCATTTCATTCATGTCCGTAGTAAGGTTCAGGGTGCCGTTCCCTTACTCTTCATTCACGGCTGGCCAGGTCATTTTGAAGAGGTTTTGAGGATCTTGAAGCCCCTGGTCGAAGGCGGTGATGGCGTCAAATACCCCGCGTTTGACATCGTCGCGCCGTCGTTGCCTAACTTTGGATTCTCCGAGGGACCGAAGAAGCGAGGTTTTGCAATGGAGCAATATGCCGAGACTATGAACAAGCTGATGTTAAAGTTGGGATACAAAGAATACGTTACACAAGGAGGTGAGCTATTGGCAAATCTGTTGACGGTACGAATATGAGTTCGTTGACATCGATACTAGGTGACTGGGGCTGTCATATCAGCAGATCTCTTGCACATTTATTTCCGAAGTACTGTAAGGCAACGCTCCTTAACTACGACTCCGCAGATCCTCCAGAATTCCTCAAAAACCCTATTCTGGCCCTTCAGCATGCCATAACGCCCTACAACTCGCGGGAGCAGCATGGCGTGGGCCGGTCCAACTGGTTCGAGAAGGAAGGCAAGGGTTACAACTTAGAGCAGTCCACCAAACCCCAGACTCTTGGCTACGGGCTGGCGGATAGTCCGGTAGCTTGTCTAGCCTGGATCTATGAGAAGCTCCACGATTGGACGGATTCGTATCCTTGGACGGACGACGAGATCCTTACTTGGGTCAGTATCTACTGGTTCAGTACTGCGGGTCCCGCCGCCAGTGTGAGAATCTACTACGAGACAGCCCACAACTTCGATGGCAGAAAGAACAAGATCGATCGCCAGAGGCTGAGAGAGTGGGCGCCTGTGAAGCTTGGTTTCAGCCATTTCCCCATGGATTTGCAGGTTCGGCCTAGCACATGGGTCCGAACGCTAGGTCCTGTGGTGTTCGAAAAGGAGCATAGTAGTGGCGGCCATTTTGCTGCCTGGGAGCGACCTGATGATATTGTGAATGATGTTCGGGAGATGTTTGGGAAAGGTGGGGGTGCCTTCGGTGTCGTAAAGGGGGTTACGGGGTATACTTCATGAAGCCACCATCTGAAATCAGATGGTGCGTTTCTTAGCCGAGCTCGACCGTAACCATTTGTCTTATATCGGTACCTATCTAAGGTATGTAGGTAGGCTATTCAACAAATTGCAGATTCGCATTAGTAATGATGAGTACTTCCACTTGGCAATACATCCATCTCATTTTGATGGTCATCTTTCAGCTAGAGATAAATGTCAGTCTGGTCAGTATAAAGTGAAAATTTTTCGAGGACTACTTTAAAATCTCTTCCCTCCTATGACGTGTAGCCATATAGCTTTACCTTGTCTTGTTTAGATACGTAAGATTCCGTGAAACTCCATCTACATTGACGATCAACTGCAAGAATCTATGCCAAACACATTGAAGATTGCCATTAAAGATGTAATTTATGCATAAGTGGAATTTAGACAAGTTGAGGTTGTCTCCTAATTGGCTATCTGGAGATCGTCGAGTCCACAAGAACCAGTTCTTTGGACGTGGGGGTTGGGGTTCTTCGCTCTGTCGCATCAAAAGCTGGTAATCTGATAACGTTAATTCGACAGGGCTCGAAGCTAATTCCAAGTTTCCGGAGAGGTGCGCATTTCTGGTCGTCGGTCTAACGACGAATCTGACATAGAATATTATACAGTATGAACTTTATATGATAGGTAAGGGTGTAGTTATTGTGAATTATGACAGGTGCAGGTGCGCGAATTACAGCAATGTGAATTTAAAACATCTCCGAGATGAGGATGTGCTTTCGCTGAGGCTTACTGAAACCTGATTATTAATAAAGCGCCACGAACTCGGAATTTTGAGTAACGTCAGCGAGGCAATGTGGTGACGGTGAACTGTGTGAACAAATGTCCGTCGTAAATCGCCAATGTCTCAGCTTGCAATATACCGTAGGGCTGGGCAGAGCAGCGAAATCGGCGACTAGCGAACGGCGGCGCGGGTTGTGAGCTTTAGCTGCAGACCTAGCCGGCATGGAGTGTGACATTGTAGGTTGTAACGCGTAAGGTCGAGGGATGGCAGACCGAGGAGAATATCTGGAAGGGCGCTAGAAGCTTTCTAGAAGGTGTTAGCCGACGGAACCGACGCCTCGAGATGATGTTGGCTGATCCGTTCCTGCGGATCTAACCAATGGAAAATTCTTGAGGTTACACATGGCGATGAGAGAGATCGCCCCGCCAATAATTGTTTCTTATTTACTATGTGTACAACATGAAATCTTGTGGAATATTAGAGTCATTGAGCCGTGTTGTGGTGCAATGCTTCTTAGGAACGGGTGAAGTCAAGCGTTAGGATAAATAATAAATGATACCTAGTAGGCTTAAGGTTGTAAATTGAAAATATTTCTGAAGTTATGGCTAGTTGTTGGTGATGCTATGGTACTATGTACATAGCGCACCCACAAAACCCCTGCTTTAAGTTCGCCTGAAAAGAAGAAAAAATTCCTAAAGCGGAACTGGCCGCCCTGGAAAGGACTTTCATTGGCCCGCAGCTCGCCTGGACCTACCCGGGCCAACCATAGTCTGTACTTTCTTCCCACTTTACTTCCATTTAGCTTCTAGAACCCTGTCTCCTCGGAGATGCTACAGTTAAATCATCGATCTTCGTTCTCCACAATTCGACCGTTCCTCTTCAGTCTGTTCAGAGAGAAAAAGTCAATGATCTGCTTTGTGACCGGCATGGTTTTTCCAGGGTCGCACATCCTAAAAGGTCTGCCGGCCTATGCGATACTACCTTTTCCACGGTACACGGGAATGTATTGGCACAAAAGTCCAATGGCTTACACTCATGTGCACACACCACGACGCCTCACAACGATGATATACTACATGATCCCGTTTCGTCATAATCGAAATACTAGCATTGTGGAATATGAGATCAACCGCGCTAGGATCAAGCTATCAGCCTCACAGCTATCCGGGATTCTAGAATGCATAGAAGCAAGAACGAGGCCACCTCGATACCTTCCCGTGGGTTTGAAAAGCCCTGTCTTTGAATTGTATGCGTAGCTTGAAAACGCTGGAAATACTGTAGGTGATGACGAATCAACGAATGTGATTAAGAGTATTCATTGTTCAGGTGACCACGAAGAAAATTTCTAGTCTGAGCGGAGACGCTTAGTGCTTTTTCAGGAGATTGAGAGAATCCATAGGGCTGGTTGTTAGTTCCCTTCCTCTCCATATATTTCGATACGATGGAAACGTTGGTGGGTAGGCCGTTCTCGGCCTCCGACATGACATCTTGGCCTCCTCCACCGGAGTCACCGACATTTTAGCATCGTCATGTTGACCGTCGAACTCTCTTAGTCCTCCGCTATTGGTGAGCCATCCGACTCACTTATAAGATACCGGGGATCTGGCAACCAACGCATCCCGCTGGAATTCCTCCACGTTCACCTGGCTGCTGACCCTCACTTATGCCCCAGTCTTGCCAGCTTGCCCATCCTCGTCATGGAGTAGTGCTGCAGGCTCTTCCCCGGATTTCCAAATATCTCACGTAAATGGTCAGGAGCACAGCAATGACTACATCTTACATCAGGGTCTTTCGAGACGGTCGTCCCTATTCGGGAACTAAAAGTGGTTGCGAGAGAAATTTTGAGACAAAAGTTATGTATGATCAGACGCTGCAGGACTATCTCCGATCAGGACGATAAAGCTCGAGCTGTGATTATCAGCTGAATATTTTGGAAAGAATAATTCCAACCCAGGTAGGGTTACACAGTCCAATTTATCATGCGGCGATCACCTTAATATATGCCACATGTAGTCGGGTTCAAATACAGGTGCTCTACTTCACCCAGTTCGCCTTAAACGAAACCGTTCCAAGATGCTTTTCAAGCAATTTAGTAAAAAGTGTAGAGTATCATAAAATTTTGAACCCACTACCTACCTATGTATGTACTAAGCTTGCCATCACGACGGATTCGTAACAATATCTGTTTATAGCTAGGGGCTCTCGTCTATAACTACCCACAAAAGCTAGCATATGATGTTTAACTTAGACTCGTCATTCAACTGCGAGGCTATGCATGCTTTAGTTGTCTGATATACACAAGTTCATCACTAGAACTATCTGACGTTAAAGAGCCGTATAATAACAACCTAAGTTTTCATTCTAATAGATGGAGCCGCATTCCGGAGACAAGGACAACAATGATGAAATCGGGGATTAAACCACCTAGGACTCTGAGTTAAGCAGACCGAGCGGTGCGTTGGAAAAAGTGTTGTACCAGACACATCCAATTAAGCAAGTCGGATATTGAACTGCGCAGCTGCGGTCCGGGTCGACAGCCGGGAAGGTCCGGTTATGCTTACATCAGGGTGCCTCGCACTTTCAAGTTTTCCTCATCCCGTTTCGAAACCGTGAAAACTGGGTAGCCCGGTCTACATAGTGTGTATACTTCATTCGTATGAGATGACTTGACCGAAAGTAGGCTGGGGTGCTTTGTTAGCTACATCTTTAGGTACCGAGTCTACCTTGCTCTTAAAACGACAGGCATCCCACAATCCATCCACATCCCACCTACCTCCAGGCTAGCAGGCTAGTACTAAGCTTGAGCTCCCCTGCACCTACCTTACCTCCTCCAGCTACCTAGGAAGCACTTGCATGCAAGCAACTGCGACTGAGCGGAACCCGAACATGCTTCTTTAATGAAAACCTACCATCATCCTTTACAACCCTTTCTCACGGTCTCAATAACCAGACTCCTCACAAGATTCATAACACTCCACTTTCATCATCTTTTCCTGCTCCCGTTCTTCTTTCAATAGAATATTCCGTCTAATTTTGATTAGCATTCTCTATCGTTATTTGTCCGTTTTGCTGCAGTTCAATCCGTTGTGATCCACTCCGGCGTCTTCAGTTGAACAACCGTCTAAGAGACCCGTTTTCTCTCTCTCCAGTTCCGCGCTACAGTGAATTCAACCAACCTCACACTATCCTCTCAACGTTTACGCTCTGTCCCGCAGTACCTACCGCATGCCTACAGGTAAATTATCTTACGGATCTTAGGTGGTATTGGCATTGTGAGCCTATACTGGGTACTCGAGGCAGCATAAGCTTTCTCTTCCATAATTCGCCTAGATCAGATACCCCAGAGGCAACTCAAAACGTCCCATCCAACGCTGGCCACCAGTAACCTGATAGTTCTGTCGTGTTCTTGACCAGGGGGGCTTACGTGGGTAGTACATCAAGTATAACAGTACCGACACGGAACGCACGACGACTAAATAGGAGCCGGACCAACTGAAGGTCGGCAATCATTGGACTAAGCGACGATATTCAGTCCTCCATCAACCACCGCACGACTAGTACCTGCTAGTAAGACTGGATTCCGCACCGTCCAATTCCTATACAGAAAGGGAAAGGGAAAAAAGTCTTCCCACCTTCCAAGAGTCTTGGTACCTCTTTTGCCATCTACTACAGTAGCTGAGATCCTCTTAATCGACAAGCCACCGAAACTAACCAACCCGGGTTGCCTTTCTGATTTCAATTACATAAAACCAAAGCAGCCTTTTTCTCCTTACCTTTACTTCACCACAACACTTGTCACCCCTCTATACTACTCGTTGCCTCTGTGTATTTTCACTGTTACTCTACCTGACTGTCAACCCTAAAGTCGCCTGGATCATCCCTATCTCACTGAGTTTCGACTGTATATTCTTGTCCCCATCTGTCGGATCCCGTTTCCCCAGATTATGTACTGATTAGCGCTGCATGCGCGCGTTTGACTGCCGAACGACGCTTCTTTACCTTTCCCTATACCAGGGCACTCGGCAATAATCTAGAACCACACTTACTAAACAACATTCTTCCATCTAAGCCACAGACAACTATATCGACAAGATCTATTAGGGAAGACCGGTAACCAATCTTCACATAGTATCTAGTATCTTCCTTGTCTACCAAGACTTCATCTGAGAGGCGTTTGCCGCCGCGCGGCAATCGTCTCCTGTATTTGACATTGTCATGTCAGACAAGATGTCTATCGACAAGAAAGAACACTCAAAAGACGAATCAGACGAGTCCATCGGTTCGAGTCCTGAGAATGACATTGGACCATTGCTTCCGCCGGAAAACCAGCCTGCTAAACGCAAAGGAGGACGAAAACCCGTAAGTTTGCCTATCATTGATTCTATTCATGGACATATCCTACTTAACTGGGTTGCGACCACTTGCGCCGCACTCAAGGTAAAGGATATGTTGAAACTAGGTTTGCAAGCTGACACCGAGCAAAGATCTATGCTACTTCAGAAGAACGGAAGCAGAGAAACCGCCAGGCGCAAGCAGCGTTCAGAGAGCGCCGAACGGAATATATTAAGCAGCTCGAAGAAACGATCAAAGCCCACGAATCGAACCTCGCCAGTCTACAGGCTGCTCATCGTAGCGCTGCAGACGAATGCCTAATGCTTAGATATAAGAACTCTCTTCTTGAACGAATTCTCCTTGAAAAAGGTAAATCATTACTTTGTTAAGCATTGTATAATAAGCATCGACTTATACCATTTAGGTATTGACGTCCAAGCTGAGCTTCATGCCAAAACCGGCAGTCCAAATCTTGGTCCAACTCATATGCCCCAGAACATGGTGCAGCCACCTCCGATGCCGCGAGCGATCCTCAACAGGCACCATCACGCACGCAGATCCGCTTCCAGCATCGCCCCCAAGCTCGAGCCTGGTGTCACCTCTTTACCCCAGCCTACGGGTGTACAACAGAATATAGCCTCGCCCAAGACGCGGCCGACCCCCCCTTCTCATGCGGCTTCTCCTACTAATCCTACACCACCTTTTGGTAACCAAACAACAGCATCTCCTGCCCCTTCAGATCATACGAACATGCGCACGACGATCCCCCCACCGATGAAGCCACAGTTGGCACCGATGCCAGGAATGGCAGTCGCAGCGCGACAGCAAATGATGCAACAGCATGCTGCTGCTGGTCCTCGGCCGACGTCATTTTATCCGACGCCGTCGTTCCAGAATCATTTCCAACAGCTCGGCAAGCTGACCCGTTTCCTTTGTATTTAATAGAACTTTGTCGTCCTATGGTTAACCCGTGAGTACAGAACAGGAGTACGACGCGCCGACCGATATGATGGACGAACCCGAACCGGACACTCCCGGTCCTGGCCCCTATCCTTCGGCTTTCCAAGTTCCCCAGCAGCACGGCATATCTGTGCAGCCAACAACGACAGGACCCCCAGGCCAACCATCGATGGTATCTGGGGGGCAGGGCAACCAAGCGCAAAGCCAAGCACAAGGCCAAGGTTATCCAAGTATGACTCAATTACTAGATCCGGCCTTAGACTGGGACCCGTTTGGTCTCAGCGCATCAATGGCCTTTCCGACGCAGTTTTCCTTCGATACAAGCAATATGAGGTAACAATACGAACCGGAGCAATAGACTCGAAGTGATACGAATGGCGTTGGAGATTAAAAGGGGCACAGGAGGACGGGAGAAAAATATTGGCGGAAGGGATGCTACGAATCACGATGAAGGGGATGAAGACACATCCCCAACTCACGAGATTACGCCTATGAGCTGTCGGCATCGAGCCGGGCGGAGTTTTCGTACGAGGTGCCAATGATGATCGAATTCGACAGAAAGCGAGCGCTATATTCTTCCCCGTGATTTATCTCGAAACATTTGGCAGGAAGGCAACCAGCATTTTATACCCATGGCAGGCGGTCGGCTTCTGGTCTCGATAAACCCTGAACTAGCGAGTTCTCATGGCAATTGCAGCATTTCGGCGGACGGGGAAAAAGTTATGATTTGGTACAATGGCTCATCAAAACGATTATACAACAGGGTGTACAGGATCCCAATATCCACAATACCTAACAGGAGTTCAAGGAAATTTTTATTTTATTTTTTCTCCAAAAAAAAGTCGTGACGTTAAAGCTCAAAATAGCACCGAGCCGCGGAAAGCACGATCCAATTGCCCCCAGAAAGACGATACGCCCCCCTTATTTCATCCGAACATACTCTATTTGGGTATATCATTCAGAAACTCCAAGGTACTGGTGTATATATGATTGATTTAAGATGAGCTACCTAAGGTTGTACTATCCGGTTGTGAAACTAAATGAAGCTATACAGGATTCTTCATGTTTCGATTGCCAAGAGCTACCTAATCCTGTACACATGTAGTGGCAAATGAGAAGACATATTCAAACGAGGGAGGGTGAATTAAAAAAAAACATAATTTGATGATGATCTATCACTTAAAAGAGGCATGAGCCTACGTACATCTTACAAATACAGGTCCAGATATACGACCGAAAGAACATTTCCTCGGAGGCAGGGTATTCTAGGTACTAGTGACGCTGGATTGGCGAAGCAGTACGGATTAAGCATGTGCTGCATGTACTCATATAAATTGCATGTAAATTGTGATGTCAAGTTTCACCGCAGGACTTGGTATATTATTTGCATGCATTTCGACCTCTGCCCCTCTTCACTTCTTGACCTAGTAAAATTATAACGGACTTGATGAAGAAGGAGGATTTGTTAATTGACGGTAGGTATTAATGTATGCCCGTTCGAATATTTCAATATTTCTATCGAATATGCAGGTTGGCCAATCCCGGTCAAAGGCCGAGGGGTAACCGATCACGGAGGGGCGCAACTATGGATTTTTTCCTTCTTCAAACGTTCAATATACATTTTTCTATTTTTCTGTTTCAAACGGTATATCCCTTACTCAATCTCTGTTACGGTAAGGGTTTAGTCGAATGGGCGGGGCTCTTAGACGGACGGTAGGAACCACTAGAGAGGGGAAGGAGGGGTTACTGGGTTGCTGTAGCCTGTATGATCGATCCACTAACACGCTTGGGACTACCAAGGCAGGAAGTCGGACCCGCGTGCCCAGGTGCACTGTTCGCAAGATGATTAAGGGTCAGGAAGGGTCAGGGCGGTCGATTCCGCTAGTTGGCTGCCGTTCGACCCGGTCGCGGTTGTCGGTCAAAAAACTCGGGGATCCAGATCAGATTAGATCGTGCGATTGGTCCAATTCGCTTTAACTTTCAGATTTCTCCCGCAAGGGTTTCCTCATTTCCTCCCCTGGGCTAGAGCGGTCTCATGGGTCTCTGTTTGGTGTCGTGGGAGTTCGTCGTAGGTTCGTTCCTTTTAGTATGGCTACTATGTTCGTAGTAGAAAGACCACGAATATCGACCATCACCAAGTACAGATGGGTTCAAGTCTCGATCGTCGACATCCTGCTTTGCTGTGATGTGATGTGATGAGGCCGGACCTTGAGAGAAACTATCCGGATATCTGGTGGGTTCACAAGAAATGCCAAGACAACGAGGTGTTCGGTGGGGGTGATGCTAGCTCGGTCAGAGGCGATGGCTGGTCGGTCGGGCTTTTAGTGGTCTGGATGTCGTTGCACCGCGTATTGGTGCGGAGTCGGAGTCGTCTTCCTATGTGGAGTCGGCATCCATCACAGCTTATCCCTCTTCCATCCCTCCATTCACCCATCCCGCTATTGAAAACTTTAGGAACAACTCAGCCGAACCCCCTTCTCATTCCTAGAACATCCAGCATTGGGATCCGCTTAAGCCCTGGATAGGTAGGGAAAGCCAAGTCAAGATCCTCGGTCAGGCCTTCCGCATGAAGGGCAATATCTGCCAAGTAGTCCGAGTGGTTCCAGATAGGACCCTGCCAGCATACGTATGTATATGTCGCGTGATCCTAAGATGCTGACTTCCCGAACACGAATCTAACGAAAGACGGTGAACTAAACCCACGTCACCTAACAGTGCATCTCATTACTCCTTTGCTGATTCCGAATTATTGAGTATCGTGGAGTTGAAGGTCACCGGGTACCATGGTCTTTCAATCTGCTTGGCTGCTGTTTTCGAGTGGCGTCGCAGAGTATTGACTCGTTCGAGGTCACGATGATCACGATCCTTCTGGATTGACGGGCTTCGGTCTCGGAACCTTTGTGCGTCCTGTGTGACCCGTCCCTCATAGATCCCGCCTCTTTCACCATTGGATTAAGCCAGTTTTCCTCCCACCAACTCTTTAAGTCCAGCTAACCCGATATCTTCATCCTTTCGTAACAATAACTTAAGAACAACTCGTTTCGGACCGCCATTAGTCGTAACTTTCTCTCCGTTGGATTGAGTCCTGGTGCGGCCGACGGCGGGTTACCTAATATGATAATGCATATACGTTGAGTCTCCAAGTCAAAGGCAAGGGACAGTAATCGTGACCAACGCCTCACTCGGGGCAGAAGATCAATCGGGTCTCGAGTAGCCAAGAACAATGCATCTTATCGACAGCGAAGCGTAATAGAGAGAAAACAATTAGTGATGACCGCCGAGGGACACTTGTCCCGATCGCAGCCGGCGAACCATGGGGATGGATGAATTATTAATATTTCCCCCCTATTGTATAAGTCGATACACTGGTATCAAACAGATCAAGTAGGAAATATAGCGGATCCTTTCAACAACGTCTTCGCTTTTTGAAGAGTTGACGGGAGCTTCCAGGGACGGCCGGCAAACTGATAAAAAGAGAGCACATTTTCAAATTCTTTCGGATTCGGTTGCAGAGTATTTATTTGGATGGGTGGTTACCTGTGGCTGGCTTATCTCTGGCGTCCGTGTATTTGTCGGTATGATAGGGAGAACCAGAGATAAGGAAGCCATTATTAACAGAATCAAAATCCCTCCCACGATACCCCACGATCTAACGTGTTACGAGGTATCTTTTTTTCTATTTACAGTCGTTGCGACGGCTTTCCCGGCGCACCGTCTTGCATAACGTCATTCCGCTACGCGAATGCCGTGGTCTTGAAGAAAATAAGTTACATAAAGGTTAAGTAAGATATAGCTTCCGGACCCTGCTCGAGGACAAGTACCAACACAGAGACCCCGTCTAGCCTCTCTCGCTAAGCCTATCAGATTGCTCCTATTAAAGCTTTCTTCCCATTCTTGCCATTCTTCCCAGGGGATGATCGCCTCAGCTGCGGACCCTGCCAGCTTCATTCGGTCTGCCGACGGTTTCCTCGGAAATACAAAGTACGTCTCCTGGATCACGACATAGCAAAGCCTAGTCGCCTGCTCACCTTCTCATACGCGGACTGAGAATAGGCCATCGCGAGTAAACGTAATAAATTCTCGAGATGAGAACCACATAATAGGAGCCTAAGGTCAAAGTTGTCCTATGTCGCACTGTCGTTTGTTCATAATACTTATCTTTCTACATATAATGAAAACTCGCTACGGGTTCGACAGCCTATCAGTCCTGAATATAGATAAGTTATCAAGACTCGGGATTGCCGTCGCTTCTATATCTTATCAGAGGCTATCCAGACCGCTACATTCACGTGTTGCTCAGTTTGGCAGTTTATAGACACCGCCTTATGAGAACCCCTGGAGTTGAGTATTCGCAATTGACCAAGATCATCGAACGTCCCTTCTTATATATATTCGTCTCAGCCGCCACGGAATGAGTTGCCCATGGAAATAATATCCAATGAGATCTCAAGATTTGGTTACAATGTTATCACTCCTTCCAGGATAGATACCTAGGTAGATAAAGGATGACCTCGCCCACTCTATCCACGATATATATTCACGGTACCACCTACCTGTTGGTGGCTTGAAATAGCGGGAAATATATTCTGGTCGCTGCTCTTGCGATAAATGAAATGGCAAGCATAAATTAAAGATACCCCTTGACCCCGGCCGGATTGAATCCAATGTTACACTTGCTTGATAAGACCTTGATCGTTAGGTAGCACCTAGGTGAGACCTGCGTGTCAGTGGCTTGACTCCGAGTACCTATGCGCAGGCCTATCTAAAACACCGTCGATGTCTAGGTAAAATCAAAGAAGCGCCTTGGATAGAATATAGCGACCTTAGGAGTCAAATAGGTAATTGGCGCCTCTAGATCAAAATAGGAGGGTTGCGATAATCGTATATCGCTAACGGAAAACTTGTAGATAGTCGTGGATAACCCATCTAATGTGTGTCTCGGAGAAGAGTCCGTTTTGAACACAATTGGATGAGAGCTCAAAGAGCACTGTTTCGACAGGGCTTCATCGAAGCTTAATAGTTATTACCTTCAAAGAGAGTTAGTAAAGTTTTACTCATGAGGTAGCCTTTGTGAGAAACGGGTAGACGAAAGCAGGCATACGAAGCTCGAAGTGCCTAGGATAGTAGGTAGGATAATGAAATCTACTTATGCAGTCTCAAGATATGCCGGCTTGTCAAGACCCAATTAGAAGCATGACGCTGTACCTGGGTTCAATATTATGTAGGTACAGCGATAAGGAGATTAGATATCGATAATTGATAATAAAACATTATGTATGATAAAAGGTATCCATCGAAGCTGCCGCATGGTCCAGGTGTAAGCAAGCGCTATGAGATCATCGAGATGTACATATCTCGGTATGCAAGTGATGCAATTGTGGGATCCGGGGAAGATCTTGGCTTATATGGATCCGTGCAAGGGAATTCGACGTAATTGCTGATTAGATTGGATCATAAATTCATCGTTTTGGGAATCAACAAACAGCCGATAGTCTTTGGGATCGTCTATAGCGTCCTCAAGCTTTGCTAATTATCAAGACGGATATAGGTAAAGTTGACGTAAAGCTCAATCTTTAAGCTGAATTAAAGTTGTATAGTTGTATGTACATATAGATGCGTAGTGTACGGTTTAATGATATAAACGTATAAATGCATGTTCTTGGCGCTAACAGATCTCGAACCCTACCTGCGGAGATTGCTGACTCATCAGCGCACTAAACGCTGCCAATTGCAAAACAAAAATGCTCACAGAATTATTCTCCCGTTCCGCTTAAGCGAGTTTGGGCAAATCAGAAAAAAAGAGTTAGGTGGGTTTCCGAGCCAAGGAAAGTTCGACCACCGCAAAGTAGGAGCCCGCAAGAGCCCACAAGGCCCATCCTCTCACACACAATCAACTGCAACCGCACTTCACCAATTCTAAACCTTCTAAACCCAACCTTACCCTTAACCTCATCCACCTCATCAACGCCGCAGATTTTGACGAGATATTTATACATAAGGATATGACCTGCTAGGCCATATCCTTTTCCCCCTCGTTGCATATTCTCCATTGATCCGACTGTCGTTTCCACAGCTCCGCCTTGCTGAAAGGCGATTCAATTGGCGACACCATGTCGACGGTCGCCTCCAAGGTACGTCTCCGCTCCAGATTACGCATCTCTGCTTGGTCGCCTCCATCTTCCCTCCCCAAACTTCCTGTCGCCTGCCGCAGTTTTCTTTGCCATCATGCCCCAATTCAGCTTTTATTCCGTGACTATAAAGCTAACTATTTAATTCTCTAGAACCTTTTCGCCCTCCTCGGTATGTCGCCTCGTCGAACATCCGCTCTCGGTGAAAATTTTCGCTATGCGGGAACCGTTGTTTGCTAACCTCGATCAACACATACAGGTAACGACGTGGAGGGAGATGAAGTGCCATCAGGCCCTGTGAAGACGGTCGACAAGACCACGATGCGCAGCACCAAGCGCAACGCCGAGCCCCAAGGCCCCGCCGCGAAGCCAGCTACCAACACCGGAGCTCGTCGTGCTGGTCCTGGAGGCAACGAGGGAGGTGAGTGTCACATGCACCTAACGGGGTTTTATTTTATTCAGCTCCACACCTACCACTCCCTTCCCCTCAATTATATGATCTATACCCATTTATACGGTTATTTCCATATTTCACCTGACTAACTGGACGTTAATCTAGCCTACCGCGACCGCAATGCTGGTGCTGCCAACAACTACCGTAAGTCTACGGACGAAGCCCCACGAGGCGGTTCCCGAGGTGGTCGTGATGCCCGTGTGAGAGGAGGTAAGACCTGAAATTATACACCATTGTTTATATCGAGTATATGCTAATTTGCCGAAATAGGTCGCGGCGGCCGATTCCCTCGTGATCGTGACGACCGACATACCAAGGGTGCTGCAACGTACGTATATCAAAATTGAAATACCATCCTCTACTTCTATGTTCTAACCATTTAAATAGTGGCTCCGATAAGCAGGCCGCCCAATCATGGGGTGCCACAGAAGGCAATGCCGAGCAGAAGGACGAGCAGGCTGGAGAGGAGATCGCTCAGTCAGAACTGAAGGAATCTACAGCCGAGGATGCTCAAGAGGCTCCCGCTACTCCAGCTGAGCCCGAGGACAAGCACGTCTCCTATGCCGACTACCTCGCGCAACAAGCCGAGAAGAAGCTCGCTCTTGGCGAATCTCTTGAAATCCGCAAGCCTAACGAGGGCAGCAAGGCTGATAAGAAGTGGGCCAACGCCAAGGCTCTCACCAAGGAAGAAGACGATGACTTCATCTCTGGCACCGCCGGTAAGGTCAAGCGCGAGCGTGAGCGCAAGGCCAAGCAGCTTGTCGAGATTGACCAGCGATACGTTGAACCCGAGCGTACCCGAGGCGGACGCGGCGGACGTGGAGGCACCCGTGGTGGTGCACCCAGGGGTGAGGGCCGTGGCCGCGGTGGACGAGGCCGAGGCGAATCTCGTGGTGACTTCCGTGGTGGACGTGGCGGCGGCCGCGAGAACAACTCCTCGTTCGCCCTGAGCTCGGACGCCTTCCCCAGCCTGGGTGCTTAAAAGCACAGAATGCTTCCTAAGACCTGCAGTAGAGAGTACACCATGTCTATTATGCAGCTTAGGTTTTCGGTGATTTGGTATTCTCAGGGAATCCAGTATAGCCAATGGGGCTTACCAGTCGGGAAAACCTTCTGGCTATGAATATCCTGAGGATCGTATGATTTTCTCGTTATTCCGAATCAACAAAAGTTTCTTTCATATTCAAGCATGGTGTGCAAAATGGCTGGCCGCTAGGAGCAGGTGTAAGGGTCTCCATGGCGGCTATATCAATGGCTTGTATTTGGTAAAGGTCTCGGCCGCTTCGCGATTGCTAGTAATTTCTTCCTTAATTCCACCTTTCCTGTGATTGTCTACCGTGATCCTTGAACCCCCAGGTTTCTTTTTACAATTTGTCTTCAAGCTGAGTTATCAACAGGGACATTGTATTTATACTATCATGGCTTTCAGGTAATGTTCGTCCAACCCCTATCTTTGTTTGTCCATGGATTATCCTGTATAATGTTGTTGTTTTGTTATTTCAACTACTATTGTGTTTCACAACTACGCATTTCTTTATCAACAGATCTCGTTTTATTTTGTATAAAATACCTACTCTATGCTACATTCTCAACCGGATTTTAGAGCATCACATTAGGTAAGCCTACACACATATTCGTGTGTATCTTCTTATATTCTTACTTTAATACTCCTATCTGTTCGTCTTCTCGCTCAAGACACAATGAATTTCTTCGGATCATTCTTCTACTCTTCCGCTCTCTCCGCTCCTTCTTCCCCCTACTTTCCCTCTCCCCCTCCTTCCCCTCCCTCCCTGACCAACCTCCCGTCCCCCACCGAAGAGCTCTGCGACCGCTGCTACCGCATCCGCTACAGGGCCTTCCGGCCCGAACCCCTGGACCCGAGCAACCGGTCGCACTGCGCCAACTGCTTGAATCCGCTCGGTTTGATGGCGAGGAGGGATAGCCTCGGCGGTAGCTGGTCTGAGGTCGGGAGTAGCTCTGGTGAGAGCTGGGTTGATGTTGCGGAGGAGGTGGGGACGCGTGATTTGGGGGAGTCTACTTGGACTCTTGTTTCTGAGTCTGAGTTGTATTCTTCTGGTGATGAGCGGAAGGAGGTGAAGGGGCGGAAGAAGGGGGGTGGTGGTAAGGAGAAGGAGAAAAAGGTAGGTGATGGTAAGGAGAAACAGAGAGATGATGGTAAGGAGCGCAAAGAAGGCACGGGGGGCCAGCCCCCGAAGGTCAGAAAGTTGAAGCCTCGTCCCAGTCCTGCTGTTTATGCGGCGAGGAAGGAGCAGGCTGTTTCTGCTGCTCCTGAGAAGGATGGGAAGAAGGAGGAGGAGGTCAAGAAGGAGGGGGAGGAGAAGAGTGAAGAGGAGAAGAAGTAGGGGGGTGAGGAGATGGTCTCGTTCGATCGTTTGCGCTTCGGCGCTTGTTGTCTAGACGAGCGGTGTTCAGAGTACGAGGTTGGATGATGTTGAATGGGGGCCTGAGCCGAGAAGTAGGTTTTCTACCTTGTACTAACCTAAGTACTTATCCAGGTAAGCCCAATGTCCCCAATGATGTGAAAATCCCATGTTATGCCTTACCTGGATATATTGAATATGCATAGGTAGGGTGAATAGCTGCGAGCTGGATCTTGCTTTCCAGGTAGGTGAGTTTTGTAGCTACGGCTGGGTCGGCTACTTATTTAATTCAATACATACCTATTGTGTATCTTAATCAGCTTTTTTGTTTGCTCTCCTAAATTGGATTAACGGCGCTGACGTGGAAACCTGTTGGTAAGCGGAAGACGTGCCGAAGATACTGAGCCACACGTGAATAGTAACTCGTAGTGGTAAAAATAATGCGTGAAAAATAACAAGATGCGTACGAGATGTTCCTTGAAGACATCAACGGTTTCTCCTACAACGGATGCAACGAGAAATTCTGCCAAGTAAGTTCATGGCTCATACCAAACCTACCGCACCCCGCTGCCACAAGGGATCCGGAGTTTCAACACATCGTGATGGTTTTGACGTCATGGAGGGCCGTCCCAAGTCTCCTGAACGACCAATACTGCATCCACGACTCTCTTTCGTGGAGGTGGCCCACCGCCCAGAATATCTTAACATCCGTCCTCGAACGAGAGTCCAGTTGTTCCGTCTGCCATCCAGTAGTAGCCAATGCGTTAGCGGGTCTGTACGATGCGGGCGACTGTCAGCGGAAAGCAAAATACTGGGTCCAACAAAACATCACAGAGTTGAGGAAACCCCAAAGTCTGGCACGCGAACAGAAACCTAAAAACCATAATTCGATATGCCAACTCGTCGATTTCGAGGTTGGATACGCATCGAGAAACGAGACGGAGGGAATAGCACAAAATCAGAATCTGATACCTTCGAATTATTACCAGCAAAAGGATCACGGCACAGCTTGGGACCAAGCGATACACTCGCCAGGTTTTTTTCTTACTAAATTAGAACCGTGGCGTTTTGAATTTCTTGGATTTGCGCTTCTCAATACGGGGATACTGCTTTTAGATTGTGGCTCGCTCCCGGAAATCGGTCCTAGAACGTGTACAAGGCAACTATGTATCTAATATCCTATAGTTTCCTCAATAAAAAGGAAGGTTAGGTGGCGTTCACTAGGGCTCGGAGTTCCGGAATTATTCTGAGGAGGCGCTCGGTCACGATAGAGGATTGATACGATGTCAAGCAGGCGTTAGAAAAAGGAAAAAGCAATCTCTATCTGACTCGCTAGATAGAATTTGTATAGAGAAGGCGTTTACGCATACCATAGACTCATAAATACTACTATTATTTGATATGAAGGGCCGCCGTCAGAGATCGAGGATCTGTTTAGCTTTCAATGCGTGTACGGGGAAGGGCTGATACATAGGAACACCTCGAATATTAGTATGGCAAGCCCTGGTATCACAGAAGAAGGATTGCCGTGATATAAGGATGTAAGCTTGAAAGATCAATCCGGATAGAATCCCAATGCCAGCCGTCTCCTTATGCAGGGCATCAAATTTACTCCTACCGTAGATGCCATAGCAAACGTACAGGGAAGCAAGCACGTTTGATTCTTTAGTATCAAGCACGAACTCATAAATCACTCAAGAGCGAAGAAGGTATGACAATAAACGTCTTGTGTTATTGTCGGCCACCAGAAGGGGGGGAGGGGGACTACACAAATTCCTTGTAATCCCAAACAAGCCATTGGGTATCTCAACCAGTCGCAAAAACTGCGCGACCAAACCTGCCGCCAACTCCAAATGCCGTTACATGAAAACTGTCGTATGAGAGACCACCACATGAAATCTGCCATATAGGAACCCGCCAGAAGAAACCTGCCAAATGGAAAAAACCAATATGAAAACCGCCACCAAACCGCCACAAGAAATCCATCAACGTAATTATCCGCCATTCATAACCCATCACATCATGCCAAACCACCAGAACAGGAAACAAAACCCAGCCAAATGTACATGAAACCCAGAATGAAAAAGAAATAGGAAAAACCCAACCCATCATATCATAAAACGTAGTCCCATCAAAACCCCAAGTCGGTATCCCCCTCCCCATGCTTCATTTTATACCCCACCCAACCGATCATGCGGGAGGGTTTGCGGGAGGGTTTCCAGGAGCACCAGGCTGCTTCTGCCAATCCCAAGCGGGCAAGACATCATCAGGCTTCTCAAAGGTAGGGCTAACCTCATCGCCGACCTTGAAATCGCGGAACTCGCCATCGGAGCGCATGCGGAAGGTATCGGGCTGGTAGTGCGCGTTGATGTTTCGCTGCGTGCTGTCCGCGAGATCAGCTTCGAGCTTGCGACGCTTGAAGTCCAGCTGGTGGGCCATGAACGGATCTTCAGGCTCGTAAGGGAGGTTCTGGTCGGTGCAGAGCGCGTGGAAGGCTACGTCATCTTCTGTAAGATCGTAAACTGGGCCGGGCTGTGGAAGAGACTGGTCTTCGAGCAGGTCGCTTTTCTGACCGTGAGGAGAGAGGCCAGTTGATGGTTCCACCTTGGCTTGATCCTGAAGGTTAGACCCGGTAGCGGTATCTGCTTGTTCCTCGGCTGGAAAATGCAAGGAGGCGTCTGCGTCCGGCTGGTACTGTTCTCGAAGCTGGAAGTCGGCTGCTTCGACCTCTTTCTCGAAGCTTTCCTGACTCATGAATTGAAAACCGCTCAGGTCCTACTGAGAAGCCACCAAATTCTCGGCCTGGAGATTGCTCTGTCCCTGGCCCATATTCTGGGCGGCGCTTTCAGCCAAGAAATTGAAGTGGTCAGAGAAGGCAGAGAGATCGCCGTAGGGGTTGGGCTGAGTAAAGTTGTTGATGCCATTGGGCATCTCACCACTAAGTGCTTGTCCTCCCAAAAGACCCATGCCAGAGTTGGCTTGTCCAAGGACGAAGGATCCATCGCCTTGGCCGTAGCCCGCCAAGTTCACATTGCCGTACGGCATAGACGTCTGCTGTAGAGTAGGGTCGGGGTAGGTGTAGGATGCGACTGGTTGCTGTGGCATTATGTTGTCGTTGGGTGCGACCGGTAGCTGTGGCATTGTCTCGGGAGCAGCCATCCAATGCTGAGCAAGATCGTGATCGACTCGGAGATGCTCTTGAAGCTCGCCAATATGAACAAACGTGGCATCGCAACCAGTAAGGAGGCATCGAAGCGTCTGTCGGGCTCCGTCATCCACACCGGCAAGTTGTCCGAGAAGGTTGGTCGAGGATTCCTTAGTCTTCGCTTGTCCCTGGGCTTGCTCGGGTCGCGGGAGCTTCAGATGAACATGGCGAATATGCTTCTCGAGATTGCCCTTAGTAGTAAAGCCCAAGCCGCAACCACCGTTCCAAGCAGCCAAGTCATTGGTGCCGCTCACATCGAACTCGCCGCAAACAAAGCGCGTGCCTTGATGATAAGCTTTGACGTGTGCATCCATGTTGGACTTCTTAGTAAACAACTTTGTGCAGCCAGGCCAGGTACAAGAGATGATCTTGCGTTGCTCAACACTCTTCTTAGGTTCGTTGTGTTGAGATTCGACGTGTTGATCAAGTTCAAGCTTGAGGTTGCATTGAAAACCACAAAAAGTGCATTTGTGCTTGTGGTGGTTTTTCTTGATGTGCTCATCCAATTGAGCTACTGTGGGGAAGCCGATGTTGTTCCCGCCCTGCTGGCATTCATCGCACCAAAACTTGATTAGACCGTGCTGTCGCTCCTTGTGGCGTCTAAGAGATGCGGCGTTATCGAACGACGCCTGACAGAGCAAGCCGGACTCATCAAGGCCATCACAAGCGTATCCAGCCGCATTATGGTGGATTGTGCGCATGTGACGATCAAGGGTTTCTGGCTTGCGGAATGTCATGTTGCAAGGCACACAAGTAAGCGGCTTCTTCTTCTCATGCGATTTCAAGTGTCGCATGAGCTTTGCTCGAACAGCAAACGCCTTTCCGCAACCTTGAATAGTACACACATGGTCACGAATGCCGTCATGGCTCTTCATGTGATCATGGCGGCTCTTCTTGGTGGCGAAGTGACTGCCGCATTCGTCGCACTTGAAGGGGCGTTCACCGGTGTGGGTGCGCATATGCCCTTCAAGACGGCACGGGCGATTGAATGCCAGATTGCAGATGTGGCAAATGCGTGTCTTTAAGTCGGAAGGATATTGCTTGCGACCGCTCGTAGTTTTAGGCGCAGCCGGGGTGAGAGCTGGAGCGGGAACGGGGGCGGGAGTGGGAGCATAGGTAGTAGCTTCCGTCAATGGTGTAGCTACATCAATCGGTGTTCCAACGTTCGACACATCATTGTCAGAATCACCATCCTCGAAATCACCATCGTCGTGGGAGCTCTGGTTGTGGTAGCTTCGGCTGCGGTAGCTCTCGGGGCGGTAGCTCTGCGATTGGTTGGTCTCGTTCTGGCCTGTCTCGTTCTGGCCCGTCTCGTTCTGGAACGCCTCGTTCTGACCTGCGTCGTTCTGGTCTGCGTCGTTCTTGGCTGTCTCGTTCTGGTCTGTCGCGTCACCTCCAGTGTTGCTTATAACGTTAGAATTGAAATCGTTGAAGAGTTGGGTGCTGAGACCGTCTGTAGAGAGACGCGATTAGTATTTGAATATAGGATTGAGATTACCTAGCCTACATTGAATAAGATCAAGTCTGCGAGCTTTGGTGACACCTGGGTCACCCTCAGCGGGTGAGTCCGCACGTCTCTTCATTGCGAGATTGAATGACAATTACAAAGCGAGTGACAATTAAAACGGTCGCAATTTAAGGTATAAAGGGAATTTATTTAGAACGCAAAAGACGATTCAAGTTCGTGGGGTAAAGATTGAACGAGTAAGGAATCGTGAGGAGAGAAATTGATGTAATTGAGTTGAAAAAGTTATTGTAGAGAGCTGTGACAATTGTGTAGGTATATATCGATAACGAATTAAAGTGGTACGCTGTAAAAAAAAAAGTTACAGGGACATACCCGAGTTGTGGGGGATAAGCCATTATCGTTAAGCCCTCTAGGGCAAATGCGGCCTAGCGTTATTTTAATCACACGGTGGACGTGGGGTCATAAGCAGCCTTGGAAATTCTTAGCCTCGATCTCTTTCAACAATTTACTTCACCTTCTCTGACTTTTTTTTCGCGTCGCATTCAATCAAAAACCACCTTTTCGTCTGCGGTTTATCAACCAACATCAAAACCACATCGCGTCGATCTTTATCTATACAAAACATTCGTTTAGAGTTGATCTATTGATCTCATAATAAACAAGATGTCTGACTTCGGTGATGAGGGTGATGTTGGAGGGTGAGTCCACTGTTTAGCATCTCGGTACATTTCAGTGTATTCGAAGCGTCGCATCTAATTATTTAATGCGTTACAGAGACGAGCCTATGTACGAGGATGAAGAGGTCTTCGAAGACGAGCTTGACCCTGAAGTTCTCGATGAAGATGAAGAGTTCAATCGTCGACACTTAGAAGAGGAAGAGGCCACCGTCATCGGAGGCGACCCGTCTGCTGCCGCAAACCGAACCAAGGCGACTACAAAGTCCCACAAAGACAAGAAAGTCCCTAACGAAGAACGAATCACCACCCCGTACATGACCAAGTATGAGCGAGCTCGTGTGTTGGGTACTAGGGCGCTACAGATCAGGTAAGGACGACATTGATGGGTACATTGAGACTAGACGTATTCTAATTGAATGTCGCATAGTATGAATGCCCCTGTCCTCGTGGATCTAGAAGGAGAGTCCGATCCGCTTCAAATTGCCATCAAAGAACTTCGCGAGAAGAAGATTCCGCTGATCATCCGCCGTTACCTGCCTGATGGCTTGTATGTCTTCAACTTCTTCTACCAATGTGGTAAATGATACTAATGGCCATATAGCTACGAGGACTGGTCGTGTGAAGAGCTACTCCAGTGAATTGACTACTGCTAGAGTATTTTCCTCTGGGTCAAATACAATTTGGTCCTTGCATCGCCTCTGGGATCGCCCCAAGATACTCTCGATTTCGTCACGGGTAGGATAAGGCTGGCTTATAGGAAGGCCGAAAAAGAATGAATCGTCAGATGGTTAAAGAGAAGTGTGCATGAGCATTGGAGTTTGTGGTTTGTTTAAGGAATATATCAGATTTTCCCCGGGCATAGTCCTTCTTGATACGCCTCATTGTAGAGCCAACATTCAATCGGCCTATAATACGTTATCTAATTACCTCGCTAGGCAAATGTAGATTGCATCATAATGTTTTCTATAGCTATGGCAACGCCTGTCAGCCTCAGCTGAACGGGTAGACACCCCATGACAAACGACAATCACATACGTCAGCAGTGAGATATATTGCCAGATACGGCGAGACGTTCTTACCGAGTTTACCGATAGTCTTGCCGTTAACTGTGGTTTTCTCGATTGCGTTGTTATTGCGTATATCAGATCTAATAGCAAAGGAACGAAACAGATAATTTGTTTCGATATCCTGCATTCGTGAACATTGCCCATACTAATATATGTGCTGCTGTCGCAATCAATTCTATTCATGAGTAAACCATCGTACTTTGATGAAAAGTTTACATACGTTTTCTATGTACTTGAATGGCTTGCTACGCGAGAAAGCGCAAAAGGGCGGTGATCAATTCGTGTTGGAAGTGTTATCTAAATCTGTATATTTATCTAATGCGGTGTGATGATTAAACATAGGTACATATAGTTACCTATGGATGGCTATGGAAGAAATCCCCATTCAGAAAGCCCGCCAAGATTTCGGGAGCACTCAGTGGATGGTTATAGGTTAGGCGGCATATAACACAGCATGAATACAACATGAGACCGCAGCATCTTACCAGACGAACGGACCTATGACGTTGTCTGACTATTGAAGGATGCAGGTCAGCTGCTGCAGCCGCATTCCCTTACACTCGACTAACTCGTAATATTGGTGGAGGGATTAGGAACCACGGGAAATCTTTTTTGAATACGAAGTAGAGAAACGTTGCTCTGGAGATTCTATCCATCATATCGCAACTTCAGTAACGAAATCTACTAGGTACCTGCATGTGGCTCGTGAGAATCAGCAGAGTAACCAGGATATCTATCGTACATACTATAGGTATGGACATATGTACTGTACATGGCAAATTTGCTTAGACCGTTAGAAGAAGAAGATAATGCGACAGTGGCTTTCTTTTGGGTTCCTTGGCTAATGTGATTAACAGCATGTTTCGTAGATTCGACTCTAGAGATTCTAGATCGTGTACTATACCAAGTAGATCAAGCAGACAAAGTAGACCGAGCGGTGCTTCATTGATTGTTACATACCTGTATAAATAAAAGGCTGTGTTTGCTGTTGCGGATGCACGACATATTAGAGGTATTAGAATTTAGATCCATAACCCAGTTCATTATTTGTCGTACGGTTCATATTTGTTGTTGCCCATCAAAGTACTCTGTATTCCCAGGTGCACAATCTAGGACTACATTTATGTAGTACGACATCGTACCCGATCTAAGCGGAGCTCTATTGCTGATCGACATCAACTATTTAATCCTTCCTATTGCCCACATTACTCCCGCATTGTTTGTGATTGTCAGGCACGACTTACCTAGTACTTACCTAGGTACCTACCGAGAGACTTCACATAATACTTCCTTCCTTCCTTTGTTTGTTGAATCTATAACATTCGTTCCTAACAAAGGAAAAAAACATCAAGACTCTTCCTCCTTCTTACAACTTACTTCGAAAGTTCCTTACCAAGACACGCCATCGCAAACCTGATTCTCTACTGGCAGCCATGCAGTTAATAGCAATTGTTACCAGCATAGTCGCAGCTGTGACTTGTGTCTCTGCTCGCGGAAGACCGTCGCTAGCTAAGAGAGAAATCGGAGGTGTAAGTTCTGTTCCTTCCCCGGGTCCCACTCTCTGACAGATAACGGTAAACGATAAACGGATTGCTGACTTGCGCGGGAACGTCCAGGTCCTAATCTGTAATGGCGCCAACGCTACGGGTGCGTGCCACTATGAGGTCTATTCTCTCAAGGACTGCCACAACATGCCCGACGGCTTCTCGGGAAGCACCAAGACCTTCGCTCCCGATGGCGACGCGTTCTACTGCTTTCCCAGAGTGTAAGTCAATGCATCCATCATAGCTTCCTTTGTCTTTCGCCTCTGCACAGTCGGGCTAATATAATATGTAGAGGTCAATGCGATGAAATCTGCACATCGCCCACGGGCTGCACATTTGGCGCCGTCTCCTTCTACAACCCTGTCAAATGGGACCTGTCAACCATACAGTGGGACCATCTCATCGAGTCGTTCGACTGTTACCAGAACCAAACGACAAAAGCATAGATGAGGAAGTGTCGACGTGAATTGATTGAGGAGGTTAATGGAATCGTCGGAAATGGTGTTAGACAAAATAGACGTCCTTAATACTATAATGAGTAAAAACAAGAAGATGGAAGTCGAATTGAGTTTACGATTAATTAAAACGAAACGAAACCAAACGAGCTAGCGGGATGCCGATGATTCGACGACGGAGTCTTCCCGGTATTCGGAGTGTTTCTGGTATTCAAACGGCGCCAATGACGTCGGTCTAGATGCTTGGAATGTGGGGTTAGATAAAGGAAACGACATCTCGGGGCTGTTCTGTACGCACCGATGGCGGGGTTATTCTTCGATAGTCCAAAAAACTGCCGGGGAGGAGCTTGAGGGGAATCGGAAGATGGTTGATGTAGTTCTCTCTCACACATATTAGAAATTATAATCCTGTTAAAGACTTGAATCATTTCCATCATAGCTATCTCTACCCGACTTCTCTCCCGTCTTCAAGTTAGATCTATATATCTAACCTCTAGACAACCATTCCCCAATCCCCTCCCTCTTTCCCCAATTTCCAAACAGCATCACACACGAAGCCATACATCCAACCCAGTAAAAATGGCCTTCGAGACCAAAGCCACAATCGCCAACTTCGGCGGCAAGCTGCTAAAGCTGCAACACCAATCCACCAGCACCGGCACCCCCATGGACGTGAACCTCTTCCTGCCCCCCAGCGTCTCCAGCGGGTCCAAGGTCCCCGTCCTAATCTACCTATCAGGACTAACCTGCACGCCCCAAAACTGCACCGAGAAAGGGTTCTTCCAAGCCGCCGCCGCACGCCGCGGCATCGCGCTCGTATGGCCGGACACCTCGCCCCGCGGCGCGAACCTCGCGGGCGAGACCGAGAGCTGGGACTTCGGGGCTGGAGCGGGGTTCTACGTCGACGCGACGCGGGAGCCGTGGAGCGCGCACTACAAGATGGAGACGTACATCACCACGGAGCTTCCCGGCGCGCTCTTCGCCGCGTTCGGCGAGCAGCTCGACGCCTCGCGGGTCAGCATCACGGGACACAGCATGGGCGGGCACGGCGCGCTGACGCTGTACCTCAAGAACCCCGGGAAGTACCGCAGCGTCAGCGCGTTCGCGCCCATCGCGAACCCGAGCCAGTGTCCGTGGGGCATCAAGGCTTTCACGGGCTACTTCGGCGACGCGGATAAAGAGGCCTGGAAGAAACACGATGCGACGGAGTTGGTGAAGACGTGGAAGGGCGATTTGAAGGCCCTCGTGGATGTGGGCACTGGGGATAATTTTTATAAGGCGGGGCAATTGTTGCCGGAGAATTTTGAGAGGGCGGTTAAGGAGGCGGGGGTTGAGGGGTTGGAGTTGAGGTATCAGCCTGTGAGTATCTTTTTTTTTCTTTTGTCGTGGACGGTTAGGGGTAGCTTGATTCTAATCTCTGTGCAGGACTACGACCACTCGTACTTCTTCATGTCGAGCTTCGCCGAGGACCATGTCGCACACGCTGCTAAATACCTGCTCGCTTAGAGAGGGTTAGGGGAAGGTAGCTATTCGTCAACTGGGAGCTTCGAGAGCTCGAGTTCCGACTGTGAACCGTGTTCGTTCCTATGTTGAATTCGGAACTTGCTAACGGAAGACTATGGGTAAAAAGGACGAAGACACGGATATCTCGCCATCGAGGTTATGATCGAGATAGAGAACAGCAAGGCCTAAATATAGGTATAGTGTATCACTTATGAAGGCGCCTGATAGGAAGTCCTAAAAAGAAATGTATATGCGGTTATGATTAACGCATCAAGAACACACAAGCATGCTTCTTATGTAAATTACGTACGTGGTATATATCAACATTCGAAGTCACGGATATCTTCAGAAAACAAAGGACATCAACCTCCCCCCGGGCCTCGCCCTTAGGTCTGGACCTTCCTGCTCTTCATCGTTATCTTCGTCTTCGTCTGCGTCTTCTAGCTTATCCTCTTTTCCACTTCGGCTGTGAAGCCCTCCTTCTCGAGCTTGCTCTTCGTTTCGGCATCTACCTCTCGCCGTATCCGGTGGAAGGCAAGTTTCTCGAAACGGCTCATCCCCTTCCACCAATGTTGACCGGCTTCGTGATCGCTAATGCGCTCGACGAGTTCTGATGTTTTTATCCGAACGTCGCGGTCCTTGTGGAACAGCCCAAGCGCTATGTAGAAAAGCCCCGCGTGGGACTCGGGTGCTACAGACAATAGCAAGCATATCTCGTCGTACGAATGGACGTATTTGGAGAATGCTAAATAGATCTCCCGACTTTGTACCGGATTTAGACGTTGCGACCGAAGGCGGTCATGCATGTGATGCAAGTCTAATCCCTTTAAGGGTCGGATGGTGTATAATTGGGCCAGGTCCTATAATCATTTTGTTAGTTGCTAGGATGAGTTATTTCGATTGAGGCGGCCTCTTACCTGAATGTAGCTGTAATAGCTTCTAGTATTTCTCCAGCCTTCAATCCGACAAACATTGCCAGCAAGCTCCTTTTGCTTGGCGTTCTCGTCCGCCCACACATATCCATGCCCGCCCGTGAGTGTTTCAAACTCGTCATTTCCGATGTATAAGGCACTAGCTCCATACACCGTCTCCTCGAATGCGGCGGCTATGCGGGTGAACCTCACGACCCAGTCTCGCCACTTCGCTCTAATGACTCGTTCTCCACGCCTCGCTGTTATACTTTTAAGAATATCATTCATGAACACGACATCACCCGTATAGTCCACGTTCCCATTAGATGAGCCGCTAAGTGTGTTCGCAAATGACGGGTTCTGCTGCTGGAAGTATACAAGTCCCTCCGTAATTGGCGCGGGCTCGATCTTCTCGCTGATCTTCATTCGTCCTGTCTGGAGGTCGCATAGTAAATCCCACCACTCAGGGTGTAGTTCAAATGTTGGGTTCGTAACTCCGGCGATGAAGCCTGGAACTTTTAGAAGATCGTCGACCTTGGTAAGATCCGTGTATGGGAATGCATGCCTAGAGAATCCCCGTAGCACACCACCAGAGGCCAGAGCACACGCTGCTAACACGGCTTCCGCAACTTCGCCTGATGGCATAGTATGCCCAAGGAAAATTACCCTCTTCTGGGTTAGAAGAGCATTAGCAAGTACTATTATAGGATGGGTTCCTGGCCCGTTCGTAGTTAGGTGCGTATGTATCGAAAACTGTTGAACCGACTTTGCATGCGGCTCCGAAAATGTCTGGATTAGTTTGATAAGAGAGAAATCCCCAACTGTTTCCGGCATAATTGCTGTCGGAATCTTAACGGGGATCGGTATACCCTTGTACATGACTTTGCTCTCGAATTCGTGCGTATCTCGCGGGACCGAGTAAGCAGATTGTCCTTCGAGATGAGCCTTCGTCCCTCCTCGAGAAATGCCTTGTAATTTAGGAGGACTTCTGCTTGCGTCGAATGGCTCGCCAAGCCCTTCACTCTTGTCCTCGGTTATTCGCCTCTGTATCATCCGTTCGAATTTTTCGACGAACAGGTCCTGATTGTTACTAGCTTGTAAGAGATGTCTCTCAAGCAAGCTGAGCTTTGGCATTAAAGATAGGTCCATGTTATTGACAGCCTCATAAAGCATAGATAATGTTTCTGGGACAGGAGACTTGTAGTATTCCTCGAGGGCAAGTAATAGGAGAGGCTGCGACAGTTAGTGATGTGGGAAAAGGATATTAAGGTATACTACAACCAACCTTATAGATATGTAAAAAGGGATGTCTTGTACATATAGCCATTGCTTTGACTATAGCGCCTCTTTTCACTGATTTATCGTGTCTTGTATAAACCAAATTTAGTACGTATATTAGCGGGGGACCTTCTCCTCCTTCAGGTTCTGAATCTGTTGAAGAGTCGTCATCCCAATCATCATCGTCCTCTTCTTCGTCTTCACCCTCGTCAATTGTCTCGTCGTCTTCGTTGATTATCCCAGCAGCCCTGTCCCTTCTTCGCTTCCTGCGCTTTCGTCTTTCTTCTTTCTCTTTTTGCAATTCTTCATCCTCCTCTTGGCTTGTGTCCTTATGCAGAAAGAAGATGGTCCAATCTTGATTGCGCGAATGAACTTGATCCGGCAACATAAGTTCAGCTAACATATGCTCATCCCCGGTGATTGCGACTGGAAATTGATGTTCCATGACAGGGCCTCGGTCGATATCGAAAGAGGCGACTAGGATATACTCGACATGGTTTTCTGAGTCGCGGGGATATTGCGAACGTAATTTTCTCGGAGATTGGCCATTAGGATTATGTCGCTTTGGAGCCTCGAGAGAAGAGTGTTGCGAAGAAGACGCGGCGGTTTGACTTGCCAGCGAAGAAGTCTTGGACTTCGAACTAGGATCCGACGTACGATCGTTGTTCATGATGGGAGGCTGTGGAGATCGTGGAGGTCGCGAATTATGAGACATCTGCGAGGGGGATCGCGAAGATAAGAAGGATGTGAGAGATGCGCGGTGGTTACCGGTGGCGCCATTAGAAAGGGATTGGCTAGTATTTGTTCGAGACAGGTAGGGGAACGCCATTTGAGTAGATGCCATTAGTAACCAACGACTCGGGTCTGGTATGATCGTCGCGCGGTTGACAGGACCGCCGCGGTGGGACTGCTCGGGGCAGTGATCAAGCGCAGATCCTCACAGCCGGAGCTCCTTGGCCGATAATAAAAGGATATATGGCCGAAATATGTATACCTTGGTATTGCGCCGGAATTCAAGAGTATGACACGTCGAATTGATGCAGATTGCGACTGGCGGTCCCGTCGTGGCGGGGGATTCGATCAGCACTACTGTGCCATGCGCAACTCAGGGGTTGCGCCGTGTCTACCTATTTGCGATGTCGCGATAGACCGATAAACCGTACGAAGTACCACCGAGAGAGATCAGAGATCGAACCAGAAGACGCACAAGACCAATGCCAACGGCAATCGGAAGTGAAAAGTTGGAGTAAGAGAGGTCAATGGCCGAGACATGATCTGCTACACATTCATCTCTTCGGTGTTGTCTGAACTCAAAAGGCGGTACTTCACCCTGAGCAAGGGGGGGTTCAACTTCAAGATTGGGGGAGAGAAAAAAAGGTACCGGAGACCAGCGAGACGAATGGAAGCGAAAGAGAGTTTCGTATCAAATTTAGACCCTTGCTCTGAAGACCCCTGTTTCTTGTTGTACAGCCAATGATTTAGCTCGGCTAGAGGCTTTAGGGCGCTATTTAGGGGTCTAGGATGCTAGGGGCTATCCCTTTTAGTGTTCTATTAGCGCCTCTCAGGCTCTGATGCCCTCTAACGCGCTTTCCTTTTTGAACCCCCACCTCCCTGCTGCGACTAATCCTGCTACCACAACCACCAAATCAAATCCATTCATCGCAGCCCGATCGACCAAAGGGAAGCGGGGAGGCGGGTCCTGTTTTACCGACAGTTCATACGTCCTTCCAAGGTTATGTCTGTACGACATCGATGGTATGATAAACCGCTTCCTGTTCAACACATGGCGCAAGCCACGGATGGCCATAAACCTTATTTGAAGCTATCGAAGTCAAGGATCATCCGTGCAATTCGTCTTTAACTCAATCTATTTCTTCACTTCGAGACGTCGAATTCCCTTTTTAGGAAGTGAAGAAATGACACCTAATTCAGTATCCTCGACGCAATGTACGTGATTCGAGAGAGAAATTTTAGGATTTATACTACGCCATGGCTGTCACTAGTCTGGTATTGACTTACAAATGGCCACTCTGGCCTGAACGACTGGGCTTTAATATCGAATGGCTATTTATGTGGCTTCAGATTGGGGTTTGTCAAAATGGTATCAAGTAATTAGATGGTAATAAGATACTAGACGAAGCGAAGTCATAATTGGGTGATCTGATAGGACTGAACGACAACCGGAATTCCAACTGCGAGACGATGGTGGAACTGAGATATATGTATATCAGCCCTAATAATCCCAGGGAAAGGTTCAGAAGAACCAATTTTTCAACGTTTTTGCGAAATAAATGAATAAATATCATTGCACTTTTCCCGCAAGTAGTACTAGCACTGGCTAATCGAGGGCACGGGGAGGAGTTATTAGCTAGTGCTAGTATCGACATTTTGAAAGTGTGTAAGTAATTGATTACTGTGAATTTACACAAAATATATTTCTGATCAAAAATTGTGTTCGATCTTTCTGAAAACTATGGATGTGTGCACGTGAGAGTGTTCGGTGACATCATTCTGCCGAATTTAGTAAGTGGGTGTATGGTTGCTCCGCAACGCTTCCGTGCGAACCCATACAGTGATTTCGGGGTTGCGATACAGAACATCGCGCCTAGGCCATCTTGGAATTCAATACGATACGAATCTGACATTCTCTTTTGCGACACACTAACGATCAAATTCGAGCTCAATTCCGGAGGTGGCGTATTTTGCCCGCTATCACCAACAACATTACACTTTTTAAAAAGCACCATCTTTCTACGTATCTTGTTTACTTGTTATCGATAAAACCTGTGACACGGTCCTGGGAATTAACTCCCGTGACGCGACAATGGTTAGTTATGAGTAATGAATCCACTTACCAGCGGAGCTCCATGCATCGATCATCTCTCCTTTCGAGATACGATTGACTGAAACAAATGCTTACATGATCCAGGCCATGCCAGCGGGTTATAAGCCATCACCTTTAGGTTACGGCTCTCCTCGAAGTTCTCCTTTCCGCAGACCGGAGTCCCCTTCGTCCCCCTCGACGCCTAGATATACGACGCCGACCCAGACACCGACGAAGACATCGACAAAAGTTGGGAATTTGCATACCCCTTCTAAATTTACTGCCACAGTAGAGTCACCTACGAGCAACACAGACAGTCATACTCCGCGTAGATACGTCAAGACGAGCGAGATGCCACCTCCCCACCCTCTCGCTTCACCGGTGCATCTATCATCGTCACGTCCACAAGCACCATTGCAAGGGAATGCCCTCTCGCAATTACAACCAGCGCAGGTCCGCGTTCTAAGGGATGGGTTTCAAATCTTGGATAGAGATAGTGATGGGGCCGTGAATAGGGAAGACGTCGCAGATATGCTCAACCAGCTAGGTATGTTCCACAGCTCACAATCGAGCCATTGAACGCCAATACTCACATATGTCAACTTACAGGACTACCCTCTAGCCCATCCGACATATCACAGTTCTTCCCGCCTGGAGGACCGCAGACCACGACTCTTGCCGTATTCCTCAATTCGATAGCTTCGACATTGGCCGCGATGTCGCCAAGCGCGGAACTCCTATCGGCCTTTTCCGCCTTCGACGATGACGATAGCGGTCAAGTAGACCTTAACGAGCTACGAGATGCGCTGCTGCACACAGCGCCGGAGCCAGGAGAGAGGGCTCTGACGCCGTTGGAGGTTGACAAGATCATGGTTGGGTTTAGTGGTAGAAGGGCTTTTAGCAAGAACAGCATGGCTGGCGGACTGGGCAAACGCGGTGAGGTTTTCAGGTACCAGGAGTTCGTGAATTCCATCGTAGGCGGAAACGGATCGTCAGAACCTACTTCCCACGAGAGTTCCGAGGGTTGAGGCCGTATCGGTGAAGGTCCTTGTATGATGTATGTGGAATTTTGTATTCGTCGGAGGTTTACGAACACGTGCCTTGGATGGGCATGGTGCTGAGGAGTTTGAGTGGTCAAATATGATTATGGGTTATTGCCATTGGTACCAACCCGGATCGATACGAAATTCTTCGTATTGCAGGGATTAAGATATTTACCTAGTATGTTGCCGATAGGTCTCCTTAGAATTCCAAGCAACAGTCTCAACATCGATGGTGGCTGAACTAGGTACTTAATATACAATGACCAACAATATGGTCTATTAGAGTTATATGGAATACGAGTCTGATTGTATCGGCCACGTTTGCTATTTCTGAAATACTTATCTATATACTTTATGACACTGTATAACCATCGGGTTATTACCAAAGACTGAGAGTTGAGATTAGACTCACTATAGTATCGATCCATCCTGCCATCTAAGATTTATAGAAATGGCAGAGTGTTTGCCCAGTGTGCTTTGGATGACTATAGCCTCAAATGCATTATCATTTGTGTAAGACGATTGGTAGGTATGACACATTCGCATCCATGGATGTCGACGTCTTCAAAAAGGAGGTGATACATAGGCTACTAAGCAAACAATATAAGAATGAAAATCATCACTTCTCGTCAATATCAAGGACCGACGTTGCCACAAACTTACCCTTCGATTACTTAATGTGGTTTGCTATTATACGGTTGTAGCACAAGCTGCGTTAAACCTTATCAATCAAACTCTGAACCAGCTTTGAGGCTAATTCTTGAACTGTGATTGGCCTCAACAATTAAAGTAAACCGTTTACTTTCTGTTCCGCCGGTCCGCCGTTGAAAACATGTGAATATCGGGGACTATTCGTAACTACCGAATAAGACGATCATCAATAACAGATAATCCAATATAGGTGACGAGTCAATCGGTGAGCCATGTGAGCCATGTGCTTCTAGGCATCCCATGTTGATAACCATAACCATAATCTGATAATTATTACAGTCAAAGAGCTGGAGCTGGAGTTGAAACAAATCCACTTCATCATCCACTTCGCCCGCTGTGGGAACAATAGGAATTATACGCGGTTACAATCACAACTTGGCGGCTTGGCAAATCAATCACTCTCGACAGAGGACTTACATCATCTAAATGCATCTTCCCGCTTGGCCCAAGCGCCTGGATACCGCAGTCTCTTACATCAGATTTGTACCTTCCCCATAGAAGCTTCGAGAATCGGTGGAAGACAGAGGCAATCCATTGGCTGGAGGAAGGTGGGAGAGTGGGTATTGGTGGATATGATGTCTAGTCTACAGGGTCCTCCTGCCGCTCCTCGGAACGATCCTTGTGACCCCTGTCCATCTTCTCATCTCGGCTTTTCAGGATCCAGTACTCCGCGTATAGTACTAGCGACCTCGGGATATACATATGATGATCAATTTGATGTTTGATGAGATTCATATCATGAAGGACTGGAGGTAGAGGAGACAAGAGGAGGTAGGCTGGCAGGATAGAAGGTTGAGATAGGGTTGTAGAGGGTGTGTCAATGTGTTGCCGCAGTGAGCGCTGTCCTAAGTACAACAGTTCCAAATTGGTGTGGTTCAGCCTCTCCTATTGCGAGTGTGACGACGGGATTGGCCTGATAGAATACTACCTGGACAAGCGTACCGGAGATATATGACCATTCAAAACCCCATACTTACGTTACAGACGCTAAATAATTGTAAACAAAATCATGCCTTCGACCTGGCTATTGGCGAACCGAGCATTCAACCTCCTTGAGTTTAATCAACATGAATGGATATTGGGTAGAATTATAGTAGTGTTGACAGTCTGGTGGTCACTGGTGAGTAGTGATAGTGGTAAAAGTTACTACATGCAGTATGTGGTAGTATGCGTCAGTGGGGGGCTGGAACTGGATGGTAACTGCTGGCTAATGGATAGGCCTAGCTTTTACCAGGTACTAGTGACATGTAGGATGTATACACGACTTTTGGCCAGTGCATGGAACCCGCTAGCTGACCAAGTACTCGGGACTTCCGCCTTTTTTTCTTTTCTGGGGGGTTCCCCAAAATTTCACAAATTTCAAATCCCAGCCTAACGATTTATTCTCAACTCAACAGGAACAGCCCTGGAGCACATCACTATCTGCTTTAGTGCATGTTGGCTGTGCGTGCCGTGCAGTGCTGTCCCGTAAATGCAAAGTTTCTTGACGGGCTGATAAATCGTAACTTCTTGTTGTCATCTTTCACAATTCCTGTCCTAAAAAAACATTTAGTCCGACCGTTCCTCTCATACCTCACGAACCCTCAAACCTTCTTTTACCACTTACTGCGCTTCACAGCTTCGGCTATCCCCTAGTCCTACCTCGAAAAGCTATCGCTATCAGGGGCCGTCCTAGTCGCCGCCGACCTGCGTTTTTCTGTCTACAAAGGTCAAGTTTTTTTTTTCTCCACCAATACGATTGAGGAAAAAAGATTGGAAAGGAGAGGGGAATCGACAATACCCTATTTCTTCTTTGCAGCCTGCGACCCGCTCAAAGATTGTTGGTTATCCAAAGGCAAGATTGGTACGGCGGTCTGTCATAAGTCAGGATTACAGTGTAAGTGGTATCGCCTAATCCAGCACCAGCACTTTACTAGACATTCGGATGCGTAGGGGGGATGAATACGCCACGCAAATAACCGACCAATTCTTTCATCCTTTTTCTGCATATAAACATATAACGTCTATTGTCCTACATTGAGTTGACCTCTCTCGCTCAATTGGGATTAAATTCGGTCAAACACTAGATATTTTTCGTCTCGTTTCTTGGGTTACTTAACTAACACAATTTTTTTCTGTCCCACTAGAGGCGACCAGGATCCAGCATCTAGCAGAAGGCTGTCGAAGGCAGCGTTTGAGGCGGAAGGAACTATTAATTGCCTTGTCTTAGGTAATAATAGAGGAGTGGGAACTTTTTAGAAGTCGGAGACTACGTACCACTGGGCACTTAACCACGCTTGACTAAAGCCGAAAACTTGCATTCCACTTTCCAAATGAAGGGCCTATTCGTTAATAAAAAATCCCCCAAGAAGACGACAGCAGGCGACAACACCGATTCTAACACCGCCGGCCCCCACCATCACCAAGAAAAAGTGCAACCGCAAATCCCTCGTTCCGAACAAACCTCGCCTGTTAAATCTTCTACTTCGTCATCGTCCAAATCTCCAACAAAAAAGCCCTCCCGCCCCGCATCGCCTGCTCAGCGGGAGCAGCCTAAATCCCGAAGTTCTCGCTCTTACGCGAGGCATTCGACCGATCAAGGCCAGTCTTCCTCAAGACGGAGTAAAATTGACACGAACACTCACCCTCTCAATTTGCACCCGGACGAGATCAAACGCTTATCTGCTCAATTTAACATGAACCGCACGTCGCTTGACAAGATGGACGTGGACAAAGATACACCGACCGCAACTCCTTCCTCACCACCCCCCGTACAACCGCAATCTTCTTTCACCGTACCTGTCAAGTCTCCCAAGGTCACCGCCACTCCCAAGACCAATGGAGTAAAGAATGGCGCAACCGAGGAGCCGCAGGGTCCAGCGCCTCCACCTCATCGATCTAACCCTTCTAGCCCGGTGCCCAATGATGCTGAGTTAGCCGAAGCTCACAAAGGCGATGGCAATAGATTCTTCAAGCAGAGAGATTATGCTCGAGCCATTGCCGAGTACACTAGTGGTATGTCACTGCAAATTTTGACAGTTGCAAATATTTATGGAAAAGAGTAAAAGAAAAGAAGAAAAACTAATGTTCAATAGCTATTCAACTTATGCCCAACGAGCCTACCTATCTTAGCAACCGTGCTGCCGCTTACATGTCTGATGGTCGATATGAATCTGCTTTGGATGACTGCACTCGCGCTGTGGATTTGGACCCTAACAACGCCAAATTTCTTTTGCGTCTAGCTCGTATCTACACAAGTCTTGGACGTCCCGAAGAGGCGTTAACGACCTTTGATCGCATTCGTCCGGCCGCTTCCGCCAAGGATATGGCCGCTGCTAGGGAGATGATGCATCATGTCAAGGCTGCCCAGGACGCTCTTGACCGTGGTACTAGTGGTTCTATGGTTCTACATGCGTTAGACCAGGCTGAGAAGCTACTTGGTGGAGCTGTGAAGCCTCGAAAATGGCAGTTGATGCGCGGCAACGCTTATCTTAAAATGGGAGGCGCTAACTCCTTTGGAGAGGCGCAGAATGTAGCCATGGGACTTCTCAGACTTAACAACCAGGATCCGGAAGCATTGGTATTGCGTGGTCGTGCTTTGTATGCTCAGGGCGAGAACGACAAGGCCATCCAGCATTTCCGTAGTGCATTGAGCTGTGATCCCGACTTCAAGGATGCCATTAAATGGCTTCGAACGGTCCAGAAATTAGACCGAATGAAGGAGGAGGGCAATGCGGATTACAAAGCCGGCAGATGGGATGCTGCATTTAACAAGTACTCTGCTGCCCTGGAAGTAGATCCTACGAACCGAGGCACGAACTCGAAGCTCTACCAAAACCGAGCTTTATGTCGACTTAAGCTAAAGCAATTCACTGAGGCGATTGCTGACTGTGAAAGAGCTATTTCCCTTGATTCTACTTACGTCAAGGCCAGGAAGACCAAGGCTAATGCATTGGGTCAAGCCGATAAATGGGAGGACTGCGTTCGTGAGTGGAAGGCTATTCAAGAACTAGATCCAGAAGATCGCAGTATCCCTAAAGAGATCCGCCGAGCGGAATTGGAACTTAAGAAGAGCCAACGCAAGGATTACTATAAGATCCTTAACGTCGACAAGAGTGCCGACGAGAATGGCATCAAGAAAGCTTACCGCAAGCTTGCTATCATTCACCACCCGGACAAGAACCCCGGCGACGAGGCTGCCGCTGAACGATTCAAGGACATCGGCGAAGCCTACGAGACATTGAGCGACCCTCAGTATGTATTGATATATGATACCTAACACTGCTTATACTAACGGATAAATCACAGAAAACGAGCTCGATATGACAGTGGCGAGGATCTGATAGATCCCTCCGATATGTTCGGCGGTGGCATGGGAGGCGGAATGGCTGGCGGCATCGACCCGGAGATCCTATTCAGCATGATGAACGGCGGCGCATCCTTTGGCGGCCAAGGCTTCGGCGGCGGTGGTTTTGGTGGCCGATCACGCCCGCAGGGATATCCGGGCGGTTTCCACTTCACGGGTTGACAATCCGAGTCTGAATCGGAAATTTTCAGCGGCGATTCTGACATCGATCAAGACGCCAATTCTGAAGATGAGCGATCGGCTTGGAATCAATCTGCGCGGAAGTCTTCGTACGAGGCAGGCTTAGAGAAAAGGATTTCACAATTTCGGTGGTCCTTGATGGCGATAGCTGGCTCGTTCGTGTTCCTCCCGGTGGAATTGGCTACAACACTCCTCGTGTTGTATATGTGCGCTGTTATTGCAAGGTCGTCAGGCATCACGAATGGGATCCTGTAAAGAATCGGAATTTGGGGATAGACAGTTCATCACCCGGCGTTAGGATCATTGAAAGTCATTTGCGTGGAGGTCTGTCTGCCTTGGAGAATGGCGACATAACGACCGTATAGGAAATGAGCAAGGATATGTGCTCCCAAAAGAGGACTAATTATGTTAGACAGCTCAATGACATGCATGAAACCCGTTCGCTTCGTTTTAGGCGATACGTCCACCTATTAGCATTTCTCTTTCCTCCTTTCTCTGGTGTATATCACTTTCTGTTGTTCAGATTGGTTTATGTTGTAACGAGATAATGCTTATTGTACGAGTTTTTATGCATGAGTCGAGATACGTTTCAATGCATAATTCGATGCAGTAGAGTCGATTAACTTCCACTCATAAATCTTATTTCCATGGAAGATACCTAAATAGGAAGGGGTACCTGATTAATGTGATGTATGTGATACCATCAAGGTCGAGTTAAGCGTGGCCTATCCCTGCGGCCGGTAACCGAGCCAAAGTTTAAAGAAGGTCCGGCTTCCGGGACTAAAATAGGATCCATACCATAGATGGGTTGGGTGTTACCATTTTAAGCCAACTACATAATTACATCTTATCAATCTCCCAAGTTGGGGATTATTGAACCTACCTACCCACTTCAACCAACTTCAACCAACCCGAAGCTGGAATCTGCCAGCCAATATCTTTCCAACTGCTGACGTCGACGAAAGATGTGACCTCATTCGTTTCTTTCTTTCTTAAGCAGATTATATAGTAAACGGATCTACGAAACGGATTCTACCTTCGACGACCAAAGTCCGAACTGTCCGATCCCTCCGTAGACCGGCGCGCAGTTACGAATCACCCCCCAAAAATAACTATGGCGCGCTCCCGATTCCTCACGCGCTTCCTGCCTTTCAGCCCGACGGCCACGCCGACACAGGCTGCCACGTACCTCCTCGGCATCGCGCTCTTCAGCATCTCGTTCCTGGTGTTCCTCAACTCGGCCGTCTCGTTCGTGATCACGGACCTCCTGGGCGTCAAGACAGGGGTCGGCGACATCGTCGGCACACTAGGATTTGTGGATGAGGTCGTCGCCCTGGTGGCGTGTCCGGCCTGGGGCTTGGTCAGCGACCGTCTGGGCGTCCGATGGGTCGCAGTGCTGGGCTACGCGATCATCGGCATTAGCTTGTTCTGCTTCGTCCAGGCCCGAAACGTCTACCCTAGCTTGGTGTTCGCCAGGATCGCGTTCGCGCTCGGGGCTACGGCTTCGGCGACTATGGTTACGGCTATCTTGCCTGTGCTTACGGATGATAATAGGGAGACGAGCGATGGGGAGGACGAGGTACTGGGGAATGAAAATGGGAATGGAGAGAGTAGGAGCGTGAGGAGTGCGGCCTCTAGTCGTAAGTCGGGTCACCAAGCTAGGGATAGCGTGGCTTTGAGCTTGGAGAGCGAGGCTACGATTACTCCGGAACGGTTCACACAGCGCAATCGAAGTGATACGGGAGGTAGTAGTTACATCTCAGATGACTCCTCGGACGCATACGGCAGCGTCGAGGGTAGCGGCCGTAGACCGTCCGCTTTAGCCGGATACGTCGGCTTGTTCACTGGCTGCGGAGCTTTAGTCGCCTTGATCCTCTTCCTCCCTCTGCCGGCTCAGTTCTCAAGGAAAGAAGGCATCACACCCGCACAGGCCATCGCGCACAGCTTCTACGTCGTAGGCACCGTCGCGCTCGCCGTATCCATCTTCGTGTTCTTCGGTCTCCGCGGGCTCAAAGGCGAGGAAGGGAAAGGGTGGCGTATGCTCCTCAACCTACGCAAGCCGCAAAACGCCACCAATCCCACCCCCAACGCCGACTCCGCCGGTCCGTCGTCATCGTCAGCACTAACCCCAACTAGGAGACCGCTCCCCTATCACCGCCTTCTCCTCTCCTCCCTCCGCCTCGGCGCCACAGATCCGCACATCGCGCTCGGCTATCTAGGCGGGTTCGTCGCGCGCGCTAGCACGGTCGCTATCTCCCTCTTCGTCCCGCTGTACGTCAACGCCTTCTTCATCGGCAACGGCTTCTGTCGCGGCTCGCCGAACGACCCCTCTCCCGAGCTCAAAAAGGAGTGTCGCGCCGCCTACGTCCTAGCCTCTATCCTAACCGGCGTCGCTCAGCTCGCTGCTCTCCTCTGCGCCCCGCTGTTTGGCTATGCTAGCCGTAGGGGCGCTGGCATCGATTACTCGCTCGTCATCGCCGCGCTGCTGGGTATGGCCGGGTACATCGCCTTCCCGAAGCTGCAGAGCCCCGAGTACAAGGACGTCGACGGCCGCGGTGGCGGACCCGCCGTTTTCTTGGTCGCCGTGCTCATTGGCGTTAGCCAGATCGGAGCTATTGTGTGTAGTCTCGGGTCTCTCGGACGCGGCGTCCTGGCCGTCGACGCACCCGCCGTCGGTATCGACGAGGAGGAAGAGAGTGGGGGTGCTGAGACGGATGCTCTTCTAGGCCCGGATGGCAGCAGTAGCACCTTAAGAGCAAAATCAGAGCCGGCTTCCCGCGTCCAGCTTAAAGGCTCCATCGCCGGCGTGTATTCGTGGTGCGGCGGCGCCGCTATCTTGCTGCTGACTAAGCTCGGCGGATACATGTTCGACGCCGTGTCGCCCGGCGCTCCTTTCTACATGATGGCTGGGTTCAACGGCGCTTTGCTTGTTGCTAGTTTGGGCATTGGGATCGCGAGTGGTAGGGGTGGGAGGTTTGCTAGTAGGAGTCGGTCGTCGAGTATGTGATATTGGGAAATTGCGGGAATAAGGAGAGGAAGGTATAGTAGTGTCAAAGAAAGGGAATAGGGATGGGGGTAAGGTATGGGGAAAGGGGATGGAAAGCGGGAAGCATGGTTGAATCATGTGTAATAATACTGTTTGTATATATAGTGCATGGGATAGCGAAATGAAAACAATATCAAAGCAAATAACTACCTAATGTATGTCACATATGGATGTCTTGGTTGAAAATATGATAATTATCACTATAAATGTTCTGATGCCATGTACATTATACATATCTAGGTAGTTATATGAAGTAGAGAAACATGACTATTATTAGAGGCCGCTCGAGTAATCGTTTACTCTCAAGATTGCTCATCTATGCTTTATCGATATTACGAACCGGCTCCCCCGAGACACCGTTTCGGGTATCCAGGAGGGCAATTAATGAAAACGACTCAGAAACACCTTTCCCTCCTTTTCGATTCCCAAACCGCATAATTCGTATCCTGTTTATTTTGAGTATTGCTTAACCAAAGGCTACTGTCGATTGGTTGGACGCCATCTTCTTAGCTACGGAACCGTATTTAGCTTGCCAGGCGTAAAAATACACCAACGCAGCGAAGGGCTGTCCGAGGACTGTGAAGGAGACCCAAAAGATGCAGTTTCCGATGAGCCTACCATTGGGTCCCTGCATTCTCTCGAAGACCCGAGTGACCCAGATTAGCGGGATCTGAACGAGCATTCCCATAAATGCAACACCTATCATCTAGTTAGTTTAATGTCTCGAAATCGCGGAAATAGCGAGTACCTACCAATGATATTTTTAGTGGGTATTCCAACAAGCAGCTCGTGCAACACGGCTGAGACGAAAAATACAGCAATGCTAGCCAACCTCATACTCCAACCCCTACCTATTAGAGGCGAGAAGATGTGCCTCTTCATGAATTGGTAGACAGGTTTGTTCCATAATCGCCAATAGTCCCCTAGCCCAGCTGAGTTCCACCAGTCGTCATAGAAGGCACGGTCGCCAAACCGCATGACCTCGGCCAATGCGTTCAGAGCTGACTGGAACAGGGCAAAGAAACCTGCCAACCAGATGATAAGCGAGATGGTAGAAAGCTTTAGGAGTCGTTCGACAATCGAAATTAGATCCAAATGGTCGATCTTGTCCAGCGAATTCCATAGGACCGGAGCAGCATATTGCGCACTGCAAAACCATATGAAGACGCTCAGGCAAACAACTTCGCCAAGTCTCTTCAAGACAAATAACCATCTGATATTCTCCGATCGAGGATACACCGGCTGGTATACCAGCGTTGGCGCCCACCAGAAGTAAACCAAATTGTCCATAGTGATATTCTCGGGATATGGGCACTGAGTGTATAGCTCAGGCAACAGAGCCAATTCGCCTTTAACTGGGTGCAGGTACGCGTGTCGCAAATCTCTATTTGTGAGAGCGTACGATACAACCTTCATGTAAACGATGATAACATGAAGCTCTGTGATAGTTCCGATCAAAGGGTGGAATATATGGAAGTAGACGACCCAACTGTGGATAGCTAGAGCCAGAGTCGCGTTGAAAAGATGAGCCCTACGGATACTCCTCCATTTAGACTCAAATTTGGCTTGCTGGTCTTCTGTCGGGCTCGATGATCCTCCTTTGCTAACATATTGATCGAGCGAGATGCGTGCCTGCTTGGCAGCGTACCATTCGAACGAATATGCGATAAATAGATGGCAAGGTACTAGTATATATAGTAGGAAGCCAAGAATGATATCTTTCCGCCGGAAGTCGTGGCACGTTAGACATATTAGGTTACCATACTATGTGCGTGTAAGTTTATATCCGACCGGCTTGAGATTTTTGGTGCAAACCAACCTTTTGCATGTTCTCGATCACCAATCGCAGATTTCCCACCACTAGAAAGTATCAGTATACCCCGACATTCGTCATAAGGGGACCAAGGAGTTGTACCAAGTACGATAACCATCAGGTTCCTAAACCCTAGAAAGCTAGGAGGGGCTCTCGCGTCATGGCTTAGGGTGGAAGGTCTCGATTCGGAGTGGACCGCAGTCACATGCCTATACTTTTTGAACGCAAATGTCTTTTTCTCCCTGTTTGTTTCCCCATTCGAGACCGTGGCGTTACCATTAGTCCCGCTCGCGGCGCCGACCCGTCGAAGCGGAGCTGTCCCCGTATCCGTTTCCACGCTCGTGGCAGTAGCCGAATCCATGGCGAATTTATAAACTCGAACAGTTGTGTTGGCGTTGGCGTTGGCAATGTAATTTGATAGCTAGGGTGTATAGGAGGATCTTCGAGGGCCTTCGAGGGGAAATAGAGAACGGCGACGGTTAGGAACGAATTATATCGGGAATCAATAACCTTGCAAGTATTAGCGATAGTTCCACAAATTGCACTTTTTTCCACAATCTCAAGCTCACAACGCCACTCGGCACAGGCGCAATCCTTCAGCTGCCAAAGGAGAGGGTAGCTAAGACATAGACTTGGTAGACTCTCGTATTGTGAATTGGGTCTGACGAAGAGAAGAGTAACACATACATATATCAATATCTGTAATAGGAAGAGATAGCACTCTCGCATCCATACATCCTAGATATCCGAGATAGGAGACTGTTGTCAGTGTTCCTCCTATGCGGCTGTAAGTGATTGGTGATTGGTGTGGAGGCTTAGGTGTTGTCGATCAGATCAATTGGAATGCTACAAGCACCAGCGATATGTAAGAAGATGGAGGAACTTGGAAGTTGTAAGAAGTTTGATTAGAGGCAAGACGTTATCCCGTTAATAAACGCAAAACTGTAAACCTCGGGTTCTCCCTTGGCTTAACCTTAAGCCTATTTGAGTCTTCACAGATAAAACTGCAGCAATAAGTATCGCCATTATTGCATCAGACCCTGTCGATCGAGAAGTAGGTGGGGACAATGGAAGCTTCCTTCCCCTCTGGCGCATTGGAAGAGCCATTGATTAGTGGGTCCAAAGACGCGGCTACTATCAGGTAGGCTCGATCATGTCGAATATTCTTTTTTACATCTTTTCATATAGTTATAAATGTTTCCATGTAACTTTCGATGGCGAGGTTTCTTGTAACTAGGACGAAACTTAGGCATTCGATAGAGCTGAACCATTCTTTATTTCGGGTAACCGACAAAGGACCATTAGCTAGGCATAATACGTTAAACGGGAAGTGGAACATTGAAAGAAAAAAAGAAAAATCGACCGAGAGGCAAGGAACTAGGAGCAGCAGCATTGATGTAACGTCAATTAACATGTGAAGAAACGCTTGGCTACGAGAATTTCGCTTCGGTCGAATGATAGTGAGATGGGTCCAGCTGGGTGATTTAAAAAATGCATCTTGCAAGGTTATCGTAGGAGCCGAAAACGCCATCGAAGCCGGACCTAGGGGTTCATGTCTATCTAAGGCTTAAGCAGATCACTACGGGCACCCCACCAGTATCTGAAAAAGATAAAGTGGGTCGTGTGGCTCAACTAGCATCAGCCGCAGCCTGTCATTGGTAATACAGTAGCAGTAGTACAAAGTACAAAGTACATAGCAATTGAAGCTAAGTTCCCTGCAGCAGTTCTACATAACCCTGCCTTAATTATTTGCAGACATCAATTGACTTCGCGTTTGTAGCTTTCCTCAATTCACCTTCACCCAATCACTACAATTCAACCAAACGATATCATTCCCTCCTCACCAACTTCTTAACACAACATTTGAAATCATCTCTCCACAATTCGCCTTCTTGAATGCGATTACGGTAAATAAATCGACATGTCCTACGAGCCACGCGGCGATCATGCCGCCCAAGGTGGACACGATTCTGGCTTTGTAAGAGCTAGAGGTCGACGTGAGTATCTCATTTTATTGTCTAATTCCTATGTATCTTTGAGACCGGGTATTCTTGCCTGAGTATTTCGTAATTGTAACATGTTGTCGCGTTTACATCATGTTTTCAATCCATCTACTCAACATTTCTTCGATGACCTATCGTCTCATTCCCATTCTCGCCTCTTCATATTGTACATACTCACATACTAATATTTGCCTATAGGTCCCGTCACTGATTATGGCTCCACACTTGCGCACTGGATGCGCAATCGCGAACCCCGTTTTAAGGGAACATTCAAGGGCGAGGCTGAACGTCCTAGTGCTAGTTACATTATCGACGTAAGTGCTACGTTCCATGATTTCCTACGCCAGAAAGTACTAACTTATGACTAGATGCTACCTCCCCTTGCAAGAGTTACCAGTCCAGCTGACTCTGTCCCTACCAAGCACCTCCATTCATCTCTCAACAAGATAAAGCACCCAGTGAATGTTGTGCGATGGACGCCCGAAGGACGTCGACTGCTTACCGCATCAAGCAGCGGTGAATTCACGCTATGGAATGGTACCGGCTTCAACTTCGAGACCATTATGCAAGCGCATGACGTTGCCATCCGTGCTTTAGCATATTCTCACAGCGACGATTGGTTGATTTCAGCTGATCATGACGGTATCATCAAATACTGGCAACCCAACTTCAACAACGTTCAGGTGATACAGGGTCATACTGACCCCATCCGAGATCTCGCATTTAGTCCTAATGATTCCAAGTTTGTCACAGCATCGGACGATTCCTCGTTGAAGATTTTTGACTTTGCTGGAGGTGTTTCTGAATCGACACTCCAAGGTCATGGCTGGGATGCAAAGAGCTGTGACTGGCATCCCACGAAAGGTTTGATAGTTTCGGGATCTAAGGATCATCTGGTCAAACTCTGGGACCCCCGAACTCAACGATGTCTCACTACCCTCCACGGCCATAAGAACACCATTACAAAAACCTCCTTCGAACGCGTTATGGGTTGGTGTCTTGCAACTTCAGCGCGAGACCAGACAGCAAGGATCTTCGATATTCGAATGATGCGAGATATCTGCCTTCTCCGAGGCCACGAAAAGGATATTTCGACCCTTGCTTGGCATCCGATCCATTCAAACCTACTCAGTACCGGAGGTAGCGAAGGATCTTTATTCCACTATCTATTAGACGAGCCTAATATGCCAGCCGGCCAGGCCATCAGTACAGCCGTCTACGAAAGCCCGGATCCATTGACAGCGCCGGCACAGTCCATATACCCGACGCATAAGGTTCCTTTCGCTCACGATTTTGCGATCTGGTCTCTTGATTGGCACCCCCTCGGCCATATTCTAGCATCCGGCTCGAACGACCGTATTACGAGATTTTGGTCCCGCGGTAGACCTGGTGAGACAGATATCTTTCAAGATAGATATCACATTGGTGAAGCAGCTGCCGAAGCTCAAGGAACCTGGGATCGACGCGGTGGTCGTCGTCAACGCCAAGAGGAGGAAGAGCAGGAACTTGAAGATGAGATGGAAGGTTTGGTCGATCAGAAGATGCCCCTCAAACAACCAACATCCGTGTTTCCAGGTCTTCCCGGCCTCTCTTTGCCTGTCAACGGAATTCTACCACCGCCTCCTATTCCCGGAGTTAGTTCTGCTTCTACATCGGTTACAGCTCCACCTCTACCGTTCCCGATTCCTGGCGCTGGCGGGGCTCCGCCGCTTCCACTACCTGGTGGTTTGGATCCTACTAACCCAGCTGACTTTGCTAAAATCGCAGAGCTCATGCAGAAGGCTGGCCTGCCTCCCCCTCCCCCTCCGGGTATGCTACCGGGTATGTTACCACCTGGTTTTATCCCGCCTCCCAACTTTGCGGCTCCCCCGGGCTTCATACCGCCTCCACCTCCTGTCTTTGCATCGGGAGGTGTCGACATGCAGGCGGACGGTAGCAACGGCGGACGGAGACGCGCGCCTCTTCCTAGTCAGGAAGAGAGTCTACGGATGGAACAGAAGAGGGGAAACTACACTCGCGTCCGCTAGTACCCTTCGAGTCCTATTCCCCTTTCACCTCATCAATACACGAACGCGCCAGTTTCGTCTACCCTTGTCTCTTGCGGGACAAACTTAGGATACCCAGGACACTCTGGACATGCGGGACTTGCTAGTCCCGGTAGAGCAGGATGTCCCTCAACTACTATGAAACAGAAGGACTCTATCAGTCCAAGTTGCTCAGGAATTCCTGGCCTAAGTGCGACAGACCGCGCTCTGGCTAATGGCAGACGAATAAGCAAACTTCAGCGAGCTGCGTGCTCGAGACCCGACCCTCTACCTGTGTTGGGCTGGGTAGAAACTCCCTCTGGAAAGCGTCATAGGTTGGACGCACCGCTTTATTGGTAAAGCCGACCTATGTGATTGTTTAATGATTAGACCTGAAGCGGTCGAAGTTGATACAGCGGGCAATTTTTGCCAGAGCCAGGGGCCGATTGATGGAATTGTAGATATGCAACTTTGCTTCATATTTCAGACAAACAGAGCGATGTACGATGAGATGGACGATACTCTTTGGTCATAAGAGCTGATACCCACACATCATTGTACATGAAAGAGTAACGGCGTTGAAGGCGCTGTTAGGAATAACTTGTCTGAAGCTATCTACAATTAGATAGGTACCAATGAATTATGCAACTTCCAAAGCACTACGCAGTTTTCAAGTGATACTTTCAACTAATCATTATCGTACTTTTCTAATGTACGGGTTGGAACACGTATGGGTACCAAAATATTATAGTTAAATGCTATGTTATGTTATGTTATGCTAGACTACCTAAGCTCCAATGCAATCCCCTGTCTCAACCCGCCTTTACCTCCGTATGCTAATGCTAGTAAAAACAACAAGTACTTATACATGATTCAGCAAATGAGCTTGATGTAGATGAAGATGTGTAGGTAGGTATAGGTAAATTAGTTCTCGAATATCAAAACGAGCCATAAACAAGATTCGCCATGTCCCCGCGAGGGGAACATAAAAATGCAATGCAAAAAGCCGTGTATGAGTATGAGTCCGTACTGTGTATCCCGGTTGAATTTTTTTCTTATTTAATTATCCAGCTAAGCTTCTATCCGTAGGTATGTATGTACATCATAGGCCTCGTTTCTTCGAACGTTGCGAGAGGACCTCATAATTCGTGACGGTAATGATGACCATGAGGAATATGTAGGTATGTATGTGGGTAGGTAAGTTGACTAGCGCTTCGCAACAGCCGACCCCGGCTTCGCGAACGCCTTCTGCCTATCGGCGTACTCCTTAATCACCAACGCGCACGTGGTATCAGAGCACAGCCTCTTTCGCCGCTGAGCAGGCAGCTTCGTAGCGAACTCGAGGCCGCTGGCGCGCTCGACGGCCTCGACGGGGACCTCGAAGTCGGTGATGGGCTTGTCGTTAGGAATCGGCGCGTTGGGCAGCACGAAGGCGCCGATCGCCACGTTCCCGCCGACGGCACCGTCTTCCGCGAATATGACCTTGTAGAAGTGCGTCGGCACGGCGACGTTCGGCGGGTTGCCGATGACTTCGTATCGCACGTACCACTTGTTATCGCTTGGGTCGCGCTTCGGGAGGTATAAGGGCCCCGTCACGATCCGCACGCTGGGATACCGGCCCGTCAGGTTGCGGCAGAAGTCCTCGAAGTGCGCCCAGTAGTCCCGGTTGAAGCCCTCGCCTACTTGCGGACACATGTTCGTCAGGTAGAAGGTCTCGTCCATCGCGGCCTGGCCCCATTTTGCGTCCGCAGCGGGCACTTGGTGGCCTCGGTCGTAGCCTGATCGGAAGTAGTCCTTTAACTTCGCCCGGAACTTGTCGGGCACTCCGTCGTCTTCTAGGAAGACGCTGTGTTTTCGGTCGCCGCCGCGTTGGGCTAGGGATGCGGGTGTTATGTGCTCGGCGACCCAGTGGGGGTTGCGTAGGCGGCGGTCGAAGGAGGAGACTAGGGCTTGTCGTGTTGCGATGTCGGCTATGGGTCCTGGGAACCCGTATTCGAAGAGCCCGGATGGGTCGACCGGGCCTAGGGCTGCTGGTGCTGATGTCGAGTATGGGTTGGGCGGGCCTCCTGTTTGGTTCGGGGGCGGGAATATCTGTTTGGCTGGGATCGGAATTGGTGCTGATGCTCCTGTCGAGAAACTTGTTGAAGTTGTGGATATGGGAGAAGTGTCGATTCTTCGTTCTGATGATGATCTTAATGAATACATTGCGGTTGTTATGGCGGCTCCGGCACCTGCGCTTGCCGCTGCTATGACTGCGAAAGTAGTTTTTGACATTGTCAACTAAAGAGGGGGCTCTCTTAGAGAGCTACTTGCGTTTGACGGGTTTTATATGAAAGGCGAAAGAATAAGGGAGATAAGAGGGAGAATGGCAGTGAAGAAGTCAGGCGCAGGTATATGAGCAATATGAGGCTCACGAGGGGTGTATTGCGGACGCCCTCGTGGTGGTGAGGCGTGCAGCAGATGTCTTGGAATGAGATCTTCGGAAGTTTTTGAGATTTTTCAGCCTCGATGGAGTGGAGGTACTAGATACACCGAAATAGAGGGGTCCCTATCGATATACTAGAATTGGGTTAGGGGCTTGGTGTGCTGTAAGGTACGTCGTGTGCACAGACCAACGGTTTATTTTCATCGAACCCGTCCTCGTGGCACTTGTCAACCTTAATCGTTATAGCCCACCCACTCTCAGCCCTAAGACCAAAGTTAGATCTTTCCCCTATCACATGGCAAAATACATGGCAGGTACTGGTTATGCCTGTTTTGAAATTCCCATACGCAAATTCCCATGCCCTTCCTCGCTTTGGTCATAAGCCCCTTGTTACTCATTCTTGAATTATGACGTCAACCGACTCAACTATTGTCCTAATATCCATCCGCGTGTTGATGAATCAAATGATCCCTCTCAATAATGAAGAATAATATGACTTTATGACTCAGATCCTTATGTACGTCGGAATATTTATATGGTATTATTGAAGAGATAACTAGCAAGAAATGAAGATTTTAGTATAGTTCCGCCAACGACTGTCAACCCGTAGAGGTACCTTCTATCTGTATCCGAAATATACCGACATCTTCCGTATCAGACTCTCGACTAAATAATATTGAAACCTCTCATATTTACTTTTATCTATCACAGCTAACTCCGAATCTTCGCTCGACTTCACTAGCGCTTGAATTCACGCACCGTACTCCATTGACAACGTGGGGGGCATCTCTCTGACATCCTTTTGACTAGGTCACGATCTCGACGATATCGTTCCGTTATAGGCTAGTTCGCGGTCTGGCTTCAGGATTCCTCATCAACTCATAACTTTCTTCTTGTTGTTCAGCAGTACCACTTCTATCAAGACGAGTTTCGCTTAAGTTCCGTTTGCTCAGGTTCTGGTGTACATCGCGGAGGCCTCTGAGACCCTGTTCCATAATCGAGGGCGTTATAGTTTCACCATATTCCTCATGCTCCTTGGCGTCGTAAGCTAACGCGTACTCAGCCCCGTGCTTATTCAAAGCTCTTTCAAATTTGAGATACCGCACAGCCTGATGGATGAGTTGAGTGATAGCGACAGCGAGTAGTATGACGGCAGTTGTCTGCCCAAAGTCCCAATCGTTCTCGTTCTCGTGGTTTTCTAGGGCCCCCTGGTTTTCGGTTCGTAATTTGATCATCATGTATAGATGTACTGGAAATTGGAGAAAGCTGAGAATCAACAACGGCTTCGCAAATCTTGCTGGGCAAAATAGTGCACCGAGCATAACTAGAAGAAGCCATATCGCCATGATCGCCACATATGCCTTGTCGGTACCTGGGTGAGTTGCATTCGCACTTGTGATGCCTGTCGTTATATAACAATGACCGAGCTCCTCGGAAGTAAGGGACCACCCGTTAAGGCGGATCTCGAGAAAGACGGTCATTACCAGAAATAAGACTGCGAACATATAAGAGACACGGAATCGACCGGTCCAGTGAGAAGGTACGATCTGGTGATGCTTCTTCTTTGGCGTCTTAGCACCCATGAAGGTCCAGCAAATGAGAGCTGCAGCATTGGAAATACTACGAGTTTGGCAAAATGTGAGTAGATTAGTTCCCAAAGCTATCCAGAATAGGAGGGAAGAGAAAGCTTACCCAACGAAGCTGACGGTATCAAAAACTAAGTGGAGATGGTAGAGATCGATATGATTGGCACTTGAGATTGCCGTAATAATGAGGGCGGCTCCTTTACGTTGAATATGAGCGAAAAACTGTCCTTCGGGATGTACATAATGGTGATGTAAATGGATGAGTAATACACGTACCCGTAATCATCTGCAAATCGTTGCCGACCATAAGAATCTCAGACACAAATCCGAGTCGTTTCTTCTCACTCTCATGTTCTGGTGTGCCCTCGGGGTGTTGCGTATCAAGCCGGCCGAGTTTCGTTAGGAAGAACACCCAGAAAGACAATGCTAGGGAGATTAAGGCTTGGACGCTGAGGCCTAGTAAAATCTACGTGGATTGAGAAGCATTAGAATTGATTGCATTCAAAGATCCCAGATAAATATGGTGAACTCACTCCATAACCCGCGATGTCGGGCATGGCCTCGCCGACCTTCTCACATTGTGTCGGCACTTCAAGAGGCTCAGAAGCTTCCATGATTATAAGAGTTATCGGACTTTAAGTCGCGATACTTGGCAAAGGTTGGAGGATAATTCGTAGGGCTGAACAACCGAGTCGCCAAGTTGCCAAGCGAGAACTCGATTGGCGATATATAAGAAGCCAAGAGACTTGGAGGCATCCTAAAGCCCAAGAATCTGACTTTTCGTCAGCTCTTTATTTGTATCGGTCCCTGTCCTTCGAAGCATGCCAAGAATCATGGATTATTTGCGTACGCGGCTGGGTTTTGATTCTCATAGTAATGAGCTGGCACGGCCTCATAGGATTAGTGATGCTGTGCCGCATGCACGCAGAACGCTGTTCAATTTTTGGATCGTTAGACGGTCTCGGCAGTGAGCTAATCTCATCGAACCGCTGTAGGTTGAATCCTAGAGGCGGTAGCTGAGCGGGGATATCAGATATCTGAGCAAATCAAGCAAAGGTACCTGGTTTATAGATCCGTAAGTGGTAAACGACCTGAACGAATTATGGGTTGTTATTTCAGCTACCTCCATTAAGAATTTCCAGATATCTTGATAAGTGGTTCCTTGTCAGCCCTATTATCGGGCTGCGCTAGGGCTCCCATTTGCCAGTACCTAAACAAGCCACAGAATGTTATGTCTGGTTTGGGAACGAGAGCGAGAGCGAGGACGGAATATGAGTATTTGCTCCAAGAGTTGAAAGATATCTAAAACATTGCTCAGTTTCATTTCTTATGATATTGATAGGTCTTTTGGAAGAGGGTTTGTAATTTTAACCATCGGGATCATCCTAGCAAGCCGCCAGCGCCATTTGGTTTTAACAAATCCCCGGTACCTAAAGAAGGCGCCCGGGTCCATATCCGGGGGGTTTATCTTTCGCTGGGATTATTTCGCTTTCGCTCACCTACGATTCACAGAACTGCCGGTTACCAGACAGCCAGAGTAGCTGCTAATCGACTTAAGCTACGCTGCCACGTTCATATGTACCAAATCTAAGACTGCTCGCCTCAGGCTCGAAATTTAAACGATCAGCGTTTTGAGTTCGATGATGCTGACATAAATACCGTCTTATTCGCATCATTGGCCACAGGTTGTGTATCAGCCAGTATCGTTGTCGTATGAGCTACTCAAAGACATAATTAAATAGACCGTTATGGAGTTCCAAAGCACATGAACTTTGATGATTTGAGTGCGGAAGTTGTTCGAAGAGGGAGGAGTGTTACATCATCCAACTTGGAACTGCAAAAAGTTGCGACCGAATAAACTATCAGAGTTAGGGGCTTGACGTCACAATATTCTTAAATCGACGTCCCGTTGCCGTCTTCGCCTTCGATGTCTAAAGTTGGAAGCTACTAGGCAGCTAGGTACCTACCTAGGTACATATTATACTGGACACCTTGAAGGGTGTTCGTCAACGTACGTCGTCCCCTTTGAATAGGTCTTGGCCTAGGTTTTTGGGGGTGCAAATTGTAAGATTCATTCGCTAATGATAAGGTCTGACAACTCACAGGAAGCAACGCAGCTTATCAGTGCGGATTGAACGAATAGGAAGTATGCTACGAATAATGCTTTTTATTACTCAGCATAGAAATATCTCCATGCCTTGAGCGTAGTGGCTGTTGGGAGTGGCAAAGTCTGCTTATATGCAACGAGCCGAGCACGAAGTGGTCGAAGCCTAGAAACCTTGCGGAGTTATCTTGTTTACCAAGGCTGCAGAGTACCTAGGTAATAAACATGTTCGATACATGAGAAGATGCAAACAAAATTGGCCTACAAAGCACCTGGTTGATCAGCACATAATATAAAGTGCCGCAAACCGGAAGGCTGTGGGGGTTACATACACCGCCTGAAACATAATTGTCACAAGTATGTCCATCAAGGTTCTTTAATAGCCCACGATGTCTTCGTCACTAATCTTCTGCAGCCTCAAATCGAGTTTAGACCAATCAATGAATATTGATGAACTGCCATGAAAGATGTTTCTCTTACTAATCTGATGGGGGCACTCTCAAAAAGGTTGGTGAGTTAGTCTGACTCGGCCTTTAAGAAGAGTATTTGACTCAAGTCTAAATTCGCTGCTGACACGCTCACCCGAAACCAACCCTTTGAATTTACTTAGAGAATCATAGTAAATAGACGAGGGCTTCGATCTTTATCTGATAATCTGAAGTTGAGACGCTAAATGATGGATACAACCCTGGAAAGGTCCTCCGGTGCCGTCCATGGATCTATTCGCGGCATTTCTCTGGTGAGTCCACAGCGGGAACTAAAACGTCAATTCAGGAAAACTAGCAAAGGACCCTAATGACCAACCCCTCCAGGCTCCAGCTACTACCTGCCTAGTAGGTATGTATGTACCTACCATGCAGGGCGTAGATCATGTGTATGTTATCAAGCTAACATTTGCTTTTGAAGGGTCTGTGCAAGGCTGGATATGAATGGTACAGCGTACCTATCATCGAAACTCGAGGGTTCAACAAAGCGTGCCGTTACCAATTATGGGAATAATACCCCACGAGGGATATAGGCGTGATTGGCACTTCACAACCAGCCTTTAAAGACTCCTGATGGTTATAGGACAACTCTTGGCTTTCAGCCTCAAAGCCTCATCTCGGTGTGTTTGTCAAACAGAAATAACCTTGATGGGCTCCGTAGATTTATATGGGACTTAGTTTCCGGATTACTAACGGTCTTAGCAAGATTGGCCATCAAGGTACCCGTCGGAGCAGGGCTTGGCAAAGCTTGGCACAGCATCATAAGTCAGCTGGCCAATCAGGTAAGCTTTAAAAACACCCGTACGTCCTCTGTGCCTTCCCGCGCAGTGTTACATAGGCGAGTAGGTAGCCACCCTTTAGTGATTGACGTCCACACTAAATAGAACCTTCCGTCTTAACATCTGTTTTCTCATCGCAAACTTATCGTTACGGCCGTCTCTCTTCTTCCTATATTTCCCTAAGATTTTGTTTCTTGTTATAGAGACTTTGACTTTATATTCTTTGTTGAATTAGTATAACTCGGCACCTTAAGAACGGAACTTCGAAATTTGCCGAAAGCGTCTCAACTTATATACTTCCACGCGCCAGTGTTTGCAACATTACCAAATCATCGGGTCGCACATAAATCACAACCTCCATGTTCCCCTAACCCATTTTTCTTCAACTTTTGAGGGAGGACGGGCTCCTGCAGGCACAAGGCGACGTCGCGCTGCAAGACGTAAGACAAACCTGGCCCATCATGGAGGTTGCTGAGATCGATAATGATACGAGGGGATGGATCATGTGCCTAGTGAGCGGCGTTGGTGGGTGACACTAACCACATGTGCGCTGCCATGTTCGCCTGATATACTTACTCACTGATTCTGCTATAGCTTGCATGATAGGATCCTGTATTATCTACGTCGATGTAATTGTGCGGCTTTTCCCCGGGAAGAAGGATTTCCGAATACAAGACAGTAATACCTTTCTCGCCTGTTCACTAAGCTTGAGCTTCGGCGTTATGGTAAGTCTTATCCTCCTCTCGAACCGTTACCTATTATCTATTTTGTGGGTGAATTTCTCACGATATGATGTAGATATTTATGTCGTTATACAGCATGCTGCCCGAAGCAAGGGATTACCTTAAGAAAGGGGGTTTTCCGGACCAGACAGCAGGCTTTGTCTTGATAGGATGTTTCGTTGGTGGCTTCGTGGGAATTCAAATACTTTCGAGATTATTTCACCAACTTCTACCATCACATGTTGTCGATTGCGATCACAGCCACGATGATCATGCTTTAGATAGCCATAATCATTCAGACGAGAATGGTCTTAGTCGAAGGTTATCGTCCCATGCTCATAGCGGTGGTAGACATCCCCAGTCCATACATGTCCATCTTCGCGGCTCAAAGCCCAGTGCCAGTGAGAATGGACATGTTAATGAAGTTACGCCGCTGCTCTCCAGGGAAATATCGAATGAATCACATCATGTGCGGCCACTCAGGAGAGCGGAGACTGCTGGTCCTACAGAGACAACCCCTCATATCATATTGCGCGGAACCCGCAGCCGGGCTGCGACGGTGGAAAGACGACCGTCGATGTTGCAGAAGCGGGTCATGTCTTTCGTGAAGGACACTAAACCGAACTGTGACGAGGCTGGCCCATGCTTTGGATATTCGGATCCATGCGGCCAAGAATGTTTCAAACACCTTTCCAACAGAACTGGGCTCTTGTCTCGAGTCGGGACCACTTTACTTCGTACTCCTGCTACTGGACATAGCGAGCCCTGTATAGATACCGTGGAGGAAGATGGCGACCACGACCACTCCTCTCCGGTAAGCCCTTCATATCGGACAAGCCGAGCACATTCGCATGACCCCGAACACGAAGACGTATGTTTCTCAGAGACATCCGAAGACCTCGAAGCTCAACACCACCACCATGTCGCCGAAAACGCCTTCTTGTCCATTGGCCTACAGACCTCGATTGCCATCGCGCTGCACAAGTTCCCGGAAGGCTTCATCACATACGCCACGAACCACGCGAACCCAGCGCTAGGCTTCAACGTGTTCCTCGCACTCTTCGTGCACAACATCACCGAAGGCTTTGCGCTCGCGCTACCATTATACATGGCGCTGCATAGCAGGCTGCGCGCCATGCTGTGGTCGAGCATTCTAGGCGGCCTGTCGCAGCCTCTCGGCGCCGGCATCGCCGTGCTGTGGTTTAAGCTAGCCCAGCACCACTCCAACATCGACCCGGACGCCGTCGCCTACGGCTGCCTCTTCGCCGCCACAGCCGGCATCATGGCCTCTGTCGCCCTCCAGCTCTTCGTCGAGAGCCTGAGCCTGAACCACAACCAGAACTTGAGCATCCTGTTCGCGTTCCTCGGCATGACCCTGCTCGGCGTCAGCAACGCTTTCACCGCGCACGCGCACTAGCATTTGGGTTAATTAAGTTGGAAAGACAGCCGTGAGGAGGGGAAAAGGAAGGAGATGGAGAAAATGTCCGAGCGTCTTACTCATAGCTGAAGAAAAATCCTTTTTTGTTTTACTTTTATTTTTTTTAGGAGCTTGGTCACTGCACGGGATCGGCATCGGGATTCGGGCTGGTATCATTATGGTTTATCGATTGGCGGCATCTTGCATGCTCGGCGTCTCCCGGAGGTCTCTTTTCGCGGGTACGAGATACGTTGGTCGTATTAGCGAAACTGGGTAACTGCTGTAAATTTGCAAAGGAGCAAAAAAGGGACTTGGGTTGGTTTGTTGCAACATCGCTCCTCGCTTGCAATACGTAGGTACGTACTATAGCTTGATAGTAGGTATATCATAGTATAAAACTAACTCATCATGTCTGAATGACGACTGATACAATACTTCCTAATTACTTGGGTTTACTGTGGGATATATGTGATACTATTCATATTAATTTATGGTATTCAATACGTTAGAGCTAACTCTTCTATGTATGTTGGTAGATGTGTACATCTGTAGATATGTAGAGGCTTGCAACCTAGACATGCATTCACGTAACTTCAGTATAAAATTATATCCTACATCTGACTCCCCTCCCTCGGCTGCTCCACCAACGCGCCACTCATCAAGAACTCCCCGCCAGCAGCGCGCGGCTGTCCGAAAAGCACCATCTCCCGACCGCCATTCGTACCCCACCAGGCGACGCCCACAGCGCCACGCTCAACGTCCATCTCGCCACTGACTAGTACATCCCAGAAGCGGCGGCGGGCTAAATCCCGCATAGCTGGGTCCGCGATGGCGTTCATGGACTCAGCGGTGCGCGTGAGCCATTCCTCGATGGCGTAGAGCGGGAGGTGCGGTAGAGAGTCTATGATGGCGAGGACAAGGGCCGTCTGCTCTGAGACTGGGCCCTGGTCTTCCTTCTTGGTACCAGGAGCGGGGGTGGCTTGCTCGTTTAATGGGAGCAGGGGCTGCGTTGAGGCGTCTATGGCGCGGAACCTGAGCGTTTCGAGAAGGGCCTCAGAGAGCTCTGGCTCGGTCGCGGATATGGGGAAAGGGGGGCTGGTGATCTGCATGACGGTGCGGAATGCGAGGCGGAACTGGCGTGGGGATATCCGGGACGGGAAGGAGGAGAGGAGGGCGTCGATGTAGAAGGGGATGAGGGAGGCGGCGAGGGGGCTGTGCTGGGGGCATGAGAGTGCCGAGAGCACGGATGAGTGTGCTGATTCGAATAGTTCGAGCGTTAAGGATGATGGGGGCAGATTGGCTGGGCTGGAGAGCCATGAGGTAGTGGGAGAGAGGTATGCTGTTGCGGGTGAGATGATGAGGTTCTCGCATGCGGGTGTAGGTAGCGAGAATGGGAGGTGCTCCGCCGTGTTTAGGTAGAAGAGGCTTAAAGCTTGGATTGTTGGCGATGGCACTACGTTGCTTGCCGTAGGCGATGGCGGTTGTGTGTCTTGTAGGAAGGACATACAAGCATCCGGATAACGTGTAATAATATCCAGGGAAGTGAGGTAAGTGAACTCGTACACCTGGAATGAGCCCGCTCCTTGCCGTGTGGAAATGAAGGATAAATTGCGTAAGGTATGCAACGTTTTTGAGGCTACAGTCGGAGCTATCATGTCATTTCTCATAAATGGGTCTAGGAGACACCGTCCGACTATGGGTTGGAGGGATGCAACCACGGCGTACATGATCTTTTTGAATAGCTGCCATAGTCTTAAATGGGGGCCTTGGAGCGTCTCGAGCGAGAGAGCTGCGACTTCAACTGACAGGTCGATAGCGGAGAGGGGACAGTGGGACCATTTATCCAATAGTCCAACTGTGAAGTCGAACAAATCTTTCTGGGCCTGAAGTATTATATTAGGGTCGGCGGTATGTTGAACGGCGAAAGGTACAAGGCGTGACAGAGGACCCATATTCTGGGTTAGAGGCCGATTCTCAAGAATCTGAAGTCTTGTGACGGAGTGTGAATTGGTGCGCCATGATATGATCTTGCCCGGTGTAATATCACGCATAATTGATGAAATGAAGTCTCCGTGCTGAAAACCTTCGTCTCCGAGCATCGCTTCGATGATCGCTGGTAGTAGGACGTTTCCATTTAACAACTGCTTGGCCGACTCTGACAGGAGAGGGACGGCATATGTCAATGCCAGGACAACAGCACCACGCCCCAACGGTCCCGATTCTTGAGGGTTTAGTAGAGCGAGATTTGCAGCTGTTGCGACGGCTTTTTCAAGCATCGACCGTAAACTCCAAGACAGCGATCTTCTATCGTCACCCTCCATGCCCATCAAGACACCAGTTAAGACCAGCATATGTTGCCATCTACTAGATCTATCATCGGCACCCTTCGCGATTGCACGTGCCCAATCCTCGCTGCTGACGCCACTCCCTACCGGCAGTCCTCCTCTTGGGTTGTTTGCATTCTCAAGCTCATTTTTCCCTACGTGAATGGCGGCGGTGTTGTATACGCTAATGATACGCAGACAGGTACGTAGTCCATCCGGGGCCTGCCATATTGAACGCGCAGTAAGGAAATGTGAGGTAAGTAGAGAGAGATTAAGCGGATTGTTTAGATTGGTGAGGAGTGTAGTCGTCGTCCCGTATATCTTGTCTGTTTCGACCGGATTGGGAACGTCATGATAGGCCCGTAGGACTGTTGTCAACAATCGATCGGCCGGCATTTTCGCGTTTCGAATTTCAGATTTCGATTGTCGACTTTCGATTTTCGAGAACTAGTGTCCTACACACCGAAGACCTTATTCATTTCATTTCATCGTTGACTGAGCTAATGTTGTTTTGGTTAAAACTTATGCTTAGATGTCGGTAAACGATGGAGTGTTACAATGATCACGTCGTAGCTGCCCTGTATCATAAGGAACCTTAGGAGGTGGACACGCTAAACGCTAGCTGGTTAATCGGCATGCCGTCCAAATTTTACCGAGGCACGACGTCAATTGAACCCAATTTGTCCCCTGTAGCAGCCCCGACCGCGGGAGCTTCCCGCCGTGTAACCCCTGTCATTCCATCTTTCAGCTCTCAAGTCTGAACTCCACAACCTCTAAATATTGATTTTAATACTCTGTACAATCAAACGTTTCTACTGCATACTACCATCTTAAAATATTGCCCAGCTTGGGGCGACGACCTGAAGGGCCAGATGGCCACAATACCGTGAGCAATTAGGACTCCTTAGGTACACGAGATCATGCTAACTATAACTTCTCTACAGATCCGATTGCCATAATTACCCTCCCGAAGATTACCGAAGTCTCCGATTCCCATCCCTCTGTTGGCCTCCTCAAGATCCCCTCTGTTCCTTGTATACAATATGGGATTCGTGGCGATATACCCTCCTCTGGACCCTGATCCTCTACGCGCTGTTCCACCTCGGTGCTACCGGCATCGCCTTGTTTATGCAGATTGGAAAGCCGCGAACGGTATGGAAATACTTGCTGGTCCTCCCGCTCGTCTACGCTTTTGTCGCGGGAGTTGAAGCGCTATTTACTGGAAGTATTGTTGGTGTAGTGTACGAAACTTCTCTCGATCCCGTTTCTATGTCTCGGCAATTGACCTTGTGTACACTTCTAGACTCGGCGCCGTTTACATTTCCGGATGCTACTCGATGCCGACGTGGATACCATTTATCTGGGGATGGATATGCACCTTGGTCTTGATCATCTCTTCATTCACGATACAAGGAGGTCTTTGAAACCTCGCTTCTTGCCGGGTTGTCTAAGACTTCCAAAGACTCGAGAATAGATAACCTGAAGACTCCTTCTAATGTGGCACCAATGCGTAGTGCTGCTACGACAAGCCATATTGAACGAGAGCCGGTATTCATTTGTTCCTCGGCTGCCATTTGCAAAAGCCGACGGTGAACAGAAAGCAATGAAACCAGTATCGATTGCGCAAGGTTTAGAATTAAAGTATATATTCTTAGACCCGTTGATGAGCACATGAAGCTGACAAATAAAGTTAGGCGAAATACGATTGATATTATGGATTATCTTATTATACTAACCTACTACATAGTAGTTACTTGAATCATACTACCAAAACTGGCTTTTTTCTTAAATGCTGGCATGGATAGGGGCAAACATCAGACCCCAAATTCAGCGTCGCGGTAGCCACAATCGAGAAGTATGCTAGTAGTATAGATGTCAGGTCACACTCAGCAAATTGCGAGCCGACGGCAACGGATTTTACTAGGCATCATTTGGAACGTACCACTTGTTCGCTTACCCTCCGTATAGACGCGAAGGCGAAGGTCTGGCACATACATGTTACGCAGCAATGCTACCGGCACCTTATATGAATAAAAAGAGTTATTGCGTAGAGGAACAGGATCAATTCATCGCGAGACATGTTTTCTATCGTCTCCAGGGCCAATGGTGTTGCGCAACACACTTACTAGTGCTAGGTACTACTATGTACACATTTTGATATGTCGGTAACTTTCACATGCAATTATATCGCTTAGGGTCATTTTATAGTCCAACAATTTGGGCTGTAGATAATCAATCTGATATAAGAGAATTTAATTCTCCTAACACTTATATATATCACATCTTTTGCTATATTTAAGCTATTAGAGATGCAGAATATTTATGGATAGTATAAAGTTCCGCTATACGTCATTCCAGTTGATATATGCTGAGCTACTGCAGGCACGCCTCCATAGCGACCTCTATTCCATTTTCAATCGCGGTGGACTTTTTGACGGGCAGAAAATACACCGCCTAATCGCTATACGACTGGGAACGTGCGGGTCTAGGTACTATTATTTCTAAACAGAACAAAATAACCACAGGTTGGCTCATTTTACCTAAGCAACTCCTACAAATCATGGATTTAATTGTCCTGATAGCTTGTCTTTGTTTTTGATATTGAGTAAAGAAAATTCCGAACAATCAAAAGGACGAGACCTCTGAGTACCACAATGGAGTCGCCGCCGGATAGGTAAGTTTTGCTTTCTCTATTTCGATTAGGTACTATCACCATCAAACCCGCTTTTAGAGCAAACGCTGTTAGGATTAACTCCAGATTTGCCTTCATCTGCGACGTTTTTTCTTTACCTACTAGCTAGACTGAGCCAGTTGTCTCAGCCCTCATCGCGCCAACATGCCGTCACCCTCTGTATCGAACCCCACGCAGACACCAATGCCGACGCCCACTACACCTAGCCTTACCTTGCTTACCCCTCTCCATGAGCATGATGAGAACGATGTGTCGTGGGCGACGGGGTTTAATACACGTCGCCGTTCTCTGGCGCAGCTAGCTTCCATCAATACCGGTGCAAACGATAGAAGTGCTAACTTGCTTCCGCTTCTAAGTCCCGTCGCACAAAGCGCTCAGATGTCTCCCGAAAAGCCTTACCTCCCCGGTCAACCAAAGTCTCTCGAAGGCATTGCGATACGCTCTTTCTGCCTCGGTATAGCGCTCGCTTCATCCGTAGTAGCTATGGTCATGACTCTCGTCTTCACCTCTTCACCTCTATGGCGCCTGCCTTTCTTTACCGGCGCACTATCGACCTTTCACTTCCTCGAGTTTTGGACAACCGCGAAATACAATACTCCTGTTGTGACTATCGGTTCGTTCCTCTTGACAGCGAATTGGCCGGCGTATGCGATCGCACATAGTACGGCATTGCTAGAATGTCTCGTTACAGGGGTGCTGTTCCCGAATAGGTCTTGGGCACCGTTCTACAGCGGTCACATCATCTTGCTATTGGGTTTTATTATTGTGTTTGCTGGCCAATTTGTCCGAAGTGCAGCTATGGTGCAGGCCGGCGAATCATTCAACCATACTATTCAACACAGGAAGAAAGATACCCATGTCCTAGTTACTACAGGTCTATATTCATTCCTTCGCCATCCAGCCTACTTTGGATTCTTCTATTGGGGGGTTGGGACGCAGATGGTCCTAGGAAATCCCATATGTTTCGTTGCTTACACTTTTGTCTTATGGCAGTTCTTCTCGAAAAGAGTAAGACACGAGGAGGCATTACTTATCCAATTTTTCGGGGATGACTATATCGAGTACAAGAAGAGGGTTGGAACGCTCATACCCTTTGTCGGGAACTGAGTATGCTGTAGCTGGAATTGATATTAGAGAATGGCGTTTAGGTTGGTGTCTATGGGTGGACTTATGATACCCTAATTTCAAACTCCTTGAGTAAATCAAGACGAATTATATCATTACCTATGCATTACGTCTGTCTGCGTCTGTGAAAGGTTGTGATAAAATGAAATATAAAATTACAAGTTATAATAAGAGGATATGTGCATTGCGGTTATGTGAATATGTGTTATTTATTCATCTACCAGGTACACAGGTACCGAATCCCACTATCGATAGGACGAAAGGTGCTGTCAGACTTGTGTGGACCCACTAGTACGTAGCCACTCGAAATTTAGAAGGCCACGATTCAAGACGGGCAAGTGCAATTCGTTTGGACAGCTTGCTTAACTGCGCTTCTAAATTTAAACAATTCTAGTTCAACATTGAACCGTTCAACTACATAAGTAACAACTCTCATTTTTTGACGACTACGGCTACAACACAACACATTTTGAGGTTTCACACGTAGCTTTTATCAAAGACCCTGTCGTAGGGCTAATCTGCAACATGAGTTCAGAGTATTCTTATGACGAACAGGGTCAATTCTACCCTTTCTTCATCTTTACTCTGACAACCATCGTCACGCTCCCACTCACATATAGCCTTCTCGCGCCGAGCAAGGATGTCGTTTCCACCGCACCGAGACTACAGACCGACTATAAACCCGAACATGCCGACCTCATACAAGCGCAGCGTACCGCGCAGAAGCGAAAGCAGCGCAAGGTCAAGCGCGCCATCGCTGTCGTCCTAGGATGGGCCGTCATGGCCGGCATGCTATACCTCATCGTCACCACCCAACGAACAACGGCCAAGATATGGAACCCATATGATATTCTAGGCGTCTCAGAGGTTTGTTTTCCCGGAATTGCGCATTTATCTATGATATCAATACTGATAATTTCTACTTAGTCGGCAACGGACAAGCAGATTAAATCCCACTACAGGAAACTTGGTCTCAAGTATCACCCGGACAAGGCCAAACCCGACCCAGCTAAGAATGAGACTGCCGAGATGTTGAGTGACAAGTGGGTTGACCTCACCAAGGCATACCAGGCTCTTACCGACGAGGAGGTTCGCAACAACTATATTCAATATGGCCACCCCGACGGCAAGCAAAGCTTCAGCATTGGAATCGCTCTACCCAAGTTCATCATATCCGATGGAAATGGAAAATATGTTGTTCTCGTCTACGCCTTACTCCTAGGAGTCATGTTGCCTTACTATGTTGGATCATGGTGGTATGGCACCCAACGCATCACCAAGGAGGGAGTTCTTATCGAGAGTGCCAACAACCTCTTCCGCGAGTATTCTGAGGATATGGATGAGGGAGATCTGGTGACTGCTCTCAGCGCCGGTAAGGAGTTCCAGGAGACCTTGAAGGGAGACAAGGCCGAGTCTGGCCTTGCGACAATCGAATCTAGAATCCTGGCTGAAGGTCAACTCGCATCATTTGCTGGCGGATTATCAGTTAAAGATAAGGAGAAGCTGGAAGACCTCGATGGTGGGGTGAGAAGAAAGGTCCTGGCTCTCCTTTGGGCATACCTCGGCCGCGTAGAGCTCGATGATCAGGCTTTGAACACCGCGAAGTACCTAGTCGCACCTATTGCACAGAGCCTCTGCAGTTCCTTTAGAGCGATCTCTCTGGCGTACAGCAACACCGGCCCGATTCTAGCTTCTTTCTATACCAGCCAACGACTCATCCAAGCAGTACCACCTAACGCATCCCCGCTTCTCCAGCTCCCCCACTTCACGCCTGCCGTAGTAAAGGCCGTTGAGGGTGACTCGAAGAATCATTTAACTGTTCAAGAGTTTATGGATCAGCCTGATGCAACACGCCGAAGCGCTGCCGTTGGAAATGGTCTTCTAAGCCAAGAGCAGTACAAGACGGCTGTTGACGTTGCAGGACAGCTCCCATACCTCCGAGTCGCAAAGGCATTCTTTAAGGTTGCAGGCGAACGATTCATTATCCCGTCCTCTTTGGTTACACTGGTTGTGAAGGGCCGATTCGTACCACCTGGAAGCACAAACGTCCCGGACGTCGATGAACTCGATTTGGAAGATATTGATCCGGCCGAGGATGACCTAGATGCACTTATGGGACGAAAGAAGGCAGTCAAGGATGAGAACGGAAAAATAGTTTCCAAGGAAGAGTCTAAACCCGTACCACCACCGCTCACATTTGCTCCTTACTACTCTCGCGAACAATCACCACGCTGGCACATCTTTCTCTCCGATAGCAAACAGGGGAAGATGGCAGTACCGCCATTCACCTTTACCACCTTCGACCAACCTATCTTTACTGCCGATGGAAAGCCGACGTTTAACATGCAGACCTTGAAAGCTCAATTTGCCGCTCCCCCGCAAGCAGGTACCTATACATTTGTCATGCACGTCGTCTGTGACAGCTACGTTGGATTTGATACCAAGATGGAAGTTACCCTTGCTGTTGAGGATGCTAGTAAGGCGGCGGCAATGGCTGCTGAGGATGAGATCAGTGAGCCGGAAGAAGGTAAGCTCTCCGTTTCCTGAACTTTATTGTCTACACACTCTAACATTGATATGCAGATTCTCTTGCTGGTCAGATGAGCGCACTCAAGGGTGGCAGTGTTGCCGGCACTACGAAGCCTAAGAGACGGAAAGATGACGACGACTCTGAAGATGACGATGAGAGTGGTACTGAAGAGGAGGAAGATGATACTAGCGAGACGAATACCGACACCGAACCCGAGTCGTAGGATACAAATACCTTAACGGACCGTATCATGAATCGGGAATCTAATAAGTCCTACTCCCCTTGACTAGACCGTGGTGCTTCACAGAGGCATCCCGGTTTCTATCTCTTGAACGTTGGCTCCAGGCCAACTTCACTCAGATGATGGTACATGTGTAAAGTTAGTATTGTGCGAAAAAAGAAAACGCGTACGAACGCTACAGCAGCAGCAGCATGGAATTGGCGTCGTGGCGTTGGGAGGGATTTGCCATGGGCGTATAGGCTATAGCAAGTCCACGCTTTGCGCAGATAAAGTTTAATTCTGATGTTCAAACTTATACCTTATGTTTTTCGTGTGCTTGGTCTTGAGAATGCGTAGTTTTTTGCTTTCCGCTTGAGAGGAATATGGTAGGTAAAGGAGATGCTGGTGGGTTTGGGTGCCCGCCCCCCCTTAGAACTCACGCCCCAGAGCAAAATAAAACCCACAAGCATTGTCCAAAACAATATTTTAACTAATAGTTATATGTAGTAGTTATTCATATAATACGTTTCCGGTCTTTATACGAAGATACCATACCATACCATACAATACCAATGCGGTATACACACAAATACGCTGGGAGAAAATATAAAAAACGCCCCATATTCGCCCTCTCTCTCTCCATTAACCTTGCCATACGTCCTATTCCGACCTTCGCAAGAAAAGTTTGATATTATACAATAAATAGAGCTTCCCCCTATCCCTGGCTCTCTCCCTTCTCCTTCCACCTAACCCCTTCCTCGTCGTCCCCGACTCACACCAATTCAAATAAACAAACAAACCACCTCAACAAACCCTAACACCACAAACCTCAACACCCTTCCCCTCAACATACGCCCTACGACCAAAATACATCTTCACAGCCGCGCGAACAAACTCCGCGTCAGCGGCACTCCAGACATCGAGGCCCATGCGCGCCACAGCATCGCTCTCGATACGTATCCCACGAGCGTCCATCTCCTCCTCGCCCGAATCCGGCGTCAGCAACGCCGCATCGTCACTACCATCTTCCCCTTCCACCTCGTCGTCATCATCGTCGCTGGTGCTCTCGACGATATCGGCTAATGTGCCTAGAACCAGGGTAGTAAGTCTGTGGAAATAGGTGATAAGCGCGAGTTCGGCGCGGGCCTCGTCGGGGTCGGAGGTGGCGCGGCGTGGGGTTAGCGAGGCGATGGATGTAGAGAGGTCTGTTGACGCGCGCGGGCCTTCCATCCGCGTTGATGATAGGTCTGCCAGTAGTTCTGCTTCGCGGGCGCTCTCCTCGCCTCTTTCTGCGCGCGCTTGTTCGCCGGCCGACGCCCACCACATGAACCCGTTATACGCGAGCGCAGTCCAGCTTAGCGGCTCAACGACCTCTCTTTCTTCGGACTCGTCGAGGAACGGGTCGCCTGCTTCTTGAGCCGCGGCTGCGGTTCCCGGGGTCGTGGGCGAGGTGCTGGGGCTGGTGGCCTGGAGGCGGGCGAGCCCGGCTTTGAGGGACCGGAAACGACGTAGGTCGCGCTGGGTAGCTTTGATGGAGAGGCCTTGAGGGCCTTCGATCTTGGGCCAGATATGGGTTTTCGCGTTGGAAGAGTAGGGGGCTGGCATAGTGACGAGGACGTCCCACAGCGTGTCTTTCTTAGCGAGGATGCTGTCGGTTGTGCATGCGATCCAGCCCGTCCCCGCCTCGGCCTCGATATCGGAGGGGTTATCTGAACTAGGTTTGGACTTGGAGTCTTCGACTAAGAAGGGGATGTCGTGGACGCCGATGGAGAAGAGAGGTCGTAGTCGATGTGGGGGTGCGTTGGAGGATAAGAGGTCGAAGGTTGGTTGGGGTATATTTGATAGAATAGATATATCGTAAACTAGACATAATTATCATTAGTAAAATTCGATAATCGGATATATGGGATTAATTGTAACGAACCAAAATTGCAGGCTTCCTGAACAGGTGCGTGGCATGATATTAGAATGCGCTTGCGCAGCAACGCAGCGCGCTGTATTGGAAAGATTAGCGGCCCGAATGTATCTAACAACTTCATTAGACTCCAAGCAGGATGGAATGGTGACAGTCTATGGCCAGGCGCGAGTAAAGCTGCTCCATCAGAGGCCGAACGATTCCTAAAGTGGCCTTTGGACGGCTTCGAGGGAGTTTGGAAAGTGACTGTAGGAGACTCGATGGATTCGCTTGGAACAGCCGACTCTTGATCAGCCTGGGTCTTTTTCCAGTACTCTTCCAACAAGCCTGTGTTCTTGTTATCTGTAGCAAGTGCCGATGCTATCGCTTTCAGACCCTCAGCATGTCTCCAAGCTCTTCCCAATCGACCATAGCTCAAGGGAACTAGCACTCCCACAGCAAGCATCCTAGCATTGCGCACTTCACTATCCTCAACGGGCGCATTGACGAACGCGCTCAACCCCGCATATCCATCGTGTACGAAGTATATTAGGTCCTCGGATACGGTATGCAGCCCGGACGGAAGGGACTTGTATTCGACGACGCCCTCTAGCTCGACACCGGGCTTGGCAGCCTTCCACGAGATGGTATACCCGGCCTTCACATCGAAGTTGATCAGGAATAGGGCGGATATGGGAGGTAAATCGGGTAAGGTAGCGGCTGTCGCGATGTTAGAGGTGGAAGGAAGCCGGACTTGCAGCTCCGGCTGGCCGCGGCGGGATGCCGCCATAGCTTTGATTGGGATGAACTCCTGGCTTTGCTCTGGATTACGAATGTCAATTTATAGTCGGCATACACAACAGCATCGTAATTGGCGTTGCACGATTGGATATGTGGTGTTGGGATGAAATGAAACCGTCTCGTCGCGCCGGTTGGTGAGTTGAGTTATGTGTAACGCCTCGGCCCGTTTCGTTCGTTGACGGATGACGCTATGGCCAAGGGCATCGTGGGGTACATCATTGTGGTGTGATGCCAAGGGTTATCACGTGACTTTGCTTAATTGAGTTGGGATCTAGCATCAACTTAACTTTCTACCCCTTAAACTTTCTTAAGACATTTCATTGCCTTGGGATTAGATACTTAACACAGGAAAGGAACAATCAGTTTGTTTCTCTTTTTCTAGGCCGGTTGCCGTTACCTAAGTACTTCCGAAGCAATTCAAGAGTTCAAGAACCATCTGAAATGAATGGTCTAGCGGCGAACAACGTATTCATGACATCAGAATTGTCATTTCTATCCATTACAGTGATTCAATGCGGCTGACACGAAGCTGGATGCAACCAGATGACTAAATATTCTATAGAATAGGCCATAGAAACGGCTGGGTAGGTCATATCGACGTATATTCGCCTCAAGCTATAATTCATATAAATATCGTAAATGGCCCTATCCATCTTGTTACTTTTTCAGACTAAACACTCTAAGGAAACGGTATCTCATCCACAAGAGTCAAGTTAAACACGTAAACCACCACCCCCCTTATTCAAACCCCACATAAAACCATGACAACCCATAACCATCACCACCCCCAAGAAATCCCCGGAGGTCCTATCCCAACCGAAGACAAAGTCCTCGAGACAGGCGCCTCCCTAATTCAAGACTTCCAGCCCGTGAAGCAGCTCTGCGCTCACCTCAACGCCTTCCACACGTACGCCGACGAGCCCGGCCGGTACGTCGAGACGAACCACTACTGCGCTCACCTGACTGAAGGTATACCCCCTTCGCTTCCCCCTATCTATAAAAAAGGTAATATGTAGGTAACTTACACAACCCCAGACGTCCGCCAATGCATCCTCTACGACAGCCCGGGCCCCAACGCACGGCTAATCGGGATCGAGTACATGATAACACCCAAACTCTACGCCTCCCTCCCAGCCGCAGAGCGGAAGCTGTGGCACTCGCACGTATACGAGGTGAAATCCGGGATGTTAATCATGCCAGGTCCCACGACCGTGCCCGGGGCTCAGCAAGTATGGGAGGCGGCCGAGACGCAGGAGATGAAGCATGTTATCGGGCTGTACGGCAAGGTGTACCACTTATGGCAGACGGACCGCGGCGACGCCTTGCCGCTCGGTGAGCCTAAGCTTATGACGAGTTTCACTGCTGATGACCAGTTTGACTTTGAGAAGGCGGTGGGGGATCGCGATAAGAGGTTCGGTTGTGATTGGAGGCGGAAGAAGGAGTTGAGAGAGGGCATCGAGGTGCCTCAGATTCATCCGGACGCTGATGCGGCTTGGAAAAGACGAAATTCTATGTAGAGAGCAGAAAAGGGTGAGTTTTGAGCATTGCCTCTACTCTCACTTGCCATCTGAATAAAACGCTTCATTAAGGAGCGATTGTAAACTATTGAGAGAAGCTAAGCTTAGGAGTTATTGCGCAGCTTGTTTAGGTGTTCTAATTAACAATATTCGCTCTCGCCATTCCCTCTTTAAAACGCCGCAATAATGGGAATACAACTAACGCGGAAATAAATAGTCAGCCTACAAGGCGTGTAAAAGGAAGCCGTAAGCCATCCATGCGTGAGCTATTAGGGTCGAGTATTTTGCTGGTGTAGCATGCCGCCAAGCTGCCGAGTCTATTGCCTGTGTAGGAAACTCCTTAAGACTCCTTCCGTAGGTTCCGACAGTGTGAGCTAAGGCCTTAGTATTCAGGAGCAAAGTTGTCATGTTGATGTATGTTATATTGTCTTCTGGCTGGTGGTAGTGTCCGTCGTATGGATGCCCTGCTCTGCCTCCGTACAATTGTGCTTCCTCTCGGGTTTTGAGTCCGTTGGCACCGCTGAATAGGCCTGCAAAGGGTATACCGGCGTTGAAGAATGGAGCATAGTCACTGCGATTGCTGATTCTGGTTATCCCAATTGACTGCGCGCCCTGAACCCCAAACCCATCTTGTAGAGCGAATGTGGCGTCTAAAGAGCCGAAGGGTGCATGATGCGGAGAGGATGTGCCGGAGCTGTAATCTTCAGAGTAAACCTTTAGTGCACCATTTGACGAGCCGAGCATATTTACATCGAGATAAAGCCGAATTTTCCGAAGCTCTTCTGGGTAAGCGGAAGAGACGAAGTGCTTCGAACCTAATAGGCAAGGTTCGGCCGCAGTCCAAAATGCAAACTTGACTCTTGATCCAGTTTTGAACTTTGTGAGCCGAGCGGCGACTTCGAGAAGACTAGCAATACCGCTTGCATTATCATTAATGCCTGCGCTCTTACCAACCGAATCGGTATGTGTCCCAACCATTAACGTATTTTCATCGTCACCACATTCCTAAGTTGCAAACACGTTATGGCTTTTGAAATTAGCGGTAGAAGACATTTCATTTTGGTATTACTGACCTAGAGACCCATTCCGTCTTTGTAGATATCCTAACAAAATCAACCCATAACGGATGAGGCTGGTCCAGTATATCGTTAAAGGCCTTCTCTGATATCCTAGCTGATGGGAGATGTAGGGAATTGTGTCCACCTAAACTCGGAGTGAGTTGCGTGTCCTCGTGGATCAAAATGGCGTCTGCGCCGCAGCTCTGGGCAGCGAGAGATTTGACGGAGAAAGAACACCCTTCTCCATTAACCACCACAATCGCCCCTATGGTTTCTATGGGATAATCATACTAGTAATACCTAATATCAGCGGTCATGATCGAAGCCGAATACTAACCTACTCACATCGTAACATCCGTCCTCCCCAATAATTACGAGAGGACGATCGGTTAGAGCCGCAGAAGGGGACCATCCGACTGGCTCGGCATGTAAACGGTTACCATTCACGACTAGAGTAGCATGGTCGTTGACTGGCATTATCCCTTCGAATTTCTGAACTTCGACATAGTAACCCAGACTGTCAAGTTCGTTTCTGATGTACTTCGAATCGGGTTAGTTACCATAGAAGTTCACATACGTATATTAACTCATCGAATTATACCTCGATTGTTTGATTGTGGCCATGAGAACCAGCCATTCTACTCCCGTTATTCGCATGAGCGATTTCTTGTAGGGATTGTAGATGCTTGTGGATATTGTGTTGGTCGATAAGAACGGGGAGTGCCTGTAATGTCTTGTCAGCTTTATCCCATTTTCCCTGGCTAGAATCGCACATCTGAGACTAAAACCCCAGTGCAAGAGTCTTCGAAAGCCCGTCCCGCGCGAGGAAATGCTAGGAAAGATGTGGCTATAAATGCCCACGAGACTTGTGGCAACATCATCCTGCAAGGAGTTGTAGGGCAAGGGTTTCGAGGTGTAGCCAGGTCAAGGAAAAGTCGGATATAATGATGTATATAGTAGATGGTGTTTGACGATAGACCTATAAGATAATGCTATACTGGAATATCCGATCGATGGAGTTGTATTTGTCTGAGGTTCACATTGTAGAAAATGGAGGCGGAATTTGACGGGACAAGAGTTCAGATTGAACGATTGAGAGATTTGAGATTTTAGTTACCTACCGGGTAGGTACCTGCCTCTTGCCAACTAAGTGTCGACGCTCCTTCTCTCTAGCCCCTTAACTAGAGAAGGCTCATATGAAGCTAGGAAGCTTGAAGATAAGGAACGTCGCTACCCAGTAGCAGTTCTTCTATTTCAAAAATGCATGTGATTGTTGGAAGCGTTTGATACCTTCAACTAGAACGTCTTGTCATCGGCTATTGGCTTCATCTCATCACCCGTAGCCACAAGATTTACAATTCGCAACTACAGAAAAGGCCATAAAAGCGTTCGCCAGGACAAGATAATCTTTCCGACAAGAATAAAATGAGGAATTATTTCATTAGGATTGAAGAAATAATGCTCTACAATAGAAGATGGGAAGAGTGCATCTAAAATTGTTAAGAAAAAGTCAAGCGGGATGAGATTTGAAAAAGCAATTTTCGGAAGGGGGTCAACCTTGCTATATGCGATAACCCGGATATTCAATACAGATTCCCTTAATAGATGCATATCCCTTCCCATATCTAACCGAGTGGCTACGATTTCTTGATCTCTTTCACATTCTCTAGAGTCTACACCTAGGTATCTCCGAAGGTATCTACTGTAATGCTCCAATCTATTAAAATACACGCCAAGTTAAGCGGTTGATATCAGCTCCCCTATTGGCCTCGATCCTGGATAATATACTATTTAGGTAACGTTTGTTCTTCCTAGAGTCAATTATTACTTGTGATTCGTCAATGCTCTCCCGAGAGAACGCAATGACGAGCATCTCTAAATACCTGCATCATTGCCTAGTACCCACTTCAACTTTTGATTGCTTCATTTGGACTCTCCAAATCCTATGGTAGGATGGGCGACCATCAAAATCCCCCGCAGGGCCAACAACCTCCCCGCATCTAGACGAAGCTCTTTTAGGTATCGAACAACTTGGGAATATCTGCCGAGCCAAGGTTGAGGGACTAGGTATAGCCTAGTCTCATGACATAGTTGTTACAAAGACGTCAGCCGAATCAAGGCTATTCGTCAGCTCTAGATGGAGTTCATATATATCCTAGGCTACTATGTAGCTATCAGGCTAGACCATAGGTGTATACGAATATCTAGGAGTGTCTTTGAACGCCTTCGATTATAGTCTCTTTTTCAAGTTGTCTTCAAGCACGATGGCATCTGAACTTGAAGATTTGAAGGAACAGGTTTCCCTCCTCCGAAAGGAGGTCTCGCGCATCTCGGACGAAGCTGAAGTGCGGAAAGTCCACTTCAAATATGGCTACTATCTCGACAAGTGTTTGTATAACGAGGTAGGCGAAGAAAGCTATTGGCCAACTTACCATTATTGATTGGTGCGAATTCAGGTCGTGGATATGTACGCAGATCATCCAGACACCTATGTCGAATTCCTTGGATCACGATATCGAGGAAAGGAGGGCGTAAAACGACTCTATAACGGGCGCTTCCAGCAAAGCTTCGTCGATGGCCGCAATGGGCCCGTTCGTGGTTTCCTACTCGACCATATCATGATGCAAGATATCGTCGACGTCGATCCCAGCGGAACCCACGCCTGGTGCCGGATGCGCGCTCTTATGCAGGCTGGGACACACAAGTCCGTGCTAGGAACCCATCCACGCGGACACGTGCAATGGTGGGAAGGCGGGCTCTACGAGAACGAGTACATCAAGGAGAACGGCGTCTGGAAGCTATTCCGATATCGATATTTCCCGTTCTGGCACGCCGAGCACGAGAAGGGCTGGTCTTTGACAAAGGAGAACTACGTTCCGTGGCCCACCAAAACCTACCCCGAGGACCCTCTTGGCCCCGATGAGATTATCGAGCAGAAGATGCTCTGGCCCGACACGCGCGTGGTACCTTTCCACTACCCGCACCCGGTGACGGGGAAGAAGACGGCCGACGACGACCTGCGTGCACCGCATTATGGCAAGGACGCGAGCACGGCCGAGGCACCGCTCACACTGGCACTGCCGGAAGGTCAGAGCCGACCTGGAGCGGGGAATACCTGGGAGAGTGAGGGTTCAGTGAGGGTTCTGCCTGATCTGGTTGAGAACGCGTAGAGTGGTGGGTTGCATACATATAGCCTAAAGGGGAATAGGGAGACATGTCTAGAATCTGGGGTAAAGAGTCCATGACTTCGACCCACTTCTCCAACACCCAGCTTCTGGTATCTCGTGGTAGATTTGATTCTAGTACATATGTCAAGTGTTCTGTCCTATCCCTGTTGTATCGCTGTAGATAATAACTGCCGGCCGCGTTAAGATCGTGTCTACTTCTCCCCACCTTAAATAGTCTAGTGAGTCGAATTATACTATGCGGTAATCAGGTTATCGTATGCCGTCGGGATGTTAAGTCGGCCCCGACTATGGTAAGATGTTCCGGGGTGGTATTTCACATGAGAATGATAACGCCTTCGAGAGGGATTTCTCAATCCAATCGTGTACTTGCAATTACTAACTAAGCAGGCGTAATCATGGCGCATCTTGAAGCTCTAGCTCCTGAGGTGTCGCTGTATCCGTATAGCAATGGGAAGAGGACGGGAAGTCGGGTCAAGTTCCCAAATACGCTGGCGTTCTCGGGGATGAACAAGCCTGCGCGCTTCGAGGGAGATATCGTCGATCTTGAGGTTACGGGTGAGATTCCTCGCGATATTAACGGAACCTTTTACCGTGTGCAACCGGTGAGAAAGAAACTCCGAAATTTGATTGTCTATGACATATGTGGCTGATAGGGCTTAGGACCATCGGTATCCGCCGATGTTTGAAGATGATATTCATTTCGTAAGTTGGCTCTTAATCGAAAGGCTGCTTCGCGCCAACGGACTGCTACTAACTTCTTGACTGGTAGAACGGAGATGGTACGTTCGCAAAGAGATGCCGTATACTTTGAAAGAGAGTTAGTTCACTAATAAGCCATCGCGTAAATCAGGCGCCGTCACAGCAATCCAAATTAAAGATGGACACGCGAACTTCAAACAACGATACGTCCGAACGGATAAGTTTCTCAAGGAAGAAGAAGCGAAACAGGCCCTATTCGGACGATACCGAAACCCATACACAGACAATGAGAGTGTTAAGGGCGTCATCCGCACCGTCAGCAACACCAATATCACCTTCTGGCGTGGCATGCTCCTAGCGAGCAAGGAAGACGGCCCGCCGTACGCCATGGACCCCGTAACCCTAGAGACAATCGGGCGCTACGATTTCGAGGGCCAGATCACGGCCCCGACGTTCACCGCACACCCCAAGTTCGACCCGGATACCGGCGAGATGCTGTGTTTCGCGTACGAAGCTGGGACCAATGGCTCGGACTGTGAGGTCGATACCGTGAGCTGGACGTTCGACGCCGAGGGGCGTAAGACGGAAGAGCTCTGGTTCAAGGCGCCGTTCGCGGGCATGATCCACGACTGTGGCATTTCGAAGAATTACCTGGTGCTCCCCCTGACTCCGCTGAAGATGTCGCTCGAGCGGCTGAAAGCGGGTGGGAATAAATTCGCTTGGGACCCTAACGAGGATCAGGTCTATGGTATAGTGCCGAGACGTGGCGGTAAACCGGAGGACGTGAAGTGGTTTCGGGCTGACAATGGTAAGCCATTCTATACTTGTTATACTAAGCTTAGTTACTGGTGCAATGTCTCTAACGAAGTACCACAGCCTTCCACGGCCACGTAGCAGGGTGTTACGAAAACGAAGACGGCCACGTAATCTTCGACCTAACCGTCGCCGACGGCAACGTCTTCTTCTGGTTCCCGCCCGACGGGGAGAAGCCCGACCTAGCCGGCCGCCAACGTCTTAGCAGCCCTACGTGCCGGTGGGTATTCGACCCGGCCGCGAAAACGGGGACGCGTGTTACGCCGACGGTCGAGTGGAGCACGTCGGGGGAGTTCTCGCGCATCGACGATAGGTACGTGACGAAGAAGTACTCGCACTTCTGGCAGCTGCGCGTGGATCCCACGCGCCCGTACGATTTCGCGCGGTGTGGACCGCCGGCTGGTGGGTTGTTTAATTGTATGGCGCATTATACGTGGGATGATTCCGACCCGAATAAGACTGGTGCCGAGGATGTGTACTTCGCGGGCCCAACGGCGACGTTCCAGGAGCCGGTGTTCATCCCTAAGGATGGCGGTGCTGAGGGCGAGGGGTATCTGGCCGCGCTCAAGAATAACCTCGATGAGCTGCGCAATGATGTGGTTATTTGGGATGCTCAGAACCTCGCGAAGGGACCGTTGGCGACTTTGCATCTGCCGCTGAGACTGAGGCTCGGGTTCCACGGGAATTTTGTCGATCATAGAGATATCGAGGCTTGGCAAGAGCGAAGGGCGGGTGACTTGGGACCGGTCCAACCAGCCAAAGAACCGCTTCCCTGGCAGAAAGCCCTTGCGGCGAATGGTGTTGGGGGTCGTCAGAATGGCACTGTAAATGGGACTAATGGGTCTTTGTAAATGGGGGCGATATTTCTATGAATAAATATGCATTGGTTGCTGGATAATTTATCTGTTGACTGTTAGGTTCTGTGTGAAAATAAATGCAATGATCACTTACCTACCTGGTAGGTAGGAGGTAGGTACTTGTGCTGTGTGGCGGATAATATTTCATTCAATTACATACCTGATAGTTAAGTACATTGTAAATCATTCTAGTAAATCAATACGTAATACAGAGGTATCGTCAACATCATTATGCCTTTCCAAATAGAATCCCGCGTATAAATCCAGTAGGCGAATATATGAAAGGATGGATGATTCGTAGCTTTCGAGGGCCTGACCCCGTACGAGATAATAGGAAAGCGTCGAGTCTCTCAACCTCACCATCATCTTTCCCTTCCTCAACGGCTCGATCTAACTTGCCGTTGTCAAACGCTATTCCGTGCCACAAGAATATGCCTAGAATCTGCGCCTTACGAATAAGTGCAACACGCCGGGTGTCCCGAGACAGTTCCGGAATGTTTGAGAAAAGTTCGGCCCAGAAAAGCTTCCGGAGATACTTCGCTTCAGGATAGTAGACAAAATGCCCATCTCTGTCTTCTCCCAAAAGTTCCTGCAAGCCATACATGCCAACGCCAAAAGGAAGAAACTCGCCCTCGGTCCAGTCAACCAAACCCGCGAGCTTCCCGGTTTTTGGGTGTACCATAATGTTTGAGGGTAAGAAATCACCATGACTTAAAACCCAAGGTAGAGCCTCGATTTTCGATAGATCAAGAAGGACCGATTTTGCGATACCACGGAAACGAGACGGGAGCTTCTTCGCCATAAGCTCTAATCGCCAACGGATTGAAGAGCCGACTGTCTTTTTGTTTTGAATGTTCTCATTGCTTCGTGCATGAGCCCAGGCCGCCGCCTGGAGATGAGCGAAGTCTCTCACCACATGTTCTCGTTGTGACCTCCCTTGTGAGAGTTTGGTTTCGGCACGAAGATCCGCAAGCGAGACACCCGGTATCTTCTTCATGGAAAATACATAAAGGCCAGCTCCTTCTAACTCCCCGATGTATTCCGTTTCAGGAGCCAAAGGTCCAAAAATCTCACAGGCTGTGCTTGTGATCCCAATATCAAGTTTGTGAGCCAATGGCCTAAATTGGACAACAGTCTCCTCTCCGACAAATACTGTGTAGGAACAGTAACCTTGGAATGGAGCCGGCCGGACCGGCTCGGAATACCTTGACCTTACGAACGCATCACAGTCATCTTTAATACTTGAGGGTAATTTGCATCGATCGAAGAATTGAGAGAATGAAACACCGGAATCTTTCGGTTCATTAGCCATTGTGTTGTTTACCGGCTAGGTCTGACGTGAGAATCAGTCATGATACAACTATTACAGATGAAGCTATCGAACTAGATGTCACTCAGCTCAAACATATATAAATGCTAGGAAGCTAGTCAATCAGCTTCAGGGATAACGGTACCATGTGAAAGAATAGGTGGATGAGGGGTAGCATCAGTACAATGTAGGTTAGCTGATAAGCCCATCAAGCCACGCAACCCTGTGATCATTATGTAAGGGAGGTTGGAAATACTCAACTGGGAAGCCCGGGGAGGTCCCCCACGTGCCGCATATGCAGAACATGCTGAAGGATCGCACCATCGCCTACTAAGTATGGTTTGAGGCTCAAAACGATTGGCCAGGCTAATAAAACAGAATGAATACCACGGCGGCTATGCATGTAGGCAAGGAACTTTAGCGTTGCAAACGTGCGGCGTTTGTGAGATACTGCATATCGCAGTCAACCGCTGTTCCCCGGATTGCTTCATGCCTCTTTCATCTAAAGTCAGGTGAGAGGGGAGCAATTGATAGTTATAGCTAGAAATAACCCGCTAGATTCACTCGTGATGTTCCCTTGGGATGAGGCTGCCAGCTGAGGTGAGCTGAGTCGAGCTGGGCCACAATCTTTAAATCCATTAGAGTCAAATACCCTACCTGGATAACCAACGACTGGTTGGCTTCTACGGTCGATATTCTGTTTGACACAACTGCCGAAATGATCGTAGGCAAATATCGGTACTTGGAATTTGATAAAGATTATCTGACGCTCAACAGAAATATTTCAAATTTCGGATCCATTCAATCTTATAAGGTAAAGTTTAAGGTTGAACTTGAGTGCGTCTTCAACTGCGAGGGAAATGAAATAAAGAGATGGGGTTTCAATTAAAATTAATGGTTCCCATACTCTCCTAGTTTAACATGATTGGCTTTTTGCAATTAAAGATTAGTCAATGTGCATATATTAGGATTATGTATATATGCTGACAACCTTCATGCTAGAAACGAGGTTAGTTCTCATCTCCCGTTGCAACTTCTAACATGAAAAAAGGATGCTTCACAAGTATCAAAAGCAAGGCGGCTCCTTGCATAAAAAGTAATTATATATGCCCACTAGATAAGTATACCTGCATACGTGATACGAAACTATCCCATTGGAAGCCACGGCATCAATAATGAGCCACCACTTCACAACGCCAGCAAATTGGATTAGGTTTTGCCTCCAGCCTACAGGTAACTATTGAGGTACAATGGCGCAAAAAAGCAAGAACTCCGATTCCCCTTTGCATATGGCACATTTCAAACATTCCAAATTACTATGGACTAATATGAGGCTGCTACAGAGTTCTCATGTTCCGAATGACTGATCCAACTATATATCCGCTGGTACCTCAGGTAGGGTACCTACAGATAGATAGTCGTTGGTAAGAACGAACTCGAGTCCTAAAACTTACTTCGGATAAGGTCCCGGTTTCTACTTATATAATCGTGGCAATGGCTTCGTTCATCAAGTGTGACCTTCCTTCATCACATGTAAGATTGCATCGAAATTGGTTGGAGGCTTGGTAGCCGAATTTCGTCACTTCGCCGTACAGACTCCGTTCGATAGTAACATAACGAGTTTTATATATGTCTCGACATGCCCGATTCCGTTGAGGCTAGGCTGCTCATTTCTGTCAAGAGTTTTATTATTTCACATCCTTTTTTCCAATCATTGCTCATGTATAAAGTAAACCACCCCCTTAATCAATAATTCGTATCAATTAATCGACGGACAACTCAATCTCGCGATGAAGAAAAGGATCGTCGTTTGTTGCGATGGCACATGGCAGAATTCGTAAGTAACTCACATATCATATATATAATTCGAACATTAACGAGTGTTAGTGACAATGGCTATGTTCAACCGACCTCCTCCAACCCCCTTCCGACTCTCCAGATCCCGTCAAACGTAACACGTATTTCGAGAACCTTCAAGAGGACATGTTCCGATGGCACTTTTCAAATTGTCTACTACCAATCCGGCGTCGGCTCTAGATCGGGTCCAATCAACAGGATCCTTGGTGGCGCATTTGGAATTGGTATAGCAGAGGTTTAGAACAAGGGTAATCTCTCTATAACTAGCTCAAGAGGCTAACATGGCGGTAGAATATCCGTGAGGCATATGCTTATATATGTGCGAACTACGTCGATGGAGATGAAATCGTCCTCATCGGCTTCAGTCGCGGAGCTTTCACAGCAAGGTCCATTGGTGGCATGATATCCGATTTGGGCCTGCTCACTCGCGAAGGCATGGAGTTCTTCTACCCGGTCTTCAAAGACATGCAGAATTGGATGAATCCAAAATATAAAGATCAGTTTCCTCAGATCCCATTCCCTGGCAAACCAAAGGGACCACATGCTAGGGATGACTATAGAAAGATGCTTGTTGAGGTAATTCGTCGATATGATCTAAATGTCTCGTGGGTGTTAACTAGGAATAGAAAGGATACACCCGTGTACGCCAAGATAAGGGAAAAGGTGACTTAATTAGGATTAAAGCCATCGGTAAGTTATTAGATACGGTTAGCAGCCCAAATGTTAATAAATAGATACTGACACAGGACAGGTGTTTGGGATACAGTTGGTGCACTAGGTATCCCTCAAGGAAAGCCGAGAGAAATACTCGCTCGACTTGGCATCAAAATGCCCAATCAAGAATAAGTCCACCTAATCCTAACGAATCAAACTTATTAGGTACCTAAACTAACAATGACCTACATACCGATTCTACAATACCAATTTATCTAACAAGATCGAACATGGATTCCATGCGCTCGCACTAGATGAGACCCGCGGCCCATTCAGTCCGACTCTGTGGGAACAGCAGCCAGATGATCGTGATACTTCAGATCTTCGACAAGTTTGGTTTCCTGGAAGCCACGGCAATATAGGCGGAGGCTGGAAAGATCAAGGTGTTGCTAATATCACCCTTGCCTGTCAGTTTCTCTTTTCACAAAAAATCCTTCCCAAATTTAACATCTGGATAGGGATGATGGATCAACTTTCCTCCATTGGCTGCGAGTTCGTCCCCGATGCCATTGAGCAATTCTACGACCGCAACGTGCAGTTTTACCACAGTTTACAGCTGGAACAGTCCAAGAGGCAGAAATATACTGAAGGTTGCCGTGGATGCTGTGGTTGTGCAAGCACCAAGGTGCCTCTTCTTTGGGCCACAAAATCCATCTTCGACACGAATAAGCCCATCCGCCCTTGGGGTCTACATAGCATTCGATCGGTGTCTAGCCCCATCTACGACCTTGTCGGAAGCGTCACTCGTTCGCCGGGCCTGTACAAGAAGGTAAATCCGGATAACGGAAGCCCTAGGCGGGCCTTTCTTAAGGACACGAACGAGCGCATCCACAGTTCGGTCCGCGTGCGCTTAGCTTGCGAAGGCTTGGGACTCAACGACTCGAATCTCTGGGAATGTCCCGCGTTGCTGCAGTCGTGGCGTCCTCGTCACGTGCCAAATAATTTCGATGCCCCCATCCCTCCGGATGCCAGTTGGGGACCGCAAAGTGACGGAGGCGTCAGAAGGGGGCTGGCTGATAATGAGAACGCCACCGTTGGGGACGCAATCGATCGGGGCGGCACTTCTAGTACGACTATTCGTGGACCGGCTAAAAACGGAAACGATGCAACCAAACCAGCAGACAATGCGCCTGGGAACCTACGCTGGGTTTGGGAATATATAGGTCCCGACAAGAATGCCCCATACAACCGGACTTTGGCGGAGGAGACGATGGGGCCGTGGGAGAAACACTTACTGACATTATCCACCGGCAAGTTGGGAGTATATGATTATGCAGAGGCCCAGGAAGTTGCCAAGTTCAGGATCCTAAACACTAAGAAGTTCATGAAGAGGTTGAAGTCGAAGTCGAAGAAATAGGATTCGGGATGGAGAGGACTTAGCATTCTTAGTATTATTAGTATTGCTGTATTAGATGGTATTATTAGATTAGTGCTCTGCTTTTTCTTAATTAATATTTTGTTTTATTCCTTTCATTGGAGATTTCATTCCAAATCCGTTTAATACTAGGTAAGTATGCAAATAAGAAAAAGTACAACTTGTTGGGTGATTGATGGGCAAGTGATACCTAGAATGGGGTTGTGTTATGGTTGGGTACATCACGTGGAAATATCTTAGGCAGCGAATTATGTGAAAAGTCAAGCGCGAATCGGATTGAAACTTAGCTCAAGACTTAATTTTATACGGAGCTCATTAATAAGTTTGTATCGATTTTCTTCAACATCGTCTTTAGGTTTGATACTTCATCGATCGGCCGTTGCTCTGTCGGGGCACTAAATACGATTTTTGGCGTCTCTTACAAGACACTAGTCCTGCGCCATCTAAAGAGGCTGGTAAAGATGTTGTCGATTCTTCGAAAAGCACGGTTGAAGGATAAGGAGATGAGAATCCTGATGCTGTAAGTTCCACTTTTCTAATGCGCTTTCATATCGATTTATGTTGGGTTGTGTTCGCTGCTGTCTCAAATTGAAACTTGAATTGGGAAACTGGGCTGATAATAAGAGAATAGGGGCTTGGATAATGCAGGTAAAACGACGATCGTCAAGAAGGTGATGAATGAGGATGTCAACACCGTAAGTCCGACATTGGGCTTCATCATCAAGACAATTGACTACGAGGGGTGAGCGAGTTTACGATTCCACACAGTAACCAAAATTGTTGACAATGGTACAGGTATAAATTAAATATATGTGAGTTAGGACCTCCCATCCAGAATCTAGCAACATTCAACCAGACTGGCGACAAGAACGAGCAGAGAGCGGTGACTGATGAATTGAGGGGCTGCACGGAAATAGGGGATGTCGGCGGCCAGAAGACACTTCGCTCATACTGGCGCAACTATTTCGAGAAGACAGATGCTCTCATATGGGTTGTCGATGCGACAGATCGGTTGAGAATCGACGATTGCAGGGAAGAGCTTCACGGGCTGCTACAAGAAGAGGTTTGTTTACTTGCTTACTGTTGCTTTTTCATGGATTGGTTTATTTATTTTGTCAACGAACCTAGCGCTAACTAGACAATGGTATAGCGTCTTTCGGGTGCAAGTTTACTGGTATTCGCTAACAAGACCGATGTGCAAGGATGTATGGACGAGAGTGAGATTCTTCAAGGACTACAGCTCGAGGCTATTCGGACACACCGATGGCATATTCTGCGATGTAGTGCCATGACGGGACAGAATCTCAAAGAGGGCCTGGCGTGGGTAGTCGAGGACGCAAAAGCGAGGTTATTCTTGTATTAACGATTCTATGATCCTTTAATATGAAGATAAATCTCCGATTAAGTGATGTTGTGCTTGTGATATCATAGCATAAGAATTATATGTGCGAAGGCAGCATGGATGGAACTTTGAATAATATTATTAGAGGTTTAACTGTAAACCCCCACACTGCCCAGTGCCTATTATTACAATTTACAGCACAAAGTGTCGGATTTTAGGCGTTAACGCTAACCAGGATGGGAGGGCTTAATAAGCTTTTCGGGGTCAACAGTGAGGTAGCCAGGCACGGGGTTTACAGCCAAAGTGCCAAGCGTCAAATTTGATTGGTCGATGGTTTGTGTACCATAGTATCTGAATCGCACAAGCTGACAAGGACGGTACGACCCTGCAGGGGGTTTAAGACGATGACAGCCGAATAAACGAAGAAACAAGAGCCCACTTCCGACTACGTCTTTGCGTCTCCCGCAGCTGCTGCACCAACATATATGTAACCTTGTTTACCGTAGATTTTTTAAATATTGATTCTTTTTTAGAATCTTCGAACACGCATTAGATTGTTTAGACTACCTATTTACTTAGGTATATGTCTGAATCCCTAAATCCGACTGAATAAGGTCGAACATCACGAACGCCAGCAAGGAGAAACAAGCAGTCTTTTTTATCTGTTGATTTCTACCCGAAACTTGTGCGTGCGATTCAAGAAAAGATTGTAAACAAGAAAAGCCTCGCCTGCCCTTATTCCCATACGCGTTTCTGTGTCGTAAATTGTACACGTCCCTCGTTTATATTTTGGTCCTATCGGTAAAAATAAAAAAATGTCCGAAGACGTATCCAAATTTCTGCTCCAAGTTAAGGAATTGGGCGATCGACGAATCGAAGAGGATGAGGCCCGCTCACGAGAACTCGAGGAAAGGATATTACGAGAGAGAAAAGAACGAGAGGCTCGACGTGCAGGTAGGAAATAATTTCGATTAATTATTCTTGCCTTTAATTTCTTTAGAATTAGCTGTTAATGCTATATTTTTTGGTTAACTGACTATTTTTTTCTTAGAGCGTGCTAGATCTATTTCACCTCAAAAATCATCACCAGCAAATACCCCACCTCCTTCGACACACCGCATTGACACTCACGTTCCGACCGGCCGCTTAAACTTGGATTCTTCACCTATATTCGAACCTCCTGGAAGTCTTCACTCTCCAAAAACCGAAGAAATGTCATCCCCAGGTGAATTTTCCACTTCACCTTCGAAAGAGAACGAATTTCCCGTCGATTTAGAACGCAAGCAACCCAACCAAGTTTCTCCCACACGAACAACGAGAGGGCTATCGTGGCAGAGACGACCCACTTCCCAAGCTTCTGACCGTTCACGAAGTCGCCCGCTTTCCGTTGTTGCAGCTGAGAACCTGGCACGAAATACTCCTCCTGAACCTTCCCCGGCAACGGAAACTGTGTCTAGAGACCAAATTGCTTCGGCCTTGTCTTCTAAAGACCCGTCTTGGTTCCGCCAAACTGCAGACAGGGGTGCTAACTCTGCCGCCTATAGAAAGAACCAGGTCGAGGATAATCAAACCGCTGATATTTCTCTCATGCCCGCTCAACTCCCAGGCATGTCGCGTGCGTCATCTAGCGAAACTCCGAAAGGAGATGTTAGCCCACCGCCAACTTCTCCCGAGCTCTCGAATAGGCTGGCTTCACCCTTACCCTTATATGGCGCTCCGAAACTAGACCCTCCCCCTGCGGCAAATGACATCCAATTCGACACTGAGATTAGCCAAGAACGACTGCAACTTATGTCACCTTCTTCAGGACGTACCTCGCCATCCAAATTAGATAGATCAGGTTCACCTACCAAAGGTATGGGTGGTTTTGTACAGAGTGCCATGATGAAGCGCTCGGATAGCATCAAGAGATGGAGTGTTCAGTCCCCTTCTGGGGCTCAGCGTGCAGACCCGATTGTTCCGAACCGCACTGGATATGATTCATCAAACCGAGCAACTGGCGGGTCTAGATCAAGATCAAGACCGGCAAGTATGATTCGTGATCCTTCGGCGGAGTTTTCACCAAAGCCCCCGACGAGTCGAGAAGAGGAGCGACACGGCGATGATGTCTTTGGCGCGGAGAAACCGAGTGATTCGCTTAAGATCGATACCAAACCATCGCCGGAATTACAAGACCAGGAGTCTGGCAAAGACACTCCTTCTATTCCTGTTAGCCCTTCGAAAACTATGGATTCTAGGAGATGGAGCCCTACGAAATCTAGCTGGCTCGAGTCTGCCTTAAACAAGCCCGAATCTCCCAAACCAAAGCACGCCCCTTCCGCCAGTCAACCAGCTTGGATGGCAGAACTTCAGAAGGCGAAAGCTGAAAAAGCATCTAATCCCAGTGTGGAGAGAGGCCGATCAACAACCGTTTCACATAAGCATCAAGTCAGTATTGGTGGACTTATGAGGTCTTCCGCTCCTGGCCTCGCTCCTGGCGCTATTGTGAAACCAGCCGGTCTAGGCGTTCTTCCCAGTCCCACCATTTCGACAAATACCAATGCTCGCCCTGACAATAGCGTTGCTCCGAATGATCTAAAGAGCCCAACCACGCCTGACATCAAAAGTCCCGATTCAGACCGCAAGCTTTCACACTCACCACTTCCTAGTATCAAGTCAAAGCCTGACGCACCACCTACGAAAGATTTTCGAGCGGGTTTAAAGCCTAGACAGGCGACCATAACCTCTGATAATAAACCAGAAAATGAGCTGCAAAACGTATTTAGTAAATTAAGAAGGACGACCACGCAGAATTATGTTGCCCCAGATGAGCTAAAGGGTAATATCTTGAAAGGAAAGGCCGCTCTTAATACTACTGGAGGCCCTAAAAAGACAGAGCGCGTTGATGAGTTTAAAGAAGCTATTTTATCAAAAAGGAAGGATTTTCAGAAAGCACAGTCAGAAGGCCGTGGCGTCGTCGTGGCAAGGAAAGATAGCACAGCAGGCGAAGAGCCAATCCCCGAGGGCCTGATTCGACGGGGTCAGCTTGGACGATCTAATACAATAAAGCTAGACGCTGCGGCCTCAGACGCGATAGCGGCAGATTTGGAAAAGTCTAGCACATCACCGAAACCTGATTCTACCCAGGAGCCATTGTTTAGTAAAGTTCAACGGTTCGGTAATTCTGAGAACCGAGATCCTGTCTTAGGAACCAATTCATCTAGAGCGGATCTTCCAAGCATTCCAAGACGAGGTTCGGCTCAGACGGTTCCTACTTTGAAGAATGCCGATCCTCCGTCTTCAGCTCAGAAGGAGACGGTTATACCCGGAAGGCTACAGGGGAAGCCTGGTGGTTTGGCAAATCGATTCAACCCTGCTCTTGCCAGCCTTATTGCTAGGGGACCACCTACATCTTCATCCAACAACACGTCAACGACGAATTCGCATTCTAACGCTACTTCTGAAGGAAATGATAACGAGGCTGCCTCCGGCCCCAAACTAACACACATGACCAAGGGTCGCGCTAGAGGACCAAAGAGAAAGGCGCCGACTTCAGCGCCAACTTCAGTGCCAACAGCAACTCCGAGTGAGCCAGAGGAAAAGTCGTATGTTGCAACCTCAGCCAGTCGCCCCTCTACAGCTACTCAACCAGAGCGGACGCCTATTTCTACGCCAAAGCCGGAAGTGGTTGAATTAATTGACTCCTCAAAGCTGGAACGCGATGAATCGACTATGCCAAAACCGCGATCCATGTCTGTTATAAGCTCTTCTGCAAAATCGTTTGAACCAGCATCGGGAGAAGCTTCCAATAAAGCTCCCGACTCTCCGAACAAAATCCACGAGCAAGTAGCTGCGTTCGCCGCTCAGAGAAGGCAACGATCACCCACAAAAACATTTGACGAGCCCAAAGAACCCCTTTCGCAGCCGCCGTCTCCAAGAAAACTAGATATGAAACGAATGTCACGCTTCATTGACGAATCTAACCAGGATGCTGGGAATACTGGTGAGTCCCAGCAAGCGAAGGACACGAAGAGGGACATCGAGACGCCTCCGGTAACAAAGCCAAATTTAACCACTGACGGGCCTGCTAGTTCGGACATACCAGGATCCCAGCCTCAATCGCCTCCTCTGAGCAAGCCCAAGAGGCCGCTGCCAGATCCGATCCCTGTTAAGCCTTTAGGTGCACGACCATTGCCTAGCGCCCCAGCGGCTACTAACCCAGAAGCATCACCGGCATCTACTCGCCCCTTACCTGCAGAGCCCAAACAGGTCCCTCGACCGTTGTCGATACCTGCACCAAAATCACCTCCTCCCGAGACATCGTCGCCTGTACGCTCACCCACTAAACAATCCCTTGATGCTTCCAATCTCCTTGGTGATTTTTTCGGACCAGAACGCACCCGAAAGAATTATAACGTAGACGCTGCAGAGTTACTAATGCGCCGACCAAATGTAGCATCGACTGGAGTTCAGACATTAAGTGCCCAGCTATACCAATTTTCGGCCGACGGCAAGAAGATACCGGTTCCTACCCACCACGAGCGAACGCTATTCGAGCGTGAAATGTATATCTGCTCTCACACTTTCAAGGATGAATCGGGAAAGAAGGTCACGGAAGTTTACTTTTGGGCGGGGGATGAAGTGCCTCGCTCCACCGTAGACGACGCATCAACATTCCTCTCTCGGGAAGCAAAGGCTCTGGGTGGGAAATTAGTAAAGCTTCAACAGGGCAAAGAAGCACCTGAGTTTCTTCAAGCGTTGGGCGGTATAGTGATTGTTCAGCGCGGATCGGGAAACAAATTTGATTCTCTAGCTCCGCACATGCTATGCGGGCGGCGGTATCATGGGCATGTTGTATTCGATGAAGTTGACTTTACTCCTGCAGTTCTCTGTTCTGGGTTTCCTTATGTTGTGACGACAGCCGGTAAATGTTACTTGTGGAAGGGTAAGGGTAGCGGGGTTGACGAGCTAAGTTGCGCGCGTCTCATAGGAATGGACTATGCGTTATCGGGCGAGATGGAAGAAATGGAAGACGGTCACGAGCCAGAAACGTTTTGGAAGCTCTTCAAGTCTAGCTCGGCAGCTGTGTCAGCCGACCATTGGCGTCTCAAGCCGAACTACGATAAATACTGCTGCAGGCTATTCCGATCGGACGCAGCCTCCAAGCAGCAGGTAAGTTTCACACGCTGACTACTTCATTACGAAGACTTGTACTAATATATGTTACCCCGCAGATCGTTGAGATGTCTCCTTTCTCCCAGAAGGACCTACTACCCAAGAACATTTACGTACTCGACGCCTTTTTCGAGTTGTATATCATTGTAGGATCCCGGGCCCAGTCCCAGTACGCGTCGTTTCATAATGCGTTGGAGTTCGCTCAAGAGTACGGGATTCTCGCGGCGGGAATGGAGGACCGGCCATTCGTCCCATTCTCGACGGTCGTACTCGAAGGTATCCCTCGGGATATGAAGAGCGTGTTCCGCAAGTGGCGTGATGCCGACAGTCCAACAGTCACAAACGTGAACACGGGTCTTAAGAGAGGTCGCAGTCTACGAGTCGTGCCACTCAACCAAGCACTGCAAGCTCTGGATGATTAGGAGTCATCTAAGTCAGTCTTGAAACATTAAGTACGGTCTTTCTTTCATGGGCGATAGGGTCGAGGCAATAGCGTGGTACAATCGACCGGGTGATATAAGAACAGCCAGAGCTATTCTGTGGATGGCGGACGAGAGGCTTCATGGTGTATGTGCTCCGCGAGCACATTCACTTCTTCGATTCGTGTATCAAATAGGGTTTACTGGCCGAGTCACGGAGGAGACGGTGTTTGGGAGGCACGTGTTTACGCATGCATAATCCAGGCGGCGTAACTGGTTGTTGCGGGCACCAAAGAACCTCGATTCGAGAGTGGCCCGTGTTTTGCTAGATCTCACGACGGGATGACTAAGTAAGATTGATGTCGATAAAAATAATATGTCATTCAACTTGATGAAACTGGTGCGTAGTTGGGTTCTTGTTTACCTATGCATGCATATCTTGCTGGGATAGGGGAATATGCCTCGTTTTGGAGCTATTGTGTGAATACCTACTATATCAGTGACTAAAGCAATGGGATTCTTCAGGTGTGTTTTACTAAGGATGCAGCTTCTTTCCCTAATAGGATTTATTTTATTTGTTTGAGAATATTGATCTAGCTAGGCTGAGCACGCGTGTAAACAAACCTTGTTTTGATCCTGCAAAGGTCGCAAAGTTCGACCGCGAAGGCGGGTGAGATCATCGTCATCAGCTTTGTCACCTTACCTTGGCGGGACTTTGCCTGATCTTGAATCTAGATCTAGCAATATCACGCACGTTTAAATTAATTTCTTACTTGATCATGATGTAGGAGGCTGGGGATTCCTGCATGTCAGCTCCTTGGTCCGTGTGGCTGCTGACGGCATAAGCAATATTTCTACACTGGAAGAGACAGCGGGAAAGCCTTATTGAATATATCCCCCTATATATTGGGGGGTTATAGGTGCTTACTGCAGCTTTCTGCCGGAAACAAACCGGTTCTTGGTGGGGAGATGAGATGGCTGTTTAGGTACTTACATAGGTAGTGTTTACTTAGGTACTAGGTACGCTGTATGTCTCTCATATTCCTTATACTAACTCCGCGGTCCCGGAGTTTATCTTTGACGTATGTCTCTATCCGAGTCAGGTCTAATATATCGCATATTGCAATTTCGCCTATCTCGTAAAAATGTTTCTCGTAAATATCCGAGGAGATCGTTGGCTTGGATGGGTGGGTGTCACGGCCGTTGCGGTGGACACTAAACAGTATGTAAGTCTGACGTAGAGGTTGCTCATAGGCAAACTGGCTGTTTTCGTAGCAAACGAGCACGGCGAACTATGCGGTAGATGCATAGGTAGAATTACCTAAACATGTAGCTAAGTGGTCTAAACTACCTAGGTAGGTAGGTACCTATTTTAGAGTAAAAAACCCGAGCTGGGATGGAGCGCTACTGCGTAGCTCGCCCGTAGATCCCGCAAGCCACGAGTGCTAGCCGGTACTTACCGGTACCTACTAGGTAATTATCAGGCTATGTCCATGGCAGCTTCTGAATCAACACGGAAGAAGATTTCCAAATTCGAGGGAAGAGCCTCGAAATGTCTTAGGCGCGAAATTAAATATCTTTCCTTTTTTCCCTCCCCTTCTTTTGTTGTCTTATCATCGTAGACAGTTCCTCCAGGTGAAACATACATCAGCCCTAACGCCTTCTCAATTCCGGAGAAAACTTCCCGATACCATGGTTCGGAAGCTGGCGTTAGTAGTCTAAATGGTAAGGCTTGCCGAGGCCGTATGCGCTGGCTGTTGGTACCAACGCGCCATCGTCTACACACCGACAGTAACGGGTTTCATGACCCAGGAAGATAAATCCTAAAGGATCGCTCGGAATTGCATGTTAGTAGCAATATGTTAGCAGACATTGCAGTGTTCGACTAGGAATATTTCGTATTCGCGAGGGTTAGTATCAGTCGATGACGTACTGGTATATTTAGTGGTGTGGGATGTATTTCAAAGGGGGATGAGACTTTCAGCTGAGCCCGGTAGTTAGGACTAGTGTGCGTGGAGCCAACGCGTGTTTATGCGCTATAGTATGGGTTCAAGACTTTCTGCAGGGCGCTAGCTTCGACTAAAAAAGCAGATCGTTCATGTCAGGGGTTAGATCAGCCTACCTAAGCTCGCTTCAAAGTTGCGTTGTCAGTACACCGTCGACGTTAGTTACTTCTAGCCTAGGAACAAATGAAGCAGGTAACAACGAGCCGGTAACAAGAACAATTTTCATGATAAGCGCTTTCGAAATATGAAATGATGTTGGCGAAAGGTTCTAAATTAAGCGGCCTCGGTAAGAGGCGAAATAGATAAAAAGTCTATATACAAGAATCTTAAGATTTGCAGATTAATCTAATCAGGAGATCAACTAATCCTCGCTAGTTATTCCTTTCATAGCATCAAACATTAATTGAACGGCCGTCGCCCGTAACCCAAATCGTCGTAACCCGCCATCCCAATGTGTGCCGCCGTAAATCTCATCATTCCTTATCGTGACTAGACGTTATACCCGTGATAGATATCGTCGAACCTATGCTCCGTCCTTTGTTGGAAGCTAATTTTTTTAAAGTAAATCGATTTATAGCAAGGCGGCGAAGCCAGCTATGGCCAAGATGGCCGCGGCCGGGGTGGCTCGAGGTGCCAAACCACTGGGAACTTGGGGGATTGCGGTTGTTGATGAGGGGATGTAGGTCGTGCCGACCGAAGAAGAGTAAGGGGCAGGCACTGAAATGGTAGTAGGGTAGGGTACAACCGTGCCGGGCTTCGACTTGGTGAGAATGGTAGTGTCACTGTAAGTAACCCAGACGGTTGGGCTCGCGGTAACGGTCTCGCCGGCACTGGCTTCCGAGGTAATAGTTACCTCGACCTCCTTAGTCTTTGTGACGGGGAGAGTCTCGGTAACAGTGTATTCCTGGGTCTTGTAGATTGTCTCGGTGCCTGTCTCAGTAACGTAGATAGTGCTACCCTCAGAGACGGTGGTGTGGACTGTCTCGGGGCAGGTGACAGTCTGGTATACCTCGGTGGATACGTGTTCGGTCACAGTGTATGAAGTGTACTCGGTAGCAGTCACAGGGACTTCTGTCTTGATAGTGGAGGTAGATGTCCAAGTAACCACGACGGTAGAGCCTTCAATCGTCTTGGTCTCAGTAACAGGGCATAGAGAGGTAAGAGTAGTGTATGCCACATCTTCTGTAGTCTGAGTAGCGCCAGGCCCTGATACGGTCTCAACGAAAGTGGTTTCGACGTAAGTGACTGCTACACTTGTCGTCGTGTATGTCGTGACATAGGTATGGCCAGGGGCAGTGACTGTTTCCGTGATCGGGCATGTTGTCGTATAGGTAACTTCGACAGCAGTTGTAGTGCCAATAGTAGTATCAGGGGCAGTCACAGTCGCCTCTCCTCCTCCACAGCCACCTCCTGGGCACGAAGTAACAGTGATGGTTGAGGTAGTGGATGTGGTCTCAACGTATGTTCTAAAATGTTTGTTAGTTTCATGCTTAAGTCTTCTGGTGTTTGTTTAATAACTTACGATCCTCCGTACGTAACGGTGTTGGTAATGGGACAAACAGTGGTAGTCTCGTAAGTTGTTGCGGTGACGGTCGACTCATGGTCTTTGCCCGCCAGGACCGAAGCGGCTAAGCCTAAGAAAGCGAGAAATGTCTTCATTGTGGTTTATGTTGCGCCGGCAGAGCGAGTGTAGGTTGAAGCTACGTGAGGGACTACGAGGTGTAGTGTACGTGATAGCACGGTCCAACGAGAGTCTTAAGTAACCTTAGCGAACGAGTTACTTCGTAATGAAGTCTTTGGAAAACAGTAGGTTGGGGAGGTTGGTAATGCAGAGGTAGATATAGAGATGGGATGGCAAAGGATTCTTATATCCTCGTCCCACCATATATGCAAGAGAGCTGCAGAGTTGCTAGCGGATTACAATGACATATTTGCTTCCCTTGGCTTTGGGGTGATCGGTCAGTCTACGGGCACATGGTGGGCTCGCTTTTGAGCCGGCCTTGTGGAACGGATACATGTGGACTAAGGCTTCTCGTAACGATGTTGGTAGAAGTGGTCTAGAAAGACATGCAAGAGGATATTACTGAAAGAGAGCGCCCACTAACGTTACCAGAGACAACTCATCTCATAAGGAAATGGGCGATCCTAGTGGACGGCTTGCCGATCAAGACGGTCGTTCCACTCTCTGGTAGTCAAGTCATTAATCCCTCGAGATCTATTGACGATGGTGGAAATATCGGCAGCCGCAAGGTTCCAAGGCTAGGACAGTGGTATAAGCCGTGGTGTCTAGCTACACAGGTACCTAATGCAGCCAAGACGATATCGCAGATGCAAGGGAAAGGTTGGTTGCCATGCCAGGATATTCACAGCTCGATTTCCTTCAGGGGTTACCCATGCCTACCGGTAACAATGATGTAGTCGAGGCTGAGATCGTGGAGCGGCACTGGCCTGACAACACACCAACCCCTCATGAGTAACATGCGTTGTGCAGGAAAAGGTTTTCCATCTGTCACCGCCACACGCTGCATGGGCGATGAGCACGCATGGAGGAATAGTATGTATGTATGTTCCACCACACTTTAATTTGGCCACCTTCACCTTGCTCCGGCATAAGGTAGGTAGCTAGTCGCGAGGCACAGTTGTCTGGTAACACACACTCTCCAGCCTTATACAATTAGGCGAGAGAAAGTGGCAGAGAGCGACTAGGTAGGTAATAATAATAGCCAGCGCTGTTCATTGCCATCCCTTTAGGGATACTTCAGAGTACCGCGATATTGGGGTAACGGCCGCAATATTTCCATATCCTGGCTTCGCAAGATCGAGATCGAAGGTTGAGTTAAAAAGGTATGTGTTCGTCATTGAACAGTTGCCGAGGCTTTTAGCTGCATCGCCAGTGGTTGAAAAAAACAGCAGGTAGGCAGGTAAGCTCGTGTCCGGGCAACTAAGTCAGCTAGCATGGAAGGATCTGCGCGCTGTGTTTGTAGGCATCCAGTAAGAAGACGGGATAGATTGTGACGGCACGCAGGGCACGCAATGGCGGTGGAATCAACAAAACTTGCTTTGCAGTAGTCAGCCCATTGTTTTCTCCAACCATCGACTTAGACCAAATGGCAAATACCCAAACGCCTAGGCCGCTCTGCCGTCCTCCAGTCCTAGGCAAGTCAGCTAGCTGCATACTGCTTTTGGCATAGTGTCCTGTAGGTCCCGGTGCAACGACTGCAATCTCCCATTACCGCAATACCGCATTCCCGCATTCCCGCCTCCGCGTCGGCGAAAGCTTAAAGAGAATATCTGGGGAGCATTTGAGCTTCCGACTGAATGGTAAGCTACCGGCAATCTGGTTTTCTACAACCTCAACCGTGAGACGGTCACGGGTAACACCACGAGGCCGGGAAACAGGATAACGCTCAACACGAGGTTGCGAGGTTGTAAGGATTGTTTCAGTCGGTAGTGTTTAATTAGTTGGGTCTCTTTCTGGCCATTTTCTGGTCAGGATTATGGTCGCACTGCGTAGTCGAATGGTGGTTCTATTCTGTAATATTGTGCCACTCGTCCGATTAAGGACATGCCACTGCATCTATTATTTCGGGCAATTCTCAATTGGCAATTGGCGTTGGTATAGGTGTAGGTTTAAAATAGCAACTATTACTCTTTGTCATTAAATCATCATCCTGGTCAGTTATTGTCATGATGATTTTTTTTTTGTTTTTTGGCTGTACGAGTTTGGATCCGGATTCCTCCGCGCTTGGTAGGGAAGCACGTGGATTAATTGGCAAGCAACACATACTGGTTGTTGGTGAAGTAGAAGCGAATTATGCCCGGCTACAAGGAGGTATAATAAAGTGTTAAGCGACTGAAGTACTATGAGAAGATGAAAATAGTTGATGTGGAAAGTAAATGAGTAAAAAAAGTAAAATAGGTTTTAGATTAGAATTACCTCCCAGTTACTCCCTTGATATCTGCATATTCAATTTAACATATTACATAATCGAATAAATACTAGTATATGTGCATAAAGCAGTGTTTAATAGAATATGCATTTATCTGCTTGCGGATTAAGTGATATCGCTTGATATCGCTTAATATCGTTATTCCCTGACTTTCTAACTCGAACTACAAACCTTCACATCTACAAACTTATAAGCAATCCCGCGGGTAGCTCTAGCAAACAACATAATCCATAGGTAGGTATCTACCTGTTGGGGTCATATAGTTATGAGGCTATGAGGCCCATGATACGAGGTCAGTAAGGAGTCGTTTGTTGAGCTCTGTTAAACTCTCCTGATCAATTTGAGCTCTGCGCCGCGCTCCAAGCAAACAAATTAAATGAGGGTATCAAAATGTCACTAATAATACACGCGTATGTCCTCATATAGACATGTCCTAATCGCAGGACCTCGGGAAAGCCATCATGCTGGTATGTCTCGGCTCCCTTACCTACCTCCTATTTCGAGCCTCTTGTCTCAACTCAATGACAACTTTTGCGACAACACCCAACGGAGCTTTTGCATCACCCTTCACAACGTCTGAGCCAAACCGTTGCATTACTTTGTCCGTGTGCCATCTCAGATTTTCCTTGTTGATAAGCTTAAAACGCTTGTCACCTGAATCTACCAAGGCCGCTGGCGGCGCTTTCGCGAAGAACAACTTCACATTGGCTTCGTTGACGTCTGACTGCAACCCTGATTTAACAGGCCACGGGATGTTCGTTACCGAGACATTAGCGGGCTTACTCCATGCGTTGGAATACCGTTCCCAAGCAGTGCGCCACAGTTCTGCTTCCTTTTCCGCCTTTTTTCGGGCTTCTTGTTCTCTCCACTCCTTTGCAAGCCGTACTCGCACGCGGAATGCCGCTATTCGAGCCTTCTCCTCTTCTTCCTTCTTTTTTTGTTTCGCTTCCTCTTCCTTTCTCTGTCTTGCTTTCTCCTCTTCCTTCCTCTGCCTTGCCTTCTCCTGATCCCTACGCTTCTTCTCTTCGGCTAGACGTTCATCCTCTTCTCGCTTAATATTTTGTCTACTTCGGTGTCGAGGATCCTTATAGTTTTGATCTAGGACTGCAATTCCTCGTAATAGTTCACGGAGAAGGTCTTCGGATTCTTCTGTCTTGACGCGGGATTTATCCTTAGACTCAATGTCATCAGCCCAGCTCTCAAGCTTTCGTTTCCATCGCCTAAGTATGTCTGATATTTGGCTGTCATGTTGCCAACACAGCATGATCTCTGCAGCATCGTGAAGTTCCGGCGATTCCGCTGCTTCGGAGGGGCTACCACGCGCCAGCCTATTGAGGATACCATATCCATATGAGGTCTTGTGGTGGGCAATATATCTCTGGCACCTCCGGCCACGCGTTTTTGCGAAGCCGATACAGCAGCCACCATCGATATCACCTAGGACGATATCCGGGTCCCATTTCTGGGAGTCTGATAAGCGTTGTGGAGAGTTGAGCGGCGAGCCATGGTTAAAATGCATGTTGGATAAAATACTAACGACTTGCAGGATTGGGAGCGTTGAAATTGAACCGAGTCTGTGGATTGAGAATATGAGAATACCTCATCTTCTTATACTCACTTATGCATTGGCTGCCTCGTGAAGTATACATGCTGCGGGCCGTATGCATGGTACCTATAGCTTCGGACTTTGAAACCACAGAGGCTTAGGTTGCCAAGTGGTACGACGATACAGTACCTTGTGGGCGAAGCAGCTGGGTATACTATGATATCCTGGCACCAGGTATGCAACCTCTTCCCCTTTTCGATTAATTGATTGCATATGCATCGGATTATAGGTATCGTTCGGTAAGTTTAACGTTATGTTGTGACCAATGTCGCCGGCGAGATGAAATTCCCAGTCAAGATAACGACGCAATTATCGCTCTCCCCATGAATTTAACCGCTAAACTTACTGTTCAAGTCCGTTCTCGAGGCCTGTGAAAAGGTTGCAGCATTTGAGACTCTGTTGGTTGCAACTGACCAATCACAAACCGTTCCAGCAGTACGGCGCTCGAAGAGATTCGCTGGATGCAACCCTACTAAGTATCATGATCCTTTCGTCTAACATGGTTCCGCATACATTCGATTATTACAACCCTTGGAAACTTGGATCGCTATTCTTCGGATTTATCAAGACATCGCCAATATTTCGGGAAGGCTGTGCATGGTGTTTAGACTAGGACGGAGATCTGCGCGATAATGGCTCGTTTTTATTCCCAATACGGCTCGGCACGTGGCTGCTCTCGACACCGGCGCTTATCAAACACCATTGCGAGAGATGATGTCTCTTACGTAGTCAATATTTCGAAACACGATGTCCTTGCCAGGCCGCATTTTTGCGAACTTGGTCGAGATTTTGTGTCTCTTTACCTTGTAAATACGACTACATCGATACTCATCATAGGATCGCAAGGCGGGGCGAAAGCGATATTCAAGAACGTATCAATACGAGATGCTCCTCATACTGGTACACGTAGCACAACCTCATGAGAGGTAGTTTTTGACGGCCGGAACACTATCAACAACCCAAGCTCACCCAGAACCGCACTTCTCTACTAAACCCCAAGACCTCATACATCTTGATATCCCATATCCATATTATTTTCAACATATAATATTTCAGACACTTGGCAGATTGGTGCTGTCTATCAGCCATGTTATGAATCTATTAGTACCATTATCTCTAGGATCGCCCAATTCGACCAGGATAGGTGCCACACATATACCACCATCGAGTTCGGCCATAAAGCAGGCCTGAAAATTACCCCGGGAGCTACAGTTCTTGCTGTGAGCCCGTGAGTCAGCCTATCATTATTCGCGGCCGTGGCGGTTGTTAGTTAATAGCTTCCTCTGGCTATTTTCGAATGAGAAACAACTCCCCAGTTCACTTGGATTGAAGTACACATCAGCATCTCAGCATGTATCCTTCTTTCGTCTGCTAAATATAGCCCCTAATTATCACTAAGGTCTGTTAGGAGAGGTCGAGAGCTTCTGCTCGACCCGCTAACCTCGCTGAAAGATAGCTTTACTGAGAAATACAGTTCAGCAACAAGAAAGATCCCTTTCCCGTTATTTCTGTTATATGGGAGGTGTGGTTAACTAGATTGGCTACGTCCGACTTTAGCTCTGCATTCAGATATGAGACAAGCTACCCACCACCACCTTTATTTCTGCCTTCTCCAGTAGTGTAAAGCCATAAGTCAGGTTTCCTAAGTATACTAGTCTAGTCTCTCCTGAGAGTTCTCAGCTAAGCAAGAATACATTCTGGCTGTGTAGGAATATGCACCATTAATGATCTCCATAAACATCTGGGAAGTCTAGAAATTTAAGGTATATGGCTTAATTCGCATGCTAACCTGGATACTTCACTACTTAGACCGCCTGCTAGCTATCTTCTCGGACAGCATAATTCTCGTGCATATCATAGAACATAGAAGATAGCTAGAAACAGGTCCGTATCAGCTGGGAGGCTAAACCAGCATACTCAAACCTTTCATACATGCTCAATTGGTAGTTAGCGATTACCCCAGCAGAAGTATTATTTGCAATTACTCTACTGTACAAGTGTCAGAAGAAAATATGATCAGAGTCAACGCCTTACCCGCCGGACTCGGCGAGGCCAGAAAACCAGCCGGATATGCGCTGTCGCTTTCTTGTATTTTCATGGTAGCCTATCAACAAAAATTATTAAGCCATTTCTCCAACTTTCTTGTCCAATTCGGTTCATCCCAACCCAACCCAAGACCTACTCCGCGCAGACATTCAGATAGGGCCAACATGTAGAGAGGCCTACTGTACGCAGCCATAATCGTGGCGTAGTTCAATGGCTTCGAACGGACGTCACCTCACCTTTCGAAGTTTGGAGTAAGATTTTTAGCGGTTTGTCAATGGGTACAAACTTCTCAGAGGAAAAATAGTCTACAATGTTAGTGTTCTCAGTATCATCGCCAGGCAGATTACACTGCGCGTCTGTTCATAATTCTTGTCTACATGCTGACTATAGAATAGGTACGCTAGGATCGCGAAATATACTCCCAAGCGCTTCGTAGCTATCATAGTAGCGAGGTGTCCGCCTGGGCCGAACCCCCGTATACCGAGCTTCTGGGCGCGGCCCGTGGCGCGAATCTGGCCTATGACATCGCACACAGCGTCGTAGGTATTAAAGACAAGGCAGGGACTATCTCGGTACGACTGGCAAGGTCAGGAAACATCTAAGTTTCAACTCTATGGGAAATGAGCCGCTGGTCAGCCTCTTTTGCCTTCGTTATTAGAGCCAACGACCTTGTAACGACCACAAGGGAGTACCAGAACACTACACGACCTTTGAGAGCTGCGGGGAGGAGACTAGGTTTAGGTGTTTCATACATCGTGCCATGCGATTCAAAGTAGGCCAAGAATAGTCAACTGTTGAATTGATGTCGACAATGATGGAGGAAAAGGGGGATTGCCGACGAGTAGCGGGAATTGGTTCAGCTTTACCGCGCTGAAAGTGTGTCCAGATATCATGCATGTGGAGGCTTGAAATTGCAATATCTTAGAAGTGCCGCTAATTTGAGCTTTTTATAGATATTGAATCCTAGGAAATTAGGTTGAGCCATCTTATGAAAATTTTGCTGACTCATCATGGATGTACGCCAGCAACACTGACGATGGATCACTGGTGGCGAGAATGCCAAAGTACCCTAGGAAGAACGACCCTTTGTATATACTATGTAGGTACTTAGATAATTATAATATGTAGGTACTGGGTACTTATTTACATGTAGCGTTTGAAGACGTCCACGGAGAATTTGGCATCTACCCAGGTGATGTAACGGCCTAAACTTTGAGTATTGTCACGATAGCAACGCCGTCAGGATGGCTCATAATTTTCAGGTATAACAGTATGCTCAGGTACCTGGTACCATTAGGGGAGTATTCTCCACTATTAGGTACTTTATTGGACAACTCCCGCACTAAAATTGTCTTCCACCATTGCCCCTATTCCATGCCTCTATCCACTGTATCGTCGTCGCTCCTTCCACCAGCAGCCCAATACAAAGGGAATGACTCCTCGCAACACTAAATCCATCAGAGCACCTGTCTGATTTTGATGAAAATATAAACGGTTCGTACCCTACTACCTTCCTCCGTCTTTTCCTTTTCCTACGACCAACCCACATCTTCCATTCGTACCATTGAAGTTTCTACAACCAAACTTCCTTATTCTACACAATATCTTCGTGCACAACCTTTGCACATAAACCAAATTCTCTGTTGTTACTTTTAGTGATCCTATCTCTCCCTCATCACCAAACATTCATTTGCATTCTCGTCTTTACGCTGAGGCTCATTTCATCTTCCACGCACATCAATTTCCTCGTGCAAATACCTATCAGGTCAAGTTAACATACGGTGAAACCCTCTCAACATCATCTTGGAAGATTTTTTATCTGCACAGATACCTTTTGTGCAGACTTGCGATATCTCAATCGCGTCGCGTAACTTCTTCACCTGTGAACACGCCCAAGTTTCCAGGCGCAATAGCGAGGTAAGCATGTTCCTTCCATCTCCTAATCCCCAAATATAACATCCATGATATTTTATCATCGTCGTTTCTCTTTTTATTTCAATATTCTTCTCCCTTGGAAGGAACGAGACCTACATGCGTTGCAAACACCCGGAGTCAATCTTGTCCCTAGCATCATCCTTCATTACCAACAAGTACATCGTTCCTTACACCCATCATTCTCGACACCGTCCATTACTCCTACTTCGAACAATCAACCTAACATTTTCATACTAAGCTAGGGATCTCACGCCGGCTTCTTTTTCGAGTCTTAGATCACGTTCTACATCCGTTAACGATACCTGGTATCATTAACATCTCTAGTAAGTTTTTATTCTTATTGAAGACACTCTTACATGATTTTTGGTACTTCTCTCAGATGATACCATCTGGGAACTAGCTTGCTAAATCTTGTATATGATACCACATACGCAAGTTCTAGTGCATCCCATTTATTTACCTAATAACTGTTCCATATTCAAGCTAACTTATCATCTTAGAGAAGATGACTCAGGTGGAGGTACCGAAGCGCCAGAAATGGCTCGACGTCTATGACGCAGCCACTGGCACTTACCTACCACAACTTATTGAGGACGAAAAGCCCCCTGTCGTGAAATCACCGGACGATGACTCAGACAAACCAATCATTGAAGATGCCGTGGAGGCACAGACGGATGCCCAAGGTTCGTCTCTCGCGTCTGGACCAACTGGAGACAATGAGGATTCGAAGGTTGCATCTGTTGAGAAGCTTGATGAAGACTCGGCATGTCTTCAAGAAGAGAATGGTTCGTCGCGAATGACCGATGTATCTGAAGTGAAGTCCGGAGACAAGAAGAGTAATGCATCGGAAAAGAACTCCGATGACGAGAAGAGCGACGCGTCTGAAGAGGACTCCGGCGACGAGAAGATTGATGCATCGGAAAAGGACTCTGGCGACAAGAGCGATGCATCTGAAGAAAACCTCGGTGACAAGGAGAGTGATGCATCGGAAAAGAACTTCGATGACAATAAGAGCCACGTGTCTGAGGAGAACGCCGATGACAAGAGCAACGTATCTGAGGAGAACGCCAATGACAAGAACAGCGTATCTGAGGAAAACGCCAATGACAAGAACAGCGTATTTGAGGAGAACGCCAATGACAAGAACAGCGTATTTGAGGAGAACTCCAATGACAAGAGCAACGTATCTGAGGAGAACGCCGACGACAAGAGCGACACGTCTGAAGAGAACGCCGCCGACAAGAGTAATCAACGAGATCTTCAAAGTCCTGTAGCATCTGCAATTCAAGAAAAGGATGCTACCGTTCAAGAGAAGGATGAGCCATGTGCTCAAGATCTTGCTGAAGATCAGTCCCCGCAGACTTCCATGCCAGGAACTCTGGTCGGCGCTGGCGGCGCCATGGAGGGTACAGCTCTTAATCACGCCAACGAGAATCCTGTTAGTCCTAGCCCGCTGGACATGCAGGAGAAAGTCGTCGATGATGATTTCCGGTGGTCCGATCCTGAAGCACTCAAGAACGAGGATTGGAATGCGACTTGGCTCGACCGAGACGCCGCCTACGAGCGCTACCAATGTGAGAATCCTGACAACGGATCATACGCCAGCAGTGAAGCACGCCCGAAGATGTCTGAGAAATTGGCAGGATATGTCAAGAACTGGGTCCAAAAAACTGCTGACCTTCATTCTCCGGGTAACAAAGAACCAGTTGAACATCCGGTTGAATTAGGAGGTGTGTATAGGCTGGCCCAAACGTGACATGCTAGGTACCTGATGGAGTTGCTAACAAACATGATTAGTGAAAGACAGGGTCAAGGGTGTTGACCACAGTACAGAAGATAACATTGACCGTGCAAATCGTGAGGCAGAAAAGACAGTCCAACAGAAGGCCGCCAAGGCAACCCTAGAGCCGGAGATAGCTAATGACGAATCAAGAGCAAAAGGGCTAGAGCAGACAATTGGCTCTGAAAAGTCAACAAGTCAGCAGGATGAAGCGGACAAGAAGAGTATTGAAAATCCACGTGAGATCCGAACTCCGGTCCATCTTCGGCCGGCAGTATTACAAGACATGTCCCAAGTTACGGAAATCTACAATGCCGAGATTAAGGCAACTCCCGCGCTTCAAGATAAGCACCCGGTTAATACTGGTGATTTTATGAAGCTCTACCATGATGCTCGCAGAAACAACTTACCTTTCGTCGTTGCCATAAAAGGTTGGTGGGATATTAAGAAAGGTAATGGTGAGGTTGTTGGGTTCGCTTTGATGGACGTGGCTATCAAGGGAATCGCCGGCTCGCGTGAGACAAATGCTGAAGGAGCGGGCAAATTGACAGTCGTTGTCCATCAAGACTACAGACGTCTCAATATCTGCTCGGCGATGATCGACGTGGTTTTATTCTGTTGTTCTCACCGCTACGCGGTCCGCCTAGGTTACCAGATTGTCAACCCGGAGAACGACCATAGTATGATGAAGCCCGAGTACAATCCTCGGCAGTGGAAGACGGTTGATATCGAGGTCGTCGTCTGGAGTCATGTGGATGAGCAACGTGCTATGGCCGATCCACGCTACAAGTGGATTTCCGAGTACCTGGACACGTATTTCCAGATGAAGCCCGTATCCCGCGACGTCGCTCTGTACAATGTCGATGGTGCACGGTACGATCGAGTCACCTTCCGACACCATTGCCACCCCGCCAAGGCACCATCAGTCTCCGATTCTTGAATGCTGGACTGCAACATACCGAAAGTCAGAGGGACTTAACATGAGAACAATCAGTTGCACGTAACTCGTGAAGTTTGAAGGCATGTGCGATAATTTGCCTTGCCGACTCTACCGGTTGCATTTTCCTTTACTTTGCACTACTGTCGTCAACATTGGACGCCAGTTATCGTCATTCCAACAAATACTCCCGAAATCACGCAGACGATCGCTTTTTCGTCTGAATATTCTCCCCCGCCTCTCGTCAATTGAAATAAACGACCGATGGAACTGATATGGTCTTTGGTGGGTTGAGACACGTGGATAGGATGGATGGATGGATTTTCTTTTTCTTTATTTGCTCATTAATTTCCCCCTTTCCCCAATGGTCAATGGTTTACGGATGGACAAAAACGGCTTGTTTTGCTTTTTATCGTCGAGTTTCTGAATCACCGCTCATTTAGGGTCATGTTGCAGTAATAAACTCGTCGATTGCTCTGACTTGATGTCTTCTCTAACAGTCTTTGTGAACTTGGAAATTTCGTGAAAGTAGAAGGTAGGGTGATTATGCACTCACCCGTACACCTATTAGATTCCAGTGTGTCCCAGTAAAAGCCACAGACGCACCTTCGTAATTTCTCGCTACTAAAAGCAAATAATGGACATATGGTACTAAGCAAGTAGCATTGATATTCAGCATACTGAGATATACATAGGTCCCGACTTTATAACATGAAGATCCCTATCTCTAGTAGGTAGTAAACGATAGACTCGAATAAGAGTCAAAGTCATAGGCGCGAAAAAGGCGCGAAAACGCTCAAAGTGGAATCGACATCCATCTAAAAAAGAGAAGCGACAATTGGCCAATCTTAGCAACCTCCGATGATAATACATACACCACCCAGCATTTGTTAGAAAGACAGGCGCACTGTTCTGGATAGGTACCTAGGTAGATAGCAATAAGAAGACGCCATCGAAAACTCCGATGCAAGCCCATGCATGTAGGCAAATTCCCGCAAAGCAAAATGACCGGATCCAGCCTCAGTAAAGCCCCCAACTCCGATAATGTATCTTTATGATGCACCAATACTCCGGGAAATGTCTCGCGGTTACATGACGGCGCATGCAGCCGCCACGGTCCGAGCTCGCCGGCGACCAGCCCCTCCCTGTTCGTCTTCGTGTAGCATCTGCGCTTCTCGAGCCCGCCGCCTCCGTCGTCTAGATCCCGCACCAGCTGCTCCTGCTTCTTCAACAGCTTGCATATAATCCGCCCACTTCCTCTCCAACCGCGTGGCGGCGGCAAAGTCGCCCTTCAGAACCCGTTGTGTGTGTTGCTGTACCGTCTGTTGCCACCCATAAAAGCATTTGAGACCGATGATCTCGGTTGGGTATGTTGCCGAACTTTCATGAGGTTGCCGGATTTCGGCATTCCAAGATAGTATCTCCCGAATACCGGTCCAAGTTACCATTTGACAATCGTACACGATTAGCTTCAGTCCGATGTGGGGACGTGAGCTACGCGTCGATGTTCGGGCTGACCGAGACCTAACCATAGCGGCGGCCTCCGTGAGTACTAAGTCGCCAATTCGCGTATTGTCCATATCGACACTCCTGAGACTGACACAGTTCTTCATGATGGGTAACATGCCGGTGTCACTGATATTCTCGCAGTAACTCACTGAAAGATGCTCGAGTTTCGGTGCGCATGGGGCCTTAGCCAAATGTTGAGAGAGAAAATCATTGGTCAACTCCGAGAGTTCCTCCAGTTCTAGGTGAGTGAGACGGGGAGTTGAAGCAAGAATTGGTTGGAGAGCAGTGTCTGTTAACGAAGTACACCCACTTAGCTGTAAACCTTGTAGGTCGGGAACGAGATGACCCAACACAGCTACCGCCGGGCTCGTCAATTGTGAGCATCGGCTAAGGTCCAGGTGTTTGAGCTTTCTTGGTGGAACTATTGGTCGATCTGTGAGAATATCCATTTCAGGTTGACTGCCATGGATCATAGTCTTGAAGGCTTCATCATCAAGATCTGTGCATCCACTCAGTACAAGTCGCTCAAGATTGTTCGTCGTAAAGATAGCTTCGGCTACCCCTATATTGTTGAATCCCTTGACTTCCCCTGCTCTTATTTCGCGTAGCCTTGGGCATCCAAGAACTACCATTTTGACGCCTCGGGCGTCCATATGTTTACACCATGATACATTAAGAGTCTCAAGCTGCGGACAATGTTGCGAAATTATCTTGCATGTGCTGTTTGTCACAGCTGACATACTTGTAAGATTGAGGTTGGCAAGCTTCTCGTTAGTTCGGATAAGGTTGTGCAGAGTGTTTCGCTGAAAATTCCGACATCCCTCTAGTGTTGCATTGATTAAATTCTTGCAAGACGTGACAATGACCTCGGCCCGCTTGTAGTGCTCAATTTGGAGGCACCCGCGGATATTCAAGTCCTTCACGAAAGGACCAGCCGAAAGTATTATCTTAGCCAGAGCCTCTGCGGGTATTTCCATGTAGAATTCGGTAGCATCAAAATGGGTCCACAACTGGCCGTCGAAGCAGAATTTGTGGAAATCTTTGCTCAAGCATGAGATGCGTATGAGTTCTTTCGGTCGCAGATATGACAAGATATGGACTCGAATTTCGTCGGGCATCTTTGCCCAGAAGTCAAAGGGTAGTTTTCGGACCGTACCGGATCTCGACCTTGAAGTCGCAAATTCGACTGGTAGGGAGGATGTAGTCGGGTTTGAATGCGTCGTAGACACATTAGCAACTTTACGTGCTATACGAGTTTCGATCCCATCAAAGGCAGGGAGTTCGGCGGTCGGACTACCGGGGGTAGAAGACTGTCCATTTGAGAAATACCCTGGCGTGACGCTGCCAGAAGACTGTCCGAATGGTGAAGTCGCTGCGAGACTCACACATGACAAACTACCTTTGTTGCCATATGGAGAGCTAGAGGGTCTACCACGACCAATCTGCTGTAAAGAGGGTGAAGAAGACATTCGCTGAATGCCTTGAAGTAATCTCTGTCGACGCTTCTCCTTTGGGCGGATTTCCAGTGGCGTCATAGCCGGCAGCTCCTCATCAATTGGATCAGGTGGGGTGATATCGGACATGGTGGATATTGCTGTATTCTGCGATGCCTCAACAGAAAACAGCTCGAGTATTTAGTGTGGTCAAAAGGTTGCCTTCGAGGACAAGGCTGCTGCGTGAATAATGAATGACAAGATAAATTGACCGAGACGATAAGGCGTCGTGTGTTCCACTGCGGCGATGAGGTGTTAGGTACCTATTGTTTGCTACCAAGACTATCGTTGCGGATGCGGGGGATTTCAGATCGTCACTAAATCAATTAAGATGACCAGAAAAGGCAACACATTGAGTTGCAACCCTGTCAGGTATCTATGTCTTCCTCGCAATCGTCAACCCAACATATTTTTCATTTCAGTTTCTTCCGGTGGTGTTCCGACTATGCTTCCTTTGACCTTCGGATTTAGCACAATAGAATACTTAGATAAACGAATGTAGGACTAGCCAGCCCTATTGTGAGCTTTGTGAGCTTAAAAGAAGGTGAGGAAGAATAGGAGGTTGGAGAAGGGAGCACCACGATAATCAATTGTTCGGGTAGCGGAAAGAAAAGGAGAGGAATAAGTCGGTTCCAGATCCGCCCTAATGATCAGCGGAATAAACTTATTCAAAGTGGCGACCGGACTTCCTAATGCGTCCGTTTCAAGTTGGTGAAGTACGAAGTATGTATGTATTTAGTGCTTAGCTGATCTGACTTGACTTGACTTGGTTGGCTGTTGTCAAAGAAGTCGAAAGATGAAAAAAGGGAAGAGGAAAGATTCGAAAATCTAGCTCGACTAAGCAAACCTTCCACATTTAACATTTAACGTTAACGTTTATCAAACACCCAAACTCTGATTTACCCAGCAGGAAGGCAACTGGGATGGATCAAGTATCGATTAGATATGTACTGTAGATGGTATGTAAAGATAACGAAAATGCCACATGCAACGGAATGATTCTAATACTGCATGGGTTAATGGAAGAAGGGGAACAAAAGAGGGTTACGCTGACCCTCGCGAAGTCTTAGCTGACTTGCCCATGTGAGACTCCATATTAAATCAGGGTCTCTCTGTTATCGTTGAAAGAAAGGGATGCATTATCAAAGACAAAGGAAAACGTGGGGTGATTATTTCTACATACGCTGTATTAGAAAGGTTCTAAGGTTATTTCTAGCCCGCTCTGGCCGTTAATTGTCCCTAGTGGTTAACCCCTCTGCCCCTCCAGCCCCTCCAAGCCTTTCTCGCGCTCTTAGCCCCTAACAAGGAGCCCCGCAGCTTCTTCGTCTAACCCCACTAAACCTTGACCCCTGGCCCCTGAGTTTCCCGATTTCATCTACAAATCAACGCAATTCACTCCTATTTTGATATTTCTATTGAAATGGTCTGAATGGCGTATTGGTGTATCTCCCCTATTGGGTAAGATGCCTGTAAGAAAGGCGATCGTAGACCTCGTGGCACAATTCCCAAAACTCTTAGGCCATCATATCGCACCCGGCGCTTCAAATCACTCATGCTTTTTGTTAGAAGTTTGAATGTCTTCGTGTCCTCAGTCTACTCAGCCTACATGGCTTCTCGGACCCGAATGCTAACAGCGCTCTAGTCTTTTAGTGTAAGGAGAAGCAGCTCTAAATTCGGACCTTTCCTCGTATACTAGGGACCTCAGGGGACTTGTTTACGTGGCTCCACAAGCCCAACCAGCTGGGTTCGAGCCGCTTTCCCGACTATCGCATCGCGACTTTTACGGCTGACATTCATACAATCTATCCGCGTCGATGTTTTAGGACATTATCCACAGCTGATGCCGCCATTTCCTAGCCTGCAGTAAGTTGCAGCCGAGAAAAGAACCAATGGTCCCTTCGTACAGCTGCATTTAAGGGTCCCACACACCATCTCAACTGGGGAGAATAATCATCGTGTGACACAGTCCATCAGGCTCTTGGGCACTTAATCTACCGAAGCTTAACTTTCTTTTATCGTTTTTGGGTGGTATTACTATACACAATAATGGAAATATATACAGATTTACTTTCGTTTCGTCCGTGTTGTTTGATTTTGAGATAAACATTTGTTCTTCTTGACTTTTTCGATCGCCTAAGGCTCGTCGAGCCTTCAAGGATTCCCCGCATCTTCAAAAAGAGGGGACAGCAGGTTTAAACAAGGGTCCTCTGCTCCTCAACTGAAGTCTTCTCCTTCCAAAATCATAACACTTTTCTAACTCTACCTAATCATTATGAATAACCCTGAGTCTTTTGAGTATGAACTATACAGGGGCACTTGATGGTGAATCGAGGCCGTGCCTTTGTAAAAAGACGCGATACAAAATAGAATGACGAGATAACGGCATTTTAAGATTAGGAAGACCTGAGACCTAACAAGATCAAATGGTTGCATTATTTGGTTGATCTGCAGCACTCATGTCTTCCCGTGCTTGGAAATAGATCGCCTGACTTCATCACCGTATCACATCCTCACCCAAATAGCTCCCAGCTGATCCACCACCACGATAACAATCAGAGACAAGATGTTCACTTGGTTAAAATAGGTCAAGTTTTGATAGTATCTGAAAAGACACTTTGATCAAAACCAGCTTAGCTTAAGACACTAAGGACGTTTTCCAACTTAACGCTTCAATCTAGGTATGTATCAAATGATGGTACGAATGTTTGTCTATCACGACCTTTAAATCCTTTCTACGCATCAATGAGTAGAATCAACCCAGCGGGCTTCATGGTTTGGGGCTATCAGTTTTAATGATATCAATTCAAATTTAATGTTTCTCACTTCTTAGGCAATGGTTAAGGAGTTCTTAATTCAAATCTATATATTCAAACCTCGCTCATAGAGTTGGTTTCATAAGTCGGTTCACCGTTACGCGAGCATACCAAGCGCGGACCACCCACTTTCCCATATAAAATCGCCAAAACACGATATTTATAATTAATTTAATAAAATAATTAAAAATATTCCGTCATGTTATTTGAAATTTATAATGTTAGTATAGTTTAAAATAAAATTATTAAAAGTTTACATTTTTTTTTAAATTAATAAAAAATTAATAAATTTTAAGTTTAAAATTTTATATATAAAACGTATATAAAAAACCATTATAATTATAAAAATTAATAATTTTATAAATATAATAATTATAAATTTTAAATTAATTTTAATTTATTATATATTTTTAAAAATATTTTATAAAAATTAACTTAAATTTAATTATATAAATATAATAATTATAAATTTTAAATTAATTTTAATTTATTATATATTTTTAAAAATATTTTATAAAAAATTAATTTAAACTTAATTATTTTTTTAAATTATTATTTAAAAAATTAAATTTTCGAAAATATTTAATTTTATATAAAATTAAAAATAAAATATTATTTTTTATTATAAAAAATTTAATAAATTACTTAATATCGTGAAATATATATTAAATAAAAAATCTTAATTTTATAAATAATAAAGTATTAAAATAATAATTATAAATATAAGAAAAAAAAAATTATAACCTTTAATAAATTTGCTAATATTCGTTATTAAAATTTATTAATATAAAGTTTTCAATTTTTTTCTTATTTAAAAAAAGCTTTTAAAATCCAGAAAATTTATTTCATACTATCACGATAGTTTAAACTTTAAATCAAAAGACTTCAAGTTTTTAGCTATTTTATTACATTAATGATAAATGTCGTGTTTTGGCGATTTTGTATGGGAAAATGGTGGACCGCGCTTGGTATGCTCGCGTAACGGTGGACCGACTTATATGAGAGAACGGACTTCGGAAAGAAGTCCATGTAATTCAATATCAACGTTAAGAAAACATGACAATGAATATGATATCCTGTCTTATATCTATTTGTACAATAACACCACTTTCAGACGATATCTGTAGATTCTACTTTCCAATATATCCTCATTCGTATCATCAACAGATTCATCTTCTTTGAAAACAGACGCGATTCACAAATATTTGTAAATACAATAATACGATTATCCACCTTAACATACATCTTCACGTTCTTCTATTCATGGATGCCTATCTCAATTATAAAGATTTCAGATATTAGATTTAAGTCTACGTTTATACAAGTATTTAAACGTAAAAGCGAAGAGTAAAATGTACAGGGATAATTTACAACCATGAGACTCACAACTTTGCTTATTATGAAAATCAAATACCTATCTAGTGGTATCAGGTTGTTGAAACTTCGCGTTCATAGAAGTATCCTGTTACGAGAATAAGATATCCCACGAGGATAGATGTAGGGTACGATAGGGAATAAATGTGTTTAACCTGGATATGAGAATCATAAGAATCAACTACCCTAGGCCGCGACGTGCGTTGATATTGAAACCAACTTGTAATTATGTAAAAGGAAGTAAAATCTATGAGTATTTCTATGAATCCATAAACCTCTTCGTTTTTGATGCGAGATATTTATGGAAATATTCTGTCACTTGTTCTTAACTTCCAACATCATTGTTAAAAGAATTTGGGTTTATATGTCACTTAGTATCTGCCAGGGTATCTGGGGGTCCATGATGGTTATCTTATACAGAGTGAACAACTAGAGGGTATAGAAGTAGAGTTAGTTCGTAGTGGAATATAAGGATAGAATTGTGATAGCGATATCGTTTGATATCTCTCAACTATATAGGGCGAAGTCTGGGATATATGCATACCTGCCTCATAGTAACTCCGTAGGGGCAACAGAAGGGCTACACTAAAGACTCTTATACTTGTCCCCTAACACTGCCATCTCACGCCCCCCCTAAGGAAGCATGTTAACTAAGATTCAAATGATATATTCTTCTAGTCAGTTAACTTAGACACGTGTTGATTCTAGTAACAGAAGCACTACGCTTCTATTTTTACAAACCAATACTGGAAGAATTTCGTTTCAAGTGGTGATAGGAAACAACGAGGCTGTATATATCGTCTTTACCTAATTAGATTATCTTACGTGAAAAAAGTTAAGTCAGGGAGTGAATGC